AATCAGCAAATTAATTTAATCTCAAAATGTTTCAAACAAAATCTTCAACAATTAATCAATAAACTATTAAGATGCAAATTCAAAGTTTCTTCAGTTTTCCCTGATAATCAGCTGATCCCATCCGATGAAGAGTGAAAGGATTTTAAGATTTTAACATAAATCTAAAATTTCATCAGCTAATTGATTGACTTTCTACTAATTATAATTAGTGGTTTGATCTATTTAGTTAATCTGAATCAACTAATCTAATAAAATTGTCAAGTTTAATGATCCCTTAGTCTTTGGTTCAAGTGTATTTACTTTGAATTGTGGAAGTGGATTCCAAATTTTTTTACTATTTTTCAATCAAATTGAAACTCTTTGGCAATTCAAATCATCACTACAATTAAATCATAACAATTCATTGAGTTATATCATGAATTCAGTGCATACAGGTAATGATTGATAAATTGTTGTCTTTGTAAGTGAAAGTAATTGTTTCATATTATGATGAACCAGAAATTATATGTATGCAATTAGGTAACATCATCTGATTATTTAATATTCCTGTTAAAAGATAATCAAATTAACCATATTCAATAATTTAATTAGATTTCATCATTAATTATCAATTTTATCAACAATAGAGAGAAGAGAGAGAGAGAGAGAGAGAGAGAGAGACATAATCAATAGAATCTAATGAAAATAAAAACCTTTGAATCTTTGGTTAAAACAAAAAGAAACTTGAAAGGTTTAATTGTTGACAATTAAGGTGAACACACTACCATTAATCAATGAATTCTCAGTTAAGGAAGAGTAAAAGTTTAATAATCTCAAGAGAATTGATTTAATTAAGAAGAAGGTAAAGTTAGTTTACCTGCGAACAGGTAAAAGTGCATTGATCTGAACAATTGGAGAATCGAATTTTGTAAAATTCTTTTTCTCTATTGTTTAAACTCTCTAATTCTCTCAACCATTAGACATCTAATTTAATTTACATCCAATCAACTGAATCAATTTAAGCGATTCAATCATAACCTTGATTCCAATTAATCTGATATTTGATTAACTTTCCAATCAGAATCTTATCCATCTGATTAAGTGATGGAATCTTTTCTTTCTCTCTGTTCATTTTTCTATCGAACTTTTTTTTTCTATTTACCTTTTCCCCTCTTCGATTTCAATTTCCAGGTAAACATGACAAAACTTTCACCTTTCAATGAACTACAAATGAACAATTAACTTAAATTGTCAACAGTCAACAACCTTTAAGTTGATTTACCAAAGAGATGAAAATTAGAATACAATTAACTGATTTACTTTACTTCTTGTTGGTTAATAATTAATGTAACAAACAACCGAGTGTGTTAATTGTTACAACGACAATTGTTAACTAAGGTGGGGGTAAGTTAATTACTATCACAATTAATTTTCACTCTCAAATTATATAATCTTTATGAGGATCTTGTAGTTACTAGTATTGTTAAATTTGATTCTGTCTTTTTTTAATTGTTAATGATTAAGCTCTTGGGGTGATTCAGTTTTAACAATTAGTGAATTTAATATTATATAACAGATAATTGGATTCAATTGTAATTATCATGACTAATTAATTGGTGAAAATCAAGTACATTTTTGAGACAATCAGACATTTTTTTGCTTCCAATTCTTGGTAATTAACTAATTATTAAGTCGCTTGTTTCAGATGATTAACACAATTAATGTAATTTTTTGATATTGTGTAATTATTAATTGTCCAATCAACAAATTAACATGGAAAATGAAATAAACAATTGACTTTAATTGATGAAACAATTTACTTTTTACAATCAACTTCATCTTAATTTATTGTTAATTATTGATCAACTCTTGGTGGTTAATTGTTATCTTGAATTGATTGACATAAACTGGATTTAACTTGAATCACTTTAATTGTTGTAATTTAAATTGATACTACTTTTTTTCCTCTGTTAACTTTTTCCATCATCAAGTAATCAAACCTTAATTGTGGTTAATTGTTTTAATTACTATAACAAATGAATGTGATTCTCATGTTTCTCATTAAATTGACGATGATCATGATTTTCATGATTAATTAACAGTAAAATTAGTCAACAATTAACTTGCGTTAGCCATATGAAAGCCTTAATTATGATTACAATTGTTGGTTTACAATCAACTGATAATCATAACAATTTAAATCTAAATACAACCACAGACTAATTAATCAACTGGTTCGCTAACTTTTACGTTAATCAACTAAATTTAAAACTTTTCAAAACAATTTAGTAAATAAATAAATTACCATGTGCTCTTAATCAGTTGATCGTCTAGTCTATTAAATCACTTGATTTTAGTCTGGAAAAGTTAATTGTTACAATTAATAAATTGCCAATTGTTAGTTACCATAATAACAATCGTATTGTTATTTAACCGTTTAAATATCAATCGGTTTTTGGTTAATTATTACAACAATTAATATCTCCCTTGGTATAACCAGTTAAATCCAGAACTGAATTAATCTTAGATGTTAATTACAATCACAATTTGATAACAATTAATGTCTATGTTGATAATCCTCAACATATATTAATCATTTGTAACTTCCTTAAACAATTAAAGTAAACAATTTATTAATCCTCTCAATGATAATTATATTTGTTTCACTTTCACCTTAATTACCATTAAATATCAAAGCTTATTAATTATTACATCACAATGATTATGATATTTACAATTAAATCCACTGGTTTAGTTGATTAACTTTTATAATTAGGTTTTCAGGTTAATTAACCACCAACAATAAATTAAAATTGTTAACAATTTGATCGCCTTTAATTGAAGATAACCTAAATTGTTTTGTCAAACTGATTATCAACTTAAGTTGAGGATCAAAGTTAATTGTTAACAACATGAAACAGGCAATCAGTTAATCCAATGAATTAACAATCAAATCTTTTAATCAATAATTGATTATTTTTCATCAACATAACATTGATTACAAATTAAGTGCTTAAATTAAGTTCAGTTGTAACGATTATCATTAATTGTTATGGTTAATTGTTGATTATCATTACTTATTTATAAATCCAACAAGTCATTCGTCTTTGGTTAATCATAAGGCTTAATTATACATTAGATTAATGTTTAATATTGTTAATTACTTACGCTAATTAATTAATTGTGTTGCCCAAATTGTTGATCACAATGAATTTAAGTTAACCAATATTATTGTGAATCTTGAACTTGAGACTTGGATTCAATCAATCAACATTAAGTAAACGTTATTGCTTCATGTTGATTGTTGATATTATTTAAATTAGAAGGTTACAAATTAATAATAATTAGTATAATCATCGTAATCATCAACTAATTAGTTAACTGCTAAAATTGATACAACTTGTTGCTATGCACATTATGTATTAATCCAATGGCTTATTATCCTAATACAAATTAATACAGTCTAATGGTTGTAATAATAACTAATTCACTTGATTAGAAATGGTTAAAATTAGTTGTATATCTAATTGTTAGTTTAGTTTAAGTACTAATTAAGGAAATCAATTAGTTGATTTAACTTTAGGCTCATTTTCATGATAATCAAATCAATTGTATCAACTTAAACCATTTGATATTTTACTAAGATCATTGATTAATTACAACTATTAAGTTTGCTGTAAGTTGGTTATCGTTGATTGTTTTTATTTCCAGGTATCAATTTAGTGATTAATTTAATTTGATTGTGTTTAAATTGTTGTTCATTTGTATTAGATTATAATTGGAATTCGAGCAAAGTAAATAGGTTAACAGAAACGATCTGATTGACAATTATAATCTCATCTCAACCACCAACGACTTTTTTCCAGCTATTAACACAGATTTCGATAATCAATCCATTGATTAGATTTAATTAGAAATATTTCCAATAACAGATTAACTGAAAAGTTAATTACAAATGATTTAAAAGTGAAAGTGTTTCCATTCACATCATTTGAGGGAAAACAACTTATTCCTTTTGATTTTTTCCATATCATTGGTCTGCTTTCAATAAAGCATTGGAATAATTAAAGTCCTAACTAATCAATGAGCATTTAATTGTCAAAATAATCAAATTATTCTCAATGATTAAACTAAATTATTAGTTTAAAATTGAACTTGAGTTTAATTGATCATTTCAATTTCTTTCCAGCGCATGTGTTGCCACCTGTTGATTCGTTTCGTTAACAATTTAAATCTTTTCTTGATCTTAATTGTAATTTCATCGCAATTAAGATTCAATTAGAATTTATTAGAATTTTTAAATTACATTATATATACAATGGAAAGAGTTGATCATAATTTAGATTAATTATTCTTTCCATCAGAATTTGTTGTTCTCTGGTCAGTATGTGTAGCGAAAATTGAATTTTCTGGTAAGAAAGTGAAACGATCAACTAATTGTGGCTTAAGAATTAAACAATTAAGCTAATCAGAAAGAGGTAAATTGTAAAAGTCATTGTCTAATTGTTAAGCCTTTTTTCCAGTATTAATTGTGAGAAATTAGCGAGTCAATTAACGAGTTTCCTTTCAAAATTATTCAACAATTAAGGTTTAATTCAAATGAAAAGTTAACTAGCCAAGTATTAAATTGTAACTAAATTAATTGATTTGAAACTTTCGTATTTTTTTTGTCACAACAACAATTGAATTTTCTTATTATTTTATTGACGCAATTAAATGTTAATTTGCTCCTTTCGAGGGTTTTCAACAATTTGTTTATTGTTTTGCCAATTTGTATGAAATAAAAACGTAAATATTATTATTCCAACTGATCAATCAAACTTTTTAACCATTTAATTGTCACCCACCTACAATCAGTTAATTGACATCAATCAAAAAATTAAATTTCCAAAAATTAATTTACTTCTATCACCAAATAAAAAGCACAATTAACTCAATCGCTGAGATATTGGGAATTTTTTTACTCAATCCCAATAAATGCTAAGTAAATAAGCTTTGTAATAATTTAATTACCAAACAAATTATATGTTTAAATTGTGTAACAAAATAAATTTAATTTGATGATGAAAAAAATATCAATAATAATACAATTTGTTTTCGCAACAATTGATAACAATTGACAATCACAATTATGGTACAAGATGTGAATGTGAAAATTAAAAAGCCATGATAATAATTAACTGTAATCATCTTGTAAATATCAACTGATTTAAATTGTGTTTTCCTCTTTTTTTTACGCAATTAAATAGTAGAAATTAATTGTTGATTAACTCTTCAGTTTCTCAATGAAAAACAACAACAAATGATGATCAAGATGAGAAAATGCCAAAGTTGATTGTGACAATTGAATCTAATCAAATGTTCAAAACTTTGTGATCAATTTTCCTGTTAACAGGGATAAAGAAAAGATCAAGAAATTAAGTATTATGAGCAATTAAAGTGTATAATTAAGAATAGTAATTAGCGTAATTAGAATGGCCGAAGCACCAGCAAGGTAGCGCCAGTGATCTTGTTGCAGGTATTTTCGCAGGTAAGCCCGAAAAACGAAAAGCACCGAACCGAGAGAAGCGATAAGTGCGTACATTGGTCCGGCCTTTGGTGCTTTGAGTGGACTCTTTTTGGACAGTTTAAGAGATCGAGTGGCAAACGCAGCGTCGATCCTTTCATTGACCGTCATGATCGCTTTTCGAGCGCCCGACCATTTATGTGGACCCTCAATACGATACTGGTAAGGTAAACAAGGTCCAAAGTAAAGTTTGTACCAAAACGCGGGATCGGTGAAAAAATATTTCCACAAGTTAGGCTTAGCTCCATATTGTTCAGCAATTTCGTCCATGTAATTGACCCAATCGATTTGCATGGTGTGTCGTGGACCTTTAAAATATCGTGACTCGATTTCGGCATTTTTCTCGTCGATATCCTTCATCATTACAGGTACACTTGGTAATCTACATCTACCTGTAGAGTTGGAGACAAAAAAAAATAAGGTAATCGGGAAACGCAAAGATACAATTAAACAATTGAATTGAAAAGTTCAACATGTTGTTTGAAAATATAACGGTAAATGTATTTATAACCCAGTTGATTGTGTTGAGGTGAAAAGTTTTTCCTTTTTCAACTGATTCATTGTATTAATCACTATTTAATTGAGTAATCATTGTTATCAGGTTAATCATTTAAAGCTTATTGTTGAACTTTTTTTTTCATTAATCATAAAACTAGTAGTCGCTGTAATAGTTATCATTTGAATCAATGAATTAATAATCGTTTGACTATCAGGTAAACGATACATGAAAAAGATCATGTTGATTGATAGATGGTTGAAATTAACAACACCTCAAAAGTACAATCAGCGTTTCAAAGTAAACTTAATCATCCTCTTTAGACAAACAATTAAGATGTTGATCATGATCAACAGGTTGGTTTAAGGTTAGTAACCTGAAACTTTCAGGTAACAAATTGTGAAAAATATCAAAAAAAAATTTGACTGAAACATTAACATGGTGATAGATTTGTTTATGTTGTTTACCTTTCATGAGTTGAACAAACCAGCGGGACTGTTGTTCAGAGACTGGGATAGCTGGTCCAACGGCTTGGATCAAGCCGATGAGTCCAAGGGTGTGAGGGTGTTTTAGTTTTGGTGGGAACATGTATTTGTAAAGTTCAACATGATTCTCAGAGGTCCAGACGATTGATGAATCAAGGAAGGGAAATGAAACCTCATATCCTGTGGCCAGAATGACGGAATCACATTTAGTCACCTTGGATTCACCTTCGAAGATGATTCCGTCCTCGGTAAACTCTTGAATATCATTTTTAAGTACAACGGTTCCTGAAAGTATCCGGTTGGGTAAAGCATCGTTGACCATTGGGTGCTGACCAAAGACTCGATGATCGGGTTCTACTCGATATAATTTATGGTCAAATCGGTCGTTCAAATAGTGCTCAACGAAGCTGCACTTCACCCTGTAAGGTGTGTAATTGAATAAAGTGAAACAAAATCGAGTAATAAATTCAGAATCAAAGGGATTTCCTTGTGGACCAACTCGCCATAAAATCCAAGCTCCTCGTCGAGTGGAAAGATACACCTAATTAGTCAAGAACAATTAAAATTCAACAGACAGATTAATTATACGGGATTAAAAGAGAAAAACAAAAATTCTCATGGTCAACGAAATTTAACGATAATTAAGGAAATGATTTAGATGATAATTAAATGATTATTGTCTCTTGTCTGTCTAATCCAAACTGCAACAAAATTAAACTCGAAATGATTAAATATTAGCAATTTACTCGAAACTTAATCGAAAGTTTTGTAAGAAAAAGTTATGAGATTTTCACAACTACGATTCTATGGAAAAGTTTTAATTTTTTCGAAAAAAGATATTAATCATTTCCAATTCGAATCTGTTTCGCTAATTATGATTAACTAGTTTTTAATTTCTAAAAGAACTCAAGTAGATGAGTCGAAGAAGTTTTTTTGAAGAAGGTCACTTAAAAGTCGTCGTCTTGTCGAAAAGTGAACTGAAAATCAGTCTACATTTTCGATGTTTTTATAGCCTGAGGCGATTTTAAAATGTTGATTAGTCGAGTGGAGAAAATTGTGAATTTTCCAAATGGATTGATTTCCAATTAGTTTATAACCTAAGTGTAATTAATTGCAAGATCACTTTTTCGTAATAATCATGTGATTGTCAACAGAAATTATCAAATTTCCCATGAAAATCTGACAAGAAAATCAATGAGCTGTGAATAATTTCAATTTTTCTCGCTTGAAACAAAAGTAATCACATATTCATGTTGTAAGAATATAAATGGAAAACTAATCAACCAAGACTAAATTAGGTAATAGCAATTAAATAAATCACAATTTAAATCAAACAGACTAGAGGCAGAGTAAAGAAAACAATTTCTTAATAACTCAAACTTGAATCGTTTGAATAAATGAAAGAAAATTGAACATTTCCTTGTAATTGAATAAGCGATAATTTCACTGAATGATTGATAATCGCTTAGGATTAAATGATTAAGCAAATTGTTTGGTCAATCGATTGGTTATCGATAGAAAATCAATATTAATAGAAAAGAAAATTAAATGATAATAACTTTCACTTATCGGGAATGTTAGATACGAAGAGGGAGAGAATCACTTGTGACCTGATTCACGAAAAAGTGACCAGGGTCACACGTACTCTTTTCCGGTTCAATTATCCAATTGGAAAGTTATATTAGTTTCAATACAAATATTTTTCTTCATTAATGCTCATCATTGAATAGAATTAAGATAATTATAATCTCCTTCCTCATCTTTTTACTTTCTTTCTTCCTCAATTCTTACATGAAATTTTATCATAATCTTAATTTTCGTCTCTTTTTCATACAATAATGATTGTCACTAATTAATCACCATCAACAATTACCATAAGTTGATAATTCTAATGACTGATATTTAATCAACACAATAAATTTCCCCTCTAACAATTAATCTAACGGTAAAAAAGCTCAACAGTATCAACATGATTGACAGAATCAGAAAGATAATTATCATCACTAATTGTTGAATCTACTTCAGTCCTCTGACCTCTTCCTACTGATTGACCAGAGCAATCATATAACCAGTAGATATAAGATTGCGATAATCAATCAATAGTGAATCAGCAATTGATTGTTGTGATTATTGGTGAAGGAAAGTATTGATATTTTTCTTGGAAAGGAAAGGTTAAGGTAAAAGTCTCATGAAAATCATGAATCAATGAACTTCACTCATGTTTGGATGTGGAAATGTTGGTTTACCTTCTTGGAAAACATTGAGAGCTCAACTGCAGCATCGCCACCAGAATTACCGATTCCAACAACGACAACGGTTTCGTTTTCAAATGGGTTCGGCTTTTTGTATCCATGTGTATGGATTATACGACCTGGAGGATTAAAGAGTAGAAAAAATGAAATATTAATAATTGGAAATTAAAAGTTAATCCTTTATGAAGGTTATTCTCATAGAGAGAAAAAGATTTTTAGAACATGAAAATGAATCATTTTCATGGAAATTGCGAGAATTAATCAGTTAATTACCTTTGAATTTCTCTTCCCCTTTGAATGTTGGTCGTAAGGGTTTAACGTGATGTCCAGTGCAGACCATTACCCCGTCGAATACTTTGCTTTTAATCTCCTTGGTTTTGAGATGTTGACTTGTGACCTTCCAACGTCCAGTGGCTTCGTAATCCTCAGCGGGTTCAACTTTAATCACTTTGGTTTCAAATTCAATAAATTTTCGGACACCAAAGTGTTCAGCATACATTTCAAAATATTGATACTGAACATTTTATGGATTATAGGGATTAATAAATGGAAAGAAAAACAAATCAATCAAATGGTCTAATTGGATTAAGATCAATGGGCTGATCATTGGTCACATGTTTTAATCTCGTTGGTGGATTAACTTACCATCGCTGTGTTGTGCATGTAATTGGCAAATTCTGCCGGTGGAGGATAATCCGAGTAGGCGGACATTTCTTTCGACGAGTTGATGATTGTTGACCTCATCACAGAAGCTAATCCATCGACATCATCATCTCGATATTTCCATAAACCACCAAGGAAATTTGATTGTTCATAACAAACAACATTGAAATTTTCTTCACGACAAACTTTAATTGCGTTGATTCCGGTGGCCCCACTTCCGATAATACAAATGGTTGGACCTTCACTTGTTGTCGCCATATTAGATGACCAAAGATGGCGATATAACTGTTGAAAATAAACACAAATTCACAAAAACGGCGATATTTCAAATCACTGATGTTGATAGTAAACAAAATCAACTATCACCGGATAAACAAAAAGTGTATCAGGATGTGTAAAGTTGATTATGTTTCTGATTGAATTAAGGTTTGAGTTTTTTTTTACACAACAATTTAGCTGTTTGATGGTAACACAAGTTATTTATATTTTTCTGATTATTCGTTGATTGCTACAGGCAACAGAAGAAAAAGAAAATAAAAGGTAACCAGTGAGGAACCCGAAAAAAAGATGATGATCAAGTTGGTAACCAGAAAATGAGGACAAGAAAATTTAGATTGTTGTTCCTGTTGATTCGTAAGCTAAACTGGCAGACCAACAATCAAATTTAATCATCCAGTGAGAAGAGAGGAAGAAGATGGTGGTTGTGATTTTAAAATGGTTTAAGAAGGAGAAAGAGGAGGAAGATGAGGAAGATAAGGAGGGAAGAGAGAGGAAGAGAGAGAGAGAGAGTGGAAAAGAAAAGGGATAAGAAAAGGGTAAGGGCAAGACGAAAGATCTACCTGGTGAAGGTGGATTATATTTACTTCAATTGTAACTCTCTTTTTCCCCTTAAATTGTGATTAACTGTCAAATTGTTTCTCCTCCTGTTGTGGGCTGGATGGTGATACGAAGTGGGAACATGTTACTCGTTGGTGTAGGAAAGAAACTCAGATTTGGTCCACCGAGTTTCAGTTTGTAACGTAATAGAAATTGAATAATTCTGATTGCTACCTCAAGATTCATCAAGGTTTCTATCATGTGTCAAGTTACCTTTGTTTCTTTTGTTAAATTGATGAATGAAAAAGGAAAACAAATCATCATCTTTGATAATTTGGTTGAAGCGTCAGAACAACAATTAAGTTTAATCTCCATGTGTTGAAGGTTCTTTTCCTTAACAATGTTTTCCTTTTAACCCATAGAATTGAATTGATTGAAAATCTCAAGTAATTCATCATATTTATCATTTCTACGGAGTTTTAATGAGATTGAGAAAAGAATTTCAAATTTGTAATAAACAAGTTCGAGGTTCTTTCGATTAGACAAAATGTTCATTTCTCTAGGCTGAAAATTGAAAGAAAAAAGTTCCATCTTTTGTTAATCCGATTCAATGGACTAGACGGAAAGAAAACTGGTTGGTCATTAGGGTCAAGTGAACTCATCCCTAAGGTTGGACTGGTCAGTTCTCATCTACGTGACCAGGATCAGGTAAATTCATCACCTTGAGCTCAGATTATTGCGCTCAAATCAAAACCAATCAATGATTCAATTCGTAAATCACTCAACCTATTCAATGACCAAAGGAACCAAAGATAATTTTCTGATCATTCACATCAAATTAATTGTTTCTCTGTCTTTTCAAGTTGATTTATTTACGGAAATACAATGACAGAGAATCAGAAAAACCCGGAAGAAGATAAATTAACATCGGTTTCCATGGTTCCAATGTTTTCTTATGAAATCAAAACAAGAAGCCGGTTGTTGATCAGATCATTGATCCATTTGTATAGTTGTTTCATGCTAACTGTTGAATCAACATGACAATTAATAGTAACACAATAATAAGAATCACGAATAGTTGATTAGTTGAATTTAATTGTGTCTACATTTTAACCATTCAAATCGACAACACGATCAGTGCAACATCAACAAATGAAGTTTCAACCCAAACCAATGGAGCCCTTAGAGAAAAGGTAACAATTAGATAATTAATATCGTTAAATTGTTGTTTCGTTTTAATTGTTAATCTCTTTTCTCATTTACAGGTTAGCAAGTTGTATCAGTGAAATTAAGAATCTTATTTGTTCAACAACAAGTGAATCAATCAAATCTAAAGACACTAATCGGTTACTTGGATCATCGGTTTACAATCAAGATATTAAAGATAATGGAATTGATTGGAGAACAATTTTAATTAAATTGTATGAAGAATTGCGAAAAACTCAGGAAAAAGATGAAGAGGAGGAAGACGAAGATGAGAAAGTTAATTGTATCTACACAGTTGATTCCATTGGAACGTTAATCACCATGATTAAAGATCAATTGAAAAAGACATTACAATCAAGCTCAACACAAAGTGATGACAATTTGATTGTTGATTCAACAATTGAATCAAAAACTAGTGTTGGTGTTGACAATTATTCATTAACTTTGACCCAGGACAATGTTGAGATTAATGAAATTTGGGAAACTTTGGTTCAATCATTGAAGGATTTACTAATTGATCAATTGATTGTATCAGAGATTGACAATCAACTGGATAAGGAGGCTTTTTATCATGAGATGATTTTACTTGACAATTTATCTGATTCATCAGCAACAACATCAACTAAATCAATGAGATCAGATGAAAATGAGCTGTTCAACATTTACGATTCAATTAGGACTCAACGAATTGATAAACAATTAGCCAAACAATCAAATAATAGCAGTGATAATTTAGAGACAATTGTCAAATGTATTAAGCAATGGGTTACATTTGATTTACAATTAGTTGATGGTTACCATTTATTTCACAATCAAGTAACTTTCCACCAAATAGTTACACCTTATATAATTTTGATGAGAAATTTAATCGTCAAAAAATCACCATCATCATCACCATTAAATCATCATCATCATCATTCATCACAATCGATAACCGATAAACCAATGAACATAATCAAAACAATTAGTTTACTCCAAGATCTTGATTGTTTCCTAACAGAACGAGATATTCATTTACCATCGGAAAATATGTCACCATCCAAGGATATTCACGATATTTGGGATTGGCGTGGTTACTTAATTGCTCAGGGTGTTGACAATTTACTTTTACGTTTTCTCAATCAAGGTCTTAATGATTTAATGGCCTCTTCCTCGTCTTTACCATCAAACGATTCCAAAAATGTAAATGATGAAAGGAAACCATCAAAAATAGACCAACAATTAATATCTCCAACAATCAATGAGATGGACAATGTTTTGTCAACAATTTACCAGATATTTAACTTCCTTGATTATTTTGGATCAATTGAATTAGCTGAATTTAAGGTTTCAGCGAAAGTGATAGTTAATGTTACGATTGTTGACTTTCTGTTGAAAACGTCGGAAATTTGGTTCGAGGAGAAATCGCTTCCAATTGAATCGTATTATACTCTGTACAATTCATTCCTGTTTTCTCAGCGCAAATTAAATCAACACGGATTAGCTAATGATAAGATTAACAGTGTCACCCAATCGCTCAGGTGTAAAATTGTCTCATCTCATTTGTCGTTACTTTTGTTTTCTTACAAAAGTTTGGATTACATTATAATCTACATGAAGAAATTGTCGATGACCATGTTGAATTTGATTCCATATGAAGTTCAGGATGATTCTCATATTTTTGTGTCCATCTTGACCCTTTACATGGTCCATTTGGTCAAGATTAAAATTGAATTGGCTGATTGTTTGATTATCTGTTCCAATATAATTGATTTACTTCAACCATTTGCAGTTAATTACGAGAAACTTTTTTATAAAAGTTTTCGTGAGATTCATTCATGTTGTTGGCTTTTAATTGTTCGAGCAATTTTTAATCATGCACCGATTTCCCTTCTTAATCAAGAATTGTCATCACCAGAAGAGCTTAATGGTAATGGTCATGTTAATTGTTCCAATGGTGTTAAAACTGTTACAGTTAAACCAAAGTCAACAGTTAAATCACATCAACAACTGACTAGTAAATTAGATAATCAATCAACTGCTTCCAATGGTTTATTGTCATCGTGCTCATCTAATCATTGGTCAAATATTTTCGATTGTTCCATTGAACCGATTGTCAGGCCATCTAATGCTTTTCTTATATCACTTCAACGTAAACGACCATCATGGTCGGTGATCATCAGGCCATTTCTTGAATCCCGTTTGTCTTTTTCAATCAATATCTTCAATCATATCCAAGTGACCACTGAAAATGAACAGAAAGCAATCAATTTATTAGCAAATATAATCACGATTGCGAATCTTAATGAGTCCAGGGAAAAGAGTGTCACTTACCTTTTATCACCGATCATTCAAAGGTAAACAATTTACGAATTAGTTGTCAATAATAATCTCTAATTGTCCAACAATTTGCACAGAAATGAGGATTGGCGTTGGTTGGACATTTCCAAAATCTCGGTCAAACCAAAACCCTGGTGGTTTCAATCATTGCACCAAGTGATTGATTCAACGGTCTCACAATTTGTCCAGGCCGTTTTAATCCCGATCGCTTATCGGTTCCTTTTAAAATCATCAAGATACAAATCATTTTATGACGAAGCCGATTTACATGATAGATATGCTGGTAAGTGTTAATTGTTTACTTTTCGTCCGATTGTCATTCTAATTGTTTCATTTATGCTTCTCTCTCACAGAATATGATGAAACCTTTTTAATTGACGAAGCAAGTAAATCATTATTATCAACAATTCCAACAATTATGGAAACACTTCCATTACCGTTGATTGCCAGTCTAGAAGATTTAAAAAATATTAAATTAATCACAATTAAGACTCTTTACAATTCATTAACTGCTCAGGTAATGAATAAACATCTATTGCACTTTTGCCAACTAATTAACTACTTTACGATAATTAATATCGTAATTTTCTTCTTGTTGTCTTTTAATTTTGTTCAATTTTTCCTTAATTGTGATTTAGATCATTTTTGGTTCCATTCTTCGTTGTTTAACTGAATCAAAATTGATTAATGAAACACTTTCCTCCAATGGTATTGCTTTTGCTTCCCGAATAGCAGATAAATTGGAGCAAATGGTGATCACTGAGGGTAAATGGCCAACGATGATTAAGTTAATTACTTCAATTGTTAATCGTCGACTTTCATCTAAAACCAATTATGTTGTTGCCTCTGAATCAGATCAATTTGATTTGATTGGTTCCCTAATTGCCCTGGAACCATCTCTTCAGTTAATTGTTGATAATTTGTACAATTTTCTAGTCTCCAATTCATCTTTGCTTAAAAAATGGTCACCTAAGTAAAGATCAACAATTTAATATTGATTGTATATCAACAACAACAACAACAACATCATCATCAGCTGATTCACCAATACAATCATTAACTTACAATATTCTTGATCATTGTGAGACAATTAAACGACCCAAAGTTGATTGTATCACCGATGACAAATGGTTGTCATTAATTAACCGAGTTAAATCTAAATTGTCACATCTCTCAATTGGACAGATACTTTCTGAACGAAATGATTTACGTCACAGTGATTTAAATGATTCGCTGGGAAAATTATCTGTTTACCTATGAAGAGAAAGAAAAATTAACAATAGTAGAGAAAAAAAAACACGTTAATCAATTGTTAACAATAAACAATTTGTTAAACTTTTCAATGTTTGTTGATCTTTTTTTTATGATTTTTTTTTCAGAGTTATAATGTAAATGGTGTTATGTCAATGGTGTTGAATAGGTGAGGTTTTAAAAGAGGTGGTGGAGTGGATGCTCATTTGGTGTTTCTGCTTTTTGTTGATTGGAAACAAATCCAATCATATGGACATTATATTAACCTTCCTTATCCTGACACTTTTGCGTTCACCTTTCACATTTTACAAGTTTTACAGAGACACAATATAAATAATTATAATAATATTTTTCGTATGCTCATGCAGTCGGAGAGATAAATATATATATATATATATGTATATATGTGAGGAGATAGATTCATATTACAATTAACAAAGGGAAAAAAATTATTTCTTTCAACGTCAAAGTAGAAACACATTAATGGATACATTACAATGGTGTCAATGGATATTGTTGATGTTGTTGTTATTTCGCAGTTGATTGTGTTGAATTGAAATTGTTGATATATATTTATAGTTGGATCATCATGCTGTCAAATCAATTCATCTTATTGAGTGTTTTCGGCGAATGGATTTACTGATGGTTATTTGTTGATTAGTGTACGTTTATTTACACATTTCTTGGTTAACCTTCCGACTCTCTCTTTATGATCATTAGTTAACTTGATTAAGAGATTTTTGCCTTCATTGATTTGATCTTGAAAAAGTTTACTTCGCTGAAGGTTACCACGTATTAGATCCGTTAATTTATCAAACAATTGTACTTGGGTGTCAATGAAGGTACGTTGTGAGTTATAAAAAGATCGGCCTAACATGTTAATTGTTTTGTGAATATCTTGATCACTGGTGTCAAAAAAATTTGAAAAGCTTCTTAAACGACTGTAGAGTTGAGTTTCCTCTTCATCGGCATCCTCCATATGTGTCACAAGATGTTGCACCTTCCAACCATTTTTCCTTTGTAAACCTTCATTTGAAAGTTCACTTAATGTTGTCTTCTTCTCGGATTTCTGTTTAACATCAGTGTACCTTAAAAAATGATATTGACATGATTTCCATGGTACATTGTAGGAATTAATGGAGATACGAGGTTTCTTAGAGATGGTGATTACACCTCCTGGTGCAGCGTCTTTGTTAACATTATTTGAATTACTGGTGGAGATGTTGATGTTACTACTTGTACCACTGATGATGTGAACTGATGTTCCTGTTGTTTCCTCTTTAATATTTACATTATCTTGATCATTAAGAAGAGGTTTAATGTTATTAGAGGTGGTCAGGTGAAAAGGTTCTAAAAGTTGTTTCCTAGGCTTCTTTGTTGGTGTAGTATCGGTAACACTATTGGTTGTTGAAGTTGCTTGTTGCTCACTACCCAAACGCTTTCTAATTAAAATAATGGGCCGAGGGGAAGATGGAGTTCCAGGTAGTGTTTGAATTTTAACTGGAGATATGACTGGAGAGATCACCGGTGAGGTAACAATATTGGTCCAAATGGGTGAACTTAAGGTAGTGCCAGAAGGAAGTATTGAAACACTAATGGATCGAGGTCCTGTGGCTGAGGTTGAATTGGTAGAAGTAAGTAAAGGTCCTTGTGAGGTTCCAGTTTGAAATCGAACAGGATTGGTCACTGTTGGCTGATTATTCATCTTTTTCTTTGCTTCTTTTTCTCACTTATTTTCATCAATAGAAAATCATTGACCAAAAGCAAAGAAAACAGACACAACACCAATATATCAGCCCAAAAATTTAGAAGATAATGGAGCAAAAAGAATAAATAAAAAAAGAAAACAAAAGACAAGAAATGTAATGGAGAGAGAGAGAGATAGAGAAAAAAGAAAAGAGGAAATTGACCAATTGAGCCAACAGAGAAAGAGAAGAGAAAAAAATAAGAGAGACAAGAAGAAAGTAGAGGTTTACAATAATTTAAATCCACAGAAAATATGCAAAGGTGAGAAGGAAATGAAGAAAGAGATGAATCTAAATAATTAAAATCCAAACTCTAGAATAAAAAGAAATCATCATTCTTAATCACTAAGTGAGAGAGAGAGAGAAAGAGAGACAAAAAAAACACCAACATCAAAGAGAAAACTACAAAAAATCTGCAATTAAAACAAATCTAAAAACAGGGTTGAAGGCGTAAGCCAAGAATGCGCAGGTAATGGCGCTTGTTTCAATAATCTTTCTCCTTTTTTCCTTAAACACTTGACGTTAGATTAACATTAGAATAGAACAATTGATAAACTAAATTAATAAATTAATTGTTTTCACCGAGATAAAAGAAAAAGAATCAAACTAATTAAATAATCACAATAGAAGAGTAAATGTCGATGTCCAAATGAAGAGAAAATGATTGGCTCAGAAAAAGAAATGGCGTTGACTTCGCTTCCGTTTCCATGGAAACTGTAAACAAAAAACATTCTTTTCTTTTTTTGTTTCCAACTGTTTCTCTCTCATTGCAAGTTCCAATTTCTCAGCAATTAAATTGCCATGTTTTCTTTTCTGTTTAATTAATGTTATCAAAAGACTAATTGGTATTTTCTCTCTCTATCGATTGATCTTAATTTATGTTAGTGTTTTAATCTTCAAGTGTTCAAGATCTTAAGTCTTGAAGGGAACAACTTTGTGTGTGTCAAATTGATGATGGTGTTAATCAACTTATTGCCACATTCGATTGTTAATTGTAATTTGTTTCCCTCTATTATGATTGTATTTATAAGCCAAATGTCTACGTGATGTGTGTGTGTGATTCAATTTCTTTGTGTAAGTTATGTTAATCTTTTTGATATACTGAATGTTTGTTCAAGTGAAATAAATTTTGTTGTTGTTGTTTCCATATTCTTAATTTTTGGATTTTTAATCAACCAATAATTTGTTTTGCATCTTAAATTTCAAGATAAATAGTTTGTCAACTGGAGTGATTACAGTTGATACAGAAAAAAAACAATATAACATAATAATAAAATTAAATTTGTGATAAAAGTCATTTCTTGGTTTCTTCATATATTGCGATTGGTTTTCTTTTTGTTTCTTCATTTCTTTCTGGCAACAAATCATCTGGAGATTACACTCAATGGTGAAGTTGATTAATTTACACTGTATGTTGACTTTTTCTGTTTTCAAACAAGAAAACAAACAAATAACAGAAAATGATGTAGTAATCTCTCTCTCTCTAATTACTGTACGAGGAAAATAAAGAACAGAGGAAGAAACCAAAACCAAAAAGAAATAGAATATGAAAATTCTTGAATTATTCACAGTTCCAACTAGAATATACGATTAATTGACCTACAAGAACTTCGCATGTACCTTGTAACCTTCAGGTGAGAACTGAGCGAAAAAAACACATCAGCACATAAAAAAAGAGAGAGAAGACAAACTGTTGAAATATCTTCGTTTTCTTTTTGTTGTTCACTTAATCTGGATTAATAATGATTTTCGGGTTCGGGAATGTTGATTTGGTAAAAATTGATTTTTCAATTGTGATGAATTATGCTTATGTTTTTATTTTTCCATCTCGAGTGTTTTAATCTTATCATCGCTTATGTTGTTGTTGTTGTTGTTGTTGTTGGTTTCAAAATGGAAGAGAATCTTTGTTGTTATCCTCATCCCATCACTGAGATCGGTTTCTTTCCGCCAACTTGTCCGTCTTTCTCTTTTTCCAATTGTTTTCCTAAATATTCCCAATTGTGAACGACCAGTTTTTGGACACAAAGTAGAGCTTCGTACTTGACATTTGGATCAGCGTCGTCCATCAATTGCATGATCAGATATTTACCGTTGAGGTTTTCAATTACTGTTTTACCTCGAGGATAATAACGAATGTATTCACCGATATCATGAATGGCCACACTTAAGACGAGAGGATCTTTTGAAGTTTCCAAAATTTTGATCAATATTTTAAGAAGTTCATAGTTTTTCTCATTCAACCGGTGGGCATTCTCACGCCAGAATTTTTCATTTGAATGAACTGGTGACCATTCCAATCGACCTGATTTAATCTCGTTACAATATTCATCGAAAGAGGATAAATCATGAACATATGATTGTAATTTCTCATAAAGAAATTCAATATCTTCCAATAAATCAGGATCTTCGTATTTATTACCAGCCTGTTTAAGAATATCCAATTGTTTTAAAACTTTTCCCTGAACCATAGTAATCGCATTGTCTCGAGATACTTCAGGATCTTCAGGTTTCTCAATAAGATTACGGAAAGAGGCTAAAATGATTCGGGTCACCTTCTCCTTGACCGATTCATTGAGAATGTCAGCAAGAGCTGGAATCAGATTATGTTTCGACATGACCTCTGAGGTCGACACATTGAATGAAAGCAGCCACAGGCAGAAAGTAAGTTGATATTGTATCTGGAAATTAACTCCATTGGATAAAACGGAAACAATTGTTGGAATTCCTCTGCGGATATGAATATTTTACGATATTCTTCAATTCGAAGCATCATCTGAAGACATCGAGCAATTGATCCGAGATACTCATTGTTTGGAACCTTTAATTGATCCAACAACCAGCAAATATAGAATTGGAGATCAGCTTCTCCCATGAACTCTTTTGACCAACAAGCAATTTTGGTAATTATTCTAGAGGCCATGTTTTGGATAAGACCATCAGTTTTGTTCAATTGATGTTCCATGTGACTCCAGATTGTTCTTCCCTTCTTGGCACCACCTGTGTAAAAAAAGAAAATAATTACAGATAAAAGAAAACATAAAGGTAAATCAGATCATCATCTCTCTTTCTCTTCCTTCAAGGAAAGGAATGAAAAAGAAACGATCTTTCGCCTCATCAATCATCTTACCTTTTTTTCTACAATATTCCTTGAATATTTCCACTCTCGACTTATCTTCATTCAACATGTCATCAATTAGAATAAGAATATATTGGGTGGCCTGGTTTTTTGATAATTTCTAGAAGACTAAGAAAAACTTCAGCACAAAGCAATGAATCTTTCTTGAAAAATTCATCTCTGGCTTCGGGTGTTTCCAGGCTTTCATACTTAACAATCCAGTCGAATTCTTGTTGGGAAATAAATTCACCAGATCGATAGAAATGCCAATTAACTCGAGCATTACGCACCTCAGCAGCTTTATATTGAATTACAGAGGTTGCTGATATTACGCCTCCCTTTTCAATGTCGTCAGGTAAATGCTGAAGAACCGAGTCAAGCTTCAAAGAGCTAATATCAGATGACATTTTGATGACAAGAGAAAAATACAAAAATAAATGAAACAAAAAAACCAATCAAATTAAGGTAAAAGGATACTAGTTGAATACTTAATCACAATTCTAAAGAGATAAAATCAAATTTAAAGAACAACAATTAATTCCCAAAGATAATTAAATGAGAAACAATCAACAATTGAATCAAGGACAAAATAAAGACAAAAATGTTTTGATCAATAGATGAACATTTAGTCAACAGGTGGAACTACTTGCAACGAAAAAAAGAAAACGCGAAATTTTTGAAAATGACAATCAAAACAATCTTTAATTGTGATAGTGTAAATCGCTTTGATTAACATAATTAATTATACAAAAAAAACGAAAATTCATCTAATTTAGTTTTTCCAATATGAAAGACATCGAATTGATTGTTGACAATTAACCAGCATGTTTAATCATCTTAATGGAAATAGTTATTGAGATCAATGAAGAAAGGTTTAAGCTTGGAAAGAATTATCCTAATTGCCAGTTTGCCATCCAATTGCTCTTGCAGACTTTTTTCTTGCCCTTTCAGATCTCCTTTGAGAAACCTGAGGTTGGCCTGGAGGCGAAAGTCCACTTGTTGATGCACCAACCTGAAGAATGAAAAATGAAAAATAAAAGATAAGAATTAAATTTGTGATGAAAGTCATTTCTTGGTTTCTTCATTGCTTTCTGACAACCACCAATAATCTGCAGATCATTCACAGTTCCAACTAGAATATACGATTAATTGATCTACAAGAACTTCGCATGTACCTTGTAACCTTCAGGTGAGAACTGAGCGAAAAAAACACATCAGCACATAAAAAAAGAGAGAAAACAAACTGTTGAAATATCTTCGTTTTCTTTTTGTTGTTCACTTAATCTGGATTAATAATGATTTTCGGGTTCGGGAATGTTGATTTGGTAAAAATTGATTTTTCAATTGTGATGAATTATGCTTATGTTTTTATTTTTCCATCTCGAGTGTTTTAATCTTATCATCGCTTATGTTGTTGTTGTTGTTGTTGGTTTCAAAATGGAAGAGAATCTTTGTTGTTATCCTCATCCCATCACTGAGATCGGTTTCTTTCCGCCAACTTGTCCGTCTTTCTCTTTTTCCAATTGTTTTCCTAAATATTCCCAATTGTGAACGACCAGTTTTTGGACACAAAGTAGAGCTTCGTACTTGACATTGGGATCAGCGTCGTCCATCAATTGCATGATCAGATATTTACCGTTGAGGTTTTCAATTACTGTTTTACCTCGAGGATAATAACGAATGTATTCACCGATATCATGAATGGCCACACTTAAGACGAGAGGATCTTTTGAAGTTTCCAAAATTTGATTTGGTGACCATTCCAGTCGACCTGATTTAATCTCGTTACAATATTCATCGAAAGAGGATAAATCATGAACATATGATTGTAATTTCTCATAAAGAAATTCAATATCTTCCAATAAATCAGGATCTTCGTATTTATTACCAGCCTGTTTAAGAATATCCAATTGTTTTAAAACTTTTCCCTGAACCATAGTAATCGCATTGTCTCGAGATACTTCAGGATCTTCAGGTTTCTCAATAAGATTACGGAAAGAGGCTAAAATGATTCGGGTCACCTTCTCCTTGACCGATTCATTGAGAATGTCAGCAAGAGCGGGAATCAGATTATGTTTCGACATGACCTCTGAGGTCGACACATTGAATGAAAGCAGCCACAGGCAGAAAGTTAGTTGATATAAGAGAAATAATAATCTTACCTGGACATTTTTATCCACGGATTCTACGTTTTTTGTTGAGTATTCAGCGAAAACTTTACCCTTTTTTTTGTAGAAAACGTGTTCACCTCCATTATACTGTTTTTTTATATTACTACTAGAACTATAAAATAGCGAAATATTTATACAAAATGGTTTTTCATTACGTTGATTAATTTGCTTACTAATGAAATATAGAGCAGATACACACAACATAAAAAACACAAAAACAATTGAATCAAAATATTCCATTTTGATAAATATAATTACTCATTAAATGAGAAACAATCAACAATTGATTCAAAGACAAAATAAAGACAGAAAATGTTTTGATCAATAGATGAACATTTAGTCAACAGGTGGAACTACTTGCAACGAAAAAAGAAAACGCGGAATTTTTGAAAATGATAATCGAAGACAACTTGATATTGTTGAAAATGTCTCTATTTACAATGAGCAGATGATAATAATGATCCAAATTAAAATTGACATGGGAAAAAGGCAAAGTTGTCAAGTTAAATAATCTAATCAAGTTGATTAACATACAACACTTTTTGATTATAATGGCAATTAGACAGCTGAATTTACTGTTAATTTTATACGTTGTTAGGTTACAACATTTACGTTACCATCATCAACTTCATGTTTAACTAATTATGATTACGATTCAATTATAATCAACTAATTTTTTTGACGAAAAAAGTTAATATCTTAATTTTTCTACTTACAGTTCTGTAATTTAATTATTCTAATCATTTGGTTGGACCTCAGATAAACTTCAATCTAAAAGTAAACAGAAATCAAAATGTTAAAGGTAAGATTAAATTGCCAACAATTAACAGATTATCTCAACTAATATGACTTGTATTTGAATTTTAGAAATCAATCATTTTCAAAATTAAGGAATGAATCAAGACAAGGAATCAATTAAATCGACAATAAAATCCAATGAAATGCAATCATCACAATCAACTAATCACAATGGAAACAATTTCTCTACAACTTTTCAATCATTTGACAATATTTCTGATTTGGACAATTTAAATGTTCCCAAATTGCGATGGGTCATAATTATGTTATCTCATTTGGCACTACTTTCGGTGACCGTTGTCGCGTCCAGTTTAAGCTTGACCATTGTCGCCATGAATCGGAACGAGATGATAACCCTTGAGGAGATAAACGAGTGTTTGATAATTTGTAACGGTACTTTTGTGACAATAGTTCCCCCCGAAGTAATTGACAATGGACTTTATGTGACCTGGAGTGAAACGGAAAAAGATTACATGCTTCAAGCGCTTTTCTGGGGAGCGTCCATTTTTTCCCCGGTGGGTGGACGAATAGGTGAAATTCTCGGCCCTCGGTGGACAGTTTCAACTTGCCTGATGTTAATTGCTCTTCTTAATTTACTTTATCCAATGGCTGCATTAACTAATTACTGGATTGCTTATGGTGTCCGAGTTGTTCAGGGAATGGGTCAAGGTATTATTATCCCTTCACTGGTGATAATTATCACCCGATGGTCAACTGACCACGAGAAAACACTCAGCAATTCACTTGTCCAAGGAGGTATTGCCATGGGCAATATGATTGTCCATCCCTTTGTTGGTCTACTAATTTCAAGTCAATCAACTAATCATTGGCCAAGTGTTTTCTACTATATCAGTTTATTCAATTTGTTTATCTTCACTCTATGGTGTTTAATTGTCTTTGATTATCCGGAGACTCATCCTTACCTTAGTCAACAAGAGTTGCAATTAATTATTTCCAATCGATCACTCAAATCAGGAGTAATGGTAAATTCAATTGAATCTTAAAACTGAAAGCAGATTAATGATCATTTACAATTAACAGAAATCAATTCCATGGGGTCGCATGTTGACCTCACCGCCCGTTTTGGCCTATCTTGTGGTCGCGTTCACCTATGGGTGGATAATTAACTTGATTTCAACGCAAATCCCTTCGTTTTATAAACAAGTGTTGAATTTAAGTTTTGAAGCGGTTTGTGTTTTGTATTTGTAACAATTAAGATTTTAACTAAATTGATTTTAATTGTCTTTTTCATCAGAATGGTTTGGTCAATGCATTACCTTGGATAATATCATTTATCATCTCGCTGACCGCAAGTTACATCACTGATTATATTAATCAAAATAGTTCGATATCATTAACTAGATTGAGAAAAATTTCAGCAGCTTTGGGTAAGATGATTAACTTAATTGTTGTAATTGTTGTAATGATTGTCTTTTTTTCTCGATCAACAGGATTAGGATTTGGATCAATTGGACTTGTTTCCATTACTTTAGGCGATTGGAGTGATCTAGTCATCGTTATATTGGTGACACTCTCGAAAGGTTTGGCTACTCTTACTGTCGCTGGACCAGGAACATCTCAACTGGACATTAGTCCAAGTTATGCCGGAACTTTGGCTGGACTTGCTAATTTGTGTTACAATTTATCGGCTTTGGCGATGAATCAGTCAATTGTTACAATTATCGGTGATTATCCTGATAGATTTAAATGGTTTCACTTTTTCCATGTTACTTGTGGACTTAATTTAATTGGATTAACCTTATTCTGTCTCATGGGATCTGCTAAAGTTCAACCATGGGATCCATCGTATGACCAAAGTCCAGTTAATTTCAGAACACCATTAAATACTCAATTTATTATCAACAACAATCAAGCCAACACCTTTAATCAAATCAATTAACAAAATGATAGTTGATATCATTTGACATTTCCAACTGTGATTTAAAATCTATCGCAAGTCAATTGATGAAACAAATTAAATGTCAACATTTTCCATCGGATAATATTTTCTGTTTGGATTAACTTGGATTAATTTCGTTTCTTTTTCATCATTAAAATTGATTTTGTTTCATTCATTTGAAAGGCAATTGATGGAAGAAGCTTAAAATCACAATTAAATGATAAAAAGATCACAATTAACACAATGGATCATCGCTTTTATAATTGTTAAAAGATTAGTTTATTTAATAGAAGATTTTTTGGATGAATTTTTTTCCATCAATAGATGACAATTTCTCTGTCGCAAAATTATCATTTCTTGTTTATCTCTTACCAATTGTGTTCATTCAATGTTCAGCTTTTGTGCTCTTATTTCAGACACCCGTTATTATGATTACCAACTTGCGAATTGATAAAAAATAGTAATCTATGATCTAGACATCGATTCAATGATTTGAAGTTATTTGTCTCATCGTTTTCTGTGAAAGTTAAGGAAAAAAATAGAGTGAAAGTGATAAATGAATGGGAAATTTAACAAGAATAAGACAAGGTGGTTGACTCACTTGTTTTTCTAGGAGCTAATTCAAGTTTCTTCAGCTCTTGATGTTCCTGGGAAGAATATGCTGAATATTGTACTCATAATAATCGAATTAGAACTTAAACTTTCATCTTCATCTTCATCTTCATCATCCATTATCATTCATCTTCATCATTTGAAACAATCACAATGATAAAAAGACTATAATTAACACAATGGATCATCGCTTTCATCGATAACCATTTAGTTGGTTAAGTTTTACTAATACAACTTGATTCGGCGATTGGTTCGAATCAAGTATATTCCGTGACATAAATAAGACAATTTATCGATCATAAGATGTAAATTACTATTGAATTAATGATCATAGAAACTTTGTTGAATCTTTTAATTCTCAATTCTCAACTTAGAGACACAGAAATCGTAGATTAACGGATTTAAAGATTACTTTATGTTGATTATCTGGTAGAGAAGAGAGTTAATAAAATGAGAACTCTCATCATTTGATTGATCTTATTTAATGTGAACAATTTGATTGAAATTATACTGAAAAGGTTCATACTAAGAATAAGTGAAAATGACCGGATCCCGTTTAAGTTTACCTCGAAATAGTGTCGCCTCCATTAAATCAACAATCAAAAATGTCGCTCGATTCCGTTGGTTGATTTTCGCCGTTGGAAATTTGGCCAATTTTGCTAATTCTGTGATAGGAATTAGTTTAAGTTTAACTATTGTAGCCATGATTAAACACAAGGTCGAAGGTGGCCAAGGTCATTCAGGACTGGAAAATATAACAACACTGACCAACGAAAATAGTTCAGATGTAAGTATGAAGCCAATACCGACCTTATATTCAAGCTTATGGTTCACACCTTCACCCGACGATGATAATTTTTATGTCAACTGGTCAAACACGGATAAAGCTCGGATGCTTCAAGCCTCGTTTTGGGGAGTTCTGGTCATTTCACCTTTTGGTGGTCGACTTTGTGAACTTTTTGGTCCTCGAAGGATCTTGACAATTGCACTAATGTTCACTGGTATAAGTAACCTTTTCTTTCCCGTGGTGGCAAGAAAATCATATTACGCCGCTTACCTTTTACGAATATTCCAAGGAATGGTCAACAGTGTTAATGGTCCATCGACTAATGTTGTCGTTACTCGTTGGTCAACATCAGGTGAACGAACACTTTCCAATGCAGTGGTTAATTCGGGCGGAGCGTTGGGCTGTCTGGTTGGTCTTCCATTGGCTGGTCTTCTGGTATCTGGAACTTTTCTCGGCGGTTGGCCTTCGGTCTTTTATATTTTGGGTTCTCTCAATATAATTGTCTCCATTATCTGGTACTTTATTATGTACGACACACCTGAAGAACATCCTTACCTTAGTCCAGAAGAACTGGAGGAGATTCTATCCAAACGATCACTTAAATCGGGCGAAGTGGTGAGTGTTTAAATCTATCGGGAGATATTCAACTTTTCTCTAATCTGTGGTTCTTAAAAATCGAAAATCATTTAAGGTCCAAGTTCCATGGCGTAAAATGTTCACGTCTCTTCCTGTCTACGGCTATTTGGTTCCAACATTCACCTACGGTTGGATTGTGGCTGTTGTCGCTTCTCAGATTCCATCATTTTATGAAGAGGTTTTGGGATTTTCTCATGAAGCGGTAAGTCAATCAGTCGAATTGTTCAAATTATCTCAAGAAAGAGAAGTTCAAAAAAAAGTTTGCGAATCATTAAACTTCACTGTTGTTTTACTGGAGTATTTATAACATTATTAATACGTCATTTGTGTGCATTTGTTATTTAGTAACGATTAGTTAATTCGGATTGATTAACGTACTTAAGAAAATTTTCATTTTAATTCCTCACGATCATTAGAATGGTTTTATGGCGAGTCTTCCGTGGTTGATGTCGATGGGAAGTTCACTTATTGCAAGTTCCATTGTCGATAAGGTTCGTGCTACCAAGCGATTCTCTTTGACAATAATTCGTAAAGTAGTTACGCTCCTCTGTAAGTCACAATTCAGATAATTAGCATAACTTGAGAACAATAATTATCGATGATTATCTTTTCGTTTTGTAAAAGCTCTTGGTTGTGTCTCAGTTGGTTTAATTGCAATCACAATATTGGGTAACCACCGAATAGCTGTTGTATTGACTCTCGGTCTTTCCAAGGGAATGGCGACTGCAAATGTCGCTGGTTCGGGTTCTACTCATCTCGATACTGCACCGACATTTTCCGGAACTTTAGCTGGATTCTCTTCCATGGTCTCAAGTATCGCATCGTTGGCTGCTAACGAAGGTGTAGCTCGAATTGTTGGAAACGAACCCACGGCGGCCAATTGGTATCGATTCTTTTACATTTCAGCAGCGATAAACGCTTTCGGTATCATCTTTTCTTTCTTTTTGGTTCGGGAGAAACTCAAGATTGGGATCCATCATCAGCTCGAAGACAAAGTGTCAAATCGGTGATTAGTGATAAACATAAATCCAGTATTAGATCAGAAATTGGCTCTCAATTTCATCAACAACAATCAACTATCTCTGATACGATCGAGCCACAATTAACCAACCATCCGAACATCACCAATGAACCGAATAACAATCAAGAATGATTGTTATTATTGTTAAGATATTCTAATCATTGTGAATCAATTAATCAATCAATTGGTTTATTTGTACATCTTCTCTTGGAAATAAAGTTGCAAATTAAAATTAACTTGATTGTAATTAATGAGCATCAAATTTTTCGTCACCTTGAATTGCTGATAATTGGGAAAAAAATATTATCGTTAGTTTATTAAAACATCAGTTTCATTAAGAAAATACCTTGACACTAATTGGTTTTGGTTGTGGTAAATATTAATTAGATTAAATCTTGATTAAGGAATTGTAATTAAGCCGAGATTAATTCAGATCGATTCATTTCTGCACATCTTGTTATTGTATTAATCTTAATTTTCAAGGTTATTTATAATCAATTGTCAACTTATCTATACATAGAGTTGGAACTATTGCAATAATTAACTCCGAGTGAGTTACTTTTAACCCTTTGATCCTTTGAAAAAAGTGATCAAATTTAGATTGACGAATGATTGTTAATTTGATTGTCGGTGAGAGAAATGAAAAGGTTTGATTCTTAATTGGTTAAGTCGATGACATGAACTGAATAAAAAGCTTGAAATCAACGTCTTAATTGTTTCATCGACCTTTTAATTGTGATTTTTATTCCTCATTCACTTCAATGAATTCAAGATAATCATGTCAACTAATTTCCCTTTTTCATCTAACCATTGAAAACAACAACAATAATTCAACCCAAAGGATTATCCTTTTGATTGTTTTCATCATTGATTAGCTGATTAGCAATTCAATTATATCAGATTGTGAACAATAACAGTAACAATTTACTCTTTCACTTTGAATTAGAAAGAAAATCAAATTTTCAAAACGAAAAGGGATAAAAGAATAAGCGAAAACATGTAAACTTTACATACAGAATAGAGAATCCAGAACGACCAAGACACTTCATGGAAAGAAAACTCATAACAAGATAAGGGAATTTCCAAATTCTATATAACATTCAACATGGAATTAAATCAATTGACATTTCATACGAATGAGTAAAAGAAACAGTTGATTGCTTAAGTCTCCATTCGACTCTGAATTACTCACCATGAATATATGGAATCCCTCCCATTGAATTCCGCCTCTTTGTTGACACTGAAAGAGATTCAAATAGGTAACTCGTTGAACTCGTCAAACCAGGTAAGTACTTAGATCACAGAAAGAAAGTAAGTGAGAGAGACAAAAGTTTCCAAAGATAATCAAAAATTAATTAACACAATGAAAGAATAAGAAAAACAAGATGGCGACCGAACGATAGAGAAAAGGAAAGAAGATCCAATCTTAACCTTGGTGGTTCCACCACAGAGAGAGACCAAAGAATCACAATTACCAAATATAAAGTGTTTTTCTCTCTCTTCACCCTGAAGATGAAGATGCTAAGTGTCCAGAAAGAGAAGAGAAGAGAAGAGAAAAAAATGAAAGATATAAAAGTCTCAATGACGTCAAGTGTAAAATCGTCAATGTTTTGGCTCCGATTTTTTACCTTCTCTTCTTTTCTCTTTCTTTTCTCTTTCTTTTGAAGGAGTTAACACTTTTTCTTCTTCTTCTCCTGCTATTTAACTTTTCTCCTTTAAATTGTTACTCTCACTTCGTACTTTTCATTTGTTTCTCGCACAATTAATCAACTACAATCAACAAGTTGTTCCTCCGATTATTGCAAACAATCAATTCTAGTCCCACACGATGAAATATCTGTTTGTCTTGGCGGTTTTGGCAGTTCTATGTGAGTATTTCTCTTTAATTTTCCTCTCGCTCCTTGTTGATTATTTATCATTTAAATCAATCTAATTGCAGATTAGATTGTAAATCTCTCAATTAAGATAATTGAGACTGTGTTAATTTTCATTATTGGTCAACCATTTTGTTCATTTTCTATTTTGTTCTATTCTCTTTTTGAGAAAACATTTGATCTCTTTTCCTTTCTTTTTCCATAAACTTGACCAGTTTCTTTCTTTTAATTGTATCATCGTTTTTTAATCCAGTTCTTCTTGACAACAATTCTAATCAGGTTATGGTCAACATTCAATGTCAGAGTTTTTGATTTAGTTATTAATCCAATTAGATTTGATAAGATTGAAGAAACCCTTGTGCTAATCAGTAATGTTGTTTACTTGCAATTTGATTTGATTAATTTTTGCTCTTAACCTTTTTGATTGTTGTTATTGCTTATTAATTAATATTAATGATAATCTAATTATTGTTTTCACATTTCAGGTATCGGTGAAATTCAGAGTCAACAATGTCACCTTCGAGAACTTGATCTTTGTGCTGCAACTTTATTGGTTTTTACCAATAATCCTTCAGGTAAGAAAATGTTTCTTCACAATTAGTCTTGAATTCATTCACTTGGAACAATTGATTACAATCACCTAACTGATTAACTATTAACCCTTTTCGTTATAACAATTAACATGACAATCATCATTAAATGATCAATTTTTCTTATTACATTTCTCCCGATTAGTTAAATGTGTTAACTCTTATTATTTTAAGAAATCAACAGGTGATTAGAGTCACTCGTTGTTTTCTTGATCGTTAATTGTCAATAAGCAATTAATTCAATAGTATTAATCAAAACCGGTCCTTAATGTAAGAGAAAGTTTAATTTAACCATTTTCTGTCTTAATTGTCAACACTCAATGTTTTCTTGTATTCTTTGAAAATAACAATCAAAAACTTTCAAGGCTCTTGATAAAATCACGTCTATTTAATGGATAGTTTATTAATTGCGATGAAATTCACAATCATCAGACGAAGAAATTAAGGTGACAATTAAATCATGATCATTATCATTACTATTTTTCACTTATTCAATTTAATGAGATTTCTAGTCCATTATTATGAATCTAAATTCACAGTTAACGACAATTAAGATTTCAGCTTATACTTTTAATTTACAAAGATAATCAAAGTTAATTGTGGACGACGAAAAAAATTTAGTTTTAATTTACCTTGAAAATAGATTGTTTTATTATTATTTACTTTTCCCTTTTCCACAATTAGCCAACAATCAATTTAATCAACACTCTGAGATCTATCATTATCTAATTTCAATAGTTTCTAGTCAATCCTATCCTTTCAATCAATTGCTATTAATCATTGTTTTCGGCTAATAGTTAGTGTTAATAATAATACATTGATTGATTAATCATGTTGTTTGAGGAAAAAAAATCTCTTAATTAAATTTTTCAACATTAAACAATTTAATTCCAAGGGTAAATTTTCTTAGGACATTTTTTTTACCCTTTCGGCGATATTCAAATATCTTAATCATCACAAACAATCAAGCTCATCATAATGGTTGATAGTACAATCAAATTCTCTAGTACTATTAACTAACCATAATTATAACAATAAAAAAACTAACAAAAAAATCTGTCATTAGTTTGATGATTAACAACAAGGTCGACGTAAGCGATTGACTCAATTTGGTGTCAATGCTCATGTTAATGGTTTTCCTTTTCTTGGAATTAATTTTGATTGTGATTTGATTTAAGACACTTTCAAACATAATCAAGTTGATGATGTGTTCAGAATGAATCTATTAATACCCGAAGAAAGAGGAAATTAACTAAATAATTAGTTAAATTGCTTATTTTTTATTCTTATTACGTTATCGCAATGAAGCTTGAATTATCAATGACTTCACTCCTGTTGCTTTAATGACCATTTAATTATAATACTGAATGAATACTTATTTAAATTGATGTTACTAATTAGTGATTATTGCGACTGATTTGTTTCTTATAATTCTGTAAATTTAGAAAACACTGGAACTGATGATGAGATCGAACGACAATGTGGATTCATTCGAGAAGCTGAAGAGTGTCACAAGAACTTTACTTCTAAATGCGCCACTGAATCGCAAAAGGAATTAGTTGATTTCCTTGGAACTGGTGGTAAAAAAGTGGCCGATGAATTTTGTACCGCTGGAACTAAATTACGAGAGGATTACAAGAAACACGCCAAGTGTATGTCCGAATCTCGAAAAGATTCCAAGAAATGTACAAAAGACTTGAAAGCAGCTCTTGAGATTATCTCAGACGCTCAATGGGATAAACGTATTTCTACCTCGTGTTGTGCCTTCAATCGATTCGACGATTGTTTAACTGCAAATTTGAAAGCGAAATGTGGAGACGAAGCCGTTGAAATCAGCCGTAAATTGGTTCGATTAGCGGCCTCCCGATTACCTGAGATCGTCTGTCAATCCTACAAGAAAGAAAAATGTGAAGGACTTTTACCTCCCTCTGGAACTGCACCGACCGGAACCAAATCGAACAGTCTTTTATCTCGAGTATTCTCAACGTACGTTGGTAACTCTGATTAAAAAAGTTCGTTGAAACACAAATCGAAACAATTGTCGATCAAGATCGAAATCGATAGTCTTAAAAATGGATATGAATCGATGCCAACGACTGAAAACTTTTCCCTTTTAATCAAAAACTTTTTTTGAAACATTTTAATATCTTTTTCATTGAAAATTTATTTTATCTTACAATCAACTAATTGTATGATCACAAAAATAACATCACAAAAACTACGAGGCAACAACATCAAGTCATCATTTGTAATCAGTTCCTGAGAAAATCACTTTCTCTTAATTCACTTACGGCTTTAAATTTAATCCTCTAAATATTAATTGTGAAACTTATACCTTAATAAACTTTTTTTGTATTCTCATGAAAATCAAACAAATGATTGAATCAAAATTATTTTCACCCAAGAAAACGAGTGGCCAAGATGAGTTCAATCAAACAGAAACAATTAACCAACTTCAAGGTTTCCCCTTTATAATTATCGTAACGATTTAATAGAAATACAAATAACAAGGTGATTTTGATCATTTCTTATATTTCTAATGTCCTAGAGAGCGACTTGAGAGATTATCTTCCGGTGCTGAAGTTTCCTCTGCAGATTTCGATCAAGCAGCACTGGAAACTGCCCAAGAATTTGAAGACAAATTTAACGAAGAGCTGAAGAAACTTGAATTAGCTCCTAGAAAAACAAGTGAGTCAACCACCTTGTCTAATTCTTGTTCAATTAATTTCCACCTTTGGTAATTTGTAGCAAATTTTGCATCCAATGGCTCTTTGGGATTTTTTTTGCCCTTTAGACCATCTTGAGAAACCAGTTGACCTGGAGGCGAAAGTCCACTTGTTGAAGTATCAACCTGAAGAATGAAAATAAAAGATTCAAGTTAAATTATGAAAATAGTCGAAATCTGTTAAGTGATCATGAGGTTAAGATGCAGCACATAAAAAAGAGAGAAGATAAACAAGAAAACAAATAACAGAAAATGATGTAGTAATCTCTCTCTCTCTCTCTCTCTCTCTCATTACTGTACGAGGAAAATAAAGAACAGAGGGAGAAACCAAAACGAAATAGAATATGAAAATTCTTGAATTATTTACAGTTCCAGCTAGAATATCGATTAATTGATTTACAAGAGCTTCGCATGTACCTTGTAACCTTCAGGTGAGAACTGAGCGAAAAAAAACACATCAGCACTTAAAAATCGATCTGATCAATTTTTTAGATCAGAACAACTCTAATCAGAGATAAGTGAGTATACTGATCCATTTGGCTCACAACAAGGTGGTTTTTATCATTTCTTATATTTCTAATGTTCTAGAGAACGACTTGAGAGATTATCTTCTGGTGCTGAAGTTTCCTCTGAAGATTTCGATCAAGCAGCACTGGAAACTGCCCAAGAATTTGAAGACAAATTTAACGAAGAGCTGAAGAAACTTGAATTAGCTCCTAGAAAAACAAGTGAGTCAACCACCTTGTCTTATTCTTGTTAAATTTCCCATTCATTTATCACTTTCACTCTATTTTTTCCCCTTAACTTTCACAGAAGACGATGAGACAAGTAACTTTAAATCATTGAATCGATGTCTAGATCATAGATTACTATTTTTTATCAATTCGCAAGTTGGTAATCATGATAAATGGACATTGCCTTTTGTCAAAATTGATAAACAATCATCTCTGAGAGAAGTAAGTTTTTGTTTCTTCAAATAAACCAATCTTTTAATAACCAATTTTTTCTTTAATTAACCAGGCAATTAGGATGAACTTACCTGGACATATTTATCTTTTGTTTCTTTTGATGATTTGTGGTAAATTTTGCAAATTTTTTGCTTGACCAAATTTTTACAAACGGTACCACCACTGTTGCCGGTAATAAAGTGGCCATTTGAAGTGGAATAACATAAAACATTTACAAAGAAAGGTTTCTCTATACGATGAATGACTTGCTTATTAACTAAATTCAGAGCTGATAAACACACCATGAAAAAAACAAGAACAATAGAATCAAAATATTCCATTTTAATTGACAACAATAACTAAACGTATTAATCAATCAGGTGGAAAATCAACCGCTAATATTAGGTCTAGATACCGAAGCCAAGTGACCCAAAGTGACCCAAAGTTAGCCAGTGAGCCACTTGTACTTTCACTTGGCTCAAGCCAGAAAGTAAATGGCGCGAGTCTTTTAAAGTGAATTAAACAATAATTAGCTCGAGCTTTTTTTTCTTACAATCAATCAATTAATTAAATCAAAATTATTTTCACCCATGAAAACGAGAGGAAAAGATTAGTTCAATCAAATAGGAAATCTTGTATTTTATTGAGAGGAAGCAAAAAAATATAACGGAAGTCTTGAGATTCATTGTTTATGTTTCCGTTTTTATTTGTTTCGAGATCGATGCAAAGTGGTTGAAACCTGGAAAGAATAATCTTAATGGCCAGTTCTCCATCCGATGGCTCTTTGGGATTTTTTCTTTGCCCTTTTAGACCTTCTTTGAGAAACCAGTTGACCTGGAGGCGAAAGTCCACTTGTTGAAGTATCAACCTGAAGAATGAAAAATAAAAGATTCAAGTTAAATTATGAAAATAGTCGAAATCTGTTAAGTGATCATGAGGTTAAGATGCAGCACATAAAAAAGAGAGAAGATAAACAAGTAATATCGATAAACATATCGTGAATGGCCACACTTAAGACGAGAGGATCTTTTGAAGTTTCCAAAATTTTGATCAATATTTTAAGAAGTTCATAGTTTTTCTCATTCAACCGGTGGGCATTTTCACGCCAGAATTTTTCATTTGAATGAACTGGCGACCATTCCAGTCGACCTGATTTAATCTCGTTACAATATTCATCGAAAGAGGATAAATCATGAACATATGATTGTAATTTCTCATAGAGAAATTCAATATCTTCCAATAAATCAGGATCTTCGTATTTATTACCAGCCTGTTTAAGAATATCCAATTGTTTTAAAACTTTTCCTTGAACCATAGTAATCGCATTGTCTCGAGATACTTCAGGATCTTCAGGTTTCTCAATAAGATTTCGGAAAGAGGCTAAAATGATTCGGGTCACCTTCTCCTTGACCGATTCATTAAGAATGTCAACAAGAGCTGGAATCAGATTATGTTTTGACATGACCTCTGAGGTCGAGACATTGAATGAAAGCAGCCACAGGCAGAAAGTTAGTTGATATTGTATCTGGAAATTAACTCCATTGGATAAAACGGAAACAATTGTTGGAATTCACTCTGAGAGAAATAATAATCTTACCTGGACATATTTATCCATAGATTCTTTGTTTTTTCTAAATGATTTTTCCTCTTTTTGGTATTCAACGGAAACTTTACCATTTTCTTGATTGAAAACGGTTCTGGTAAAGGTCTGCTTGTGGTGGTCACCATTATACTGTTTTTCAACAATATGAATACTAGAAAAAAGTGAAATATTTAAACAAAATGGTATTTGATTACGTTGCTTATTAACAAAACACAAAGAGGAATACAAAGTGGTCAAACACGACATAAAACAAATTAGAACAATAGCCTCAAGATAGTCCATTTTAATTGACAACAATAATAACTAAACGTATTAATCAAACAGGTGGAAAACCAACCGCTAATGTTAAGTCTGGATACCGAAGCCAAGTGACCCAAAGTGACCTAAAGTTAGTCAGTGAGCCGCTTGTACTTTCACTTGGCTCAAGCCAGAAAGTAAATGGCGCGAGTCTTTTAAAGTGAACCAAACAATAATTAGCTCGAGCTTTTTTTTTCTTACAATCAATTAATTAAATCAAAATTATTTTCACCCATGAAAACGAGGGGAAAAGATTAGTTCAATCAAATAGAAACAATTAATCAACTTCAAGGTTTCCCCTTTATAATTATCGTAACAATTTAATAGAAATACAAATAATATCTTTTAGAAATTGAATATTGAAAAATCAATTGACCATCTTAGTTAATCATCAACAATTAAATTCTCTTGTTATATTAATTGTACTTATACAATTATCATCATCAAGTTAAGGAGTCACAATATTTGTGAGATAATTAGTTTACTTAACAATCATCTTATTGATTGTTTCTTAATCAAGGAAATCAAAGTGATGATAGAATCGTAATCAAGGTGGATTCTCATTGACCTTGGGCTAGTTTTTGATTTCCATTTGTTGAATCCAGAAGGAAGCACAAGTATCTTGACTTTCTAATCAAATGGTTGGTGAAAGGTAAATATTAATCATCTGCATCATCATCAACTAATCATGATTATCCTTCATCATCTTTTTCTGATTGCCAGGAAATCGTTGATTGGATTTAAAGTTAATGTTGGTAAACAAGAAATGATATCAATTTGGATTAAGATATTTGAGTTGACAGGTATTGGGAGGAAGCAGAAAAAAATATATAACGAAAGTCTTAGAGAACCATTGATCGAATCCAAGGCGAAAGAATTAAATATTAACAGAGATGATGACGCTAATCATGATAGAAGAGAAAGAGAAGTAAGAAAAAATCAATTTCGATAGAAAAAATAAAACACGTTCGAAGAATAATATTTAATTTTGGCGAAAAATTCAATGACCAACCTTTAAGATTTCCAACATTTTGGAGGTTAAAATTAGAGAGAAAAAAAAGTTCCAAACTAAAATAGAAACACCGGACTAACATGTTGATTGTTGAAAATTAAATGACATTGATTAACTGATTGCTTGGGAATGATTATAGTTAGAATACCAAATGTGTGACTAAATAGAAGTGATTAAATGTTAAGCTGAAATTATTGATCCAATAAGTTGATTGAATTGGCACTTGAGGTTTTAATCCGTTATTACGATTAGTAGAATGGATAATCGTTGAGGTAATTAAATCAATGTCCACACGTAATTGGAGTAATTAATTTGATTACATAAACAAACCACCAGAAATCTGTAAAGTTATTCCTGTTATGTAAGATGCTCGAGGCGAGGATAGGAAACAAACGGCCTCGGCGATTTCCTCTGGTTTACCGATTCGCTTCAATGGAATTTGTGGAATTATTTTATCCATTACTTTCTGAGGAACCGGTGCCAATATTTGGGTGTTGATGAAACCCGGCATGATACAGTTACAGCGAATGTTGTGTTTGGCCACTTCCTTTGCGATTACTCGAGTAAACGATTCGATTCCATGTTTAGCCGAAGCGTAATTACATTGACCGATGTTACCAATTTTACCGGAAACACTTGACAAATTGATTATCGATCCCTCTTCAACTTTACCAGCAACCATGGCATCAACAGCAGCCTAAATTGTTATTTTAATTAATCATGAAAATGGAGAGAAAGTGAAGATTGATTAAAGTAAATCAAGTACAGTTTCACTTGATATCATTTCATCAACAACTAAGATTAATGATCTTGAGATCAACAGAGATTTTGTTTCCATTGAATAAATGGCGATTTCTTTTAGAAACCGAGCTACAATTGAGATAACAATTAAAGTTAGATTGCTAATGATCTCTAATTTGTAGAAATTGAGTTATTCGGACAGAAAACAATCAATGAATTAAAGTGATTTCACCTGAGTGGTTAGAAAAGTTCCTTTTAGATTAACATTTATTACGCTGTCAAAATCTTCCTCGGACATTTCCAATAGGAATGAATCACGAATTATACCAGCACAGTTAATCAATATACTCGGTGGAGTTGAATAATTTTCCTTGATAAAGGAAAACAATTTAGTAACTGATTCCTTTGAACTAACATCAACTGAACGTGAGGCATGATTACCGGGGAAAGATTCACAATGTTTCCGTGTCTCGGCGGCCTGATCCTCATTAATATCGACCGAAACGACCGACGATCCCTTTTCAGCCAACATTAAACTAACAGCTCGACCGATACCTGAGAAATTCAATCAAAACAATCAATAAGAATCAAAACCAATCAAACAAGACAAAGAAAAACAATTAACCTCCACCAGCACCAGTGACCAGAGCAACTCGGCCAGCAAAGTTTTCCGAGAGACATCGTTTGATTACAGTTGATCCCAACATGATTAACAGAACAACAATCGCAATTAACCAGAAATCACAGAATAAAAAACAACAACTTGACGTTAGAAACGTTTAATTGTTGGTTAACGTTGATCTTTTTCTCTATTTTCATTTGCTGTTTCCCTTTGGGCGGTTAATTAGAAAAAGAATCAAGAGAAAAACAAATTCTTCTCATTAACGATCATCAATTAATCTCCATCTCTAAACAATTAAAAGTGAGAAGCAAATGATCAAGTAAAAGAATTATTTAATTCTAATTGTTGATTGTCTCTAATTCTTTTTGTATCTTGTTATTAAATCATTTCCGTGAATATTTTTATTGATCAATATTTTTCTCTTTTTTATTTTAATTTAATTTAATTTTCTACACACTCTTGCAATCGACATCAATTTAATTGATTGAAATCACCACAGATTCAAATGACAGAATCAACAATCATTCCATTGTTGATCCTGATTGTTTGTGTTTCCGTTGTTTCATTTGTTTCATAATATTAGTTTTCGGCATGTGGTTGTTGGTGGTGATTTCAAACGATTCGTATGGTTAACAATCAACGATTTACTTGATACCTGGAAGCTGAAGCAACAGGTGAGTTAGTAATCAACCGTGAAACAATTAAAACAAATAACAATTAAAAAAGGTGGTGAAAAAGATGCCGAAATTGAGTGAAAATCTCATTCTTTTTGTAGGCCAAAGCTTAACAGTTGGTTTATCTAATTGGTAATTCTAATTGCTAGAATGAGCGGCCACTTTTGATTCTTCCTTTTTTCTGGTCACCACGGCCAGTGAGGCTTTCACGACATTTTCTGGAACGGTGTCGATAACATGACTTCGTCTAAGTACTTTCCAAAAGGCAGAAGGTATTATTTTACGGGATTCGTTGATTGTTAACCACTTGTAATCATGGAAAAGTGACTTGTTTGATTCCACCATTTGTGGTGTACCGTTAAGGTGGTAAGCTTTTAAAATGAACACTTTAGCTCCAGTGGCACCGAGAGTTTTTCTGTTTTTGGCTCCATATTTGTAAGTATAAACAGCTAGAGGAGCATTTCCAAGAACTCTGAGTGTTAATTGATTTTCTGGGAATAACTGTGAGGTAAGTTCATCGATTGCCTGGTAAAATAAAGAGAAAATTAGTTATTAAAAGATTGGTTTATTTAGAGGAAAAAAAACTTACTTGTCTCAGAGATGATTGTTTATCAATTTTGACAAAAGGTAATGTCCATTTATCATGATTACCAACTTGCGAATTGATAAAAAATAATAATCTATGATCTAGACATCGATTCAATGATTTGAAGTTACTTGTCTCATCGTCTTCTGTGAAAGTTAAGGGAAAAAATAGAGTGAAAGTGATAAATGAATGGGAAATTTAACAAGAATAAGACAAGGTGGTTGACTCACTTGTTTTTCTAGGAGCTAATTCAAGTTTCTTCAGCTCTTCGTTAAATTTGTCTTCAAATTCTTGGGCAGTTTCCAGTGCTGCTTGATCGAAATCTTCAGAGGAAACTTCAGCACCAGAAGATAATCTCTCAAGTCGTTCTCTAGAATATTAGAAATATAAGAAATGATCAAAAACAACCTTGTTTTGAGCCAAATGGATCAGTATACTCACTTATCTCTGATCATCTTAACCTCATGATCACTTAATAGACTTCGACTATTTTCATAATTTAACGTTAAATTGTGCATTGCTTTCTCGATAATATTCATCTCAGGAACGATGATCGGTCTTCTCTCCAAACAGAGAGCAGCAAAAATGTCCCATTTTGATGAAGATGAACAATAACACCGAAGACCAAAAGTATCAACAATGGAACCAGCAAGTAATCTGACTTGCATTTTGAAAACCCCCAAAATTAAAGCTTCCACACAAATAGAAATGATTTAAACTAATCAGAGAGGAAAAAAAGATAAGAAAAACCGAAACATTAAAATAAAAACAAACCAATTGAAAAGAAAACGTTACCCTATGAATCCAATGTGATAATCCGTAGATGGAGTTGTGATCAATACACAACCGCTTCTTTTTAAATTAACATATAAACTCCATGTGAGTGAGAATGAAACAAATGAAAATCCATGAATGAAAAGCTAAAACGTCAAAAGGTTAATTCGTGACACAAGAGAAACAAATAATCGATAAATTGTCAATAAAAAGGTAAAAAAAGATCAGAGAAATAAAATGTTGACCACAAAAAGAGAAAAAATTAATTGTGTAAACATTGGGTTTTCCTTTGTTCGCATGCGCAACCGAACAATTCATTTTCTTTTCCGTTCAGAGAGATGGAGACTGTGTAATTTTCTTCGTGCCTGTTGAATGTTCAGTTCAGTTCTCTCTGTAACCAGATCTAAATTATCTGTGGATTAAGATAAAAGGGTGTTAACAATTAAAGAAGAAAAAGAAATTAACTAATTTGTTTCCTACTAATTGTAATGACTTTTACTCCGTTAAATTGGTTAACTTTCATGGCTTTTCAATTGATCTTCTGTTACCTTTCACCCTTTCCGACCATCTTAAGTCTATCCACCTCACCGAGTGACCTGACAACCTGGGAAACCGTTTTCCAAGATCGTAGTGATGATGATTGGCGAGCCTTGTGGCACACAGAGCGTCACAGAAGATGTTACCAAGAATTGGAAAGTCATATGAGGTGGGTTTGTAACAAGGATATTTATAAAGTGAAAAAATCCGATTCAGAAGCTGAATCCCACAATCGAGTACCCAGAGGATTATGTAAGTAGAAAAAAAGAACATTTTTTGCTCGTTTAATTTTTTTTTCCATTTCATCTTTTTCCTTTTTCCTTTTCCCTTCCACCTAACCAACTTATCTCCATCTTTTTCCCTCATCTTCCTCTCTTCTTTTTTTTCTCATCTCTTTCCTTTTTCTTCCTCTGTAGCCTTAATATATTTTTTGTTCCAAACCTCAAATCAACAGTTAGCTCAGTTAATCAAGTGTTGAAAGAAGAAGATTTAGTGAAAATTTGGCGAAAAAAGAACAAATTTTATTCTCTATTTTATGGCGACTTTTTTTCTTCTCTTCTCCATTAATCTTTTTTTCCCTCTTCTTCTTTACCCTTTTCGTTTTCATTTGTTACTTTTAACACTTTTACCTTTTACTCATAATCGTTTTAATATTTTTTTCTTTTTTTTTTTTACATTTCCATTATTTTAATTGTTCTCCATTTCCTTTTTCCCTCGTATTCCATTGGATGGTTTATTTTTGTCTAAAGTGGAAGATAATCCATTCGATGCTTTCATAAGTAAAGAGAGCGCTTTGAATCTATTAGGCCAAACAGTGAGTTCAGTTAGACGGAAAAGAGGAATAATTGATGAATGTTGCCATGGAGCCAATGGATGTTCCTGGGAAGAATATGCTGAATATTGTACTCATAATAATCGAATTAGAACTTAAACTTTCATCGTCATCTTCATCTTCATCATCCATTATCATTCATCACAATCAACCGGAAATTATATGAGAAAAAAAAAAAAATAATTTAAGGTAATTAAGGTACTTTTAATCATTGTCCTTGACCTAGTGAGCTTGAAAATGGAATGAAACAAAATGATGAAAAAAAAAGATCGCAATCTAATTGTTGTGATGTGAAACACACACACACACACAACAATTTAGCAATAGTTACATTAACAATAACAACATTAAAATAAGTAACTCCCAATTTCGATTGCATGGCTTCATGATTAACTAACCACCAATCTAATCAAATTGATTGAATCGATTTAATTTCATTACAACCACAATCAAAATTCAACATCTATAACCTTCAAAAACTTAAATTATATATCAAAGTTAATAATAATAACACTAAATGATAACCATTTACCCAATCAAATCTGAATATAAACGTAGGTGTCAATTGAATTAAACGAAAATCAATCATTACAATTAATCATTATCGTTATTATTATTATTAACATTGTTATTTACTTATATTAAAATTAGAATCATTTTATTTTTGGATTACACATGATTATCATTTGTAAATTGTTTCCTTTTAATTTATACATGTAATATTAATCTTAAATTGTTTTCTTTTTCTTTTTCTCAACAGAATTGATTAATTAATGAATTACCCTCGCTTTCACCATCACAATTACAATCATTATTATCGCTATCATTACAATTATGATCATTAAGTCCGGAAGCCAATGGAAAAGTTTTTGCACTTGACCTGATTTTTTTGCTGCAATTATTTTAATTTAGTTACTATTAGTTCAAGGATTCAGATCATAAACAACAACCACAACAACGGTGCAACAGTTAACCGTTAACGATATATTAACAGCAACAATTAATCAACAATCAACAATCAAAGATAATTATAATTATCTTGTATCTATCTGTAGATGTGAGTAAGTGAAAGTGAAAACAAATTATTTTATCATTTTTATCACGTACACGAAACAAAAACATAATCATAGGATTTTAAATTTGATTCAATTTTGATTTTAAATTAACGGCTACAATTAACTAACAAACTAATTGTTTTTTTTTCTGTTGATTGTTTCTTTTTCAGATTACAAAACCCAAATCTCAACGAGACAAAACTCATTACGATACAAAATGATAACCCAACGACAGATGAAAATGATGCCAATTAATCAAAATGGATACATAATATCAGGATGATTATTATTAATATTAATTATTTACTGATAATAATGATGACAGAAAGATGATATTATTGTGAAATGTGAAAGTGAAAGTGAATGAGGTAAGAGTGAGTTGTAAAGCATAAAAAACAGGTTAGAACGACAATGAAAAGTGTAAAGTTGACCTAATTTGATTCTCTCTCATTAATATTATCATTATTATTACTAATTCTATTACTACGATTACAATTTAGCTTTAATCTTTTTTGTCATCATTATCATCATGAAAATCTCAAATCGAGCCTTAAAAATAATTATCAAATGTCCAGTTATCTGTGTCAATCAAAGTTTCTAATTAAGCCCTCATATGTTTACCAAAGATAATTAGTCAGTTAAAAACAAACTAAATTGAGCTGATAATTAATTCAACTCAATGTCAACTTTACATTATTTTCATGTATGTTTTAATTACAATGATACTCAAACAATTATTCCAATAATTGTTACATTGTTATCTGATCTAATTAGTTCTCAATTATAAAAACAATAATATATTTAATTTGATTTGATTTGATCAATGGGGTAGCCAAAGTCAAAGAATCAAAGTAATCAATTGTATTCATTATCACGCTAATTGTTCAAATCAAATCAAATCATCATCATTATCATTATTATTATCATAATAACAACAAATCATTTTGTAAAAATTATGAATTCAAAGAGCAAAAAATCAAATTGTGTGATCTTTCAATTAAAGGTGTAAGTTTAATTGTTAGCATCATCATCACCATAATCATAATCATAACCATAACCACCACCATCACCATGATCAACAACACTCAACAAGACTCCTACTTAATCAAAATTTAAATTGTCTTCATGTTAATCAATGTTAATTTGATTTTTCTTTATATAGCTTTTGTTTTAATTTCTGTGACTCTTTTAATTGTCATCACTGTTTGTAAGTGTATTATAATTGTGTGAGTGTGATTATACTTTTGGTATGTGTGGTGGTTATAGTTAATTGTTGTTGTAGGTTGTGTGTTGATTATGTTAATTGATAAATCACAATTTACCAAATGAAATTGTTTTTTGGTTCTCGTAATTCTTATCAATATCAATCTCATTTATGTTTGTTTATATTTACTACAATTAATATTTGTATTATTACTACAATTAACAAATCAATCAATCTCGAAACAAAAAACAATAATATCACCATCTAATCAACCTTTTTGATTATCAATTTGATTGGTGTTAATCATCATCATTATTATCATGATGATGATTTACTAATCATATTTAGTTAATATGACCAACAAGGTAAATCACACTTATTATTAACTGTTAAAATAACAGTTAACACCAACAATTAAGTTTAAATACATAAAAATATTTGTGTATTTATTTTAAATTGTTGTGTTTTTTTGGGCGAAACAGTTTTAATTGTAATTAATTAAACGATTGCATAGTATTTAGTATGTGTATGTGTTTATATGTGTGACAATTAAATGACAATCAAATTTGACTTGTTTGTGACCAGATACATAATAATGTGAACACAAAAATTACCGAAAAAATTTGTTACTAATTAAATCAATCAAACACCAAAATTGTTGCTGTTGTGATTAGTTTCAACTCTCTCTCTCTCTTAATTGTTGTAATCTAATGTAATGTGTGTGTATTAAGTTAGCTGATAATTAGTGATAACTGTTGAAAGTTAATTATCAAGGTTGTATATTAAATAATTTGATTGCAATCATAATATAATTATAATAATCAGCAGCAGAAAAATTTACAGGCAACAATTTAGGTTGATTACACTTGTTACTTGTTAGTGATTAACTAAATGGTCATGACCCACAATTTAAATAATCAAAACTATTCCTTGTTTAAGTAAATCTTTTTTTCTGGTTTTTTTTGGTTATCGTTACCAACTTTTTGTGTTAAATTTAAGGTTGATTAAACAATCGCCTTAAACAAATTGATTTGATCATCATCATGATAATTGATTACAATTAACGTTCTGTTATTAATAAAAATATTAACAATAAGAAATAACAACAATAAGAACGATATTTTTTTTAATGATAATCTTCAACAATTTATGAGATTGATTCAATTTAATTGTTTCTATTAATAAAAATTGTTGATTCATTTCCATTTTTGATTGATTGATTAAATCTCTTCATTTTTCCAATGATAGTTGTTCCAATGTGAAATCAATGTTAATCATCTTTGATTAAATAGCTTGCGGGCTTGTTAATTATTACATTTAGTAAATTGTTACCTAGAAAATGAGATGAAAAAGTTAATCAACTAATTTATATTAGTTAAATGAAATGGTTTACACAATTGATCAGTAATAGTTTTTCAATTAGTTTTGAAAGATGGTTTTTCTTTTGTCAATATATTTATTACATTAATTACTTTTAATTGTTGACTTGTTATTGTTCAGGTTAACAATTAACACGATATAGTTCATGAGATTCAGTTACCTTGAAATTTGTTATTCGAACTTAAAATTTTACGAAATTTTAAATGATCATTAATCATGTAATCTACTTCTCAGGTGAACGATAAGCTACGATCCATTTGGTTGATTCGTCGATTCATGTGTGTTCTCGTGATTATTCAATGAACATTTTGTTTTTCGAGCGTTGAAGTTTAGTACTTTTGTGGAAAAGAAAAAAAAACAAATTCGAAAATGAAAAATATATTTTTGGACTCGATTTTAATTCTAGAAGAATTTTTTTCTCTCTCTTTCTTCGTCTTCTTCAGTGATTCTTGTTATAACTTTCGTTTAATTCAAGGTAACTTGATTTCTTCTCGTTTACCTGTAAACTGGTTTTCCATTCATCATCATTATCATCATCAGCTGTTGTTGTTGTTGTTGTTGTTGTGATGATTGTATAGTAATCTTTTTACATTAGAAGTATGAAATTTCATCATGATATTTGTTTTCGTCTCTTCAATTGTTACTCAGGAATCAGAATCGTTGAGATTTCTTCTCAATGGTTGGTTCATCATCTCCATCATCATGAAATGAATATAATCATAGATTTACAATCATGTGAACATTTGTAGACAATATTCATTAGAGTTCTTAAAATAGATCCATGTTTCGATGGATTTCATTTCTATTGATGATAAACTCGTTGTTAAATTATCGATGATGATGAAGAAAACTCTTAGTTCCTTGTTAAAGAATAGAAGAAAAAAAAGAAGAGAGAGAGAAAAGAGTTACCATGATGATGGAAAACTGGACAAACCCGTTCTAACTAATTCCAACCTCGCCTACAACTTGACAGTTCACTCCTATTACTATTTAATACTCACAACAATCAACATGAAAAAGCCGATGATCAACATGAAGAATGAGAAAGTTGTTCAAGTCTCTGAATTCGTGACTAATTGTTAGTCTGTTTCTTAAGAATTAGAAGAAGAAAAAAAGTTCCAATGGGAGGGAAGAGGGAGGAATAAAGTTCTAACCCATTCAGATGAATCAGATTGTTTTCCTAACGAATCAACGTTTTTACCTTAAACTCGAAGAAAATTTTGTTCTCGATGTCAAGTTTCCCGAAATCGAAACAGACAAAAACAGCAATTATCTTTTTTACTTTTTCCTTTCTTTTTCTCTCTTTCTCTACTTTTCTAGACCAAAACACGCGATTATAAATATCTAATCTCATAATCTTATCAACTATGTGACTTAACCTGCGGAAACAATTAGCAGTTTAACCAACAATTAATAATCAGAAAGAATATAAAAATTAGCGATCGTAAAAATGTATAGTAGAAAAAAATCAACGAAAGTAATGAGACGAGAGAATGAGCAAGAGAGAGAGAGAGAGAGATTAGGTCATCAATCTAATTGATTGGTGTGTGGTGATGACGATGTTGATGGTGGAAATGAAAACCAGGCAGCAATTAGGCTGATTAAATACACGAGAAGATGATTATCAACAATAATCTATATATATATTTGTAAATTCAAAATGAAAGGGGGGATATATAAACCAAAGGAACACAGGATAAAAAAAGAAAACAATATTGATGATAAAGATGGAGAAGAGGGAAAGAGAGAGAGAGAGAAGAGAAAGAGATGATGATGATGATGATAATGATTGTGGTGATAGAGAAGAAGAGGTTTTTGAGAAGCCTTTGGCAACACAATTAAAGAATAGCGAGATTAAACAATTTATAGATTCTGTTAGTTAGTAATTAGTTTTAATCGAAAGGAGATATGGAGAAGAAAAAATTTAACTTAATCAGTCAAGTGAGAGGAGAGAGAGAGAGAGAGAGAGGAAAGGGAGAGAGAAAGAGAGAGAGTGGGTAATAATTAAAATATATAGAGAGAGAGAATAGAGACTTTATATTTATATATATATTCTTGTCTGGTGGTGGTAACCAAAGAGAGATGAAAGTGGGGAAAACATGGAGAGAGAGAGAGAGACAAAGGAGAAAAAAAGAGAAGAGAAAGAGAAAGGCGGTGAAAAAGAATTTTTAAAAATTCTCTTCTTTTTCATCACACCTTAGTATCTCTTTCTTTCTCTCTGAATAATATTATTTTCGTTTAGCATGAAGCATTTCCATTAATAGTGTTTGTGATGGGGCATCGCCATTAAGATGCTTATAATAAAGAAATTCCTCTCCTCGTATTGTTAATTGTCTCAAATTGGGGAGTTGTGCCATTAATTGATGAAATTTGTCCTAAATTAAAACGAAAGAGAAAAGAGAAAATATTTGATTAGAATAAATTGATCAATTAATCATCTTAGGAAGCACTTAATTTAAAATACGTACAGTTATTTGAGGATATATTTCAATACAATATTGATGAAGTGCTTGTTGTGTTTGCTCATGAGCTTCAGCGACCAATTTATAATTTGATAAACCACGAACTTCTGTATGAATAAATAATGAAAATATAGTAACAACAATTAACAACAGAAAACAATTAACAAAAAATGTATGTTAGGTAGAAAGAGACAAGAAAATTCTTTCTTTCTACCTGAATGAAATGAAAAAGAGAGGGTTAGAGAGAGAGAAAGGAAAGAGAAAAAGAGAAAGTAAAACTGAGAGTAGGTCAAGGAGTCGACCTTGGTTGGCTGCCTAGGTCAAGTAGAGAAAGTGAAACGAAAGAAAGGGAAGAGAGAGAGAGAGAGAGAGAGAGAGAGAGATTGGGTGGGTGATTCAGGTTGAAAGAGATAGAAAGGGAAAAGTAAGAAAACTTGATTTCGCATCACAATCTTACTCTCAATCTATTTCAAAGTTTATCTCTATTATTGAGATAAAAAATGGAGATAATAACATTCAGAATTATTATCTTCTATCTCTCTCATTCTCTGTATATACAAAAGTGCTTGAAATTATCAATATAATGTGATGTTAAAAAAGATATACAATAATAAAAGTGAACAAAACAATAAAATTGTATAATATTTACCTGGATTTAAAAGTAACAAAAATTTGACACAAAGATAATCAACTGAATCAAATTTAAGTTGCTGTAATTTGGCTTGACATTGAATCAAATTATCGGATGCTGAGGGAACACCGAGCAAAGCTAAACCCAATAGCTCGAACTTTTGTCCATTGGGAAGTGTTGTATCATCAGGTAGTTCATTGTGCATCCTTTGATGAATATGATCTAATACCAACATATCACTCCATGCATGTTGTAATAATTTCATTTGATCATCAACCTAATTTGGTAATAATAAGAAAACAATTAAGAAATTAGTAAAACAAAAAACCCAACAACTATTATAAACCATCATTGCATAACCATAATATCAACAGCAAATCAACACACCAACAGTACAATGTCAAATTATTAATAAACAAGTAACACCAGAAAACTAAATCAACAAATTACACAACAAATAACGATAAAAAAATTCTAATGATTATAATTTAAAATAATGATCATTATAACAATAACAATTTAAACAATAGCCAAGAAAAGTAACAATTATTATTAACTAACATAAGAAGAGGAAAAAAATAAGGTCAAGTGATAATTGTTTTCTCTCTTACTCTCTCACTCTCTCTCTCTCACTCTCTCACTCTCTCTCTCTCTTTCTCATTCATATTTGATTTAATCTTCTTAATATTTTAATAATATAATTATTAGTTAATCGAGTGATAATTTAAGATATTATATTGATCTTTTTCTTACTTTAATTGTTGTTGATTGAAAGATTCTAATTCTTTAAATCAAATTTAGACAAATCCATTTCTCTTTAAAAAAGATCAAGATTTACTTTTCCTTATTGTGTCTGTTGATTTATGATTAATTTTGAAAACTAATCATCATCAAAAGTCATCATCATCATAATCAAGTATAATAATGAGCACGGAAAATTAAATCATGATAATCAAAGTAATTATAATAATCACAATTAAGGGGGAAAGGCGACAATAAACAATTTTTTTTACTTTCGATTTCATTAATAGCTTTTTTTACTCGATACTTTCGTTTTCAATTGTAAGAACAAAGTTTTCATCATCATCGTCATCGTGCTCATAAGATGACGATGATGATAAATTAATGATAATTGTGATAATCATTATTACAATATAATGATAATGATAATGTGACTTGGATAAAGAAATGATCTTGACCTAAAACTAGATTTCAAGTGAAAGAAAGGGAGAAAAGAGAGAAAAGAGAGAAAGGAGAGAAAGGAGAGAGAGAAAAAAATGAAAGTGAAAGTGAATGAAAGAGAAAAGAAAGAAAAAAAGAAAGGGGAGAGTAGGTCAAGGTATATGGGTCGCTATTTTTGTATTATATTAATAATAATCGTATCAAATTAACTAATGATAATCATGATAGTTACGTTGAAGAGGAAGAAAATGAAGATAAGTTTGATGAGGATGAGGATGAAAAAGTTAATTGTGATTGTGAAAAAGTGTTAAAGGTTACCTTAGTGATAGTAAATTAATCAATTGATGATAGTAAACAAAGAAACGATTGATTAGTGTAATTACTTATCAATACATTAACTAAAACAATGATTAAGTTGGTTGATAAATTTGGTTGATATCGATTACTGATTATTAGATGAGTCTATCATCATAATATTAATTGTCTTGTTACTAATCAATGATGATAATAGACATTAATAGTTATCCTAGTTCCCTATTAATATTTCAGATTATCATGATATTCACTATGTATTGTAATAGATACACAAATACTGAACAATTTTTTTTCTTCAATAAAAAAAAGATACTGATTATATTATCGGTTGACCTCATTTCAGATTATTCTGAGTTTTCTTTGCTTTTCCAAGGGAATATATTTTCCCTTTTCCTCTTAAATTTGTATTAAATTGTTATTGTTTTTTGTTGATTGTTGTGATTTGATTGATTTTGATTGAAAGAGAAAAGAGTTTTTTTTTTCAATTTACCTTTAAATCTTTGAAGAAAATACTATTTCTTGCCCAATCGACTTGAGCAAAAAGTGATTGATCAATAACTTTACACATCAATTCAAATAGATCGACTTCACATTGGTTATATGTTTGACTGTTCAAAAGTCCAAATAATTGGCTTCGCCATTCGTTATCATCGGGAGCGGTTGCTTGAAGTTCACGAACAATTATTGGGATTTTATCTCGACCACCATGTCCACCACCATTGTTAACAACTTGACCGCCTGGGCCAACAGAACCATCATGATTGGGTGGTGTTGATGAATTAAGACCTGGTATACCCAGTAAACCTTGGGGTCCACTTTGTGTACCATTATTATTGGACATTAATGATCCTTGTTGACCACCGGTTTCATTTGTCCCATGACCTCCATAGGGGAACGGTAATCCACCAGTAGGTGTACCATTATTACCGTTGGGACCGTTATTATTATTGTTATTATTATTATTGATACCGCCGCCAGGTCCACCACCGCCACCTGGTACACCACCACCGGTAGCCCCATTGTGACCGGTAGGTGAAGAGGTTGATGAGGTTGTTGATGAAGATGATGATGATGATGAGTTACCGGTAAGTGATTTGGGTAATCCAGTTTGTCCTAAGGAGACATTTGAATTGGAGGGAACCCATTTAACCATGTCAACATGTGCTCCACCTGAGCCTGGACCAGAATGACCACCACCCAGTGAACCAGGATGATGATGACCACCAGGACCCGATTGTGAATGTCCCTGAGATGAAGATGAACCAAAATGATGTCCTGGGACAGAGAAAACTAGTTAAACAATTGTCGTTCCAATCGTACAAATTGTTTTTTTTTATAACATTCATTTAATGACAAAATTAAATCACAATTAAGTCATAAAAAAGGGATAAGGAGGGAAATTAGAAAAAGGAAGAGAAAAAAAAAAAAAAAACATATAAGTAAAAACAGAAAACAAAGACAAATAAAAATAACATAAAATAATTAAATGAGAAGCAAATAAAAAGGGATTATCATCATTTTCAATTCTCTCTCTCTGTCAATCATTATCATAATTTACTAATTATAATCATCATCATGTGCAATTGAAGCAGATAAAAGTTTAGTTTTCATCGGAAAAATTTTCCTTTAGGTTAGAAACATGATGAGAGGAACCAAATCTTTTTCAGATATAGTTCAATATAATTCAGCATCAGAGCTTAAACATGAACAAGGAAGAAAGTAGGTCAAAGACGAAGGGGATGATGCGAAATATTTAGCATCATTTTGGGGAGGAAATGTGATATTTTAGTAAGACTAACAAGAGAAAGAAGAAGAAAAGAAAGTGGAAGTGGAAGAGGATGAGGAAGAATAAAAAATCAATGAGATGAAGAAATTTTTGTCACATAGTTTTGTCGCAAATCAACTAAATCAAAATGTAATGACAGAGTCTTAATCACGATTAAGATTACATTTGATTAACTTTAAGGGCAATGATTTAAATACTATTTTCATCATATGGTGATACTATTTTTAGACCAACGCTAATCAACAGAATGGATAAATTGAAACAACGAATTTACAAAAGTAACCTTGGGATCAGATTAACAACAAAATCTTTTAGATATTGAGCTTTTCTATCGGATTAACTGAGGATTTCATGAATAAATTACATAGAGAAACATTTTTTGAAACTTTCATCATAATTTAGAATCAACCTGAAATTAAAGTGATCATTATTTTCTTTGAAAATGATCAGAAATTAATTCCTTAAATATTAATAGATTTACAAATTCCATGTCAATGGAAAATGTTAATACAAACAATTTAGTTAATTGTTTTGATGGTGATGTTACTAACGATTTAGAGATGATGTTGATTATGATGAATGATTAAAATTCTGACAATATAGTAGTAACAACAACAGAACTACAATCATAATAACAATAAGTTAACATACTCATTTCTCATGAAATTGAAAACTCTTTTCATTTCCGTCCCAGATTCTTGAATCATCATCATAATCAACAACGTCGTCATCATAATCATTTGTTTATTATTATTATCGTTATAATGATTAGAATGATTTTTTTTTGAGTAAATATTATGTATGAATTGGGTTTTACTATAACATAGTTGATGATAAAACAAAAAGGCAAAAGTAAAAACCTCACACCTAGAGAATTGAATATTATTCAATTAAGGTAAGTCTTTCAAAATTTGTAGCTGCCATTAATCAATTAATTGAATGAATTGTTATTACTGATATCAACACACATGTATGTATATTTTTGATAATATACACACAATATATTGATAATAGTTGCAGAGAGAGAGAGAGAGAGAGAGAGAGAGAGTCAGAAAAAAAGTTTTCCATTGAGTTTTGAAGGTCACCAATAAAAGTAATGAGCATGAGTGACCTAAATATGAATACAGGCCTGTTTACTTATTCAGTTTCTGTTACAGAAACAGGGTGGGAGAGAGATAGAGAGAGAGATGAAAAAAGAGAGAGGGAAGGAGAAAGAGAAACAGAAAGAGAGATGATAAACTGATAGAGAAAAATGTTTCAGCCATTTTTCTGTTGAAAATCGGTGCTAAGCTCGTTCTTCTCACTCGGCCAAATATTCAATTCTCACTCAGATAGTTCAGTATGATTACTACATGAGTTGCCTGTTATGTACCAATAGTTAGTCTCACTCATGAGCATATACACACTCATATATACATACACAATAAGACTTAATGTTAGGATAGAAAGTAGGTCAAGTTTAAATTAATTGTACTCAATTTTTTGGGGGGAGGAAGAGAAAGAGAGAGAAAAAAAGGTAAAAGTAAAAGTGAAAGAAAGAAAAGTCTCTTTCTTTTCCTCTTTCACTTTCACTTTTTTCGTTTATGTTTTGTTCAGTTGTTGCGTTTCCAGTTACCTGTTTTTACTTTCAAATTTTCGTTCTTCTTTTGGTTAGCACATAAGCACCTTTAGTCTTTTTCCTTTCTCTCTCTCTCTCTATCTTTCAATCATAACAATGGAAAAACTGTAAAAAACAACATAAAAGTAGAAATGAATGAAATGAGAGAAAAAAAGAAATCAATAACTGTTAACACACAATTAGAATTGCTTATTATGTAAAACTATCATTCAACTAATATTCATTTTTTGATTGTTGGTGTGAAAGAAATGAAATGCATTTAATCATAATTAAGATAACTAATGTTTAGTTTATACTGATAATTGTATGGCATTAAATTGATACTTGATAATAATAACTCTGTAGACTGATTAGTTTATATTGAGCAATAGTAATGATAATAATATTATTATTACTATTGAAGATTCTGAGATGATGAAAAAAAAAGTAGTTGATGAAGAAAAGGGAAGAATCATTCATGACCTAGAATCTTCATGGAATCTAACTCATGTCCTCGATAATATCAATCCATAGAGAGCATGACGTAGGTCAAAGAGGGAGAGGGAGTTGGAAAAGTGAGAAAGAGAGAATAGAGATTGAGAGGAAGATGATAAGATGATGATAATGATGATGAAGATAGACTTCGTTCTGTGATGAAAAAAAGACAGAAATGAGGTCATCCCCATTCCGTAGTTGTTGTAATCAGCTTTGCTTTTTATTCATTTTGCCTCCTTTCTCTGTCTATCAAACTGTCTACATAATTTCATATATATCAGTCTGTCTCATTCTCTTTCTTTTTTTTACTCTCTTTCTCTCTCTCTCTATTGGTTTCATCGATTTTCCCACAACTGAACGACATGAGGATGATAATGATGACATTAAAACTTAACAATATGTACTCAAAATAATGAATGAAAAAAAATCTACTGAAACAAGGAAAGGAAGAGAAAAGGCTTATAAAGATAGAATAACAAAAGAGATGATAATTGAATGAAATGATAAATTTGAAAATAATAAAAAAATAATAATGATGATGATGAATTTTGAGTGAGAACAAGGGTTTTTTGGCTGCGATTGGCGGAGTAGCACCTACCTGATGATGTAAGGGTAGTAGGTACAGAGGTTGGCGAGGAGTCGGGAGATGAGGTTGATGAAGAAAGTTGAGGAATTTGGATGAGTTCTTGCTTGATCCCGTCCGGTGTGTAAATTGACCCACCGCCTAGTCCACCATTACTATTGGAGGCAATCATAGCAAGAGATGAAGATCCCACCTCTCCTAATGAATGATTACTTGAATGACCACCACCTCCTCCGCTACCATGAGAACCCACTCCGGTTCGAACCATTTGACGTTGTCTCATAATCTGTAATCGTCGAGCTCGATCTCTTTTGTACATTGGGCCAAATTTATTACGACCTCCTCTCATACGATCAGCACGTACAGCTGATGATGACCAAAATATCGCAAACCAGAGTTTTGAAAAGATTTCATCATTAACATTAATAATTAACAATGAAAAACCAGCAGTAGAATTGGTATGATAATAATTGTGTAATTATAATAATCCAAGAAAAAAAGGAAAAAGTTGTTACAGTAGCACCAATGATACGTTGATACGAATCATTTGCAAATCATTTAAACCATATTACCAAAGTGAATAGTTCATCCGAAGTAATAATAATAATAATGTTGGCGATGAAGGTGAAAAAGAAGAAGAAGAAAGATGAAGAAAGATGAAGATGGCGTCGATGATGGCGAAAAGAAACCAAACCAAAAGGAAATAGACAAAAAAGAGAAGAAAAAAAAAGATTAATACTTTTTCAAAAGAAGAGAAAAAGAGTCAATGTTAAGCAAAGAAAGTGAGATGATGGCGATGAAAACGCCAAGGTAATTAGCATATTAATCAAGATAAGCGATTTAATAATAATGAAGATAAAGAAACATCATCATCAAGAGAAGAGGGAAAAGGAGACACATGCATAAAACCTGGATAAACAGGATCAACAGAAAACCTCCTCATCATCCTCATCATCCTCCTCTTCAACATCTTCAACTTCGTCATAAAGAAACAAAGAAGAAGTAGCAAAAAGAAAATAATATTTGGCGGTTTTTATTGCAATCGCAATTTACTATTGACGATAATGAAAATAAGACAGAAAATAAAGATGAAAGAGGTAAAAAGAAGAAAAAGAAAAAGAGAAAAATAATTAACGTATTATATTACCTTCTAATTTCATTCCAACTTCAAGGCACTTCTGAAATCTACAAAATGGACATCGTTTCCTTTGGGATTTGTCGATGTGACAAGAACGATCAGCAACACAGGTATAGACCTTTTTATTTTGTACAGTACGTTTGAAGAAACCTTTACATGATTCACAGGTTAATAGTCCATAATGGTAACCAGAGACTTTATCTCCACACACTGGACACAGTTCATCCATACCCTCTTTGGTATCAGAGGTTTCGGGTGGACCTGCAGCACTGGTTATTGAAGGAACTGCCAATGAAAGGGCAGAGGTTAAATGATTATGTCCATAACCGGTAGGTCCATTTGGTTCATTTGATGAACACCCTGTTGGTGGCATGAAGCATGGTTCAATATGATGATCACTTAAATTGGACATCATGATGATATAATATCAAAGATATTGATTGTCTTTCTATTATCAAGAAAAATAATATTTATTTATCAAGAAAATAACAAACAAACAAACAAAAGTAAAATTGATTCAGATTCGGGTGTTGTTATTATTGTTGATGATGATAATTAGTTGATAATAATAATATTACTGATGATGATAGTGATGGTGAAGATGAAGAAATTGAAATGTGGCTTAAAGGAAGCAAAATGCACTGATTATGGGGAAAAAGGTGAAAGAAAAAAAAAGTAAAGTCAAGGTAAGTTTTTGACGAAAAATGTAATATATAAATTGAACTGAATCAATTTAATTGCAATTGATGGTGTGTATGTATATATGTATGTGCTTGTGTGTGTGTGAGAGAGAGAGAAAGTGATCATAAGAAACAGAAAAAAACTTTGGTTGATAATTGATATTATTACTATTACTCAAGACGATGGAGAAAAATTAAAATTAATATCAGGCAGCTAATCTCCTTGAATATTAAAGGCACAATATCACACATAGATAGACACATAGACACACATAAACAAAAATAAAAGGCTCACCAAGTCACAGAGTTGTTGTTGTTGTTATTGTTGATGATGGTGTTGATTAGCCTGATGATGAAGATGATGAGGGATACAATTTATATCTTGACAAGGCACAAACAAAAAGGAGAGAGCGTGAAAAATAAAATAGCAACTATGTTTGGTGTTAATCTCTTAATAATAAATTGTTGTTGTTGTTGTTGTGTATTAATCACAAGCCTCTCTCTCCCTCTAAGTAAGTAATCAAGTAATCAAGAGAGAGAAGAGAAAAAAGAAGAAATTAAAAAAATAATTGTAAGTCCAAAGCACAAAAATAATCAACAAACAAGAATCAAATTAATTATTGGTCAATAATCATAATCAAAGGCACAAAAGTTGTAGTAATGAAGATGATGAAGATGATGATGAAATAATAGAGTAATGATGATTAGGTTGTTGTTGTTGTTGTTGTTGTTGCTAACAGACTTATGGAAGCCGATGTAATGAGTTTTGTAATGACGATGTAGGATGAAGATGATGTGAAGATGATGATGAGAAGAGTAAGTTAATCAATAATACAACAAGAAAAATAACTCTTGGGATTGATTGTTGGTGTCGTTGATTAGGATAATCCAATGGTTGATTTAAAGTCTTTGTTGAGGTGACTTGTAATAATCACCAATGTCACAAGAAGAGTTGATTAATATCACCAACATATAGATGAATGAATATTTTATATTATTATTAATATTTTTTATAATTTTCACTAACAACAAATAAAATATAATTTTGGTGTTTCTTTTCCAGTTGATGATATAACATTAATATAAAGGTTAAATTGATTTTGTTAATTCCTTGGAATGTAAAACGTTTGTGGTTGATTGTTGTTAGTTGATGTTGTTGTTGTTTATTCCTGACGACGACTGTGTGTATATGTTGACTGAAATATTTGTTTACACCGTTATCACTCAACTAACGACTCAATAGTAACTGACTTGACTTTCTCTGTCTATCTTGTTCTCTCTCACTTTCTCTTTCATCTTTCGATCTCATTTTTTTAGTAAAATAATGAGAGAAAAAGAATAGAGAGAATGAGAATAGAAAGAGGGAGATAGAAACGAATTAAAAGAAAGAGAGAGAGATAGAGTGAGAGTGAGAGTGAGTGAGTGAGTGAGGGGAAGAAACAATGTCAATGATGATGATGATGAAGAGAAAATGAAGACAGAGAAAAAAGAAAGTAAAAGTGAGAATTAAGGGAGAAAGAAAAGGGGAGTGTAAGACAAATCAACATGAAAGACTCCCTCTTGAGAGTGTTTCAAGTTAGTAGAAATTAGAAAGAAAGAGAGAACGAGAGAACGAGAGAGAAAGAGAATGTTAGAGTGAGAGAGAAAGAAAGAAGAGGGAATCAAATTGAGGGTGTAGATGGAGCAAAAGAGAAAGAGAATTGTGAAGATAGACAGAGACACAATTCTGAAGAAACAAAAAATGATGAAAAGAAGAAGGTAAGAAGATGTTGGTGTTAATGCTGTGGTTGTGTTGATGATGATAAGGAAAAAGAAAGAGAACGAAGTGACGAACGATCTGATTTTCTTATTTCTTTTTTTTCTCTCTCTCTCATAAACATACAAAACGGTCTCTCAACGAAAAAGAATCAAAATGATTTCAGGAAAAACGATAAAAGACAGAGAAGAGCAATTACAGAGAATAAGGAGAGCAAGTGAGAGAGAGAGAAGAAAAGTAAAAAGTATATTATGACAACAGGAAGAAAGATAATAAAGACAGAGAGGAAAAAAAGAAAGAGTTAAATCGTGGAAGGAAAGTGAAGAATAAGAAGTGGGGAAGAAAGAGACTAAATATTGAGTGAAGAAGAAAAATATGATAGAGTCACATGGAAAAAAGAGAGAAATGTAGACAGAGTTGGAGAGAGAAACTCATGATGATGAGAAAAACACATATAACAGACAAACTGGTTTTCTGGGTTAGATGAGAAGAGAGAGAGAGAAAGATGATAGAAGGAGGAGTTTATTACATGAGTTACAAGAAAGAGTAAGTTGGGAGTGAGAGTAAAGTTGGTGAGTAGGTCAAGGTATCGCTATTTATGCAGTTATCTAACAACCAGAGAATAGCAACAGCAGCAGAAAAAGAACTGAAAACAAGATTAAAACCTTAGATCGAAAAGAAGAAGAAGAAGATGATGATCAAAGAGAGAGAGAGAAGAGGAGAGACAAAAGAAGAAAGGTAACAAATTAAGTAATAGAAAAAAGGAACTGAAGAGAAATAGAAAAAAAAGAAACAGAAAGAATCAAATTATGACATAGAAAAAGAGAAAAAAAATGAAAAAGAGAAAACGAAAAATTGAAAGATGATAAAATTCAGAGAGTTAGAGAGAAAGATGCATGGGGATGGAAGAGAGAGAAAACCATAGACAGAGAGTGAGAGAGAATAAGCATCAGTGTAATGATAATGATATCAAATCAGGTTTGATGATTAGGTGAAAAAGTAGTTACAGAGGAAAAAAAGATGAAGACGAAAACGAAAAAAACAACAACATGGAGAGAGAGAGAGAGAGAGAGATAGACAGAGAAATTGGATAGTCACAGGGAGAAAAGGAGATGGAGAAAACTCTCTGAGAGAAATTAAGATTTATATGTGATGACAAATGTCAGATTATAATTGTAATTATACTTTATACTAGATGTTATTATTAGTAATAGTAACAAACTCACTCATTTATACGAGAGAGAGAGAGACAAAAAGGAGTTAGTGAAGAGAGAGAAAAGATTTTGTTTAATAGACAGAACGAGAAATGGGAGAATAGAAAAGAGAAAAGAAAATATTGAGCTTTTTACAATATTTTCCAAAGATTTAAGTAAATGAAAAAGAAAAAGGTAAATACACAGTAATGAGAGAAGAAGATTACTAGTAAGAGAAGAAGAAGATAATTAAATTAATTGATGATGATGATGGTGATGATAGAAAAGATGAAAATCAGGTTAATCAAGTAAATAACAAGTGTAATCAACGAGATGCTGAGAGAGAGACGAGGGAGACAGAGGAAAGAAGATAAAGATAAACACAACAAAACAAACTGACCAGTTCCTTTGGATTTATTCACATAGACTTCAAATTATCATCATCATTCAGAATTGTTGTTGATTTTTTTTTCTCTTTTTTATTATTATTTTATTCACATAAACATGACAAGAGGTAAAGTTGAATTAAAACCAGAGAGAAAAAAAATGTAACAATTTTTTTCGAATTTACCAGCGCCACCTACTGTTCTCTCTCCAAACTAATGTCAACTAACGGGAACTTTGAATCAACAATCAATCAGTTTCTCTTTTTTAATTCGATTGATTGTCTTGATTATTTGAAGAAATGAGATTTTTTTTCTTCCAAATTTTATCAATATATTTTCGAAAAGTAAACGTGAATAGTTTCTGTTTATTTCTGGTGAGTTTAACTGAGTTTCAATGAGAATTTATTTTTACCGTTACTTTTACTTTTTGTTGGACAATTTTGTTCAATAATCAATTTTGTTTTCCTCTTGTTAATTGTTTCATTTGAAAGAATCTCTTTTTTTTTCTTGATTGATTGTTGAACTAATTGTGTAAACTCGCTATTATTACCAATGGTCAGTGAAAAAATAGTCGATAACATTAACTTAAATCTCTTTGTACTACTGACCCACTTTTCATTTATAACAAGTTTTGTACCTTAGAAAACATTAGATTTGTTGAAATTTTGTAAACTAGGAAAAGGAATTGAACAATTTAATAAATTATCTAATGTAATTTATCATCTTAAACTATTAATTTGACCTAATTAAGATTGAATCAGATAAACAGAGAAAACAAATTGTTTCTTAATCATCGTAAGTGAGAATATAATTCAACCAATCATATCAATCAAATGAAATTCATCACAATTAATGAATAAAACAAACAACTGAAAATCGTAGACAACAATTAGAATATAATTCACATTGGACTGTGAAGAAAACCATAAGCAATTAACAACAATTAGAGTGGAAAACAATCACCACAATTTAGATGTTTCATGTTTACCTTGATAACTTTTTCTCTCTCTCTCACCTTTGACCTTTTCCCAGGTAACTCTTTCTTTCTTTATTTTCTATTCTCTTTCCTTTTAATATTCTCTTCATCTCGAAATAACATTTCCTGTTGTAAGAAAAATAAACCGTTAACTTTCCCTTTTCTCTCATCATAATCATCATCTTACTTTCTTTTCATCTCTTTTCCCTCTTTACCTTGGATTTTACCTTTCAGTGTATCACCCGGACGCCATATTGCCTCTTATATAATACTTTACATAATATTGGTTTCAACTCTTCTCACGCTTTTTTCACTCTCTCTTGAATTGTACTCACACAAAACACAACGGAAGTAGTTAATACAATCATCTTAATCAACAGCATATCATCAGGATCATTATCGACTCTACATAATCATCAATCAATCATAAATCCTCCAAACATCCAATGGATTTACAGGTAACCCTTTTTACCTATTCAAAAAGTAGTAAAAGTATCATCGAGAATCGTTTCGATCAACAATAGTGACACCGGTAGTTGACTCTGAAAACCATTTAAACGGCACCGAAAGGTAAAGTCGACAATTGATGATTCCAATTCCCTTTGTTTCCGTCGATCCATTTTCGCAAACTGACCTCTTTCCCGCCAAATTCATAATAATAATTACCATTCAGTGTCTTTACACTAATCATTGTACTTATATTTGGATGGTAACTATTGTTGTAGGTCAGCATCACCGCCGATCCATTTTCCTCTTTCATCTTTACAAGATAATTAGGTCAACATTTTGCCAATGGATTTTCATTATGATTATCCCTAAATACCCAATCATTTGCCAAAGTATTTAAATTGAATGTCAATTCTTCCTGTTGAAAATTTCATGATAAACGTTGATCATGAGATGAGAAACTTTATCATCATCTTGCCTTATCTTCAATGGGCGAGTCTTATAATATCAAGTATCAGTTTCGCTCTTCCTCTGGATCAGAAAACCATCAAACTAATCATGTTGATACATCAACTTCTTCCTCATCTTCACCTCTCTTATCTTCCTCTTAATTGTTAACATATTTAGAAACAAAGATTTTAAATACATTGACCAAAGAGAAAAGGAAGAGAGAGAGAGAGAGAGAGAGAGAGAGAGAGCATAAGGCAAATCACTAATCATCCTCATCATCATTAAATAGGAGAATCCAAGTGAAAAGAGAAATAAAAATTTTTTTCTAAAGATAAAAATAACGGGATAACTTTTCTTCATCTTCACTTTTCCTTGTAACTGTAAAGGTAATATATTATTACCCGGTAAAGGTAAAAGTAAACTGTTCAACAAAAAGTTTAAATAAATGTCTTGACATAAATATTATCCTAACGGTTTACACAGGTAAGAAAGTAAGAGAGAGAGAGAGAGAGAGAGATGATAGTTTCTTACAATTTCTTCATCTTCTTCGTCTTCTCATTGTTATTATGTATACAAACGATTCTTTTAGTAAGAAAAGGTAATAATGCGAATGGAAGATAACAAACAATAATTTTATTATATTTCTCTTTCTATGGTTTTCCAGGTAAAAATCTTTATCTTCTTTCATCATCATCATCATCTTCGTCTTCTTCTTCTTCTTTACCCGTGCCTTGGGCCAAATTTGGTTCCATTTTCATCTTCTTTCTTCCCTTTCATTCTTAACTTCCTTTTCTTTTTCTTTCTTCATCTCATCTTCTTCTCACCCTCTGTAACGGTTCGGCCTTATGCCCACAAATTTTGACCTAATTTCTTCCGCTTTTTGTACACCATTACGTGCTAAATTCGTGCCTCTCTTCCTTCATCATTATCATCTTTCTTTTTTTGGATTTCTCTTCTTTCTCCATAGACTTGATCTTCTTCCTTTCACCTTCATCTCCCTTTTCATTGAAAGATTATCTTTTGTTTGTTGATCCATTAGATTATCCATTTATATTTATCGGTGTTTTCGATCCTTTTCCATCAATAATAAGGTGAGGATGCAATTAAATCACAATTAAAGAAGAACAATCAACACACTTTACACTGCAGAAGACTCTCACTAAGAGCATTCAATATTAGATCCTATCAAAAATCGTCTCGTTGCTTTCGTTTTTACAAACTTATCAATGGGTTTGAAATAAAAGTTCAGAATCGATCGATTTATCGTCTCGATGATCATGACATTCATTCATATTTGAACAAAAAGTTCTCATGGAAAATATTGAAAAACTACCATCACAATCGGAAACTCAGGTGATAAACTTACCTGAGGGTACAAAGAACAAGAGAAGCTTGAAATTAGCCTAATTTTCAATAATTGATTGAACTATAAACTAATAAATTCTAGCTGAACCTTTTGCTTTCTCTCTCTCTCTCTTTAATAATGACCTTTAACCTGGTTTACGATCAACAAAGATCACAAATATTTTATGATAGAAAAAAACTTTCTATTATTCTTATTAGCGATTCTATTAATATTTGATCAGAAATCGCAACAGACTTTTCTTTTTAATATTTATCATTAACATTATTTTTACTTGTATGCTTTTCAAAGTGATTATTGTTACGTGGATTTAAATTAGTTTGGCCTAATTTCGGATTCCTCTTTTTCGTTTTTCGGGCATATTTTCTGGTTCCTCTGGTTCTTTAAGGAGGAGAACAAGATGAAGAAGAAGAAGATGGGAAGATGATGAAGGAGAAGGAGATGCTATTGGCGATGGTTAGAGTGATAGAAAAGAGCCTTGGACCCGTGATTTTACATCGACTAAACCTTATTAGGTCAAACTCATCTCGGGCTTTTCTCTTCTCCTTCTTCCTTTCCTCTTCTCCATCATCATCATCATCATCTTGTGTTCATCTTATATAATATTATTACTTCAACTTATGTTACCTAACTAACTTTTATTGGTTATCTGTGTTCGGCCTTGACGGTGGGTTTTTCATCCAAAGGCAATAACTGTATTCACTTCTGTTGCCTCATCATAATCATCAAAAATCATCTTCATCTTATTGTCTAATATGCGTTGTGATGATTTACAGAGGATGGAAACGAGAGAGAGAGAGAGAGAGAGAGAGAGTCAAGGAAGAAGGTGGGCTGAAGATGAAGAGAAAGAGGCTCAGTTTAAGGCCTGGGAACAGTTCTGAAGATAAAAAATCTTGAGTCTACAGACTAAGTTTCCAGGTAAATTAAAGGTAAAGAGGCTAAAAAAGATGCGGAAAAAACTCACCATCTTTATCATCATAATCGTAATAATCATAATCATCATCATCTTGTTACTAATAAATTTACACACATGGGTGAGGTTATTATCATGTTAGGAAGTGTTAACTAGTAATCCTGATGCAATCAACAATAGATTGTCAGTTAATTGTGACAATTTATAGTCAATTGGAAGATATAAAATTTTGATAAAAATAATCACATTTTTTGAATAAAAATCAACCAATACAATTGGAAATAAATAAAATGATCATAAATTGATTGTTGCTCAATAATGACCACGAAAATTTAAAGGTAAGTGATATAAGAAAAAAAAGTAAAAATAAAAAACTTACAATTGATTGTTGATTGTTGTTTAAGCAGAAATGATTTAAATCAAATCAGTTGAAGCTCCAATAACTTAACAACAAACACACAATTACCATTTAGTTAACAATTTATGTCGTTTCGCTTTCTCCCTTTATCATGATTTAAGTTTTTCAATTAAATCCAATGGAATAACAATTTATACCTTTTATTATAATTGTTATTATCTAGGTTAAGATGATGGAAATGGTGATGAGGATGATGAGGATGATAAAGATGAAAGGTTAACAGTGAATATATTTGACAAGGTTTGGTTAACCTTTTTCAATCGAAACACTCACATTGGGTCAATGGAAAATAATAATAACAACAAATAACAGAAGCTTTTCTCATCTTCTCTTTCTTTTTACTTTCTCTCTCTCTCTCTCTCTCTCTCTCTCTCTCTCTCTCTCTCTCTCTCTCTCTCTCTACCTCTATCTGTCTATTTTGTGACATTTCCTCTTTACTCCGATCATCCTCATCTTTATCTTCATCTCTGTCTACTAGAAATTTTTTCTTCTCTTTCTCTCTTTTTGACCCTTTTTCGTCTCCCTTTCTCTCTCAAGTTTACTTCCTTCTTCATCTTCTTCTTTATCATCATCAATTGAATTTGTCACAAGGAATAACTGTAAAAGTATTTCTCTTCATCTCCTTCTGTCTCTTCCTCTTATTCATCATCATTCATAATAATGTATTAATACATTAATACTTATATAACTTTCTATTTCTCTTTTCATCATCAACTAAGCTTTTGGTGTTTTTTTTTGTGCTCTCTCACTTTCGTGCTACAAGTGCCTATGGAGATGGAGGGTTAAACTGGGAGGAGACCGGAAGAAGTTGCAAATAATAAACCGGAAATATTAGATTGTATTATTATTTGTCTTTAGGACACTTTACTTTTATTACTATTTAAATTGTTATAATAAACAAAGAGAGTTATGAAAATAATACATTTCATGCTTAATCTTAATCATTATCGTCACAATTAATTGTGAATTATTATTATTTTTAAATCATTTAAATCAACTTTTAGCAATTTAAGATTAATAAATCAACTACAATCTGTAAGACATTAATTGTCAATTGCAATTGACTATTGATAATATTGATTAGTTGTTGATATTGATTCTGATTGTTTAGATTTTCATTATCATTGATTGCTAATCATTGAGGTTTCTTAAATTGATTGGTAAATGTTAATCAATCAAGTAAATCTTTTTTTCTAACAACACTTTAAATCACCAATTAATTAAAGTTTTCAACTTCCTTTCCCAGAATTAAATAATTAATTAATTTCAATTTGTAACTTTAAAGAGAGTAAATTTTTTTGTTGATTCCTAATTGAATTATTCCCAATTTAATTGATTGTTGTTCTTATCTTGATTTAGTTATGAGTAAGAAGAAAACAATCAAGAAATTTGTGTAACAATTAAAGTTAATTGTTGAATCTACTGTTTACCGTTAGATGGTGACAACAACAATCAACAGTGACAATTAACTTCTAATAAATGGATCAGTTAAACAGTTGGTGGATCAAGAGATTTACCAAAATGTGCCTATGGATTAACGGGAAATGTTTGGTAAGAGATGACAAATAAATAGAAAGAGAAAAGAAAGAAAAATGATGATGATAACCATGATGAAGATGATGGAGGAAGATGAAGGAGAGAAGATAAATGCTTGGATGATAATTTTTACCTGGAAAATGATACAAGGAGAAAATAAGAATAAGTTATTGTTTGTATTCTTATATATGAATAGATGGTTTTCTTTCATTCAGATATAAAGAAAGATGAAGATGAAGATGAAGATAAGTCTGAGAAGATGAGGATAAAAAGGTAAAATTGTTGAGAAAACTTTCACTCTCAATGTTACAGTTACGATTATTATTGTTACCTGAAAGAACCGTTAGATTTATGTAATGTCATTAAAAAGTTAACATTCTCTTCATAAGTTATTACCTGAGATGGATTAGCTTTTCTCGTAGCATCATTTCAATAGGAAGATTAGATGAAAGTACCGTTAGTTTTTTGTTCGAGAAAATTTTATCAATTAAAACTCTTGACCAATTTTCGTTCTTTTGGTTAATTTGGATATTTAATTTTTCTCGTTTAAATTGATTTAATTTTCTTTCTCATTATATTGATCGTGATTACCTTTGTTAATTGCTGGAGACTTCCGGTTAATTAAATTATATCCATCATCTGTTAATCATCTGTACACTTTTTCGTATTTTAATTGTTTGCTGTCAAGGTTAATTTGTTGATCTAATAATTAACTTTTTCGGTGAGAAAGGCAAAGTTAATTAGATAACCAATTGATGTTCCGATTCTAATTATAGTAAATTTTAGATTTAGTTTTAGATTCAATTGGAACGATGTTTTTATTTAATTGTTTTCTTTTTCTTTTTTAAATTTCCTAAGAGATGGCGCTGATTTCCAACGATCAAAGGATAAAATTAAATTCAATTTTTGTTCATCTTAATTGTGGTCAGTTTGATTTTTCACGATAAATTGGATTTTAATTCACTTTTATATAGTAAAGTTGTTGATAGAATACAATTAATTAGTGGGAATTGATATTTGGAGTCACTGGTTTTGATTTTCACTTTTTTCTGCTTTTTTTTACATTTAATTTGAAAGATTTTCACTTCATTTATTCAATTGTGAATTGATTGATTGTTTCATGTTTCATCCGGTAACTCATGGAATTCAATCAAAACTGGAGCTTCTTCATCGAAAAATTCAATCACTTCTTCCTGTTCCTCCTCTTGGACTAATGTTTCCCCGTCTTGAAACCAATCAGTAATACGAAGTGTATTGATCATACCCGATGAACTGGTCACTTTCTGGTAAATTATGGTCACTTGGAAGAAACAAATCAACAAAATTAAAGAACTAATCTTCATAATTAACATGGGATCAATTGAATTCTATTCACTGAACATTATCATCACAAACATCAGAATGAAAATTGGGTTCATTCAATCGGAGGCACCATTTAAATACCATGTTGATTGGGTAAACATTGAAGTGTGATTTAGCTGCTCAATTGATTAAAGATATTTATTCAAATTGTTACCATTGTTATTTTCTGAACCCGGAAACAATTAACTGTTAACTTAGTAGTAGTAAAGAGACAAAAAAAACTCGATCACTTTAATTCACTTCTTGTGATGAGGAAATGAAAATTTTACAAATTTCTCGATATCGTTTCAACGATATCAGAATTATTTTAGAATTGACAAAAAAATGATAAAATAAGTTAATTACAAAGTAAAAATGATTATTTCCTATCAAAACCATAACAATTTTCAAAATTGAGCCAATACCCTGATTTAAATAGATCTTCAGGAATCACTTTACAATTATCTAAACCATACTTATGGATTAAGGCAAAATCTACACAATTAACATCGGAATCGAGATTACAATCGACGCCATGTTTGGCATAATATCGTCGCAATATGCCTCTGGAACAATCTAGACTCGATGCACACTTTTGGAAATTAGATTTCGGTTGACCAGCGATAACCCATTGACCGTAGGTCACTTGTAATGGTCCACAAGGTCCTTCGGGATTGGAGCAAGTTCCTTTATTTGAACATGATTCTGTTGACTGTTAAGGGATAGAAATTAACATGATTAGTTTTTCGATTGATTTTTGTCGATTTTTTTTACAATTATTGTTACTTACCTCGCATAAACATGACAAACACTGATCGCTAATTGTTATCGTTATATTGGTTAAGTGCGGGGGTCGAGGATTCGAAGGAAGAATTGAATCTTCATTGTTTGAATTTCTAAATTCTAATGTTGGTACTGATGAAGATGATGATGGTGTTGATCTTTCGGTTAATCCACTATCTGGATTATCTCTATCGGTTATTATTCGAGGCGTTGAAGGAGTTGATGGATTAGCGTTTTCTGTTGGTTCGTTGTCGCGAGTTGTTGGAACTCTTGGATAATTGTTGACCGGGGTTTCGGTTGAGGTCAATGTCGGGGTTGTTGGTTGGGTTTGAGTATAAGTTCGAGGAGGATTAGTGCTAATTACTGTTGTTGGCCCGTCTGTTGGTCGACGACGTCCATTTCTAACTCCTCGTCCAGGTTGGGATGAAGAGCGAGGTGTTGATGGTCTAACGGTTTCTGGTTGATAATAAGAGACAGTTGGACTTGTGGGTTGAACGGTGCTGGTGATGTTGGTGGAGATGATGTTGGCTGAGTTTCGTATATGATAACTGGCGGTTTAATTGTTGGTGGTTGTGTTGGAATAAATGGTTTAGGTGATGTTGGGGCTGATGGTCGACTCCTCGAACTTGTTGTTCGTCTTGTGTTTGGTGGTTTTCGTCTATTTGAATCAGGAGTTGAATGAGATCTTGATGTTGGAATATTTGAAGGTGATGATGAAGATGAGAATGGAGGTGAAGGGACAGTCGGTGGTAGAGGTTCGTTTGATGGATACGAAGGATTCACTGATGGTTCATAAGGTGAGGGATATGATGGTGGGTATGAAGGTTCGAATGAAGGTTGATAAGAGGGCTCAAAAGCGGGTGAGTATGATGGCGGGTAAGATGGTGGATATGGTGGAGGCTCTAAAGGTGATGAATTGGCTGATGGAGAGATAGAAGGTGGGTTTGCTGAAGTGGAAGGAGGGGAGACTGAAGAAGGACGGGAAGATGTTGGGCGAGATGAGGATCGTGAAGGTGGACGGGATGAAGGGCGAGAAGAAGAAGGGGTTAAAGATGAAATCGGAGGTTGTGATGAAGGAGAAACTGGAGGTAAAATAGATGAAGAATCAGGAGTCAATGGAGAGGATGGAATTGAGGGAGAAACTGATGGCTGATATGAGGGAATATAAGATGGCGAATATGATGGAAAATCCACTGGTAAGGAACTAGAAGGTGAACTTGAACTCGGTGGCTGAGGAACTGAAGGTGTGCGAATAGAAGGTCGTGAAGATGAACGAGGAGCAGAACGAGATGAAGGTCGGGAACTTGGACGATTAGAAGGACGAGATGGAGAGACTGAGGGTGGAGAAGAATTTACATGAGAAGGACTGGTTGATGATGGAATCGCTCTTGGGGTTAAAGGTTGACGAGGTGGTTTTGGAACTGAATTCACTACACCATCATTAACGTAACCATCTTCATTAGTGGTTGAACCTCTGGTAGGAATCGAAACTAATGTTGGACCATTAGTCGATGGTACATAATACGAAGGCACATATGGAGCTCGAGAGATTCCGAAACCAGATTCAGCTCCAGGAATATCGTCAAAATCAACACGTCTATTGATATTCGGAATGTTTTCCCCTGAACGAATCGATGGAGGATCAGATCGACTTACGGAATGATTTGGAACTGGAGAGACTGAACCTTCATTTTGACCAGTTCGTCTTCGAGATGAACTTGACCCTCGATTTTGATTCTTTTTCTTCTTCTTCTTCTTCAATCGATGAGTTGATGATGATACTGGTGATGAAGATGACGAAATTGTTGGACCATTGACATGGACAGAATTACCTGGATTGTATGTGGCGTAATTTTTACCTGGATAAGATTTTGGCACATAGAGATTCGTGGATTGTTGTTGATCGTGTTGTTGGTAAGTATAAATCGATGGCGATTCGAGCGGTGGGTTAAGGACACACTGAGTTTGACTGAATGCTTGCCAATACTCTGATGAATAAAGCGATTGATCTGAACAACTATCAACACCCATACGATGAATAGCAGCATAATCGAGACAATCAATGAAACCATCGCCATTACAATCTCGTGAATATTTTTTCATATAGTTAATTATAACTCGTTCTGCACAAGCCTTGAGATTGGTACAAGTCTCGAAATCGTAACCGATACCGTTACCATCTTCCCAATAGTAACGAGAGATCTGATAAGGTCCACAATAAGAATTCAATCCTGATCCAATTGGACACCTTAAATTATTCGTATCACAATTAGATGAAGCCTAAAAGATTAAGAGAAATAAACACAATTAGATGAATAAGGAAACACACAATTAAAGATAAAATTAAGAAAATCAAATCAACTCTTACCTGACAAATACACTGAAGACATGAGGGGTCAGGTTGATCTCCGTTAGTTGATGAAACTATCGAGCAGAGAAACAGAATTGAATCAATAATTAAAAACAGAAAGTCGATTGATCAAAAGTGATTAAGAATTAAGATCGAGATTAATGATATTTAGAGTGTAAATCTAATCAAATTAGCGTCAAAATTAAAGACATTCACTGATTGATTGGTTGATTGATTGTCATTCTAATACTATCTCGTGTTAATCGCAGTTAGTTGATTAGAATTGAACTTTTAATTACTCACCTAATAAGAGTAAACATGAAATAATCTGAATTGTTGGAATCATTATTTTAATCCAATTGAAGGTGATCAACGGTTTCATCTAAGAAATTAAATGAAAAAGGTGAGTCTTTATATAACATCTCGAGTTGCCCTTTTCCTTTCTTACTCTCACTTATTCATCCTCATCCTCATCATTACCACTATCATCTTCATGATGATGATGAGCATCATTATCATTATTAGAATAAAAAACAGCTATAACTTCATCTTCCATCGGTCAAAGGATCCGGTTTGTTTTCGGACAACAGCAAGAAAAATACATTAGAATTGAGGAGAAGAGAAAAAGTTGCTTTTTCTTTTTCTCTTATTCTAAGGTCAATGATCGTTATTCTTTCTATAGAAATGACCTGATTAATGGAAATCACAATGAACTTTTCTATGGAAAACGTTATGGTTTCATCATGATTTCTCAAAGACATTGAACTATTCCTGAATTCAGCCTCCCTCCTCTCTCTCTCTCTCTCTCTCTCGCTCTCTGAATACAACAATGGCAATGAATCTTAAGGAAAAGAGGAGGAGAGACTAATCTTGTTTCAATTTCATTCCAAAACAATTTAACTTAATTTCTCATGCAAAATTATTCATTCTGAGTTGCGAATCTCAATTTCCCTCTTTGTTTTCTTCATACACAATTGAAAGTTTATTAACATTTGAAACTTTCAATCAATTTAAATATTTTCCTCTCTGTTGATTAAAATTTATCATCAAAATATCAACAATTTTAATCATCACAAGGAGAGTCAGTTAGTGTTGATTAATTGAGATGTTAATCTTAACAACCTTTTTCTCACTCCATGATTTAATCCATGACATTAATCAAATCGTAACTCTAATTAATATTATCATGTTAATCAAACACACACACACACACACAGTTACTCAAACTCTATCAATTTAATCTCGATGATGATCATCAATTAAATCTAATCTTAAATTAAAGTTTTAACACCAACAATCATGATCGCAATCAAATCTAATTGGGATATTAAACATTTCCATCAAATCCAATCAAAATGTTCATTGGCCTTTGATATTATGATCAAAACAAACGTCAAACTAATCAAGTAAATCTAAATGTAAACCTAACCCTTAACCCTAAGGAAACTTATACCTAAGGTTAACTAATGGAAATGAATACATTTGTTGCTTTTTATTATTTGATTGACCAGTGAGTGACCTTTAACTATGTTAATATTAAAAGGGGCTTTACCCTTAACCATAGTAATGAAATTACAGGTAAAGGAAAAGAAAAAGTTACTTTTATGATTTTCCTCAAGGAGTGGATGTTGATTTTATATCGCAATTTGTTAATCACGATTTTCCAATTACCCTTCTCGATAAAACACCAATGTTAATTCATTAAAATTACTAAATCATTTGAAAGGAAGGGTTAATCAAGTTTCTCACTCTTTTCCGTTACCAAATTGCACCTTAAATTGTTTCGCCTCATCAAAATAATAGAAAAACTTTTTCATCTTCTTAAAGGGAAACCAGTTTTCGTTTCTATATTAATTTAATACTCTTAATTTAATGATTATCATTAAATTGTGACTTATGGAAATGATTAAGATGATTATCAGCATGTCACCAACTCTGAAGATCAATGATCTTACCTGAGAGAGAGAGAGAGAGAGAGACTCAATGTAAAGATTATCCCTTATGAAGATAATCATCTGTTCAGGTTAACTAATGATTCTTAATTTGATATTTGATCAGTTGGTTAATTTCCACTAATATTTATTAACAATTTAACGTTACCTCAAACTAATTAGCAACATAAATTATATTTACTACAACTAATTAATCAATTTAATTGATTTTGTTTTCTTTCAGGTAGTTTTCAACTTTTACCTGTTCAAATGTTGTCTCATATTAATGAACAGACAATTAGTTAAGTTGACGAGTTAATTAATTGAAATTTACTTACCTTTTTGGTTTAATTGTGTTTCCAACTGATTTAACTTTAGGTTAGAACTTTAATTAACTAATCAAATCAATTTTGATCTTTAGAAAATTTGATGATTACAAGCCAGGAATAAGAAGAAAACAAAAACAATGTCAACCTTTACGGTCCAGTTTCTTAATTCTTATGCTTCGGACAGTTTGTTTTTCTTGTTTTCTTTTCACTCTGACCATTGGTCATCTTGTAGGTTGTTACTGGTCAGCTAATCCACTGGACATAACATTCACTTGTAAAGAAAAGCTCTCAGAGATTGTGAGATTGTCACACTGATGTGACAATCCATTTGCAAGGCGACAGTTAATTACCTTCAGATGGATTAACCTACAAAATAAGTAATCATAATAAAAAATTAACTTCATGATTGTTGGAACAGTTGATTGTTAAGATAATTAGTTTGCTTTTTCCTAGACTGATTTAACGATTTAGTTAACGTCTAATTGTTAAAATTAATAATTCCATGGTTGTTATCTTGCAACAATCAAAACTTGATTGCTCTCATTTGATCATCTTGATTGTTATCATTTAGTTGATCAAGTTGAAACCAATTAGTTTGTTTTTTGTTGATAATTTTTCTCAAAATTTTGTTTACTATTTGTTGTAATTTTTTTTACAATCAAATGATAATTAATCAAAACTATAATCATGTTAACCTAAACAATTAACATAATCAACTGTTCAGAAATTTATTCCTATTGAAAATTAATTTGCCGCAAGGTAACTGTTATGATAATCATAAATGCTAATAATGATTAGTTAATTGTTTGAGATGGTTTAACTGTCTAGTTAAGTTTTTCTTTGAAACTTTTACCTTTCTAATTGTTTACCAACTTGTCTTTAATTTTAACATGATTAACAAGATGATTGAAAATCATGTTCAGTTGATTTTCAACAATTAATCAGTTGAAAATCTAATTGTTTTCAATTTTAATTATTTTAATGTCAATGTTCTTGATCTCGCCATGAGAGATTATTATCTCTTCTTTGATTTACTCTTGATCAACTTATCAATTTCCATTGATTTCATTTAATTTGGTTCACAATTAATTCAATTCGTAACTTTGATCAACCGTTAATGAGAGAAACAGTGTCGCCATCTGTTGGTTGGAAAAAGTAATTTTCTAAACCGGTGTTTACATTTTGGTCTTTGGTGTTTTTTTGTCTTCTCTTGAATTTTATTAGTTCAATTGTGATCAATTTTTGATTAAATTTCTGTTTAATTTTGATTGTTTTTGATTTCCCACTCAACATTGATTGTAGATCTAATGGCCAAACCAGTGAAAAATGTTGATTCGAAGAAAATTGTAAGTAAAAAGTTGATTTTTGGGATAATTTTTCTATTTTCTTTAATGAATAAAATTCTAAGGTGTTTTCATTTGATTATCTAATTGATTGGATTTTTTTTCTCTTTTTCTTCCTATTTTTTTCACTTTCCAGAGTTCAGACCTATTTAGCTTAACATATGGTTCTTTAGTGTTCCAATTAATCAAAGATTATGAGAATCCGGAAGATGTCAACAAACAATTGGAAAGGATGTAAGTGTTTACATTTGGATAATGATTCAAATTTCTCTCCGTTGATTCTAATTCTTTTTTCTCTCTCTATCAATCAACGAATCTATTACACATGATGATATGAAAAATGCTACAAAAGTGGTTATAATATTGGCCTTCGTTTGATAGAAGATTTTCTAGCCAAAACAAATACCCCTCGATGCTTTGATTTCAAAGATGTTGCCGATAAAATTCAATCTGCTTTCCGAATGTATCTTGGAATTACTCCTTCAATTACCAATTGGAGCCAAGGAAATGATGAATTCTCTCTGACATTAGAAGCTAATCCATTGGCTGAGTTTATCGAATTACCCGATCACCTTATTAACCTGAGATACTCCAACATACTACCTGGTATTATTCGTGGCGCTCTAGAGATGGTAATTACTTAATTTCCTTACTAAATTCATAGGCAATTGTCTAACATTCTGTTTTCCTTTTCTAATCATAAAACTAAATTTAGGTTCAGATTGAAGCTAAAGCTTGGTTCTTGCAGGATTATCTTAAAGGAGATGCTACAACTGAATTAAGGATCAAATTTATCAAAAAATTGGAGGATGTGATGCCTCAAGGAGAAGATTAATTGTAATAATCAACATCAATTTAATTGTTCTGTTCGGATTCTCGTTCTTTTTACAAAATTCTAAGCACTCACATCATGATCGAATCACTACTCTTTAAATTATCAATGATTCCATGAGTGATCAAATTGTATTCCTCTTATTACACAATTACTACCCAATTAATTAGTGATTTATCTTTGGTCTTTTTTATATTATTATTACTATTGTTTTATTAGTACCCATTCCAAACTTAATCTTGTTTTCTTTTTGTATTAATTGTCTCTCAATCAATGAAAAAAATTCATGTAATTTAAAATAAATAGAAAATCAAATTAACTTAATTTCCAATATTTTCTCCAATCATTACAATCAAGATGCTTTAGTTGAAATTTTTTTCCACCAGTTGTTTAATCAAAATTCGGTTGAATTTGATTTGATTTTGAAAAATTGATTCAAAATTGTAAAACGTAATTGGATTAACAAATTGCTCGTTGAATACAGTTGACAATTGGTCCTTAATTGCTTAGATGTAAACTATGTCAGTAGCTGATTAGTTTAATTCAGAAATTGTCAATTCAAAAATTGATTCAACTTGCTAATCATTTTGTTTTTCATTTCTAACTACCATCATTAAGTGTTAATTTGATTAATTGTGCCTTCGAAAGGATAATTAACTAATTTCTCACAATCTAATTCTACTACAATTATGGTTATCAAAGCTCGTCGTCGATATTTGTTCAACTTTGGTTCGAAAAGTCGTCTTAAGATCAATCGTCCGACTCAAGATTACGAAGATAAAGTGACCATACCAGTGACCATTATCCAAAGGAATAGTAAGTTAATTAAGTTAATCCAACTGATTTGGATCATGGAAAAGTTGATTGTTATCATTTAGAGTTAATTGTTGGAAATTATTTCATGAGAATCATGAGAATCTGAAAGATGTCGCCAGGACAGTCAGAGAATCAGAAGAGTCTCAATGAAGCCAAAAAAAGAGAGAGGAACCAAAGGATAAAGAGAGAAAAGAAAGAGACTGACTTTCGAAAAAAGCTCTCTCTCTCTTTCTCTCTCATTCCAAAGAAGATAAAAAGAGACAACTCAGAAAGAGAAGATGATAAGAGAGAGAAATAAAATTACCAAATCGAGAGAAGAGAAATAGAATTCAATTGAACCCGAGAAACGAAAGAGAAGAAGAGTAAATAAAGACAGAGAAAAGAAAGACTACCAAAAAACGAAGACAGAGGAGACGAAGAAAAGAAAGGAAAGGTAAGAGAGAGAGAGAGAGAGAGAGAGAGTTTCATCTTCCTCTTCTTTCTTCTTCATCCTCTTCTTTTTTTCTTCCATTAGTTGTTGACCCAAAAGAGAAAAACAATCTCAGGTCCACATGAGAAACTTGATCAGAAATCGAATAAAATTTGAAATAATTTTCTCTCTTCACCTACCTTTTTTATCTTCTAAAAATTTTCTTTTCTATTTGATATCAACACACATGAACTAATTGATTCTCCCAATCAACTAACGATAAAGATTAAGAACTTAAATACTAATAAATTCCCGAAAATTTCTCAAACAACTCAAACATTAGTTTTTCTCTGTTCAAGTCTTTTAATATTGAAGAATATTTTTTTTCTCTTCTCTTGTTATTGTTTTTTCTCTGTCTACCTCTGTCTTTTTTTCTCTGTGTAATTTTCTCTCTGTTTGTTGTTATTTTCTTTTCCTCATGTTTTCCTATTTATCTTCCTCTTCTTCCTCTTCGAATGTTATTAAACGAATAATGATGTGATTCTGTTGTCAAATTCTCATCTCATCCAACATCACCTTCTCCTCATCTTCTTCTGTCTGTGTTTCTTTTCCTTTGTCATTCATGTTCTTTGTTCTAATCCACACATTAAGTGTCTTCTTTAGTTGTGATCACTTTGTGTCAACATCAATTTAATCTCCATCATCGAACTCACCAAAATTCGAACACCTTAATCATATCCGTTCGTCTTATCGTCGTTCACCAGAACCTTTTCCCTTTCCCCTGTTCACCTTTTCCAAACTCGACGAAATGTTTTCATTTTCACTCTAAAACCGATCAAATCTTAATCCATCTTAATCTCTAATCTTTAATTTCTCAACATTCGAAAATTGTAAAATTCTTATAATGTTAATCAACGATTTTCTTTCGAGTATTTGAATTGAATTACATGTTGTAATCTCTTCAATACCATGAATTGGTGGTCATCATCATGTCGACTTCAGTGTTACCGTAATGAAATTTGTTCGAGAAATTACAGGTAATTGTTATTCTATTCCTCAATTAATCAGTGAAATAATTAATCTACTTCTCTTCCACTTTACAATTAACAGAATTGATTGGAGAAAGTAATAGATTTTTTTTCTGAGAAACAAAAGCTTCTGATTATTGTTGACACTTTCTACTTATTTCATATTATTATTAGAACGAAAAAAAGATTCTGATCATTCTGAAGATGAAGAATGAAGATTATTATCATGATTACCATCAGTGTGTATCTTTATCATCATGATGATTATAACAAATGTCATATTTCACTTAGATTATCATCATGATTACGAATCACCTGAGATGTTTCCAACTATCATGATCTTGGTGAATTTTGTATATTCACAAAGAGATTCATTTGGAAACTGTAATATCAACAAGAGATGAAGAATAAGCCTAATAATTTGTTTTCGTTGATTAAATGATAGACAATCAATTCTCACCTTGCATCCAAATCATTTTAATTACTAATCAACACACACACATACACAATTCTCATCAAATTAATTTCTCATTCTCTCTTTTTTTTCCTCCTTTTTTTGTTATATTCCAAATCTGTTTTAATCATCATCATCATCATCGATTCAACTTGATGAATACACATTGACTTTTCTCATTCATTGAAACTGTTTGTCTTGTTATTCATTTTGCTGGTTAATTGTTGTGATTAATAGATTCCAATTCTACTAGTGAACGGAAAAGCTCACCACTTTTGGGAACATGTTTACGACGATCATCAACCGATAGTAGTGGAGCTTATTTACCTTGTTCAACCCTCGCCGGTGAGATTAGTGGAAGTGCCAAAACCTCCGATATCGGTAATTGTAGTTGTGATCAACCTGAGAGTTCAAAATCTCACCAGCAACAATCAAATTCATCATCACCAAGTAATAAATGTCTTCATCTAATAGTAATCATAATAACCATCCCGATAACCAGGATCATGATTCTGAACATGATAATATTTTCCCTAGTGATAGTTGCCTTGTTTTACCCTTAATTGTAACTTCCTCTTCCAGCCCCTCATCCCATGAAACCGTTTCCACTTCCAATTTAACCTTAAACACTACTGCATGTAACTCTAATTCAGTTTCAAATGATCTAATTACCACTGATAACACAATTAACGATAATATTCACGATGAAGATGTTAAATTTCTTAGTTATTCTGTCCTTGATTTTCCCTTCCAAGATGGTTCCAATTCGAGTGGTCATCGTGTCCACCATTCTCATGCATCGGCCACTTTAATCTCGACAACTTCCACCGTCATCAATGGTTCCACCAATAGTCCCAACTCATCGCCAAGTAAATTAATCCGATCATCTGGACGACGATTACAGTCCATTTGGACGGCGGTCAAACGCTTTTCACCGGTTAACCGGCTTAAAACGGGTTCACCATTGTTGACCAAGAAGAGGAAGACATTTGAACAAGCCTCGAGGGTTTGCCTTTCCCACCCTGATCTCAGTGTTCACGATTTATCTTCCGTTTGTAAGCCCCGATCTCGAGATGATTTGGACATATTGGCCATCAATAAAGCCGCAGCGGCTGCAGCCGGAGCCATTGGAGTGACCAGTGGAAGTCTAACTCAAAAAGATTCAACTTCATCCGATCAGTTTGACCTCAGGTCAGCAATTAGACGACGTCATTCATTTACTCGAGATCGTTCAGATGAAGAAATAATTAACAGTTATATTACCTCAACACCTAAAAAATTGGTAAGTCAATTTAATTACAATTCCCGATGATTTACAATCAAACATTAACCATATGTGAAGAAAATCAAACCCAACAATTGATGACGAAGTAAATTAGTTAACCAGATAGATACGCAATTAAAACCTATTGCATTATGATAATTGTTGGTGTTAATGATTAAGTGTTAATTTCTGCTCTCTTCCAGTAACAATCAACTAATCAGCTTAGAAATTAAATCAATAATTTTCCTTTACAATTTATCACAATCAATATTTTACAATTAACTCCTACAAGAAAATAATCCAATGCCTGAGGCAATAATGATGAAACTGTTTACCCTTTTATATTGTGATGATTAGCAACAACTGATTGATTGATTATCCCTTGAAGGCTTATTGTTTCATGGATTAAATTTGCAAATAAATTACAATCAACTTTGTAGTGATAATATTTTGTTAACCTTGAGATTAACAATCAACAATGATCATGTCATCAAAAGTGATCAACTATTAATAGACATAAGGATTAACAATGAAGACAAATTTAAATCACTAGGATTTACATTTGCATGAGAAAATAATTGATTTTAACAAATATAATTAATCTTCAATCAATAATTAATCCTTTAACTATTCAATCGTTTACCTTTTAATCTGATTAATTAATTTACTGAGATGATTAGGAAAACCCATTGACCATTGAACTGAATTATTGAAACATGAAAAGAGGAAACAATTTTATTGATTATCGATTCAAATTAAAGATAAACAATTAACATAATTTACCGTTAATATTAACATTGAATACGATGTTCAATTTCATCATCTAATTCCCGATGGATAATATTTGCTTTTCCTTTAATTAAAAACTAAGCAATTTAACTTAATTCCAATTAAAGATAATACCAAGTAATTGACCCTCACAATCAAATGCTAACATTTTCCCTGAAAGGATTTGAAAGTCAAATGAATATTTTAACAATAAGAAAGAAAATTCAATTCCATAGATGATAGAAATTTTCTCATGGTTAACGATGAAAAGGATTCTATCATGATAATAGATTGAAATTTATTCAACATCATATCGAACTCCTTAAAGGGTCACAATCCTTTTCATCTGAATATCAGAACTTTTGAATTGATGATGAATGTTCATGAATATGAAAGGTTCACAATTGTTGAAGTTTTCAAGAAACAAAAGTTTCATGTAAAAAAAGTTCCAATGTTAACATTATCACTCAATAATCACCAACCTTGACAATCCCATGACAATTAGGTTAACACTTACTTTGTATGTATAACTTGATAATCACCTACGAATGCTACATAGATGATGAAATGAACTTCAACTGACCATTAGACATCGAATCCATAAGCACGAGCAGCACGTTCATTTTAACGTGACAAAGTTATAACAAAGTTCAACAAACGATAATCTGAATCTGAAGAGTTGAGCCTTGAATTTAAGCTCTACTTTGGTGAAGATAATTTCACCGATTTTCTTGCTCTTTATCCTCTTGGTATTAACTAAGTGAACATGAAATTTTACTATTATCTTTTCAATGTAATTCTTTAACTATAATTGAGCAGTTGATTTGAGGAAATTGACCTTGGGACGATTCCAATGTCAAAACCAGAAGACCTAATGATCTGAAACCGATTCTGAATAGTCCAAGATTCTAATTCAAAGTGCAGCGGAAAGTGAATGTCTAAGGGACAAAAAGGTCATCGAAGATACAAAAAAAGTTCTCATCATTTTCTTCAATGAATTTAAAGTTTCGTTTGAAGAACAGAATCTATTTCATTATTTTGTTCATTCTACTGAAAAATATCATGGAAGTGATAATGTATGAACTCCATGAAAATACTGAGGAAAACAAGAGAAATGATCATATCTAACAATTTGTTTCTCTCTTCGTTGAACTTACTCATGTTTAGAATGAATTTTTTTCTAGTAAATACCTTTTTTCCATAGAATGTTATTATTATCATCTTATCATCTACTTGTCATCTTCTTATTTCACCTTTTCTCTTTCAATTTAGAACTCGAAATTTGAGTCGAAACTATTTCTTCTCAACTTACATCTTCCTCTTCCTCTTCCTCTCTAACTATTACATAGACTTTACCTTATTAATTTTGATTGTTTTCGACAATTTAATTCAAGTTAACTTTATCTCCATCTCTCTGTTCATGTTGATAGTTGATGTTTTGTCTGCTCTTTTTTCATTACGATTCATCAATAACAATTAACTAAATTAACTGGATAATATTAATACCTTCATTTATTTTCATTCTGTTTCCGTTCATTTCCTGAATTTCATTGGTAATACTTTGTGGGAGGTTGATGATTCTCATCATTATCTATCATCATCTTAAACTTGATATTGTGACTTACCGATTGGTAATATTATCGTTTTATTGATTAGTCTTTTTTTTTCATCTTCCATTGATTATAGTGGGAGTTTTTTTCTCCGCCTTCATTAATGATAATTATCATTATTTAGAAAAACACATTTTGACTCGAAAAAAAGTTCGAAAATCAATTTAATTGTCAACTGATCGTTTTGATAATTTGAAAAATAACGGTAATCGTTTTGATCAATAGTTAATACATTTCAATGATGAACCAATTGTAATCATTGTAAGATTTTTAATTGTCTTCCCATTGATATTTACACTTACAATCAAAATGTAGACTTGAGACTCAATTAACACCAATTCACCTTATAATTAGGCGAAAGTAATTAACTAATAACAGTAAATCAATTATATATTTTTTCCTCCACTGATCATCTGAATTTTCATTTGAAAGATTAACTTAATTAGATCAACTCAATTAATCAAATGTCTGTTTGTTTATATTATTTGTCATGATTTATTAATTGTTTTTGATATTTTCAGTAAAATATATTTCTCATGATGAAATAATCATGATTAAGTAATTGCTTTAAGAGTAGATGGTCAATGTTGGTCAATTGTTTTTTTTTCTCATTCTTCCTAATCATTTATAATCATTTTATTATCTCTGATAACAAAATGCTGATTAATATAAAGTTCTGAATGAATTGTGAACTGAATATAATGATGAAAATTTCCAATGAACTTTTTGTTGTGAAAATAATGATAACAATGAACAAGAATCAGAGTTTCCATGTGATCGATGAAAACAAAATAATAACTATGGTGAAAAACGAGTGAAACTTTTCATCTGAATCCGATGATTCGAAGCAGCATAATATGAATCTATCTTTTCAGAAATTCAGAAGAGTCTGTTCATGATCCATGATAAATGATGATGATGATGATGATGATCTTTCTCTTTCTCTTTCTTTTTCTTTCCTCTTCTCAGACTGAAAAGTTCTGGCTATTCAATGATTCAATTTCCTTAACTCATGAGTACCTTTCATATTATATTCAATAATTTTCAACAATAATCTTTAGATAATATTATTACCATGTATCTGTATGGAACTTTTTTCTCCACTAAATTTAATTGATCATTTTTCCAGAACGTTTCCATGGTTACCAATGTTCTGAATTCTCTGTCAATTTTTTTTTCTCACTTTTTTCCCTCTTGATTATCATTAATTTACTTTCTACATTTAATTATTAACAACAATTTAAATTGTTCTCATTGTATTATCATCAGATTTTGGGTTAATTGTTGTCGATTCTAATAGACTTGATTGTTACCAATCAATCAGCTTGATAACAATTTAATCTCATTGGATTTTAGTTTAGTTTCTTTGATTGTGATTAACTTTTTTCATTCAACTTATTAATTATTAATTAGATTGTTATTATTACTATGATGTTGATATTAATTATTTAATAACTTGATTTGAAATTATTATCATCTGATTAAATTATGATTCTTGAGTTACTTACGATTTATTTATTCATGGTTTGTTAAGTTAATTTGTTGCAAGTCAAATGATTAACTTTTAATTGTTTAGGTTTGATCATCATCATTCTTGAATATGATTAGATTTAACTTTGATTATATTGTACAATTAATTAATTGTTCAAATGGGTAACAATAGATTGATACAAATGGTTTAATCAATCAAATCAGTTTGTTATTTTTTTTTGCTTAACTTTCAGTTTGTTAATTGATTAGTTGGTTTGATCATTAAATAGTCATGACTCATTCCTAACAATTAACTGACAATTAAGAGCTGATTGATTATTTAGTTTCTATTGCAAATAATAATAATATTTACTTTTATCTTAATTACCTTGATCATGTCAAAGTTTATTACGCTTTTGAGTTTTGATTAACTTAATTGTAGACAAACTTAAATTGTCGACTACTGGGAATTGTAATGTTTCTGACAAGATTTTTAAACACAATTTAATTTAGCTGATTGTTGGAAAAGGTCATTCTGGTCATTATGCTACCATTGATTTTCAAGGTCATTTGTACACATAGTATTTAATTCAGTCTATGACCTTGACCTTAATCAGTAGATTTAAATTGAAAGTTGATCAAGTTGACCTGATTTCTTTGTGGTTAATTGTTTCCTAATTGTGGGCTAGGAAAAATTTCATCAATATTTTGGTAACAATCAATTGTTGGCTGTCTTGTTGATCATAATTAATCCAGTTTGATTGGCATCACTAATTAAACATTTAGTATGATTTGATTATTAACAATTGAGTGAAGATGAGATTTGCTAGTTTTAATTTGATTCCTGTACTCAGATTATTACCTTGACTTTTGATCATAAACTTCATTTCCTCATTATTATTAACACAATTAACAGTTGATCATTACAATTAACCAGCTTAACTATCACCAAATGTTAATCAACTATGTGAAAATATAACAGTATTACAATATAACAATTGCTATTGATATCAACAACAATTAACACCAACAAGATGTACAAAAAAAGTTATTAATCTGAATCATAATTTACCAGAATTGATTGTTACTCTAATAATTAAGGTGAGTGTTTAAATCGGGATTATAGTAATCAATTAAACCCTTATTATAACCAAGTTAATTTACTTAATGCCAATTGACAATGATGTTGATAATTAACTTGATCATCAAGGTGCAGGTGATCAAATTAATTGTTAATCATCATAGCAAATAATCAGTTAGTTGATCTAGAATTTACAAATTGTTTCAAATTAGTTTTCCTTAGCTCGTAAATTACTATTAAATTGTCACAATTAACTTAATTATTTTAAGGATAAAAAGTCCAATAATTCAATATGTTAATCAATAAAAAAAATCAGTTAATTCAATTCATTAATTAAACATTTTGTATCGATCTAACAATTAGAATGAGAAAATAAATTTTTCGTTCATCAAGACTTGATTAACTTTCAAGACTTTAAATGATTAAGTTAATTGTCACAATGAAAACTTTATATGTACATGTAAGTGTCCTTGGAAATGTTAATTATGATTAAACTTTTGGCAACAACAACAATTAAGTTAATCATTGCCAAAGAGTAAAATATTAATACTAAGTAACCATTTTAAGCTTAATTGTAATCAAAAGCAAAATTGAGAAATTAAATTTGAACACTTTTAATCAGTTGAAACAATCGAAGCGAAATCTTTATAAATAATCAAGTAAAACTAATTAAAACACAATTACGATTAATTTTTGATCACCAGAATCAAAGATAATCCATCTTGATGGGTTTTGTTTCATGAAACTCAGTAAAGACAAAAGAATAACAATTTTATCATGTTTACTTCATGATGGAGATAAAGATCAGATGAGAAAAAGTGAAAAAAGTTCAATAATGATCTCAATCTATTTAAATCCAGTGTAATCAATCAACTCACAGGTATCACAGGGATCATGATGCTGAACTTTTCTGTTCAGAATTTAATGATAACCAGAACAAAGAGAAAAATTTACCATGAAAATTTCACTTCGAACCTGAGACAATTAAATTGTCATGGTTGTGAATGATCATCAACACCGATGGAAAATATTATTTACTGAATGTGACACAAATCAACTGGACATTAGGATGATTACTTTTGATTGTGATTAGTTTCATTCTGCCTCTTGATTCCAGGGATTCTAACCAATCAGATTATCTAATCATAAATCACGTCAAGTTTGTTTTTATCAGAATGATAATCATTTTGATCATTAATAATTTTCAATATCATTATAAAGATTAAAGTGATTAACGATTAACATGAAATCTGTTAATCAGCTCAATAGGTAAACGTAAAAAAAAAGTTCAATTGTTTTTTAGGAACAATTTATTGATCCAGTTCTCAATTTCTTGATTTAATCTCAATGATTTGATTAGAGAAATTGATTAAATCGATCTCGATAATCTTATTGATTGTTTGACATCACAAAATCAATCATATTTCTTTACGTTGATTCACAATCAAAGGCGATCACATTTCCTGTTAATCAATCTAATTGTTATTAGATTATTGTTACTCAGAGACTTTGTTACTCGTTGGTAATGTTACGTTCATATATTAGAAATCAAATTTGATTGTTTGGATTAATTTTCTGATTGTTTTGATTTTATGTTCAATTTAAATTGTGGTTTTAGGTTAAATTATCAATATGATCATAATTGATACTGAAGATGATGTAAAGGAAGTGACTTGTAGAGGAAGAGGAAGATGATGATCGACTGATTTGAATTGAGTGGATAATGATGACATTTACATGATTAAATTGCTATTGCTCAGTTGATTAGTGGTGATTAGATTATTGTTAAGATGATAATCATGATGACCACAAGTGAAACAATTTAGTTGGTGACTTTCTTAGTACTAGTGATTAGTATTTTCCAATAACTTTTTTTTCAAACTTCTTTCTGTGTATTTTGTGTGATTAACTTAATTATCTAGATAATCATTGATTGATCATGATTGTAAATAACAATTTGAACAAAAAATATTACATAATTTATGAGGAATCATAATTATTACACAACAATTACAATGATAACCACAGGAATCACATCTAATTGTACTGAATCAGCTAATCAAATGGAAATCAAGATGATCAAATCAAACACTCATCGTTATCATTATTATCCTCGTCATTCACATGAATGGGTTTGTTGACCAATCGACAATTTAAAATTAAATCAAATTTGTTTGTCCAATTACAATCATCTGATAATCTAATTCGTGACTTATCATTAATCACAATTATTAGATTGTTAAGTTTTCCTGACATTTGATTTTGGTTGCGTTTTCTTTACACTTTTTCATTGGTTAATCATCATCGATTATTGTTATGATTAAATCACGACTTTAATTATTAATTTTCTATCAAATTGAACAGGATGATTCGGAGGAACGTCAAAGAATTGATCAATTCCGTCAACATCCATTTTATCAACTTGAAGTTCACCTACAATCAGCTAATAACCTTCTAGCTAAAGACAGTTGTGGTAAGTTAATCAATCAATTATGTAGACGATAATTTAAATCACTCGTTGATCATCATCTTATTAACCATCGATGGTAATCATTTGGATGGTAATTCAATTATCGATTAATTTCATCTCAATCAATAGTAAAGCGCATTAGTTATCAATGATTAAGCTTCAAAGCATTTCAATTATTAACCATCATGAGAATTACTTATTACCTTTGATTCAGTGGATTTTGCATCTCATGAATCTTTTTTTTTCTTCTTCCAATTACTGAGATTAACTGAATGGATTTATCTTAATCTCTCTCAGGTACCAGTGATCCTTATGTTAAATTCAAGATTGGAAATAAACAGTTATATAAAAGTCGAATTATTCCCAAAAATCTGAACCCGATTTGGGACGAATACACGGTTCTGGCCATTGACGATGTTTTCCAACCTTTGATGATTAAGGTTTACGATCATGATTTCGGATTAACTGATGATTATCTTGGAACTGCGATTCTGGACTTGACTAGATTAGAGATTAACAAGTGAGTAGTAATCAGTTAGAAATAAACAATTTATATGTTGATCATCAAACGAATCACTTCCGTCAAGAGTCTTGTAGATAGTTTCGATTTAATTTGTCCAACTAATTAATTCTAATCAAATTTCAAGTTGATCATTTATTTGTTAGCATTTTAAATTCAATTATCATTTACAATCAAATCTCATATTCAGCTAATCAGAAATTGTTTTTTTTTGTCTCTAATCAAATGAAAAGATGAATGTAATTGATTTAATCAGGAATTGAAAAAGATGAGAATTAATTATTTTAATTATTCAATGGAGATGAATATTATATCCATAATATTTAGCTTCTAATTAAACAATTAAAACATTTAAATCAACACTAATTATCATTGTAAATATCTAATTGTTACACAAGTTTGAAAGTTTGATATTAGACACGCAATCAAATTAATTCAATTTGTTACAATTTAATCACTAATGATAACATGACACAATCTCAATAATGATTAATTTAATAGAAAGGTAAAAAATTAAATTATCCAAGGCAGAGAAAGTTAAATTTTCATCATGCTGATAATTTATTAATATTTACCACAGAAAATGATCAAGTTAATTGTGATAATAATGATAACTTTTCACTCCAAGTGATGCTAATGATAGTTTTTACCTTGATTATTTCAATGGATTGATATAAATGTAACATACTTAATCTTAGACAATGAAAAGTAATCATTATTATCAATGATCAATGATGATGATGATAACTATTAAATTACAAATTGTTCAACTATTATTGATTGTGATTAAAAGTAGGAACAAAATTTATTTCCAATTCTCAACTTTGTATCGGTTACATGATACTTGCTATTGGAAATTGTTATTAGTATGAATTGATTGTTATCCAACCGGTGATGATTATATTTCCAATCTTTTAATCATTTTCCTAGTAAATTGATTTAATATCTTGTTCAGCAATTCACTTGGTTAATTTTGATTCTATTGACAAGATTTAACTTGCAATGAACAATCAATAAAAGTTAACAATATAATCACAATTACATCCAAATGATTGAGAACCAATTGAACCATATTAATTTAGTTAATTCTGATCTAATCATCAATTATAATGGATAATTCTTGATTGCTTGAGATTCCAATGATCCTTAAATCATATTTACTTGATTGTTCATTATATCAGAATTGTTATCATATTAATTTGATTGGATTCGTGACTTGGTTTCTATTATTATGATGATAGTTTTTTTTAAATGTTATTATCATCATCATATGTTGACGGTTACGATGATTAACCTGATAACTATTAATATTTACTTTCTGTTTATCATATTGATTGTTATGATTATCTCTCTTGATTAACTAGTCACGTAAATTGCTACTTGATATTAATTGTTGACAAAAAAAAGTAGTAACAATTTGTGTCCTCTCTTTTTTTTTAACCCTTAACAATTTATCACAATGATTATCGTAACAATTTAGCTGATTGTTATTAGCAAATAAAAAACGATCATCCAATTGAAATTAACATTGAATGATTTACTTAATTGTTTGTCTTGCTAATAATAAACTCAACCGTTGGTTAATAATTTTCATATTTTATATACATGTATAAGTTAACTGAGTTGACTATTGATTAATTGTTGTAAATTTGTTTTCTTTTTTCGCTGATTATATCAATTTTAGATCAACTGAATTAGAGTTTAATTTAACTGAAACCGGATTAGATGAAATTGATCCTGATAAAATTTGGGGACAAATTTACCTAACGGTTAATTTAGTGCCTCGAACTCAAGAGGAAAAGGAACAGGTAACGTAAATACAAGTTAATTGTTGATCATTAAGTTAATTGTCTCTCTCTCTCTCTCTCTCTCTCTCTCTCTAGTATTATCGTAAACCTTTACGTAATATCAATCTAAGTGCTTCCGGTGATACATCAACCAAGAAATTGAAGACACAACAATGGGACTCAGTTGTGAATATCGTTCTGGTTGAAGGTAAAAATTTAACTCCAAAGGACGAGAACGGTTTATCTGATCCTTATGTTAAATTTCAATTGGGTAAAGAAAAGCATAAAAGTAAGGTAAGAAGTGATTGTTACAATTTGATTTAATTGCTTGGTTATTATGGTTGATTTGGTTGATTTGGTTGCTTTTATTTACGTGATTTGTTTATATTTGAATGTGTAGGTTATTCCTAAATCATTGAATCCAATCTGGAATGAGCAATTTGATTTACACACTTTTCCTGATCAAAGTAAAGTGTTGGAGTTGTTTGTTTATGATCGTGATTTTCATGGACGTGATGATTTCATGGGAAAGGCAACAATTAACCTTAACAATTATAATCAAGAAGAGACTCATTCAATTTGGTCTGATCTTCAAGATGGTGAAGGTTCAATTTTACTCATGTTAACAATTAGTGGGACTCTTGGTTCAGAGTCAATATCTAATTTAGCAACTAGATCGGATAATACAAATCAAATTGAACAATTAAAAAGTCAATATGTAAGATGATCATGATTAGTTAATTTTGATTACCTCTTTAACAATTGTTTTCGCTTTCTAATTCTGGACATTCAGGGTTTGGTCAGATCGTTCAAATGTCTTAATGATGTTGGTTTTCTGGAGGTTAAAGGTAAATTCAGACTAATTGATCAGGCTAATTATTAAAATTCTCAACTAATTTTTGTATTCTCACGATTTTTAATTAGTATTTCGAGCTGAAGGATTAATAGCTGCTGATCTTGGTGGTAAATCTGATCCTTTTTGTGTAGTCGAACTTGTTAATGCTCGAGTTCAAACAAACACTGAATACAAGACACTTTGTCCTGAATGGAACAAAATATTTACATTGTAAGTCGAAAATATTACAATCAACTAATTGTTCATTAGTTAATTGACTAATCTAAATATCTTTTCACAGTCCAGTTCGTGATATTCACGAAGTATTGGAATTAACTGTTTATGATGAAGATCGAGATAAAAAGTTTGAATTTCTTGGTAAAGTTGCTATTCCTCTACTAAAGGTAAACACAATTAACTAATTACAATACAGTTTTGGATAATAATTAACTCATGTTTTCTTTAAATTAGATTGTAAATGGTGAGAAAAAATGGTTTCCATTAAAAGACAAGAAACTATTGAAACGAACCAAAGGTCGAATCTTATTGGAAATGACAATTTACTTTAATCATGTAAGAACTAAATTAACTTGTAATCATTTTCGTTTCTCTCTTGACAATTAACTTTACTCCTTTTATCCTTTCAGGTTCGTGCTTGTATACGCACATTTAATCCACGAGAGATTAAGGTTATCTCGGAAGTTTCGAAATTCAAGAAATCCATTTTCGTTCGTAACGTTTACCGAGTTAAAAGCCTCGCAATGGAAATCCGTCAAATCTACAATTGGATTAATAGTTGTTTCCAATGGGAAAATGTGCCTCGATCAATTATCTCCTTTATTACCTTTTTACTGATTACCTTTTATTTCCAACTATTTATGGTTCCGTTATTTTTATTGCTAATCTTTTTACGATATTATATTTGGAATAAAATTTCATCTTATTTTAATCCTAATCCGAGTTCCGATGAATCAGCTGATCTCCTTTTGGAAGGCGATGAAGACGATGACAAAGATCAAGGGGTAATTTTCAATATTATCATTTGATTGTTTGATTTTTCGACTAAGTAAATTTGTTGATTGTCTTTGGATGTTTGATTTAATTTAGGAGGAGAAAAAATCATTAATGGAAAAGTTCAATGCGATTCAAGAAGTTGGTGCAACCGTTCAAAATGCCTTGGGCATGATTGCCTCTTATATGGAGAGAGTTAAAAAGTTAGTTAATTGTTGATGAAACTTTTTCAATTGAAACTATTTGATTTACTAATTACTGTTTGGTTTCTTGGTTGTTTTTCAGTACTTTTAATTTTAGTGTGCCTTTTTTATCGTGGTTAGCGATTGTGGTTTTAATTGTTGCAACGATTATCGTTTACTTCATACCTTTGCGTTATATTATCATGGCCTGGGGGGTTAATAAATTCACTAAGAAATTAAGAAATCCTAATTACATATCCAACAATGAGTTGATTGATTTCTTATCCAGAATTCCTGATATCGATGAACTTGTAAGATTTTTTGTTTCTTTTTCTATTATTATTATTATTGATGATTAACTAATTGTTTTCTCTGTTTTTTTTAATTGCTCCAATAGGTGATGTATCGTGAGCTAAATGATGAGATTAATTCACCAAGTGATCAACTAATTGCTGCTTCAAACACTAATAGTAAACGGACAAAGAAACGTCAATGAGTTTTTGATTGCAAGTTAATTGTTTTCATTGATTGTAAACAATTTGGATTTAACTTTCAATCAGAAATCAACTTTTTCCCAAATCCAATCATTAACAATCATCTTAATTACTATCATTATCTTTATCGTCCACAAACAATTAATATTTCTGTTAAATATTATCCTCGCTTTCTATGCATTCCCTGTTGTTAATTGTTATTATATTAATTCAATTTAATTCAGTTAATTTTAACAATCGAGTTGAGAAAAAAAATACTTTTGTTTGGTTGTGATGAATTTAAAAAAAGAAAACACTTACTACAATTAACTAATTGTTGAATCTATAAGAGATATGATCAACTCGTTGATTGAGGTTAATTAATTTTCACCAGTTGTCTTTCCTTAATTGTTATCGTAAGAAACTAATTACAATCAAATTTGATTCCGTCTTGTTGTTAGAATTGATTGACTAACAATTAATATAATTATGATGATGATAAAACAAAACTGGATGAAAATGATTAAACAATCAACTATTTAATTAAATTAAAACACTTTTGATGAGTGAACATTTTTCCTGTGTGTTTTTATTTACATGTAAATAATTTGACAATTTAAATTGTTTCAATTGAAACTCACACACACACACACTGATTGTTTGAAATAATTGTTACACTTTAAAAATTATTATTATTTAATTGCTGCCTTTAAATTTGTTCACAATTTGTTAAATCATTTGACAATCAAATATTACATATAAACCGTTAATTTAATTTAATTTTGGTTTATAAATTGTGTTGCTAATTATCAATCACATTCTAATTTATAAAATGATTCAATTAACTTTTTATTGATTAATTTTGTTATGACAATTTAATTATATCAATTCGCCAACAATTAACAAAAGTTTTCAACTTTTCTTTAATTTCTAATGAAAATTGATTCATTATTTCAAATAAAAAGATTTTCCCCCAAATTTAAAACTCCAAAACTCACAATTTATTCCAATCGTTTATCAACAGGAATAAAATATCTTCTAAGAATTTAATTTAATTGTTGTTAACTGATTAAGAAGAAAATTTTTTCTTCCAATTTGATTTAGTGGAAAAACGAATTTCGCGCTTAAAACCAGAGGGCGCTGCTTGGTTTCCATGGAAACTTCGGTTCTCATGTTTCTGTTTCCTGTTCCGAGTTGTGTCTTGTTTTCATGTTTTTAGTATAAAATTAAATTCTTGTGTTTTGATTAGTAGTTAATTAATTTAATTAAGTTTGGTCATTATGGCTAAGAACGTAAATAAGAAGGTTAATAAGAAGGTTAATAATAAACGTGGTTTCGAGCTCGTTGTTGGTCTTAAAAGAGGTCATCGAGTTACCCCAGTTAAAGCTAAAACCGCAAAGACAGCTCAAGTACCTGGTGTAAGTATTGATTTAAATCGACATTTCTTTTAATCTCTCTCATGGTTTTTTCTTTTGATTTATGGCTGTGATACCTTTGTTTTATGTTAATCTGTAACTTTTGGATGCTCATGTTTAATGTCTATTCTTTTTCTCTTCATTTGGTTCTTTAGAAAATCGCTAAGCAAAACAAATTTGTTAGAGAAATTGTCAGAGAAATTAGTGGACACGCACCTTATGAAAAACGATGTCTTGAATTGTTAAGGATTTCCAAGGATAAGCGAGCCCTTAAATTTTTGAAGAGACGTTTGGGAACCCATGCCCGAGCCAAGAAAAAGCGAGATGAATTATCTAACGTTCTTATTCAACAAAGGAAAGCCACTGCTGCTGCCCACAAATAGGAAAGTTGTTCGACTTATTTTGTACACCAAGGATAATGAAAACAACTCAAATCTTGTTTATTTAAGACCACGTGAAAAAGTCTAACATAACAAAAAAAACCAAAATTAAACAAATTCAATTGTTTAAGACAAATTGTTGAATCTTTACACTGATTTAATACCAATTACTCACGTATACATATGACTATATCTCTAAATATAGTGTGTATGTTTTACTTCAAACAAACGGCTAGAAAAACAAAATTCGTGTACTATGATGACCCTCGGGCAATTTTGTAAATCATGAAATTTCGGTTCTTACGCTAATTTTTATTTCAATAGAAGCGAAATTTATAAAAACACTCATGTAATATAAATCGATGACAATGAAGACGATAAACAAATGATGGCAAATGGTAAATGGATTTCATCACCTTTGGATCAACTAAAGATGAAACTCGAAAATCAATCGGTGACAATTAACGATAACCACCATGATTTCCTGGTGGAGAATAGCGTCCACCTGATCCTTGATCATTTTCCTTTCGATGGACATAATAGCAGAAAAAAACTGTCACCCCGAGAGCACAAAATCCAGCGAAAGCACCAACGACAATTCCAGTGATCTCACCAGGAGTAAATGAACCTAATCAACGAAAGAAAAAGAAATTAACAAATCAGTTCGTTAGTTAATTCGGATAAAAATCTAATCTCAAACTCTCTTTAAATTTTCCAAAGAAAACAAAGAAATTGTTGTAACTGTAAACACTATTGATCTAAAATTTAGATTCTAAATAATCAATTGATTATTTTCGATGAATCGATCAATTTGATTAGTCTGATTAGTTAATTAACTTACCCTTTCTCTCTCCCCTGTAATTTTGGAATGGATCGTAAGCTCCTTGACCAATTGTCTCTTTAATCAAACCAATTACTGGAAAATTTGATTATCACAATTTACAGAAATAATCAAATATAAGAAAAGAATAGAAATTAACAAAAATTTCTCTTAAACAATCAATTAATTACTTTATCGACTTACCTAAAATCGTAAATGTCAATCTGGTTAACATGTTGATGATTAAAGTTCGTAAAGTTAAAGTTAATTTGAAATTCGAAAAGACAATTTATAATTTAAACTAATCAACTGATTGTAAACTAACAAAATGGTGGCAACGCCTAAGAGTAAATAGATTAATCATTTAGCTGATTTCAAGAAAGTCAACAATTCCCTGATTAGAATCATGGTTTCCTTGTTAACCAACTGATAAGAAGGCCTTAATTGTGGATTATTAATGAAAACAATTGACTAACAATCAATTAGAAGTGTTTATATTTTCCTGTTTCAACTCTTGAGAAAAACAATCATTAAAATCAATGACAATGTTAATTTATTTTTCTTCAGTTAATTAATTTGGGTTAACAAATTAAATCAATTGTCACCTTATTAAAGTGATTAAATTTAATTGCTGATATAATATTGGAAAATAAAGTTTAAAACTTAATTTCTGAGACACTTTTTAATAGTTGAATTTATCATTAATCAATTTTTGTACAATTAAAACGCACTTTTTTTTGCTGTTTGTATTAAATTAATAATATTTAGGCAATTAAATATAACAATTAAATTGACAAAACAATCAATCAATTATATGGATAAAAAAGATGAAGTAAAAATGGAAAATGATGAAAATTTTGATCAATTAGTTAAATACATTTTTCAAATATATTATGATTGTAATTTAAGGCTTTGGATGGCAAATTGTTTGCAGTTAATTAATAGTTCACTTGATTAGCCATGTTGATTGTTAGTAAAATTTGTGAATAACATTTTGGCTGATTAGTTGACTTGTTGGCTCGAAAAGGTGAATGATTAAAATGTGAGAAAAAATAAATCGATGATCAATGAAAATGATGATTGATTGTCAATGGAAAATAAAAATGGAATCAATTTTTCAGTCTCTAAAACAAACAAGCAAAACAAAAACAAAAGTATAATTATCCCAAGAGCATAACTAATTAGTGTATAAATTAATTGTAATAAAAAAGCATCAAGAGTAAATCATAATTGATGCTCATCTTTATCACGGATCGAGAGAGAAGTGTAATTGTCATTGATTCGATTGGGACTGGGATTGGTAGAAATCGGCTAATATTTTCCAAGCTTTGGTCACCATGAATCCCTCCGGTGGAGTTTGTCCATTTCTGGCCAGTGTCCGCATTTGCGTTCCCGAAATGAACAGAAATTTATCGGCCTCATTGGGCTCGTAAAAGTCCATACAACTTTTTTCAATGTTGTAAGCGGCCACTTTGAAAGGAATTATATCAAATTGACTAAGCCCTCTGGCAATTTGTAACAATTTAGCGCCATGAGCACCATTATAAAGATCACCGGAGCCATTTGGATGGCCAATGCCCGCTGGGTCACGACCAACGATGTAATAATTGGCTCCGGTCACCAAACGAGCCTTACAATGCCATTGGACTTCAACGGGACCCGCGTAAGACATTGGGGACGGGAAAATGGCCAAAACCGTTGAGTCGGGATCCAGTGCTCGCTCCTCAAGAATGGCCTTGTGTTGTTCAATTCGCACTTTCAAAGGTACATCATCTTCCTTAGTCCAACCACCCAACGGGTGTAATAGTAAAACTGGATTCTGACATTGACGTTTCAATAATTGTCTCCGTGTCTCTTGCATCAATAGTGTGTGACCATTGTGAATCGGATTCCGTAATTGGAATGCATAAACAGCATCAGCCTGAGGACAATCAACAAAATCAAATTATTTTCATGACAATTAGTCAAACAACTTAATAGAATTGCGAAAAAACAAAAAGAAAACTAAAATAAAGCTAAACTTGTTTTTCCATCACCGAGAAAAAACCATCAATTGATGATTATAACCAATTAAATCAATTAAACCAATTAAATGAATCATCTACGGTACAATGACAGTAATTAAACTCTCGATGAGCAGATTTTGATTCCAGTTTTCTCAGTCTAACTAATTGTTAATTGTATTTTCGCTGTTGATTAACTTACTCCCATCTTCTTGAATTTCGCACGAAGCTCACCGGGAGTTAATCGATATTGATCTAGCCCATCGTTCCAGGTTATCTTCTCGAATACCGATAGATCACCTCCGACAAGATAATCTCCGCTTTCATAGATCATTTTAATCGTCGGATGACCTAAATCAGTGGTTCCAAATATTCGAGCACAACGTTCTTCCTTCCGGTGAGAATAGAATTCCGGTTCTTTCAGAATAGCATAACATGTATTCTTGTACCAAAGGCCGATTTCCTGTTCATTTTCTAATCGCTGTTTATCCAGAGTGGAAATGGAAAGAACAATTGGAATTGTTTGATTAACTAGACCTCCTGTTTGGAGAGAATTAGAGAACCGAAAATTGGAAAGATTAGTCTAATTGATTGGAATAAAGGAAATCGATTAAAATTATATCTGATTAACATTCAAAGGAGAGAATTAGAACAATCAATAAATTATCTTTAGATAACCCAAACAAACCTCGAATTGTTCCCTTGTGAATACATTCAAGATATTCGAGTTCTCTCATGAATCCGGTCAAAGGTGTAGCCCAACCTTCACTTAGCACTTGAATCCATTCGAGGTCGATTCGGGTTATGTCCAATCGAGCGATTTGTTGACTATCTTCGGCGTTCAATCTTTCTTTTATCTCAGGCAGTAAATGAGACGGAGTGAAAAGTTCGAGAATACGAGTGTGAATACATTGTCTCTCCTCGAGAAGACGAATAACTTTCTCGACCGATTCCTCGACATTTAAATCCATCGTGGTTAATATAAGATCGGGTGTTTCCGGTTTCTCGTAGGGAGCATCGATTCCAGTGAAACCTTTAATTAAACCAGAGCGAAATTTTTTGTACAATCCCTTTGGATCTCGTCTTTCACATTCTTCCACCGGTGTGTCCATGTAACACTCTAAAAAATCAACACCTTTACTTGAGTGAATCGATCGAGCAAGAGCTCTATCTGCTTCGAACGGAGAAATTAAACTAACCACTGGTAATAGAAGATTCGATTCGGCCAGGATAGTGGCCACTTCAGCTGTTCGACGTAAATTCTCCTTCCTATCAGCTGGACTAAACCCTAGGTCACTATTTAATCCCGTTCGGAGTTTATCTCCATCCAAATTGATCGCATTGTAGCCCAATGACTTTAATTGTGTCACCACACCATTGGCGATGGTTGACTTGCCACTACCAGAGATACCTGAGAGTAAATTAAGATAAGGTAACAAAATCACAGGTAAAGAAATGGAATCAGTTTTTTTATCCCCATTAGATAAGATGAAGCTTTTTCTTCAAAGGTAAATAACAAATCGGGTAAAATATGAGATTTCATCTCTTCTTTACCTTATTACTTTACCTGTTAGCCAAATGGTAACTGGCCTGAGAGTCCGATTATCAGTAGATTGTGGCATAGCTTGAGGAGATTAAGACAATCCAAAGGTGAGATCAATTGTAACACTGGAATGTTATTATGGGAAGACAGAACAAGAGAGCGAGAGAAAATCACAGAGATGAAACAAAACAAATATCGAATTGAAATTATCGAGGTTCCAGAATTAGAATATCATATGTACAAAGGAATAGTTAATTTACCAATTGGAGAACAAAAAAGAGATGATGATAATGATGATGATGATGATGAAGTAAATATAAACAACAGAGAAATAATTTAAACAAGATTGGAAGAGAGAGAGAGAGAGAGAGAGTATGAGAGAGAAGAGTGAATGAGTGAGAAAAGAGAGCAAGAAAACTACGAAAGGCGGAGAGTTGAAGTTATTATTAGAAAAAGAGAGTAATGTTAATTCAATGAATCAAATTGTAATAAAAGATTTATGACTAATTAATATGATCACATAGGTGAAAATTAGATAACAATTGAGTGCTAATTGTAACCGGAAAAGGAAAAGGAAAAGATGGATTGTGATTTTTTGTCTTTTCTCATCTTCATACGATTTCTAATACTTGTCATAAAAGATTATTCAAATATTCAATTCGATTATCATTTGAAATCATATTTTTTTTCAAATTTCTGGTTAATCTAGTTAATTTATATTCACTTTATCTCAATTCGATCAGGTAAATATTGATTTTATCAAAAGTTCAGATTGAGTTTCAACATACACAGATATTGATTTCCAACAATTAGAAAAATTTTACTGCATTTAATGAATAACAATTGATGAATTTCACAGGAACAATAATTGTTGATTAACTGCTAATTACGATCCTTTGATAGGCCACAAATTATAAAACACTTTGATTCCGTTGGAATTTTTCATCGAGGCTTCGGTATTAAACTATTGTAATGTTCACCTAGCTGGTAAGCGTGTCTATGGTAACTGTTGAGGAGAAGAGAAAATTAGTTTGTTATTTGGATCGAATTGTTCAACGATTGGATCAACTTACCTAATGGTTAGTGGGGTTTTCGATCGATTTCTTTCAATTCCAATATCGATCGCTGGTCCAGTTGCTTGGATAACTTTAATTGGAACTGATAAACCGTAGGAAAGAGCTTGGAGTTCAATGTTTCCACCCCAACATTTTGTTTTCTCAATTTCATCACAATACTTGTTGTATCTTTGATCGTCCATTGGATCATCACTTTCGGTGTTGGTGAGAAAAGGTTGAAATTCATCTTTTCGTTTTCTCATCTCATTAGCACAAAGTGACCTCAGTTCTTGTACATTGGTTTTACGTCCTTTTAGACTCAATTGATGTTCAATCGCTTTGAACATACAGTCACCATCCGAAGGAATATCATGTAAACAAAGACCCATTTCGTTTAATATTACTTTAAATCGATCTTGTTCCATCTTTTTTGAACTATTTTCGAACGCATCCTTAGTCTCTGCTTCGATTCTTTCGTTTTTCTCCTTTTCCATTTGTGCTTTTTTATCACGTTTACGTTGAGCTTTTGATATTTTGACAACTTTGTAAAATGAATTTCCAACCGTTTCAACCTCACCATCCGATCCATTGGCACTGGAATTGGACACTAGAGATCCCGTCGCTTCTGCCATGGTTTATCACGAACTAAAGGACGACAATGGAAAAGACAATAAATGATAATCAAGTAGATTAAAAGTGATCGCTGATCATTAGATACAATTAACAATCTAAATCACCTGATGGTCGGTCAATCATCTCGAGAATCAAGTGTCAGACCAACAGATGTCTCTCTTTAAATAGTAAACCGGTAGATTTAAACAAAATCAATTCGTTTTAAATTGTTTAGAAAATTAATTCAATTCTGTAAATTGAATTATCGAATTTTAGAATAAAAAACAAAAAGAACCATGAAGATGATCTGGTTCGTTATTTTCAGTGGATGAAACAATTGATTTCATCAAGATTATTAGAGTTGATTGAATGATGAAAATGTGAGTATTTTAAACAAATGATGTAAGTTAATTGTAATTTTGATGGTGCAAAACTTTGCTACAATTTGTGTAGTAAGGAGATGAAGAGTTGCTATGTTTAATTTTTTTAATTGTTTATCTAATAAACATGTTTTCTTATAAAGTCTATGTGATAATTGTAGTGATTTTACAAAAAAAAAACAACACAAGCTTTTAGGTGTTTAAATGGTTGACGGAAAAATGAATGACTTGATCTAATTGATTTTGGTTTGGATTGGTTGATGGTTATGGTAACATTTAAATTGATTAATGATTGTACCAATTGTAGGTTTGAATTGGCACAATAAATGCAACTATTAGTAATAGTAGACAATTTAAATGAGCAAATTATCTTGTTTAACTATTAATTGTAACTGGAACTATTGTCGTCTTCTTTGTTGTATTGTGAATCATAGTTTCGACGTCTTTGTCCACCGTAATTGTCATTTCGTCGGTAACCACCGGTAGATGATCTGTATCCTCCATCTCCACGAGGTCCGCCGACTCGTCGATAGTTATTGTCTCGTTGTTGACCAGCTCCATAATTACCTGTTCCGTAATCATTTGAGCCATAATTACGGGGAGATCCATAGCCACCACCTGATCTGTAGCCACCGGCACCTTCACTACGGTCATTTTGAACGAAACCCGATCCTTGTCTGTATTGTTGTTGATCAGGTCGAACCGTTCTTTCAATTGGATTACAAAGAACTGGTTCTAATGAGTTTTCTTGAATAAGTTTGTTTTCTTGTAACGATCTTTTAATGTTCTCCCAATCGTTTTTGGCCTCAGAATTTTCTGAAGATTCAACAGCAGCATCAATCTTTTCAATGGCTTCTGAAAGGACAATTGCTCTTTCAATCGGACGTCCACGGTTGATTATATTTCTAATGATGTAAAGAATATCATCAATTCTCTTCAAACTGGCCAAAGCCATAAGTCGAATGGTAAGAAGGACAGCACTATTGGCAGGAGTTTCGATCATTGTGAGACTTTCAAGAGCAACCTCAGGATCATTCTGCTTCAATGCTAATGCCGAGAAGAATGAAATTGCTCGTCTTGTGAATCGAGATTTGCTTTCACGAATTTCGACAAAAAGATTTAGACAATACTTAAAGGATTCCGTTGTATTCTTTGGCAAAATAGAAATAAGATTAAGTAATTAGAATCAATTTCAACTTGACAGTAGTAATTAAAACCTACCAATTTGAAACAAGATGAAGCAACTAATGTTATAATATCTCGTGGGTATTTGTAGTTTCTTCCTTCCATGTTCTTGAATCGATCGTATAACTCTAAGATTTGTTGGTATTTTCCTTGTTCCCAACAAAGATCCATAGCAATTAAAAAGCTTCGTTCCTGATTAAAGAAATCACCATATTTCTAAAATAGTTAACAAAAGGAGAAAAGAAAATGCCGTTATATTAACACGTGCTCGTGAAAGTTAATCCATGATGGAAATTTGTGATCAACTCAATAGAATAAAACAATTCGATAAACATACAGTGTCCATCAACATCTCGTAGGCTAAATCACTGTCTCCAAATAGATAAAATAATCTCATAACCACAGGGCCGAATTGGTAAGTGGAAAATTTAATATCAGTTGTTTGTTCAGTGTATCTAAAGAAATTGAAAGAAATTTTTCAATGAGAAAACGAAAACATGGTGAATAATATCATGTAAAAGTTAAGAATATCGAAATGAATACTTACTTAGTGATCACTTGCTTAAGTAAATTCACATCTTCAGGTTGATTAGAAATAAGAAATATAGAATTTTTCAGATCTTCTGAAAAGATCATCTTATTTTTACCCTCGATGGTTGATTTCATGCGTTCAATAAGATTCTCCTTAAGATGACCAAATTGACCTGAAACTTTGGTTCGTTGATTTTCAAAGACATCAACACCCAAAAAACTAGCTGTATACAAAAATCGTGGGCCTGAGGGTAATAAAGATCCACTTGAAGTTGGTAACAAAATTGTGTTCAAATTTGTTTTCAATGAACAACCATATTTGTAAGTGGAAACATTTTTAGAGCACAAACCAGCAAAACGAGAGCTAATCAAATTAGACATTCTTATTGTACAACCAGTGAAGAAAAAATATATCAAATTGTCACAGAAAATTAGGATAAATTAAACAGAAAACCACTAATTAATTAATTAATTAAAGGGAAATTGGTAATCAACAACAAAAGGACAATTGGGTTTCCAAATTCAGTCCATGTGCTGGTAGAAACGTGCAGAGAACTAGTGACATCTATGGAAAAAATAATCAACTAGTTTCGATTTTTTTTCTAATCGTGTTGATTGACTTCTTTGATTCTTTTTCTTTTCATTATGATTAAATTATTCTTTATCCTCTGGACCAGATTCTAGAGGGTCAGTCTTTCACTGTTGACCTTAAAAGAGATAATCTGAAGCGACTAAATCGATTACTGATCTTATGTTTGGGTAAATTCAGCAGAAGAACCGTTCAGTTGATCGTTCATATGATAATCACTGGAGATTCATTCGAGAAATAAATCTACTACAAAACGATAATGGACTTCTAATGGTTTATCAAACTTTAAATATCCACAAGTTAATTAGTTAAAAAGTTAATGTTCCAAATTTTGATTATTCCAACAAAATTTTCCTCCACTCGATTTTGTTGAAAGAACCAAACTCTTTACAAGAAATTGCTCAAGCCCTGTGGAAGGCTCCCTTTCCCTAATTTTCCGAAACTTACATTTAATTATCAATCATATTGTTTGGATTATCGATTCTGCAATTACTAACAAACTTTTGCCACTCATGAACTTCAATTGGAAAAAAAATTTTCGAAAAAAAGAGAAAAAAATAGTGAACATTTTAACCGAGAGATGGAGCCACTCGGAGAATTCTGACTGTTGTTGACTGAGATTCTCACATTCAACTTGACTCGATTTCGATTAAATCAAGTTACAATTGTAATCAAATCAACATCTCGTTAGTTATTGTAATTAATTTGAACACGTTTTGTTACCATATTTGATCGGAATTAGTTGTGTTCAAAGTGTTGGTGTTTGGAGTACATTTGATTGTCTTTGGTTAATTTTGTTCGGCTTTTGGTTAAACAAAAACAAAAACAGAAACAATAACAACAAGACAATATAAAGATAAATGATAATCAATGGAATGCTCAATTTGTCTTGAAACCTGTATTCAACCTGTTGAACTGCCCTGTGGCCATATATTTTGTTTCCTTTGTGTGAAAGGAGTCGCTGATAGGTATCAAAATTGTGCCATGTGCCGAAAACCAATTCCAGAAGATTATTTTGAAAATCCAGTGTTGGTATCAAGCGGTGAGCCTCTTGATTTAATTGAATTTGATGGAGGTTACCAATGGTTTTACGAAGGTAAAAATGGTTGGTGGTTGTACGATCCACGGACAAGCTCAGACCTTGAAGAAGCATTTAAACTTGGCCAACCAACTTGTCAACTGTTAATCGCTGGTCACTTGTATTACATTGATTTTATCCGGATGGTTCAGTATCGATCTGCTGAGCCCAAAAAACGCCGAAGAATAAAAAGAGACGCCATCCAATCAACAATAACTAAAGGAATCGCTGGTTTAAAATCATTTGAAGTTCTATCCACAAATTACCTCGGCGATAAACCAAGTGCTCCGCCAATGTCTCCCCCACTACCAGCAATTCCAACACCATCAACACTATCACCCAGATATCAGAAGCTACAAATTTCATCTTCATCTACCTCTCACCTCACCCTACCACCTCCACCTCCACCACCGCCATCTCCTGCTTTGCCAATCTCATCCCTTTCTTTATCATCTTCTCCACCACAATCATCATCATCATCTTCATCCCCATCAAATGGACTTAAAAACCATCGAAAAAAGTTTCTCATCGCATCACCTTTTTCCTGGCAATCTTCATCTCTATCTTCATCTCCATCTTCCACATCTCTACCATCCTCATCTTCTTGGCTTTCTCCCTCTAATCATTTTCCACCTCCAACTCCATTATATCGACCTCCATCAATCGGAGAATTGATCAATAGACTTTCCTCTGTACTTGGAAACGATTCTAATCTTTTACGATGAACAATCAAATTTTTCCTTAGCCAATCTTATCGCCAATTTGGTCAACAATTAACTGTTTCAGCACTTTTTCAATTGTCAAAAACCGGTCACCGGTTAATTATTTTTTGCCTCTTTCTTTGCTCTCCCTTCTCGAAAATGTTAATTCAGATCGATTTTCGTACACTTGCTGTTTTTTTAAATTATCTTTTAAAATCCTGGTCAAGACTTTTAATTGCTTCAAAATTTAGCAAATCAAATTAATATCTTCAGATGAAAAATGAATTTACAATTAAATCCGCCGATAGCAGAAAGATTTTAAATAAAATATTTTGAGTTTTATTGAGAAAACAAACATCATTATGATATTTATTTTGTTGCTTTGAGTATATTTTAAATCATTTATATGTTACAATCAATTGATTGTTTTATATTATTTCTCTCTTTTTCATTTCCTCTTTCAATATTGAAAATTATTTTCTATTCAAATTTATGTTAAATTTTGAATAGTTTTCTTTCAGTAAATTGTTTCAATTTACTTAATACAATTACTTTCTCTCGATTATAAACTGTACAAACAAATTGAAAGCCATTAATCATTAGTAACTTTCTAGATGATTAGAATAAGTATAAAAACCATGACAATTATCAGAATCCTGTTTGATTATAACAATGATTATCTCCAATAATTATTGAACTTTTTCATTCGGTGAACAAATCAAATCAATTTTCCTTGAAATTTTGGGAATACGATGATGACGATGATGATAAAAATGGGAATGAAGATTTACAAAGATAATCTGTTCCAAAATTCCTCTCGATGTTTAATCAGCGTTAATCAATTTTCATTTACTATTGGTGTAGTTTAATTTCCGTTTTAATTTTCATTCCAATTTGTTTAATTGATGGAAAAATAAACAAATTAAGTTGAAGGTTAACCTAAAGTTGATAAAACGCTTTTAAGATCCAACCAACTAATTGTTGACACAGTTTCGAAGTAAAAATTTACGATAAATTAATTTCTCAAGGATCAAAATCATTGACAAGAAAATGATGAATGAAACCAGCTTTCTTTTTCTCAATTTCTTGAATACTGTTAGAATGAGCTCCTTTTGATGAATTTGTTGATTGATTAACCGGAGCTCGCAATACGATATCACCAAATATTGATGCTAATTAAAAAAGAAAAACAATGAACAATTAAAAATTAATATAAGAATTAAAAAAATCTGTGCAGTATTGATGTGAAAAAATTAGCAACCGAAGCTTTTTCAATGACGCTTGAAATTGTTGCTTGAAAAACCGATTAGTTTCTGTTAATTGTCAACAATTACCTAAGATTTTGTTATCAAGATTATTGTATTTTGAATGGCGTAACAATTCACGCATAAACGAGATCAGGTAATAAAAAACTCTCCGATGAGTATCTTTCATTTCATTGATTACCTGGATATGGAAAAAGGGAAATAATTTGTTTAAAATTATAGAGAGTGTAACGATAATGGGTGATGAATATGCGTGTGAATTAGTTAATTACCTGTTTACAAGAAATGAAATTGTGATAATTTTCAAGAGCTCGACTATATAAACTGTGGGGAATCAATGGTTCTGCAAGAGCTTCCAAAAATATCAACAGCGCTTCAGCAACTGAATGAATCGAAGCTGCAAAACCTTCAAGGGAGCCCTTGTCCAGCCCTTCCCTGATTATTTGAAAGTGGGTATTCAAACCGGGTTGTTGAAATAGATCTTCTTGCATGAGGCCATATTTGAATAGGTGATCTACCAGAAGCCAGATCTCTTTGGGTATTCCCCATGAAATGGGTGCCGATGAAAGTTCACCGGCCTGTTGAAGCTCATGATAGTCTTTGGCTGGCATTTCATCAATCGGAGTTTTCAGCCGAACCAAAGTTTCAATTGAAGAGCCAAAGCTTGATGGTTTATAGGAACCTTTAATTTCAATGAATAAATCTTTGCCTCCCTCTAAATGTAGCACCAGAATATCATATATCTCTTCGAGACCAGAATTTAAACGTTGAGATGATTCAATGTCCACATAAACCTTCAGTTCAACATCTAATTTATCTCCTGGTTTAATCATTGATTCGTAGGGTTGAATTTGTAACCAGGCTTTACAGAAACGAACCTCATTTGGTTTCTGAATAAATTCAAAGCGAACTGGAACTTGTCCAGTATTGGCAATTGATAAGTAACGACGAACAGGTTCACGAAAGGTAACACGTCCAAAGTTAAGTTCACTTTGGTCAACGGAAACTTGAGGTAAAAATTCATTCTCAATTTTATCCATTTTCTTCATTACATCTTCATAAACTTTACGGAACTTGACTGAATTTTTGACCTTAACCGAAGACTCAAAAAGTGCACTTATTGGTTTGTGGTCACTTAGCTTTAAACGTGAATGAGATCGATAGTCCAACAGAGCGATTGAATCACCTCGCCATAAGCAACGGTCACACCAAGCAGGAGGTCGGTTTTTTTCACTCGAATCCCAATTATCGGTTCCCGGGTCATACTTGTAGGTTGGTGCATGTTTAATTGGTCCTTCTTTGAAATTATGGAAGATTCGTTTCAATCTCCATTGATCACGAAGTTGATCGTGTTTTAATAATTCCTCAAATGCTTTGGCTTCTAACATATTCTTAACTTGATCACGATTTAGATCCATAAGACGATAATTTAAATCTCCAAACCAGTAGACTTGACTAGAAGAAAAGAAATCAAAAGAAAGAATAAAAAATTGGTAAGTGAACAATAATTAATAATCGAGTAACTATTAAGCAGTTATCAAGGAAACGCTACTTTTTTAATCGTTTAAAATCAATTACTATTAGATCGTTTACTATTATTAGATTGAAAAAAATGATTAGATGCAACAATTGACTTAATTGTTCTTTGTAGAACAACTTTTCAAACATTAATTGAAGGTTAGATAAATATCGCATTACAACCGGAAGAAAGATAATCTTCCAGTCTCATGATGAAAATATTATATTGAAGTCTATGTATGGACAATCATAGACTTCAAGATCACAGGAAAACTATTAGTGATTCATTAAACTAACACAATCAAGGAAATGATAAAAATGGAAAACGATTTGGTTTTTATCTTCTCCGTCAACGTAATTCTACTTACTCGTGATCTTTAATATATTTTGGAGGTTTAAATTGACTGAAAATCATTCGATTGCAGATATCATTGTAATCTTGATTTCGTCTTTCATATTCTTCAACGTGAGCGGCGAGGTGAGAATTAACAAAACACATTGATGTATTGTAGAAATCAAATCTAATGGCAACTCCTCCTTTATTACCCATTTTACCGAGTATACCGGTTCCCACTGTTTCGGAGGCCACATTTGAAACGTGCTCTTCTAACTCTCGTTTAACAAACACAATTAACATCATCCCGATCAAACGGACAAGTTTAACCTTAACGTAAGTAGCACTAGGATGTAAGCTAAGAGTACATGCTTGTAGCCATTCATCTTCTCGAGTTGAATCATTGAAAACAAAGGCTTCTTTTGAAAGATCTAATTCTTGGAAACCAATTGCATAAATATCTGGTGGATTTGCATCGGAAGCGAGCCAATTTTCACCCAATGAAACTGAACAATTTTGTCCATTCACATTCCAGGAACCAATGAAAATATTGAATGACTTTAATTCGGTATATTGATCTTCTAACATGGCCATCTTGAGACGTATATTAATCTCACGAGCAGCAAGTGGGGTGACACCCATGGCGACCATATCTCGAGGAATATTGGAAAGATCATCAGGAGATTCAATTTCATTAACGTAGAAATTACTTTTTCCAATTTTACCATTTCCACTTCGATTATCTCCACCATGAGCAGTTGTTGGTGTCGAAGATGGTGGTATTGTCATATTGGTGTTTGTGGTTGGAATTGTCGTCGAATTGTTAGACAGTTGAAGAGTATTTAAGGCTTCCGTTGAAATGGTCAGGTCAATAGAGGTTTTGGTGTTACTTTTTGTTATAGAATTCATTCCTTCTTTTAAGTACAATTTTTGAGCAATTTGAGATGATAAATGGTCTTCTGAGTTCGATGGTGTTACACTTGGATCATAGGATCGATATAACCAGTCAAATGAAGGGCTAGTTTTACACAGAAAAACTGGAAAAACAAGAAAAGGAAAAAGAAAGAAAAAAGTTAATTACTTTGTTTTCCCAAATTGGCAGGGTTTTGATAATCAATAGAATTAAATGAAAAAAAACAATTAAAAGTACAGTTGAAATTAAATGATTACCATCTTGAGCTTTGTTGGTTTCAACGAAAAAATGACGATTTACTTCAGTGTATTTTAATTCAATGATGAACTTTTCCTTCCCATGGATAATTTTGGCTAAAATATTGTCACCAGCTAGAATTAAAAGGAAGTGGACAGAGAAAAAGCAGAAAACAAATAAAAGAATAGTTAAAAACAATGGTTAATCGTAATTGAAAAGAAAAGATTGTTCAACCAGAAAAGTAAAGGTAAAAACAATAAGTGACAATTAAAAGACAATAAGTGGAAAAAGATGAAGAAAATTGTGTGATTAAGAAGAGGAAGAGGAGGGAAATGATAGGGAAGAAAGTAATCAATCAGGGATGACCAAACTTGTTACTTACAATCAGTATCAATACCGGAAGAACCTGAAAAACACAATTAGAATTATTAAAAAGTTATTAAATCCATCAAATGTTTGTTGACAGGTTGAAGATTATGAATTATGTGTTAACATGTGAGTAAAGATAAATGAAATTAATTGTTACTATTATTATTGTCATACAAATGAATGATTTCCTACAATTAAACTAGTTGCCAAGTAAATTGTGATCAATTTTTCATTGGTCATCAATAAAATAACCATTGGTAATCAACTGTCAACCCTGGATTATTATTATTGATGATCAATCAGTGACAATTTAATTGTAGTTAAAATAGAAATAAGGGAAACTGTAAATAATTAACTGTTATTATTTTCATAACATAAGAGATATTATTAGGAAAATGAAAGCAGTTAATTGTTAAATTTAAATTCAATTTACTCACCAAATTCACACTTAAATCGATCGTCAATTGGTAACACAAAATCAACCGTTAATTGTTGCTTATTTTTATCAATCTGATTGTCACATCGGTTGATAACAAGTAACCTGAAGAGAGAGAGAGAGAGAAGAGGAGATTAGTCAGTTTGAAATCAAGAATATAAACTGGAAAACATTGAATTGAAACAGAAAAATAAGGCGGTGGTGGTGAGAGAGATGATGATTTAGAGAAAAGAATAGGGATGATAAATACACTGGATGATTGAGGTGTAATAGAAAATATTGTCAATCTACTGATACTTATGATGAATTCAATTGATTCATGGGAAAGGGAATCATTCAAAATGTAAAAGAAGGTGAGATTAAGGAGAAACAAGAGAATAGAATTTTTAAAAAGCGAGAGAGAGAGAGAGAGTTACACATTAGATGTCCTTGAATGTTTCATCTTTTTTTTCACTAAACAAATTGATGAAAAGGATGATGATGAGAGATTAAGATGTAAATTCAATGAAATAACGATTAGTGACCATAGAGATTAGAAGAGGATAAATCATATGATCACCAATATTATTGATACTACTTGACATAACTAACCCTTGAATATAAATCCTATTTGATTATTAACACCTTTTAATATTTACAACACTAATTAACACTGATTATAATTGAAACAATAATCAGAAGCAATTGATTCTGTTGAAATATTACTAGAGGAATAAAAATAGTGGATGATATTTACAGAAAAAAAAACTGATTCAAACGGTTTTGTAGGGATGATGGTTGGATATTAATGATGTTTGAAGTTGATGATGATGATGATGGTGGTGGTGGTGTATAGTTGATGTGTTAATGCTGATGTTGGTAGTAGTGACAGTATGTTTCACAAGAAGAATCAATCAACCATCAATCAGGAGAAACAAAAATTGAGTGAGAGAGAGATGGGAAAGGGAGCGATGAACTTGAGAATTGGTAATAATAATAATGAAAATTGTAAACTCAAAAGAAAAACATGAAAAAGCAAATGATGATGGGTGATGATGTTTGTAAGAGTAAAACCACAAAAAATGGTGAGATTAGCAGAAAGAGAAAAGGTTAACCCAAAGGGATCAAGAACAGTAGATCCTGAGTAAGCTTAATAAGAAGATGATTGGAAAGAGAATAGAAAAAAAAATGATAACAAATTTAAAGCCTCAAGTTTTCTCTTAAAAGCGTTTGTTTATCATTATCAGAATGGAAAAAAAGTAACATCAGAAAATGAACAGAACTCAAGTAACTGTTATTGTAACAATCACACACTCACATTTTCCCAGTCACATACAAGAATAATAAGAGAATCAAAGTAATCACATTCTATTACCACCAACACAAAAGCCTCTTTTGTAGTCTAAGGCAAGAGATGATTAGGTTAATTGAGATAGAACAAGATAATAAGATGACAACAATTTGATAATGGAGACAATTGTTGATGGAAAATGGAGATGATGATAGTTTCGTTTTTATCGATCAAAAAATGATCCATGCAATTAAATTAATCAGGCATACCCATAGTTCTGCTGGTATTCAACCAAAGTCAGTATTCGCTTTGTAATGACACATTCTTGGAACAAACCAACAGAGATGGACTAAAAAGGATGGAAAAAGAGTAGAATGAGTGATAATCAACATACAGTTACTTTAGAATAACAGCAATAGAAAAAAAAGAGACAATCAGGTAATTGGAGAAAAAAAAAGAATAGAAAAAAAAACCAAAAGAGAATAGAATAAAATAGAAAAAAAGAAAACACAAATGAAGAACAAGAGACAAGTTCAATGTACACAAGAAGAGAAAACATTTTATACCAACCTGAACATTCTTGTGTCCGGGAGAAATAAAACTGTTAATTAGTGTGTTGATTGAATGTTGATCCATCGGTGAAAAGTGAAAATTAATTGTAATTAAAAGGAACAATTAATTCAATGAAACAAGAGATAAACATTATTCACTTTAACCGGTTAACATTATGAACCAAAAGCTTTTCAATTGCTTCTTGGTGATAGACTTTTGTTTAGATGTTTGGTCATCACCCAATTAATTTCCACTATTAACACAATCTAATTAAAAATAGATTTAAACATTCCAACGATAGTTATTCAATCACTGATGACAAAGAATTAATTGTTCAATTAATTGATTACAATTATGAAGATGATTTAATAGACAATCAGAGAGACACTTTTGCTTTTGGTCAAAGGGATATTCATATAACCATGGAAACGAAATGAATGAGAAAAATTAATAAAAAGGTTCAGTGATTAACTAATTGTTTCTATTTTTTTTTCTTCTTCTTCAAGATTTTCAATGAGTTTAGATAATCAGACTTATCTTTAAGTAGTCATATTTTTATATTCTCATGGATTAAGATGATTATTTATGAAAATATTTATTCTGTTTGTTGGTTAATCGAATCGAAGTTAATTGATTATTATCGAATTTTTTTTTATTTTATTTTGATTCGGTTGATTTTCTTCTTAAATTATGTCGGTTAATTTTCGATTGAGCTAATTTAATGTCCATTCTCTTTTTTCTTTACTGATTATTTCGTTTAATTACCGAAAATGTTTGTAGATTATTTTTTATTTGATTCGATTTCACTTATTTGAATTACGCGCTTTTCTTTTTTCTCTTACTTTTGTTGATTTGTTTTCATTTCTAAATTTTTATTTCTTTCTGAATTGTTGAACAATTTGTTTTATTGATCAATTTAATTGTGGTTTTTTGATTATTTTTACGATTATTTGTCACCATTAATTAGCTGAATATGTGGCAAGACTGTATATTGATTCTGTTCATTTCAATTTTCACTGCTCTTCTCGGTGAAGGTAAATCTTAATACCTTTTCCTGATTCCTTTTCAAACCAATGACTTTTTTTTGGATGAGTTTCAATTGTTAATTAATTTTGTTAATTATTTCATTTTATATTTCTAAAATATTTAGCTCTTACTTGGCTCATGGTCTATCGAACTGATAAGTTCAAAAAATTAAAAGGTGAAGTTGAACGACAATGTAAAAGATGTAAGTTAATTCTGATCACAATTTATGTTATTCCGCAAGTTTACCAATAAGAATTTCTATTCTATCTTTAAATTGTTCTCTAATCTCTTTCTAATCAATGTTGTATTGGTTTTATTTTTTATACACAATATTTAGTGGAAAAGAAGAAGGAAGTTCTTGGAGAACCAACCGATAAACAACAAAAAAAGAAACTGGAACGAGAGGAAGAGAAACTCAAAAATCACAATCGTGATCTATCACTTGTCAAGATGAAATCAATGTTTGCCATTGGTTTAGCTTTTACTGCTCTTCTAAGCATGTTTAATTCAATGTAAGCTTCCCCTTGATTAATTAGTAAATTGTTCTGGTCTAATAATCACATTCTCCTTACCTGATTAGCTTTGATGGTCGGATTGTTGCAAAGTTACCATTTGTACCAATCTCATTAATCCAAGGATTATCCCATAGGAATATATCTGGAAATGATTATACTGATTGCTCATTCATCTTTCTATACATTTTATGTACCATGTCAATTAGACAAGTAAGTATTACCTTAATCACTTTAATCAATAGTTTATAATAGAAAAAAAATTATTCTTTCTTCCTTTTCAACAGAATATTCAAAAAATTTTAGGATTTGCTCCATCGAGAGCAGCAAGTAAACAAACAGCTAACATTTTTGGCCCAGTTAACACAGCTCGTTGATGTAATAATCAAATCAAATAGATTAACAAATTATATCATTTATATACAATAAATTATTTACAACCTTGTGATTAACTTATTGTTAATATCCTCGGAAGATTTAAACAAAAAAAAATAGACAAGAAACTTGTGGTCAACAACAAAGCAGAGATTGAGGATAATTTTCACTGTCACAATGATTGAACATTAATCGCTGGCTAATCTCTTAATCCCTGATATGGTTTATCCAGGATGATTTGTTTTGAAACGGAACCAAAGGAATCTTGTAGTCTTTTCTTTTCCGGTCAATTCTAAACTAAATATCCCCTTATACCAATAATAGACAAAATAGATGACCAGTGCTTGAAGTGCGTGTCCAGTTAAAGCAAAAATGATCCAAAATTTAATATTAAATGGTGGATACTTTGTGGCTAAAATTGATTCAACAAGCAGGAACAGGGATGAGATAAGACAACTCGTTATGATGAAAAGTTTACGAAATCTTTTCAATCTGGTTGATTTTAATGGTGACAATTTAATTTTCACTATTTGGTAATAACAAGCGACCACAATCGCGCCGAATGTTGTTATCGAGTAGAAAATCAAACCAAAAATAAAAGCAGTTTCGTCTTTTGGACTAGTGTTTGGTAAGGTTATTGGTAACCAAAGGATAATCGCTTGGGTCACATTTGACTGGACAAACATTAAGATGATCACTTCGGATGTGTTGATCTTTTCATAAGGAGAACGAAAATCATTTGGACTTTCGGGATCACCTTTAATTGGCGTTAAAGAGATTGTCGAACCAGGAACAAAAGGAAAAGCTTTGAGTGACCTTCGAATCGGACAATGAATACGAATCTTCAATTCGGCTTCTCGAACATCAAGATCATGTAAATAGATCTCAGGTGATTCCGGGTCACTTGAATGAGCGATACGAATCTCGTCAATATTGATTAGATTAGCAAACGTATTCCAATGGATTAAGATGACTAAATATTTATTCCCTTGTTGATTAGTATAAGTTTGACCGTATTTACGAAGTGAATTAATTGGTAAAATAAATTGTCCCAATTTCTCTCTAAAGTAGAAAAATTTAACATGAATAGAAGACGAATTGTCCACCGGATATGAAGGGTCAATCAGGTCACTTCGTAATCTAATTGTGTACCAACGTTTAACCTTAACTTGGTTCCCCGGAAGGGAACAAGCATCTTCTTCCGATTCACCAGAATCCTCCAAACTAAATTGTGTCCAACGATCGTGAATCTCAAATATAATGAACAAAATGGCGAAATAGAACCAAGTGAAACTGACCATTTGTAGTGACCAAATGGAAGTGTAAATATTTCCAGCAGACATTTTACTCTTAAAGAGTAAATACTTTTCCCAATTTAACTTCATTCAGTTTAAATTGTTTCCGTAAAGAATAAATTGTTAACCGAAATTACAAAATTCTTGAATGACCATTAATCGATTAATCAACTAAATCACTCATTAGAATATACAATTAACTGTATAACTGATCAATGATAAGTTACTTTCATCTCCATAACTAGAATTACAATTTAACTAATTGTAGATGATCAAAGATTTTAAATAATTTAGGTTTAATTGTAATAAGTGATTTCAGAAGCAATCAAAGGATACTGACTGACGTTTCCATGGAAATTAATTAATTTTTTTGTTAATCCTCAGCTTAATTGTTGCGAGTAAATCATTTACTATCTTACTCTTTTTAATTAATTTCAAATTCAACAAGAGCCTGAAGATAACGGTGATTGATTGTTGTTATTAATCACGCAATTAACTGATCAAAAAGTAAATTTAATTGTTATTGTAAAATTAAATCAAGTAATAAAATAAAACAATTAAAATCAATTTGTATCTTTACATGAAGGTTACAAAGTTAACAATTAACTAAATTTATTTTTCCTGCTTCCAAATGTTAGTTAATTAAAAAATTAAAGTGATAATTGTGATAAATTGGACAATTTATTCATCAGCAATTTAAACTTGAGGTTATTAAATTAATTCCTGTGTGAAAACATACACAGGAAGTTTAATTAAATTGTCCACAAACTGATTACAATGAACAACTATTATCATAACTGATTAAGTTAATTATTAAGAATAAATTTAAATTAATATTAACCAGTTGATGAAAAATTATGATTGTTAATTAGTGAGAAAAGTTTGTCAAATAATTAAGAGGAAGTAGGAACTCAATTGCTTACCATTAATTGTAAAATTGGTTAATTTGAATTACTGGTTATCCTGATTGTTAACTGATTTACTGATTAATTAAAAGCTGATCGCGATTTGAATATTGGTGATTATCGATATGATTACTTTCTGGTGTAATTGTTGTTGTTTTATCGGGTGAAATTTTCTCTTTACGGTAATCAGTTAATTGGGACAATTTACTTTGAATCGGTTGACAAACTTTTCTGCTTAATTTTTGTCTTAATCATCATGAGATCACCAATAATGCTAATCATCACTCTCACTCCTTTAATCCTTCAACCAGAACTTTTTACCAATACGATAACAGTTACAATCAATCCCAAGTTAAATTAGAGTTATAATTATGTTTAGTTTAATTGTAATTCGGTTTTCTCAATTGTTTACCCAAAATCTTCAAGTGTCAGACAACTGAATTAACTGATTGTGTTCAGCTTTTCACTTGTCCATCTTAATGATTTTTACTTATACAAAAGTTAATGTCCAGTTAATTGCGAATGGATTATTTTCAATTGTGGTTTAATTGTGTTTCCATTTAACTTGTTGGATTATTGTGCATCTAATTTAATTGTAAACCTGATTAATTCAGGTATCAATTGATTTACTTGGTTTAGATTATTATTAAGTTAAAATGAAGGTAAGTTGATCAATTTTGATTAGACCAAGATAATAATTGAAATTGTTTTATTTCTGTGTATGTTTTTATCATGTTAGTTAATTGTTATCCATTCATTGATTATCCTTGTGACATTATTAACTGTTAATTGTGGAATGCAACTTAATTTTGGTGTTAATTTACCTCCGTTTGTGCTTCGATTGCCGCGATTTAAATTGCCACCAGTTCGTATGTCGGTTACATTTAATCATTCACCTGATTCTCAACCATTGAAGATTCATTTTCCAGGAATATCAATTTCAAATACTAATCAACATCACGATAGTTGGAGGTAAGATAATTAACATTGTGTTTATCAGAATAATTAGTAAATTGTTCAACTAATATTTGTATTTTCATCAGTGATAACTCAGTTGTCCCAGAACCAGAATCTGAACCAGAACATAATATGTACCATGACCCGGAGGCTGAATCTGAGCCTGAAACTTATTCCCATCAACAAATTAATTATCATCAAAATAATCATCATCAACAAGGACCAATAATTAACCATGGATACAATTATAATCACAACGATTTTTATGGTGATAAATCACTTGCCAAATCAACATCATCAACTGGAATCGGTTCATATCATTTACAGCAAAGATCAAGACGAGAATCAATGACAATCAACGGAAACGATAAACCAATTCAACAGCGACAATCAAAAATTGTAATCAAATCAATAACCAATAATAACCAATGTGTCAACTCTAATTGTTCACCTCGACATAATCAATTGTTATCACAATATAATCATCACCTTGGTTCTCAATCATCTTCAATTATGGTCACCGAGCCAACAATTACCAACAATCTAAACAATTTAAGATTAACTTTAATTGCTCCTACTAAATCAACGTCTCCATTACCATCTAATTGGAAACAATCAAGTAAATGAAATGTTATCATTTGAAACGAAAACATAATTGTAACATTAATTAACTTATTCTAATCAAAACAATTATTTTTAACGAAACAAGAGATAATAAAGATTGAAAATTACTGAAAAGCAACAATGATTAATTGTCACGATAATTAAATGATCAAATTTAATCACAATTGATGACAAAGAAAATCTTGGCAATCGAATCAAATTTCAAAAATGTTTACATCGTTTTTCATATTAAAACTTTTTTTTCTCAATAATCAATCAACTAAATTGTTTTAATTGATTGGAATTGAATTTTCGTCAATATATTAAAGCACAAAAGTGTTTTCTTTTTAAATGATGTACAATTTTACAAAATTATCAAGATGATTGGGAGTTAAAAGGTTGATTGGATGGAGATAATTAAGAATGAGATTGTTAAAGAAAAGAGGTGATAGATTCGTTTACATTGATTAATTGATTAATTATTCAGAATAAAGTTGATCTAAACTCTTGGACAACATGAGTTTAATTGCTGAAAAAAAAATGCACTTCAGTTTCATTGATTAGTTATTTGATTTGAAATGCAATTGAATGTTATGTGTGTGAGTGTCATTGACAATTTGTGGTTAAATTATTAACTAAGTATTTGATTGATTAAATTGAGTAAAGTTTATCTTAAGATGATTTCGTTGTTGATTTAATCAATTTTACTCTGTATGACCGCGTTTGTGTTGATTTATTGTTGGCAATTAGCTGATTCTCCATGATAATTAATCTTAATAAAAATGTTTCCTTATAGATCATCATCACCAATACCATCGAAAGCATCATTTGCCACTAATGGTCTAACTCTGATAACTCCATTGAGAGATTGAGACTAATAATAGAAAATACAAAGGAAAACAATTAGTTAGTGAATTAAATTATCTAATTATATATACAATCAGATAATAAATGGTTAAAATAAACTGAATATAACTAACCCTTCGCATACGTTGATTACTTGATCCATTTGTAAAGTTATCAGTTGAAATAGATTTGGCAAGATTAATTGATTGACTTGTACCATCTCTTTTTAAGTATTGGTAAGAATCTTTGTTAATTGTTGACCTGGAGAAATTTGCGGAAATGATTCCATTGTCTTTTCCATTGATACCTTTTCGTTTCATCAATAGTTCCTCAACCATAGCTCGAAGACACATACTCATTAGTATTGATTGTTGATCACTTTTCAATGTTATCCATTTTAGACAATCTTTATTGAATAGATATTCAAAGGAGAGTTCAAATCGCATTAATTGTTTGGAATTTGTTGAGTTTAACTCTATTTTCATTTCATCATTAATGCAAGTTGTTAATCTCCAACAACGAATCCGAGTAACTCGAAAAACATATTCAATTGGTTTATTCTGCGAAATAGAAGTAAAAAAAAAGAAAATCAATCAATTAAACAGAAATACAATTAATTGGATCAATTACTTACCGAAGAGCAAATTGTATTAATGACTAACTCTTTACTTCCAGCGTTAACTATTACACTGGTGTTTGGAGCTGGATAATCACATATACATGGTTCAAATTGTATGTAACCATAAAATTTAAGTGTTCTAGCAAGCTCGATAAGCTAAAATACATGGATAACAAAATGAACAATTAATTTACATTTAAATTAAGCATAAAATGAGATTTGTTAATTACCTCTCTTTTGGAACCTTTAGATTTTAAATTGGATAGTTGTTTTTCTACCTCTTTGTTTACTTTGATCCAACCTCTTTCTATATCAATGATTGTTTGAGAATATAAAAGATTGAAGGAAACTTTATCTTCCATGAGAATATCATCAAACGAGGTGTCCCAATAGTTTTTACGAATAACAATTCGATGATGATTACAGTTTACATTAAAACTTTTCAATGTAAGATAAGGAGATTCAAAGTCCAATAATCGACGTAAAATAATAAAATTGGCCTCTTCTTGGCGAACAATGAATAAGGAAAAATAATTGACCATTTCGGGTGCAAGTTTAATTGATCGACAGGCTGTTTCCAGAAGAATTGAACTTTTATCGGTTTTCAATGTTTTCACTTGGATACTTTCCCAATTCATTAGATAAATATCCAAGGTGATCTCTTCCGGGGCTATGTTTTGTGTCTCTCGTTGAGCATGAAGAAGAAAACTGTTGAAATAATCACTTTTACTGATTCGATCATCTTGGCTAACTGAAAAGGCACGAAGGAGAACAAAAATATAATGACAATTAGTTCAATTAAAGGACAAAACATTGAAGTTGATAGAAAAAAATAGGGTTACGATTGTGATTGTTTTTGATTTCGAATAGAAAAAAATGGTAACTTACTGATCTGTAGATATTTTTCCAGTTGAATTCTTCTCTCTTCTATTTGAGTTTGGTTGAGAGGAAGTAAACGTTTAGGTGGAAAATAAGGTAAACTGTTAGATCCGAATTGTTTTTTCAACTATTGGTGAGATTGAATTGGAAGTAGACAATGAGAAAGAGAAAAAAAAACTATGTATTAATACAGAATATGATACAAACACAATGGAGAAACAAAGAAATCACTGATCTACTCTAATGTCACACATTCTATCATTGAAATTTATTCTTACTTGATCGTGGAAATTGAACAACTGTTTATATCGGAGAAGGCAGTGGAAAGATCCATTTGCGTGAATACTGTAAGCCTGAAAATATAATAGAAAATATAATTAATAAAAGAGAATAGAAAAAAAAGAAAAAGAAAAAGATGAAAATGTTATTAGTAAAATATAGAAGTTGAAATAATTGACAATAGTTAAAGGCGATTGAAGAACAGGGTTAAATTATATCCTAATAAGGCTGTTAATCAAGCAATCAGGTTAATGGTTAGTTAAAGACAGAAGATGAGAAATTAAATAAATTAAACTTACAATAAATGTTTGTCCTTGTTTGGAATCTTTCAATTCTTGAGTCTCGGGTATGGAAAAATGCATAATTGGGATTATTGGTGGGGAGAAGAAATTAAATTTTAACAATAGAGACACAGGTAAAAAAGAACAATTTATCCGCTGATTAATTTGATCTCTGCAAATTGAAATACATTGTATTTAAATTGGAAACAAAATTGGATCATTTTCTTCATCAACAATTAACTTACTTCAATCATCAGTCAAGTCAAACTATCAGAATGAAAACAAAACCGAGAGAAGAAAAATTGATGTGCTGCCATCTCTTGATTCTTTTGGAAACTAAATTTGCGTTGTCGACTTTTGATCTTTTGAGAGATCGAAGAACTTTAAATTCAGTTGAATCAATTAAGTTATGAATTTAATTCTGAAATTGGAATTTTGATTATGTTGATCTTGAGAATTGGGAGATTTTGTCTGAGGTCTTGGTAAAGTTTTCTGTTAGATTAGATTGGAAATTAAGTTTGTAGGTTTAAAAATCTGAATGAAAGTTAATCATTTTTACTGTAAAAGTTGAAGATAAAAGTTAATGTTAATCATTTGATTATTTTGATAATTCTATCAATCATCAATAATCAATAATCATAAATGTCATCTAATTAAAAGTAGACAAAATGTTGAAACAATCAACCTGATTGACTAATGTAAAAATTGTTGTCTAATTTGACGAAACTTTAAAAATAATGAAACATTGTAAAAATGCATTGACTTATCTAATTACAATTACTAATTAAACCATCTCATATTAATTGTAATATCGTTTATCAAATTAACAATTGTGTTAAGAGTTCAATCGGTTTGGAAATAATAATTTTCTAATTAGCTAAACTTTCAATTCTCACAATCGAAAAGCGAGAAAAAAAAAGTCACAAGTCTAATCTTGCACATAGCGAAACAATCCCATAAATTTCATCAGAAAATATTAAATAATTAATTGTAAACCAAACACAATTAACTCAACAATTAACACAATAAATACAATTGTATTAACAATTAATTGTTGAAGAAAAAAAAATCAAAACAGAAAAGAACACCAGTGCTGCGATCTATCGTTTTTTCTTTCAACTAAAAAGAATTTTTTTTCTCTCTTTTTTCCTCTCTTTCTCTTCTTCTCTTTCTACTTCAAAATGTCTTCTTCTTCCATTATAATTGACGTTTCTCTTTCTCTCTTTCTCTGTCTCTCTAAATTGTCGGATTGTGTTTTTAATTTTATTTAATTAACTCAGTGTTCCGTTTATGCAATTAAAAAGAAAGTTCAATTATCGATGGTTTATTGATGTAAAAAGTGATCACACTTTGATTAATCAACTATAATTTACCTTTACACCTTTGACAGAAAAGGGTCAAACCTTATACATATTATTCTGGTGTAAAGAGAGAAAGAGATAGATTTTATAGAGAAGAAAGAGAAGTAAGAGAAATAGAAAGAGACCTGGAAGAGAAAAAAACAAGAACATTTTCTCTCTGCTGTGTTTCTTTTTTTTTCGCCAACTACAAATATCTTTCAATAAGTGAATCAAATTTAACTAATTCTCAGGTAACTATTTATATTCTCTTCTAATCTAATTCATCTCGTAAATTGTTAAATAAATTGGTTCATTCAAAGAATAAATAATTTCTCTTAATGTTTGATCCAATGTATTTTTCTGAGAGAGAAAAAAAATCTCTTTCTTTTCTGTGTTTTTATTGTGTACCCTTTTTTTTGCCTCTTTCTCATCTCTCTTTTTTCTCTTTCTCTACCTTTTTTTTCTGCTTTTCTTTTTATTTATATTTTTCTCTGGATTGATTTATCATCATCAATATAACATCGACCACAAATAACAACAGTAAAGTGTATCATCGAATTTTGTAGATGTTTGGAAAAAGAAGGAAAAGAAACAATACCATCAACCATCTAAATATTAACTATAGTTACTATTACCCCTTTTTTGTTTATTGTCTGGTTACCAATTGACAAAGTCAACGGAAGTGGAACGTCTTTTCTTTTTTCCAGAGGATCTTTCTCCTCACCTCTCTTTCTCTTGACTGGGCTATTCTGTGTATCCAAATTTGAATCATTTAAAAAGGAAAACCAAAAACCTGAGATCATCTTTTTGTGACCAGCCTAAAAGATGAACCCCGGGTTTGATATAAATTCATTAGCTGGTTGTTCTAATCTTAATGACAATAATGCAACTTCTGGTGTTGTTCATGGGTTTTCTCTACCTGGACCTGGTCCAGGATCGGTTCCACCTCCACCTCAACCTTCCCCACTCTTACCTACACCACCAATACCATCAACACCTTCTCCAAGCATAGGTCAACAGCCTCCATTATCGATACCACCGCAGCAACAATTAATGGGAACCATGGGAGGACCTGCAATGAGTGTGCCAACCAATGTTCTTAATACTTGGGCATCTTCGGTTAATTTATCTTCCATCCAATCGTTGGTTGATGTTTTATTAGAGTTACCCTTGCCTTCAGAGATTGAGCTACCAAGTCAAAATCAACCATTGATCACTGTTAATCAAGAACAACAACATATTAGCAATAACATTGAACAAGAGTTGGTGCATCAACATCATCTATCTCATCAATTATCTACAAGCCTGTTACAGGCAAGGCAGCAATTAAATGAACTTAATCTCAATTGGAACAATGGTCCGGTGAACGAGGGAAATCAAGAGTTTTCTCAAAATCTACAAGTAAACTCTTATTTACTCTCACTTCTTCAAAGACAAGATATCTTTGGTGAAGATGTCAGACTACCGCCAGTAATTCATAAACAACCTTCCCTTTCTTCAAATATCCAACCAAGTCAGCCACAGCCACAAACACAACCACAACCACAACAACCACAACAACCACAACAACAACAGCAACAACAACAACCTCACCACCAACAGCAGCAACAATACCATCAACAACCTATTCAACAGCAACCTACCCTTCAACCACCACCTCAACAACAACAACAGCCTGTGTTATTACCTCCTCCAACTCCACCAATCACTCCGTCAGCTCAAAGTGGTCCTCAAACTCGTTCCCACTCTAATGCTTATTGGAATCCATTTATAAATGAACAACAATCAGCTCCATCACCCGCCTCCGGTGGGCCAAATCAACAACAATCATATAATCGTCAAATGTACAGTAATGAAAATAGTAATTCTAGTGGCTCTTTTCCTGATATCGGTTCAGCGGCACCAGGTACACCCAGTGCACCACCTAATCATAATTCGGTAAGCTTTATGGTAGAACAAAATGTCAAGCACATAACAGCAATAGTAATTATCTTCGATAATTTAGCGAATAGGGATTAAATATTATAAACAATTATTCGATTGACTAAGAAATTATCTTTACAAAAATTGTTTCTTAATTGTTTCATCTTTAATATTATCTTTAAGTTTTGTTACTTTTTTAAACGTTACAATTTTCTTGAATCTACTGGGATAATACAAACATCTTATCTCACGTTCATTGACATTTTTTTTATTTAAACCATTCAAATCTTTGATATTTTGTTTTGTTTTTTTTATCTAATCTTTTTAGGCTAAAATCAAGAGTCAAAGTTACAATGAGATGGGTGGTAAACATCCTCAAGGAGCAGTATTAGAATCACCCGATTTGAATAATACATCATCTTACTCTCCAACATCGTTTGAATCATTTACTTCTCTTGGAGAAAGAGTAAAGAAAAGACAGCGAAACAATTTACCTCCTCCCACTCCACCCACAGCAACACCAACCTTAATAACTAACACCATCACAACAACATCATCTTCAACCATAGTAAATGCAACTCCCATTAAAACACCACCATCATCATCAATACCATCTTCAGCTCCCATCACACCAACCTCATCAAGTGTATATTATGAAAAACCATCGCTTCAAGCAAGCGAAGAAATCATCACTCCTCCACCTAAAAAGTTATCAAAATCATCATCTTCTGCAAATATGAAATCATCTTTTAACACATCGTCACTTTCATCTTCTTCAACCTCTCCTCGACTGGCATCTTCCACAAGCTCAGCACCAGCTCCAGAAAAATTTGAAGCAATGTTGGATGAACTTTTCGACATGGATAATAACAATAAGAAAACCACCGCCGCATCATCAGATGAAAGCTCAGACTCTGAGGATGGTACAAGAAAACGTAAATCTCATAAGAAAACAAACGGAGACAATAATACAGCAAACAAAAGTTCACTTTTTGATATTACTTTAACATCATCAACACTTACCACGTTTGTTTGCCTGGCAGCCAAATTAAAGCGTATCCATGCCATGCAAAATGTACCTGTTGAAAAATTAGGGAAACTTTTAAATGTTCTCAATCAACAGTTAGCTATCCAATCAGCTGGTCTGAAAGATAAAAGAAGAAAATCAACGGATGCTGGTGAAATGAACGAAGATGACGAAGAAGAAGAAAGTATAGCAAACTCCGTATCACTAATGTCAAAATTTGAGATGTGTTGTGATTGTTGTCTATTAGCTTTGTACATAATGACATCGAAAGGTTTGTTTACTTTTATTTGCAAAACTTTTCCTTTTAATTAACTGTTATTAATTGTTGTTATTCTTCATTTTTTTAGGAATGTCATCTCGAGTCTACTTAGAAGAATGTATTGAACATATAGTTGCCTTTCTGAATACCACCATTCAGCAATATACTACCATCGGTGGTGCTCAAACTATGTTCATAAGTCCTAAGAAAGGTGGTAAATCTCCCAAAAAGTTGAGTAATTCAGTTGTCTCGCCATTCTCATCGGCCAATAAGAAACTTTTATACAAAATGTACGTTAAATGGGGTGAATTAATTGGTTGCCTGGTCGAGTTGTTAAACGCTCGAGCTGGAACACTAACCGATACCTTAGTATTATCTGCTACACGGGTCGCCCTTGGAGCTTTCTTCCTTGAAAATCTCAATACTTCTGCTTCCACTCAGTCTAGTAATGAGATTCAACTTAATGCTCTTAATTTAACCACAACCATATTCTCGCAATACCAAGCTCATCGTCCAGTTATTTTAGAAGAAATATTACATTCAATAGCGAGAATATCAACTTGTAAAAGAGGTATGTTAAATTTCCCTTTCCTTTTATGTTAATATTGATTTTATTCCAAATAATTAATAATTTACTTTATTTGTTTTTTAGGTCGAGTTTTGTACAAAGTTGAAAGTGACGATAAATCGGCAGCTTTCATCTCAATGTTTAGTGCATTATTACTGCGGTTAATTCAAAGTTTATTTGTACCCGAGAGAAGAAAAGATGACAAAGTTAATGAACAAAGTGAACCAGGAGAGGGTAAAGACAAAGATAAAGATAAAGTGATAGACAAGGCTAAAGAGAAGCAAGATAAAAGTCAAATACTCCGTAAGCAATACGATTCTGCACTTCTCACGGCTCTCTCTTTCTTAACAACCTTTCTTAAAAAGTGTCATGGTGCTTCTGGCGGAGGTTCGGCTGCTTCAAGTGATGCTGATTTTCGAGTGATCTTTGAAAATCTTGTCAACGATCTTATGGTTACCCTATTCAAGCCTAACTGGCCAGCATCTCAAATGTTGACCAAAGTTTTGATGAAAATGTTTCTTAACAATGTTAAAGCTCCCAACAAGAGTCCAGCCAAAGGATCAGGTTCTGGTAACATGAGTGCAAATTTAAACATGAAATTAGCCAGTCTTGATCATTTGGGAACCATTTGTTCAAGATATGCAAAAGAACTCAACTCAGTGGAAAAAGTGAAACTCGATGTTCAAACAAGACTTCGTAATCTACTGTCGGGTGGTGAAATGGAAATAAATACTCGACAAAATAATACTGATGATGAAGATAATGAATACAACGATGAAAAGAAAAGGAAAGAAGATGAAGATAAAGTTAAAAGTGATGAAGATGGAGAAGGAGGTGATAGTGGTGATGACGAATCTAAAAAGGCTCTCAACAAGAACAACAAAAGTAAAAAGAAGAAAAATTCCAAAAAGAAAGAGGATCGTCTTCTAAACGATAACGTGTTAGTACGTGAAATGTGGAAACATCTATTTAGGTATTGTGACGAAGAGAAACTATTAGAAGAGAAAAATGTATTCACTGCAAGTTTCATCAAAGAAATGGACAGAGAAATGGAAATGAAGATCAAAGAGGACCAATACGAGGAAGACAAAGTTCGTGAGAATTTTCATCTTCGAGTGAAAAAGTTTATGGACATTTCTAGAACTGCTTCTAATCAAAATGCTTCCGAAGAGGAATACCATGTAATCGATTCAAGAACAGCTGAACAAATCATTCGATACCTGGATAACTCGTTGGTTTCAACGGAGAAACTGTTTGACGTTGCCTTGGCTCACATAGTATCTACTCTTTCGGGTACAAGTAATACAACCATGCGATCTCGAGCAATGAAAGCCTTGTCCACCATATTAAATAACGCACCCAAAAAACGAGCCATAGCCTTGCTATCTCGACCTGATGTACAAAGAGCCACAAGAGCAGCACTTTTAGATACCAGCACCTCAGTTCGAGAGGCGACTATTGATTTAATTGGTAAATTTATTTTAAATGGACAATCAGAGGAGCTTATTGATAAATATTATGATATATTAACTGAGAGAATTTTAGACGCTGGTGTGTCCGTTAGAAAACGAGTTATCAAAATTCTTCGTGAAATTTGTATCGTTTATCCATCGTACAAAAGAGTGCCTGAAATTTGCTCAAAAATTATCAAACGAATTAATGATGACGGTGAAGGTATTCGAAAACTGGTAACCGAAACATTTACTACCATGTGGTTCAAAGAAGAGCGAGATAAAGAAGCAGCAAAAATGAAAGTTAAGTGTATTAATCATGTGGTGGCAACAGTGATCACAGAGAGAATTGGAACCGAGTGGTTGCAACAATTGTTGACGAATTTGTTTAGTTCAGGTCCGGAAGGAAAAGGAAAGAAAAACTCTTTAGATGATGATGAAGATGAAAAGACTACACCAACAGCAGCTCAATTACAACAAGTGATCGCAGCATCAGCACAAATTGTCGATGTACTGGTTAGTGATGTTCTTTGTGGCTCAGGTCCTAATTCCGATGATCCTCAAGCTAGTCTTGATAATAACAGTAAAAGTACCTGTTTTGCCACCATGACGACAATTTGGCTTTTCAGTAAAGTGTGTCCACAATTGTTAGTCAATCATATTTCCATCCTTCAACCTTACCTTTCGGTAAAAATTACCTCCGAATTGGATTCACTTATTCTCGTCAAAGCGGTTCAAACTATCGAACATGTCCTGCCAAAGTTAACCAATCCCTCAGATCTCCTGTTGTCCAGCATTGAGGAAGGATTGACCAAAATTATTTTACAAAGTAACCCTCAAGTGTTAGTAGTTTGTGTTTCCTGTTTATCCTCATTGATTCACAAACACACTAATAATAAACAATTAGCCCAAGATCTCTTTAAACGATTCTTCTCCCTACTGGACTCTTTGTACAGGCTACCAATAAGTGATTTTAATAATCCAATGAATCGACCTCGACTTCTCCGTTCTCTTTACACCTGTGGACTTTTCGCCAAACATTTTGAATTTTTGGTCGAAAAGCAACAATTATACCAACTTTTTGTACAGTTTGTCGCCAGGAACATGCCTTCAGAAGAAAACGATTACAGGGTTGGTGATTTAGCCATCATTAATAATGCACTTTCTGGTCTAGGATTTATGTTTGAAAGGAATCCAGCTTACACTTTACAAATGCAAACCCAAGACATTTATAAAACCATTCTCAATGTGGCTCTAAGCGTTTCCGATTGTAAATCATTGGAACCTTATTATGAATCAACCATGATCAGTGTTCTTAAAAATTTAACCAACTACCTTTCCGATGAACTTAATGCCGAGATTGCAAAAACTTTGGACTGGTCCAAGGAAAATTTGAAAACCATGTCTTATGAAGACAGTGAAGAAGGTGATAGCAATTCAATTCAATCATCAATCATTCAAACATATCTACCTGATATTGTAAAGTGTACTCTGTGCCCATTAACCTCAGTCCGTAAAGCGGCAGTTAATCTGATACATATTATTCATCGTGGTGGCATTGTTCATCCTCTACAACTTGTACCATATCTTATTGCAATGTCCTCCGATGATGATAACAATATTCGCTCTCGTGCTGATCACGTTCTTAATGAGATTGAACGTAAATATCATGGTTTTGTATCAATGAAGGCTCGTCAAGGTGTACAATTATCATTCCAACTTCATAATTTCTCGGGTCGTCGTGGCTATCGAATCGAAAATATCTTACAATCATCTTCATCAGCCAATACTTCATCGTCTACCTCGTCATCGTCATCATCATCCAATCAAACCTCAGCCAATCAACCAGCACCAGAAGATCAATTAATTACTGGTCGATTATCAACTTTGTACAGCGTCATTGCCAGTAATCGGCAGTCAAGAAGAGCATTTATCACTGGATTATTGAAATATTTTGACCTCATGTCTGATCCTCACTCATTTTTCTCATACGATCCAATGTCCGTCGGTATTCTTAATCTATTTGATCGTAACAATGAAGGAATTGATCTGGTTCCCTTACAACAATATGTTTCCGATAATCTAATTTGGTTGCCTTACTCAGTTCTCGATGAGCCCTTGTATATATTGAGTCAACTTGAAGTGAATGCAAGTGTAACCGCAAGTCAAATCCAAGCTCAATTCAATGATCTACTGAATCTCTCCAGTGACTATGATGATGAAGATGAAGAGGGTAATCAGAAAAGTGTTAGAAGAGAAGAAATTAAACCTGAAATTAAAAGAATGTTGGATGCGAATGGTAAAACTTATCCAGAATATGGAGACGATGAAGGGACAAATGAGGGTAAATTAAACTCATCGTTAGACATGAGAATGGACATTTCAATGACCTCAGGAACATCAGTAGGCGATGAATCAATGAAATTGGACATGTCAACATCCGAGAACATGTCGACATCGAAACCCGAGAACGGTTATGATCAAGTACCAGTTTCATCAAAGGAATTTATCTCTTCAGCTGGTGTGGCCGAACTGATTCGTTGTTTAAGAGCCTTTTATATGCTAAATTGGTGTAAACAAATGATAAGGGAATTGTTCAATATAACCGATGCCAAATTTCAAGATTATTCACCAAGTGAAAATCAAAAAGTTTGGGACAAGCAAATGCATCGACGACAAGTAAGTGCAAAACAATCAGTTTAATTGTTGGAATTATTCATTTTATTTAAAAATTCATACTAACCATGTTTATATTTTTGCTTTATTCAATCAATAGGTTGATCCAAGATTATTACCAAAACTTATGGCCTATCCAAGTGTCAACATTAATTTGGAAAATTTCACTCGTGAATCAATATCCCAAGAATACCAACGTTTTAAGAATCTCCAGCTTACCGGTTTAGATGAGACATGTAAAAATGTTGCCATTCTTATCAAAGAACCTGTACCAAAGGAAAAGAAAGAGAGAGAAAAGAATCGTAGTCATAATCGTAATCGAGTTGAAATCGAAAGTGAATCCGATGAAGAAGAGGATGAACCTTTAGTTGAAGAAGTTGAAGATGAGCCCATCCATACTCATCCAGTAATATCATCTTCTAATTACAGTAACCATCAATCTAACGATGGTTTGAATATACCTCGATTTTCCGATGAAGAGAAGAAAAAATTAATCGAAAAGATCAAAATGTCCGATTGTCAAGTAAAATTAATCGACATCAACCCAATTGCAATGAATTCAACCACCAATAACACTGGAGACGATGGTGAAATGCGATCATTAAGAATGACCATTTCAACGGCTTCCATGAATTCACATGGTGTAGATAAAATCAGAAGTTCCGTTAAAAAGAAGAAAAAGAAACACAAAAAGTAAATCTCCAATCAATTAACAAACAAAAGGAGCAAAGACCAATCATCACAATTAATTGTTTTACATAAACACATAAATATACATACACACATTTAAACACAACTCATACAAAGACAAAGACAACAAATATACCACCATCACCATCCCTTGTACAAAGATGAAAAAAGAGTTAATCTACAAAATTACCTTAAAGATGATAAATTTAATATTATGTCAATTATAAATCAACCAATTTTGTAATAATCAAACCACATCACACAAAAGAAAACAAAAAAATTAATTATCACAGATGATTGTGATTGGCAAAGGAAACCCATTAACTCAACCAACTTAAACAAAAAGATGATGAATATATAAAAACAAAGTCCAATCAAATCTAATTAATCGAATGAAGAGGAAATCATAATCATTAACTAATCATTTTTTTTCTATTTATTCATAAAAGCAAAGCAAAAATCTCTCCATGTACAATTCATTAAAATCCCATTTTTACTCTGAAAACAAAAATCCTTATAAAATTATAATTGTTTCTTTAAAATCGTAAGAAAATCATCCAATTTATTAGTAATTAACAATATAATTAAAAAGAAGAAAAATGATGTATTTTAATAGAACATAAATTCAATTCTTTTTCTTTTGTCAGAACAATAGATTACAATTTATCTTCTCCTTAATTTGCAAATTAGATCCGAACAATTAAATCAAAGTTGCAACTTTTTTGTTCTTTTACCAATCAGGTGGCGCGTCGATCGAAGTTTAGATTTTAATTCGTTGTTTTCATTTTTTCTTTGGTGTTTTTGCTCAATTGAATTCCAAGTGTTCAGGTGCCATTTAGATTCTAATTAATTGTAATTAATCCAATTCTTCGCCATGTCCGGTTCCTTACAGAACAAAGAAAAGGCTTTTCTACAATTTATGATGAGAAGTAAAAGTTTGCCCAAAGATGAAGCTCTTAATCTTTGTATAAAAATGGAGCTTGGTGAGTATCTTTTGCCTCCAATTATTTTCTTTGTTTCTTGATTAGCTTTTTTTCTTAATCGTTTGGTTTTCTTAATTGTTGTAATTGTTGTTGTTTCTCTCACCTTCCTTAAACTAAATTTTGGTGTTCTTTACGAATTTCTTTTCATTGTTTGTTGTCTTTTTGTTTTTCTTCTTTACTTTGGTGTTTTTGTTTAGCTTCCAATGAGAAAGCATTGGATCAACTATTGAAGACAATCAATAAAAGAATTAAGGAATTTCGATTTGAAATACGTAAATTTACCGATGAGGAAAGTGGATCTGTTCATTTGGTGTTCATTAATTTAGTTGACAATCATATTAGCCGTTTGTCTACTCTCTACAATAAAGCTCAACTTGAATATTTCAAGAAAGTCATCTCAGCCATAGTCACCTCTCCGTGTGGTTACATTGATTACAATGGAGCATTGAATTTAACTTCTCAATTGATTGATCAAAATGTCAAATTACGTGTCAGCGAAGCAGATGAAATGTTAAAAGTTTGGACTCAAGAGAAATATTTAACCACCAAAAAGGATCAGTTCAACATTTGCTTAGGTATCCGAAGTCTAACCGAGTTGGATGTTTATCTGAGGGAACATTTTCCCAATAACGTGACAAGTTGCGATCTTTGTAAATCAATGTGTATCCAAGGTGTTAATTGTCCCCATTTAGGTCTTAAATTACACACTCATTGTGCTAATAAGTATTTCTCCAACTTTAAAAACTGTACCATTTGTAATTGTTGAGCAAAGCAATTCACTCATCTCACAAATCATCATTGTACAGAATTCAAGTAACAAGTAACAATTAAACATTATGTTCATAATGTTCATTTATTTATATATGAAATGATTAGTTAATTTCAAGTTAATTCCACCAATACAATTTCCAATCCAAACAAATACAAATATTTACATGAAATCATCTGAACCATCACTGTCATTATCCTGAGAAAGGAAATACAAAAAAAAGAAACAAAAAAACAGAATAAACTATCAACCTTTTCAATTAAATTCTAATCTACAACTCACCTTGTTGGTTGTCATTAATTCTGGTTTGAATATCGGATCATAAGAACGGGCTTTGGCCGCTTCTTCTCGTCTTTTGGCCTCTTCTTTTTCCTGTTCCTTCATTTGCTTAACTCTGGCCTTTTCTTTATTTCTTTCAGCCTTTTCACGTTCTTCCCTCATCGCCTGTAGATCCACTTCCCGAACTTCCTTCGTTTTATTCAACCGATTAACAATTGCGTTTATCCTTTTATCGACCCTCATCTTACGAACGGCTCGGTCACTACGAAATCCCACCTGACCGACGTCCATTGATTTACTCTTGTGAAGATTTGACCACATCGTGTAAACCACATCAATATCGTTCATTTTGTTGCCTTCAATTGAATTCGCTTTAACCAGTTGAGCACAATCATCGAGAATAACACTTGGTACATCGTCTAGTGTTTGACCTTGATTCAAACGGAGATAAACATGAGCCGAAGACAATTTATCAACATGGAACCAAACATCTTCCGGCCAACCCCATTTAATCAATTCCTCATTCTCATACTTATCAGCGCCCATGTAAATGGTCATCGGAGGTGAAACAACATCACTTTTAAAGTAAATCACCATAATGAACGATAGAAAATTTAACAATCAAAACAATTTAAATTTAAAAAATAAAAATAGAAAATGAGGAAAAAAAAAGAGAAAAGAATAAAAAAATTTTCTTTTCAAAGAAAATCAATTCAAACATCTGATCAAAAGAAAGAGAAAGAGAAAGAGCCAAAAGGTGTTTCTGTTTACCATTAGATGTCATTGTTGGTTAGTGAGTAGAAGTTGTTTACTAAATTGTGTTAATTGTTTCAATGATTATTTCGCAGTTTCCTTTTAATTGATCTAATTTTCTTTTGATATTAATCTTATTGAGATTCTTGTGCATTTAACAATATCAAACAATCACCACAACTAATTATGGCTCTCAGAAATTTGGTCGATAAAGATTGTGGAGGTAACAATCCGTTGATCAATTTAACTAATCACTTCAATTCTGATCAGGTGAGTACGTATTTGTATTTTATAATGGGAAGAAAATAGATAACAACTGAACAATTTAACTTATTCTTTGCTTTTTTTCTTGGTTTTTCTTTGGTTGTTTTGATGAATTGGTTTTGGTTTTCTTAGTTGAATCGTCGATGGAACAATGAAAATTCACCTGAAAATCAACTTAATCAAATTCCCGATGGATTACAAGGTTCGGATAGATTTGCAATGGAATCACTTTTACAATCTTTGGGACCGATGGGTCAAAGTAAACCTGAAATGAGGCAATCACCAGCCATCAGTGGACAAGAACTTATGAATTTACCTGATAATCGGTCTCATCATCAAACTGTTGCTCCAAATAGTCATTATTGGTTAGATGATTTTCTTGCATCATCTTCTTCATCTTCATTACCACTAACTTCTGCTACTGTTGCCTCTCAATCCTCTTTCTCAGGTCAACAATCATCATCGGCATTTCCAATCATCCAAGGTGATAGTAAATCAATACGACCTTTGAATTCTGGTTCATTCCAAAGGCCACCCTCTTTAGGTCATCAATGGCCACCATATGGTGGAGGATCTAATTCGGGTTTCATGAGACCGAGTTTCATGTCGATGTTACAACGGACTTTTACGCCAAGAAATCAACTTCCAATTGGATCTAAAGCAGCAAGTGAATATCTTGATGACTTCCATCGTACTCTGGAAGAGGAAAAGGTCAAAGCTGATCAGGTTGAAGCTCTAAGGAAAGACTATGATACTTCAACTCTTCCCGAAGAAGCAAGAAAATTTGTCGAATCAATGAGAGATGATCCCGAAGTACAATCAACCGATTTTCTTAATTTTATTAAGAAAATTGGTTCCGGTGAATATCAAGTTACCGAAGATGGTATTATTGCCAATGACACCGAGACTGACGCTCTAAGCCAGGCTTGGGCAAGTGAATTTGCCACTGCTCAAGAAGTTTGGGAGTCAAATGCAGTTCGAGATGATCAAGAGTTTTGGGACTCCCTGTCATCCGAATGGGCTGCAGATCACAAAGGAGCCAATTCAAGGATCAACAACTTTCCCGAAATGCCCGCTGAGTTCATGGCTGATGCTGATCAAGACTCTTCCCAGGCTGCAAATGCCGAATATAAATTCAACTCAAATAATCCATATCAAGATGTAACTGATCCTTTCGCTGAGGGAATGAAAAGACTGGAAGAAGGTGATATACCCTCAGCAGTTTTACACTTCGAAGCCGCTTGTCAAAAGGATCCCTCTCAACACTTATACTGGCAATTTTTAGGTACCAGCCAAGCTCAAAATGAACACGATTCATCCGCCATTTTGGCTTTAAAAAAATGCATTCAACTTGAACCAAACAACCTAATTGCATTAATGGCTCTCGCTGTGAGCCACACCAATCAATCAGAGCCCCGGGAAGCATGTGAAAACCTTTTCCTCTGGATAATTCGTAATCCACATTATTCATCTCTCGTACCCGAAGAGTATAAAACTTCAACCCTGGAAGTTGTCACGTCGGAAAAGATTCGACGGGTTCGTGATATGTACTTACAAGCAGCTCGTTTATCACCTCATCCATTAGATGCTGACATCCAATGTGGCCTTGGTGTTTTACTCAATCTTACTGGGGAATACTCGAAAGCCGCTGATTGTTTCCGAGCGGCTCTTTCAGTTCGACCTGATGATTCCACTATTTGGAACCGTTTAGGTGCTACTCTTGCCAATGGTGACAGATCCGAGGAAGCGGTTGCTGCTTATGAAAAAGCGCTTTCTCTTTCTCCTGGTTTCATCAGGTCGAGATTCAATTTAGGAATTGCTTGTATCAATTTAGGTGCTCACCTTCAAGCAGCTGAACACTTTTTGTCCGTCCTTAATTTACAAAGAGCTGGTCAAGGAGTTGATGGTCAATCCTCTCACAAAATTATGTCCGCTAACGTTTGGTCAACTCTTCGTTTGGTTTTGTCACTCATGTCTCGTCAAGATTTGTACAAGTTCATTGACTCGAGAGATTTGGAGTCTCTTAATCGTCAATTTAATATCAATTCATCCGATTACAATCAAGCCTAAATCACCAATGACTGGAAATTTAAATGATCAGCAATTAACAAGCAAACAGAACTAAAGTTAATTGCAATATTTTCCTTGAACAAGAAATTACAAGAAATTCAATCAAGCTCATTACTATGTAACTTAATTGTTAAAATCAACAAAAAATTATCATGAGATTATATGGGAAACTTAAATTAATTAGTTAATTGCTAGACAATTGGCTTAAAAGTGATATTAATTGTTTGCTAAATGCTTTTTTATTACCAATGATCAAATTGTATTTTTTTTATATCTCAATTTTATCGTAAATTAAAAACCAAAACAATCAAAATTTTCCCCATAATATGATTAAATCAAACTCACCAATGGTCAATGAAACTAATATTTACCCAAACTCTTAACAATTAGCAAACTTTTTGAACACAATTAACACAATTTCAATACTTGGCTGCCTGAATGATTTACTAATCACCACAAATCAAAAGGTGAGTTATTATCATTGAAGGTAATCAGACAATATTGATTACACCAATTTTAATATTGAGAAGTCAACAAGATTAGACTAATTGTAGACAATTAAGGAATTATATTATCATTAAAATTTAGATAACAATTTAAAAGTGAACAAAATTAAATGACTGATTATCCGTGAAAAATTAAACGCGATTTTCTAGTCTCTTTAAAAAATATAAGAATTAAAATTAACCTGATAATCTAATTGATTGTTCCAGCTGATTGATATAAAGGAAGGAAAGAAATTAGTTTAGCATCATCATCATAATCATCTTAATCATCACCAATAATTATAATCAGATTTATATAATAATAACAACAATCAAGTCTCTCGTCACAATTGACAGATCACAGAAAAATATTACAAATTAAAATTAACTAATCGAACCAACAATTAACTAAATATAATTTCATATTCAGACGAAATGAACAATTTATTGATAACAATTAAAAATAGAAAATGTAAATGATAGTAATCAATTATTCACATTGACCGGAAATCAGTTAATAATTGTAAATGATTAACTAATTGTTGTGAAAAATTTTATTTCCATAATTAACTTATATAAACTTTAACCTCTTTCAATTGTTTTACTTTCACTTTAACCCGATTCATTGATTAATCTGATTATGATGATTAATGAAATTGTAATTTGCTTATGATTGTTGTTGATTCAATTATATGATTTGTTGTTTCTCTTGATTTGCTTTTAAATTGTTAACTTATCTGTTATTCAGTTTAATTAACCGAGAAAACGGGAACAAAATGATCTTGATGATCATTTCGTCAAATGCTACGCTCACTTAGACACTCGAACTCGTTGATAATCACAAACAATCAAAATTATCGTAAATCTATCGAGACACTTTTCGTATTTATCTTTCCGATTAGTTAATCAACTTACTCTTTTCTATCATCGAACCTGCAATAGAACTTAATCATTCAATTAATCTCTCTCTCTCTCCTTTCTGATCTCACTTTCTCCATCATAATAATTACCAATTAGTTAATTAAAAGTTCTAAAGTCCTCCCATTTCTTTTCCTTTCGCAGCACCTTAATCTGTTTTTCAATTGTTACCATCATGCTAATGAGTTGTTACCTCGCTTCATTTGGTAACTTGATTAGTACCTTTATTTTGGACTCTGTGTTTACATTTCGTGATTTGTTGTCGACTTTTTCTTTCTTTTCTTTCTTTTTTTCGTCACTTTCACTCTTTGTCTACAAATCGATACAATGTAAGGCCAACGACATCGAGAGCGAGCGAAAGAGGGAGAGCTTTCACTTGTCACACCGATTTGCTAATTTCCAATCAATAATTTGATTACAATTACCAATTATCTTCATAATAGTTACTGTGATTTAAAAGAAATTGATAAATTCGAGAGAGAGAGAAAATAACTCCCTCACCTCCGTTCGAATGGGTGTTTTTGAGAAGGGCGATTAATCCACTATATAAGACGAAGTGTTTCAACCTAAAGATTATCAGTTTTCTTTCAGTTGATTCACTGAGAAGAAAAGAAAAGTAGAAAAAAAGTTCATTTCAAATTCTGTGTTTTAGAAAATCAACTTAAACATGAGAACTGTTGTTCTGTTACTTTTGGTCGCTGTTGTGGCCATCGCTTTGATCCAAGTCACCCAAGGAGATCATTGGGGTAGGAATATTATTTAATTGTTTCTGTTAAATTGTTACTGTTCACTGATCTTTGTTTACTAATCACAACAAACCATAAGATCAACATGGAATCTGCAACATTATTGTTTACATTTTTTACCTCCAAGTGATTGAGAAGTTGGAAAAGTAAACAAACCACTTGGATTATTTCATGTTAATTGTAATTTCTTTGATTATCTTGTGCGTTAATTACTACAAGATAATCAAATTACTTATTTTCTACCAGTGTTCTCAGTGTTGGATTAAATCAAGAAAGAAAAACAATTTAAACATTGATCAACTTGTGATGTGTTCAATTTAACAAGAGAAACGAAATGTGATCGTCACTTTTTGGCGCTTTTTTATATTAATTGTTTATTAATTTTCACTAATTTCTGTACATTTTTATTATGTGATTCACTTGTAGGTAAGAAAAAGGTTCAACATTTATGGCATCATCATCGTCACGATCATCATCATCATCACCATCACAAACATAAGCAAGATCATAAACATGGTCACTGGCACGATCACAAGGTAACAACAATTAAATAGAAGTGAATTAATTGGTCAATCTAATCAATTCTTTGATTCTTTTCTTTTAATCAGCACAAGCACAAGGCCGACAATGAACACAAACATGGACATTGGCACGATCATGGACACAAACACAAGGTCAGTTTATTTTCTCATTGAAAATTCGATCATTTTTTACATTTTGTTCCAAATGAATTTCTCTCATCTTCTTCTCGTTTATTCCAATAATAGCACGGCCACAAACACGAACACTGGAATGACCACAAACACAAGGTAAGAAATTGACGAAATTGAAAGACAACAAAAAATTCGTATTGATTCATTAATTTTTCGTTCCATTAGCACGGACACAAACACGAGCACTGGGGTAACCACGATTACAAACACAAACACGAGCACAAGCACGAAGACAAGTGGGACGGATGGCACGGAAAGGCCTAAATGATTAGATCTAAAAACATCGGATTAAACACCTTCGAACTCTAGAAATCGGATCTTCGATGTGTGGACAAAATTTGGGACCAAATAAAAGATTCAAATTCTCACCGAAAAGGGCTAATTGTGAACTCTTATTTTCGACCACAACAATTAAACAAACCAAATGCTCACGATCAATTATATTCCCGATAAACTAATTAGTTAATTGAAAAATCATCTCAACAAATCAATCAATCATCTTCATATTCAATCAGAAACCAAAGAGCAATCAAATTCATCATCATCAAGATTTTCATTAATAGCTGTTAATTTCCTCACCCCATCAGTAGGTTAATCATCAAATTAATCTTGATCCTTGATCAACAACAATCAACAAACTTGAAACAATTAAATTCAAAAATCTTAGCAGGCTAAGCCCATCAAATAATTGTAAAGCAATAACAATTAAAAGCTTAATGATTGTTGATTTTAATGTTTCTCTCAAAGTGTAATCAAAACAACAATCAAATAAAATATTAGATCCGATTAATAAATTATAAAAACAAATCCATCAAATTAAACCATTTGACTCTTGATTAAACAACCAACCCTTAATTGTGATAACAATTAACCTTATTGCCTTTGTCACAATTACCAAATCAATATGATTATCGGATATCAATTCAAAATGAAAAGATTATTTAAAACAATCATAACCATTAGACTAAATTATCAAGATAACCTTAAACAATTAAGATTCAACAGTTGATTCAGACTTTTATATCAAATAATGATCACAACAATTAATGATGCGTAAAAGGATTTCCGATCCTAATCAATTATAATCAACAATCAACAATCACTAATAGTCACCAATCAAGTTGAATGAAAATGATTATGATGATTCAAATCTCTCGATTGGATAATACAAGAATCTAATCAAATCTTAATCAACTTTAATCGTTGTTAATAATATGCAATCAATGAATATTTCCCATTGAATTTATTTCATATTTCAAAATCTATTATCTAATTGTAATCAATTAAATTGTTACAATTTTCTTCAGGGGAATTTCATGGTTGAGTATTTCCAATTCGGAAGATAAATCTCTTACTGAAAACAAAGAACTCACCTTTTTTTCATGGAAAAAGAATAAAAAAAGTAAAAGAATATAAATCTTATTCTTTCAATTTCCTTTGAGAATTGGAATCAATGTTATCCAAGGTGAGGAAGATAAAAAGAATATGAGAAAAGTAAAATCAATCAATAGAAAGAAAAAAGAAGAAGAAGATTAATCAAATTGTTGAGAATCAATTGATTCTGATATTAATCCAAATGTTCAAATTTCTTTATAATATTACCAATAGATTTGAGTTGGAGTTTTAAAATTCTGGTAATTTGATCATCGACTTATTAATAATAATGTTTTTCGATAATAATCAAGCTTTAATTTCAAATTATTTACATTATTGTTGAGAGAAAACTTCAATTCCTTGGTTATCATATGTTATCATTAGTTAATTGTCTTGTAATTTTTGTATTAATACAAATACTTTTCATGAGTATTTACTTTCAGTTTATTATTTATAATCAAAGTATCATGATTAATATTCTGGAATGAGCTTTATAAGGTTAATGATGATGGTGGCATAGAAGTGGTAATGATGATGATGATGAAAATGATGGTCATCATTTCATTTCATTTCCTTTTCATCCTTTCCTTTTCCTTTATGGAAGTTAAATTATTATTACTTTATTTGTATCTTTCTTAAATAATATACATTGTCTTCTTGTTGTATAATCTATGGCTAGAGATTAATGAAAATGATTCAGTGAAGATGAACATGAAGATAATCAAGACTAGAATAACAATTATTGCAATTCTTTCATCAGAAAGGGTGTGGTTTTCATCTTCTATTTACAAAGTATTAATTGTCTTGATCGTGGAGATTGTAACTGTTGCTGTATTTTCTGGTTGTTCTGGTTGATTGGAAATCGTTTTAATTTTTTTTCTTTAAAATCTAATATTCAAACTCTCATGTCACTGAGGAGGCTTGCGAATTGTCTCACCAGCATCGTAATCAGTTTCATCGATAGATTTCATGATCACTGAGCGTTTTTCCCAATCATCTTTAACCTCTTGAACTTCCTCTGTATGTATTGATGATTTTCTCCTTTTTTGATTACCTGAAAGAAACAAATTCTGTGATTAGTCCAAGTGCTTTGTACCATTGAATTAATTTGTCTCTTTCTCAATATCATCACAACTACCATGTAATTCAGGGAACAACAATTACCATAGATATCATTTCGTCTGATTATGCTGATCATTGAGAAGTAAATTAGATACATAAAGATAAGTAATTTCTATTTACTATCTAATATAATATTCAAGTGATAGAAAAACACTGAATATAATGATCTTCATCATGTTTATCATCATTAACAATCGAAAGATACATTAGATTCATATAATATTTCTCAGGATGATTTCGAATCCATTTGTTGATATTTTCTTTCAAGATTCTGTTATGTTGTTTACAGAGTTCAATGTAAAGATGCGGAGAAGAAAAGAAAAGGCTTAATAAAGAGGATAACGAGATGTGAGAAAATATAAAAATGTCTCAGATTTTGATGGGAAAAATGCATTAAACTGAGAGAAATGTTTTCATATGTTGTTACTTTTACATCACAATCAGAATGAAACTCCCAGAATTTAATGGATCTATTGAAAAGTTATTTCATCTTTTTTCCTCTTTATCATCGTCTTTTTTTATTCTTTTCTCAGTCATCCAGAAAACAGGATGAATTCCCAGTCTCTCTTCAGAAGAGTAACCAGAAATAAATATCAGATTTACAGAGATGATTATATGATGATCAGTCTTTTGATACCAATAATGATATATAAAAAGAGACACATTCTCACAATCATGTTGAAGAGAACTGAAAATGAGCAAGAGAAAGAAACATTAACATTTCCTCTGGATAATGTTGATGATACTTAATATCGGCTAAGTTAATAAAAGAAGATTGTTTTGATTCGGAACAGAAAAGCAGCCTAACAATTCACCGAGAAATTGTAATTGTTTGGACATCTCTGAATAGCTTTTAATCGTAATTTGATTAAGGTGATCAAGTTGGTGTTCGAAGGATTTAAAGATGATTAAATTCTTACCATTGTATATATTTGATGATAAACATTGAGGTGGTTGAAGGGAGGAAGACTTGTGAACATTTAGATCGCCGGTGTGTAGACCTTTGGTTTGGGTTATCTGGAGTACTAATGATTTAAGATCTTCAGCTGATTTGTATCTTCGAGGTATATTGTACTCTTCTGGTAAAAGTGATGATCGTCGAGATGGACTGACCAGGAAAACTGAATTTAATCTTGGCCTTTGAAAATTACCCGTTGATGTACAGTTAACTAATTCCAGTGAATTTCGTGAATCACTTGTGTGTACTTGAGGTATATTGGCTCCACCAATGGAAGTGAATCGAGTTTGCTGAGAAAAGGAAGATATATCGGTGTCGGTTCGATGTCGGGTCGGTTCTAACGTTCGTATTTTACCCCATTTCTTGATAAACCAAAGAATGACCAATACCCAGAAGATTAAAATACACGAGACTAGAATGGCCTCACCAGGTCGAACAATAATTTCCGGATCAACGTCTAACCGAATTCTCAATGGGTTCATACCTCCTCGAACAAATCGATGTGGTTCTAATAGAAAACAGAAAAACAAAACAAAAGTCGAAAAGCAAAGAGAAAGAAAAACGATCTCCAATTAATTATTTACCAAACAATTTAATCTTTAATATCATCAAAACGTATTATCATTAATTTCAACAATCGAGGTACACAAATCAGACTAACAATTGACTCTTAATGGCTAATAATTTATAAGGAATGAAACTACTATCAGAGTATCTTAATTAACCTTAACTATTGACCATCATGATATTGAACTGGTCAGAACCTCGAATATAATAAATAAACTTAACTAGTGATCGAGAAAAAAAAAATCTCATCTCAACTTATATAATCTTCTTAACGGTAAATGACAATTTAATGTTAAGCTCAATAATCAATGAAGGAGAAGATTAATTTTTCCTCATCTCTTTACATGGGAAAACTATTACTTGGAATATATTATCTTTGAAAACTATCATCATAATCTTCATCATCCTCATCTTCATTAATGATTAACAAAATGGTAACAAAAACAACACGTAATTGTTTGCAAAGTTTTCATATGCAAAAATTGAGAGTAACATTTGATTGTTAACATAATCTGTTAGTATTAAACATAATTAAAAGATTAATTATTGAAAAATCAATAGGATGTCCCTTTAGACTTTACCTCCATCAGGTGAAACAAAACGGATAAAGTGACTTGAATTTCCTATCAAATCAGAACTGGAAACAACATTAATGAGAAGTTGATATTCCGTGTTTGGCACTAATTGTTCAATGGTAACATTTCTCATGTTTATAGGCACTTCCTGAACATATCGTGTTCTGAAAATAAAATGAAAAAATTCAATAAAATATGATAAGTATAAAGGTAGAAAAAATTTCCAATATCTATTACCAATTCAACGTATCATGAAGAGAGAGAGAGAGAGGAGAAAATGTAAAATTAATGATAAATTGTGATAATCATGAAAATGATAAATTAATTTTCGCAAAAATCAACTAATCATAAGAACTACTTATCACTTATTCAATTCTATCAATCAAGGTGAATGTTCAAGTGGACGATTTAATATCTTGTATAATATAAAAGGAAAAGGGGAAAATGATAACCTTGAAATCGTAAGTAGAAAATTCAACTTTATCGTCTATAAGCAACTTATCATCATGCAAGAACACACATGATATAAATGAGGATTTTCTCTCTCTCTCTTTTCATCTTCTTAAAATTGATTGAGAATACAGAAGAATAAGTTTCGATATTGAAGCATTTGCAAGATTGATGATTTCAATTGAAAGGTTGACAAGTGAAAGCATAATGATGATAATGATCATGTGAATCTTAATTTCTTATCAACACAGAATGAGAATAACCCAATTTATCATCAACATCACGAGAAAAACAGTTAATGAATATCATGTCACCTTGTTCGTCCTTTAATTGTATCAACATTTAACTCTCCTTACAGATCAATGAATGATTTCCATCCCAAAGTAACAGTAAATCTACTGCTTCTCTTACATCATCATCTACATCTCTATCTTCATCATGCTTATCATAATTTTCTTGAGTTTATATTATAAACATTTAAAAATACTCTGTTTATACATTGAAACTTTTTCTACAAATAATTTTACTTCATCTTCATGTTTATTATATTTTTTGCTTCCAATTCCCAACTGATTGACTGATATTTACCAGAAGAGAGTGGAAGTGGGTGAGGGTAGGGAGGTGGTTCTCATTTGTTTGCTTGTTTGATTCTTATTGATAGATCATCATCATGATCCTCTTAAAATCAATAGATGATAATTTACTCTCTCTCTCTCTCTCTCTCTCTCTCTTTTCATGTTCTTTTTTTCCTCCTTCAAAATAATCGTGACCTACAAATCGATTAATAGCTTTTTACTATTTTCATTAAGTAGATTTCGTATTTGTACCAGGAAAAAGAGTTTATTTAAATTTCTTTGGATTCTTTGGGTTTCTGGTGAAATCTAAGTAAATATTGAGAAAGAAAAAGTTATCGGTGAGTTTTATCAGAGGTGAGGGTAAGAATTTATTACAAGGAGAAAAGAATATCAGAGAAAATAAATCATGGGGAAAAATGATATTAATATTTTTCTCCAACATATCGAACTTTTCTAACTTTTTTTATTTCTCTTTTTTTCAATTATTTTATAATCTTTCAGCACCGTGGATATAGATATGATTTGCTTTATGCCTGAAGGGTTAAAGGAGGAAAAGGAAACTGCAATTTCAAACCAAACAATCAACTCAAAATTGAAGCAAATTAATAAACTCATGTAAACATTTCAATGTTCAATATTTCACCCGCAAGTCATGATACTTAAGTTAAGGATCAATGGACCTCATTGTGATTAATACACAAATTTGATTAAAGTTTCAATTAATAAACAGAATTCAAATTAACTTATTAAAGGCTAATCAAAAAATCAATCATCTATTTTGATTATTCATTTCATGTAATAATATTATTCACATTTAGTTTGCTCTTGAATGAACAGAAAAAAAGTTAACACAAATGTAATCAATATTAACTATAATTAACAGGTGATTCTCAAAGATAATTAGTTCAATTGAGTTAATCGTACATAATTACAGTTATAATTAAATGTTAAAAGTTATTAATTAAAATAAGAGTCACATTGTGAAGAAATAGAATATTGGAAAAGCAATTGTAATTATTTACTTATCAAATTAATTTGATAATTAATAAAGATTGTGATCTTCAGTATGATTTGTTAATTATATATTGATGTTCATATCAGAAATTAATATTCATCACAATCAACTAATTAATGATTTCAGCAGCTTCTGAATATTGGGAGTGAAAACTCCCATATTCAGAATAACATTGAAAAAAATGAGGTTGATTCTTTGGCTAATTAGAGCTGAGAATTAAAATTGACAAAAGTGTATCAACTTTATAGTATAAATCATTTCAATTCATTTGGGTGAGATTACCCCATTGGCCACCTTTGGAAAATCAATAAATGAATAAGTTTGTTTCCAGAATTTCATGAAGAAACTTCAGCTTTAAAGTAAAAAAAACTCATTCTATGAAAAGACTTTTCAACACTAAAAGGTTAATACACATGGTAAATATTTCGTCATCCAAGATGAACAATATTCTGTTTGAAGAAAAAGAAAATGATTCATCTACAAAGGTAAATACAAAAGGAATTGTTCATGAATAAGATATTTAGGAGGTTCGAATTGAGATTGAGATTGAAAATGGTACATTACAGTTAATCTTTGATTTAGAATTTTAATCATTCATTAACTTGCTTCTAATTCTAGAATTGATATTCTTGTTTATAATTCGGTGTATTTTTGACATGTCATCAGATTCATAAGTTATGCAATTAAATAGGAAAACAAATCGAGTATATCAGAAATATTGACGTAAGAAGATAAATAATTACAATGAATTTCATGAAAATAATCTCATATCGATTCACTGGTTATTAGAAAACTTTTTTTCTCACTCAATTGTTTATTGATTAAGGTGTGACTTAAGTCTCATCATTTCCAACAACATGATATCATCATCATCATCATTAGATTTTCTGATGATAATCAATTCAATGAGTGAAACTGTTTAAGTTAATTTGATTAACAGGCGATGAAATTGAATTAACAAAATTGATCGACCATCAGATTGAAAATAATAACAGTTAAAGCGTAATCATCAACAAAGGAAAATATTACAACCAACTGATTATTAATAAAAAAAAAGTTCAATATCAAAATGTTCATGACAATTAGCAGATAAAAATCAACAACGATAATAAACAACAGGGACTCCATTTCTTGGCATTGCATGATTGTCGTTGGGTTAACATGACACAATCAACATTTGATATTTGATTAATATAAGAGATAAAAACACAAATTTAATTACAGAATCGATGAACGTCTAATTAATAAACTATTAATTAGTAATTGGATAGGATGAGTAGTTAATTGAAATTGAAACGACTACATAGATAATCATCAGATTGATCATGTTCAACTTGAGAAACTAAAAAAAACAATCAAGATAAATAAGATTACAATCAAAATCTAATGTGTTAAAATGTGAGGATAATTTTAATCTGATTAAGTTAATTACATAAACTATAATAAGCTTACGATATTAGCATTACATTTTTAATGCTTCCACTGATTCATTTCAATATTCAATGATTGTAATATGCAAATTTGAAATAAGATTTCATGATAATAATTCATGATAAACTAATAAAAAAAACAGCGATGAAATTAAATGGATAATTTTTTATTCAATAAGTTATTTGAATAAATTATTCATTGAAAGAAAAATGTTTCTACGTTTTGATTCATTGAATTTATAACAATGTAATACAGGGTAACATGATTACAGGAATGAATCAACTGAATGAAGAAAAAAACATAACAATTATCATCATAATTATTAATTAAATTAGATTCAATCTAACGTTTCCTTTTCATCATTTTGTATTTCAGTGTATTCATTGAGTTGGAAATGATTAAATTAATTGTAAAACATCAACAATTGATGGAAAACATTACAATTAGGAATATAAAATTTAATTTCTAGTAAGTAAATTGAATCGGATGAAATAGATTGTTACTATTTATAGAAATAAAATTGGAAAGTAATCAGAAAATTAAATAAATTACAGAAAAGTAATCAAAAGTATTTACATCATCATCATCTTCATCTCCATAAACATTTATTTCTGATTGTTTCAGTTGAAAAGGTTAACAGGATTCAGGAGTAATTCATGGATTAGATGGGAAACCAATGAATATACAAAACCTCAATCATCATGATAATTCATGATACAAGGTAAACTCATTTTCATTCAAAACCAACTCCCAGATTAATATATTATATATATCCTATTGAATGGATTTTTATTCGTAGCAATAAAAAAAAGTAATAGATAAACATTCATATGAATAAAATGATAACATTCACATTATCATTGTAAATGGTGAATAATCTGATTCCTCCGGGATCTTATTCAGCAAAGAGGAATCATTTATATTCTTGAAATATACAATAGAGAAAAAATTACACAATTGGACAATATAATGTTATCATCATCATTATGGCTACAATTTTCTGCAAGATGATGATGATGATGATTGTCAAAAGTTAAGATAATATTATGATCATGAAATGTTCACCATGTAAACGGAAATTCAAAGTTTCAGTTTCCATGTGTTTACTTTAATATATCGATGGAAAAGATGAGAGAATATTTGAACAAGATGAAGAAAACGAGATTTTTTCTATTCTTTTCTCGAGAAAAAGATTTTCTTTTATCACATCATGATGAAGTTCATCATCACTTGTAATTCTGGAAAAGGAGAAAACTATTCCGTTGAGGAGATTCTGAGTTTTTAGAGATGGCTGATTCCATTTCTTTGAATCATCATCATCATCATCATCATTATCATGTATGAATAAATATTCAACAGTAAAAGATATTAAATTTATTTCTACTTCTGAATTTCTGATTCGGTTCGAGGCTTTTTTACTTCTTCCTCTCCTCTCATACTGTTTTCTCATTTGATGGTACGATAAACATTTGATGATAATCGTGGAGATGATGAGAGGATAAAAATTGAGCAAAGCTCAGGAAAGGGTGAAAGGTTATCATATAGTGATTTTCTAGTCTTTCCATGGTAACTGTCATCGTCACGATAACCATTCACAATTGAATAATCTTGTGAAAATCAGGGTGAAAATCAACTGAGAAAAGAAAATAATGTTCAACATGAGAGAAGATAAATTTTCTTCCAACAGTTTAGATTGAATACTTTTTTTGTTCATCGTCAAGATTGATCTCAAAGGTATATTGAAAGGTTGAAGAATATAAATTTCATGTCACAATCAGAATTAAAATCGACAAGAGAAATACAATCATGGTTATTATAAGTTATCAAAGTAATATCCTAGTTCTAGGTTATTGTTAGTATACAATAGTTGAAAGTAAATTAATCGAGAAACATAAATTAATCAATATATGAAAAGTTTGTTGTGTTGTTTTAGTTACAACAATTAACAATTTCTTTTCATCATTTACCCAACTAACTGTTCAAAATGATTAAAGTAATGGCAATGAAAATGAAATCAATTGGGAATTGAACAAGAAACATAATAATAATCAAACTAATGATTATTATTATAAAATGCTCATGATTAAGATGATAATTAACAAGAAATTTATATGATAGAAATGATGATTAATACTTGTTGTTGATTGTGAAAAATAAATAGCAAAATCAATCTGAATCAATTGATTAAGAGGCTTCATTTGATTATATTCACTAGTACGATTAGTAAAACAAATATCATCATCATTAAAATCAGTTTGGGATTGAGGAAAATGCGAAATGAAGGATGATAAGCAGAAATAGATGAGGAGGATAATGATGAAGATAAAGTTACAATTGACTAAATGAATTCATCAACATGACTTCCTAAAAGGTTATCAACATCACTATTTGACTGTCAACCAACTGACCGATCCTCATGCTCATCTTTATCTTCATCTTCATCGCAATGTCATCATCATCTTGTTTTCCATTTATTATCCTCTCTCTTGCTTCATCATCATTTGATGATTTTCTCTTCTTGTCCCCAACCCACATCATTATTGTGAACATTAAATATGAGTAACATTAAATTTGGACTCAGTCTCTTTGCTCCGCTTCAATCATCGCAACTTCCATCATGTTATTTTCCTTCATCATCTTCATCATTTTCTCTCTTTCTCTCTTATGTTTTTTTCGGTAAATAGAGAGACACTTTTTTTCTTCTCGATTCCTTGTGATAATATCGATTTATTTTCTTCACTTGCTAATACTTTTTTTCTTACTCCATGTCCTTTGCCTATTCTTCAACTACTCTCACTGATTCTTTTCCACTCTTATTATCCTGCTCCTCTTTTATTACCTCCTTCTCTCATCATCATTCTCGTCCTAATCGCTTTATCTTTCTTTTTCCTTCTTCTTATTATTATTCTTCTTTTTTTCATCATCATACTCACTGATTCTTTTTCCATGTCAACCGCAGATTATGTATAATATTAAACTAACTACAACAATCTCTGGCTAATCACAATCAGAAAGGATAAATTCTTGGTCATAACAAACCTAATCAATGATTCTAATCACAACGAAACCAGAACTTATGATAATCGAAACCAATTTTCTCATTTTTATCCATAATCATCATTTGATCGGTTGATTATCTTTCTAATGTTTCAATTCAAGTCAGTGATGAGAATGAGAAGGTTGAACATCATTGGTAATCATTTAATGTTCCAATGAAAAGGACTATTTTTATCAGAATCTTTTTCTTTCATCCAAGTGAATTTGATCTTTTCTCTCTATTCTTATTTTTAGATAACTTTGATTAATCTTGGATTTGACGTACAAAGAAATGGACCAAGAAAAAACCGTGTAAAAACCTAAAGGTAATAAAAGGGAAAAAACTATCGAACTGAACTGAGTCATGATGTATTAATATTAATATACTACACTGAGAGCTCATCAATCTTATAGTTTTGTTGTTGTTTTGTAGCTTCTTCATCTTAGTCTCACACAATCTTTTCATTTTCTTCCTTTATTATCAACAATTTATCGTATAAACAATCATCAAGTATGTTACAATTAAATAGATTAACCAGAATAATCTATTCTAACCTATCATTTACCCTGTTATCATGATTCTTTATGGACCTTAAAAGAAATAAAAATACGAGTAAAAAAAGAAACACAAAATTCCCAAGAAAACAAGAGGAGAAAGAAGAGAAAGAAGAGAGATTATGTTTGATAATAAGAAGAATAGGCCAGAAACATGGAGGAAGAAGTGAGTGAGTGAGTGAGAGAGAGATGAAAGCATTTTCACCATTTTCAGTCAAGTTAATTTGATAAGACAAGAAGAGAGAGAAAAAAAGAGCAGGAAGAGAGAAAAATGAAAATGGAATATGAAAGTTATGAAAATAAATCAGATAAAGATTCAGAGTAGTTGGAAAAAGATGAAGATAAAAAGAAAAATATGAAATGGGGATGAAGATAATTGAAGTTGATGTAATAGCAAAGAGATAATGATTAAAAAAAAAGAAAGTAAATAATAGGAGAGAGAAAAAAAGAGGAAAAATATTATTATGAAATCAGAAATATATTTAATTTCATGATAACAATAAAGTTGAATTTAATGATGGTAAATAATATTAATAATAAAAAGAAAATGATGATGAAAAAAGACTTACTTGGAACCCACTGGAAAATAAACAATACGAAACATTCGTGATAATTTAAGTGAATTTGTTTTATCATCAACAGTATAATGATGATGATGATGTTGATTTGTAGTTGTTATCATGGAAGGGTCCAGTAAATCAGGACCTGGATTGAAGGCCCAAGAGACCCGAATGGCCGGTGGAAGCCATTGGGTTAGTACCACTGAAATGTTGTGTGGTACTGATTGCATTTCAGTTGAACGGGATTCCTGTTTGGTGATAATTTTGGCAAACTTGATACAATGACAAAAACAAAGAGACACAAATACAAAAGACAAACTGTTTGTATGGAGGAGGGAAAGTGGAAAACCGATCAACACTGAAAATCTATTATCTAAGATATGAGAGGAGAGAGATTGTAACAAAAGAAAAGATTAGATTGTTGTTTTCAGGTTAAGATTGAGATATGAAAGAATCAATTGATTGCTAACACACAAAGAGACACAATTAGAATTAAATTGTAGACAAAAGCGCAAATCCAATGGTAAGACACAAGCACAGGTTGATTTTGTCAACTGACAATTTTGTGATGAGAGAAAGTGACTACAAGATGTGTATTGTTTTTTTCTTTTACTCTTTTTTCCCTCCCAAGGAAATGATGGAAAAAATGATAGAATTGAATGCTAGCAATACCAATGGTGGTGAATGAGCAGATGAGAGAGTAGAAAGTTGTAAAAATAACTAAGGGAATGAGAGAGAGAGAGAGAATAAAATTGAAAGGAGAAAAGCTGTTGAGGCGAATCAGCAGTAGCACAGGAAGATGATGAAGATGAAAAGAAGATGAAAGGCAAACCATTTATTCAATAACATTGGAATCGGTTGTTGGCATAGTTATTGTAGAATAGAAACAGGGAGAAAACAAAGAGAAATAACTGAGAGAGAAGTAATAAAAGCAAAGAAAATCCTTCCCAAGAAACTAGAATCCAATGAATTAAGATTTTATTACGTTGAAAACGCCTCTTCTTACAGAGTACGAGCAGCCAGGCTACTCTTAGTGGTACAGGCACCACTTTTTGAGAGGAAAATTCACCATAATATCTGATTAGCTTGTGTACAATGGTATGAAAATTCTTGGATACATTTGGTTATTAATATTAATATTGTTGGATCATCTCTTTGTTCTTTTCCGATTGTTTCTATACACCAATCCACCATAAAGCCGCATGTCCAGAAAATATGGAACATATTTGAATTATTACAGCAAGGAAGTTTTAGATGATATTTGTTAGTCTCTACCATGGAAAGTAAGTCGTAGTTCATGTATTTATATTTATGGAGGATTTTCCTATCCGGGTCAATGAGTAGGAACGGTATGAACCATTGTTCATATAGATTGAGTAATTTTTCTTTGATTTTTCTTTTGATGAAAATTTTCCATTGTGAGAGGGGAATCCAATTCAGCGAAATTTGTTGGCCTACAAATATATTATCTTCGGATTTATGAATTTCGTCGTATTTCCATTTCGCTTCATTTGTCAATAAGTTATTGATGAGGAAGATTGCATCGGAGGCAGTGGGACTAATATTATTAATATTATTAATAATTAGTTTGTCATGGATCAGGATTGTCATTATTTTCCCTTCTGTTATCAGGATACCTTGAGCTATGATACAAAATAGGTATTGGCACCATCCACCAGTGTTTTCGAATATGAAATTATGTTTACTGTAATTCGGAGTGAATATTTCTATTGAAATTAGAACTTTACTTTTTTCTTTCTTGAATGATATCTTATGGTTCGTTGGTCCGTTTAATTTTGTTGTAAGGATTTTTCTCGTAATGTTTCCATCCGGGAGTCTCTTAGGTATTTCAAATAGGCATTTCTTATTAACTTTGTCTGAACTTGAAAAGTATTGCCAAGTTACCACGTCGTACCAAAGGATTTCTAATGGATGAGAAATATTAAGAAAGAAGGTTACGTATGAACTGTGAAATTTTTTGTGTTCAAGAATGTTCAGTGGTTCGTTGAATGCGTTAAATAACATTTTCATCGCTGATTCAAAATTCTCTCCAAAGAAAGCCGAGTATCCCAGTATCTTCAGTTTAGGATTAATAATATTATTAATAAGTAATCTTTTGACGGGGTTGGGGAGAGAGCTTAATACTGATTTATCACATTTGAATGTATTAAATTTTGATAATAGTGATTCAACTATTGTTTTTAGTCTGTAAATCGATACTTCTCTTATAATTGTAATTCCCGTTATCTCGAAGGAGGCTAGTTTCTTGTTTTTTTCTTGGATGACCAGTGTTTTTTTCTCCGAAAGGTTTAGGCCAATTCGTTCCAATATTTCTGAACACTCCATTAGTATTTGGTTTTTGTGATTAAAAGATGAACTTGCAATTATTACATCATCTGCATACGCTTTTATTGTTATCTCCTTGGTTTTAGCTTTCCTGATGAAATAGTCTAGCGCCAATCCGAATATTAAAGGTGATGATGAAGCTCCTTGGGGAGTTCCTTGGTTTTCCAATTTGTACCATGTTTTGCCGCGCCACTTAATCTTTACATATCTCGATGAACAGAAACTTTTCAGTAGAGCGGCCAAATTCTTGTCGATTTTCGTTATTCTCTGGATAAGTTTATCCACCTCGACTTTATCAAAGGCTGATTCCACGTCTCCTTTGATAATAATAGTATTATTATTATTAATACTATTATTATTATTCGCTTGGATTAGGTCCATCACATCCAATGTGAACTTTTCTCTTGATCCATTTTTAACAAATGCATATTGGGAATTTGGTAGAAATATCTTATCAGCTATTGATTGTAATCGTGAAGCCAAGACAATGTCGACCATTTTAAAGATGAAGCACGGGGTTTTTATCATACGAACTTCCAATGTTCCCGGTTTCGGGACAAAACCTCCACCCAAGATTCTCATCGTTAACGGGATGAGATTTGTTGATAAAATCGAATTTAGGAATTCTCTTACTCGAGATTCGTTGATTCTGATGAATTTTTCCCAAGATGAAGATGTGAACGAATCTGCATCAAGAGAACTAACTCTCTTTGTTTTTACCATGACGTGATTCCACTCTTCCTCTAACAATGGATCATTATTTGTGTCATTATTTGTTTCACTTTCTATGAATGGAGGCTTTCCTGTTGAAAATGATTCGAGTTTTTTCAGAATTGATGGTTCTCTCTCTTTGTCCTCCTCAGTTACTTTGTTTCCTCCTCTGTGAATTATCCATTCGTTTAACCTTGACCATAGTGCTTTAGAGTCTTTGTATATATTGTTGATGATCTTCGGGATCGAAAATTTCTCCTTTTTCTTCTTCAATTTCTTTAGTAAAGTTATTCTTTCCATCGGGTCCTTTGTTTTCTTTAACCGGTTGTTTAATTTTCTACAACCTCTAGAAAGTTTACTATCTGTTATTCTTTTCCATTTTCCATTGTTATCCGGGAATGTTCTTATCGATGTGGCGATTTCTTTTAGTTTGTCTTTTTTAATTTTGTCATTTAGTAACCATTCGTCTTTAAATTTCCACTGGAAATTATTTATATATCTAATTTTCTTTTGATGTGGCCTCGAGCCTTCATTGGGGATCATTGTCGCTTCTAGTTGATTGTGATCTGAATCAAACTTATTATTAATATTAATATTAATAATATTAAAGGAGATTGGAACCAGAATTACATCAATGGTAGTTTGGCCTCTGTTGAACGTGACCGTGTCTACAGGGAAACATGATTTATGATTGATAAAACAGGATGAGATGTCTTTTAACAATCTCTTAGATAAAGATGATTTTTTTGACGACCATAACTGGTGGTTACAATTTGTGTCTGAACAGAAAATGGTTTTACCTTCTAGCGTGTTGATGTAATTGATTATTGTTTGCCATTTAGATTTGGAGCCAAAATACGAAGAGATTATATTGTAATTTTTGTTTCTAAACACAAAGGAAGCACATATAAAGTCAGGTAGTTGATGATTTTTTTCCTTTGGATTGAAGTTAACTGGGATAATTAGGATTGCTTTCCCATTTGCCATCAATTTAGCTCGCACATTGTTAATCTTAATTGATTTATCTGAGCTCTTTGTTTCAAAAAATTTGGTTAACCATTTACCGTTTGGTTCATTGATGGATAATATTGTGTTATTCATAAATTGTGATGAAATTTGATTTGATTTATTATAAGATTTGCACAAATTCCAATGAATAATTTTAATCATGTTTAAAAGCTTTAATTGAATTTTTGGTAGAATTTTATTTTACACGTGGTATTTGTTTCTTTTTTTACTCACTAGATGGGGGGAATTGTTGTTCCAGCGGGTTTTTTTGAATAGCTTTACGCTAACTTTTTCTTTGGTTATTTTATTAATTGTTGTTTCTTCAATTTGTTGAGTTAATTGTTATTTTTGTTATTATTTGTATTAATATTTGTATTATTATTATAATTATTATTATTATTATTATTAGGATTGTTGATTGTGTTAATTTGTTTGTGATTATGAACATTCGAGTCGATCAGATAGTGGGTGAAGTTGAAACTAAATACTTCATCTGCGGTATCTGCAACAAAATAGCTATCGACCCTCGGGTTCACAATGGTGGATTTAAACAACGATTCTGTGCTCGGATGTTTTGTAACATTTGTATCTCCAGTCGAGCTGGTAATCCTGCTTTCGCCAAACCACCCGAGCCTTACAAGAAACCACAAACAAAATGTCCTATTCCCACTTGTAACATCGATTTCAACGATCCCTATTTCACTTTCATGGGAAATATGGAGAGGGAAGCCTATGCTCTTCTAAAAGTTGAATGTGTAACCTGTCGGTTGATTTACGGGATTTACGATTATTTGGCCCATGAGCCTCGGTGTTATACTGGAGTTACTCCAAAGCGTAAAAGTGTTCCCTTGGATTTGAATACCGCCTATGGCGTCAATAACACCATTGATGAATTTACCAAGCGAGTTTCTCATGGGCGGGCATATAATATTATTAGTATTAATAATAAACGTGTTGATCCCACTTATGGTACCCTTGGAGATGATGAGGTCCCATTGTATTGTTTAGGAGCCGATAAGACGCCATCGATTGTTACCAAAATGAGTTACACTCCCCAGCAATTAAAAGCTCAACTCAATGAAATTTTTGGTTATAAAACCGAGCTGATCGATGTGGTGAAGATGTGGCATCAAAGTATCAACCAATGTGAGACCGTTGGTGAATTCCTCAAGGATTATCCCATCAAAAGTCCCGTCAACGTGATTCCTCATCGTGTCACCTATTCTCGTGAACAATTCAACTTATCGATGCGTTATCTTGGTGGTTTTCCAAATAAATGTCCATTTTGAATGGGATAAATAACTGATTTAGATGAAAAGTAATTTTTGGAAAAATTAAAAGAGAAAATGAAAGAAAAATTTAAAGAAAAACAAAAGAGTGAGAAAGGATTAGAGTTAAAGCGAGAATTTTAGAAAAGCGAAAAAAAATTGTAAGAAAGAATTTAAAGATTGTAATTAAAATGAAAAAATCTTCCGTCAATGATTATCAATATTTTGTATAATTATTAATATTATTAATAATATTAATAATATTGATAGATTTCTTGATTATTTCATTAAATTCTCATTATCCATGAGTAGTCAAAGTTGATTTTCTGAATTTCTTGTCTTAATCTCGCTTGGAACTGTGGGCATTCCCAAGTGAATGATTCGTGACCTTTTTGATGACAAATTGGGCATAAGTATTTATCAGGTAGGTGTTTGACTTTACAGTCAATTGGTCGATGAGATTCGGAGCAGAATCTGCAAATCGATTGAGCTTTACATTGGGAACCAAAGTGACCCAATGTTTGGCATTTCCAACATTTGAGAATATTGAAATGATCAGTCACGTTGATTAGTTGGAATCTGAAGTAAAGCTTTCCTCGCTTCGATTCAATAGCTTCTCTTGTTTCCGGTGAAACTGAGATAATCACATCAAAACTTTTACCATCCTTGTTGGGAAAATTTGTCACGTATTCGAATGCGTGTTTTCTTGATAAATTATTAGCAATAAAAATATTATTAATAAGATCCGACCATTCTTCTTTTGATTCGATGTTTCCACGATAATGAATCTTGTGTAATTTTACCCTCGGGTCAAAGACATCAGGCCAGTTGATATCTAATTCATTGTTCCATTTCTTTAATGAAGAGATTGCTTTCTTGGCTGAAATTACATCTGGTGCTCTTGCTTTGACTGATTTACCAACTTTGGATAGAATGAGTGGAAGGTCAGGAAGGTAATTCGCCTCGCAAGCTTCCCTCATCATCTTGATTATTTCTTCAGGATTATCCTTTGATCGGATTAAAAAAACCGGATCTAGATCGATTGATTGCCATTGTTTCCAATTTTTAGGGATTGCCCCCGTTTCTCTATCGTAGATTACCTTCTTGGCCCTTTTAGACGGGGTTGCTTCTTTATCTCTTTTTTCACTTTCATGGTATATTTGGTGAGCTTTTACCCTATTAACTGGCAGTCTAAAGGCGCCCAATTCCTCATCTTCATCTTCAAAATCGATTGAGTGTTGATCCGATTCTTTTATCGACGATTCAAGAGGCTCAGTATCTTTATCTTCCGGTTTACTAATATTATTAGTATTAATATTATTAGTTTCCAATGGGCTATTATTGATGACACCAGGGTCCATTTCTATCATGAATTTGAATCTGGCAATCAATTCATCTCTTGCTTGACGAGCCAAGGGGATCATGTTTGATTCACCATGTGTTTCCTTAGGAAAGTTTGTTAAGAACCAGTTCAAACAATTCATCGTCTTTTTAGCGCGATTTTCTGTTAACTTGAATCCCAAACTTCCTAAGACTTTAACGTTACATGATATGAAGTGAAGAAGACGAATGTTGATAATTAGAATCTTAGATTCAGTGCTTTTAATCTTCGCATTTATCAGCATGCCTTTTTCATGAACTAAATCGAGCCAGGAAAAGCACGTTGCTATTTCTTCTTTGGTGGGTAAATCTATATAAAACAGAACAGGGGATACAATAGGTAGAGTTGATATTAGAATTAAGATTAGTTAATAATATTAAATTAGAATAACAAATTAATTTTATCCCAAAATATGTTAACAGGTACCAAGGTTTTCAGTATATAACTGGGTGTGGACCGGTGGGTCGTTTTTTGTTATTTTCTTTTCTTACCTATTAGAGGGAGTACTGGGTCCGATGACATGATGATCTTGGGCACAAATTACACACTTTATGATAAATTATTAACTAATAATATTAATATTAATCAGGAATTTTTCAGAAAAAACAATGGGACCGGAAAACGTGATTAAGAATAAGAAGAAATTCTATTCTCTAGTTGAAACCAAAGATGTCGCTAGTTGGCAGAAGAAAAGAATAGAAAATCTCTATGTAATTTTCCATAGAAAGTGATGACATCTGGTGGTTCGATTAACGATTAACTTTAGTTCTTTCTTTTTTTTTAATTTCTCTTTTTTTTCTATTCATGATGAAATTTTAGTTCTTTTTGTTTTAATTATTATTGTTTTTTAATTTTTCTAGTCATTTATTGTGTTAATATAATTATAAACTTCTCAGGAAACTGTGGAAAGTATTTGTAAGTATATATAAAAATCTGATTGATTTAATTAGGTCAATTTACTCCAATGAGCGCTCTTTTTTTCTAGAGGTTTGTTGACATTAAACTGGATGATTGATTTAATTAGATAATCTCTCTAATTAATATTGATCGATGTGATTAATGTGTGAGCTTGAAATGAGCTTTAAAGGGTTGAAAGAAAGAACAAGTGCTTCTTATTGTTATTCCTCTTCTTTGACCTAATCCTTATCCCTTAACATCTTTAACCCTTTCCTTTCGCTTCCTACACTTTTTCAGGGTGTGTTCAGCTTGGGTTTTCTTATTGGTTGTAACTATTTTGCTAGTTAATCAATTTGATTCATATCCAGAACAATTAAGAATATTGTTCTCTTCAGTAATAACTGTTCTGATCTGCGAAAAACACCAGGATAACCTTTAAAAATTGCGATTTCCTATGTTTACAATCCTTTATTTTTCGTTTCATATCTCTCTCTCTCTCTCTCTCTCTCTCATCTCTTTCTTTTTTCTTCCTAATGAATATAACGGTACCTAAATCCTTCATTTAAAAAAAATCCAATGAAAAGTGTGATTGATTTCAAGGTTTAATCTAAATTAATCTACTTTTGAATAAAAGCCAAACCGATTCCTCTTCAGTCTATTGATACTTAAACCCAGCAAACACACTTGATGTCATCCAATTGACAAACAACTTGTTGACAATTAACTTGTAATCAAGCTTGTCAAAAGAACGAGTAATTGTCCTGATTAAATAATCTAGGAAAAATAACTGATCACAATTAGCTGATTTTTTAGTCTATCAGACTGATAACCTTGAATCAGGTTCTCATTCAAAACTTCAAATTTCAAATCAAATCAAATCCTTACAATCTAATTACATCCAATTGGACATTCAAATGTAACAATTTGAATCAACAATCAAAATTAATCATTTCTACTAATCGTTGTTCAGTCTAATTAGTTAAAGTGCTCCAATGATTTAAGATTAGACTAGTAAACTAATCAGTTCTGAAACAATTAACTTTATTTTTGAACTTTTTTTCATGTTTACAATTTAATTGCAGGTCAAGTAATTTAGTTACAATTTAAAGTTTACTTTTAATTGTTTATTTGCGTTTACTAATCACTTATATTGATTGTGATTACTTTTTCACTCAACTGTAAATAATTGATTGTTATAATTAGTTAATATGAGAAATTGAATAATAATTTTTATGCAAATAAATTAATTCAACAATTAAACTTAAGTTCAATATAAGAAATTACTTTAATTATCTAACTGATTATTATTAACAGCAATTAATTAGCACTTAATGAACTTATGAATTTAAATCTTTTCACCATGAGATGAAATTAAATTGAAACGATTTAATTGTTTGCTTAATTGTTGACAAGTTGCTAATTAATGAGTTATAATGTTTTTCAATTAAATGAAATTGTTGTTTATTAATTAATATCAATGTACTAAATTAATAACAACAAACTATTCAAGGTTAACAATTTAATCTAAACGTAATTATGATTAGTTAATTGTTGACCTCAGTTATTTGTGTTATGATGTTGATTTGATTAATTGTCAATATCTTTGATTAGTTTTAATCAATCAAAATGGCTGAGTTATTATTATGAATTAATTGTTAACCTTAAACTTGATCACTCCTTTTGTTTTTAATTAGTAAACAATCAAATCTAATCAAGTTAACAAAATATCTGTATCAGTTAATCATTTCATAAACATATATTGATTAATTGTTAGTTAATTTGTTACAATTTAAATCATATATTGTAACAGAAATTAAATCAAATGAAATTTTATCAATCATATGATACATTGAATTTACTACAATACAATTAACGATTATTTATATCAAAGGCGTTTATTTGATTACAATTAGCTTTAACTAGGAAACTGTCACAATTAACTAATTACGACTCAAAAGTATAACTGTTTTCTTCAATAATTAACTTTTCAGTGGATCATCAGATTGTATATTTTGACAGGATTAAGATTAAGAGATTAGAATCTCAGTTAATCCAAAATTGCGATTGATTTCTCACAATCAATTTATCGATTAAATTGCTGGGCAATTGGACATTTTAATGATGAGAAATATTATCACAATCAAGGATATCCCTCAACTGATTAGAATCAAAAAAAAACCTTGACAATTAAAAATAATGATCATGATTATTAATCAACTTGAAGGGATTACCCAAACATCATCTCCCAACAATCAACTCTTTTCAGTGATTAAAATGAAAACCATTTTGTTTATCTATTTTTTCAAAAACAAAATTGATTAAATTAATTTAATCACATAACAATTAAACAAAAAAAGCCTCTGTAGTTAATCATGATGATAATTAATCAAGACGACAAAAAAAATGAGGATAAATGTATTTGATTAGCATGAGTTGTATTCATCTTTACAACAGAATCAAATCAAATCAAATCGTCAACTAATCATTTCACTTTTCTAATCCTGCTCATAATAATTATCCTTAATTTGATTCAATTAAGATTTTCTATCATCTCAACTAATTAACTAATAGATTTAATTAACAAGTGATTGTGTTTACCAAGAGAGCGAAAAGTTTCCATTTTGATTTTCCCTCCACCGAAAAAGGGTAAGCAAATTAAAGAGAAATTATTTATTTGTTTACCAATCTAATTACTAATTGTTACAATTAATTCTATCAGTAAATCACTAAATTTATCCCTATTCTTTTCCTGAGATCAAACAATCAACTTCAATTGTTAACAAGGTGAAACCAACAATCAACTAAATGTAATTACTTTTAAAGGTTGAGGCTAACCTTTTGTCATGAGAATCTTTAATTTAGTTTAATTGATTATTTATCAACCTGATTGTTTTATTCAGCTGATTAAATTGATTTCTATTGATTCAGTTGTGATTTTCTGGGAAAACATCATTAGAATTGTTATTTATCATCCTGATATTATGATTTGATCTCAATTATAATGCAGATAATTTGATTTGCTTGTCTTTCCACTTTTTCAATTGTGATTTAAAGATTTCAAATTAATCATGATCATAATTATCATGAATTGTCATGAACTGAATAAATCAGCTACATAATTGTGATTAGATTTGATTATATAAATCACCGAGTAGGTGTTTCCTTTCCGGTCTCTGTCTATGTTTCATTTTGTGACAATTAACGTATAAAAAGTGGTAAAAATGATTTAATTGTTGACAGTCAACAAGTGAAAACAAATTAAATTATCTTGGTGTTGGTTAATTGTGACACCTTATATTTTCTCAATCGATCTAAATTGTTGATCCTCATCAATTAATTTATTTTCCTCTTCAATTCAATGATCATTTTCGTATCGAAAAATCAACAACTTCATTCAAACTGATTTTCTGAAAATCTTTTCATTTCTATTTCTAGATCATTCAAACAAATCTCAACATCGACAGTTTTTCAATTGGTTTAACCTCTAATTGTTAATTTCTCTCAGTGAATGAGTTACATGTTTAATTACAATTAACTTGATCATTAGCTATGCCATCAAATACTAACTTCAAGCAATCTGAATCAATGAATGATTTATCGGTTTCAAGTATCGAGTCTGTGGAGATTAACAATGCAAATAAAGGCCAATTAGTTAATCAATATTCACCAGCAATCAGCCGATCATCATTGTTGATTAACCACCAACAGACTGAACCTGTACCCACCTCTAATAACAATGTAAGTGTATTTGATGATAATTCATTTTGATTGGGATTAATTTACAATCGGATTTACAATCAATTTAATTGAATCATTTATCTTTCGACAGGTAAAATTATCTAATAAAACTGATAAGTTTACACTTCCGTTGGCACTTGGTTCTAGTTTAGCGATGCTTTTAGGTTCGATTCCCTCTGGATACAATGTCGGAGTCGTTAATACCCCGCAAATGGTGATTAGTTAATTACTCTCATTTTGGTGAATAAGATTAGCAAATTGAAACAATTTAATTAATCTTTTGAACATTCTCATAGGTTCTTAAATCTTTCTGTAACGAAACTTTAATTGAGCGAGGTATTCATATTTCCTCAACGAAACTTGACTTTCTATGGTCAGTTTGTGTGTCCAGTTTACTTCTTGGAGCAATTGTAGCAACAAATTTCAGCAATCAATTGGCAAATTGGACTGGAAGGTAAATAATACAATCATGTCAAGTTAAATCATCAATTACCGAAAATAAGATTCAAATGGTCAACCAATCAACTGTAATTTAGTTTGATTGTTGATCAAATCGTTACCATTAACTCATAAGAGATTAATAGTCGATAACTGATCATCTTGGAATTGATTCTCTCTCTCTCTCTCTCTCTCTGGCTTTCGATTTTGATTCTGATTTATCCTCTTAATTGTAATCATCTTAATCATCTACAGAAAAGGTGCTCTTCTCATCTCTGGATTATTTGGTATTATCGGTTCCATCCTATTCTTTGGTTCATATTATTTACGATTTGTTCCAATTCTTGTTGTTGCAAGATTCATCTCAGGAATTCATTCAGGTAATAATAATGAATTTTATTCCACATGTTTCATGAACAATGAAATACTCTAAGATGAAAATAAGAATAATAAAATGTAGGTTAATCTTTTGGAAGAATAAGAAGTAATTTAAATTCAAGAGAAAAAAAGTTCAACTCACGAGAATTTACATATTTCTGATTACATGATATTTATTGAAAAACAGGAAGAGATTAGTTCCAAAGATTTTATCCAAACCGAGTTGATCAAATTCAGTCTAATGTTCATTTTTCTGATCATCAATTTTCAGGTCTCACCTCAGGATTGGTTCCTCTTTATATCGCTGAGATTTCACCTGAAAACTTGAAAGGAGCAATGGGAGTTTTTCATGTCATTGGACTGAACTTCGGTATGTTGCTCGGTCAAATATTGGGTCAAGAAACTTTACTGGAACTGAGAAATGTTGGTCACTACTTTTGGGTCTATCAGCCATCTTCATACTTCTTGGATCGACACTTTACAAATCAAGTCCATCTAGTCCAGTTTATCTGTTTATCGTAAAAAATAAATTCAAAAAAGCAATCAAAGGTAATGATAATCCACCAGAACAAAAAGTCAGTTCGATTATAAAATATTCTAATTGGAATGAACTATTTTCTCACAGAATTGGCACTTATTCGTCGTTCATCTGTGTCACAGATGGAAGATGAAATTGCTGTTCTAAAGAAAGAACATAAAGAACAAGAAGCCAACAAATCGAACTGGACATTTTTCTCTGTATTATCGTCGCCCGAATATCGAGGAAAAGTTCTGTTGATTATTCTAATTCACATCGGTCAACAATTCTCTGGTATAAATGCTGTTTTTTACTATTCAACTTCTACATTCTATCAACTTGGAATGACCATGAAACAGGCTCAATATGGTTCCATCGCTCTTGGTTTCATCAACGCGTTCACGTGTTTCGTTGCGATGCCTTTATTGAAAAAATGGCGACGTCGAACTTTGTTATTCCTTAGCATTTGGGGAGGAGTTTTTTGCCTAATCGGTTTAACGATCATGATTAAGATTAAGGTGAGATAAAAATCGTCAGGTAATCGGTTTTTGAGCTCAAAATCTCATTTGGTTTACAAACTTAACTCTTTATCAGGATTCATATTCTTGGGCTCCAATTGCAACCGTTGGATTTTTCTTGGTATTTGCTTTCATATTTGCCGTTGGAAATGGTTAGTTAATCATTTACGAAATTGTCATGAGTTGATTGTCTAATTGTTTTATTGGTTTATTAGGTCCGATTCCATGGTTAATTCCTGCTGAAATGTTACCACAAGCAACTTTAGGCGCTGTTTGTGGAATCGGCGGCTTGATTAATTGGCTTGGTAATTTCATCGTCGCTCTTTCATTCCCAGTTCTTGATAATCTACTGGGTGATTCTGTTTTCTTGATCTATGCTATTTTCTGTACATTTGAAGGAATCATCCTCTTCTTTTATCTTCCTGAAACAAATACCTTTACCAAGACAATCTCAACAGAAATCATCTTACCTTCATCATCAACAGCAACATCCACATCTTCATCACCATTACCCAAACCAGCTGATTCTCAGCAACATGATGAAGATTAATTTTCAATCCGATTTTTTTTATCATTCACATTATTTTTTGATCATTTTAAGGTTGAAAATCAATCATCAACTGTTGGGCGATTAATCGTCATTTTATATATTTAATATATTCACTTTGTGTCAACCAATAATTGCCATGAAAATCAGTAACAAATTAAGCCAATAATTTGATTACTTAATGATAATCTCATCAATTCATCTTCATCATTGTCATCATTTGTTATTGTTTCATTTCATCTTTTGCATTTTCTTCACCAAATTTTCACCAAACAATTTCATTACCTTTTGTTATCATTGTTATGAACTTCTCTGATTGTTATCATGATTGAATAGAATTAAATTTTACAATCTTAATTATGACAACGGAATATTATCAATACAATGATTGAGTGGTTTGTTTATGAAACAAATGCTTTTTATTATTTTCCATGTGGAAATAATTTTGAGCTTTGATTGAATTGGAACTTGAGTTTACAGTTAAAAGAATGAAAAATATATCGACACTTATTAAATTGTATACAAGAAATTAAGTTTTCCACAATCAAATCAATATCTTTCATCTTGTGTCAATTGATCTCTTATTGATTCTATCACAAGAATAATGAGTTAACTTAATTCTTATCCATTTGATGACATAACAAGTAATTAAATTAACTGATTTGAGTGACACCCAAAGATAGAGAGATTGGAAGAATCAACAGAACCAACCAGAGAGAATTGATTAAATTGTCTTGTACTGATTGGACTGATTTGATCCAAATTCTTTTTACAATTAACTTGATAATCCTTTGTTTCCTTGGTGTAGATCCAAACAATCATAATATTGTAAATCCACATTGAGCTCAACGAATCACATTTGTAACGATCGTAGAAACAATCGATCAACATTTCCAATCAATTGATTATACAACAAAGAGAAACAGATAGAGAGGAAGAGAGAGAAACCAAAGTCTTTATCCTCCAAATCCATTGAGAGATTATCTCAACTTTGATCCTCAGAACATTATCATGGAATTCTCAATGCTGATATTCACCTTACAATCTAAAGTGATAAAAAAAGAAAAGAAAATGCTTAATTCTGTTACCATGGAAATGGCGCCTTTTCCTCAACTATTAATTTCCAACGGAACTTTGATTCAATTAACTCTTCTCGTTACTCTACTTTCGTTTAATTGTTCCTTTTCTTTCTTTCAAATTACAATCAAATGAATAGATTTTCTTTTAATTAGATATTAATTTAAATGATTGAACCATAAAATAATCGAACTTTTTATTTCTATCAAAAAGTAATAATTGAATGGAAGTTTTTTTCTTTTTCTTTTCTCTTCAGTTCGAGTTGCATGTTATCCTCAATTGGAGCAAATGCTAATTGAATGTCCCATCATTTCTATTAATATCCTAATAATAATTAGAATTATAATCACTGTCATTATTAAGCTGATTCTTTTTCTTATGTTATTCTAATTGGTGTTTGTGTCTCTTACCTTCAAGGATTATCTTTTCATCGCCTTTGGATTTACACGCAGCATGTGAGCTCATCATTTTTGTTTTGTCTCTCAATGGATTTAGATGGATTTGTAATTGTATTTGGTTTCTTTTTTTTGTTCTTTTGTTTTCTCTCTCTCTCTCTTTTGTTTGTCTTTTCTCAGAGGTTGTTGACACTTTTTCCGTGAACATTTCTCAAGAAAGTAGACGAACTCGAACATCCTCGAGACTTTTACACTTCCGCTCATCAGACCAACATATCGGCGATATCTCAATCCTTGGGATGTTGATTATCTCTCCACCTCCATTTCCATTTCCATTGGAAACTAGACCATTGTTGACACTTTCACTTTCACTTCCACCACAACCTCCATTACCTGTATTGCCATTAAGACCAATACCACCAGGAGAGTGATTATTACAGTAATCAGCTCTTATTTTGCTTCCATAACCACCAATCGTCGGTCCGATTCCAACATCTAAAGATCTTCCCATTCCAATGACGATCGAATCGTGCATATTAACCAGATCAGCTTCTGAAGGAATTATCCTGATTGTTGATCGATTAAGTGTTGATTTACATGAAGTTGAAGGAACACGAATATTTCCAACCACTGGAGTTGTTTTCTTTGCTGTTGCCGTGGTGGTTGATGAATAATCATCATCATCAGAGGCTTGAAATGATGGTTGGTATGGTTCAAGCATACGAATCTTTCCCCATTTATTTATACACATTAAGATGGTTGTTGCCCAAAGGAGAAGGACAAATATGATTAAGGTTAAATCTAATGGACTAACTAATTCATCTGAGACAATTATTGAACTTCGATTGACAGATTCACCTAAAAAGGAGATGGAAGAAGGGAAAATGAAAAAAAGACAATAAATATTACATAACATAACAATTTCTCTCAATGATATTAATACATAAATGGTGACAAAAGAAAAGGAAAAAGACATTAGTTGATAACCCAAACTATTAAACAACAACTTCAACACAATTACAATTCCAATGAGAATATATTAATATATTCAATTTCCATCAATATCTTTATTGTTGATTCAGGTTATTACTTTTGAATATCATTCTTATCATCATCATCATCATCATCATATCATTTACATTGACTGTTGTTATTTACTTATGGTTCCTGAATTGGAAACTTCAATTTGTTTGTAGCTATACAAATGATTAACGAATGTTTTATCAACAATTAGACAGTTTTTGTTATTTGCATTGAGAAAAACACAGATCAAGTTAATTAATGAGAAACTGAATTACATTTAATTACAACAGAAATGTAATTAATAACGATGATGAGGTTTTCAAGTTAACCAAAATTGGGTGAATCAAATGTTGGTTGTTTTTTATATTCTCGGTTAATTTTTTTTTGTTAATTACTATTTTCCTGATATGTTTTTGATATACAAAGATGACAATGAGACTATTACAACCGTAATCATCATTATCATTATTATCCAGAATCATAAATCATGAAAAATATTATTATCCTATTATATTGTGATCGATATCGTTTAATGATAAGATGTTAATACAATATCAATATCTCTGGTTTGTATTAACTTGGGTTTCTCACAATTTACATTTTAAGCCAACAATTAACTTAATCGATTGTCTATTTAATTGACAATTTACTACAACATGATTTACCAAAAGACAACATTGGACAATTTCATCACTTTTGATTATCAATCAAGATTTAAATTGTTACCATTGAGAGAAATTTAAAATCTCAAGTACATTAAATGCTTTTAATCAAATTGATTCAATGTAAAAATTTAAATTCACTTGATGATATTAAAGTTAACCAATGAATATTGGTTATCGATGAATTTCCTAGCGATATTGATGATTTAATTGTCACAATTTAATTTGATTCAATTTTTTGTAAATCATTAGCCGGGAAAATTTGATTCCTTGTTCATGTTTTGATTTGTTCAATTTGAATTGTTTTGATTGTTTCAATCAGTGATTTATTCATTAACAGTTGATTTACAATCTATTCTGTGTAATTATTATTGGTTAAAATGATTAGATGATTAATCAATTAATTAACTTATTAAACTTTATATTAAATGTTTATTGATTTTGATGATCAGTTTTGTAGACAAAAAAAGTAATCTAATTGTTCATAATCATGAATATTCATGAGAATCAACAATCAAAACAAATTAAGAAAATTTTTCTTTTCTGTTTATCTTACTTATTATTTCAATTGTGACAGTTTGACATTGATTAACAATTAACGTTTAATTAAGTTACAATAAGAGGAAAAGAAAAAGTTAATTACATTAGATATTGTTATTGTTAACAAATGAATGGATTAGTTAACCAAGAATTAATAATCAACATATTAATCTGACAATCAATTGTAACCAATTTCTGATATCAGTGAACTCAGCCAATAATTAACTCGCAATTAACATTCAACTTTTGGTTATAATTGAACTTGCAACTTATTTTTAAACACTATTAACGGTTAATTGTATCATCGCAATCAATTTTTCATTGACAGTTTTATTAACTAAAAATTAAAGTTAAACTATAATTAGCTTAAGACAATTAAGCCAATTAGTTGACTTTGAATTGATCTTTCGTAACGATTTATATAAATTGGAAAAAAATTTTCTTTCTAATTAGTTTTAGTTGAATTAAACTTTGTAAATTATTTGATTGATGTTTTGTTGTTTTTAATCAAAAATTTAATTCCAATTTCTGGTAACCAAGGTTTCAATTTGATTTCGTCAACAATTATGATTAATTTTAATTTTGTTCTAAACAATTGGAAACAATCATGAGAATATATCATTTGTAATTACCATTGATAGGGTTTCATGTTTATTGATCTAATCAACGTTCATTGTTACTGTTGGTTACATTGTCATGATTAACTTTAATTGTTCAACTTTTCATTCATATACAATTTAATCATCAGCCTCATCTTTGAACATGATTAAAGTGAATCAATCTTTAAATGATGATCATTAAATTGCATTTCTTTCAGTTAACTAATAGTTAGAATAAGAAAATGATAACAATCAACTCAATGTTTGCGAATTCAGGTCTGATTGTGTTTCTTTGATTGTAACAATTTAAAAATGAAGGACTTACCTCGATAATAGTAAATTGCTTGGTTATTGTCACTTTTAATCGTTGGCAATGTTGTCAGATTAGTTGTGTTGTTAATTGTTGATAACTCTGATTGTTGGACAAGATGATTAGAGAATTGATAATTGTTGTGATTACGTTGACGATTGATGTAATTATTATAATGTTGATTTGATGATGATGAAAATGATGAAGATGAAGATAAAATTTGATTGAAAATGTTCATATTGGATGGATAGTTAATTGTGAGCAATCAAGAATCGGTGAAGTTATCAATTGATCCATAATTATTGATTGTGATATAATATCTTTAGGGTTAAATGATGGTCACTTGGTCATAATCATCAGTATGAAGATAAATTCAATCAAAAAGGGATGAAGATATCCAAATTGTTGAGTATTGATTTGTTGATTAAGTTGATTGTCAGAGTCACCAAAAGTAAATGTTAACCGTAAACAACAGCATCTTCATCAACAAGATAATCATTGAAGATAATCAATTGACAAATGGATAATATTTATAAACGTGATCGAGGAAGAGGAGGAAATGAAGATAAATATAAACTCAGAAAGGAGACAAAGGCAAAGAGATGATGAAGATGATTAATTGTTTATCCAAAGAATCAAAGATTGACCTAAAATTATTACCAAATTAAGGTTATCTAAATGTGAGACAATAGTTATAAGGAGGAAATTGTGATTAGTTGTCACTCGAGTTGATAATATTCATGGTGAGGATCAACATGGAACTGGATTAACTTAACATTAATTCACAATAATTGGATTAAAAAACTTTTGTCAAACTGTTGATCCATTGATGAGAATCGACTTTGGATTTTGATTTATTATAATAACTTTTTCTTGGTAAATGTTACGCATCAACTGGCAGTTTTATGTGAGCAGAATCCATTGATAAAAAAATATTGTTTATGAAATTTATGATAACAATGAAGATGAAGATGATGAAGGTGAAGATGATGATTATTTGGTGGACTTTGTTTTGATTACATTTTAATTGCGATAAGTAACCATATGTTGATGTTTGTATTCGATTATCGTCCGAATGAGAACTAAGAATTTTTATCACGACTTTCATTCAATTCATATCTTCAGACGCAAACTCTGTTCATTTGAAACTATTATCATCATTGTGTAGTAGGATTAAGATGAATTTACCAAGATTTTACGATTTTCATTCGACTTATTAGTTTACGAATTGTTTAAAATGGATCATTTAAACAATTAAACAAAATACTGATTATATGGCGGGGAAAGAATTAAATTGCTGATCGATTTTTTTTAAATTAGCGATATTATGCCGATTTAAGATGATTACATTTACAATAAAGCTTATAAAAAGATATACTGACTAACATATTAATATAACCACCCCTAATTTAAATTCATTATTCATTAACCAAGATAAAAGATAAAATTTAAGTGTAGTAAAATAACAATTCAGTTTAGATTTCAAATTGAAATCCTTTGAATTTTACCATACCCGTTTCATTGACTATAGAATCAGGTATTTGATCTGAATAAGTTAAGAAGAAACGGATTCTGTAATCAATTCGGTAAATGAAATTATGTACTACAAACTAGCAAGATAATCGATTCAAATTGATAATACACGAGAAAAATTATGAGTAATTGATCTAATCAAGAAATATTCACGTTTAATTAATATGAACCAACAACACGAAAGTATTTAGCTCTAAATCGAAATCATAATTTACAAATCTTATATAAGTTTGTTCTCGATTACCATTATTTACCATTCATTGATTTTATTATATTAAACCTTAAATCAAAAAAGAAAACTACGTCCTACATACCTTTACTCTGGCCTTAATAAAATCAATTTATAGCCCTCGAACCAAGGGTTTTGTTATATATCAATTGAAGTGAAACAGTAATCATTATCAATAAATGAACAATAACAGGGGAAATTATTCAAACAAATGGTAGTTACATAAAAGAAAAAAGAATGCACTTTTGATTCACATGTAATAATGAATAACAATTGAACAATAAAAAATAACTAACCTAACCTAACCTAACCTAACTTTTCAAAAGATAATTATCTTCCACGATAGAACAAAAGGAATGCACTTTTGACTCGCATGATAAATTATACTTAACAATTGAAACCAACCAACTATAATCAAAGTATAATTATGCACAATTTTGAATCAAACTTATAACAATTGAAACCTGTAACAGGTTCGATTTCAAAGATGAACAACTTGAACTTATGTTGAAACTTTTTTAACAAAACTTTTCGATTATTAAGATAACTTTATTGTTTTACTTGGTTTATTGGTTATAATTGGTTGATAATAAGGAGTAGAATAGAAATAAGAGAAAGAGAGAGAGAGAGAGAGAGAGAGAGAGAGAGAAAGAGAAAGAGAGAGAGAAAGAAAGAGAAGTCAACCTCTTCACTGTGGTTGTTCTTCTCTGGACAAAAGTGTTGGACTTAATGAATTTTCTTCATTTTCATCGATTTCTTTTATACAAAATAGAGAAAGAAGAGAAAGAGAAAAGAAAGAAAGAGAAGGAGAAAGAGAGATGATGATTTGTCTTCATCATTAACAATTAAATTTTAATGATTTCCTGTAAAAAAACCCAAACTCCAAAAAGTAATAATAAATTATTACCTTTGCAATTATTACGGGAAGTAATAATCATAAATTTTATTACATGTCCCCGGCGCTATTAAGAACAGTCTCTGTTCGAAACTTGGATCCATGTTTTCCCTCTGCATACTAAATTTCTGAGCTCATCTCCTATCGGGAATTCTTTCTTCTCCTCTTTTAAGGTTACAAATTTACGGTATAATTTTAAGGTATAACGGGAATCAGTTTCGGGACTATGACCACTAATTGGTTTGTCAGGGTCATGTCTCTTTAAACCAGTCGTTCCAGGAAAGAAAAAGTCAACTAGTAACTGTAAACTTACGTTACCAAATAATTCCTGAACATTAACTAACTCAATTGAATTTTGGATGAGATCATTTTCAGTGATCGTCAATCGTCTAAGGTCTGAATTTTGTTGATCGAATACAAGTAACCTCTTGTTTCTGCAAAGTGAGAGAAGGTTAGTTTTAATAATTTCTATTGGTTGGGATTTATAAAGCACTTCAGTAGAGTTTATTCCGGTAATTGGTGTTGATAAATTTTTTATATTTTCTGTTTTGATATAATCAAAGTAAACAGTTTGTACTCCGAGTGTCCTGGTTTCAAACCAGCCGGACAAACAGACAGATAAGGCTAAATTTTCAGCTGATACACCTTCTGTATCTAAAGCTAATGTTGGCTTAGGTGGTAACCCAATTGGTTGCATTTTATTTAGAATATCTTCAGGCGGGATTAAACCTGGTGATTGCCAGAAAGTTCGGTTAAACTGGTCTCTCATAGGCTTAGTTTTCTGTTGCCTTTTATGCTTTTTATAATTGAATGAGTTCACTGTATTAACAGTTGGTGTTTGAACTTCATTTGGCTTTAACCAAGGGCAATTTGCAATTTTGTGGCCTAACTTAAAGCAAGCGGAACATGAACTGCAATTTATCATATTGTGATCTGGACGGAAACAGATGGAGCAATGATTTTTGTCTAACATTCTCCAAGTAGTTTCTGGGGGTAAACAATTTCGTAAAAGATTTATAGCAACTTTTAGATTATTCTCACTGGAGGTGGAGATCGTAATTTTAGCAAAAGCTCTGTGTTTAATTTGGGTGGATTGAAACATTGCTTGTTTAATTTTTAGTCTATCTAAGATAGGGGTACCATAATTGTTAAAAACAGTTCGGAGGAAACTTGTAGCGATCATGAAATATGCTATATGATTAAAAGTATCTTTCCTGCATCGACTGGTTTCAGATTGGGTTGATTGATTAGGATTAGATATAATAGTTTCATTAATTAAAGGGTTTGAGGGTGACTTATGAATAATATTCGGAGCATCATACCAATCGTTAGATCCTGGTGTTGGTCTTGGAATTGGATTAGCCGTCAGCACAGGTATCTCGCCGTTTTTTCTCATTGTTCTTCGTTTATTTCTTTGAGCACGTTTTTCAGCTTGGAATTTTTCTGAAGCTCTTTTAACACTGGCTAAATGTCGAGCCGAAGCTTCGTTATCTGCCTCCTCTTGTTCAGCTAAGAACATCTAAGGTGAGATAAAATTAGATTAATTTAAATGAGGGTGAAAATTATATTATGAATGGAACTCAGTGGAAAGGCTTCTGAATTTTTAGATAATTAATCATTTTTGTCTGGTTGTTTAATGTATTTAGCAATAATCTTATTAATATGATGCCAAAAGTATTTAGATTGGACTATTTTATCTAGTAAAATATCAATCCATCCATCGTTATCGGTTCCACTTATTCTATTTGGAAAGATTTTTTTCAATTGATTAATATAAATGTTTTTCTCTCTTATTTCTTTATTTAATTTTTCGAAATCATCAAGTTTTGATGTTTTATTTGGTGATACGTATGTGTTTTTTGTTCATTTATTAGTTCACTTTCTAAATCCTCTGTTTTAGTTATCAGAAAGGTGGAGGTTTCATCATCTTGTTCATCTTCATTATTTTTATCGATTGATTTGCAATGTTCTATTTTTGGTTCAGGTTCTATTTGATTTTTTAATTGTTCTGGATTCTGTTCATCAGTTTTAATTGATTGACTCTCATTGATTATCATAACTCGAGGTTTAATGTTTGTCTCTATGTTGATATCTCCTGATTGGCAATTTATACTGATATTACCTTTCGAAAGAATATCTTGGCCGATTAAAAGATTGAATTGTTTTGGTAAATTTTCTACTATTAGTATTTTGGTTTGGATTAGTAAGGCTGATTTACCATCGGTGATTTTTAATTTGGCGAAAGATTCACCTAAGATTCTTAAAGGTTCACTATTAGCATCATAAGGAATATGACCATTATAAATTGTTTGAATTAATTTTAATTGTCTTGCAAATTTTTCGGTGATAAGGGTTAATGTAGATCCAGTATCTAACATAGCATTAACTTTAACGTTATTTATTTTAACTTGTTTATAAATTAAATTATGTGATTTTTTAGAAAAGATTAGTTGAATATTTGTTTCATCTTTTTCCTCATATTGATTTTGTGTTAAATCTTGATTAAATGATTTTATTTGTAACTCTTGGTTTCTCCAATTCTGCGAATTTTCTAATTGATTTGTATTATTAATATTATCTTGATTTTGATTTGTTTGTTGATAGTTAACTGGAAATTTTGAGTTAGGAAAGTTTGATTGATTTTGATAAATTTGTTGGGTGATGTTTTGTTCACGATCTCGAGTTTTTCTTCTGCACTCTTTTTCTGTGTGATTTCTGCCCTTACAATAATTACAAAATTCTTTTTTCTTTTCGTCTAAACTCTTGTTTAATTTCTCAGTTAACGAACTTATATTTTCTTGTATTTGTTTGATTGATTCAATTAGATTATTATTCAGTAAGAGAGAAGCACTTTGATTGGACTGATTAGTACTAATTGTTGCCTTATCAGCAATTTTACTAGCCTCTATGTATTCATGAATAGATTTTGGATTCTGCAAAGTTACTGCATAATAAGTTGAAGGAAGTAATTTAACTTTAATCATTCCTAAGATAACAGATTCAGGCATTTGTTTATCTATTTTTTCACATAAATCAATGATCTCATAGATTAAATTTGTTGAGGATTGACCCTGTTTTGTCTTAATTGTGAGAGTTTTTGTGATAGATGGATTCGATAATCAACTGGGCATAAGCTTTGAATTAACTTGTTTTTTAACTGTAAATAATTTTTAGGCTTGTCACTAGGACCAAAACGACCGTATGTAAAATTGTACCATCTTTTAGCACTACCTTGTAAGTAAATGGAAGAGTTCTAAACATATCTAATTGAGTCCATCTGGATGATTCAGCTAAAGTTTCGAATCTAGAAATCCAGTTGATAATATCTTTTCCGTCATCTCCATTAAATGAAGGAATATTTATTGGTAAAACTTGTGGATTAACGGAAAAGATATTGGTCTGACTGGTTTCTATCGGCGTTAGAGGTTCTAAGTTCATGATTTCTTAAATAATTAGATTGGTGAGAAGATTTGGAAGAACCAGAGATTCTTCACTGAATCATATGGTTAATGAATCAAATAACTAATCAGAGTTTCTTCACTGAAACATTTGATTGAAAATAAAATGTGTACCAGAGCCTCTTCACTGAGTCATGTGGTTTCTTTTAAGAAGTAATAATGTTTTTGGATAAAAGTTTCTTTTTACCGTTAAGTTGAATTTTATCAGAAATGAATGGTGAATGAAAAGGTCAGAATTTCGAGAGTCCAATGTAATAAAGAAAATTTCCAAGAGATGGAACCATCAACAATCCTTCCTCATCGTGGGCTCCATTGTAACAGGTTCGATTTCAAAGATGAACAACTTGAACTTATGTTGAAACTTTTTTAACAAAACTTTTCGATTATTAAGATAACTTTATTGTTTTACTTGGTTTATTGGTTATAATTGGTTGATAATAAGGTAGAATAGAAATAAGAGAGAGAGAGAGAGAGAAGAAGAAGAGAAAGAAAGAAGTCAACCTCTTCACTGTGGTTGTTCTTCTCTGGACAAAATGTTGGACTTAATGATTTTCTTCATTTTCATCGATTTCTTTTATACAAAATAGAGAAAGAAGAGAAAGAGAAAAGAAAGAAAGAGAAGGAGAAAGAGAGATGATGATTTGTCTTCATCATTAACAATTAAATTTTAATGATTTCCTGTAAAAAAACCCAAACTCCAAAAAGTAATAATAAATTATTACCTTTGCAATTATTACGGGAAGTAATAATCATAAATTTTATTACAAAACCAACCAACCATAATCAAAGTATAATCATCTAAACTTTTGAACTAAAATTTACTCAATCATTAGTGTTCTCAATTAAATACTATCCAATTGTCTTCAATTGAATACAATTAACTTCATTTTCAGTTTAATACAATTCATTTTGTCCTCGATTGAATATAATTAATCTTTTTCTTCTTTCTATTTTGAATTTAAGTCTCTTTCTTCTCTTTCTTTTAATATTAAGTCTCTTTCTTTCTCTTTATCTTTGAAAACAACTTTGAGAATTAAATGAAACTTTATTCAATCTTGATGCTTGAGTTAATATTCAATCCTGATTATGAGTCTTGTAATAAAATTTATTACTATTAAACGATTATTACTTCCCGTAACAAAGGAAGTAATAATCGTTAGATTAGCGTTTGGTTTTTTACCATGAAAGTAATAAAAATAAATTGATGATGATGATGAAAATTTATCATCTCTCTTTCTCCTTCTCTTTCTTTTTCTTCTCTTTCTTCTTTTACAAAAAAATGTATAAAAGAAAAATCAAAAAATCAAATTATTCATTAAGTTTCAATCCTCGATTAGTTGAAGAATAACTTCAGTGAAGAAGTTAACTTCTCTCTCTCTCTCTCTCTCTCTCTCTCTATTCTATCGAATACCTTATGTTAATCAAACTTATTTAACCAACAATCAAGTTAATCAATAACAAAAGTTAATCAACAATAAAAGTTTCGTTTAAAAAACTTAAGTATAAGTTGAACTGTTCACGATATTGTTCATTCTCGAATCGAACCTGTTACAAGTCTAATGACTACAAGTTAATCTTTTAAGAGTTTGAATTTAACTGACTTTTTCTCATTGAATTTCTTTTCTTTTATACTTGACTCAATGAGAAAAAATACATTTTGCAATAGTTACTTTGTAACTATTCTGAGATAATCTTTTGCACAATTTCATTAGTTTTAGTTAATTAATATAATTGATTGATGGTTAGTTTAAAATAAGAAAGTTAGTTTGTTAATGAGGTTAATGAGATAATTTATCTCTGTCCCATGATTTAGGTTACAATCCTTAAATCTCTTTCTTCTTTCTATTTTGAATTTAAGTCTCTTTCTACGCTCTTTTAATGTTATGTATATGGTTTTTACTCACGTAGCTTTGCATATTGGCATTTTTTTAACAACCTCAAGTACTTGGAATACTTAATTGAACATTCGATCTATTACCAGAATGATCCAACGGAATGTGATTATGTAGTTTTTAGTTTTGTTACAAACATCATATCAGAGTATTATTCATTAGGCTTTCATGAAGACATTTGACATAATACATTCGACATAGAATCGTCATTAATTTGATTATATAAGTAGTAATAATATGCCACCTCTGGCATTTACCGAGTTTTTTATGGCGGGAAAAACAAATATTAAATGATCAAATTAAACTTTATTCAACTGTTATTGTTTCATCATATAATTCATATACAATATGAAGTCTTTCGATTACAAGTGGTGAACATTCTTCATCATGTCAGACTTGACCAGAGGACTAAACAGAATTGAAGAGCTCGACCCTGTAATTTTCAAGGTCATGGAGGTCATTTAACGAAGGTAGCAGTTATAGGTCATTTTAAGGTCGTCGTGTGAAAGAGCAAATCACACCTCAGATTTTATTTTGATGTACTGTGATGAACGGGTTAGAAGATAGGCATGTTTCAATCTGAAAACACTTCAAAAGTTAAGTTTATAAGAAAAGCCTGTATCTCAGCTGCCTTTTGACGGAATATCACCAAACCTAAGGTATGAGTGTAACTTTTTGTGCTCTTTCACGCGACGACCTTGTAAAGACCTATATAAATGCTATCTTCGTTAAATGACCACGATGACCTTGAAAATCGTAGGGTCGAGCGCTTCAATTCTGTTTAGTCCTCTGGTCAAGTCTGACATTCATCTGACTTTTAGTTCTGGAGATATTCAGTGTAATAGCCGTAGTGGATAAAAAACGCCCTGTATTACCACTAAAATAATAAGGATCGTAATTAGGAAAATCGTTTGGTTCCAACCTTGATATAACTTCGAAACAAATAGTCATATTAACTATTCGATACATCTTTAATTGATTAATTAATTAATCAACAATCAAAGACATTGATGATTATATTCTTCATTGACCAAATTAACAAATTATTTAAGAAATTGTCAGAAAATTGACAAAATGATCAATCATTCATCGAGAATTGGTCAGTTGTCAATTAATTATCATTGATTGAAGTTAAAAAAGTTTTAATCAACTTCCCAAAGTTTCATTATGCCTAAGTGGTTTAAACGATCGGGTAAATAACAACGGTTATTGAAAAAATCTTATGATATAACAAAAAAGAGAAAGAGAACTTTTCGAGAAATTTAAGTGTAAAGAACTGCGTATTGTGTTAACTCATCTGGAATATGTTCCATCAGCAAAACGGATTAATGTGACCGAAGGAGTTATTAAAAATCCATTTTTCATCGATGAACAATCATCAAAGGAAATTCAACAAATCATCATTAAATGTACTCCAATCCGAAGAAATTCGTGAATACAATAGTAGTAGGGAAGCGTAATCATACTCTTGTTGTTCTAACTGTATCATCATCAACAGTGAGTCAATCGATCTCTCTACATGTAAGTGGTTATCGAAATTATTTTATTATTTTTTTTTATAATTTAATATTTTTCCGCAATTATTTTACCCTCAAAATGATAAATATTAACTACTTGGGTGATGATCATTGATTATTATTTTGATATTATTTTATTTCACTGATGATGATGATGATGATGATACAGTTAGAACAACAAGAGTATGATTATCAGTGATAGATAGAGTGAGACTGTATTAGATGATTATAATGACGATGATAACGATGATGTTTCAGAGGAAAGATTTAATTCATTAAAGTTTAAGATTACTACTGAAAACTTTCACTAGTTTTTTTCAATCTTTTCAACTTCTTCTTCAACAAGAATAATCAAATACTGTTGTTTTTTCACAACCATCATCATCTTCCTTTTTATAGTTAATTTTATCAGGTAATCTGAGTAAATTTAGAACGGCTCTAAAATTAATATTTAATCAAATGATTTTTTTAACTTTTCTATTATTTGATTTTCGTGATAGTTTGTTACCTTTCCTTCTATTAAATTTTCAAAAATGCAAATTTCCTATTTGCTCATTTAGTTCAAAAATAAATAATGTTTTTTTTCAAATTTATCTTTTATCAAAAAACAATTAAAAACTAATTAAGAACTCACCTAATCAAATGTTGAAATTGAGGTGCTAACAACAGAAGAGCTACATTAGAGGCGTACGGTGCATTCAAAACGTTAGGGTGCATTTAAAGCTTATTTGCATTTGAAGCGTACGCTGCATTAGAGACGTACGCTTCCCTACTACTTACAATGATGATTTTGTTCGATTACTTGATGAATGTTCGGTTTCCATTGATAAAATTTTTCCAATTGATGATGAATTCGTTGATTTTGTTTTAAAAATGATGTGATATTTCAGTTTCGTCTCTTGATCAGTTAACATTCAAATCAAAAATTAAATCAAAAAGTGAATCAAAAGTTAAAAGTAAAGTGTGTGTGAACAAAAATGGAACAACGGAAATCACCAAAAAAGGAAGGAAAAGGGTGAACGAGGTTGACAAGTTACTAGCTAATGTAATAGCCAACAAGCGTCCCAACGTAACATATGACAGTGAAATTGATGAAGAAGAGGTAAGTTAAATAAATATACAATGAATGGGACATATGTCTAATTAACCAAAGATCAAAACCTAATGGATATACTTGTTTCTACTTGTATATTAGAACAATGGGATGACTATCGAGCAATTGATAGCATCATTAAAAAGGCTTAAAGTACCGGAAGAAAAAATCTTCGTTGAATGGTCAAGAACTTTGGATGAAACTGTCATAAAAGAATCGCTGGAAACACTCAAGATCTTTATTGAAACTACACCTGTTGCAGATATGAATAATGAAGATCTGTCGATAATAACACTTTTTCTAAAGCAAAGTGAAGAGGGTAAAGAAAAGCTGATCCTGAGCGGAGAGGCGGACACTTTGACCTTCCCGATGCAAGTTGAGAAAATGAATAGAGATGGGCAGAACATCTTCCTCAGTTACTCAAAGGAAATGAAGCGTCCAAAACACTGGCTAGATGTGACAGCATTGGAAATTAAGCCGTCATTGAACATCAAGATAACCGATGAGACAGGAAAACTTGATGGTTTTACGACGAAACGAATCTTCTCGGATCTCTATGAGAAGGTGGGAAAAAACCATATGCTGATAGAAAAAACCATACCACAAAGATTTGGTATCAAATTGGTCTTTGACTCTGAAAAAGCTCGCGAAACAATGATAAAAGAAATTAAAATGCAAATTAACAGGCCAGATTGGATTGTAGAAGTCCCAGCACTAAAAGATCCCCAGATATTCGTCTATTTTAACTCGGAGGTAAATGAAACTAATTCGGAAAAGTTTGTGACACAACTGATACGGTATAACAAATGGTCAGAAAAACATTTAATTAAATGGAAATCGACCTTTGCATTAAGAGGGGGAAGATATAAACTGGCTCTCTCTATCAACTCGATCTTACGCTCTGAAATAGAAAGAAGTGGTGGCAAAATATCTACGGGACTACAGAAAATAGAAATTTACGATAAATTTAACATAATAATTTGTCTCAACTGCTCCCAATGGAATCACAAAGCCAATGTTTGCAAATTTAAAAGATGCTGTGCATATTGCAGTGGTGTTCATCCTGGTAAATGTACCATTAGCGAAAAGGAATCCTGGGTATGTCCAAACTGTCATGGCCAAAAGAAAGGTCACTCAGCCTTCTGCAGTGATTGCCCAATATACATGATGAGGCTAAAGAATGAAATGGAAAAAATAAATCATCAGTATACAAACATCTTCCTTGAACCTTACAACAATTATATGTAAAACTTTTACAACAATTAAATGTAAAACTTTTACAACAATTAAATGTAAAACTTTTAATGTTCTTACTCTGAGAGCAATTTGAATAAGACTGATGAAAATAAAAATTAAACGAGATTACGCTTAGGTAAGAAGATAGACTCATATAAATGATCAAATTTTCTTATCTGCTGACATAAGATTCGGGAAAAACAGGACAATTGTAGAAAAAAGCAGAGTGTCCGGGTACACAGCACCGGAAACAGAACCAATTTGTTTGATCGAAACGATAAGGGCAGCGAATGGTTGTATGTCTCTGTCCACACTGAGCACAGCGGGGTGAATGAGTATTATTACAATTACCAATAGTATGGCCTAATTGGGAACAAAAGTCACAACACTTTAGAGAAAAACAGTCATAAAACTGAATAATAAAACCATCAAGGGTCATAAACGGCAACTTTAAATCCTTTCGGTAAAGTGAAGAAACTTCGAGAATTATGGAAATGTATTGATTTCCTCGAGTGATATTTCTGGTCTTGAAGGGAAAATCGGGATAACTATGAGAAAGGAAATGGAAAAACCTTTCACACCCCCCGGGAAAGTTGTTGGGTATTAGAAATTTAAGGGTCGGCTGTCGGGCAACCACAGGACGAACCACAAAGCCACAAGAACTGAGCTTAAGGGAGACGCTTGGAACCGAATTCAAATCATCGATAACTATCTTGACACAAGTGCTCCCTCGAAGAACAATTACGCCAGAGAACTCACAAAGTAATTGCTGAACCTGAGCCTTTACTTTGAGAGGAGCCTCGTCTCGTACCAGTGAGTTAACAAGAAGAACTCGGGAAGGTACAACATTGCAGGAAAGGATTCCAACATCATGATGCATCTCGATCAAGAACATGCTGAAAAATTCCTCCACCAGGGGGCCAAGATGAAGCCAATAAGACTATATGAAAGGTAACCTTCCCTTCACTGACTTGCTTGATTTTGTTTACCACAGTGAGTTAAATCCTTAAAACAGTTTTTGTGAAGTGAAATTAAGATGAACCCTCTAACCTTGGAAATGTTAATAAATTTTGATGGTATTCGACTTCTGGATGGTAGTGACCCGTCGAGAGTGATGGTATGGTTTCTGGCACCTCTAAATGAACAAAGAAAAGATAAGATAAAAAATAAATTAGTGGCCTTGTATAAGCTTAAAATGGAGGAAATATTGGAGATACAAACGATTGAAAGCGGAGATGGTGAAGTGGCAGTAATTTTAACTATTCACAAAGTGCTGAGAAACAGATGGAATTCACAATATGGTAATATAATATGCCTTGAGGGAAAATGTTTACAACTATATGATTTTCCAGATGTTAAGTGGATGAAGAAATGGCTTACTCTTGGTGATGAGGATGACAAGAAAGAGAAAAGAGAACTAATTAAAAAAAGAGGTTTGAAAGGTCTAATTATGTTAGGCATACCGATGGTGGACAACGGGAAAGCTAGTGAATCAAAAATTGTACAAGAAAGAACAATGATTGGCCACCAGATGTCACCAGTTTCCAAATAACCTACACCCCAAACACCAAGCAACAATCTTTCACGTTTTTCTTTTCTTTTCTTTATTCCCCAGACTATTTCCTGAATTATTTACACTATCTTATTTAATCTTGTTTATCTTTATCATCCATAATCCTACAATCTCTCATTGCATCCTTGAGTGAACTATCAGTGATCAACCAGCGAAAATATAATGGTAATTTGTGAAGTGGCTGCTGGCAACAACAATGGCTTTCGACGTGGGGATCCAAATCGGTTGCAGATAATGAACAAGCGGATGGACCCCTCGCTGGCCCTAGTGGAGATAAAATTACAAATGGAAGAGGCATCCCAGACGGAAACAATAAATTCTTTCTTTCGTTCGAATGAAACAGTTGAGAGTTGGCTCCAATCCGGTATTACAGTTTATGAGAGACCACATGGGATGAGGTTCACAATGTTAAGAGACAAATCCTTAGCTCTGGAGATCTTAATTCACAGCTTAGATGATTGTGAAGAGGTGACCTTCAGCAGATTAACATCGATCCCGACATATAATCTCTTATACACTGGCAATCAAATACCGATCGATGAAATTGTAAGCGACTTAATTGAAAATGTTGGCTTCAACACAATTACAGCCCGGGAAGAGACCTTGAATACATTTGGTGGCAGGAACTTGATTTCCTTCAAATCAAATCAAAGACGCTTGATTGTTGCAAATGATTTTACTCTATTCCTCAACAATGACGCTCGAGCGGAAATCACAGACAAAATTGGATGGCAACAATGCTTGATATGCCATTTATTCTTACCAGAAGGAGATGGAATGCGTCATGACTGTACGGTGGATGATATGTGCTCAGTATGTAATCGACCATACCATGGACAATCGTATTTCTGTCGATTAACACCGGAATGCCGAACTTGTTTGGTGAAAGGTAAACCTTTCAGGCATCCGAGCAATCACCCATCATGTCCGTCTCTTGCTGAAATATGCTCAGAATATGTAAACAAAAGTAAGGGAGAATTTACCATACTGAGATTATTAACATCCACAGTTGATCCAAGCCATTAATGAGATCGATGGACCAGAAATTCGAATTACCATCAACCAATACAAATCAACCAGCAAACCCACAAAACCAATCAAAAATTTTCTTTTCCTTTTCTTCTGTTCTCTTCCCGAATCTTTATGATCACTAATGTTAGACTAATAATCTTGTAATCTTGTAATCCAATTCAACTTAGTTAGAAAATACAAATAAACGTGAAATCAAATGATATCAAGGTCTTGTTATTATATTGTTCACCAATTCACCATTCATTATTCACCAGATTGTTCAATTGTCCTTAAAAAGAGGAAAAGAAATGTAACATAATGTAAACATAACAATCCTGAATGGTAACAATTTGAGTTAAACAATCTAATTATTAGAACAAATTGATATGAAATTTATTTAGCTAATACAAAATATAAACAATTAGCTAATTGTTGATACGATTTTCAATCCAATGAGATTTGATGATTGAAATGATGTTATTATTAATTGAACTACTGGTGTTTGAATCATCAAACTTATTAACTGTTATCATTAATTGTTGATTATTATTATTGAAATTATTTATTATTATCATTTAGATTTAGTATCGGCCAGTTTATGATTTCGGTGAAATCATGACTGATGGTTTAATCAAATTATAATTAAATTATATTGAATTTGATCATTTTAATATATGTATTTTTATTTTCGGTCCTTCATCAAATGATGGTGAGAGAGTAAGAGAAAGAGAAAGAGTAAATTGGTGTGACAGAGGTGGCATATTATTATTACTACTATATAGTAGTATTAATTATACTTTCCTTGCTTATTAAAGTGTTGTTAAAGATTAGTTACCTTTAATAACCAGAAAAGAAAAAGATAAAACTAGTGTAATAAAATAATTAAAAACGGGTTGATTTCTAATGTCATTGGTTTCACCTCCAGACAAATCCCATCATATAAATGATAAAATTAATCATTTAGATTAGTTTACAAAACCCCCCACCTAATACCAATTAACCTTTAATTATCAAAATATTAGATAACAAAATGTAGTATTTAAGAAATGAGAATAAAATGAAAAGATTAGATTTTCCTTTGAGTAATCATCAAAGGGGTCTCAATGTTTTTCATCTTCGTGGTTCGTCACAATTTATTCGTGACAACTAGATTCAAAGTAACCAGATTGACCTAAAGCTCAACATGAACAAAATGAAAAAAACTCGATTTCTTGATCATCTGTAGTATTATCATGATAATTATCGTGATGAATTAATCCCAAATCTACAAACATAATCACTACAACGTTAGTTACAGTCAACAACTAATCGTGATCAGAATTGTTTCTGATTACCAAACTAACATTTTCCATTGATAATCATTCTTTAATTGTTACACAATCAACAATTAACTATTTTTTTGCTGTTGTATTTGAAGCAACAAAATCAATTTTTACTCAAAAAAAGTTTAATGTTAATTAACCTTTTTTCCTGATTGACATAATTAACTTTAAGTCCTTTACAATTACGATTACGCTTATATAATAATGTATATAAATTTGTATCAATCAATATGATGATCAACTAATTAATGATCAATTAATACAAAGGTAATGACAATGGTGATTATGGTAATAATCAACGGATAGAAACAGTAAATCATTTTCACTCTCAGTGCATTACAATTGACCTTTCACTTTGTTTTTTACTTATCAATTTTTGATTACAACTACTGAATCTTTAATTGTCTATCCTTAATCAACGTAGCAGTTAAACAATCAAAGTGAAAAATTAATAACATTTTCAAATGAATCTTTAAAAATGACAACAAATGACTCTCAAGAGATTGTCTCAAAAGACGGCCGAAAGCACCCTCGATCCTCCAATAAAATATCAAAAACATCAAAATATTTAAAATTGCACAAAAATAGATGTACAGTGTAATCTTTAGAATTCTTTGATGATCTTTTTTGATAGAGATTGTCTCGAGGTTTACTCTGAAAATTTTTGGTAGTTTTCAAAGAGTTCATCTACCACTTCAACTGTTAGACAATTGTCACCATAATGCATTTCCAGTGTAGACAATGGTTTGAATCTCTCTTTGCATTCGCAACAAACAAAGCTGGAATTGCATTCTCTAAATGGTTGATGGCATCCTTCTTCTTGGCGAAGCGAAGACTATACATCGAAAAAAACTCTGCGCTAAACGATAGCGATCGCAATTTTAGTTCGATTTTCACCAAATTTTCAGGATAGATCCAAATTATGAGTGTGGTCACCCATATAGTTTTTGGTGATGATTGGCCCACCCCCCGAAAATTAATAATTTCTATTCACACTAGATGGCACTCACAGCTGATTACCATGACGACGTCAAAAAAGTAGTGCCATCTAATGATCAGAAACTTTCAGTTTTAAATAAAACTTTATTTAATAAAAGATAATTATATTTTTTATCACCATCATCTTCAACATTATTATTATTCTTATTATTATTATTATTGTAGACCTTGAAGTCACCTTCACTGTTGTAATTAATATATGTACTTTTATTGTTGTTGGGTGAGATCCCTACACTAACTGATTACAATTTTTAGTTATTTTCATCATCAGCATCCTCATCTTAATTTAGATGTTGAGTTTGCAAATGTTTGGTTGCCAACTCAACAATTATTATTATTATCATCATCATCATCATAAACATAATCATCATCAACATCAATCAACCAAAACCTGATCAGAACCAAAGGTTTTTCATACTAAATTTATATTTTGAATAAAAAGAAAGAATAAGAGATAGAGATAGAGATAGAGATAGAGATAGAGATAGAGATAGAGATAGAGATAGAGATAGAGATAGAGATAGAGATAGAGATAGAGATAGAGATAGAGATAGAGAAAGGAAGAAAGAAAAAATGGAACATGTTAAGTTTTTTATATTCGATGAAGTTTCAATGATTGGCTTGAAATCATTTTTGTACATAGATACAAGGTGTAAAGAGGCTACAGGTGTAAACGAAGCTTTTGGAGGTCTATGTGTTTATTTTCTTGGAGATTTGCAACAATTGCCTCCCGTTTTGGATCCACCGGTTTACAATAGCAGAAATTATCTACCAGAAGCGATATTAGGTGCGCTCCTCTTCTCTTCAATACTAAAAACATTCAAATTGACAACATGCGTCCGACAAGCAGGAGATGAGCAGATAGCTTTTCGTAATTTGTTAGATGAACTAGCTCTCGGTCGTATTTCTGATGTAAATTACGATTTATTGATGACCAGGAGAATCAATCTTTTATCGGTTGAAGACAGAGAGTCATTTAAAGATTCCATGTATCTATTTTCAACAAATGAGTTAGTCAAGGAGAGAAATGTCGCATACCTGCATTCACCTGGATTTCCTGTCGCTGAAATAAAAGCAGAACACAACCTTGCAACCGCAGCAAATGGGCCTGAATGTCAAGCATCTTGCCTAGAGCCAGTGTTAAATATTTCTATAAATACAAGAGTTACGCTTAGAAGAAATTTAAGGGTGGTTTAGCTAATAAATCACTTGGTACGGTAACTGATATAATCTATGAACAAGGACGTCGCCCAAAATCTTTACCCAGAGTTGTCATGGTTAAGTTTGATAGATACTTAGGAAGTAATTTCGATGATGAAGCTTTTCCGATTATACCTGTTGAAGCTAGATGGATTGATAATGGCATTGAATGCTCACGTAAACAGTTGCCTCTTAATTTAGCCTTTGCTATGACAATTCACAAAGCACAGAGATTAATACTAGATAATGCTGTTATCGATATTGGCTCACGTGAACACTCTATTGGTTTGTCTTATGTTGGATTGAGTCGTGTACGAAAAATAACGGATTTAGCTATCCAACAATACTTTGCTAAAGATCGCATCGATAGAATTCCACAATCCCAAATGTTAAAAGATAGACTAGCGTACATTCCATCTGTAAATCTTTTATGATCTAAGCTCTTTTATAAATTGATATATCTATTTATGTATGAATAATCTATACCCATGTACCACTCGGACTTGGAATCGGCTTGACTTTTTTTGGTTATGTGAGTATGTATTTTTTGCTTTACATGAGTTTCACCTCCCCGTGGTGTAAGATGGTAACGTCATCTGACGGCTAAGAAACTCTTTCTTATTATTATAACTTTTCCACTTGAAGCATACTCACGCTCAGACGTCACTGCCTTTGCAACAAAACTAGATTAAAAAGAAATTGTGAAGATGAACATGAAAACAGACTACTTTGATTATTTTAATAATATTTTGATTAATATTTTAATTATTGTGTTGTTGATTCATGATTCTCGATTCTCACGGCAACACTATACTCTTTGATTGGTTGAAGTGAACAAGTTAATCAATGTTTCAATCCGAATCTTAACATTTAACTCAATGATCAGTTTGATTCATCAATCAAATTTAGATACCGAAGTGAGTGAGGATTTCATTAGCCGGCTAAAGATGAAAATTTTGAATCATTAGCTGACTATTAGCCGATTAGCCACTTATCAAAGTTATCAAAGTGGCTATGATACATTAATACGACAATTAAACCTAAAGTTAATTAATTAAATCAATTTCTTTGATACTCAGCAGAAACACTCTTGGATAATTCATGAGATGAGAAAATAAAACCTAGTAATATATTGACCTGAGTCAATTTTTCAATATAAACAAGAAATGTTTGATTCGTTGAATGAACGAAAGTAATTTTTAATTTTTAATAAACATTTTTTCAGCTTTATTGCGAAAAATAATCAAATCATAACAAAAATGCGATGGAAGATAATTCATAACTTTTCGTCGTCGTTTTCATCAAGTGAAATCTGAAGATTAAAAAAGATCTGAAAAATTAATCTTCAGAATTCATTACAATATTGCTTATGTATCATGGTTGTGTTTTTAGCTAAAAGTTGGATCAATTTATCATCGTCCATGATGCCAACCTCCTCCATAGCCCCAATGATGACCATAACCATAATGATGATAAAATGGACGGTAATAATATGGATAATAGTGAGGGACGTAATGGTAATTTGAATAGTAACCATGACCATAATAAGGTGCGAAAAGTTTCTTATATCCTCGTAAAAATTTACTTTCAGTGAGTTGGAATGAGTCGAGAAGGACAATTAATGACAAGATGAAAACCTAATACAGACGAAAGAAATAAAAAGACATAAAAACGATGAAATTAATTACGATAGTAAAATAAATGTCCACCACACACATGTCATCTATTATTTGGTTCACACTATAATAATCAAGTGAACATGATAGATGCTGATTTGAGATAATTCAGATTCAACTGATGTCCTCAAGTAGTTTCCATCAACGATTTTGGTAACATAAAAAAACCGTTACTTTCGTCTGAAGGGTTTCAAGACTTACCAAAGTTTTCATGATACTGATTTTGTTGACAAAGAGCATTAAGATGATTCAGTTAACTTTTCAAAGTTTCAGGAACCAATTCAACTGGAAAATTCAGTGGGAATGGAGAAATGAACTTTCTGTTTGTCATGAATTAACAGGCAAATGTTTGTGGAAAGTGAAAGTGGCAAATTGAAGCCAGTGGATTGTTCAACTTTCCTTTCAACCAAAGAATCGGTGGAAGTCACTTAATGATAATTAAATGAATGTTAATCAAGTAAATGACTTGAAACTTGAATGAAAATGTCACGAAAATTACACAAATCAAATCAACTACCAACTGATTAACTCTGAGATTTTATAATGACACCAATTGTAACACTAATTTAAGTTTTAAATTCACAATAATTTATATCGATTAGAAAATTGGAAATAGTAAATTGTGATCTTTCTTTGTGATTGTTAAACTTTCAAATCAAGATTATTAGGCTGAGTGATTACATTTTTCCTCTTGTCAATTAATTGTTTAATCCTTTAATTGTTATCTAGTTTAAATTTGAGTGCAAAAATCCAAGTCAACAACTAATTCTGATCAAATATCATTTACTTTGATTTTTGTCCAATTAATTGTCCCTTTGGTTCAGTTGTTGTACTTTTGTCAATTGTTGTTGCTCTCAGAATTGGTTTTGTACTTTTCAATGAGGATTCCTTGACACCGGAAACAAATCCAAATAATCTATGGTATCGTGTGAACAATTAAATTAAAACGTAATAATCAAATTAAAATCAGTTCCGATTTTGATATTACGAGTTAATCTCATAATAGTTAGTCAAACTCTCACCAGATGGCGATACAAAAGTAAACAAAACTTTTCATGAAACAATTAACTTTAATTGTTAACACTGATTGAAAAAGTATCACTTGAATAATTAGAAGAATTAAATTAAAGTAAATCAATTGAACTTTTAATCAGTCGGAAGGATCAGTTGAAGATATGAAAAAGTACACAAAAAAAACGAAAGGTGAAAGTTTATCAAGGAAAAAAGTTCCAATCGAAACTGTTGATTAATCGCTTGAAAGATTAACCATGATGTTTCCATCCCTTTTTCCATCCACCTCCATGTCCACCTCCATATCCTCCTCCGTGTCCGAATCCACCATGTTTGAACTTGTGTCCATGGAAGAAAGCAGGTTTAGGCTTGACCACTACTGGAAAATGGATGACATGAGCTGGCCTCTTATGGAAATGTTTACTAAAGTGTTTATGCTTATGTCCAGCATCACTTAGAGCAACAATTAAAAGTACGATGAATGTGAATGGTAACTGGATTGTAACAATTAGAATTGAAGAAAAGATGAGCACAAAATTAACGAAAATTAGTAAAAAGTATCAGCACCAATTTACTTACCAAAAGATTCATTTTAACTTGAATGGTGAAATTAAAGTTTGAAGAAATGAGGATCGATAATCAACTTGATCTGAGTGAAATCAACTTAACAATTAACTTGGAACTGAATCAATGTTACTTTTATATCTAATTTTGGCAGTGTTCATCCCTTTCGATTGCCAGGCCCATTGGACATCGTCAACAACAACCATCATTATCTATCAATCAACCACAACAATCAGTTAATTACATGATGTATTTTTCTCACAAATTGACTTTACATTTGAGTTTAATTTAAGTGTTATTGTAATTACAACAATCATAAGATTGGGTTATCCCAATTCTCAATCAAAAACCTAATTGTCAAAATTGCCATTGACCAACTAACTGATTGTACTTCAAAATCAAATTACTCACCATACATGTAACGTTATTTAAGTACTAATAGTATTTGACCAATGTAATAAAATTAAATTAACTGATTGTTATGTAACTTTTTTCATTATATTGCAACATATTATGATCATTATTTATACTAATCAAATGCTAACAATTTAATGTACTTTTAAATTACAACTGGTCAGTTGGGTAATTCTACATTGTATTGTTGCTCAAAGACGGACTTCCCGTGATAATTTTGGGACAAATTTTAACTTTAATCACAATTGATTATTTTAATTCTGTTCATCAAAATTAAATTGTCTGAATAAATACCCAACTGTCAATTGCTTATAAGCCAAAGAACCACATGTAGTTGAAATTGGATTAATTTATTAATGGATTTCAAATTAATTAAGACGAGATATCAAAAAATCTTTTTGCTTTTCTCATTCATTATACATTGTAATCAATAAATCGTTAATCATTGATTTACTAGTGAATTAGCTAATTGATTATTGAAAAATGAGTTAATGAAAAAACTAACCACTGATTATTTGTTTTAATATTGATTGTTATTAATTGTTGAACTAATTGAATCTAAATAATTAAATTCATAACTATCAATATTAATAATATTTGATTGAGTTCATTTTAAATGTTTTGTGAATATAAAAAATTAATTAATACAATAATATATCAATTAAACAGAATAAAAAATCACCATTGAAATATTAATAAAAGAGTATTGAAAATGTTGATTACTTGCATTGTTGATTACTTGCTATTCAATCTTTTGTTAATTGTTGATCAAATTCATGCGCCAACTAAAAGTAAATTAACGTTTAAATTGTGAATCTATTTAATATCTTATCATCACAATAATTAAATGGAAATGATAAAACATCAACAATCAATGGTTAATGCAAATGTAATAAAAAGTGATCTTGAAATCTTATCATAGGCTTGGGTAGATACAGAGGAGAGAGATGATGACGATGATGATGAAGATGAGGATGAGGATGATGATAAAGTGAAGAAGGTCATTTGTAAGATGGGATCAGTTGAATCAAGGTAAATGTGAGGTGTTTTGAGGCCAAAGCAAAGGTAACCAAGTGAATTCAAGGTTTCCTTTGGTTATTTTTTACTCTTTCCAAGTTATCAAGGTTACCAAGTGAGAAAAAACAATGTATTAGGCACAGAATCAGTCAATGACATGGTTTTCAAGGTCAAGGACGAAAAGAACGATAAGAAAGATATAAAAGACAGAGAGATGTTCGAAAGAGCGAAAGAGCGAAAGAGATTATCGATTGAATAAGAAGAAATCGAAAAAAGAATGAGAAACAGAATCAGAATAGAAAGAGAAAAAGGAAAAGAAAGAAAAATGAAAGAGAGAGAGAAAGAAGAAAGAAACTTTTTCCAAGTTCATCTTCATCTTTATCATCCCTATGTAATTTTATCGTTCATCCTTTAACCACAATTACTTGAAACTCATCACCTTGATTTTGTTACTACGCTTTCATATTTATAATGAAGGTTATCATCATCTTGTTCATCTTGAAAAATGAAAGGTAATTGAAACTTGAAAATATCGTCATAATTACCATGTTAGTTAACTGAGAGAGGACGAAGGAGGAACTGAGAGAGTTGATTTGCTTTGAATCCTTTGGTTACTAGAGAGCCTGTTAAGGCCTGAATTTCATGAAATTTGTGCTAAATTGGTACAAACGAAAGGGTTTACAGCAAATGGAGGTTAATTCAGTTGATTCCAGGGTCACATCATGAGTTCCAAGGATGAATCCTCTGGTTTCAAGGTTTATTCAAGGAAAATTTTTTCTTCTCTTTCCTTTGCCTCAATTCTCATGATTATATCAATTGTAGGGTAACAACCAAGGACTTGAATCTCTCCCCTCCCTCTCACTCTCTCTCTCTCTCTCTCCTTCTCTTCTTCATCATCATTTTGTGCGACTCCATCTTTGCCCAGGTAACATTGGAAGATGCTCACGATTCATTTCCACAATTAAATCGTAAACGTTGTAACGTATTAATGATTCGTTTGTAGAAGAAGAAAACAAAACAATTCAAATTTTTTCTTCTTTTTTTTCTTGATAATATTATCGAATATCAAAATTACATTGGAACAAGTTAATTTTACGTTTATTGTGGTTAATCAATAAACTTAATTGTTCTCATTTTAAGGTTAGATTGAATTTCTTATTGATTTTTAATTTTCCCTCACCAAAGTTGAAGAGGAAAAAAGTTGTTGATTTTTACTTTTTCTGTCCAATGTTTATTTTCTGGCTAATCTCATTTATTGATTATCGGTTTCATTGATAATCATTGATTAATCAATTTCTCTCATGTTCTCGTTGATTGTTGTAGATTCACACGTGAGAAAGAAAGTACAATTAAATTAATCAGTAAAACCACTTGATTTGTTTTTCGTTTTCTGTGACAATCATTTTCACCTTTTGCAAAGTAAAAATTTCTCACTTTAGTTACCATAGACTTTGCTTTTCTTTTTTAATTGCTTGTTGTTAACTAATTATTTTCTTTGATCAATAATTGATAATAAATTCTAATTGTCAGCTGTGTACACTCTTGTTCTCTGTGTTAACCTGTTCTTTTCTTTCTGTGAATTTTTTCCTCGTTTTGTTTACCTTTTTTTTTGTGTTTTCTTTTCTGTTTCTTTCATGTTGTTTTCATCTTTCTCCCTTTGTCTCTCTTCACGATTGTTATTTTCTCCCAATGGATTGGTTACCAGGAAATTTTCCTCTTTGTCTTCATCTCGTCGTCTTCTAGAATCATCTCTGTGGTTTAATATGTCTGGTAGAAATCAAATGAGACCTTCAAGTGATTTAACCAAATTTCGTTCCATTTTCGGTCAGTCTAAACATATAGTCGCCATAACTGGTGCTGGAATATCAGCTGAATCGGGTGTTCCAACTTTTAGAGGATCGGGTGGCCTATGGAGAACCTATCGAGCCACCGAATTGGCTACTCCATCGGCTTTTGAACGTAATCCATCATTGGTCTGGGAATTTTATTCATACCGTCGGGAAGTGGTTCTAACAAAATCACCAAATGCCGCTCATATTGCTCTGGCTGAAGCCGAGACCCGATTGGCCCAAGAAGGACGGAAACTGGTCATTATTACTCAAAACATTGATGAGCTCCATCGGAAAGCGGGCAGTAGCAATGTAATTGAACTTCATGGGACACTGTTTAAAACTCGATGTTTAAAGTGTGGTGATGTCTCGGCCAATTATGATTCGCCCATTTGTGAGGCCCTTCGAGGAAAAGGTAGCCCAGATGCCGATACCATGGAATCGGTTATTAAAATTGATCAACTTCCTCATTGTAAAAAGCCAGGCTGTCATGGTCTCCTTAGGCCTAACGTTGTCTGGTTCAATGAATCACTTCACGAGTCTGATCTCCGTCTCGCTGAACAACAACTCACTCAATGTGACCTGGTTCTGGTTATCGGTACTTCCTCAGCGGTCTATCCAGCAGCATCATTGGCCCCATCGGCTGCAGCCCGAGGTGTACCCGTGGCTGAATTCAACATTGAAGAAACAAGTGCCACCAATGATTTCGGTTTCCACTTCCAAGGTCCCTGTGGGAAAACACTTCCTGCCGCCTTAGCACCATGACCATAATAAGCAATAAATGAATCCAAATCAATTCTCAGATGATCAACTATAACAATAATCTATTGGTGAATAATTAACACTAATCATCTTCCTTAAATTGCCATATCAATCGCCTATCAACTTGATCGGTGATAAATGACTTCCAACAAGTACACAAGTGCTAATTGTGGATTTGTTTTCCGCTTTTCTATTTTTTTCTTCTATTCCTTAATTGCTTCTTGTCACTTCTATTATTTTCTATTAATCAATTTCTATTTGTTTAAATTGTTTGTTAATTTTATCGTGATAACAACAATGTATATCGTCAAGCGAAAGGAGAGAAAGTAACTTTATAAACATGGAAAATAAGTTATACAAAAACGATTATAAGTAATTAATCAGCTATTAACAATTCAACTGTTAGTTAATTAACAAGACGACAAAAAAAAACATGGACAATGTGAGTAATTAAACCAGTGATTAAGATATTCAAAACCAAGTTAATTTTATATCCTGGGATAATGGAAGTTGTGATTTAGCTTTTCTTTCCCTTAATTGTTGATGATTGTTGAGCGTAAAAAAAACGAACAGATTATTAATAATTTAATTAAGCCAATGTTTAAATGGATGAAAAAGAGATTGATTTGTTTTCTTTCAAAAGAAATCCAGTTCAAGTGATTTAAAGTTGATGAAAATGTTGGTGTTTTAAATTTTGATCAATTTAAATTGTCACTTTGATGATTTAATTTGGATTCATTTTCCATCTAATAAATTGTAGTAAGTGAACAGTCGCTTCTCAGGACTTTCAGCCCAATCCTCGTCTTCCAGGCAACGCTTTAAATTGATCAATCCTTTCACTTTCTTATGACAAATTTCCTTTAATTTCATTGGACTCATTTCCGCTAAATTGTTTTTAAAAGAAAATGATGAGAAAAAGATGGCGGATTAGCTAAAAGTTTAAATTGTTTCGATAATTGTACTTACGTAGTTTGACCATTGGATCTTCGGGAGAAGGTCGTAATAGCGATGCAAAAGAAACCGCGTAAAAATAATTTTTAGAAAATCCATTTTCTGAGAATCGAGTCATAACTACGAGTTGATCATTTAATGGCATCACTAGTGATCCATTGATTTTCAGGAATCGTCTCATGTACAGTTCATCTTTTTCCGATACAGCGGCCCCACAATAGACTCGATCATATAGTCTCATGGTAGATGGATCAACTTTTAAACAATTGCCGACAACAAATGTTGGCTCACAGAAATCTGAGGTAGATAATTTTGATTTAAATTCGTCAAGTTTTTGGTAAGCATAATCAACGACACTTTGGTGTAACTCGATCCCATGGTTGATACCAGAATGGCCCAAGGCAAGACCCACCATCGTTGAAAGATAACCTGTACCTGAGCCCATGTTAAGGAAAGAAAGACCTGGCTTTAGGTCGAGATGTTCCATGACCTCTGAATAGATACACGGAGCGGAGAGGTGAAGATTACCGTCTTTCCATGCTGAATCTCTATAAGCATCTTCTTTGAACCTTTCGGGATAATAGTGGCCTCTATCAACGGCACGGAAGATTTGCTCAATCTCTTTGGATCGGATGATATCAGCAGAGACCAAATTATCAACTAAAGCATCGTTATCTTCACCAGCACTGACTGCACCTCCCATGGCTTTTTCTTGGCTCTATTTTTAGTCGAAAGCAGATATTATGTTTACTTGATTGGTGATAATATATTTCAACAATTGATAGATAAGATACTTTAATTGTTGAGGGGAAAAGAGAAAGAAACTCAATTAATTATGATAGTCAAAGTTGCACACCTTGTGAATAGATGAAGAAAGTAAAAACTCTTGATAATAAAATGACAATTAACAAGAGAAAATAGGAAAATAGCTATTAATTGTTGAAGGAAAATTATTACGTTGTAATTCAGTGACAATGATGAAATTATTTAATAAGACAAAGAGAGAGAAGGATCAACTTTAGTGAGAGAGAAAATTTCAAATTGTTACCATCCAAAGTTTTTAAGAAACATTTAAAGAGAATAGAATAGATCGTTCAGAAGAGGAATTGATGATTAACCAACCAAAAGAAAATGAGTCAGAAAAATCAGTTCATTAATTAATTAAGAAAAAAAGCTTACCTTGTTTGAGAAAAGAAAAAATTAGAAATGAAACCAGGTGAAGGTGGAGATTTGGAAAATACGATCTGAGATACAAACAATTCGATTAGATGTATTAGATCAATTGGTAATCATGGTTTAAACGAATATCTTTAATTGTCAAATAGATTCACAAAAAAAAAGAAAGTTAATCAAAAGTTAAATCAAAAAGCTTCAAAAGAAATGATAAGAAAACGAAAACACAACAATAACAAAGAGATCGTCATGGTAACAATGTAAACTCTTCGATTGTGCTGCCATCTATTGGTCAATCGATTTTCTAACTATGAGAACTTTTTTATTCTTTTTATTATTATTTAATAGTTTTGACTCAAAACTTTTGAGTCCAACTTTTTTTTTATCATAGAATTTTGAACGAACACCTCAAAAATATCGTCCAATTTTGTTTCTGATCAGCCAAACGGAAGCGATTTGAGGTCAATGTTCTAAATTCGATACATTATAGAGAGAAATCTTACTTTTTTGGTCAAAATAAATTAAGTTAACCAAGTTTCGAACAAGTTTTTCTTGAATAATCTTTCGGTCTTTTAAAATTATGACCACAGACTCGAGTCTGAGCGATACTCAATTTTCATGTTATTTGATGTGATTTACTATCAAACTATTGTTACAATTTACTAATTTTGTCTTCAAGTAGTCAAACTGCTGAATCCAATTTCAAGTGGATTAAAGTAAAAATTTTCAATCAACTTGAATCAATAAGAAAATGTAGTTAATCTTGTTTGATCTGAAACCAATTAACCTAAGTAATAATCAACTAAATTTAAGTTTTCTCACAATCTCAATTATTATAATTTACCAATGACAACAATTGAATCAAGTCAACATTTACATTTGGAGACCAAAGAGAAAATCATTAAAGATAAAAGTGAATGAAATTCGCATTTCGATTGTTGTTTAAATTAAGTTGATTGCTTTTCTTTCGATTTAAATTAAAGTTCGACAATTAATTTGTTCCAAGTTCCTTACAATTTATTCATTTATTAATTTGATTATCCAATGTTTTGTATATTAGTCGATAATGTTGATACAATTGGACTCATCAGTTTTTCAACACTCTGAGTATTCAGTATATTTGTATATCTTTTTTTTCAAATTTATGTCAAAGTGATGAATATATTTGTCAACAATTAACAGAGATAATTAATTTTAACAGCGTTTGTCACGTTAAAATATAAACATTTTTGTGAACATAATTAATATACAAAATCTCAATTTCCCTAATTTCATCATTTGACTGAATTAAATCTCTGTAATGAACATTTTATGCTTTAATTAGTTGATTGCGGTTGAATATCCAATATGTAAACCGATATTACGTTAACTTGAATTGGAAATGATGATGATAACGATGAAGTTTAAATTAGATTGTAGGTAATGTGAGAAGACAATTTTGATTGGCAAAGTGATGATGACAATTACTTAATAGCTTCCAATTGATTTCTATTAAAATCTCAGTAATTTGAAGATTCATGAAGAGACTTTGAAGAAGATGATGATGATGATGTACAATAGAAGGAGAAAAAATCGATAGAGAACAGAAAGTTTAAGAAAAAGTTATTACATGAGATCACACATTAGATTATTATTGTTAAATTATCGTGTTGATGGTCAATCTAATGAAGTAATTAAGATGAAGTTCAGTTTAACTTGTGCCATTGTCGGACTTGTTTATGAGGTGTAGTGGTAGTCGCTATAATCCAGTGTTCCAAGGCTTTACCACGAGCAAACATATGAGAACCAAGGACGATTCTTCCCAGACATTTATCTCCTATAGAATAATAATGAGAAAAGAAAAAAAAATCAACATAGAATAAGAATCATAAAATGAGAAGAACAATAAAATAATAATAATAAAAGAGATGGAAAATATTATCATTTGAAATTGAGAACGAGAGAGGAAAACAAAAGATTCAATGTTACCTTTAGTTGAAACATGGGCGAGATTAACTTGAATGAGAACATGAGAAATCGCCACCGATGTTTGATTCAGTTTAAAATGGAAGGACTCATTGTAATTGGGCTGGAAATTTCTCTTCGCCATTGATGTTTTCTTTGTCTTGACCATTTTACTTCCGGTAAATAGACTAATCTTGACACAGGTTTCTAATTACGAAGAGAAAACAATTAACAAAACCAATCACTTGATCATCTCCGTTGCCAACAGTTGATCACAAATTTAGAAATGTTAAAGGTTAGAGATGAAAATTGTTCTTTTGTGGTTAATTATTTATATTAATTAGACAATTTGTCATCTGAACAGAAGTTAATCTTCATGCAATAAGTGATTGAGAAGATTAAATCTATTGGAAAGTAAAAAAGATTAACTAATCTCTTTGATTTTTTTCACTTTTGTGTTTTTCTCGTTTGATTGATTTGTGATCGTTTCAAATCGCATTTTAAAGGTTTGTTTTTAATTTCAACGGTTAGCAAATTGTTCATGCTGTTAGTTAATTGAAGAGGTAATTAGTTAATTAATTGGTGTGTTACCTAAAGGTGTGTCATCAGGCCACCGCAAGTCTTTGGCTTCACAAACGGTTATGGTTAATCTTTCAATCATCGGATTGTAACAAAGGCTCACATTTATTTCACCAGATTCAGATGGAGGCTTATTAAAGCAATTGAGTTAACAGAAACAGAAATACAGGTAAGTGATTAAGTGATTATTTGATTAATTAGTTTACTAATTGTTACCTCATCTTGTTCCAATTCCAGGTCTCGCCAAAGAAGTGGAGGATTAGACGAAATGAAGTCAAGATCTTTCAGCTTAACGATAACGTGGCCTATTAAATTGTGTCTTTTTCCTCTGTCGTTGTCAAAAACTGTTAATCGAAGTGAATTATCTTGAACTGATTTATTTGGAACCTGAATCAATACAGAAAAAAATACATCGACGGAACAATTTAATCAGAGATGTCAATCAATTGTCCAAATTTATTATGAAAATTGGTTAATTTCCTAAACCCTTTGTTTGTTTCATCTATATAATGTTTAGGCCTAACTCTAATCTCTTACAATAATTAAGGGTTTATTATAGTGGTTTCTTGTTGATTCTATTGTCTTTTGTTAATCTAATGGACTTGATGGATTCACCATTATGGATTAGTTAATTGTTGATAAAAATCCAACCAATTAACTAAACAAAAGTAAGTGTATCATTCATAAGGTTGGACGTAAACAAAAGGATCAAGTTTTCTGTTTGTTTATTGTGCATCTTAATCACTTCCAATCATTGATTTTGTTAAAGGATTTTGATTAAAGGTTATATAATTAATATCACAATTTTCTGCTTTATCTCCCATGTTTACTTTAGATTATTTTCACCAAGATAAATTCAACTATCACACTTTTCCATGGTCAGATTAACTCTCAAATCACAACGGAAAACATTCAATTTGTTGGAATTTATATTTAAGGTAAATAAGTGTTTGGTTCCGTTGATGTTAACGTGATTGGGAAAAATTGGATCAACAACAATCATTACATAATTGTGATGAATTTACTCAAGGTGAAATTAAATTTGTTGAAACTAAATTGAATAACTTTCAGTGTTCAACAAAAACTCAACTCTTTCCATGTTTAGATACTCAACAATATTCAGTTTCAATATCATTAACATGATTATATTATTTTCCTTGTAGACTCTATTCAGTTCATTCATCAATTCAACAAAGAATCAGAGTTAACAATTAAAACCACTGAAGTGAAATGGCTGGTAAACGTAAATTGTAATTCACCTCAACAATTATGTAAATATTAACTTTTACCTGGATCAAAATTTCACTTCAATATTTCCCGATACGTGAGGCTTATTGGGATTAGTAATTTTCTAATCAAAATATCGAACATTTTTTCTTTTTCTTTCTATTCTATTCCAATATTCAGATCGAGATAAACTGTAGACATTATCCGCTAATCTAATGACCTTTAATCTAAAGATTTCACTTGAACGGGTAAGCCAAACATTTAATTTCTATTCCAATTCTTTGACATTTCTATGAACTTTTCAATCTGATTGTTTGATTGGTTTTTACTCCTTTTCCATTTGATTTTTCAATCTTTTTTCACAATTATTTATCTAATCCATTTCATTTTATATATTTGGATGATACATAGTCTACGGAATTGGTCCATTAAAGATCAATGATTCGATTAATGGGATTATGTGTATCCAGTGGACATTTTACTTACCTGGAATACAAAAGTCTCATCGAATCTTGGATTACAGGTCTTCTTTTTAACTTTAGATTGCACATATCGTCTTCCATCGGGTAGAAGATAAATTCTGGCAACCATGAAATGAGAAACATGTCCAACCATGAGTGTTAATCATCAATATCATCATCACCAAATGGTAAAAATGATTATCGTTTATAAGGAGACAAAAATAACAGAGAATCCAAATGAACATACAAAGTATCCAAAGTCGAGGAATAAAGTTATTGGCTCAGTGTAAAAGGAATGGTAACAGATATCGAGTCGAAGTGATCGAATTAATATGATAGAAATCAGAGTGGAAAAAGTTCTAGTCTTATTTTCATGTTAGAACAAGAAGCAAAGAATTTGTTCCGAGGCTTGTTCCTAATCTGTCATCTAAAATGTTCCATGAGAAGAGTTTTCATAGAAAATCTTTAATTAAGAATTAACTTATTGCCTTTGTTTTTCTCTCCAAAGACTAATTCATTTTTTTTATTTCTCTTCTATTTCTTTCCATACTCAAGATCTTACGATTGGTTTGTAATTGGATGTTCGACATGTTACTCTTTCGTACTTGTATTTATCTATTTCGTCAACATAATTAACTCCCTGAGAATCAGCGATATATTTATATTGGAAGACAGGAAGAAGATCTCAAACTATTATGATGACGAGGAAAATGTTGAAGAGGTTATCATGGTTATCTGCTTATTGGCTCTTTTATATTCAATATCAATGAATTCAGACTGATTTCCATGTAAATGAAATGCTGATTAAATCAGTATTACTATTACATTCTGGTTCAATCATATTTGTTAGATTATCGTAGATTTATTTATTTACAATGGTTAATAGCATTTTATTTAAATTAATCAACTTTTGTTGACTTACTAACCTGACAAATGGATCGGAACAATTTACTGATCCTTTTACCCTTGAAGGTAAATTTTTGATTTTAAGTAGATTGATGGTAAGTTGCTCATTCTTTTCCTCGTAATTAACTTTGAACCAAATTCTACCTCTATGATTATCAGGGAAATCATCATCTTCACCGTCTGGATCAACTCCACCGATACGATAAAGCTCAGGATTTAGTCCACCTAATAAAGAGGATCTTGACCTTTCCAGCTGATTGTCACCAGCAAATTTACTCAATCCACTTTCAACAACTTCTGAACCACTAGATTTTGTGATGATCAACGATTCAAGAGATTCAGCTCTTGATAAATCAGTAATCAAGCTTTGATCATGAGAACACTGTAGCTGTGTCTCTGAACAATGATGCGAAGGTGATGTTAATCTACTTGGAGTTGGTGCTGGTTGGAGGTGAGTTGATATTCCAGGAAGTATGAAATCAATTGGTTGATTTTGACTTTAAAACAAAAAATTTGTACAATTGGTTAATCATTTGAACATAATGATTTGAACGACAATCAACTTACTAGACACAAACACCTTGAAAAGATTTACTTGATTCTCTTCGTGCTTGAGGCATCGAGATGATTGTCCGTGTTGTCTCATCGATTGTATCGTAACATTTTTTACGTTTATTGTGAACCGATTTAATTATATAACAAACAATTAGAACAATTAACGTACAGCCTGATGCAATTCCAATGTAAATTAGATTACTCGATCCTGGATCAGAAAAGGAAAACAATGAAATCAAGTTGAATGTTTTCAATTTAACTTATTTTCATTTAAATGTTCATGTTGTCACATGAACATACTAATCAAATTTAATCACTTTGACAATCTCTTCTTTCCTAATTTGATTATCGTTAAGGTTTTAACTAATTTCCACTTCTATTATATATTAATACCATTGTTTATTTTTCTTGTTTTTTATAATATTAGGACATTCACTGGACAACATTGCAAGTGATTTATTGGACTATTGGGATCAAGAAAATTACTAAAATTTGTACCAAGTGACAAAACGATAACATTTTGGGATCAACATAATTTAAAGACAAGGACAAGTTACTAAATACTCATGTAATAATCACAACAGTAACGACTACGATTGAAGATAATTTGGTGTTTATATTAATAAAAGGAAACAATTAACTTAATGGAGTTGAAAAGACAAGTTATCGAAATGATGGTAAATCCTGTTTTTAGTTATCAACATGGTCATCATCAAGAAAGTGACATGACGATGACACTAACATGGTGACAAGATGCAATCAAGGAAACAGTGGCCAAACCCAGAACTGGATCAATACCAGTGACTAATTTACTCAAAATTTACTATTGAAAAGTTTTCCTCCTTCAAATCATTAAGATTAAGAGGTAATCATATTTGATTATTTTTTTACTAGCAAAAAACAATCAAATATCATTATCATCTTCCTATTGACACTAATCTGTCAATCACTTTAATTCAATGACCTTAAGATTAAGGTAATAACTTTACTATTAAGATAACTTTTCAAATTAATTGAATTGGATTAATAGAACTGACAAATCTTTATATACACTGTATATACTAATGGGAGTTAATTTTTGGAGTGATTAATATTACAATTACTCTTGGAGTTGAACCAATTAATCTCTATACTTTGTTGATTAAGTTAATCGTAATCATATTTGGATTACTTTTCGTTAAATTATAATACTCAAAATAGTAATCAAGAAATGTCATTTTCATTACTATATATTTACTCATGATGATCATTTGAAATATATAATTATAATAGTACAAAGTTAATCAACCATAATATAAATGGTGAAATTGATTCTTAATCATCTTCATTTATATTTACAATCTCATGGTTGTTTATTTGATAAAAGTAATTGATGATTTCTGTACTTGAATTAAATCCTATTTACTTGACAGTAGATTTAGTTTCACCTTAATTGTACATCACAACTAATTTTTTGATTACTCAACAACCAATGGAAACGTGAATTTATCTTAATCATCTAATGTTCATTCAGATAATTTAGATTTAGATTCTTCAGAAAAGTCTAATTGTAAACAATCAACTATCCTCATTGTTACTCTAATAATAATAATAATAATCAGAATCATCATTTACCGATTGTTTGAACAATTAAGGATTTTCTTTCTCTATAAAATCCCTTCCAGTTGAAAATGATCATCATTTGGTTTCATTATTGGATTTCATCAAAAAAATCACTTTAATAATTCAACGAATTGTAAATTTAATCCAGTTCAAGGTAATTGGAATCAAATGAATTACATTAGTTATTTTTTTAATCGATTTTTAATTTTATTTTTCTCTCTCTCTCTCTCTAGGTGCTAATCATTTCCTGGTGATAATCACCACCATACAATTAACTAATTTGATCTTCATTGTGAACTTAACAGTTGTTACTTAATAATGGTGGTTACTTTAAAATGATAGTTAATCTTGTCAAACAATCAAATTGTTGATGTGGGTCAATGATGGTCAAGTTGAAATTTACTAATAGATGGTAATAATTATACAATAACAGTTAATCATCAGAAACTTATAATCATCTTTTTGGATACTTAATCATACACTTTTTCCGTTTATCTTTTCAGAATAACAATTATGTATTGAGAAAAATAACTTTTCTTTTCCTGGATTTCATCATCTACAACAATAATCAACTAATCATCATCATCATCTTCTTCATTCCAATATGATGATGATGATTTTTGATCGATAAAAACCAATCCCATGGATAATGATGATAAATCTTCGAGAGATACTATGAGAATAATTTTTTCTTTTGCTTTTCTAGAATTGGTTCAATCATTTTGTTGACAATCAAAACCACAAATCAGTTGAATACTCACATTCTAATGGATACAATTTACTGAGCAATTAAAAGAGACAAAAATGACAAAGGTGATGGTTGGAAATATTTGAATCCAGACTGATATTCATGTCCTTTTAAATTGTTACCGTTACATTTGAAAGGCAAACTGAATCAAGTTGATCAATTTCCATTTCAATCATGTGAATCAACAACAACAACAATCCTGATGTTATTATAATAACACTTAACATTTCATTGGAACCCAATCATAACAAACAGACAATACAATTTAAAAGGATAATCAAAATGTTGAAGAATCAACAAATTTAAAAACATCAATCCATCAATATTATAATTCAATCCACTTATACCAATATAATATCAATTGAATTTTGTGAAATCAACTTTTCAAATCGTATCTTTATCATCCTTTGATATTTACTTTTAACAAGTAATTTTGTTAATGATAATCAACGACAATTTAGTAAACAATTTGAAAAGTTTTCTCCTCTCTGTTGAAAATTGTATCTAAAAAAAGATTCAAAACAAAATCTGAGTAGATTTTGACATTTTGTTTACAATATAAATTCAATTCTGATTATTATCATTGTTATTATTCAGCATCCTCTTGATGATGATCATCATCATCACTTCATCCGCATCACCAGTAAATTGATTATCTATATTGTTGTTGAACTAAAAAAACGAAAAAGAAATTCATTTTTCTTATAAATTCAGTTGATTATCATAGTTATTGTAATGATAATTGAATAATTTAAGTGTAATGATAATCAGCCAACCTTATGTAATTAAAATTCATAACTAGTTGAAAATGTTGATGAATTTGTAGATGATTACAATTTAATTTATCAATTGAATAACTTGAGAAAAGCAGAGAGAGAGAATCAAGTTGATTAAGATGATTTAGTTAATTCTGTTTAAGAAAAAAAAGTAATAAAAGTTTATTATCATTACTTATAGTTGAGATGAGCATGAGATTAATAGTTGGATGGATTCACCATCATGATTATCATGATTATCTTCATCTTTATCATCATATTAACCACTCAGATAAGATTTGATAGTTTGGTTTCCATTTTAAATGTAAATTGGTTAAAAATTGATCAGAAAATATAATTTCAAAAGTAACGGTACTTTCACTTGGGATTCATGTTCATCTTCAACTTAATCATTATTATCATCATCATCATATGAAAACAAACATTTACCTTATAATTGAATTATAATCAAGGTTAACTACAGTTTTCACCATAAAGTAACAATATTCATGGTTAGAAATAAACAATTTAAGCAAATTAAACCTGAGTACATTTATCTGAACATCACATGCAGATGATTAATATTAATTTGGTTGTAATTAAGATGATAACTATTACTATTAAAAGGAAAATTGATTGTAACGACTTTTGATTTCAAAGGTTTTCTGGTTCATTTTTACAATTGATTAATTGTGACTCGATCTGAACAACAATCAATCTATTAATAATTAAAGTAAAAACTGCATAGCTAACTTTAATCATCGTCACAATCAGTTGATTGTTATCCTTTTTTATTTGGTCTTTTTGTTGGTCTAAACAAATCATTGATTTGGTTGATTGATCAAAAACCATTTTCTATTAATTAAATAAATTATTCTGATTGTTATTATTATTAAGATTCCTTGTTGCCTCTTGTTAACTGTGATCAATCAATTGTTACAATTAGCATCATCATCAACATTTTGATTAACGTCATTCTTGTTGATTGTTGCTGTCTCTGGACCTAAATAAAGGTCAAATAATTTGAAAAAAGTGGACTGATTGATTTTTTTATTAATCTTGTTCAACAATTAACGGGAAATCAAAATAATTTGTGATCGTTACAGTTGATTGTTTCAATTGATAATCAGGATACTTTGTTTTATGTTATTAACTATATTGCTTTTTGTTGGATAATAATAAAAGTCAAATGGTAAATGATTTAGTCGATTCCATTGATTGTTAACAATTAAATTATTCGAGCATCATTATTATCAACATGATTTTCACTGTTATTATTACACACAATTCACCAAAATTAATTATTATCAACAATTGAAGATAAATGTAATTTATATATAAAGCTGAATGTGATACAATCTAATTTAGTATCACAATTAATGATTAACATTGTGATAGTAATAATTATCTATGTCAGCAAATTGAAATCTAATAATAATATATATCAAACGAAATTAAATTGCAAACAACAATCAAGTTGATTAATCAAAAGTAAACTATTAACTTAGTGTTTTTTTTCAGATTACAATTTATTTTTAACACAATCAACAATCACACAATAAAATGAACTCATTTGATTGAATGACAATTAAAGACTAAACTTAATATTCTTAATATTTTTAATTCTGAGATAATTATGTCTTAATCACAATTTGATAATAATAAATAATGTAATTTGATTCAATTTGTAAAACTAAATTCAAAATAAATTCACTCTTCAACTTTCACATTTTCAGCTAATGTTGAAATGAAATTCATGAAGGTAAAAAATTCACCAAATTTCATGGTGATTATAATGATGAAAATAATTGATTTGGATAAGAAGAGTGAAAAAAAAGTTCTGGTAAATATTCACATTGAGGTTAGATTACTTGTTGAATGAAACAATCTAAAGCCATGATGATGATTATATTCAAAATATTCAAATAATCATCATGATAATCTAACATTTTCATTGTAATCCTTAGCATTCTGAGGCTTTCAATAAGTTCTTAATGGTTGAATATTGAATGAAATTCACAAAACGGAATCGGAATCAATTACGATTGCGAAAGAAAAAATTTCAATTGTTATCATCATGAAAGTATTTTTATCCATACATAAAGAATCACTTCCTCCGATTACTATCATGATAAATATCCTCATTTCCTTCATCCTGATCATCAATTGTGATAAACTCATGATGGTATTTACATAATAAGATACTCATGATCAGAATCAACTGATAACCATGAAAAAAATTTATCGGAATCTTTTTTTTCTAGTTGGAAAAATTGTTCGGAAAAAGCAAAATTTTAATTGTTGCTAATCACGAAGTTAATACTTGTGTGTTATCTTAATCATTTACGTTGAATGATAATCAATAAACTAATTAAGCTCTTTCTCTCTACTTTCATCATCTAATTAATTCCCAATTGAAATTGTTATCCATCATAACTAAAGGTCAATCTGCTGAATCCTGTTGATTGATAATCAGATTAAATGAACAACAATCAAAGTTTACTGTCCTCAAATTAATTTGATTAACTGTATGTATACAATTAATTGTTCCTCCTGTTATTGTGACCTTAATTGTAGAGATAAACTTTTAGACCCTTTCAAGTAATTAACTGTGGTTAATCATTAATTAACATGACAATTGTGAGTTCTAAGAGATTAAATTGTGATTATATTAATAATGAATTTTTCATAGAAATGGTTAACTCTTTTGTAATCACTTAAGTTTAATCAATTATCAACCTTAAAATTAGTTAATTAACAGATTATCATTAAGAGAAAATCTGTCAAATTAAATGTTAATCACTAATAAGAGGAGGAATTAAAATTTTGAGACAATTGTTTTTCACTATTCCAATTGAATCTATCGACACCTAAGAAGTTATAATCAACTTGAGCCATTAACGATAATTCAGTTAGCTAATTGTAATTAATGATCTCAAATTGTCACAGGAAATTTAATAATTTGTTTTCTCATTGTATTTATAATGAATTCCCAGTGAGTTTCAAGGTGAAAGTAATATTATTTTTATGAGACTGAGAATCTGAATCTCTGAAACAACATCTTGTAAATTCAGTTCAATTCAGTTATTCAAATCTGAACATGAATCAAATATTTATCTTGATTATATTTTTATTCAATTCAAAGACTGGTGAGATTTTCAGATCAACATTTTCCACAATCAAAGCAATCATAATATTTACACTAAATTTGATGAAAAAATTATCACAATCAACTTGATTGCTGAATAAATTAAGTTCAGAGATTAATACTATGACCCTAATAGAGTAAAAATTAAATCCAGTTATGAATAATCAACAAGCAACGTAACCAAATGAAAATGAAACAATTTTTGCATGAAAATCTCAATTGCTGTGTAATTTTTAAGACAAAGATGATTAGATAATAAATTAACCTTTTCAGTTATCATGAAGTTCAAGTAATTTCAATCAGATTTTGTAGTCAGAAATTAATTAAAAGTTCAAGTAAATAGAATTGGGGGAAAATATTCACATTTCTCGGATTCTTTATTGTGTTATTCCTGATTGACGGAATTCAATTCAATCTAATATTCACTTTTATTCAGAATCAGATTCAATTATCATCATGATTGTAAGATTATTCAAATCTCAAACTGAGTTACAATCTTCAGATTGTTGGTTTGATCAAGTAAATCAAAAAAGTGAATCAATTCGTTAACACTATTCACTATGTAGCCTCCTAAGGCTAAGGGATTTACTGTTATATTTATGGATAAACATGAAAATTAAATTATTTCAGTGTAATTGTAACAATTTACTTCCTGAAAATCAGATTCACGATAGTTAAATGCTGGTATTATTATTACAAAATTGTAGTAATGAATCGGGAAGTAAATTAGTTAATAATAACTAAACAATTAGGAAACTGGTTTGGTTTTGTAATCAAAACGTTCAGTAAACACTAATGATAATTTTGATTTTCACTTTGATTGATAATTTACTTTAGACTCACCTAATTTTGATACGAATGTTAAATTGCTGGGATTAATTGTCGGGAACGAATCAGTAATTTGATTATCATCCATTTTTTCTGAATCATAGATTGGAAACTTATGATAACCATCTAATGGCATGATGGTAAATTTAACAATTAATTAACAGTTTGATTTGATTTTAATTACATTAAACTTGTGTAAAATAATCAAACTAATGATGATAGAGGATAATTATATTGAAACGTTAATTATGATGACAAAATCAATTAGAATCTATTGTTTCACTTTAGATAATTGTGATCTGGTAATTGATTGACGATTAACATGATTTGCAAATTTATCATCGTAAAAAATGAAAGTTACTTGTTGATATAATTTCAGGAGACTCTCAAGTGAAAATGATTCTGATTCTGATTCAGTAATAATCTTACAGGGGATGTTCATGATCTGTTGAACTCACTTTTGGAATAAAAAACTTATTCAGTTTATTGAAGGAAACATTTTATCTGCCATCTCTCAGATATGGAAGTGAGCGAGATTCAAATAGGAAAATATCAAGTTTTCTGGAAAATGAACATGAATCCCTCTTGATTCAGGGGAATTCAAATAATCTGGAGATTTAAATGAATTGATGTTTTGATAACCAATATGTAGTGAAAATAAATATGGATATTTGTTAATCGTCATTGATCAATGGTTTAGTTTGACGGGAATTACGTGTAAACAAACAAAGACAGAAGGAGATTATTTTGAAGATGATATAAAATGGCTTCCAAAGAAGTGAGAAAACGGAGAATCCTAGAAGCTAAATACAGATCAAAGTCATCAATTGAAAGATAAAATCAAAGTAAAACGATCAATCAGCCTCCTAAGTGGACAATAAAACAAAACGATTAGAAATTAAGATCATCAATTCAACAAATACAAAGAAAACAATTGCAAATTTTGTTACCTGTAAACAATATGATTGAAATTGACTATTTGGTATCATTGGTCGACACATAATGTAACCACCTCCGTTATTGTAATTAGTTGGTCTTGATGGTGATTCAAGTTGATATTCTTGATTGTTCACATTATTAAACTGTCATTTTTAGACAACGAGTGTCTCTATGGGTCTGTAAACAGGTAACACAACAATATCTCATGCCGCATGTTACACAAGTGTAATTGGCTGAAAACCCACAAACACAACAGAAATGCCTTTTGATGGCTGTGAAAATAACTCGATCCTCAATCATCACCGGCCCAGGACGCGGTGTAACCGCCGTGGTATAACTTGGGGCTGGTGCTTTGCTGTCTTCATCCAGAAGAGTGGACAGTGTTACTTGTCGAGCTTTATGATGATGATGAGAATGATTTTCCTTCCGTCTTCCCCCACTACTTGATGATTTGATGGCTTGATCCTCAAATTTAGGCGCTTTCTTGTGCATAACAAGGTTCGCATGTGGATCTTCATGAAAATTGTCCTTCTCCAATTTCTCTACCATTTGACGATCACGCCGATTACGAGCAGAATCGTCAAGAACACGGTACTGAGCACGACGCTGCAAGAGAAAGAGAGAGAGGGAGAAGGTGAGAAGATAGAAAAGAAACGATTGATAAAAAATTAGAAAATCTTACCATTTTCTTTGCCGCTTTTTGATGTAAACAAATGAAGAAAAACTAATTTAACAAATTAAATTTATTCTCAGATGTTCAGTCACAAATGCGGAGATCACATGTTCTATTGCGCATGCGCAGTCTGGATACTTGAATTTAGTGTTTATCTTTTGTCATTTTCTTAAATAAATTTTGTTTAAATTGTTCTTTTCATGAAATCAGTTATCTCTTTCTCTGATTTCATCATGGTCAATGTTCAAAAAGGTGTTCTCGTTGAATGTGATCCACAAATGAAACAATTTCTCCTCCATTTGGATGATACAAATGCTCTTGGATCTAAATTTATTCTCCAAGATCTTGACGCTACTCACTTGTTTGTTGAATCAGAAAAAATTGAGCTTCTTAAAACTAGAATTGACGATTTGATGGACCAAATGAATTATGTTGAGATAAACTGAATTATTCTTATTCCCCTCGTAAGTGTTTATTCGCAATTCAAACACATTTGATTACCAATTTATTATAAAGAGAAAATTAAATAATGGAAACTGATTGAAGCTGACATTTGAGAACAAGAAATAAATGTTTGTTTCTAATCCATAATTTCAAATTTCCGATTTTCTTTCCCTTTACATTTTTCGCGATGATTTCAATCATAATCATTTAACAGTTCCTATCAAGTGAAAAGTGAATTTACCATCTCTGGATAATTTTAATACAATCAAAGGTGATATTTGCTAATCGACATTGATCAATGGTTTAGTTTGACGGGAATTACGTGTAAACAAACAAAGACAGAAGGAGATTATTTTGAAGATGATATAAAATGGCTTCCAAAGAAGTGAGAAAACGGAGAATCCAAGCCAAACACAGGCCAAAGTCATCAATTGAAAGATAAAATCAAAGTAATTATATTGTGGTCGATGTTCATAGACCACATCGGGTCCAGATGATTTACGAACGGTAACAAAAGCCTTCGATAAACTACCAAGTACATTGACAATATCAGAAGTAGATTCAGCCAATGATCCGTGATAACTACCAGCCTCCTAAGTGGACAATAAAATAAAACAATTAGAAATCAAGATCATCAATTCAACAAATACAAAGAAAACAATTGCAAATTTTGTTACCTGTAAACCATATGATTGAAATTGACTATTTGGTATCATTGGTCGACCCATAATGTAACCACCTCCGTTATTGTAATTAGTTGGCCTCGATGGTGATGCTGTCCGATGTTTCTGACTGTTTATGTAATGTGACAATACCATTGATGTTGATTGTGAATCGGCCACTTCGGTGACAAAATTATAAACTTCATCTTCACAATTTGGTTTACATCTTGGTAGAGTGGCACAAAATTCAGCTCGATGAATCTGAAGCGATTGACACTTTGTGTTGGTACAAAAAGTGTCCGTTGCTCGAAGTAAATCACGACGGACATTTATATCTGATGGTAAACAATTACATGTTTCCCGATACAATGTCAATAAACACTGATCAACACAATCGTATTTGGATCGAGGTGATTTATGTGAATGAAGGGAAACAATTTCCTCTAAATCATCTGCTGATTGTTTAACACTCTCTAAACTATCACCACCATTAGCCGGCTGATTAACTTTCTCTTTATTATTATTGTTACTCTTATATTGGTCGCATCCATTTCTAAACGGCGGTGGCATCCGTTTCTCAACAATCTTATCAAACGTGACCAAGTAATTGTAACCCGGTTTCAGTTTTGATATTTTTTGAGTTCCCAACGGCAATTCATTTGATTGATGAATGGACAAGGAGACACCGAGATCATCAGAAATGGTTAAAGGATCAACAATGTGTTTACGACCAAATTCAATCTCCAGTGTTAATAAATCACCATTCTTAGTGGTTAATAGGCCATTCCCTCCGTCAGCACCACCATCACTCGGCGAGTAATATCTTGGCGCTCTAACCTTTAATTCACGAGATGATCGAGTTGATTTACCCAATTTACTGAAAAAAGTGTAACACTTTTTACCCAATCCAAAGTTAATACTTTCCACCGTCGGTACAATTTCATTACAAGCGACTGGTGAAACTTCAGATAAACCAGTAACCGAGTTAATTGTTGGTATCATCAAGTTACACTTAATATCTTCATCTTTACTACTTTTATCATCCATGTTGAAATTACGTTTAAACACTTCGGTTGCCTGTTCAACGGAACCTGGTTTGAGGTCACTTTTAAAGCAAAGGGTCACCGAAGGTAAATCAAACATCTCATCAAAGGTTAAATTGGTTGAAATGGTTGTCGGGAAACTGTAGTACACTTTAATTAGCATCATTGATTGAGAGACGAATAGGAAACAACAGATTACAAATATGATTCCTTGGAAAAGTGAATCGCAACAACAATTTCGACCATTGGAGGAATTAGTTGATTGTGATGATGATTTTCTACCTTTAACATCAATTAAACCCGATTCGATATCGGCCACTCGTTGAGCTGATTGTTGGGTTGATGATGATGATGAAAAAGCAACCATGATGACGATGAACAATCAAGAGAATCCTTTTTGTTACTCTCTTATCCGATTACATCGATGACTAAAAATCAAATGAAATTAAATTTACCTGAAAAAGGTAAGAAAAGTAATTGGAAACAATCAGTAATGTTATCGAATTGTCCAAAAGTTCAAAGACCTTGGAAACAATGAGAAAATGATTAATATTCCCTCCCACTCTTATGGTCAATGGTAACAACAGGTAATTATGATACATAATCAATGGGAACAAAACAGTTGACAATTTAAATTACTTCTTATATTCAAGATCACACTTAATCATTTTTCCTCCTTCCACTTCCACCCTCACCCTCGGTCTCTCCCTCACCATCACTCTCCTTCCTCTTCCTCCTTTACATTCACCTTTCATTTTCTATCATTAATTAAATCACTCAATCAGAATATAAAAAAAATCTTTACCACAATTAATAGAAATCTTTTCTTTTCTTTTCTTTAGACAGACTTACAATGATTCACTAATGATTTTAAATCTCAATCAATCAATCAACCAGGAAGAAATGTGATTAGAAAGTGTAATGATTAGGAAACAATTTACATGGAGAAAAATTACTCCGAATTCATAACAATTAACTCTAAATAGTTGTATTATTATTTTCAAATCAAAGTTGTAACTTTGGACAAAAAATCTCAGACAAATTGATCTTTTCTTTCAAAATATTTGATTTCACTGTTATTTGAACAATTAATTCATTTGATTAAACCATTAAACAATTAAATTTGATTTGTACAAGAAAATTAACTAACCATGATCGATATTCAAACCAATAAATAAAAGTTATTTTTCAATTTCAGTTGATTCGATTACTTTTTCTTTATTCAACAACTTGATTATTAATCGACTTCGACAAGGTGAATACAATAATCTTCTGATAACTTAATCTTTCAGGTAATTGTTGATTAAATTGAATGGAAATATGGTTAATCAAACAGAGATTGACTTCCATTTGAATAATTAACTAGTAAACTCGATTGATCTTTTCTTTTTCTATTGATTTTCGATCATTTTTCGTGTCGTTTTAACAATTAGTGATTAATCCACGGATAATCAGTCCTCGATTCTAATTAGTCTATTGAATCCTCTACAATCAAAAATCTCTAATTATATTATTCTCACTCTATCTCATAATTACCGCTCATTTGTTTATCGAGTTAATTGTCTTCCTATTGAGTTCATTTGGACAATTAATAGAACTCGAAAATTACTCATCATTATTGTCGTGAAAATAAAAAATTGACATAATCAACTTTATCGAATTCTCTCTCGAAATATTATAATTATGGTCACCTTAAACTCCATAGTCTATAATTACCATGATTGTTTCAGAGATCAGAAAACTCAGAATCATGATTAACCTTTTCACATCTTTTCTAATTTTAGTGTATTTGATTCTGTGACTTTGTCAAGAGTCTAAATGATTGATTAACTTGTTGTGATTTCAGATCTCTTTTGATTTACTATTAATATACTTTACTTGCGAGAATTGTAATTAAATGTTTCAGATTTAATTGTCAAGTTCAAAGACCCAATAACAGTTTCCCAAGAAACTGTTCACTAATCATCACAATTTAACTTTCTACAATAAACAAAATGTATCCATGATATTTGCTTATAATGAAAAGAAAACTTTCTTAATCATTGAAACAATTATAATAAAGAAGAAAAAAAAAGTTAATTGTTACCGATAGACTTAATCAACTCTAACTTTCTATTGAATTAAATTACTTTGTTAAACAATACCAATCTCGGATTATTGATCAAAGTAAATTACCAAAGAAAAAGAGCAATTAGCAAAATATGATTTTCTTTTCTGAATAAAATTGTGAAACATGAAACTAAATTGCTTTTAATTGTTAATCTTTTTCAACAATCAGTAATAAATATAAGTGTCAATAAGAATACGTGACAATTAAAAGTTGATCTTTAATCAAAGAGAAAAATGATTAGTTTGTAATCAACTTTTTCCCAACAGAATTAACAAATCGATCCTTTGATCAGCGGAAAGGGAAAAGATAATTTTTAATCAGAATCATTTTAATTATCAATTTGATTCTTCAAATGATCAGAAAACGAAAACAATTATAAACACTAAGTTGATGTTTCCTTTATTGGAGAGAGATTCTAATCAACAATCACCTTATCTTCTTGAATCAATCATGATTTTCCATGCGATTAACAATTAAAGAGGATGAGAAATCTACTCATAGATAAAATCATCTAATTAATGATTAAATTGTCAATCGAATTTGATCAGAATCGATTAGTGCGACATCTATATTCTTTTTTTTCTGGAAAAGATGAAAAAATGTAAACATGTTTTTGTCTTTTCTTTTACTCATTGAAGATTCTCATTGAAAATCTTTAATCATTCGATGATTTGATTGATTGATTGATGATTTATTTATGATATTAAAGTTGTTTAGTGATTAGTTAACGTTTGTAAGTTTAGTTTACACTCTTTCTAGTTGAATAGTTGTTTAGATTATGTCGGTGACTGGTGTTACTATTACTCCACCAGCAACAACTGGATGGCCAAAAGTGAAAACTGAATCAGGAGAAAGACAATCAACTTATACCGGCAAATATTTAGCTTCTAACAATTTACTTTCGGTAACTTGTAATCGAACAATTAATCTGTAAGTATAATTATCAAGTAGAAAAGAAATTTTAGAAATTTAGTTATTCAATGTGAGAATCTCTGGTTAACATTTTCAATTTTGTTCTATTCTAAATTTGTTTTTGCTCTTTTGTTCTATTCTTTTTCCATTTCTCTATTAGATATCCATTATCAAATTATACTTTTGGTACTAAAGATGCTCTATTTGAGAAAGATCCATCAGTTCCTGCTCGATTTCAACGAATGAAAGATGAATTTGAAAAGGTCGGAATGAGAAGATCAGTTGAAGGAGTTTTACTTGTCCATGAACATCGACTTCCTCATGTTTTACTCCTTCAATTAGGAACAACTTTCTTTAAATTACCTGGAGGTGAATTAAAAGCAGGAGAAGATGAAGTCGAAGGACTAAAAAGACTTCTAACCGAAACACTAGGTCGTCAAGATGGAATAGCCAATGAGTGGACAATTGAAGATACAATTGGTAATTGGTGGAGACCCAATTTTGAGCCACCCCAATATCCATATGTACCACCACATATAACCAAACCCAAGGAACACAAGAGACTATTTTTGGTCCAATTACCTGAGAAAGCTTTATTTGCCGTACCTAAGAATTATAAATTAGTGGCCGCTCCACTTTTCGAGCTGTATGACAATGCTCAAGGCTATGGACCGATCATCTCATCTTTACCTCAAACCTTAAGTCGATTCAATTTCATTTATCTATGATCAATGATGATGATTTATCCATTTAATTGGGTTGCATGTGTTATCTTTATGTTTTCTAATCTTTTTTTTTTCGATTGCCGTAGATAATATTAACTAATTTCATCAATACGAATATATCAGCATTCCTTTAATTGTGTCTCTATAAAATCTTGAGTTCTAAATCATCTTCACACCTCTTCAATCATCCTCATCACCAAGATCTCTGAGATTATATTTTCATCTTCATCTTCATCATTTACTTTTCATTGTTTTAACTCAAGTTTTTTTTTCCTTTCAAATTAATATCTTTTAAGAGACTTTACCATTTATTATTCTTAACAATTAATTCTATGTAAAATTGATGATTCTGTTTACATCTTCTTCTAATCCATGATGCCTCCTAATTCCCAACAAATGGATTTCCAGAAAGAGATCATGAAATTTATATAAATATTATTGAGAAAGTTCAAATAGCCGAAGAAAAAATATTCGAATAAATGAAAAAAATGAACTAATTGTTGTTTACATTTTTCGAAATGAATTGATTAATCTTTTCTCGGTAAATTCATTAGTTTTAATGGTAAGTTTTTGTTTATCTCTCTTTAAATTTTATGTAAAAAACAAAGTAATTAGCAAAGAAGAAGCGAAAAAAATTATTTCCATAATTTTTTGATGGACATGTTACGTTCGGCATCTTTTTGCATAACTTTGGCCACGGCCATTTCGAAATCTTCTTGGGTCACATGGACACGTCTCTCTCGAAGGGCATACATACCCGCCTCGGTACAAACACCTTTGACCTCTGCACCAGAAGCACCGGGCATCATCTCAGCGATTTTACGTAAATTAATTCCTCGAGTAAGATTCATTTTCCTCGAGTGAATTTTAAGAATATCCAAACGAGCTTCTTCATTTGGGGGTGGGAATTCAATTTTACGATCAATTCGACCTGGACGAAGAAGAGCTGGATCGAGAATATCTATTCTGTTGGTCGCCATGATAACTTTGATATTTTTAGTTGCCTCGAAACCATCAAGTTGATTGAGAAGCTCCAACATGGTACGTTGTACCTCAGAATCACCACCAGAACTTGATTCTATACGAGATGAACCGATAGAATCAATCTCATCCATGAAGATAATTGAAGGTGCATGTTCTCGAGCCATGACGAACAGTTCACGAACCATACGTGAACCTTCACCGATGAATTTTTGAACTAACTCGGAACCTGAGACTCTAATGAAAGTACAATCGGTATGGTGAGCAACAGCTCGAGCCAACAAAGTTTTTCCAGTTCCTGGTGGACCATAAAGCAATACACCTGTAGAAATTTTCAAAATTAGTACATTAATAAAATATTAATTGAACTTTCAAAAAGATAATTGAAAGACTAATTTACCTTTGGGTTGAGCTATACCAAGAGCTTCAAATAGTTCAGGATGTTTAACAGGTAACTCAATGACCTCTTTGATTTCTTGAATTTGTTTACCTAAACCACCAACCATTTCATATGTTGAATCGGGAACCTTTTCAACCATCATAAGGCTTACCAAAGGATCTACTTTATTAGGTAATATTTTATGTAATGTGTAACTATCATTTCGAAGGGCAACTCGACAGTTTGGTGTTACATCCGCAATATCAATGTTCTTATCGATGTCAACCACAAATTTTCCCTCTGGGTGAACTTTAACCAGAACCTTTTTCTTATCAATTGGTTTAACAACTTCACCGACATAAGAACCTTGTTCTTGAAGCAATTGAAGCTCCTCCCGTAACATTCTGACTGTCGAAACATAAAAAGGAAAAAAGAATAGAAAATTAAATTTAAATAAAATAACAAAAAATGAAAATCATCATCAGAATATAAATTAAAATCCTGTCACAATAGTGACAATCTCTCAACTCATTAATACCCTTTCATCTTAATCTGAACCTTGGCCTTGAGTTACAAGAGAATAAAGTTAACATTTCAGATCAAGTGAAAAATGATGATTTATAAATTTTATGACAATGAGAGATTGTAGAAATTAAATAAATCCATTAATCAAGACTTACCTTTAGCGTTAAGCTCATTTCTTTGAGCTTGAAGACGACGCAAGTTTTGTGTCTTTTCAGTAACAACTAATTGTAATTCTTCAATCTTGGTGATGTAATAGGCCTTTAAACCCTCACCTCGACGTTCATCTATTTCCATTTCAGGCATGGTGACAATCAGAATAAATAATCAGCAATAAACAATCAACAAATTAAACCAACACAATCAGAGACCAAGAAAAATACTCAAGATGATTTGCAGATTAAAAGGGAGCACATATTAATTATCGAATTACGAACAATTGCTTTTCTTTTTAACGCCGATAAAATATTCTCACCTTGAGTAGGTGAGATTAGCTAATTTTCTAATGTTGGTAAATTCACTATTTTGTTGATTATTTTACAAAATTAATTCTTAGAAAAATTAAAACAATTAAAAATTTTCGGCTTAACAACAATTTAATTAACAGACGGTCTCTTGTCGGTCACTCCATCTGGTGAATCTTTTTTTCCCTTTTTTTCATTGTTTTGATTTTTAAATTGAACTTAAAGTTGAATTTTTGATTATAAGGTAATATTTGTAATTAAATTGTTGATTGATTTTATTTATTTCTAATTGTTTGGTTTGTTGGTTTGGTTGGTTTTTTCATCCCTTATTTGGATTAGTTGATTTTATTAGTATGTCGGTGACTGGTGTTACTATTACTCCACCAGCAACAACTGGATGGCCAAAAGTGAAAACTGAATCAGGAGAAAGACAATCAACTTATACCGGCAAATATTTAGCTTCAAATAATTTACTCTCGATTACCTGTGATCGAACAATTAATCTGTAAGTAAAGACTAGAAGAGTGAAAAAGATTAACTAAAACCACCATAATTAAAAAAGCGTTTCAATTGCCTTAATTCTAAAATCTTTTTTTCTTCCTCTTGTGCCAAGTACTCTTTTCATCACCATGTTACTTACACTTTTACCATTTTCCATTTCTCTATTAGATATCCATTATCAAATTATACTTTTGGTACTAAAGATGCTCTATTTGAGAAAGATCCTTCAGTTCCTGCTCGATTTCAACGAATGAAAGATGAATTTGAAAAGGTCGGAATGAGAAGATCAGTTGAAGGAGTTTTACTTGTCCATGAACATCGACTTCCTCATGTTTTACTCCTTCAATTAGGAACAACTTTCTTTAAATTACCTGGAGGTGAATTAAAAGCAGGAGAAGATGAAGTCGAAGGACTAAAAAGACTTCTAACCGAAACACTAGGTCGTCAAGATGGAATAGCCAATGAGTGGACAATTGAAGATACAATTGGTAATTGGTGGAGACCCAATTTTGAGCCACCCCAATATCCATATGTACCACCACATATAACCAAACCCAAGGAACACAAGAGACTATTTTTGGTCCAATTACCTGAGAAAGCTTTATTTGCCGTACCTAAGAATTATAAATTAGTGGCCGCTCCACTTTTCGAGCTGTATGACAATGCTCAAGGCTATGGACCGATCATCTCATCTTTACCTCAAACCTTAAGTCGATTCAATTTCATTTATCTTTGAACAGCTACAAGAAATTCAATCATCTCATAAAAATCGTATTCATTTCCATGTCCTCAGCATCGACCTTTCTTTTCCTTTAATCAATCTTAAACTATGTATCGTTCACCTTGATTATCGCTAAATTATAAATCACAAAGTAATCACGACTATAGTTTTGCTCTCCCGACGTTACATGTATTTATTTTATTCCTATTTTTGTAAATCATCAAACTGTAAACTCAGTGAAAATCAATCACGACAAAAAATCATCCTTTCGGTAAATTAATTAACAAGATTCTCTCTTTGTTCACAATCAATCATGTTTATTTCACACTAAAGGGAAACAAATTGCTTAACAATAATTATAATCAACATGACAATTCAAGGTTTTCAGATTCAATTTCTGGGGAAAAGTTTAATTGTAAGTGGTTGAGTTGGTTTAATGGTAACATCCATCTCGAATTTAACTTGATCAACTGATTGGGTTGATATGAAACGATATTTTCTCATCAAGTGAATGATGAACAATTTCATCTCGATCATCGCGAATCTCTGGCCAATACAAGATCGTTTACCGTTACCGAAAGGGATGTAGGCATATTTGGGTATGGACGCGAATCGATCAGGTTCAAATCGATCGGGGTCAAAGGTGTCGGGATTTTCCCAAACTTTTGAATCTCTATGAATATGATAATACGAGAAAACGAGAGCTGTCCCTTTGGGAATTGTGTATTGGTCAACGGTCACTTCGGTTTCTAATCGACGGGCGAGAAGTGGAATCGGTGGGAAAAGTCTCATCGACTCTTTAATACACTGATCTAAATAAGTTAATTTACTGATTCCTTCTAAATTGTCACAATAATCAGAGCCGTTCTCATCAAGGTGATTTGCAATCTCTTCATAAAGTTTATCCTGACAATTGAGATTATTGCCTGAAAGAGATGAAGACGATTAAGTATAAAAATGGAAACAAAATTTAATTGTTAACTCACCCAATAGAAAGAGTGTCCATCTTAGTCCAGTAGCAATTGTATCATGTCCAGCGATGATTAAATTAAGAATCTCTTCTTTCATTCCTTCCATGTTGATAGATTTAGTTTGATCATTTGAATTTTCATCATAATGATCAAGTAGCAAATCAATAAAGTCACTTTTTCTTTCCAATAAATCACAATTACCATTATTATCTATTTTCTCATTTCTTTGCATTAATCGCTCCTTAATTCTTGATTGCATGAAATTATCAATTCGTTCAACTGCTTGTTTGAAAAACTGTCCAACTTTCGACAGATTAAAAGTCCAATCAAGGTAAAGAAACGGATTAAGTATTCGAGCGATCACAATTTTCTCACCTTCCTCTAAATCGGCAAGAAGTACCTTCTTAAAATTGGGTAAATCTACAATAGGAACAGACATTGTATTCTCGAAAATAATGTCCACCGATGTTGTATGAATGTACGAGGCCATGTCGATCTGTGATACCCGTTGACAGTCATGTCTTTGGTCATCGAGGTAAAGGATTGATTCATTGCAGGCAAATAAGTCGATAAACTTTTACTATTAAAAAACGGTTCAATCATCCGACGTCGAGCCTTCCACTTAGGTCCATGACTGACCACAAGACCGTCTCGAAGTCCAAGAAATTTGTACCCGTAACCTTTGTCATGATTTGGTTTACTTAGAACAGCCTAATGATTTAAATTACACAAAGGAAAAGTTTAATTGCTGAGAAAACTCATGTTTACCTAAGCAATATGATTAACTCAATGAAAACTTTTAAAATGTAGAAAGAAAAAGTTAATTGATTAAACTAATTGTTACCTCAGTTGACCGATAATCAGTACATGTGACAACCGGATACCAACTTAACCAGAACACGAAAACGCCATCATTTGGACGTTGCGACCTTTGGGACAAGAGAAACTCAGCCGTCGATGCTGAAGGAGAGACACAATTAGTTATCGTTAACTAATTGTTGACAGTTAGAAATAAATTTATCACTCACTTGATTTATTTTCAGATGGAAATGGAAACGAAGGTAAAAGTTGCTTCAAGTTACCAAGTAAAAAGTGACCTTTGTCCTGAGGGAAGTTTTTAAAATGGCGGACGAATCGTAATCCCAAATATAATTGTCTAATTAACCAAAATAAAAGACAAAAAGTTAATCCAGTTACTATCATTTGAACAGATTTAGATTTAGATATTAAAGTTTGTTGTTGATCCATTGATCAGTTTTGGACACACGAACGATTATCGACTTTGTATCGAACTAAAAATTAAGATGATCAATTGAGGAAAGACAATTTAGTCGGTAATCAATTAAAAGGGATTCTGATTCTGGTTCTTCAAGAATCTGTCAATTTCTCGGGAAAATCTAAATTTCGATTAATTTGTAATTAATTAGGATTACAAAATACTTTAGGTTTGCGTAAATAAAACTCTAATTATAAACATGCCCGAAGGCCAATTAAGTTTAAATTATTTTATTTGCTCATTGTTACCGCTGTTGATTAAAACGTAAACATGTTATTAACTTTAATTAGTGAGCTTTGGATGAAAATTAAATGAATTTACTATTAAATTGTGAAGGGTAAAGGTTGTAAACAGTTGAGTGATTTAACGATTTAATAAAGTAATTAGCTGGATTAACGGAGATCATTCTAATTTGTTAATTAGTCTTTTATTCATGTGAGGAAAGTTTCAGAGTCTCCGCAATTAAGAATCGTAATAATTAACAGTTTAAAGTTAATTTTCTTTCTGTAATTAGTGCTAGAATTAAATCAATAAAATTCTAATTGTCATAAAATATAAAGATTAACCTAAAGGGAAACCCCTAAGTCCATTTAATGGCGATTACAATAATTTACTAAATGAATATTTTTCATTAGAATTGATTTTGTTATTATTTCTCTAGAATTAAAAATACAATTCAACACATTTTGTTTAATTACTAATGAGTAATTTAATTTCCTTGTTTCATTGGTAGATAGTTTTTTGGACTTGAGAATAATGTGAAATCTTTATGCCATCATTTTCGTTTACTTGTTAATCGATTTTTTCAAAAAGTTCTATTGTACATCTCGGGTTGCCCATTATTCATTGGTTGCATGTAAGGTGCGTTTCCTGGACTAGATGAATATTGAGCTCGATTCCTATTTCTTAATTCTTCATAAGTTAACTTGGATTTTTCAGTTTGATCGACTACTTTTCGTGTTCTAAAACCTGGATCATTGGCATAAATATCATCAGGAACGAATCCGGTGTCATCTTTATTCTGGATTGACTTTGAATCTAAGGAGAATTCGGTTAAATCTTTACCATCTAATGACAATTCATCTGTAAATTCACTAGGAGAATTTGATTGTCGCTGCCTATTGAAACGATTGTAAGGTGAATATTGTGTTCCAGTGGTTGGTTGATTATAACCCTGAGAGAAGTTAAAATCACCAGAATCGCCCGAAAACGTATTACCAGGGTTATTTCCTAAAGAATGAAAATAAAAGTAGATTAACAGTTTTATCCAATTTTTGATAATCAGAAACTTACCATATCCCATTTGCATTCTAACTTGTTGGGCAAACGGTGACATTGACGGAGATTCCGCAATTCGACGTTTCAATTCATTTCTAGTAGTAAATTGAGCGACATAAGAAGCCGTACAGAGGTAAATACCATAAGTCCATCCACTGGGTTTGAATAATTTCTTCTGGTGAGCCATATAAATAGCACCACAACCAATTAAAGCAGCAGGTAAAACTATAAGAGAGATGAAAGAAATGAGCAAATTAAAACGAATGATGAAATCGGAGTGCAAATTGAGAGTTTACATTTGTTAAGCATAACATTTTTCTGAGTCTCCTTAAAGATTTTGATATCTTCCTCAGATAATGAAGGCACCGACGGTGTTGAATGAGCCGGTGAACCAGCAATTCCTGCAGGTCTATTGTAAAAAGATGGCGGCTGCTGTTGACCATAATATGGATTAGCAGGTTGATTTTGAAAACCAGGTTGTTGTTGTTGAGGTGGTGGACTCGGTGGTGAATATGATTGACCCACAGCATTAGGGTTATATGGTTGTTGATAATTACCACCATCGTAGCCACTAGATTGTGAATCTGAACCAAAATAACCACCACGATTATAATCACCTTGCATCTTGTTGATCAAAAGAAAAGAAAACAATAAACAATTCCAACGATAAATCACCAAATTACCAAACACAAGAAGAATAATCAGCTGAGCCCAATTCTTATTGTTTTCTTAAAACAAACTTGCAATTAAATAAACGAAAAAACTAATTACTATCAAATGTCATCTCTTAATTCTCAATTTTTATCAGAATTCAATCAAACTCAATTAAATTTAATTTTCTTCCAGAAAAATTTTTTGTTATTCCAAATGATTCCTTTTCTCGCCAACAGATGGCCAACAAGTCGATGAACAAAATGTCAACCGCTTATTATGAACTCGATTAAAAAGTTAATTAAAAAGTTAATTAAAAGATTTAATAATTAAAGTAATTATTACAATTGAGGGAGCAAAATCTGACTAATACTAGAATCAACTAAATTGTTGACTAAATTTTCCCATTCAATTTATCATAATTTAATTTGACAATTTCATCAATAGGAAACAATTAAGATCAATAAATATTTGAAATGAAAATTGATTGATTGATATTGAAAAAGTTTCATAATCAATATGCTTTAATCACAACAAAGGTCAAATCAATCAGTATTAACAAGACAATATAAATCTGATTAGAAATAGAAAACGACTGATTAAATTTAACCCACAATATGATTTATCCAATGGTCATTGTTTTAAATACATTGTAATCATTAGATTACAAGAGACAATAGTTAAATTACTCAATCAAAATACTAATTGTTTTCATGTTTGAGTGTTGAAGTTTTATGTTCAATCAGTTGACGAAAACACAACGATGATCTGACTGATTAGATTAAATTGTTTTCTCAATCGTTGATACAAAATCTAAAACTTTTTCCAAGTTAGTTAACAAGAAGAAGAACAATCAAAATTCAATAAACTATACTATTAATAAGAATTAATTAACTAGAAGGTTAATCGATTGATATTTTTCTGTTCGAACGGTAAATTAACTTGATTGTCGGTCTCTCTTCGTGTTATCAATTCGATATCATTCAAATCGACGCCTCCACTTAGCGATTTGTGTAACATCCTTTAAGAGAAAATTAAATCAATTCGATTACCTTAATTCACTTTCACTTAAGATTAAGTGAATCAGTGAATCCGAAACTGGTTCGATTAAATCTTAACATTCTCTTTGATTGTCAACGTTTCGTAATTAGATTGATTAATCTCATCATTAACTTTCTCTTTGCTCTTCTATTGCTCTTGGTTTGTTGGTAATCGTTAAATTGTCAATTAGATGTTTACAATCTGTAAAAGTGTTAACAATTAAAATAATGTCTTCAAGTAGAAAGTCAAGTTTAACTCTTCCTGGACAATTAACTAATGGACCAAAATTAATCTACGGTGTCACCGATAAACCAACATTCATGATAACCCTTGCATTAGGATTACAGGTGAGTTAATTATCTACAATTAATATTTACAAGCTAATTGTGTGTTCTAAATCATTTCTTTGTTTACATAATTAGTTTTTACTCTTGACCTTGATTCGGTTTGAAGAGTAAAAATTGACTCATTTTTAATTGACTTAAATTATGAATTTCTAATGAACAATCAATAATATTATCAGAATTTTATTGCTGAATTTGGTAACTTTATGGCCTATGTTTACATGGTGTCCCCTTACCTTTGTATCAACGACAATGACCCGGCCCGTGGGCATATTTTATCCACGTGCTTCCTAACTGCTGGAATCGCATCTCTACTCATGGCTACTTTTGGTGTCAGGTAAGTTTAATCCTCTTCTCTTAATCAACTCCTAATCTCCATCATAATGTACATGGTAACTAATTAATTGCATGTAATTAACTTCTTTTAGATTACCTGTTGCTCAAGGAACAGCTTTTTACTTCTTGTTACCGATCATATCTTACTTTGAATCTACAGAAGATAAATGTTCAATTCTTCAGAGAGAATTCAATGGAACCATACCAATGAATACTCCAGGTTATCATGAAGCTTGGACAGAGAGGATGAGAATCCTTCAAGGATCCATTTTAATCACTTCTATCGCAGAAATGATCATCGGATTAACTGGTTTCTTTGGATTTCTATTCAAATTCATTACTCCCTTAACCATGAGCCCGATGGTTATTCAACTTGGCATTTCATTATCTCCCATGGCTGCTGAGAAAGCGAATCAAAACTGGCTCATATCAGGATTGTAAGTGGACAATTAGTTGATTACTATGATAATTATTGGGATTATTTCTTTTCTTCCTCTCAGAACGATTCTTCTGATTACTATATTTTCTCAATATATGACCAATATTTTCATTCCAATACCGAAGAGTAAAAGAAACGATCAACGAACTGTTTACAGAAAATTCTATGCTTTCAAAATGTTCGGTGTAAGTAAAACAATTACAATTACGATTACGAATATTATATGATTATCTTTTTACCTGTGCTTGAATACTGAGCAATTAGGATGATCAATCAAATCCATTTACGATAATACTTGTTATCAATTTTTATTGTTAACGTTTGATCAACGAAAATGTTTCACAATATAAAATTTATCGACCATGTAAATGATTAACTAATTAGCTTTTTTGTTGATAAAATTTGTCTGAATTTAGGTTAATTGATGGGTCTCATTAACCCATTGAAAGTTAATCAAAGGTTTTGTTATAATAATACTTAATAATTTTCGTTACCTTTTGATCAATCGTTGGTTTAATTGTTGTTTATCTTTTTCTCTTACGATAGATTTTACTGTCTATCTTAATTGCTTGGACAGTTTGTGTAATTGGAACGCGATATAATCTATTGAAAGATAATGATGCAGCTCGAATTGATAATATTGACACTCACATGATTTCTGCTTCTCCCTGGTTTCGAGTAGCTTATCCCTTCCAATGGGGACTACCGATCATCTCATTCCCTGCGATCTTAATTGTCTTCACTGGACTTGTAACATCGATGTCCGACAATATGGGCGATTATTATGCTTGTTCCGCAATTTCCAATTGTCCACCACCTCCGGTTGTCGTTGTTAATCGAGCCATTTTTATCGAAGGCATTGGAAGTGTTTTCTCAGCGATTTTCGGCTCATCGGCTGCTCTAAGTTCCTACAGTTCTAATGTCGGCAGTATCGCCATAACCAAAGTAGCGAGTCGTCGAGTCACTCAAATGTTTGGACTTTGTTTAATTCTATTCAGTATGTGTGGTAAACTATCGGCTCTATTTGTCTCTATTCCACCTCCCGTGATGGGCGGTGTTTTCTTCGTAATGACTTCTATGATTATCGCTGTTGGACTTAATATTCTTAAAGATATCGACTTTGAATCTCCTCGAAATCTTTATATTCTGGGAATTTCGGTTACCCTTGGGTCAACTATACCAACATTTTTTTCCTCCCCTGGTAATATTGAAAATTCTGTTGAAAGTTTACGTTGGCTTTTAGAAAATGAAACAATTCAAAAATTGTTAACTAACGGAATGTTAATCACTGGATTAACTGGTCTAATTTTGGATAACACGATTCCCGGAACTTTACTTGAACGAGGTTTACAAACTCATGAAAATCTACCATCGGGTTCAGTTGTTTCAATGAGAACATATCAAATATACAAATTACCATGGGATTTGGACAATTGGTTCGCGAAGTACTTATCCTTTTTACCAATTTATCTAACAAAAGATGCGATCGTCTAATCAACTTAACCAATTATTATATTAATTTATAATTCTATCAAAATTATCAATCGTTTCTTGAAAGAATACAGAAAAAGTATTCAAATCTATTTATATAAGTCTTTCGAATAGAAAATTATCTTAGAAATAGTAATTTTAACTCTCTATCTCCATCCCTACATCACAATTCTAATTGTTTTCAATTATTTTCTTATTATTAATAATTAAAAAAAAATTCGAATTTTTTTCGAGATTTTAATTCCATGGCCGATAGATGTCACTGTCTATTCGCAAATTGATTTATCAACGATAAGAAAATGATTAAACTTAATCATCTTTGAAACTGAATTAGTTTTGAGAACAATTTGTTGACCTCTCTCACTTGTCAACAATTAACTGTTAATCTGTCACTTTAACGTTAGACTAATTTGTCTAATTAATCTTGGAATTGATTTCGTTTTGTTTTACTTCTGTTTCTTATTTGTGTGATTTATTTTTAAGAGTTTATTTTGTTTTTATTTTACCTTCATTTTGGTTTAATTAATTGATACAAAACAATCACCAAATGAATACCATTAAATGTAATAGAAGGTAAGTAATCTTTTGGAAATTAATTTAGTTTATATTGTAAAGAATTAAGAATATAAATTAAATTTAAAAGAGAGAGAGAGAATAGAATAATTTTGTTGTGTCTTCATCCAATTTGTGTTTTTTTTTCTCTTTTTCTTTGTGTTCTCTTTATTTCTATTCTATAATTTAAATGGTAATATTTTTTTCTTCTTGTGATCATCATCAACAATTTGTTCTTGGCAAAAAATGATGAATTTTAATTCCATCATTAATTTAAAAGACAAGTGAATATAAATGATTTTCCCGAAGAAATTTTAGAGAAAATTTTAATCCAGACTACCACAGATCTAGAAGGATCCATGATGGCGGCTGCTGGTTAGTGAGAGAAGAGAATTTTTTTCTTCCCTATTTGGGTTCAAATTGTTACTCACCGGCAAAAATTTTCTCTTTTCGATTTTTACATTTATTCTTTTTTTTTCTCTCTGTTTGTGTCTTTCTCTTTCATCTTACTTCAATCTTTCATTTCACAGTTTGCAAAAGATGGCGACGAATTATGGTAACAAGATTATCTATGGTCAAGTATTTACTTCAAGATCAATGGTTAGATGACGATGGTAACACAGAAAATCAAGGTTTGTCTTTTGTTTCTTAATAGACTTTGTCATGTGTACAATTAGTGACTTCTAAATTCAGATAATGTTAGTCAATTATAACAAAATAATTAATTATTTCTCTCCATCCCTTGTCTACTATCACTAATCAAACCTTTTCCTCTTCAAATTATTAAACCACTTCAAGTGTAGACTTTTGTAATATTTTATCTCTATGAAAAAAATCCTTAGTTACTTGAATCAATTGATTCACTAACAAATTAACTTGATCAATGTTATTTTCTTTTAATTCATTTCCTATTCCAATTCTCTTTCCTCTTCTCATCTTTTACCAGATATACTAATAGGTATTCCTAAGGCCAGTTACCTGTTTCTCTATGAGAACGGATCTCACCCGAACATTTTATCAAAATGTCTTGGTTGGCTTCCCAATTGTATGGTAAATATCGGTAGGGTTAAGTTCCTGGTTTTATATTTAAATTTGGATTTTTTTCTAACTCTTAAATTCTGTCTTCAATGTTTTAGGTGGTTGAGGTTTGTAGGCCTGATAATCTGGTTGACGAGGAAGCTCTCCTTCAATTAATCAATTCAAAGACAAACATCAAAGGCTTTTTCTGGTATCCTAATCACAATAGACGTCAAGGGGCAGCTCATGCACCACTCAAACTTGAAAATGTTGAAATGGCGGCCATTTGCTCAGGAGAGCCTTTTGCCCTCACTCATACAACTCTTTACTATTGTTGCCGTCAAACGCTCACTCAATTGTACATTTCTAATGAGAATTTATCACCAGCGGCGATATTGCCCAAATTTTGTAACCTTCGTCGTCTTCACATGCTTTATCATGACCGTTAGTATCTTTTCACTTTTTGATGCCTTCAAATGAGTTGAATAAGATGATTTCATGATGTATTTAGATTCTTTTGTCTCAACTTAATTACAGAAGAGTATATTCTCCCTCGATTACTTACCTACAATGGACCTGTTTTAGAGAATCTTGAGATTTTGGAATTGTCGCTCGCAGTTGAATCCATGTTCGATCATGTTACTCACCTTCTTTTATTCTGTCCCAATTTGAAGAGTCTTTTTCTTCGAATAGAAAGTGGTCATCATAATTTTGATAATTCGACAAGTAATAGAAGATTTTTTGAGAACGTTGAAAATCTTGTCATAGAAATAGGAAAATCATGGGTTCGTAAAGTAGAAGTAGTTAAGAACATATTCTTAGTTCAAAAAACTGACTCTTTTTTCTTTACCTTCTTCTTAGGTTTCACATTGTAAATCGGATGATTGGGTTTGTTTTATGGAAATTGTTCGATTATTTCCAAATCTAGAAAATTTAGGTCTACGAAATGTTCAAAATCTTTCAGAAGTTCTTATTCTCTCAGCTCTGCAATGGTCATTTAAATTGAAATTGTTGGACATCAAAACACAAGATGAGATCACAACAAACAAGACAACCCAATTAGATACAATGTCCAACCTCAACGCAGAAAGTTTAGCCTCTTGTCTTTTTTTCCGAAATCGACTTAAAATCGATTGCTCAGTTACTAAATACACCAACGACTACGAAAGTGAAACTGTACAATCGGGAACTTGGCATGTGAAGGAAGGTTTCAATTTCATGGCTCACATTTTTCCGCGAGACTTCGCCTACAGCCCAGTGTTTCTCATCGACATGGACCCACAAAACGATTAAAATTTATCGCAGAAACAATTAATCAACAAAACCGGAATCGTTTAAATTACATATTTTATCAGAAAAAAAACATCGATTACTTTTTAATTGTCAATTATCATATGAAAGTAATTACCTTTGTATCTTTGTAAAACATTTCTAAGTGTAACAATCAAATTGCCAATAATTTATATTGTCTTTTTGGCAATTCTCCAAGACTTATTGAGAGTCGAAATATTAATTCTGTCAATTAATCAAACATATAAAGTTAATTGAATCTAATTGTGATTTAAAAAGCCTTAGATCAATAATCTCAATCGATTGAGATTATCTCAAGTTGATTACATAATAGAATTAATCGAATAATTAACTAAATAATCTGATCTAATCACCCACCTAATCAGATCAACAATTACCTAACAATCAGAACGAACCATTTTCTCTTTTCGTTTTCATCTGAATACATTAATCAACCACTAATTACGAACAATTAACTTGTTTCCTTCGGTAAATAATCTAATTAGTTTTTTTTTACTCTAAATAGAATTGAAAATGATTGATTAAATGAGGATGACAATTAAATCTAATTTTTATATTGTCTATTAATCTTTATATTGAAACAACTGCACTTCCATTGACAATCAAATACTGTTTACTATTTGATTAAATTTCAATAAAGTAATTAATATGATGATGGTTGTATAGTTTTCGCAATTAATTAATTTTCCAAGGACGGAAGAGTTAATTTTCCAAATTAACTTTTTCTTTTTCCATATGAGTATAAAAACTTTTCAATCAAACAAATTGATTGTTATTACTCTTTAGACAGTCTATGTGATTGTTAGTTAATCATCTGTTGATTGTGATTCGTTTAATTGTTAATTTTCTCCAACAAAATGATTAAATTAACAATTTTCGCTCTTGTAACTTTGTGTCTCGCATTCGCCAATGGAGATGGTCAAGAGGAAATGGAAAATGACTCAACCAAATGTGGACAATTGAGAAAGAATATCAGTAAGTAATCATACTCACAATTAAATCTAATTGTTATCACATCTAATTTGTTCATTTGTCACCTCCGATGACCAGTAATCAAAATCGTAGATGTCCAAGCCGATGGACATCAAGCGTCTTGTGCCTGTAAGTATTTACTTGAGTTTCTTATGATTGACCATTGAAAATTTTTCTCTACTTTTGGAAATAGTTAAAAGAACAACTGAAATCGTATCAGAAACTTTCAGTAAGTCGAACTGGTCATTTACTGGACAACAGGAAGTAACATTTTCTTTTCTTTTACAGAAGAAGCTGATTCAGAGATGAATTGTGCTGATGCCTGTAAGAAATTGAAAGAATTGATGAAAGGTAAAGATGAGAATAGGGAAAAGTTGATTTTCCTTTTGAATGTTCTCCTTGTTTTCTAAAAAAAGTTTTTTCTATTTTCTATTACAGAGGAAGATGAACAGATAATCGCAATGTTCAACGAAGTGAAAGAGAAATTACCTGTAAAATCTTGGCTCGAAAAGCTCGGTCAACATTTCGAAGGAAAGAAAAACAAAAATGACGAAAGAACGAAAATGATCGACGAAGAAGGTAAAAAGTGTCACGATTGCACCATGAAGAATATACAAGTAATCGAAAAGAAGTGCGAAGAAATGAACGCCGAAGATCTGGTCAATTCTGTTAAATCTTCTTGTGGTATCTAATCGACTGACCCAAATTCCCGCTCATCGAAATTGTAACTCCCTTTGATTCCATGTTAACAAATCATCAATTTCATTTGTTTCAATTGTTACATGAGATTTGATAAATTCTAGTGATCTGATTAAAAGATTCATCACTATTTTATTCTTAATTATTTCAATTTAATCATCTAAGGTCAAAATACTCGACCCGCTTATAATATTTTGTTGAGACAATTGATTCATTTGAATAGTTTGTCAATTTCTGTTTTATAAAAATAAAAGTTCTCAATCGAAAACAATTAGTTTTTAATTGCATCATATTGTTTTTAATTCTTATAAAAATCTTTTAAATCAAACATGGAAGATATTAAGAAATCAAGGCCACTCTTCCCAGTTCAATAATGGTTATTCTGAGTTGCAATGGACGACAGGGTAAAAGACGATGGGATATATGAGTTACTCATCTAAAAGAAAATTCTTGTCGATTTACAAAAAAAATGGGCTAAGAATTATTTCAAATAAACAGTTCGAATTTTTCTCAAAATATTATGAATTTTAGTAAAAGTTCCCAAACGTTTTCTCCACAGGGTAAATACCAACTACGATTATGATTATCTACATGCACTACATCATTAAGGTCTTTGTGATTGAACTGAAATCATTTCAAATTATGCATGAGTCGACTGTTGGGATAACATTAATTATGGATTTTTTTTTAAATCAAGTCCAATGGTCAACACTAGCGACTCTGTTTCTTGTGAACTAAATTGTCTCAGATCACATGAGCCAATCGATAGTTTCTACCTACAACTGATCAATCTAGATAAATCATATTGTTATGAAAATAATTAGAAAATCGATAAAATTTAAATTCCTTGGCATCTTATCAGGTCATTCGATTGCGTTGAATTGCACAGATATTAGTCGCTTCGTACATTATTAGTCAATGAATTAGAGGTCATTTGGAGGTGAAATTTGACAAATTTTTCTTGATATAAATGACCTAACTGACCTTGAAATTCAGTTAAAACGGAAAAGTGGTCTGTGTTTAAATCGGAATTTCAGTTGAAAAAACTTTAATCATAACGACCGATTAATAGTTTTGGATCCTCGTTCAGACATTTATCAATTTAAATAAATTAATCAACCACTAATTACGACCAATTAACTTTTTCTCTTTGGTAAATAAACTAATTAGTTTTTTTTTCTCATCCAAATGGAATTGAAAACTTGATTGATTAAACGATGATAACAATTTAAATCTAATTTTTCATATTCTATGTTGAAACAACTGTCACATTCATTGGCAATCAAATACTATTTACTATTTGATTAAATTAATTAATTAATATAATGATTGTTGTAAAAATTTTCGCAGTTAGTTAATTGTTTTAATTTTCCAAGGACGGAAGAGTTAATTGTCCAAATTAACTTTCCATTTGAGTATAAAAACTTTTTACCCGAAAACATTGATTGTTATTACTTTTTTGTTATTCATAGTGATTAGTTAATTATCCGTTTGATTGTTAACTCATTTAACCAGCAAAATGATTAAATTAACAATTTTCTGTCTTGTTACTTTGTGTGTCTCATTTACATATGGTGACATCGGAACATGGCCTCAAATTTAAGTCAATGTGGAAAATTAAAAAATGATATTAGTAAGTAATCAAGTTGACAATTAAATTTAATTGTTCGTTGGAAAGAAATCAAAAGTTCCAAGACTATGTTGGCGTTAATTGGTGTTCGAACGACATCTTCGAAACAATCTAAAGTTCTAAATAACTTTTCGAGTTCTAACTTTTGCTTTGTCTTTATTTCTCTTGATGGTCAGTGTCCAAAATCGAGAGTGTCCAAGCCGATGGAACTCAAGCAGCTTGTGCTAGTAAGTAATTAACTTAATATACTTGAGAAATTATCCTAATTGATTAAATCATTTCCCTTGTTTAACAGTAAAAAAAGCAGCTGAAATTGTCATGGATGCGATAAGTAAGTAGATCGATATTTTCGATGACCATTCGAACTTGTAAATTTGATAACTAATTGAATCTATCGAAAATCTATTACAGAGGGAACCGAATTAGAGAAGAACTGTGCAGATGATTGTAAGAAGATGATGGACATGATGAAAGGTAAAAACTTCGTTCGAAATTTTCTATTTTTCTATTGACCAAATTTTGCTACTTTTCGACTTTGTAGAGGATGAAGAAAAAGCTAAGGCCATTTTTACCGAAGTCAAAGATAAACTCATCATGAAGGAATGGCAAGAAAAGATGAAACAGAAACACGAAGAGATGAAAGGCCAAAATCCCGAACGATCTAAATCGTACGAGGAAGAAGGTACAAAGTGTAAAAATTGTGGAATGAAAAACATGCAGGCCGCTGAAAAGAAGTGCAAAGAAATGAACGCCGACGAACTGGTCAATTCCGTCAAATCTTCTTGTAGTTTGTAATCAACTGATCGACAATCGAGACAATTAAGTGTCCATTCGAATATATTTTTATATATTGCCAAATAATCAATTGATTGTTTACCAATATTGAGAAAATCATTGAATTAATATTGGAGAAACAATTTTTTTGATCTAATTTATAATGTGACTTTCAGCTTGAAATTGTTTCAATTAATTGTTCATTATAGCTGATTAAGTGATTCTCTGTTGATTGGTAATTGATTTAATTGTCCATTAAAGTTTCCGTTTAAATCTGCATAAAAAAACAAAATGTATTCATCTCATTTGATTAACTATTTTTCCTTTAATTGTCAAGGTAAATATAAAATGATTAGTTTTTTGTTTTAACAAATTGGATTAAAATTGATGGATGATTAATCTCATTTCTTTGATTTTTAATTGCTGTTTAATGAGACTTGATAGTGATTTTTTTTTCTAGGGATTTGATTTCTTAACGTTGCTTTTTTCTTGCGTCACTGATTAAACGATAATTATTTGGATTGAGTGACTTGTAATCAACTAATAAATCTAATCGATTAATTTCTGTACAAAAAGCGGACTGATTATCGTAGCTTCAATTTTGGAAATTAATTACACTTTGTTTTTGGTGGAAATGCAATTAACAATTTCATTTCTTTCGTTGTGTTAAGAACAATCATCAAATTAGTTGATCAAAAATTCTTGATTTCATTTTTGATTGTGAATTTTATACACAGGGTTGGGTCTCTTTCGTTTTAGTTGAGCGACAAACTTGTACTAGAATCGATCGGTGTGTTAATCAAACAGAATTTGGTTTCTATAGAATGAGAGAAAAGAAATTAATTAATTAATATTAAGTTAATTGGGGCGAAAATTAATAAATTATTTACCATTTTACTGAAGAAATGATTAACTCTATTTTTAACTTTTTTCATTGAAGTCTTTTGATTAATCCTTTTCAATACATTATAAGAAGTATATTTGATCACTTTGTTGCTTTTAAATTGTTTACCATTTGATTTAGTTTGTGGTGCTGATGATGATGCTGCTGATGGTGGTGATGATTTGATTTGCTGAGAATCGAGACCAGATTTATTCAATTTCTTTGGTTCAGAACTTTGCAATCTCAGTTCATTACGATTCAAGGTTGACCAATGTCCTCCATGAGTATATCTTGACCACCATCGAGCTCAGTAACACATTTGATTTGCAGATCTTTCAATGGTCCATCAATAATTTCATACTCTTCAGGCTGTAAATACATGAGAAAAGGATGAGATTAAATCAATTAAATAAAATAAATTAAACTCTTACATCCAGTAGATGACCATCAATACAATTGCGACAGTATTCAATTAAACCACCATAGAGATCTGATACATAGATTAACAGAGCTCGACAGATTATACTGAACGAGTAATAGGGAAAGAAAAAATTAAGATACAGAAGATGAGTGATTAATCAGTTGCAATTTTGTGGATTAGAGGGATTGTTATGCTTACTTGAGTCGTGAGATTGTTGACAGAGCGACGACAAAATGAGGGATCATGTGCCCTAATCTTAACCACAACATGCAATGACTAACAGAATACGAAGAGTATTTACAAATTTTATCAAGAATATCGGCTAAATTTTGCAATTCTTTCATGACAAAACAAACGCTGAATGCTGAGGGTAATTTAAGTTCCCTGTTCCCATCGTATTTAATACTGGAGGAGGAAAAAAGATCTCAAATTAGTTATTCAGTATGGATCAAAAATGACAATTAAAATAGTAAAAGGAAATTGACACTACTGACCTGAGAAACGCTTTGCAATCGTCTTCCAGAACTTCAGATATATTTAATTCGAGATATTGATTGATTAATCGACGAACCTGAATATTTATAAGAGAAAATATTGAGATCACAATGTGAATGTTTAAATCTTCTGGTGACTTACCTTTTTGAGGAGTGAGCTTATTTTACTGTTTCGCAATCGAATACTGATTTTTTGTAAATTTTTTCGAAAAATTGCAATTTCCGTCATTAGACATTGATCTCGAGAGAGTGAAATTAAATTCTCTAGCGAATCTTTGATGAGATGATCAACCACTAAAGTAGAGAAAATATAAAAGTATGAGAAGATGGAAACAAGATGTAAACAAAGAACCAATAGCTAATCAATCAATAGAATTACGAAAGAGATATTAACCTTTATTCAGTTTAGATCCAGCGAATTCTTCCCAATCATAGGAATCCATTGATGACAATTAAAAAAATCTATACAAATTCAATGGTGAAAAGAAAACAAATTAGAAAATAAGAAAATATCAAAAGTGATTCTTTCAAAATCTGAATCACCAAACAATACAAAACCCAATCAAACTTAAAGTCTAATTGAACAATTTAAATATTTGGCCTCAATATAAAGACCGACAAATATGAAAAACATCCAAAAGACCAAAAAAACGCCAGAAAATTTGATAACATATTAGGCCTGACAATCAAATGGTCATTTGGTCAAGAAAAACATTTAACAAAAAGAAAACAAAACATTAGATTCAATAAACACTCACCTTGTTTTCACAGTGAATTCAATTTGGTGGAAAAGAAGGCGAATTAAAAATAACTCAATGAGCAACAACGATAACGAAATGATCAATTTAAAGATTAACTAATTGTTAAATTGTAATGAAGGAAAAAGTGATGGAAATTTAATTAACTAAAGCAAAAGATTTACATTGTAGCTTTGGTAACAGAGAGAGAGCACATGGTTAAGCTGATTAGAACATTTTTCCAACCAAATAAGCTCAATGTTCTGAGTGGCGCTTTTTTCCAATTCAATTGATTAGCTGAATTACTTGAAATCGAATTAAAAAAACTTCCTCCTAATTAAGCTTATTAAACTATTCTTAATTCATTCGTTCGTTGGTTAATTGGTTCCTTAATCATTTGATCTGTGACACTTTGATTACTATTATTTTCAATTCTCTGGAAAATCAGTTCAAGAAGCGAAAGATAATTTTCAAGGTTAATTGAATTAATTATTCTTTTGTGATTTTAATTTTGGACTTTGAAGTGAATTATATTTGTTGCTAATTGTTTTTCTAATTATTTTGACTGTTTTTAATTGAGAGAATTAAAATTGGAATTTTTTTCAAGTTAATTTAAGAAAATCATAAAAACCGCTCGTTAATTTCATCGCTTTTGTTGTCAATAGGATTGGGTGATTTTGTCTTTTGGAGGCAGTGGTTGTGTTTTTGAACTACAATTAACTAGATTTAACTAGACATGTTTACCTGTTCAAATTGTGTTAATTATTCACCTTGATTGTTGATTATTTAGGCTTCACTAACGGTGTCAACGTTTGTTTTTCTCTTTGTACTGATCTTTGGTGTTTACATCATTGGAGAATCTCAATTGTTGCCCTTGATTTTTGTTTCTTTTCATATTCTTGTTCATCTTTTCATCTTTCTTTAGGTTTGTATTATTGTTCTTGATGTCAATGTGATGTATCGTTGTGTTTCCAAAGCTTGTGATGAAAATATTGACTTTGCTTTTAGTAGTCATCAAGATATTATTCTACATGGTAGAGAGAAAGAGTTTGCCTTCAGGCCGCGTATTTTACTCTCTTGTGGTCACTCGGTTTGTGAAAATTGCATTTTCACTGCGGTTTCATCTAAACAGGAAGAATTTATCAAGTGCGATGATTGTGGTAAAGTAACGAGTTTCTCTCGGCAAACTATTCAAACAATCAAAGTAAAAAGACCACAATCTAAAGAAAGTGTTCGATGGAATGAAGATTGTGAGGACGATCTTCTTTACGAAGCTTTTTCCATTGGTGCTGCTTTTAATTCTGGTCGTATTTCGGTCTCAGCAACTCCGATAGTTGATCTTGATGGTAACCAGTTTTTCTCTTTCTCTATCATCGTTCTGCAAACTTATTCTATTCTCCTGAATTGACCTTTTTTTTTCTATATTCTTCATTTTTTTAACAGAAAGTCTACTTGAATCACAAAATCTTCCAAGCCATTCGTATAGAAATGAGCCTGAAGTGTTGACCATTCGTGATAGAGTCTCCAATGCATCAGACTCCTTTAAATTAGCTGTTGATGATGGTATTTCAATGTATACATCTTGTAGTAAATCATTGAAATTTTATTCGACACAAAAACTGCCCTCAATAAGCAATTTGTTTCCACCAAAGAAGCGATTAGAAAGCGTTTTCATGTTTTACATGGTTTATTACAGTTGGAAGAAACGAATCTCATCAGAGAACTGGTTAAGAGTAAAGAAAATACAGTCAAATCTTTACAAGAAAAGGAGAAATCTATCGATTCAGCTCGTACAAACCTTAGAAATTTGCTCATTCGAAGTCCACAATATGCTCACATTCAAACTAGTAATCCTTTCAAACACGAGATTGATCAATATCGCATGAAACCTTTGCGTATTGATTTAGCACCCGAACTGTCCAATCATCTTTCCAATTTGAATAAACCTCATGACGATTTGCATCAAGAGATCAAAAAATTGACGGATTTTCGTAAAGCTGTTCGTTTTGATCTTAATATCGCTTTCGCCCCACTGATCTCTTCAAACCATCCAGCCTCATCTGTTCCAGTTGCCTCTGAAGCTAAAAATGCAAAGAAAAGGACCAAAGCTTCCAATTTATATTACACAAATTTTATTCGACAACAATTAGTAACCATTCATGACGTCAAAGATTCTGGCTATTTCTCAGCTCACCTTCCAAGTGACCAATCTGTCGCTACATCTTTAGCTAAAGCACTCGAAAAATGGTGTAGTCATTTCCTTCATCCTCCTTGTATCAGCAAAATTAAGCCCTCAAGTGATCTGATTGTTTGGCACGACCAAAAGTTACGTTGGGCTCGAGCTAAATTTAAAAGGGTAATTGAAGACACCAGACAATCTGAAAAGGAAAATTATTACCTTTTAAACTCCAATTTATCATCGAAAAAAGTTGAAGTCTCTCTTGTCGATTTCGGTGATGAAATTTATGAAACATTGATTGAAAATGTTCGTGAAAGTTGCTGTCAACTAACCGATCCAACAACATATCCTCCATTACTCAAGGCGTGGAAATGTCGCCTGAAAGATATTCAACCAAGCAGCTCTAACATAAGACCATATATCCTTAAATTTTGTGCCACCGGTATCCAAGTCCGTCTACTTGTCCTAACAGAACCAATAGATGACATTTACGAAGTTGACATTGTCCATGACATTCGTGATCTAGTTAATCCTCAACCAACTTTAATCGAATTTTTAATCTTCAGTAATGTCGCCAAACTCAAAGATCCAAAGATTCAATATCCTTACCCCCCGAAATTAGACGCTGCATTACAATATCGAGATGCAGATCAATTAAAAGTCGGCGATAATTATGCAGTCGATTTGACGTTCATCAAAAATCCTCATAGTTTCTTTGTGGTTGTTTCTCGATTAAGAGAAAAACTTGAGAGTCTTGAGAAAAAGATCAACGATTTATATTCTAATCAGACTAGAACCATCGCTTTTCGGCTATATTATCCAAGAATTTATATTCCTTGTGCTGCTCGATGTGAACTCTTTTGGGACAGAAAGAAAAAGCGTGAAAAAATATTCCATCGAGGTTATATTATTCCTCCAAACGAACCAACCCCACCCGGAAGTGTGACATTTTTCGCAGTCGATTATGGTGAATGTGTATATGTTCCCTTGGTTGATTTGCGAATTCTTCCTGATTGTTTCGTCACCGCTATGCCCAAATCTGCGATCCAATGTTCCCTCAGTGATATTGTTCCTCTTGATTCGGGAAACTGGAGTCGAAATTCAATCTTAGCGTTTAGGGAATTTTTCCAAGCAACCGATACACCGACAGCAATTACAGTCACTAAAAGTCCGGGTGAAAAAAAAACGCATAGTGTAGTTTTAAACCTTCTTAAATTAGCAGAACATCATCCGGATGGTAATTTAAATGAGATATTGGTCAAAGAAGGATTCGCAATTAAGAGCAGTGATGTCTCAGAAATCATCGATATTACCAAAGACAACAGCTCATTTCCAAACAATCGAACTTCTAACAATCGATTCGATTTTAATTGTTACAGTTTAATCCAGGACATGGCTCGTAAATCTAAGTCTATGAATCTTGGTACAATTGATTCACTAATTCCAATCAAAATAACTGCTTTTAATTCACCTGAATCATTTTTCATTCAAATCAACACACCGGAAATTCAAACAGAAATAAGCAACTACATGAAAAGATTGGGTGAAATGTATGACGGTATTGATATTAGTCGACGGCCCGTTGGACAAATGCAAGGCTTCGATGTGGGCGAACAATGTATCTATCTATTTCGAGATGATAACGGCTACTCTACTTACTGGAGACGCGGACTAATTTTGAGCTTTTTGGGCGAGAAGCAGCAACAAACGAACGGCAATAATTCAACTGATCCCCGCCAAATGAAACAAGTTGCTCCTGATTCTCTTTATAAACTGAGAGATCGCGATTTCGGAAACGATATTATCGTTAAACGTAAAAACATGTTACAACTTCAGCCTGCGTCACCTCATCGTAAAGACGGTGAAAAATGTATTCAAGTTTGCATTCCAGGTATTAAACACTCTGCTCAAGAATGGTCACCAGATTGTATCGAATATTGTAGAAGAAAATTGCGAACTTATCATGGGAAATTATTCATCAAAATTGAAGACAATTTAACTGCCACCCAACCCGAGAAATTGCCTGTTGATTGTATCTTTTTAGCTGTTGAAATTCCCGATGCTTGCCTTCCAAGTGAAGATCATTATTACTCATTGAGATATGATCTTCTTGAAACTGGAAACGCTGCACTAATCAGGTAAATCTTTTTAATTGTTAAAATAATTTTCTTTTAATGCAATGTTTTTTTTTTGTTTTTTTTAAATCTTTTTAGTGAACATTTGCACTTTGAAAGCGAGCTTAAAATTGACGATGATTCTGCTTACGCTGATATTCAGATTCCTCTTTCTATTCGAGATGATTCATTACTCAGCTCACTTCGATCATCATATTACAATGAGAATCAGGTCATTGAGTCAATTAAGTACATGGACGCCAAGAGACCTGAAGTTGCCGAGTTTAACGCGGTTTGTACTCATGTTGAAGACGGACCATCGATTTATTTTACCATATTGGAAGAGCCAAGTGAACCTTCAATAGGCACAATTAATAAAACTATTTTGAGAAAACTTCTGAAACAAGAGAAACTGTTATCCTTCAAGGGTAATGTTGAAACTGGTCGAGCTTGTACCGTTTATAACGATTCCCGATGGTGTCGAGCTGAAATCTTATCAAATAGTACAAATAATAACAAAATAACCGTTCGTCATGTGGATACTGGAGTAACCAAAGATTATTTCATTGATAAAATGAGTAGTGAAGTTTTTTGTGAGGGAATTCCCAAATTGGCCTTTGAAGGTCGATTGGATAGATGTGCTCCCTTTGTAAATCTACGAGCTGATATTCCCGCCAAACTGAAAGCTTATCTCACCGAGAATCTCATTGGGAAAAAGTTAACAATCAAATGGGAGGTTAGTTTGAAGGTGGAAATTAATTGATATTTGTTTTGTATTGCTAATTGTACTTTTCTTGCTCTTATTAGAACTTTGGTTCGAGTCGTACAATGTTGATCTCTGTTTTCGTCCAGGAAAAAGGTCGAGACTTGAAAAGCATGTTACTCAATTTGGATCTTATTCAAGAATCTCAAGTGGAAACGGAAGAACTTCCTCAATATATTCGAACTTCCCTTGAGCTGATGGAACAAAGTGAATACAATTTTCTAAATCATCAGTTTATCATCGATAAATTTTATCCCGTTATTATTGCTGATTATGTGCGAGAAAATTATCTCTATGTTCAACTAATTTCTTTCAAAAATCCAAGTGGATCAGAAGAAGAAGATATCAATGCCTTTCACAGTATTTACAGAAACGATGAAGAATTTTTCAATTCAAACGCAAAAAACTTCTATGATGCTGTTGAATTCAATGTCGGTTAGTTGATGATTGCAATTGAATTGTTCTTTGTTCGTCTATTAATTAAATTGTCTCTATTTTTCTAGGTAATTCTTGTCTAGCCAAATGGAATGGCGAATGGTTCAGAGGAATTGTTTCTGCAGTTATTATACCGAAGCTCAAATATGAAGTTTTTTTCGTGGATTGGGGAAACACTGACACCGTCGAAAAGTCAAAGTAATTTTTAGTCATAACAATTAACGATAATCTAAATACCTTTTCTCCTCTTATATTCATTTGCAGTATGAAGATACTTCCACTAAACGGTCATCCAATTTTTGGCTTTTTCGTCCGATTATCGAACCTTAAACCCGCTCGACAAGGAGTTTGGAATCAACGTTTATATGATATGATGAAAGCGATCGTTGATAAAGCCTCAAGTGAACAACAAAATTTCTTAGTAAAATTTAAGGTTCGTCTTGAAAATTAACTTAAAAAATTTTCTTTCCTCTAATTAATATAATTTTTTCTTCTTTTATTGTTATTAGTCGACTACAGTTCCATTCGATGTTGAATTATGGACTGCCAATGATAACCAACAACCAGTTGATATTTTTTTCTCTAATCTCATTTCCGATCGTATCCTGCAAATATGTTAAATTTTATATTCCATTGATTGTCAAGAAATACAAATCGTAATCAAGTGCCGGGAATGACAAACCAATCAACTGATCGCTACAAATTTACATCATTTTCATATTCACATTCACTATTTTCTAAGCTTTTTTTACATTCCATTAATAACTAACATTTCTAATTAATCATCATTGCTCATCACAATTGAGCAAATCATATTATCGTTATTGTTATAACGCAAAAGTTAATCATCAAGATATTATTATTATTATTATATTCTGATTCTGTCAAAGATTTAAATCCAATAAAAGCAAACAAATTATTCTCAAAAATCAAACTCTACCATTGGAAGATATTTAAATTGACCTTTAATTGTTTTAATTACACTTGAAAATGTAATATCATTGATAAACATAAGGAAAACAGTAGTTGATATTATTCAGAGAATTGCGATTAACCATTTGTGGGAATTAGTTAATTAATCTTTAGAAATGATGTTAATTGTATAAACTAAAATGAACGAGATAATTAATTAGCAATTAGCAAGTTGAAATAAATCTGTGACTCGAATTAAACAGATGAACCAAAATGAGAGAGACAATTTAATAAAATTAAATCGCGAGGACAATTTACTCATTTAATCAACTCAACAATCAGAGAGTTGTGATCACAATTACAATTAATCATGGATCTATTTTCACTAATTGTTATTTTATCTTCACTTACATTTCAATTTGCCTTAAATGGTCCGGTAAGTTGTTTGTCCATCGATTGTCACCAATTATGATTAACTTTTCTTTCCTCTAATCAATTAGATTACCGTTCTAGGTGGTGTATTGTTATCTGAGTCCCTTTTACGGGACAACGAATGTACAATGACCGATGGTCGACCCGGAAGTTGTAAAATCCTTTCCATCGAGAAATGTTCAACCCTCAAGACAAACGAACCATTGAAACAATGTAACAAGAACAGTTTACCCTTTTCATTTAATCCAGTTTGTTGTCCATTCAGTAATAAACCAGGAGTATTACCAACAGCACCAAAAAAGGGTAATCGAAACAATTTGGAAACAATTAGCTCAACAATTAGAGTGTAAACTTACTGTTTTGTTATTTTCGGCTTGAATTTTTCCTTAATAGGTTGTGGTAATCAACCAAGTATCAAGGCTATTGTTGGAGGTCAAGTTGTTAACCCTGGTAATAAATACCCATGGATGATTGGACTCATGTCCAAATCTTATAATCGTTATCGTCTCATCTGTGGTGGTGCTTTGATTAACGAGAAATTTGTTCTGACCGCTGCTCATTGTGTCACTCGAACCTCTGGTAAAGTCAAAGCGAGTGAACTTAAAGTTAAATTGGGTTCATTTGATATCAACGATTCAGGAAGTTTACTTGATATCGAAGCTGTTTATCCTCACGAAGAATACAAATTCTGGCTTGCTTATCATGATATCGCTCTGATTAAATTGAAAAATCCCGTTAAAATGGACGATGTCTTGGAACCAATTTGTTTACCTCCTTTCGATACCAAGAAAAAATTAGACACCAAGGAAATGATCGGATCTCCAGTTACTGTTGCTGGTTGGGGAACAACTTCCTACGAAGGTAAAGATGATCAGCAATCAATTGATTGGATTTAAAAAATAAGGATAAAAATGAGAACATTAATTTACAAATCATCTTAATTTAGGATCAACGTCTAAATTACTTCGTGAAGTAACTGTAACAATCCAAGATCGAGATGAGTGTAATCGTAACTACACCAAAATGGAAGGCGCTAAATCAGTTCTTCCCGATGGAGTCAACGAATCTTTCCTTTGTGCAAGCGAACAGGGCAAAGATTCATGTCAAGTAAGCACCGAAAATCATTTAATTGTTTACCTTTGTAATTTAATTCACTTTTCACCTCTAACAATTTAAGGGCGATTCTGGTGGACCTTTAATGTACACTGACCCAAAGACTGGACTGGTCAGTCAAATCGGTGTCGTTTCCTTTGGCTACAAATGCGCCGAACCAGGATTCCCTGGTGTTTACACCAATGTTGCCCATTACTTGAAATGGATCGGCAGTCACATTGAAGATTACAATTAGATTAATTAATTAACTACAATTAGCATTGAATGACTTACAACAATCAGCTCATTTCCATTGAGTTAATAAAACAGTTTCACTTTATCTTGACCTCCAAATCAGTGATTAGTTTAATTAGTGATCAATATTAATAAATATTTCCCTTTGATAATCAAATTATTTGCTGATAAAAAAATTCCTCCAAACAATTAAGACTAATTATCTTTTACCTACTTCATTAAATTAATTACAATTTAATATTTACTAATCAAAATGTTTTTCTAAATCATTGACATTTGTTTTTCGTAATGATAGTTAATTAAACTCTCTCATCACCTTTATAATTAACAGATTTTCAAATCTTTTCTATTAATTTTAATCACAATTAGCATAACACATTCTAATTAATTAACTTAATCAAATTAATTCACAATTGTTTGTATTCCCAATCAACTTTTCAAACGATTGGATTGAACAAAATTTTATTCAATTAAAACTGATTATTTGAATTTGAATTATTTCAACAATTTGTGTAAAATGTATTATCTGATTTAATTTCAATAGTTTTAATGAGAAAATCAGTTAATTGTGCAAATAATTAAAATGGAAAAATAAATTAACCATTTTGATATTACCGCTTTTCCATAAACAGTTGAACTCCACATGTTGATGGTTACGTGTCTTTGTTTTGGTGTTTCAATTGTTTACATTTGTTTTCTTTAATCAAATTGATAATTTTTAGCAACATTTGATGATAAACAATTAGTAAATTGTTGAATTTCAAGAATGAAATGTGTACACAATAGAAATAAAGTCGAATGATTAATTGATTATCTGTCAATTCAGTTTTCTCCTTTTCCATTCATTTATTTCACTACATTTGTTATCTCATTCAATTGAAATTATATTCACATCGTTCAATGTTATTATTATTATTTATTGATTGTGATTAAATCACCTTTCACCACATCGTTCATTTGGATAAACATATGATTCATTTGATTGATTAATCAATTAATTCCAAGTTTATCCAAAAAGTGTAAACTATTATCTTCTGTCACTTGGATTACTTAATTCTCTTGGATTTTCATTGGATTCATTTGTTGATTATCATTAACAACAATTAAGTAAACAGTTTACTTAAGGTAAATGCGATTGTTTATTGATTTATTATAAATTTTTTCATTTGTTATGAGATAACAGATGATGGAAAATATAATTGAATTAATCAGTTGATTGTTTTCCTCTTTTATCATCTTGATGTTTTGTTAAAACCTTTACTGATTTCATATTTCTCTGTTCTTTCAGGGTGGTTACCATGTATTGGATCAAGGAATCAGGAACAAATTGGTTGCAATCATTTGTGATTAACATTATCAAAAGAGGTAAATTACCTCGACACATCGCCTTTATAATGGATGGTAATCGTCGATATGCCAAGAAAAATCACCTCGCCCGATTAACTGGTCATCTCCATGGTTTTGATACACTTTCCAATGTAGGTTTGTGATTCTGGTCTACAATTGAACTAATTGCTCGCCACTGGATTAATTGTTGATTCTATTACTCTCTGTAGATTCTTGGTTGGTGTAAAGCACTAGATATAACTGAGATAACTATATTTGCTTTTAGCTTTGAAAATTTCAAACGAAGCCAAGAAGAGGTTGATGATTTAATGGCAATTTCTCGAGAAAATTTGACCTTCTAATCAACGAACTGTAAGTTAATTTAGACTGTAAATCCAATTTTCTACCAAGAGACAATTAATCTTACCACAAGGATACAAAATTCTAAATGTCAAATGTTTTCTCTCTTTTACTCTATTATTGTTTCTTTTTTTCTCTCATTTTCTCAGTGATAAGATCAATGAACATGGTGTTTGTGTGAGATTTTGGGGAGAACTTGAATTTCTTCCAGATGATATTCAGGAAAGATTTACACACATCATGTCAGCGACTCGTGACAATAAAAGGTAAATATCCTCAATCGATTTTCTGATATTAATCAGATTCAATTGGATTTCATGGAATTAATTCCAATACTAATTATTTACCTTCTCTCTTTCAGAGCTTTTCTAAATGTTTGCTTTGCTTATACATCGAGATGTGAAATTGTTGGTGCAATGAAAAAGATACAAAAAGGTGTATCGCAAAAGCAAATTGCAATTAGGTAGAGAAATTAATCTATTTAATTAGATATAATTATATATTTACAGTTATTGTAATTCTAATTGCTTTGTATTTCTCTTTCTCTTTCTCTCTCCTTCTCCGTCTGGCCTTTAAACAGTGATATAAATGCTAATTTGATTAGTGATTATCTTTACTCAGCTGGTAGTCGATCTCCTGATTTATTGATCAGAACCTCTGGAGTTGTACGATTAAGTGATTTCCTATTATGGCAAACAAGTTTCACAATTAACGCTTTTGTTGATGTCCTTTGGCCTGAGTTTTCATTCTGGGATTTAATTGGTTGTTTATTATATTACCAACGTTTCCAGGGTCAAGTTAATCAAGCTTCAATCCGGCACAATTTGATAACAAAAAATTTGATTCCATTTGAACAAAATATAACCACCAATTCCGTGTCAAGTTAATTATCATCACACCAACGCCAAGATTGTAACAACATTTTCTTAATCATTACCATCATCATCAATATAAAGTGACTATTATGGTCTTCCCCAAATTTCATAATCACTTTTGATGAATGTTGTGTGTGTGATTTTTTTTTATATTCATTTACAATTAAGATGTAAAGCCTTGTAAAGTATGATCATGATTATGATGATTAAAGTCATGTCATGTTATAATGTGAGGTTAATCAAATTATACTTTTTGATGCAATCAAAGTTGTGTATGTAAGGTATGGATGATGATGATGATGATGATGAGAAGGAAGGAAGAGAATGAAAGAAAGAGAGAAGGAAGAAAATTGTGAGCACTAAAATGAGTCTTAATCAACAACTAATTGTTGTTGGTTAACTTGAAATTGTGTGTGTCCCATAAAAATGATGATTATGGTGATGATGATGATGATCACAATTCTTCATCTTTCTTTCCTTTCTTTCTTCCATTGTTATCATCTCTTTCTTTTCCCTTTAATCATGAATATATTTTGTAACCACAATCATGGAGGAAGCCAAACATTTGAATATAAGCCAATTGTAATGTCAACAGAATATAAGAAACAGTTAAAAAAATTGTTTCTCATTGTGATGATTACGATGATGATGATGATGATGATGTATGAAAATGATGAATGGCAGGCTGATTGTAACAATTAACATTTGATTGTCAATTAGAGGCAATTGATGGTATGATTGTTAGAAATTCAATTTCATTTTGTTTCTTTGCCTCATGATCATCAACCATCATTTTTAAATTGACTTATCAAAGTTAATTAATTAGTTTAATTAATTTTCTGCGTCTTTCACTTTGTGTTTTTAATCAGATCAATATTTTTGTTTATAATCAACACCATCAAAATTATTAATTGTGTATCAGTTAAATCTGATTGTTGTACAAAAACAAGTGAACTCAATTAAATAATTAACATAACCATTTTGTTTTTCACTTCATTCTTAAATCATTGATAATGATCTTATTATTATTATTATTATTGTAATTATTATTATCTATTTTTGATGAACAATTAAGTTGTTTATGACATTGCCCCAGCAAATATTATACAATTGAATCAAATTGGCTGTGATTTAAATCCAAGCAATCAAGTTGATGTATTATAAAAAAAGGGAAGAGGAAATGATTAGTTAAATTGTTGATTAACAGTAATGATTGTTATTGGAGGAGGAGAGAGAGAGAGAGAGAGATAAAGGGTTAATTGTAAAGACAAGAAGACAATAATAATCAGCAGGAAGGGTAGTTAATTATTAACATACAATCAACCAAATTGTAATTGAATTGTTGGAGATCCATGATCATTGTTGAATGAAAGAGTTGAATTGATGATCACAATTTAATTGGTTGATTGGTGGTTTTAGCAGAAGAAGGTCAATGATTAATTGATTTCAATTTTTCTGTATGAACCAATTCAGGAACGAAATCACAACAATCAATCAGCAATTTAATTCAATTGTAAAATGATAACGTTTTTGGGTAGTTGAGGAGGCGAAGCAGCATAAACATGATTAAGGTAAAAAAGTAATGATAATTGGAAACATTGCTAAGAGGCATCAGAATCAATTATTATTATTATTATTAATTGGCAACAGCCAAGAGAGAGAGAGAGAACAAGTATAATAAGCAATAATAATAATAATAATCACCATCATCATTATCATCATAATTATCATCATCACTGTGATAGTATCAATAATTTAGTTTGTTTATCTATTTTTTGAGGATTTTGATGGTTTGATGTTAGTGAGACACATAATTTGTTAATGTGATCAGTTTTTTTTGTTTTAGGATCCATAGTTGTTGATGATGTTGGTACGTTGATCATGAGACGGTGATGAAGGATGAAGATGATGTGCATTTATATCTTGATGAAATCGATGGAGATGGTTGATGAAAAAATGTATATGATGTTTGATGTAGAGAAAGAGGAAGAGAAAGAGAAAGAGCGAGAGAGGCAAGGAAAGAGAGAGAGAGAGAGAGAGATGGAGAGGGAGAGGGAGAGAGAACGAAAATGGATGATAAAACGAAAAGATTATTTGATTTTGTGTTATCTTGAAAAGCATTTAATCACTCTCAAAAGAGAAGTGAGAGAAAATAGAAATGAAGAGAAAAAAAATTCAAACTTAAAGTTGTTTGTTTGCTTGTTGTTGCTGGTTGTTGGTTGGTTGATGATAATTGTGATGAAAAGGTAACGATGATAATATGATGAAGATGCGTGCTCACTGGTTTTAATTTTGTTTTTTGAAGATGGCTATTGTGTTGGTGTAGTAATAGATTTTGTTTTCATTCAAATCTACCAAGATGAGCTGAAGCACATAGTGTTTTTTGTTTATCCTGTTGGTGTGTTTATGTTTGTATGTGTAGTGTGGTGTGTGGTTTGTGTGACTATGGGATAGATAGTCGAGAAAAAGATAGAGAAAAAGAGGAGAAAGAGAGAGAGAGAGTTGAGAAAGAAGTTGATTACAATTGTGAATACAATATTGTTTTCGTTTATACATGGTAACATCGGATTCAAGTGTGTTTGTGTGTTTGTATGTTATTAAGCAGATTACAGATTTGATTCTCCTTCAAACAATTTGTTTTAATCATCTCTAACGGCCACCCGTGGCTCCAGTTGCAGTTACATTTTGCGATGAAGATGCTCCAGCGATGGTGGCAGCCGCTTTTTGCTTCAACATTGTCCAGTCGAAAATATAATCATATGAGTGGTTTAAGGTACGAAATAGTATGCGGAATAGTTGACGAAGATACATGTAATCGGGCGCCTCTTCAAATCGTAAGCCTCGACAATAAGACAAATACATAGAAAACTCGGCTGGGAAACCTGGAAGATAAAAGGATTTAATGACGATGAGGAAAAAAAGAGGAGAAAAAAGAAAAAAGATGAAAAAAAAGAGGTTAAGTAAATGGTTTTTCATCAAATATTTGAAAAGGTCAAACAAGTATCAATTGAATGTGAATGGGTTGATGTTGTGGTTGATGATAATGATGATGTGAAAAGATTAACAGGTTCACACGCACATTCAATTGTTTCAAAAATTTAAAGGAATATGACTCCAAATGTACAGCGGAATTGAAGTAAACACAAATAGCTAGTAAGCTATCAATTGAATCTACTGACCTTTACATAGCATATCAATAGACGTTGACATCTTTTTTTCAGAGATTTTTTCATATTTTTGCTTTTTAGTGGCAGCCTTAAGACCTTGCCAAGGAAGTGACCCTCGGTTGAAATACATTAGCACATAGCCCAATGATTCCATATCATCTCTACGACTTTGCTCGATACCTAAAAAGAGTAAGGAAAATTTTGGAAAAGGCCAAAGTTAGTTTCGTTAGCATTTAGAGTCAAACAAAAGCTAAACAAGCACAAGGGTCTTCCTGCAAATGCTATAGATTAACTATGGATGAGGAAGGACATGAGAGAAAGAAAGATAGAGAAAGAGATGGGGGATAAAGGAAGAAAGAAAGAAAATGAGGGGAAAAAGAGAAAGAGAGGATAGAAGAGAGAGAGAGAGAGAGAGAGAGAGAGAGAGAGAGAGAGAGAGAGAGGATGAAAAAATGGTAACATATTAACAGTGATTAGAGAAACAGTTGAATAACAATTGAATTAAAACAAACATTTGAATGGTTGAATGATAACACATGATCGCATGAAACGAGTACATCATAAGTCTATGGTAGAAAGTGATAGGAGGAATATAAGTGTGTGTGTGTGTGAGAGAGAGAGAGAGAGAGAAATATGGAAAAATTAAGAGGGAGATGAGAATTGATACTATGTGTTGAATTCTGATTGAGAACCAATATATCTGGAAAATCCATTAAAAACACCATCACTATACAAACTATTACATCATAACACCAAATGTAAATCTATAACTATAGTTGATCTTAAGTAAATGTGATGAAATCAACAGCAGAAGGTAAACAAAGTATTACAATTGTTTCTAATGACAGATTGGTTTAAGAGATAATGATTGGTTAACAATTTAACTAATTTGAAATAACCTTTGACTCTGTTTGTGTTTTGGGAGTAAACATATTGGCAAGACATTGTTCCTAACGATGAGTTGTTATCAATATCATAGTTAATATGTTACAGACAAAAAGAAAATAGTATAAAGATGAGCTGACAATTTCAATGATAAAATTCACATCTATCAACAGTTTTAGCGTCGGTGAGACCTTGTGCTTTGAAATAGCTTGTTTTTCTCTCTATCGTTGTGATCAATTCAACTTACCAAGGTGAGCGTTAATAGAGGCATACCGAGCTGTACCCGTCAAATTTTTGTCTTCTCGGTAAGCAATATGTTGCCGAGAACGGCTATCTCTATATTTTTTTGCCAAACCAAAGTCAATGAGAAACAATTTATTACAATGACGACCAATGCCCATAAGAAAATTATCAGGTTTTATATCCCTATGAATGAAGTTCTTGTTGTGCACAAACTCAATTCTTCCTATCATTTGATCAGCAAGCATTAGAACAGTTTTCATAGTAAAACGACGGGAGCAGAAATTGAATAGATCCTCTAAAGAAGGACCTAACAGATCCATTACTAGAACATTGTAATCTCGTTCTTGGCCATACCTGAAGGTAAAGAGTAATAAAAAAAGGAGAAAGATTAACAATTAAGTTAAGAGAAAGAGGGAGAAAGAAATAAGAGAGAAAAAAAATGTAACAAAATATAAGGATGGAAAGAGAGATCCTTAATCTAAGAGAGACTGTTGAACAAGGCAACAGACAGACTAGTAAAAAAAAAGACAGAAAAAAGAAAGAGAACAAGAAAGAAAGAAACACACACACATACAAACACATCCATCCATCCAAACAACACAAAGAGAGTGAGGAAAAAAAAAAGTAGAAAGAGAGGTAGAAAGTAACACCACAAACACACACACACAACACAACACCAAACACACATAAAGAAAGAAGAAGAAGAATAAAAAAGGTAGAAAGAAAAATAGAAAGAAAGAGAAAAACAAAAGAGAGAAGAGAAAAAAGGTAGAAAGAAAGAAAAACAGTCTTACCATCGTATATGTGGGATGCCTACACCACCAGCCAATACTCTATATAATTTAGATTCGTAGAGGAGCTGAGGATGTCTTGCTTTAATTGATTCCAATTTAACGGCTACTTCTTCACCATTGGTTACATTTATTCCAAGATATATATCACCAAAGGAACCAGAACCTATTTTTCTAACTAAACGATATTTGGAACCAACAATAAAATCACTTCGACTAGCTATAGTGGCCATAATGAAAATACGTCTTCTCTCTTGTTGTTATTACTATGATGGAGTGAGGATGAAATGTTGAGTCATTGAACAATACAATCAGTTTATCAGTTAATCGGTTCATCGCACCAGTGGCTCCATCTCGTGGGCCAAAGTGTACATGACGAGGGAACGCGCGAAATTTGAGAAAAACTTGGAATTTCATTTTGTAACAATTTAATTTTTTTTTTATTTCATTTGCTTTTCATTTTTTAATTTTTTTTAATTTTTTTTGTTAATCTTTTTAAATTGCAAGGTAAATATAGATGTGTTTATGTTTATGTTGATATGAAGCTCAGGTTTGTACAGTCAATATGTTGTTGTTTTTTTCTTTGTGATTCCAATTTGTAAAAGAGATTTAAATTTTAATTTCGTTTTTTATTTATCTCTTTTCTTTGTGTTTAATTGTTGATTAAATTGTCGATGGTTATTAGACAAATGAAGTACAATTTAAATTGTTTTTGTTTTTGTTGTTGTTGTTGTTGTTGTTTATTTTAATTGTATCTTTCATTTTATCTCGAAAATTTTCAGTCTTTCGATCTCTCGACTAATTGTTTATAAACAATTAGATTTTTTAATAATGATAATGATGACAGAATTTTCTGCTAATAATTAATAATAATAATAATCATAATCACCATCATAATATTAACATGATCATTGAAAAAAAGTCTAATTACTGATTGTTACAATTTAATTAACTGATTACATATTATATTGATTGTTAGTCAATCATCTGAATGTTTGTAGTACAATTAGTTAGCTTTTGTTTTCTCCCTGTTACAAAATAATGTTAATTAAGTTTTACTTTGATTGTTTTTAGCTTTTTTTTGACATTTTTTGGTTAATTTTTTGTTAGTTAATCTAATTATCGTTAATTGGTGTATTATATGATACTGATAATCTGATGTTGATAATATGATGATGATTACTATGATGAGGAAGAGAGAATCAAGATCATGATATTTATCTTTAATTTCTTATTAAATATCTTTTTGATCATTGATTTAAATTGTAAATTAACTTGTTAACGTAAAGATAAAGAGAAAGGAAAAACTAGTGAGAAAAACTGATTTGAAATCAAATTGATACAAGAAAAATTAACTAATGGTTTAAGATGTGACCTGAAAATTTAGTCTCGGTAGGTCAGAATACGAAGACTAATGATTTGTTAACAAATTGCATCTCATTATAAACCATCGTAGTTACTTAATTCTTGTAAGATCAATTTGGTCGATTGAATTAACTTTTTTTGCCAATAATGATTGTAATGTTGATACTTTCATTATTGTTTTTCTTTATAATTATTATCATTATCAGCATTAATTGTATTGTTTTCATTATATTCATTAATATTATGAATGTAATTTAGTTTGTAGGAGAATGACGATTCTCCCATGATTTGTATTTGTTTGGAAAACGCAAACAAACAAAAAGTTCAAAAATGTTCATTGATGATGACACATAATATGCATAAACCACTTATACATAATAATTCTGGTCATTACTTTTCCACTCCACTTGCTGCGGTCGCTTTTGCTTTAGAACGACGAGCAACTTCAGCAAAGGTCAACTTTTTTCCATTACTGTGACTCGATTCGTCCAAATTAATACCTTCATCTTCTTCATGAGAATCTGGTCGATCTGAATCTTCCTTTTTATCACCACTAGATTTAGAATTCATTTTATTGTTGAGCTTTGAATTGCTTGTCGATGTTGTTGTTGTTTTCGTTGACGAAGGAGGTGATGACGATGACGATGAAGAGACAATTCCATTACATGCTTTTTCACTTTTAACTGTTGAGACTTTGCTTTTGTCTTTTGAATTTCGATCAGCTTTAGATGAAGAAGACGAAACTGCTTTTACGAAACTCGTTGGATGATCATCTTTACTTTCACCACTTTTAGGACTATTCATGTGGTTTGAATTCGAGTTTGAACTCGAATTTGAGTTTGAGTTTGAGTTGCTTTTGTTGTTGTTGTTGTTGCAGATACTGTTGGTATTATTATTAACATTTTCATTGTGATTATTAGTAATATTTTCCTTTTAGAGTTATTTCCATTATGTTATCGTTATTACTATTATTATTATTATTATTATTATTAACAATATTATTATTATTTTTAGTTTGGCGCGGACTTGATTTAGTAAGAGGACTTTTCGGCACTTTGAAATGACTTGAATTATCATTATCAATATCACAACTGTTTGAATCGAGGTTTGGAACATTCGGAGATCGAGATGAAGATGAAGATGATGCAGATGAAGGTGGTGATGAAGACGATGAAGATAATGTTGGTGGTGATTGGATCGCTGTTGCTGCTTTTGTAGCAAAAGACGTCGATGATACTGAAGTTGTAGTTGAACATGTGGATGATGATGAAGATGAAGATGAAGACGAAGATGGAGATGTTACTGATGATGAGACAGAGGCAGATTTTGTAGAATCAGTAGATACTTTTGAAGATGATGAAGTAACAAGAGAACAGTTTGAATTATTATTATTATTATTATTAATGTTGTTGTTAGTGTTACTATTTCCTTGATTGCATGTGATTGGTGATTTTGCACTTGAAGTAACAGCAACTACTTTTGTTTCTGGATCATCTTTCTTTGTAGATTTTGATAATACTTCTACTACGTTACTTTTGAGTTGAATTTATAGTTGTAGTAGTAACATTTGAATTGGATACATTTGCATCTTTAAGGTTTTTAGGTGATTGAGAAGATAATGATGACGATGATGAAGGAGGTGATAAAGATGATTGTAATGGGGAAGATGATGATGAAGCTAATGCTGTTGAGACTGTTGATACTGATGATATTTTAACATTACCATTTAAAGTTGCACTACTATTATCAACATTGCTTTTGTCGCCATTCTTGAGTTTATCATCACTTTCTTTTTTACTTCCACCACCACCAACAGTATTGGTCCGACTATCACCACCTTTCTTATTATTCCCTTGACCTTGTGGTTGTTGTTGTTGTTGATGTTTAGCACCAGCTTTCATATCAACTGATTTAACTACTGTTCCAGGCGATGTAGAAACTAACGGTGGTCCATCAAGTGGTCTCCATGCTTGATTCTTGTTAAATTTCATTGTGCCTCTTACGACATCAGCTAAAGACCCGTTATTATTATTACAATTTACACTACCAGTAGATTTGATCACAGAAGATTCTTTAATATTAGAATCAGTATTTATTGACAGTGTTGTAGTTGTTGCAGTTGTAGCAATAACTGTTGTTGTTGAATTAGTTTGGTCCCTGAAAACACATAGAAAAAAATAAACCAAATTAATATTCCAAAACAATCAACAAATCAAAATATTACCAAATACTACCAAATATTTATACTAAAATAATCATCGTTACTATTTACTACTTACGGAATATTATTTTCTCCAGTGTTAATTGAGTTGTTGTCATTTTTTGACGAAATTGATCCATCATCAAGACCCGGTAAAGGCGGAAAAGCCGCTGCACCCAAATCAAAATCTATAGTAACTTTATCTTCTCGATTCTCTTCTTTTAATTTACTATTATTTCGATTTCCTTTGTTATAATTATAATTTCTTCCATTGCTGTGTTTCCCATTGGCATAATTAGAAGATCCAACTTCATTACTATTACTATTACTATTATCTCCATCGACATTTCTTCGCCTTCTATTACCACCTTTGTTTCCTCGTGTAGATAATCCGTTTCCACTTCCACCATTTCCACCATTGTTACCAACACCAACACCACTTCCAACACTGCTAACACCACCACCGACACCGACAACTGATCCTCCAGGAATAATACTTCCACCAACAGCTCCCACAACACCACCACCGATAACAACAACACTACCATTGTTGCTAATGTTGTGTTGATTTCCACCATGTGCAACATAACCTACAACACCAGTAGAGTTATTATTATCATCATGATAACCATGAAATCCTTGATTTGATGATCTCAGGCCATTATCATAAGACACTTGTTTATCTCGATTATCAGAGCCTAAGAGAGAAACAAAAAAAAAGAAACGGAAAGAAAAAGAAAAAAAAGAAAAGAAAAATTATGAGAAACCGAAATTAGGAGAAAAAAAATATTTTAAGACCAAGGAGGTTTAGAGAAGAAGATGTTAAAAAAGGTATTTGACATGACAAAAATAACTTATTTAAAGGCACATTGCTAATGGAAACAAGGCAGACACTACACACACACACACACACATACAAATACAGGAGATGAGAAAACTAAACCAACTTCTCAATAAACATAATTACATGTGAATGATACAAATAGTAAATCAAACATTTAAAAATCTTACGATTATAATTCCTTCTCCCTCTATTTCCATGATAATATCCTGATCCATACGAATTCGAATGATTCCAATGTCCATCATCATGATTAACAGATGAATTGGATGATCTTGAATCTAATTATCAAATCAAATTGAACATTTCATTAATTAATGAATTAAATAAATAAATGATAACAATAAGCATTGAATGATGATGATATATTAATACTAACCACCACTTTTACCTGAAAATCTGGATCTTTTATCACCAGCAGATTGATTAGTTTTGTTACCCGATCTATTTAAATAGAAGGAAAAGGAAAAGGAAAAAGCAAGAAAGAGGAATACAGAAAAAGAAAGAGAAAAGGAAAGAGAAGGAAAGAGAAGGAAGAGAAAGAGAGAGAGAGAGAGAGAGAAAAGTAAGACAAAAATTTAGATTATTTCATTCATGGAAAAAACAAAGATATTGATTAGCTTGGTAATTGGAAAGAAAATCTTCCAACACAATTCGTACATATTGTACATTGGGTATATTCCAAAAACATCACTTACTTATAAGATGAAGAACTCGCTCCTTGATTCAATGTTATATTACAATCTGTATTCTCTTCACTAGATTTAACCAATTGATTCTGTGTCTCATTTTCACAAATTGTATTCGGTGATGTTGATACAGAGGCTATTGAAGCAACGGAAGTTGATTCAACACCAACACCTTCATTCCCATTTCCATTTCCATTCCCATCACCACCACCACCACTCACAACAACGACATCAGCATTAGCATTAGAATATCGCATAGATGAAGTATAATTATTGGTATTTGGATGATTGTTATTCATATTGGTATTACTATTGGCATGATTATTGGAGGAGTTGTTGCTGTTATTATTGTTTGGATTATTTGGATTATTTTTATTGGTGATACCATGATTTTGATTTTGATTGTGATTCGGATTCTGATGTTGGTGTTGGTGTTGGTGCTGATGTTGATGCTGGTTATGGTTTGGGTTATGATTTTGATTATGATTATGATGATTATGATGATTAGGATTATGATTATGATTGTGGCTGTGATGAGAGTGATTATTATTGTTGTTTTTCCTTGAGTTTCGATATACATAAGGCGGGCAGTTGGGTCTATTATTGTGGACTGGTTTGAAAGCAGCATGTGGAGATAGGCCATTTAAAGTGAATACAGTACTTAAATCATAACATTGAGCAGTTGTTGGGGGAGGATATGTGTGAAGCATAGTAGTCGGTGGTGTAAATAGAGTTGGAAAAATCTATTGAGAAAAAAAACAAATCAAAGTGTTTCAAATATTAATTCGTTAATTCAAGATTAATAAGCATTTAAAGATTCAGGTTATACTCATGTGATACGTTAATAACATGAAATCATAAGATTTCATCACCATCATTCTCATCATCCAAGTATCCACAACAATATCAAAAAAAAAACAACATCAACATCAACATAAACCAAAACAGAAGTAACATGATTATAATCAACATATTGTATCTATTAAAAGGATAAATTAAAGGTAAGTGAACATACTGGTGGAATTGCTTGATAAGCTGGATGAGTTTGTGTTGCCAATGCTGGATTGAAAATACTATTTGCATCAACTGGACTTTCCATTGTAGGTAAGGCTACTTCATATCCAATATTTGACTCAATTCCATTCTTAAATGATGTATAACTCGATATCACTGGTTTAGCCTTAATTCGAGCCTAATAAAGCGAAAAATATTTCATTTAATTTAACAATCAATAATCAATTACTTTAATAATTATAAATAATAATAAATAATTATAATAATTATATTAATAATTATATTAATAATAAGAGAACGAATTGTAAATAGATACTCACCATTATCGGTTTACCTTGAAATGTTTGAACATCTTCTCGTAAATATCTGTAAGCTCGTTGAGCGTCTTCGTCTGATTCAAAGGAAACATACCAACTATTGTTGTGGGCAAATTCACAGGACACATATTTTGGACAATCTTTACCATTAAATAGATTTTGTACATCCTAATATAGATAAATAAGATAATTAATATCAACATTTTTCATCACCATTCTATTATTATTATCATCTTACATTTACAGGGGTTGATTCAGGTATTTCTCTTAATATAAGAACACATCTTTTGCTTACTGGTCTCACTTTTGACCACTTTCGTCCACTTGTACATTGTGATTCTATAGAGAAGAAAGAGAGAACAAGAGAGCAAGAGAAAGAGAAGACAAGAAAATAAATATTCAAAATTAGTGCTTTGTTTTTTTACGTTTTAAAAACCAAAAGATAAGAAATGAAAAATAAATGAAGAAATAAATGAAATGATAAAAAAAAGAGAGTTAAAGAGAAAAATAGAAACAGAGACAGAAACAGACAGAGAGAGACAGAAAGAGACAGATAAAAAAAGACAAAAAAATGAGATGAAAAATTTCAACAAAATTCTAAAAAAAAATGAAAACAAGATTTTCTTTTCTTTCACCCTCAGGATTTGTAAAGGAGAAACAAACAGAAAATCTAATCTCTACTTTTTTTACTTATTCTTTTCTTACCTTTAAGGACATTTACTATAAGTTCAATATCACGGGTTAACTTTTTGATTTGATCAAAATTGGCAACGGTGCTGATTGGAACATATTGATCAGAGTCCATTTGAGATTTTAAATAAGAATCGCGAAATAAATTTTCACTTGAAAAATAATATTCCAATTGATTTTTCAACATCACTTTAAGCCTATCGACAGGAATACTTTCCTCACAAGCTTCCATTATGTCCTGTTTAACTTCTTCTTGTCGGAGTTGTTCCTGCTGAGATTGTTGTCGCTGATGATCATCTAAAAATATTTTTAAAACAAAAAAACCAAAGCACAATTCAAGGGTTAGATGCGAAAGACTAAACCCAACCAAAAGGAAATCTAAGGTTAAAATACACAAATGTAACCAAAGATAGTAAAACCAACTCACAAATACACACACACACTAATCACGGATGTATATGTGCTTTAAGGGGAAATAGAGAGGAAAGAACATGAGAAAGATAGAAGAAGAAGAAGAAGAGAAGAAGATAGAAGATAAAAGAGATAAATAAAGGAGAAAGAGTAAAAAGAGAAAGAGAACATTTTGTTGAAAACAACATTGGTTTCATGAAAACGCAGGGAAAGATTAAAGAGAAAGAGAAAATGTTTCAATTTGGTTAATACACATAAAAACATACAAACCTTTTTTAACATCATCATAATAGGAATTAATTTGTCCAGACATTTTCCCACCAACAAATATCGATCAAAATGAAAATCGAATAACCAACTAACCACTAGAGATCAGTAAACAATAGCGCTACCATCACACATACACACAAAGACGAACAAAAAAAGAGAAAAAAGAAAAATTAAAAAAGAAAAATGTTCAATTAACATTTAATTCAGTTCTCATTCTAATTCAAAACCTCATCACCAAAAGACAGAAGAAAATTGATCAAGAAGAATCTCTTTCTTTTCTAACTACGCCTTCATTTTCTGCTTTTCTCTTTCATTTTTTTCTAATTCCAATCACCATGGTAACGAGTTCGGTTTAGCGCCAAAGATAAATTCCAAACCAAACTGATAATTTTTATTTTCTTTTCTCTTTAAAGTAAATTAATTTAAACTGTTAATTTTATTTTCACTTGTGTCAAACAATAGACTAATTAATTAACTTTGATTATCTTTAATTGTTGAAGAATAAGAGTAAAAGTCAACAATATAATTCTAATTGTAATGTTGACTCTTTTTAGAGAAAATAAAAAGAAAGAGATTTACTATTTTTCTGCTTTTCTCTTTCTGTTTTTTTCTCTTCTTCTCTGTCTGTGTTTGTCTGTTTGTCTTTTTTCTGTCTTTTTTCACTTTTTCTTTTTCTTTCTCTTTCTCTTTCTCTATAACATTCGGTTTACTCTTGCACTTTTTTTCTCTTCTGCTCTCAATTGTCCTCTTGGTTTTATCTTTCCGTTGTTCACCGATCTCATTAATGAGACTATTTCATCTAATTCATTTATTGGAAGTTAATCTATGGAATAACTAATTCTATTGTTCATCATCATCATAAAAGTAAAAAAAACGAACATCCTAAATAATCTCTCTCTCTCTCTATCTCTGTGTTTCTCTATTTCTCTTTCTTCATTAACCTCAAACTCTAAAACCACCAAAACAACAATATCAACAAGGAGGTTGGGAAAAAAAGCTAACCAAATTTTCTAGAGAATGATGGAAGCTTGTGAGGAAAGTATTCCTGTCGATAGGCTTAAAGTGATGTTGAAAAATCAATTGGAATATTATTTTTCAAGTGAAAATTTATTTCGCGATTCTTATTTAAAATCTCAAATGGACTCTGATCAATATGTTCCAATCAGCACCGTTGCCAATTTTGATCAAATCAAAAAGTTAACCCGTGATATTGAACTTATAGTAAATGTCCTTAAAGGTAAGAAAAGAATAAGTAAAAAAAGTAGAGATTAGATTTTCTGTTTGTTTCTCCTTTACAAATCCTGAGGGTGAAAGAAAAGAAAATCTTGTTTTCATTTTTTTTTAGAATTTTGTTGAAATTTTTCATCTCATTTTTTTGTCTTTTTTTATCTGTCTCTTTCTGTCTCTCTCTGTCTGTTTCTGTTTCTATTTTTCTCTTTAACTCTCTTTTTTTATCATTTCATTTATTTCTTCATTTATTTTTCATTTCTTATCTTTTGGTTTTTAAAACGTAAAAAAACAAAGCACTAATTTTGAATATTTATTTTCTTGTCTTCTCTTTCTCTTTCTCTCTGTTCTCTCTTTTTCTTCTCTATAGAATCACAATGTGTACAAGTGGACGAAAGTGGTCAAAAAGTGAGACCAGTAAGCAAAAGATGTGTTCTTATATTAAGAGAAATACCTGAATCAACCCCTGTAAATGTAAGATGATAATAATAATAGAATGGTGATGAAAAATGTTGATATTAATTATCTTATTTATCTATATTAGGATGTACAAAATCTATTTAATGGTAAAGATTGTCCAAAATATGTGTCCTGTGAATTTGCCCACAACAATAGTTGGTATGTTTCCTTTGAATCAGACGAAGACGCTCAACGAGCTTACAGATATTTACGAGAAGATGTTCAAACATTTCAAGGTAAACCGATAATGGTGAGTATCTATTTACAATTCGTTCTCTTATTATTAATATAATTATTATAATTATTTATTATTATTTATAATTATTAAAGTAATTGATTATTGATTGTTAAATTAAATGAAATATTTTTCGCTTTATTAGGCTCGAATTAAGGCTAAACCAGTGATATCGAGTTATACATCATTTAAGAATGGAATTGAGTCAAATATTGGATATGAAGTAGCCTTACCTACAATGGAAAGTCCAGTTGATGCAAATAGTATTTTCAATCCAGCATTGGCAACACAAACTCATCCAGCTTATCAAGCAATTCCACCAGTATGTTCACTTACCTTTAATTTATCCTTTTAATAGATACAATATGTTGATTATAATCATGTTACTTCTGTTTTGGTTTATGTTGATGTTGATGTTGTTTTTTTTTTGATATTGTTGTGGATACTTGGATGATGAGAATGATGGTGATGAAATCTTATGATTTCATGTTATTAATGTATCACATGAGTATAACCTGAATGTTAAAACGATTATTAATCTTGAATTAATGAATTAATATTTGAAACACTTTGATTTGTTTCTTTTTCTCAATAGATTTTTCCAACTCTATTTACACCACCGACTACTATGCTTCACACATATCCTCCCCCAACAACTGCTCAATGTTATGATTTAAGTACTGTATTCACTTTAAATGGCCTATCTCCACATGCTGCTTTCAAACCAGTCCACAATAATAGACCCAACTGCCCGCCTTATGTATATCGAAACTCAAGGAAAAACAACAATAATAATCACTCTCATCACAGCCACAATCATAATCATAATCCTAATCATCCTAATCATCATAATCATCATAATCATAATCAAAATCATAACCCAAACCATAACCATGCTCATAACCAGCATCAGCATCAGCATCAGCACCAACACCAACATCAGAATCCGAATCACAATCAAAATCAAAATCATGGTATCAACAATACAAATAATCCAAATAATCCAAACAATAATAACAGCAACAACTCCTCCAATAATCATGCCAATAGTAATACCAATGTGAATAACAATCATCCAAATACCAATAATTATACTTCATCTATGCGATATTCTAATGCTAATGCTGATGTCGTTGTTGTGAGTGGTGGTGATGGGAATGGAAATGGAAATGGGAATGAAGGTGTCGGTGTCGATGTTGGTGTTGAATCAACTTCCGTTGCTTCAATAGCCTCTGTATCAACATCACCGAATACAATTTGTGAAAATGAGACACAGAATCAATTGGTTAAATCTAGTGAAGAGAATACAGATTGTAATATAACATTGAATCAAGGAGCGAGTTCTTCATCTTATAAGTAAGTGATGTTTTTGGAATATACCCAATGTACAATATGTACGAATTGTGTTGGAAGATTTTCTTTCCAATTACCAAGCTAATCAATATCTTTGTTTTTTCCATGAATGAAATAATCTAAATTTTTGTCTTACTTTCTCTCTCTCTCTCTCTCTTTCTCTTCCTTCTCTTTCCTTCTCTTTCCTTTTCTCTTTCTTTTTCTGTATTCCTCTTTCTTGCTTTTTCCTTTTCCTTTTCCTTCTATTTAAATAGATCGGGTAACAAAACTAATCAATCTGCTGGTGATAAAAGATCCAGATTTTCAGGTAAAAGTGGTGGTTAGTATTAATATATCATCATCATTCAATGCTTATTGTTATCATTTATTTATTTAATTCATTAATTAATGAAATGTTTAATTTGATTTGATAATTAGATTCAAGATCATCCAATTCATCTGTTAATCATGATGATGGACATTGGAATCATTCGAATTCGTATGGGTCAGGATATTATCATGGAAATAGAGGGAGAAGGAATTATAATCGTAAGATTTTTAAATGTTTGATTTACTACTATTTGTATCATTCACATGTATTTAATTCTGTTTCTTGAGAAGTTGGTTTAGTTTTCTTATCTCCTGTGTTTGTGTGTGTGTGTGTGTGTGTGTGTGTTAGTGTCTGCCTTGTTTCCATTAGCAATGTGCCTTTAAATAAGTTATTTTTGTCATGTCAAATACCTTTTTTAACATCTTCTTCTCTAAACCTCCTTGGTCTTAAAATATTTTTTTTCTCCTAATTTCGGTTTCTCATAATTTTTCTTTTCTTTTTCTTTCCATTTCTTTTTTTTGTTTCTCTCTTAGGTTCTGATAATCGAGATAAACAAGTGTCTTATGATAATGGCCTGAGATCATCAAATCAAGGATTTCATGGTTATCATGATGATAATAATAACTCTACTGGTGTTGTAGGTTATGTTGCACATGGTGGAAATCAACACAACATTAGCAACAATGGTAGTGTTGTTGTTATCGGTGGTGGTGTTGTGGGAGCTGTTGGTGGAAGTATTATTCCTGGAGGATCAGTTGTCGGTGTCGGTGGTAGTGTTAGCAGTGTTGGTGGTGGTGGTGGTGTTGGTAACAATGGTGGAAATGGTGGAAGTGGAAACGGATTATCTACACGAGGAAACAAAGGTGGTAATAGAAGGCGAAGAAATGTCGATGGAGATAATAGTAATAGTAATGAAGTTGGATCTTCTAATTATGCCAATGGGAAACACAGCAATGGAAGAAATTATAATTATAACAAAGGAAATCGAAATAATAGTAAATTAAAAGAAGAGAATCGAGAAGATAAAGTTACTATAGATTTTGATTTGGGTGCAGCGGCTTTTCCGCCTTTACCGGGTCTTGATGATGGATCAATTTCGTCAAAAAATGACAACAACTCAATTAACACTGGAGAAAATAATATTCCGTAAGTAGTAAATAGTAACGATGATTATTTCAATTTCATTTTAAATATTTGGTAGTATTTGGTAATATTTTGATTTGTTGATTGTTTTGGAATATTAATTTGGTTTGTTTTTTCTATGTGTTTTCAGGGACCAAACTAATTCAACAACAACAGTTATTGCTACAAATGCAACAACTACAACACTGTCAATAAATACTGATTCTAATATTAAAGAATCTTCTGTGATCAAATCTACTGGTAGTGTAAATTGTAATAATAATAACGGGTCTTTAGCTGATGTCGTAAGAGGCACAATGAAATTTAACAAGAATCAAGCATGGAGACCACTTGATGGACCACCGTTAGTTTCTACACAAGGTACATCGCCTGGAACAGTAGTTAAATCAGTTGATATGAAAGCTGATGCTAAACATCAACAACAACAACAACCACAAGGTCAAGGGAATAATAAGAAAGGTGGTGATAGTCGGACCAATACTGTTGGTGGTGGTGGAAGTAAAAAAGAAAGTGATGATAAACTCAAGAATGGCGACAAAAGCAATGTTGATAATAGTAGTGCAACTTTAAATGGTAATGTTAAAATATCATCAGTATCAACAGTCTCAACAGCATTAGCTTCATCATCATCTTCCCCATTACAATCATCTTTATCACCTCCTTCATCATCGTCATCATTATCTTCTCAATCACCTAAAAACCTTAAAGATGCAAATGTATCCAATTCAAATGTTACTACTACAACTATAAATTCAACTGCCAAAAGTAACGTAGTAGTAGTAGAAGTATTATCAAAATCTACAAAGAAAGATGATCCAGAAACAAAAGTAGTTGCTGTTACTTCAAGTGCAAAATCACCAATCACATGCAATCAAGGAAATAGTAACACTAACAACAACATTAATAATAATAATAATAATTCAAACTGTTCTCTTGTTACTTCATCATCTTCAAAAGTATCTACTGATTCTACAAAATCTGCCTCTTCTCATCATCAGTAACATCTCCATCTTCGTCTTCATCTTCATCTTCATCATCATCCACATGTTCAACTACAACTTCAGTATCATCGACGTCTTTTGCTACAAAAGCAGCAACAGCGATCCAATCACCACCAACATTATCTTCATCGTCTTCATCATCACCTTCGTCTACATCTACATCTGCATCATCTTCATCTTCATCTCGATCTCCGAATGTTCCAAACCTCGATTCAAACAGTTGTGATATTGATAATGATAATTCAAGTCATTTCAAAGTGCCGAAAAGTCCTCTTACTAAATCAAGTCCGCGCCAAACTAAAAATAATAATAATATTGTTAATAATAATAATAATAATAATAATAATAGTAATAACGATAACCATAATGGAAATAACTCTAAAAAGGAAAATATTATTACTAATAATCACAATGAAAATGTTAATAATAATACCAACAGTATCTGCAAAACAACAACAACAACAAAAGCAACTCAAACTCAAACTCAAATTCGAGTTCAAACTCGAATTCAAACCACATGAATAGTCCTAAAAGTGGTGAAAGTAAAGATGATCATCCAACGAGTTTCGTAAAAGCAGTTTCGTCTTCTTCATCTAAAGCTGATCGAAATTCAAAAGACAAAAGCAAAGTCTCAACAGTTAAAAGTGAAAAAGCATGTAATGGAATTGTCTCTTCATCGTCATCGTCATCACCTCCTTCGTCAACGAAAACAACAACAACAACATCGACAAGCAATTCAAAGCTCAACAATAAAATGAATTCTAAATCTAGTGGTGATAAAAAGGAAGATTCAGATCGACCAGATTCTCATGAAGAAGATGAAGGTATTAATTTGGACGAATCGAGTCACAGTAATGGAAAAAAGTTGACCTTTGCTGAAGTTGCTCGTCGTTCTAAAGCAAAAGCGACCGCAGCAAGTGGAGTGGAAAAGTAATGACCAGAATTATTATGTATAAGTGGTTTATGCATATTATGTGTCATCATCAATGAACATTTTTGAACTTTTTGTTTGTTTGCGTTTTCCAAACAAATACAAATCATGGGAGAATCGTCATTTTCCTTCAAACTAAATTACATTATCTATGGAAATGATAATGAAAACAACTACTAATGATTGTCTTCGTCAAAACCAATCACTAAAAAATCCAATCAAATCGATCTCATCAGCTAAATTAACATAATTTGTTTTCAATCATAGAAAAACAAACTCAATCAATTGATTTGACGTGTTGTGTTTGATCAATTCATTATCAGTCCGATTTTTGCCGTCTTGTTAACATATTTAATTAAGGAAATTTGAAAAAAAGCTTCAACTATTGTTAGACATTAATATCGAATCAATATTTGATATTATCATTATATTTTCATCATCGTGCTCATCAAAAATATCACTAATTTATAATTATGGGGAAAAGATTATTATTCAACTTGAAGAGCAGCAACAAAAAATGAACCGATTTGATTCAAATGAGATTGAAAATGAAGGAAATAAAATGAGTCAATAATTGTGATTAAATTGAAACAAAAAAAGCTCATTTTAATCAATCAATACACACACAGAAATCATGATCATTAGACTTGAATTATCGTCATTATCATTACCATTATCATTATTATCGTGATTGTTATCATTGTTATTTTTTGATAGTTACAATCGACAAATAGATAAAAGTGAGTGTGTGTTAATTAACCTTTACACTCACACACAGAAACAAATTGTGATGATATTTTTCAATAATCATCTTGTTCATCCGCTGAGACAACCTCAGAAATTTCTGAAACAACTTCTGAAACTGAGGTTGTCTTACTTTTGGGTTGGGCCCATTCTGGTTTAGATGAGATGACCATCTCATCACTTCCTCCCAGTTGATAATCTTTCTTTTGGACTTGTTTCAATTGATTACGATAATCCATCTGAGAAACACGAGCAGTAAACATGCGAATCTTTTCCAATCTAAATTCAACAATTTAACAAATGTAAATACAAAATTAAATGCAAAAAGAAAAAACAAACAAGAAGCAAAAGGAGAAAAAAAGAAAAAAAAAGTAGATCAACAATTAACAAAGTGACCAAGAAGTAATTTGAATATGGAAGGAGAGCAATTAAAGACAAAAGGACAAAATTAACTTACTGATTTGCTGTTTTCGAAACTTTTTTCAATGGTGGAATCACACTGATCGAAAGGAATGGAAAACAAAATGAGAATTAAAAAGTTGCTTTGTAATTAACGATTTTCTTTGATTGTACTTACAATTTTCCTTTCAAATCATTCACTTTCTCTTGTAACTCTTTAAGCTGTTAATCAAAACAAAAACGAAAAGATTAAGAAAAAGATTAAAATAAAAAAATTCTAATTATAATTACGATTTACCTCTAACTCCTTAAGACGAGTCGCTCTATCGAGATCCCATTTTTTACTCTCAAGATCTTGGACTCTTTTGAAATAGTCTTTTACGATTGATTGTAAGGTCGCTGTTAATTTAGAAGTTTGCAATTAATTGATTGTGAAAGAATTCGATCAACAATTAAGAATTACCTTCGTTAATTCCTTCCAAATTCTTTGGAGTTCCAGTTCTTTCTCGAATGATTCGTCTTCTCTCTTCGGCTTTTCTTTCTTGTTCTCGTTTCAAAGCTTCGGCTGCTTTTCGTCGAAGAAGATTCTTAATTACCAGGAAAGAATTAAATTAATTAAATGAAAAAGAAACAATTTATTTCTAAACTTACCCTTAGACGCTTTTTCCTCTCTGGTGTCATGAACCCTCTCTTCTTGCGAGCCTGAGCTTCAAGACGAGCTCGAACTTCAGCTTTCCGCCTCTCCTTTTCATCCTGGTTTCAGAATAATAATCAGAATAATAAGCAGAATCACAATTAGTAATCAAATTAATTAGAAAAACAATATGGCGTCTACAGAGAAACACAGAGACACTTTAAAAGAAACTAAAGTAACTCAGATACTTGGAAGGTAAAGATTATTATTAAATTTTGATTGATTAAATTGTAACGATAGTTAATGAAGAGATGAAGATGAAAAGAAGACAGGGAAATAGAAAGAGAAAAGAATTACCATCATATTGTTGAATCTTTTTTATTTCCACAAACAATTGAAGAGAAAAAGTTAATTCACAAGAAAAATTATCTAACAAACCAGTGGATCGTTAATAGAGAAGAGATTGAGAAAAAAGAAGAAAAATTGAGAAGAAAACAGAACCGATAGAGAAGAGAGTGGGAGGAGGAGGTGAGGGTGGAAAAGAACCATGAAAAGATGAAGATAAATTCCCAGTTTGCTAATAGAAATCATCTTTTCTCAACCACAGCCACCACCCTCTTCGCTTGGGTAACTGTTGCACCGATGTAAACACCGATCACTTTGAAGACCTAAATAGGTATTTGGGTTGGTCTATTGGCTGATGATTCCAAAAATAAGTTCAGTTCTTCATGGGGAATGTTTATTTAGGAGAAAGAGAAAAAAGCAAAAAGAAAACATCAACTTCCATAATTTAGAAGAGATTTTTCTTCTACATCTTCCAAACTGTCAATAGAATCTTCAACTTCTGATGAATGTATTTCTCTCTCGCTCTCTCTCAATTTCCAATCGGTTTCAGCAACTTCAACTTCTTTCATCACAATTAATGTGATCCGACTAATCAACTGGATTAACCATCGAATCATTTTAACGTAAGAAAATGTATTTTGTTTACTTTTTGTGTTGCGGTTAATCAAATCCGATGGAATAATTTAAATTTTCAATTTTTGTGTCACAATTGTTTAGGATATTAGACAATGTGAATTATAAATTGTCTGGTTAACAGCCAATTTATTTTCCTTCATTTTAATTAACTGTCGGTTTTAACGTGAGATATTGATGATTGTTGAGTTTAGTTTCATTTTTTTGATTCTATCATGTTTGATTAGGTTATTATGTTTCCGTTTCAGATGAAATGTTCCGAATTGAAATAATTAGTAATAGATAGTTTTCGTTTTTTTTTACACAAAAGTACGAAATGGATTGAATTTTTTAATTAATATCCAGTCGCTGTTATATTACTTTAGTTTTGAATTAAAGTTAAATTTGAAAAAAAATTTACTAGATGGTGTTGGTGATTCTTATTAGAATTCATCATGCTTAGAATCGGACTTTTCTTCATCATCATCATCGACATCATTTGCTGTTTCTTCTTCCTTGTCAATTTCTTCGTCTTTCTTAGTTTCGGCTGCAGCTTCAGCGGCTTTTCTTTCCTCTTCGTCTTGTTTCTCTTTCATTTTCTTTTCTTCTTTTACTCTTTCTAAAATTTCATTCAAAGTTTCATCGGCTTCCTTTTCACTGTCGCTAATTAATACATTGTCGAAAATGGTTCCAGCCTTAACTTGCCATAAATCAAAACCAACTCCACAAACTTCAGGGTATCGGTAAAGTTTATCATCAGCAACATATTCAGGATTATCGATTTCAGGATGAACCCATGGTCCTTTATAAGCTGGATTATCGATTTGTTTTGGTTTCCATTCACCTGAAGAAAATAAAAATACGAAAAAAACATAATGAGAAATGAGAAATTGACAAATCATTATTTTTCAATATATCGCATGAATAATGAACAAAGAGAAAGTGTTGAAACATTCATTCTTTCCATCTCTCTACAGGTAACTTGCTTACTCTCACTCTTACTCTCAGTCATTCTTTTTCTTTTTCTTTTCCTTCTTTCTCTTACTCTTACTTTTACTCTTACTTTTATTCTTTTCCAACATTCTTCTAATTGAATGACTTTTCTTTTCTCTTACCTTTGAATGCAGGATTATTAATTTGTGGTGGTTCCCATTCACCATCCATCTCATCATCCCAATCTTCGGGTTTAGTGGCATCAGGATCTGGAATATATTCTGGTTGTTCCCAATCTTCGGGTTTCTTGTCTTCTGGATCATCAATTTTAGCTCGGTCATCCCAGTCTTCGGGTTTCTTGGCATTTGGATCCTTAATTTTCTTTGGAGCTAAGAAGTTCCAATCTTTTTCTAATTCACCCTTTTCAACGGTTTCACCATCGATTGATACTTTGTAAGTGTTGTCTGGTTTAACAACCAATCGATAAACATGAGTATGAACATCATCTTTACATCGAATGTCCTTATTAATGAGCAAGTTTTTTCCTTTGTAATTGAAAATTGCATGAACTTTTTTGGTTGCTGGACCACAGATATCAGGTCCGAACATAAGTAAATAAGGTGATTCACCATGAAGTTGCTTTTGATCAAGTGAACAATCAAATACTTTCAAGTATCCACCACCACAGTCAATGTTTTGTTCATGTTTAACTACAAGTGCAAAAGAAACAATACAAATGCGGAAAACAATTAATAAAACAAATGATGATATGGTAACAACATATTGATTGGATGAGATTAGGTTGCATAGTTATAATAATACATGTAGATAATCAGATAATAAATTTAAATTTCCAATACTCTACAGTACAAATTAAGACACGTTTACTTAGTTAATTGTTTTGCTTTAAACACATTTGATTGAAATAATTCTTCAAACTAAAATCTAAATGCTGGTTAATGTTAATGTAGGCGATATTGTATACGTCACACACCCAAACCACATTTACCAGGGGAGCAAGAAACTTAATATTCACCAGTTACTCTGACTCTGGACAAAGACTTAAATTGCCACGTTGATGAGATACTATGGGATCAAGATAACACTTTAACCATAGATAATAAATAATCATGGCAATTGAAACAACTAAAAAAGCGAAGAAAAGAAAAGAACAAATGAATTACCTGAATATTGAATGACCAGATCTTTTCCTTCATTATCAAATTTATTATCTTCAAATTTAGCAGAAAGCCCATAAAATCTGGCATCTTGTGATGTTTTGATTCCTTTGTCTTTCAAGTCATCGCCATAAAATTTACCGGCAGTCCATTCGAATTTACCAAATTCTTTACCCGAAAACTCTGATTGTACCCATCGCTTATCCCAACTTGGAGAATCAAATTCTTCTCTAAAATAAACAGTTGCACCAATGCCAGTGGCCAGACAGGCAAATAGAGCAACTAACAAGTTTCCAGTCATTACCTAAGTTAGAAACAAAATTTAATGTAAATTATAAATTAACGAATCTTTCATAAAAGTGGACAAAGGTAGGTGACAATTAAGATTAAGAGAAACAATTGTGAGAAACAATGACAACCAGTGGAAAAGAATGAAAGAAAACACCAGAAACAAGACTTACCTTTGAATGTAAAAAGATCTACAAAGAAACAAACAATTATTGCAGTGAGTTAATTAAATAGATTTTGGGGAAACTAAAGAGTAAATTAACCAATAGAAAAGAAAAGACAAACGGACACAATTAAGAAATAAAAACCATTAATTAATCATCAATTAATCCCAACAACTCAATCTATTAACTGATCAGATTTTATATTCTTCAAGTCGAGACAAAACTCATTCTAATCATTTCCAAGTGTAACAATCTCATTGGTCCAAATTCTTTTGCGCATGAGCACAATCAAAATGCTCTTTTCTTTTCTTTTTAATTATCTAATCTTTTTATTTTCTTTCCTTCCAATCAATTGATTGTCTTTCCCAATTTATTGTCATTAATTAACAGTAACAAATTATCACAGTTCCAGGCTAATAACAAGTAATCAAATCGATTGAATTGTTGGAACAATTGAAAGAACTCAATTTTCCTTAGTGTGTCTTTTAACTAAATTGTGAGTTTATCTTTAAAAGGAAATCATCATGACGCCGGTTGAGCTCATCGACTGAATAGGAACCAGAATCTTCATCGCTCATCATTCAAATGAAAGTTTTTCTCTTTTTCTTTCTCCTTTTCTTTTAATTTCTTATTCCCAAGCCCATTAATCAACCTTGAAATCTATGAATCTGTTGTCACTATGATTCCAATTTTTCTCCAACGAGATGACATCGTTTATTTTTCTTTCTATCGTTTTAAAGGGTAAAAAAAAAGGTAAACATGATAGGTAAATTTTTCTCATGTAAATGTTTACTTACCTAGAGGGAAAAAAAGAAAGAAACAAATTTTACCAAAGATCGAGTTCATTTTAACTGAATTGATTGATTATTGGTAAAAGACCATTGGTCTGTAAACTTTAGACAGGATTGAAATCGGCATTTGGTCCTTGTCACATTGGGACGATTGGAAAAAAACTTTTATCATGAGAATGAAGATTCAAAATACTCTTTTTGTTATCTTGATTACTCATTTTCTACAACAGATCCTATTTAATTTCCATCATATGGTAAATAATCACTGAGAAAATATCTCATGAATTTTCTGGTGAGACAATTTCGAAGAGGCCGAAAAAGAATCACCAGCAAACAAATTAACATCTCGATTTCAGAACGACCTTAATTCAATTTTTCCGTCGACAACCATTGGAGGTTAAACGGAGAAAAGTGTTTTTAAAATTCCCTGAATTATTTCAAGAGAGAAATTTAATATTTATAAATATTTCAAATTCTGGACTTTTTTATCGCTGATTTCATGGTAAAAGCAATAAACCATAATGATAAATCATTTAAATGGGCAATTAATTTGCCAAAGTGAGAAACATTTGAAACAATAACATGAAACAAGCGTTACTTTTATGAGGCTCATCATTTATTGATTAATTTTGCGAGAAGAAAAAAATTAATAACTGTTTATGTATCAATTCAAATTGTTATCAGATCAATAATGAGGAAATTGATTTTCTTTGTCAGAATTGTCAATGTCAAATGATTAATCAAATTGTTCACTAATTGTTTTCCAAGAAAAACACCGGTAACACGATTATAATTGATTAATGAAGACGAAACAATAACATTGAAACAAATGAATTGTTGTCTAACATAATTGTCTGAACTAATTAATTAACAATCAGTTACAAATGTCGTTTTTAAATTATTAATTGTAAATCAACAATCATCATGAAAAGATCAACTAATATTTTCCTAACAGGTAACATTATAATTTTTACTCAATTGTTAACAATTAATCATATAAATTCACTAATCATTTTTTCGTAACTTTTTTTCCAGTGACAATTAGCTTAATTGCTGCAACATTGGTCAGCACAATTAATGGACAATTCAATCCCTACTATCCAAATAACTTTTACCCGAATAACTATTATCCAAACTACCCTGGTTATCCCAATTACCCCAACTATCCTAACTTTAATCAAGGTGAGTGAAAATCAATCAATTGATCAACAATTAAAAGTCCACTTTCACCACGATGTCCAGGTCAATGTCCACAAAATCTGATGGCACCAACAAATGGATTTATGTCCAACAATTGTATTGGTACAATCGGATATACTTGTAGCTTTTCCTGTGCTTCGGGTTACACTCTGTCCGGCTCATCTTCGGTTACTTGTTTATCCCCAGGCTATTGGTCATCATCAGCACCAACCTGTACATCATCATCTAGAAGTAAGAAGTTAAAACAATACAAAATTTTCTCAAATTTCCAACAATCAACTAATCTAAACTAATTGTTTAAACTTTTGTTCTATCAATTTAAAGGAGTAGTTGGTTATCTATCTTTCCCGAATCGATGGTAAGTAATTAACCGAAAACAAACTCGATTAAATCCCAAAGTAATTAATCTTTTTTTTTCTATTAATTAACTAATTTCCAGGGGTTAATTGTCGCCCAAACACCATGATAAAAAGTCTCCGAGAAGTAAATGAAATGATAAACAAAATTTGTCTTCTCTTTTTAAGATTGACACTTTATTACATATTAATCTTTGATAATCCATTTGTTGTTGATGTGATTAAAGCGTAATCTTGACAATTAAATGATGATAATAATCAATAATTAATAATAATATAATATATTGTATAGATAAAAAGTTGGAAACTTGAGTTTCCATCACAAAGATAAAATCCAAGAACAGAAAATAAAACATAAACAATTAATTAATAATCCAAACAAACTCAATGCATCAGCACATTATCAATAATAATCAGGTAATAATATCATATGAATATGAATATATATCTTTATATATTGTTATCATTTTGTTTATCAATTGTTGTTGTGTCTTTTTCATCCTTCCAGTGGTCATCTCATTCATTGGGTCTCTGTCTCTCTCTCACTTACAATGAGACACAATTTCACATTAAACTGACCAAAAGAAACTGAAAAGTTAGCACATATCACCAAAAAGCCAGAAAACGAAGGTCACAGGTCAAGAGAGGAAATCGCAGGACGAAAGGGTGGAGGGAATTTATCTTCTTCGAATCATATATATAATATAATATATATTTCCAAAATCAACGATCTTTTCGTTAATGATTAATGAACACAATTAGTGGAAGAGAATAAAATAAAATAAGAGAAAAAAAAAGAAAAAAAAAATAAGAGAAAATTAAGAAAAGAAAAATAAATAAATAAACATAATCAATGAAAGAAGATTAGGATTAAGAAGAAGAGAAGAGAATGAAAATATCAATCAGATTATCACGATAATGAGGATGATGATTATGAGACGAGATTAATGATAGAGAAAAAAATAATTGTTCTTTTTTTTTTGATTTTCGTTCTGTTTGTAAAATTAACTTGATTATCTTTGTAATCGAAGATGGAAATTGAATCAAGCTGAGGTTATCCGTTTACCATGAAGTCGAACCATGATGAATTCATGTTTACCTGGATGACGATCAGTGATTATCTGAGTTTTAGAAGATGAGGATGATAATGTTTTCATCTCTTTCTCTGCTTCTTTCTTTTTAGCCTTTGAAAGTCGAGCAACTTGACAATAGGTTAATTTACCTGTTCCATTGTTACAATTACCATCATCACCGTTAATCATTTTCGATGATGAATTAGTATCACAAGAATCTTCTTTAGCATTTTCTTCATTAAGATGATTAGTTAATGATGGAACATGATTTTCTCTCTCTTCTTTCATAGATGATGACGAACATTGTAAATGATGATATTTATCATCATTCAATCCTCCCCCATTTAAGGTAATTCTTAATGATGTTTCATCTGATGATCGAGATGATAAATTAATTAATTGTCTCTTCTTATCCATAATCGGATAAATTTGGCGTAAATCTTTCAGACATCCTTTCAATAAAACTTTCGTAGTTGATGATGAGGATGAAGATGAAGATGATGATACATCGGGAGTGACATTTGTTGACAATTTTGAATTACTATCGGCTTGATTGTTACCATCAACATTACCAGATGATGATTCATCTGATTTACAATTAACTTCGGTAACTTTGGCAACTGTCTCTTTATTAATCACTTTAATAGCACCATTAGCATCTTGATTATCGTCATCATTATCATCATGAGAAGATGAAGTTATATCATTTTTCCCTTTTTTTCCTGTTTTCATCTTCTCATCATCATCATTTTCATCATCATCATTATCACCGAGGTTGGTGATTGTTTTAATATCTTTATTTACTTGTTCCTCAATTCTTTCATCACCCTTTTTCTCATCGCAATTAACTGATTCACTTTTAAGAGTTAATTGATTTGTACGATCCAATTGTTGAAGATGGTGATGAAATTTTTCAACTTGATTTGATTTCTGTTGATTTAGTGTTGCTGATAATCGTAAATTTGGACAAATTTTAGTTAAATTTGATGATTTTTTACTATTCTCCTTGATATTAATTGTTTCTTTCAGTTGGGATGAGGATGAAAGACAATTATTATCGGAAAATGAGGTAGACTTGTTTAATTGTCGATCAACACCAATATTGTGAATTGTTGAGGATTTTAGATTAGTTTTTATAATCAAATCATTCTTGTTGTTTTGTTTGCTACAGTTTAATGAAGAGGTGATCAGATGATGATGATGATTATTATTACCGCCGATACCAATTCCATTGGAGTTATTATTATTACTATTATTGTTACTACTATCACCCGATAACTTGTTTGTTGAACTTGATTGTTGTTGAACAGTTTGACTGATTGTTGTGCGATTTAATGATTTGTCCGTCGTCTTTGAGACAGTACCTCGGACAATATCAGCTAACGATGAATTTAAGACAACTTTGATCACAGGTTCATGATTGTCGCTAATTGATTTTGTATTTTTGATTAAGTCTCTTGATGAGTTAGATCCTGAAGCTGAACTATATCTGTGAATAAATAAGAGCAAGAAAATAATATAATTCATACAATCCGATCAAGTAAATTATTAAGAGTTATCAATACTTACGAGATGCTATTTGATTGCAATGATGATGAACACAATTTAGGGAAATTGTCAGCAATTAACTCGGAGTTTGATGATTGTAGATCTGATTTAGAGGAAACGGAACTTGGAAGAGGAGGAAAAGCGGAGGAAATCAGGTCAAAATCGAGTCTCTCATTTTTCTTCCTCTCCAGACTTCGAGTTGGTTTACTACTATGGTCATTATTAGTTCGAGAAGTTAATTGTTTATTATTAGTATTATGAACTTGAGCTGACACTTCTGGTGTTTGTGATTTGTGAGTTGTTGTTGTTGTTGATACAATTGATGATGAAATTGTTGTTGGTGTTGATGAAGATGAAGATGAAGATGATCCTGTCAATGAATGGATTGGCGTTGGTGTTATGGTTGATGATGTTTCATCTTTACGCTTTTTTCTTATTGATTTAGTTGATAACCTTATGGAAAGTGAATTAGATTGTGTTGACAATTTGTTAATTTCATTGTTACTGTTGGCATTGACACGATTAACAGTCATTTCAGGTTTACTTGATTCATTTGAATTTAAGACTGATGATGAAGATGCTTCTCGTGACTCAGTTCCTGTCGTTGATAATTGATGATGATTAAGAAAAGGGAAGAAAAATTATTTAATTGATTAACTTGAATCAACATAAAGATGAACAATATTTGTCTTTCTAGTTAATCAACTTACGGGATGAATTAAGTTTCTTTAATTGAATTGAAGATGAGGATGATCCATTGTTTTTACCATGATGATTTTCATCACAATTATGAGGTGACAATGAATTTCCAGTCCAAGGCTCTGAAAACAATTAGAAAAATTGAAGAAATTGTTAATTAGCGTTTCATAGGAAATTATTTTCATCTATTATTTAGATGGTAAGTTTATTAATCGTTAATTGATTCCAAGAAAATGTTTCAGCTTTTACCTGAAATTTTCGGTCGCTTATCGACATTTTGATTGATTTTGATTGATAACCTGATGATGATAATACGAGAAACAAATATTAATGGAATATGAGTTTTCTGTTCATATTCAAATTGGGTGAAAATGAGTCGTTTTTAACTTTATCATCAAGGGGAGGAAAGGAAAATATATTGATAGATTATTATAGTAATTTAATTAATGATTAGAAACAAAAATAACAAAAAAAAACATTGAAATTAAAGGTAATGTTTTTACCTGTTCTCTGTTGATTGTTTGCTATAATCAGTGGAATGTGATTCATGTAATTTTATTGATGATGATGTTGATCCTCTGTTGGATAAATGAATTGTTGGATGTTGTGATTGAATTAGATGATTTGAATGATTGTCATGGGAGACATTTAGATTAGTTGTATTGGTCACTCGAGGTCCATTATTATTACCACCGGCTACAGAGCATCCATGATGATGATGGTGGTGGTGATGATGATTAGATTGAGAATGGTAAATATTAGAATTGGTTTTACGTTGATTTAAATGGCAACTGCCCGAGTTATTGGCACCAACGATTCCACCACTGGTGGTTAATGATGATCCTGGTGTTGATCCTCCTCCTCCTGATCGACGGAGGATAAAAGGTGAAGATCGAGTTGAACTGTTGGCATTGTTGTTTAAAGTATTGTTGGAGTGACTGTTGTTGCTATGATGATGATGGTGGTGGTGGTGGATGGGCTTAAATGCTGCGTGCGGGGAGAGACCGTTCAAAGTGAAAACTGTGCTTAGATCATAGCATTGGGTGGCTGATGGAGGTGGATATGTGTGTAGCATAGTTGGAGGTGGTGTGGCAAATAGAGTTGGGAATATCTGGTGAGAGAAAAAAAAATTAATCAGTAAAATATTGAATCAGATCAGAATTCCAAACAAACTTACCGGAGGAATCGCTGGATAACCAGGGTGATTAGTAGGTATCGATGGATTATAAATACCACTCGGATTAACTGGACTCTCCATTGTATTTAGGTTACTCTCGAAACCATTGGTTGAATCGATTCCATTTTTAAAAGTTGTATAACTTGAGATTACCGGTTTAGCTTTGATTCGAGCCTTAAAGTGAATGAAAACATCAAAAGGTTCAAAGTTTAAAGTTCCAAGTTGGAAAATATTTACATGTACTTTTAGTCTGGTCAATCAAATACTCACCATTATCGGTTTACCTTGAAATGTTTGAACATCTTCTCGTAAATATCTGTAAGCTCGTTGAGCGTCTTCGTCTGATTCAAAGGAAACATACCAACTATTGTTGTGGGCAAATTCACAGGACACATATTTTGGACAATCTTTACCATTAAATAGATTTTGTACATCCTGGTGAAAAATTTTATTCGAAAAATTAATTACTCAAGTTAATTGTTACTCAATTGTTGTCTTACTTTAAGCGGAGTTGATTCAGGTATCTCTCTGAGTATAAGAACACATCTTTTACTCATTGGTCTAACTTTCTGACCGCTTTCGTCCACTTGGACACATTGTGATTCTATGGTGATTATAATTTAAGAAAAGTAAAGATAAATTTTAGGTTTTTAAAGTTTTCTTTTGTTGTTTCGAAAAACGTAAAATGTTCAAAAATGTCCAATGATTTACCTTTGAGGACGCTAACGATTAGATCAAGATTACGGGTCAATCGTTTGATCTGATCAAAATTGGCAACAGTGTTAATCGGAACGTATTGATCTGAGTCCATTTGTGATTTTAAATACGAATCACGGGATAAATTTTCTCGTGAAAAATAATATTCCAATTGATTCTGTAACATGACCTTTAACCTTTCCAAAGGAATAGTTTCCTCGAGTGGACGAATCTCTTCTTTAGATTGATGATGGAGAGAAAGATGATTTGACCTGACCTGACTGATGAATTGGTGGCCTTTTTGTAAAGGGTCAACGGGAAGGAATGGACTGAAACTGGAAGAACCGTGATGATGGTCAAGGTTTTTATTTAATCGACATCGACAAACTTTTGTGTGGCTGAAATCAATTGGTCCACCAGCTAACCAATTGTTTGGTACTTCAAGTGATTTCATACCTGTTGCTGTGGGTGCTGGTGGTGGTATGATTGGCGCTAAAAGGGGTGGAGATACTCCGACTGGTGGTACAACCGCAGCCGCAGTTATACCAAGAGTTGAATTTGTAGCATGTGAAACCTTGGGCTGAGCTTGTGAAAGCACCGATGGAGGAGGTGATACCGATGCTGATGTTGTTAGCGATTGATAACATTGATCTGATCCCGTGTAGCCTGAATCTTTTGAAGCTCGACTACTTCCGGTTATACTACTCCCACTGCTACTTGAACATCCACTGTCAAAGTTACTCTCTTCAATAGATTTACCATTTTCTTTATCATTAAGATTCTCATCATTGGAAATTGATGACACTCTATTTGATTCATTGACAATTGTATCTGTGATTGGTGAGGAGATGGTTTTATCATCAGCTCCTTCTGAGTTCTCAGCTTCTTTATCTCCATCTTCATCTTTATCTTCTTGGATTGGAGCTGAAGAAGATGATGAAGTTGTTGCTGATGTTTCATCTGATGAAGATGATGTTTGGGTTGACGATGGTGGAAGAGGTACTTTTAAAAAGCCACTTCGATTAGCCTCATCATCCGTACATTCAATTTCAATGTCAGAATTTGATTCTAGATAAAGTATAAAACAAAACATAACCAAAGAAATTAAAGTTAATTTGCAAACATAAGAATCTTTAATCGCAACAATCAAAAGACTTTACAATTAAAACCACTCAGGTCATCAACATGAAACCCGTATGAATAATAATCGTATTCAATTACAACCCTGATGATTTTCAATTAAAACCTGTGGTAGAATCAAGTATTGAGTTTAACAATTATGATCTTCAATAACTCTAATAGTAAAAGTTTACACAATACTAGCAACTAATTGTTATCATTGATTGTAACTAATTGATCATTGTTTCAATTACAATCGTAAACAATGATAACCTGCAAGAAAAACTGACATTGGAATACAATGTATATTAAATCAACTCGGGTTAACTTTATTATCGTTTCTCTATTTAGATAATTAGATTAAATTTTCTCGATATAAACCCAGAACGAATCAAGAAGAAATCGAAGTAATTTCTTTACTTCTCTATTATTTTCATTATCTAATATAGAGAGCCAACAATTTACCTCGAAAAATAAATCAACCAATCAAAGTGAATACATTAACTTTTCCCATGGTTCATCATGTAGATCACCAGATAAAGTGTATCAACAACAACAAGAACAACAATTGATGATTGGATGAGAATAAAAAAAAAGGAAAAGGAAATAAAAACAAAAAAAAATTCTTATTAAAGGTAATAAATTGTAATAATAATCGAGAGATGTGTAACCTTTAACCTGAAACGAATGTCTAACCATGAGAAAGAAGGGAAAAAAAGTTCGAACTCGATGAAGGAAATAGTTGAGCTTTTCTCTTCACTTATTTGTGGTTTTCCATGTCATTGGCTAGTAAGAAGTGATGATCAAGATGAAGATGAAGATGAAGATGATAATTGAATCGAATGAATTAATCTATTCAAAGCACGAACAATTGAGCTTCGAGAAACTGACCTACAAATAACAGAGAAACAAACATGGCAATTGAACAAACGAAGGAAAAAAAATCGAAAATGATAATAAACAATGAGAAAAGTAAATATGGTTAATAAGAGGCTAATTTTATATTACGTGTTGATTGTTGATCAAACAATTTAATTGATCAAGATGATTATGATTATATCGTCATGTTTATAATTAACTATCAATAACCTAATTTTTTTGTTCATTCAGCTTTGTTCACGAAACTTGAATAAATCATCATGATCAGGATCCTGTTTCAGTGTTTATGATAAGCAAGATTTTTGTTTAGTCTTCAAGTAAAAAATAATAAACACTAATCAACTAATTAAATCAAAATAAGCATCATCATCGTCATCATAAGAGTCAATCATGTGATCAATTAATAGATTGACCTTGATTTAGAGATGTCTTTGATTACTGATTATAATTAACCCATCTTATTACTCAACTATTACAACGTAATAAACTAAATCATAGTGATTAGTTAATCAAAGTTGTTGCAAACTCACTGATATTGATTGTAGTTAACTTGATTTTTACCCTTCCATCAACTGTTGATTAATCATTTTACATTCAACAGCTGATTATGATTATCATGATAATCTAACTGATTATTATTAATGAATTTCAATGATGAAAATTAATCTCCATTCACTCATTGATGAAATCAATTTAAATCTCATGAAAGTGATTAAATTGATTAAATACATTGTATATATTGTTAATTGTGAATAAATTATAATCTATTAACTGTCTTTGAGTGTGAATAATTTAACGATCAAAATTAATTGTTGACCAACTTGTTTCATTAAATTACCATCAAGATGATTAAATGTAATGTCAAACTTTCTCAATAATTTCAATTAATCATTAGCAAGATTAATCCAAGTACTAACAATTTAATCAACCTAATCCAAACTGAATCAAGTTTGTCTTCATCGTACTGATTAAAATAATCAAAGGAAAAACAAACAACAGGTAGAGTTAAATTAATTGTAAAATGACAAGACAATTAACTGTCAAAGTGAACCAATAAATAACAATAAAGGTTGATTACTATTGAATAATTTACATAATCAATGAGACAATTAAAGTGTAATGTTTTTGGAGGGATAGAGAGCAGATATGATTGGGTAATCATTGGTGATAACAGTTAATCAGTAATCAATAGGATAATATTATTACATGGACAGAAAGGATTATCAGATTGAATGTTATCCCTAAAATTTAATCCATCAAATGGTAAGCCCACCAGTGGGATAAACTTAAGCTTACCTAACCCACCCTGTAGTTAAAACGGTAAAGTAAATGATAAATAACAAAAAAACTGAGACATTTGATTTGGTTTGATTTGATTTGATGTTGATTTTCATGTAATAGTTAATATTGATACGATATGATTGTGTAGGTTGTGATGAGAGTGAGTGAAATCAATGTAATGCTACAGTTATGATGGTGAAATTTCATCATAAGAAACATGATTAGTTAATGATAACTCAGTTTTGTATTAAATTAAACAAATAATCAGATGAAAAAATGATAACTATTAATAATAGGAATCGACTTTCTCAAGATAATCATTTAAACATAACGGTAAACTTGAGTTAAGCTTTAACGGTTCATTTTTTGTTTCTTCATCATAATCAGTAATTAAATTAATCTCGGAGAAATCGATACGTAAAAGATAATGGGAAATTGATATTGACAATTAAATAGATTGAAAAAAACAGTAAACTAATAAATCAATCAACAATTACCGTGTATTGATGATCACACATCATCTAGAAATATAATTAACTATTATAACGAATTGAAAAAAAAGAGTCTAAACAATTAAAAAAAACCCATATGGTTACTTAATATTAGCAGACTAATTGTAATTAATTCATTGACATTTGATGATGATGATTAACAATTAAATCTGTTAATTGTGTTTACCTCTACAGGGTAACATTGATTGTTTACTTTACCTCGTTTTGTTTTGTCAGGTTGAAACTTTTACTCTGATTGAAATTGATTTTTCTGTTTCAATCAATTAATTAACCCTTATTGTAACTATTTATAGTAACTACATATACGAATATTATTTTAATTAGTCAGTGAGTTAATTGTTATAAGTCTCAATATCTTAGCAACAATTAAACAATCAACCCAAATAAATGAAACCTCTGATATTCAATCAAACAAATATTGATCTTAAATCAGATCATTAAAATTAAAGGTTAATTATGATTATAATCAATGAAAAAAAGTTCGATAATCAAAATAATTAACTGATTAAATGGGAAACGATATGATTATGTGAATGTTAATTATCATTCGAGTCGAGAGAGGAAATGAAAACAGTTCGAGATTGACCTTAGCCCTTTACACCCACCTGATAATGATAGTAAGAGGAAAGAGGGTGGATGATGATGAAGATGAAGATGAAGATAATGAAGATAATAATAAGATGGATGATGATTATCATCTCTAAACAATAACAACGTCAAAGTAACAACTGATAAAATGAGAGAGAGAGAGTGATAACATTTACATTTAACATTCATTGTCTATTTCATCATGAAAACCGTTATTTTTCAGGAGGAGGAAGATCATGATCATGATCATGACATAAACTGGGTTAACGGTGAAGGTTATAAATAAATTCAAATGAATACAAACTGATGATGAAGGTGGTGGAAGAGGAAGAGGAAGATACAAAAGAGGAGAAGAAAAAAGCTAAAAGGCCAACAATGAATTTCCCATAGGAATACATGAAGAAACTCATAATTTCACTCTTCTTATTTTCCTCTCTTTTCACCATCATCTTAATATTTCATCAGTCTTCATTATTATCATCATCATGCTCGTTGTGATTATGATTACAATCATAATCATCTTCCACCCACTTGCTTTTTTTTCACAATATTTCATTCAAACCTTTTTTCAAGGTTTTCCTTTCCAATTCTAGTAATAACCATTTTCACTGTTCATGTGTATTACTCACTTACATTAATAAGCTTTTCAAGTTTAATTAAGAAGTGAAAAAAAAACAAGATACGAATTAACCCTTAAACATGAGACAATTATCATTATTAAATTCTGTGATGATCACTGATTAGGTTAAACTATTAAATGATTGTGTTAATCATTAATCATCTAGATTTAAAAATGATTGTATTTCAACAGTGAGTGGGAACAATTAATAACAATAAAACAGAGACGATTGGCTTAATACGATCTAATCAATTTAAGAGACGATTGATCAATCGATATCGATGGATAGTGAAAATCGAAGGCTGAAAAGTTCAACTTCCGATTCTGGTAATATTAATGATAAGGTTCCTTTGATCTAAGTGATCTCTCTCTCTCTCTCTCATCGTAATGATAAATGTCAATATAATATTAAGTTAACCTTATAAACTTATAAGTGGGCAAGTCTTGGTCATCTAATGGTCAGTGAAAAGTTTGTATGTTTGAAGGAAAAGCAAAAAATAATAATAATACTCAATTCTTTATATTATAAACTCCCACATAAATATAATATGATAAGAGTGATACATGAACATGGATGATCAAATAAAATGATGAGCAAAGATAATGATGGTTGGATTGTGTAAAAAAATGAAATTGGATTAACCTACAATTAACCAATATAGACTATTGCTAACAATTAATCTGATATTTAATATACAGAGAAAGGATTAAAATTGGTTAGTTAAAAATAGTAACAATTTAATACCATAGAAAATAATTAGGGTTAAAATTATTTTAACAATCAGGAAGTCAAGTGTATGTATTATTTAGTCGTAAGTGAATCAGTTAATTAGGCTTAAGTAATTTAACTATGCTTAATTGTCAATGATGATAATCGGCTAAATATTAATAATAATCCATAATTCATATAAACAAGTCTATGGTATTATAATCAATTAATATTGAGATGAAATCAAATCTATTTTTATCAACATGATTACCATCAACATACAACAGCAATTGTAATCATATTAAGTTTATATTTAGTTGATTGTTGGACATCACTATTAATAACTAGGTAATCATAGACAACGGGATGATGATGATGATGATTATATATTTGATTGTCATCTTAATCATCTACTGATTAAAGATAATCATCAATCAACCAATAGAGTAATCGGAAGTTATATTTAACATGAAAATATGAAGCTACATTTTTCATCCTCATCTTTTTTTGTTGTTGTTGTGTTCATCAATGGTGATGATACAAAAACCGGAAACCGGAAAAGGATAAAAAAAAATATCACATTTATCATCCTCATCATCATCTGTTTGATATATATATTAGTTATTATTATTATTATAAATACATCAAGTGAATCAGTTTAATATGAATGAAAAACATTAAATTTATTTTTCTAAATTTCAAATTCTTATTCAGAACTTTTTTCTTTCTTCTTCTTTCATCCATGATGATGAAAGAAAAGTTCTGACGATTCTTTAAAATTTCAGAATCTCTGATAATAATAATAAAGTTATTACTTGTATATTGATTTAAGATTTATCTTTCTCTGTGAATTATTATCATCATGCTATTTTTTACCTCATCAGGTAAACTCAATTTCCCAATGTGTCCTTGTTATTTTTCAATCAACAAAATTCAATTGAAATTGAGTTCACATGAATTTATATCACATTGATTGTTATCAATATGATTGGTAAATTTTCATCAAACAATTAGTTAAATTAAATTACAGCAACAGGTTAATAATAATAATAATAAAAAAAGGTGATTAAAATCATGAAATTAAATTATATACATTTCGTTATCGTTTTAAATGTTCATTATCATTACGATCAATTTAATTTGATTGATTGATTGATAATTATCAATTTCAATGAACATAAATAGATAACAAATAATATATACAAATTGGATTAACATGTTACCATGGGAATAAAATTAAATCAACAATCAGAGTAACAACAACAACAACTAACTATTATTATAAACTAATACTAATTAATACAACAATTAACTATTATAAACAACAATGATTGAGATTAATACATTAATGGTTTTCTGGGAATAACAATAGGTATTGATTGCTAATTAACTTTGATCATCGGGATAAATTAACTTATTGGTTTTGGTGTAATATCAAATTATCATTATAATCAATTATTTATTATCACACTAATGGTAATAACTTTATTGATGATGATAATTGATCGTAATATTAATATGTGTATATGTTTATGTTCATCAAGATGATTCTGGTAATTCTGATGAAATTTTCATCCCTGAATCTGGAACAACAACAAGAAGAAGGAGAAAAAGTTCTGAATTTTGCCTGAATATCGAAAAGAAAAAAGTTCCACTCCCAGAGATAACATAATAATAATATTGGAATCACAACTGAATCGAAGCCCTGAAATTCAGGTAATCATACAGGTGATTCACCTTTACGACCTCTAGAACCTGATCAATATGGGTGATTAAATTTCACTTGACAATTTGGTTAACAATTAAAAAAAACCTGTAGACAATAATATGCAATCAATTGCAATTTACTACCTTAATTACAATTAAATAATAATCGGAAATTAAATTTGTAGACAATGAAAGTAAACTTATTATATTATTAATATTATCATTGAATTAGTGAATTAGTGAAGCTGCAATTTAATTCCCAAGCGATGATAATAATGGATAATTTAAATTAACTCGAATAATTGTTAAATCAATAAGTTAATTAAAATAATTTCCTTCTTAATTAAATTGTTATGATGACGAAATTCAATAATAATAATGATAATTTCAACGATCAGAACAACGATTAGAAAAAAAAACTTGAGAAAGTAATTGAAATGATTAATTAATGAGTCGTAATTGTTGGAGTTTAGAAGTTTTCAAACAATTAAACTTACTTTCAGGAAGATCTGATGTTTTTATCTTACACTTATTTCCATTTCCGGTTCCATCGTTACAACCACCACCCACTTCCCTTTTATCTTCATCTTTCCGGGTCTTTGGAGGTGCATGTTGATTGTGATGCTGATGATGAAGATGATGAGGATGAGGATGAGGATGAGGATGAGGATGATGATGGTGATCTCGAGGTGGTGATGGTCTTGAACTTAGTGTTGATGTGATAACAACGGGATTAGCATAGTTAACATTATGATGATTGTTGTAATTATTAGCACCACAATTAACTGGATGATGTGGATGATTAGTCAAACGATTAGGATCACTTTTAAATGTATCACGATGAGATCCCAAACAGGAACCGTTAACATTGTTACTAGAAGGGGATCGATGACAAGTTTTGATCTGTAATTAGATGATTTCATTGATTAGTAATATTTTCACTCTCATGGAAACAATTAGGCAACAATTAAAGGTTATTATGATTATTATTTTTGTCTACGTGTATTTGAATTGGTCATTGAATCTTGTGAGATTGTGATAATCTAATGGAATTGATGATTTAGCTTTAATGGTGATGATTAACATTTGGAAAAAGTAATTTATTAATCAGCTAGAAAGTCGATGATGGAAAAATTTTATTACTTTCAATGATTGTCACTAATTGTTGTTAATTGCGTTTAAATTTATATATTTTACTTTCAAGGGATTGATGGACGGGAAGAGTTAATTGTTGACTAATTTTGCCTTTTTTTAGGTGAATAACAATTATACACACAGAGGGAAACGTGATTAGTTGATTGTCGTATCAAGACATGAAACAAAAGGGTAAAGTTTCAGATTAATCCAACATGGATCAAGGGGATTAGCAATTGATTCAACTGTAAATGAACAGTTAATCAGTTGGGAATCAGTTTGATATTTTTTTTTGCTGCATCAGTCGTTTAAAGCTTACAAATATAATTAAATCATCATTTTCAGGATAAGTGTATGTTTATAATTACCCCAATACCACTAACAACAACATCAACAAAACAACATCTAGAATCATCATCATCATTATCATTATCATGATGATAATACTGAATGATAATCAAGAGATTCTAACTAATCATAACTAATCACAATCAAACGTATTTACGTTGAGATAATACAAAATGACTAATATCATAATTGATGATGCGACACCATCATCATGATGATCATCATTCCCAATCAACAATCTGATCAAATACAACAAATGAATACATAATGATGACAATTATTATCATGTAATTATAACCATGAATGTCTTTCTGTCTATCATGACAATTATCATCATCATGAATAAAGTGATAAATCAAAAAATCATGAAACATATGTTAATGTCTATCAGGTAATTTACTCAATGAAATTGGATATTGATAATAATTAAATCCAGGTGAAATTATAATAATAACAATTTGATAAAGAAAAAAAAATATAATAATAAAAATCAATCAGATTTTCAATGTTAAAATGAAATCGGGAAAATTTCATTGGATTATTTTGATTGAGTAACAAAAAGACAGACAAGGTAAACAAACAGGTAGCAAGTGATGTTTGACTTTACGCAGCTGATCAGGTGGATGATGAGGATGAAGATAAATCTCACCAGAATGTACTCTCCTTATCTTAGCCGATTTTCAGGTTTATACAGCAAAAAATGTAATACATTTAGGTCATCATCAACGTCATCATTATCATCAATGTTGCTCATTCCTCTCTCTCTCTCTCTCGTCTACAGGTAGTATCATTTCCACTGGTGGAAAATACAAACTATGGATTAGAATTTGATATTTATTATGATAGAATATCTCTGAATTTATGGGAGAACAAGTTAATCTTTTGTTTACTTTTGTTTACGATTTTTGTTCTAATTTAAATAAGCGCCATTTTAGATTCGCTTTGGCTCACAATTAATTTAACAAGACAGAAAATTAGTTTTACTTTTCTTCGTCTTCATCATTTCTTCCTCCTCCGCCTCCGCTCTTTCTGAATAATTTTCTCTTTCAGAGAAGAGAAAACTTTTTAACCGTAACTCCCTTTAGATGTTGTTGTTGTTGATATTGGAGGCAGAAAATAGGAAAACATGATAAGGCAGTGAGAGAGAGAGAGAGAGAGAGAGAGAGAGAGAGAGAGCAAAGGCCAAACAAATATCAAAGGTGAAATAAGAGGTGGAAATAATCCAAAGAGAAAGAGAGAATAGAGAGAGAAGGAGGGAAAGAGTGGAAAATATTAGAAACACTGACAGAGAGAAAGAGCGAGAAGAGAGAGAGAGTTAAAAAAGACAGAGAGAAAAGAAAGAGCGTAGGAGAGGAAAGAGAGAGAAAGAAAACGTAATAACACAAATTGTCAGAGAGAAAGAAGAGAAGAAGATGAAAGGCGAGAATATTCAAGGTTTGAATAAAATGACACTAAACATACACAATAATCTAAATGAAAAGAAGAGAATAGAAAAAGTGTCTTCTATTCTAAAATATGAAGAGAATAGAAGAAAAAAACCAAAACAAACCAATCGGTAGAATAGAAAAATAATCAATGGAAGAAAAAGGTAAATATGGAAACGATTGGAATGAAAAGTGACCACAAACCTTTTGGATGACAAAACACCTCGGAGAATATGTTGTGCATATGTAAGTATCCTGAGAGTCCAAGAAAGAGGGAAGAGGAACCAAAGTGGTTTCGTGCAACGTCATCAATATGGTAAAAGTGGTTGTTGTTATTCCACCACAAGAGAAGAAAAAAGAAAATTAAACAAAATGAAAGAAGAAAAAAGAAAACAACGTTCACAATTAAAGAGAAAAAGAGAACAACCAAAACAAGAGAAACAAAAGGTATCACAATATTTTCTCTTTTCTCTTTAAATCAACAATATGATCAATCGATGATAACCAATAAATTACGAGAACAAGATTAAACAACAACGACGAGGAAAAGATGATCAAGATGAACATAGAATTAAGAAAAACACTGAAGAATAAGAAGAAAATTAGTAAACACTTTTTTCCACAACAAATTGTACAAGTATAAAAATTGGAACAAAAAAGAAAATGAAAGAAAAACGAATAAATTGAAATTGTCTCTCTCTTCTAATTCTCACTGACTCACTCACTCTCTTTCTCTCTCCAAGTGAGTGTCCAATGTTTACTTGTTGTATTAATAGAAAGAGAATGAGATAAACATATGGAACTGATGAAAACTTGAGATAGAAATGATTATTACGTTGGAACTGAGAGATTGAGGAGAGAGAGAGAGAGAGAAAATGAGATGAGCTTCAATTGCTGCTCACTCTCATTCTTTTCCCTCTTTATCATGTTTTTCCCTCCTTCTCTCTATCTTCTTCTTCTTTCTCTTCTCTTTCTTTTTCTCTTTCTTCGAATTTCATCTTGAAATGTCCACGAAAAAAACTCACCAACGATTTTTGATCAACTTTCTTTATTAATGAGAACTTATTTTCTTTTCTTTTTCATCATTGGCTCACTTTTCTTTTTTTCTCTCTCTCTCTCCCTCTTCTTATCTTCTGCGAAGAGGAAGTTGCTCACTCTTAATATTATCTTCTGCGTATCCTCCACCCTCTTCCCACCTTCTTCCACCTCCTTGAGTAGTTTTCACTCTTCATTCATGATAATCTGTTTCTCGATCCATGGTGATAATCCCTTTCCATTGGAATAACTTCCAGTGGATTATGTTAATCCATCGAATCCACAACAATTAAATCAATTAATCGCTATTCGAATCTTTCATCAAGTTAATTGTTTAGTTTCATATTTTCTACATTAATATCAACAGGTTTTTTTTTTCATTCCATTTAATTGTTTGCAATATGTTATCCTAATTGTTAATTGTGACCCTTAATTGTCACTTGATTCTAATTCTAATTATTAAAAATAATTTACCACTTGACTAATTATAATTAGTATCATAACCACTAGGTTGATTATGATTACGTTGATTTAATTATCTAATTTAATAGTAAAAGTATATAAATATACCTCAATATCATTCACAATTAGTTAATTAGTTTGTTAAATTTACTAATTACTCTTACACCAATTGATTTAGTTTTACAAAAATGGTTAAATTATTAACCGTTAGTTTTATATTTTCACTAATTGCTCAAAGTAAGTTTCCAATTCAATTGTTTGCGCGACTAATTTTGTTTGATTATTAATTGTCTTGTTTAACTTTCTCCAAATTAACTTGATTAAATTTAGTTTCAATTGGGATTTTAATTGAGCGGCCAGAGTTTGATTCAATTTGTAACTCAATCAACAGGTTAATTAACCAAGGAGATGACAATCCAATTGAAACAATCAAAAGTTATCCTTCTGATGGTAAATTACAACAACAATTAACTAAACAAAGTTTCCAATCAATCCAACAATCAGGTGGAAAATTAAATTGGCTCCTCTCACTATTTAATACACTATTACAATCACAAGATGTGGTAATTAAACTTGAAGGAACTAATCAAACAAAGGTTGGTGTTATTGGTAAACGAGAAATCAACAATTCTAATCAACAACAATTAACTTCATCATTACAATCGTTACCATGTAATTCAATTCCATTTCCATTGGTGATTGATTCAAATGATGGACAATCAGTTAATTTAACTTTACTTTTAATCAACAATTTCCTTGATGGTTATTATCGTAAACATCTCCAAACAATTAACTAAATCGGATTAGTTTTAAAGTGTATTTTCTTGATAAGATTAAATCAAAAGTCCATGGGTCCAAAATGGATTTGGATTTGGTACAAAGAAACGGAGATTGTAATTGTAATTGGAATTAAATTATAATTGTTGTATTGTTGATTTGAATAAAAAAATTGATGAGGCATTTGATTTGTTTGGTTTTTATACACAAAAGTACGAAATGGATATAATTTTGTTTTAGTTGATTCTCTTTGTAATTAACTTAATTAATCATAAACCACCATCCAGGTAGCTGTAAATATGCATGCTGGTTGTTGTTAGATTGTTGTTGGTGTTGTTTGTTTTGTTGCAATTTTAGATTAGACTTTGTTTTAAAAAGAGAGAAAGAATCTTAAATTTCCAATTCACTGATTGTTATAGTTAATTGAAATGTTTAAATATTTAGAATTCATCGTGTTTAGGCTCAGCCTTATCTTCATCATCATCATCGACATCATTTGCTGTTTCTTCTTCCTTGTCAATTTCTTCGTCTTTCTTAGTTTCGGCTGCAGCTTCAGCGGCTTTTCTTTCCTCTTCGTCTTGTTTCTCTTTCATTTTCTTTTCTTCTTTTACTCTTTCTAAAATTTCATTCAAAGTTTCATCGGCTTCCTTTTCACTGTCGCTAATTAATACATTGTCGAAAATGGTTCCAGCCTTAACTTGCCATAAATCAAAACCAACTCCACAAACTTCAGGGTATCGGTAAAGTTTATCATCAGCAACATATTCAGGATTATCGATTTCAGGATGAACCCATGGTCCTTTATAAGCTGGATTATCGATTTGTTTTGGTTTCCATTCACCTGAAGAAAATAAAAATACGAAAAAAACATAATGAGAAATGAGAAATTGACAAATCATTATTTTTCAATATATCGCATGAATAATGAACAAAGAGAAAGTGTTGAAACATTCATTCTTTCCATCTCTCTACAGGTAACTTGCTTACTCTCACTCTCAGTCATTCTTTTTCTTTTTCTTTTCCTTCTTTCTCTTACTCTTACTCTTACTCTTTTCCAACATTCTTCTAATTGAATGACTTTTCTTTTCTCTTACCTTTGAATGCAGGATTATTAATTTGTGGTGGTTCCCATTCACCATCCATCTCATCATCCCAATCTTCGGGTTTAGTGGCATCAGGATCTGGAATATATTCTGGTTGTTCCCAATCTTCGGGTTTCTTGTCTTCTGGATCATCAATTTTAGCTCGGTCATCCCAGTCTTCGGGTTTCTTGGCATTTGGATCCTTAATTTTCTTTGGAGCTAAGAAGTTCCAATCTTTTTCTAATTCACCCTTTTCAACGGTTTCACCATCGATTGATACTTTGTAAGTGTTGTCTGGTTTAACAACCAATCGATAAACATGAGTATGAACATCATCTTTACATCGAATGTCCTTATTAATGAGCAAGTTTTTTCCTTTGTAATTGAAAATTGCATGAACTTTTTTGGTTGCTGGACCACAGATATCAGGTCCGAACATAAGTAAATAAGGTGATTCACCATGAAGTTGCTTTTGATCAAGTGAACAATCAAATACTTTCAAGTATCCACCACCACAGTCAATGTTTTGTTCATGTTTAACTACAAGTGCAAAAGAAACAATACAAATGCGGAAAACAATTAATCAAACAAATGATGATATGGTAACAACATATTGATTGGATGCGATTAGGTTGCATAGTAGATAATCAGATAATAAATTTAAATTTCCAATACTCTACAGTACAAATTAAGACACGTTTACTTAGTTAATTGTTTTGCTTTAAACACATTTGATTGAAATTATTCTTCAAACTAAAATCTAAATGCTGGTTAATGTTAATGTAGGCGATATTGTATACGTCACACACCCAAACCACATTTACCAGGGGAGCAAGAAACTTAATATTCACCAGTTACTCTGACTCTGGACAAAGACTTAAATTGCCACGTTGATGAGATACTATGGGATCAAGATAACACTTTAACCATAGATAATAAATCATCATGGCAATTGAAACAACTAAAAAAGCGAAGAAAAGAAAAGAACAAATGAATTACCTGAATATTGAATGACCAGATCTTTTCCTTCATTATCAAATTTATTATCTTCAAATTTAGCTGAAAGCCCATAAAATCTGGCATCTTGTGATGTTTTGATTCCTTTGTCTTTCAAGTCATCGCCATAAAATTTACCGGCAGTCCATTCGAATTTACCAAATTCTTTACCCGAAAACTCTGATTGTACCCATCGCTTATCCCAACTTGGAGAATCAAATTCTTCTCTAAAATAAACAGTTGCACCAATGCCAGTGGCCAGACAGGCAAATAGAGCAACTAACAAGTTTCCAGTCATTACCTAAGTTAGAAACAAAATTTAATGTAAATTATAAATTAACGAATCTTTCATAAAAGTGGACAAAGGTAGGTGACAATTAAGATTAAGAGAAACAATGACAACCAGTAGAAAAGAATGAAAGAAAACACCAGAAACAAGACTTACCTTTGAATGTAAAAAGATCTACAAAGAAACAAACAATTATTGCAGTGAGTTAATTAAATAGATTTTGGGGAAACTAAAGAGTAAATTAACCAATAGAAAAGAAAAGACAAACGGACACAATTAAGAAATAAAAACCATTAATTAATCATCAATTAATCCCAACAACTCAATCTATTAACTGATCAGATTTTATATTCTTCAAGTCGAGACAAAACTCATTCTAATCATTTCCAAGTGTAACAATCTCATTGGTCCAAATTCTTTTGCGCATGAGCACAATCAAAATGCTCTTTTCTTTTCTTTTTAATTATCTAATCTTTTTATTTTCTTTCCTTCCAATCAATTGATTGTCTTTCCCAATTTATTGTCATTAATTAACAGTAACAAATTATCACAGTTCCAGGCTAATAACAAGTAATCAAATCGATTGAATTGTTGGAACAATTGAAAGAACTCAATTTTCCTTAGTGTGTCTTTTAACTAAATTGTGAGTTTATCTTTAAAAGGAAATCATCATGACGCCGGTTGAGCTCATCGACTGAATAGGAACCAGAATCTTCATCGCTCATCATTCAAATTAAAGTTTTCTCTTTTTCTTTCTCCTTTAATCAAATGTCAATTAGCTTTCAGTCGCACGTGCTTATTGATATTGTTCTTCAGTGTTTTTCTTAATTCTATGTTCATCTTGATCATCTTTTCCTCGTCGTTGTTGTTTAATCTTGTTCTCGTAATTTATTGGTTATCATCGATTGATCATATTGTTGATTTAAAGAGAAAAGAGAAAATATTGTGATACCTTTTGTTTCTCTTGTTTTGGTTGTTCTCTTTTTCTCTTTAATTGTGAACGTTGTTTTCTTTTTTCTTCTTTCATTTTGTTTAATTTTCTTTTTTCTTCTCTTGTGGTGGAATAACAACAACCACTTTTACCATATTGATGACGTTGCACGAAACCACTTTGGTTCCTCTTCCCTCTTTCTTGGACTCTCAGGATACTTACATATGCACAACATATTCTCCGAGGTGTTTTGTCATCCAAAAGGTTTGATACCCATGGATCACTTTTCTATCCTTTGTTTGGGTCTCTAACGGAATTCATTCATTACAATGTTGAACCTGAATCAACTTTGAAAATGGAAATGAAGAAACAATGGTAAGACTCAAGATCTGTCCGTCAGCTCGATATTTTCAATTTTCAGCTGATTTTTTTTCACGGATTAAGGTTCGGTTTGATTGTCTCAGGCTCTCGGGCCTTTCTTTGGTCATGGTGACCCTTATTAGCGAAGATCTAACCTAACCTAGTTTAAACAAACACAATTAACTGAACAATTAAGTCCATTTTCATATGTAGCTTGAACTTTCGAAAAAAAAGTCGAAAAAAAGTCAGCTCAAAGATCTTGAGTCTTACCGAAAAAATTAAATTCGTAGCTATGTAACTATCGCCATCTCTTAGATTACTTAAGAGATGAACATTGTTTTATTCTTTTGTAGGTGGCGTTGAGAATTAATCTGTTTCTCTTTCAATTTGTTCTGAGATTTTGATGACAAAAGTGATTAGATATTTTTCGGTGTTGGTTGTTTTTTTCTAGTGAATTATTATTCCAATGATTATTTTATGATTTTTTTTTGCGGAATTAATACTGAGCTTACTTCTTTGCGATCATTAAGTCGAAGAATTCGTAACAAAATAGTTAAAGCTTTCGACTTATCTGGACGAAACATCGCTTTGATCTGAGAATTGTAGATATTTCTAGTCTGTAAAAGTCTGATTTTCTGAACGCGCATAAAAAGTTGTCTTTAAACTCTTAATTTCATACATGAAAAGTCTACCAATGCTAAGAAAAAGTGATCTAAAGTTACAACTTTGAACGCGATTAGCTAATCTTTTGTTGATCAAATTTTTCTACTAATTAACTTTAACAAATTCAACTGATTAATGATTCAAAAAAAAATGGGTTATAACTGAATTGGAATTTAATTTACTTAAATTACGATCAAATCAAAGCGAACACGAGCTTAATTAATGGTTGTGATTATGAGAAATAAACTAATCTAAATGACCAAAGTTGATTGTTAACATTGAGAATTTGTGTTGAGAGTTTGCAGAGAAAAAGAAAGAGAAAAAAGAAAGAAGAAGAGGCGGAGCCTAAAATCACGCCACTTCTCTTGTGTTGTTGGTTGATCACTGGAAGAAAACTTTTCTTATTTAGAAAATGACAATTAACTGTTCGTAACCAAATAATTAAGTTAATTTGCTGATTTTGTTCCGGTTGATTGTTATTAAATTTCTATTTCCTCCTGTTAGCCAGCTTGATCAGTTTTCTATTGGGTAAACTTGACCTGTGATATTTGAAAATTGTTTTTCTTTTTATTTCATTTTCTCTTGTGTGTCAAATTGACTAGAATAATATTGTTATTATGGTTCTCTTTGTTGTCTCTCTATCTAAAGTCGCTTTACCACCGATAATCAATGGTGAAGGTGCTTTCTTTGCTCGACATTTGTCCACCATGACATCTACTCATCACTTCTGGAGAACCCCAGCAGAAAAGGTTAGTTAAACTATTCATTTTATTCTCAAGGAAGTAAAAATTTTCTCCTCTCATTTATGATTATCTATTTACTATCGTCACCATTATCATTACTCTCGTCACAATGATCCCGGTTCTTATCAAGTGTTTGCCTTTCACTCAACAATTTATTTTCCATTATATTCCTAATACCTCACCTTTCCTATCCTAATGTTCCCTAGGCCTTTATCTTCATGAGAGTTTACTGTTCTTTTTAAATAAAGAGAGAGAGAGAGAGAGAGAGAGAGACAATCGTATCCAAAGTTTCTTTGTTACCAAGTGAATTCTAATCAGAATTTTTGGTTATGTTTGCTTTTCATAGAAAGAATTTAAAGCCCGACGACAATTGCTGAATACTCTACGTTGGCATGGAACATCAACTCAGGGTAAACCGAACGAACCCAATTTGGCCTTCGTTAAACACATAACCATTCAAACCTGTGGACCTTTGTACCAGAATTGGAGAGAGACCAGAAAATCTTACGCTGGTGCACCGAAAGAAGGATTAACTTTTAATGTTGAATATGTTGATACTAAAGATTTTACTAATAGTGATAAAGCTCCGTTGTTCTTGCTCTTCATGGATCCCCTGGATCGCATAAGGATTTTCACCCCTTGATTAATCATTTAGCACCTAAAGGGGTTCGTCTGATAGCACCAAATTTTCCTGGTTAGTGATTGTTATTCCTTGATTGAAGTTTTCTCACTTTAATCTATGATTTGATTGACTAACGGAATTTTTTTTCTCCTTTTTTTCATCTTCACTCTATTATCAGAATATTCTGCAATCGATCGGACAAAATACTTTCAACATTCATGCCATGAAAAGAGAGAATATCTTAGAGACTTCCTCAAATCGATTGACGTTGACAAGTAATTAAATGAAAGAGATTGACAATTACTTTATTAAATAATGTAACGAATGATTTATTTCATTTCCAATAGATTAGATATGCTTGTGACTCATAGTAGTGCCGTTTTTCCAGCATTGGATATGTGGGCTAATGGAGGTTTTCCAATACGATCTTTCACCTTGATTAATCCTGCTGGACATCGTCGTATTGTCGGAATGAAACCAGCCTGGTTTATTGATAATCTTATCCGATGTGCTCTTAATCCAGTGGGTCGAGCTATTTTCCGTAAAATTGGTAAAATAATTTTCAAATTGAAAGGAGTCGCCGTTCGAGTTGACTCTTTGGACGATGTCATTCACGCAGGAACGGTCATGTTTTTATCAGAATCAGAGAAAGTAAGATTCGTTCAATCATCATATAGTAAATTAAAAATTCATCTCTACAATCATTCATCCAAGTGAATCACCTTGACCATTCAAAATCTACCTTTAGCTAGAAAACATCGCCTTTAATTTGATTTTAATCTTCTCTCCTCTCTTATCCAATTAACCTTCAGTCATTTGAGACTCTCACTCGGTTCTAAATCTCCTTGATCCTATCAACTTGATTATTATTATGATTATCTAATATTTCTTATACTCCATCTCTCTTTCTATTATTATTACCTTCTCAATCTAATGATTTCTTTTTTCTTCCTTTTCCTCTATCCAGTTATCAGGATATTTGGAAACCTTGAGGCAACAAAAATCCAATTTATTGTACATATACAGTGAGAACGATAAACTGGTAGAAAAGGACATTTTCTGTGAAATGGCCCAGATTCTCGATGCCAAGGAATCTCAATACACCAAATATGATGGCGAAGGGAAATGCATCGTCCGAGGTTAGTCTTTATCCCGATCGTTCCGTCACTTTCTCTCTCTCAGAATGATGATTATCTTTATTTGTATTCTAAATCTTTAGTGAAAGAAACGTTAGTAATTGGAAATATAATACTACGTTTACATTTCTGATTCTCTTAATGATTATCATTTATCTCTCTTTTCATTGATTCTACAAACAGATTGATTAACAATCAATCTCTTTTTCGTTCAACTCTCATCACTATTTCAAAGTCTATCACTAGATTTGTATCACTCTGTTTCCAACTGATCAAAAAAAGTTAGAATTACTTTCTAACAAAGCCTATCAGTTAATTGCTGTTAAGTTGATTAACAATCACATTACTGTCAGCAGAAAAGTAATTGTCTTTCACGTTTCGTTTTTCTTTTGTAATTGTGATTACGCGTAACAATCAATAGCAATTTAAATTACTGAATATCCTCAAAGTAGCATTTAGAATTGATTCCAAGGTAATTTTCTTCAATTCGATTCATTAACTTTGGCGGGAGCGAAATTTTTATTATCTTTGTGTGGCCTTAAAAATTTTATTTAAAAAAAAGTAATAATTATTCAAATTGATTCTAATTGTGTTTTCTTTCTCAAATATTTAATCAGGTTCTCAAGATGATTGGATGAAAATAATTCAATTCCAACGAGGTGGACATTATGCATTTTTGAAATTCGCAAATATTGTTAACCCTGCAATCGAACAACTTCTCGTTGATGTTACTCGACAACAGAAACAAATCGAACTTGAAGTAGATTCGATCGGCTGTCAATCGAAACAATCATTGAAATATTCTAATCAAAGTTATATGTTATGATATGGTAACAACATATTGATTGGTTGCATAGATATACTTCATGTAGATAATCAGATAATAAATTTAAATTTCCAATACTCTACAGCACAAATTAAGACACATTAATTAATTGTATTAGTTTAAACACATTTGATTGAAATTATTCTTCAAACTACAATCTAAGTTCTGGTTAATTTTAATGTAGGCGATATTGTGATGTTTTGATTCCTTTGTCTTTCAAGTCATCGCCATAAAATTTACCGGCAGTCCATTCGAATTTACCAAATTCTTTACCCGAAAACTCTGATTGTACCCATCGCTTATCCCAACTTGGAGAATCAAATTCTTCTCTAAAATAAACAGTTGCACCAATGCCAGTGGCCAGACAGGCAAATAGAGCAACTAACAAGTTTCCAGTCATTACCTAAGTTAGAAACAAAATTTAATGTAAATTATAAATTAACGAATCTTTCATAAAAGTGGACAAAGGTAGGTGACAATTAAGATTAAGAGAAACAATTGTGAGAAACAATGACAACCAGTAGAAAAGAATGAAAGAAAACACCAGAAATCAGACTTACCTTTGAATGTAAAAAGATCTACAAAGAAACAAACAATTATTCATTTTACCCACCTTTTTATTTCCAGGTATCACTGGGTCACTTATATTCACATATTAATACTAAATTCAAATAAATTTAGTGAAATTATCACTCAAATTAACCAATTTACAAAAAAAAACTTTCTGCAGTTTTTGCTCTTTACTTGTGCCTCCATCTGGTTGTTCGGTGTGAAGTTCACACTGTGAACTAATTTTCCTGCTTTTCTGTAGGTTGCAGTCTCTTCTTGTTACTCTTTGTTTTGATGACAAAAGTGATTAGATATTTTTCTGTGTTTGGTTGTTTTTTTTTAATATTTTCTCTCTCTCTCTATCTCTCTTCCTCTTCCTTTTATCATCAAACAATTAAAATTGATCCATTGTTGTATAAGTGAAGTAATTTTTTTCCTCCAGTGTTTCCAATTGGAGTCAACCGGAACCTTTTGGATGACAAAACATTGTCATCCAAAAGGTTTGATACCGTTACCCATAGATCACTTTTCTATCCTTTGTTTGGGTCTCTAACGGAATTCATTCATCACAGTGTTTGGTGGAAATTTGTCTAATGTCTCCTCTTAAATTTTCTTCGATAGACTGATTAATCATTTTTCCATTGGAAATTACAATTGTACACCATCACGAATTCCCATAGTCACTATGTTCCAGTTAAACTCACTCTTCTAATTCATCATGAGATTAAGGATTCGTCGTTCTCACATCTTTCTGATTATTTTTTTGGGACTGCTGTCAATTGGATGGACCTTATTCATCCGACATGATGGTAGATGGAAAACATTTGGTTCTGGAGCGAAATTTTCGAAAATGATGAAAATGGTTCCAATCAATTGATACCATTACCACAATCATCCCTTGGAACATCTTCTGATCATAAAAATTATTCAAAATGCCATGGTATCAAAAAGATTGACTGTCTAATCAACAATGAGTTTACAATCAGCTGTTTGAGAACATCAGATGAAACTCATATTCCGTTTTCTTTTATCCGTCGTTATTTTGACATTTATGGTAAATTGATTGTAACCAAAACTGGAGATGAATACTTTGACTGGGAGCATAGTTATTCAAAGGTCTACTTCCCGAAAGATATTTACAATTACAAAGGAACTTATTTGTGGTTTGATAATTACAATGTTGAAGTTCGTGATAGAGTAAAACTAATATCTGGTCTGAAAGGTGTTCCTATTTCAACCCAATGGGAACCTCGTGGTCATTTTTATCCAATTCAAATTGCCCAATTTGGTTTGTCACATTTCAGTAAACATTAACTCTTGATAAACCCAGAGTGACCGTTTTGGAAGATGGTCTTTTCAAACAGGATCGCTGGGAATTAACTGTTAAAGGTGATCATGTGAAAATTCATTCCATGGAAAATGACAGTGAGATCGATAATGATAATGAACCAGGATTCTATGTGACCAATAACGTATTAAACAACGATAATAAAGTATTACTTTTGGATGGGAAGGAGATAACGTTTCAAATAAAGTGGACAAAGAAACATAATGACCTTTCCTTGTCTCTACGAGTTAAACCTTTGGGTGATTTTAGTTTCACAGTTTTCCTTAAAACGGATCCTGATAAGTATGAGTACGCGATCGCCTATGGTGCAAATGATATTGATTTTGACGAGAAAACTTTTACCTATGGATTTGGAAAGAACAAAAGTGGTACCATATAGTTCGTGAAGTGGGTGTTGATCTGTCGAAAGCATTAACGGTGTTGAATAGAAAGTTATTAACAAAGGTGAAAAATCTCCATGTGGCTCGAATACAGTTCACTGGAAAAGCAATGATCGACGATGTAATTCTGTCTTCAAGTGCTCACGAATCTCACTTTTTCTCCGCTGTTCGTTGGTTAGTTGATAATCAAGATGATTCAGGGGGATGGCCAATTAGTACAACTCGAAAACTCTCTAACGGGGCCTTAACATTGAACCCTGGCTGGTACTCGGCAATGGCTCAAGGACAAGCGATCTCCCTATTAACCCGAATGTATCATCATGTCGGCGATCAAGTCTATTTGAAAGCAGCCATTCGTGCGATTGGATTATTTAATGTTACCTCTGATAAAGGAGGATTTCGAACTTATTTTCTCGATAAATATCCTTGGTACGCTTGAAATCGTTTTCGGTGCCTCTTTCTTGCTTCATTTTCAATTCTCTATTTATTAACAAGTATCTTTTTTCCCCTTTGTTACTTTTTTCAGGTATGAAGAATATCCAACAATTCCAAGTAGTTTCGTTCTAAATGGTTTCATCTATTCATTGTTTGGATTGTACGATTTAAAGATGAGCTGTACCGGAACATGTCCATTAGCGGAGAAATATTTTAATGAAGGAATCCAATCACTGAAACATTTATTGTCCCTTTTCGATACTGGATCGGGGACACTTTACGATTTACGACATTTCACCCTAAAAACTGAACCCAAAATCGCTCGATGGGACTACCATACAACTCACATTAATCAACTTTTATATCTAAATACACTTTTAAATAATCATCCGTTTCTATCAACGGTAACAAAAAGGTGGATCAGTTATATGAAAGGAAAACGAGCTCCACACAATTAATTTATTTTCTCTCACCAGTATCCAAATTATTTTCTAATTTATCTCTGTAAATTATAAATATTCCAGTTTTCTACAATTGCCCTTACAACATGATACTCAATCCATATTTAAATATAGTCGCTAATGAGCTTACTAATCTAATCAAGGGTTTACGATCATTTCGAGCCCAATTTTGTTTGCCCATTGAAACTTGCAATTGACAATATTTGTATCAATTCAAACAATTGTTATTATCGACGTTTCCATTATCATTGTCAAATTTTCTCGAAACTAATAAGACATTTGATAAAACGATCTCTCAAAGTTCTGTTGACTTTTACTCGAAAGAAAAGGACCAAAGTCATTTTGATGGAAAAATCAGTTGGTGAATGACCGAAGTGCTGAGATTATGGTGACCATTGGAAAAAGTATCCATTTGTTGTGTCTACTTTTCTCTTCTGTAAATGTTTCAACGTAAAGAATAAGCAACAGTTTTATTAATTGATTGGTGTAATCATTTCATCGGTTTCGGAGTCTTTTTATTTTTCTCCTTCTTTCTTTTTCTCACAAGAAGATAGAGTGAGAAAGAAAAGAAAGAGAAGAAAAAGTTGCATGATGATAAAAGGGAGAGACTCAATTTCTTACTGTAAAAAAGAGTGAATAGAAAAGGAAGGAAGATTTTAAATGAAAAGAAAAAAAAATCAACTTTTTGTTCTCCCAATGATCATCATTCTGGTGTTTATTCAAAGTTAATTATCGTTTGAAAGTTTAATTGTTATTAACTTAATTTCCAATGATAACATTGGACTTACAATGATCAGAAACAACAATCAAACCATAAAACCCAATCAAAAATTGAAAAATCAAAATGATCAAGATGAGATCAATTCAAATGATATTTGGGTAGAGGTTAAAACAGTGGCAAAGAGGTAAAAACTTTTAGTATAAAAAAATGAAAGTTTATGAAAGATGATGAAAAAGATGAAGATGAAGATGAAGATGGAGATGAAAATGACACCCTGATGATGAAGAGATAGATAGGCTTCTATTTGGTGTCGTTTTATGGAATAATAAATTGGTGGATTAATCAGATTAATTGAATTGGATTAACACAGAAAACGATGAAAGAAAAACTCTTCAAATGAGACTAGAGGAATGGAAACAAATCATCTGATCGTTGTTCATTAAATCGATGTCTCCTTCGGCTTCGATTATTATAATAATGGTTCGTTGTCGATAAATATGATGATCTTGGTGTTTCACGGAAAAATGATTCTTCCAGAGCGGGCGATTGTCTATAAATTATTCTATTGCTGTTATTATTATTATTATTATTGTTTCTCGGACGTTTCGACGAATCATCTGGTCCCTTCGTTGGATAAACTGGACGTGGTGTCGGAGGTTGAGTTGGTTCTATTCGAGGTTTACTATTCAGTTCGTAGAATTGTTCAGCTTTACTACAATCGACGTTGAACCACCAACTACAAACTGATATTTCTTGATTGAATATCGTTCCATTGGGACAGATAAACGATTGAACTGACCCATGATTGCAATGATGGTAAACCTGTTGATAGAGGATGAAACATTCAGAATTCAAGAATTCAATTTAATTTAATAAGAAAAAATTTTTGCGAACTTACCTGACACCTGAGATTCATGTCGGCATAGAATCCGGATGCTCTTCCCTTACATGAGAAGTCAATCTCTTCCGGAATCTTATGTAGAGCGGGATAATCTCTACCTGCCCCGCCCGGTATTCCGGCCAGTTCATCGAGAATCGAAGATGATATACCACCGCTGTTTTCTAGTGTTTTACTGGGTGGATATTTTTTCCCCTTGAGTTTCTCATCGGACGAAATCAATGGAGCCTTTAAAGTTTTAGAAGGCGATTCATTTGGTTCAGATTCAAAGGTCATTTTCTTTGGATTGACTTGTTGTTGACCTTTAGGTTTACTATCTGAGTTTAATGTGTTTTTTGACCTTATTCTTGGTAAGGGAAGCTCGAAATTTTCAAAGGCATTTTTATCTTCATCATAGGAAATTGGTTCGTAGACATTTTCGTCAGTTTGTGATTTCAATGGTTCAGTTGTTTCGGTTGCCTTTAGATCAACATCTTCAACAAAATGACTTGTACCGATTGGTTCACCGTGACCTCCATGGTCTTGGAACGGGGCTTCATATCGATACTCGTGATTCAATGGGTAGGGTTGAACGGTTCTAACATCATCTTCTTTAGGTACTTCTGTTTGTGGATCAGATGAAAGTTCAGTATCTGATTCAATTGATGTTGGAATTGGTGTTGTAGTCGTGATTGGCTCAGGTCGCCGTTTGTTTGGTGAAAATTGTGATGTTACAGTTTTGTATCGACGTTCATTTGAATATAAATTTGCAGTCGACGGCGGTGAAGGTGATGATTGTCTCACAATCGAGTTACCCAATGGTTTGTATTGGTAAGCAACTTTTTTCATGTTATAACGATTTTTTCGTCCTCTCCCTATCGGCCTGTCTCCATAGTTAACCAAAGATTCATCAATTTGTGACCTTTCAACTGTTAACTCTTCAATTGGTCGACTTGTTGGTCTTGGAGTTGTCGTTGTAGATGTGCTGGTGCTTGGAATCGGTGTTGTTGTAGGTACACTATTGGTCAGCCCAAAGGCACTGCTATTCTTGCACAACTGAGCCAAATATTTCAATTCGAATGGGAAAAAATATCTGGTCGTATCTCGACCGCTTTCAACATCGGAAGTTGGCATTTTCGTGTAGCTCGTTTGATCTTTAAATGGTCTCTCGGTAACGAAGACACTTGGAGTGGTGGTTGATTCTTGGGGAGATGTTTGTTTATACTCTTGGTTCCTTTGAATTTCATCATCATCATTAGAAGATGCAAATAATGGTGAGACTAAAAGTCCATCATCACCAGCACCACCATCGCCTGAGGCCGAATCATCCCATGACCAGGGAGTAACTGTACTTCCGATAACCAAATTTCCTTCAATCAATGGATCAGCTGTGGTTGTTGTCTCTTGAGCGTCGATATCATTTTCTCGAACTGTTTCAAGTTCGGAATCAGTCATTTCATTTGAACTTGGTGTTGGATTTGAATCAAAGTAAACATTTGATGGTTCAACTGGTTGATTAGTCGCAATAACCACTGACGGTTTCGGTGTAGTTGTTGTGGTTGTGCTTGTAGTCGGTGTCGTCGCTGCGAAACTTGAATCAGATTGTCTAAGAGGAACCATTCGCTCACCGAAATGTCCATAATCGTATTTAATTATATTATTTCGTCGAGAATCAATAGCATTAGCAATAGACCGAATCGACGATTCAGCATTAGATTGTGATCCACGATTTCGTTTATAATCATAATTGGAGGTTGTCGGCGGAGTGGATAAAATCTCTTCGGCGTAACCGAACTTTGAATTGGGTTTAACACTCGAAGAAATTTGATTTAATGGTGATCGTGTAAATTGCGATGGTGGCGAGGTCACTGGTTCTTGTGCTCTGTCAACTCTATCGATATTTTCGTTACCCGACGTTTCAATGGCCGAAAACGGTGATAACTCATATGGACCAAGTTGCTTAGTCCTTTCCATTAGATTCTCCGAATGACTTTTATCCAATTCCGTTTCATAATCTAACGGTTCAAGTGGAACTCTGGTGATCTTTGACTTGTTAGTGTGACTTAATTGACCGGAAGCCAATAAAACTGCTCCATGGTTACCAAGATTACGAGCAATATTTACTGAAGGTGATTGTTGATCTTTACCGATCTGTTTCTGACTATTGGACATTTTCGGTTTATTCGTCACCTCGAACGGAGGATTTGGTGTTGTTGGTGAGATTATTATTTTACCCGAATGTAGAGTTGACTCACTTTTCTTTGATGGACTTGTCATCTCATCAACTATCGGTTTAGATTTAGTAACAGTCCTTGGTGTGGTCACTTTAGGACGATACGAACTAATTATACGACGATCTGACCAGTCACTCATAGGCTTTGGAATGGTCAGTTTTGATTTATCTGAAGGTGGAGCTGTTATTAATGAACCAACTAGACTGAAATTCTGCTTGGCAAATTTAACTTTCCGTTTCCGATTTGAAGGGAAAACGTCGGATCCTCTTGACCTTTCACTGGACAATTGAATAGGAAATAAAATTTGCTCCACTGGTTTGGACTGGAGGCCAGTCTTTTGCCGTTTTATCTCAAACTTTGCCAACGCTGATTGTGGCCTAGTTTTTTGATGATTTTACCAGGAACTGTAATCTTGCTTACTCGGTACTTTGGCTTTCGAGTTGACCTGACAGCCGATATCTCATTATTAAGGTGACCAGTTCGCTTTAGCAATAAACCAACAGCACTATTAACCTGATCACTTTTCAATACTATTGGATTAACGCTTTCATCTGGTGACAAATCAGCCTCAGGCAATTTAAATTTACGATAACGTTTCTTGGGCTGTAATTTCATTGCAATGGTCAGTGAAACTGGACTTGATGAATCAATTTGTGAAGACAACGCTGATATTGCCGATGAAGGTGAATTCAAAATGGATCCAAACACATTGGCGGGAAAGTGAATTGATTTACTACTTGTCATGTGTTGATAATGAGATGGCTCTTGATTCTCATATTTACTTTTTTTGGCAATTATTGCTGGTGATTTAATCTAAATTAACGAAGAGAAAGACAGTTAATTATCAACAATTAGAAATCAATTGTGTATAAATACCCTAATCAACATCTTCATCAATCTAAATGTCACCTATCAGACCCAACAATTAACAGAATTACAAGTTTTATTACCATTAGAAGAAAAAACCAGTTTAATAAACTATCAATTAAACGACAACAATTAACTTACAGATTTATATATTGGCTCCAATCTATTACCAAATTGTAGTCCATTGTAACCTAATTGTGATTAAACAACAGGAAAAAAATAATAATTAGATCAAATTACAAGTCTAATATCGTTAAATCATTGAGTTAATCAACTGGTCAATCGTTGATGATAAATTGCTCAATTAAGAGATTATATTAATAATTTCTCAATTTTAATCGTTTTGTATTAATGATACACAACGATTACCTTGTTTTTGCTAATTGTTAACGAGCTCATTGCCTGACCAGTTTTTGATGAGTGAACATCAAACATGTACTTATTGTGTTTATTTGAAACAAAGTGTTAATTATTTAACTGAAAGTCACAAAGGTAAAAGGTAAGTAAAAAATTAAGCGTTAATTTAATTCTGAAAAGCAACAATTACTTATTATTATTAATAATAGGAAAATGAATCCAGATTTCAATTCAAAGTAGTAAATTAATTAAAACAAAAAACATTAACCAAATAAGTAAATTATGAACATCATGTAATCAACAAATTGAGTTAAATTTAAATGAGTGAGTTATGGTGAACTCAACAAAGGTCATAAAAGGACAAACCATCAAGGAAAAGTCAATTCTGTCTATGGCAAAGAACTAAATCTATTAAATACCAAGTCAAATGGCGGCGCAATTAAGAGAACCCAATCAAATCAATCAAAATGGTGGACAAATGAAATTATTGAGCTTGGAAAAAGCATCAATAATACTCAGAATTTATATCAATAATAATATGTAACTCTTTCAAATTGTAATTTGAAAAGCCAGAAGGCACTTTGAGAGATAATCATGACAAGATTATCTAGAAGTTTTCACCTAAACTGTTGGTTATATTTCAGTTTTAAATAAAAACCACTAGGTTGTAATTAAAAGCTAATTAGATGAGAGATTGAATAACGATTATATAGTTAATCATCAATGTAAATCGCTATTAACTAATCATGATGAATTAGCCTCAACTATCATAATGATTAGCTCCTTTTGATGAGAGATCGTTATTATAACCGGAATATGAATTTAGCCTGAAAAAGAAAACTGAATCAACGATAAAATAAACTTCGCGCCTCAAGAAGTAAACAATCAAGAAAAGTAACAAGTTTCGCGATTACAAATATAAATTGTAATCAAAATTAACTATTACGTGAAATGATCGTTGAAGAAAATCAATGATTATAAAAATTTATAAATAAAAACATCAAGTGATGAGGATGAAAATGATGAAACTCTTTAGAAACGGTAACTCAATTTAGCGAAAACTTTAAGAACTAAAAAAAGTTTCGAAAACATTAATTATTTTACTGTTATTTTACAAGTTCGAATGTGATTCGGAAAAAAAATCGAGTAAACTTTTTGCTCTAAGGAAGGAATTGTTTTCCCCGTTTAACTTAATTGCTGTTCAATTAATCAACTGGAAACGTAAATTGATTCAACTAAATTAATTGATTAATCGACCGAGAGAGTTGGGGAAGTGTTGATCCAACCTTGAGACTTAATAACCTCGAAAGTGATTTGTTCATCGACACCGAACTTAATTCAAGGGTAACAATTATTATTACCGGTGATTAACAAGCCTAGTTTAATTAACTAATACCATCTCACAACAATTAGGGCACAATTTAATCTGTTAATCAGGTAATCAAGTTGATCTATTTTGCTTCTTTCTTAAAATCATAAAAGTGATCATATGAAAATGTTTAATCACCACAATGATCGTGTTGATATTTTGATTGTGTTTACTTGTTGTTGTTAACAATTAAACGTAATAGTTTCAAAATAAATTAATCACAATTAAGATTTTCTGATTGTGATGATATATGTGGTTATTAAAATGATTTTAATTTCTATAAGAGTTAATTTGATAATCTTTGAGATAATCTTTATCTTGATTGTTACGTTAGTTAATTACCTCAATTGGTTAATGAAAATAAAAGTTTCTTGTTATGATTAAGCTAATTTAGATTTGAAAGTTGTTACAATTAGTGAGATATTTTTATATAAAATATTTTGTTATACTTTCAGGTAACCGGAAATGTCAACCGATTTAATTAGCTAATTTAATTCGTTAATTGTGATGATCTAAATCAAATTCATTACACTAAATGAAGGAGCAAGATTATGAGAAGCCTAAAGGAGATGATAATCAACCTGAAGATGAGGATTAAAAAAAAGACCTGAAAAGAGAGGGAAATTAATTAATTGCCGAGATTAGATTTGAATTTTACTGATTAGACTGTGATCTATGCGCTTTAATTAAGGATTAACTGTTTTCCTGATGTTCAATTAAAGATTAAGATTAAGATTGTTAAGATTAAGGAATCAACCACAAGAAAGTATTAAACTTTTTTCGTGAATCGTTTTTAATTCATTAAGGTTGGTGAACTTTTTTTCTCAAAGTTGATTCTTATTTTAACTAATTTAATTGTGATCGTAATTATATAATTTTGTCAATTAGAACTGAGAAAATATTCATTCTTGATAACAATCAACTCTTTTAACAATCAGCGAGACACTTAATTGTAAATTACAAGCACGTTAATTGATGACAAACATGATTAAACTACAATAGAAATGGTCAACAATTAAGTTTACCTTGATCATAATTGTATTAATTGTTCAACAAGATTTTCCAACAACAATCAAATTTTTGATTATCATACTTGATTTTTTTTATCATTGTGATTAATTAATTGTTGTCCTCTATGGTTAGTTAATTACGATCAAGTTTATTAACCTGATCAAGTTGATTAACTTTTTCAATCAATTTTATAACGAAATGAAAAAAAGTAAATATAATTAATCAATTTTTTTTAGTTAATCAGGTTAAACAAAAAAAAAGGTTAACAATCAAATCAAATCAATTCTGATTAATAAATTGCTCTTATTTAACATGTAAATTAATTTGGTTAACCAGTTGAAAATGAACAATTAACTTAATAAATTGATTAGCTTATTGTTGGAATCAAATTCAATTCAATTAACTAAATTAGATTTGAATGACAAGTGATTAATATTAACCATAAGTTAATTGGATAACTGGACAATTAGAAATTAAAAAAAAGGTAACAATTAACGGGGTGAGAAATGTTATTTACATTCTGATTAAAATTAACTATTAACAATTAACTCGGTTGTTGATCTTAACTAATCATTATCATCCTTAAATCATTTACATAATTTAAAAGTTAACATAACAATCAACTTAATATTCAGGGTCAAGATTAATCAACAATTTAAAATGTGAGATGAATAAATTGTTGATTAATATAATTTCAAGTTAACTGAATTTTTAATCAATTTGATTGTTACAAACAGTGAATTAAAATTAATTGCTACAAATGCTTCTGAAACTTACTAAAAAGTTTTGATTGATGAAAACAATCAACTGATTATCAAGTTAATTGTTTAAACCAAAAATAACTGTGAAAGTATCAAACAAATTATCGTTGATTGTTATTGGTGAATTAAGATTTACTATTATTGTGTTAAATTGTTTTCTCTTTCATCAGTTGAGTTACTCATCTAATCAACTTGATAATCTGTTGATTGTTGTTTTCTGGGATTAACAGATTAAGTGATTTAGTTATCATAACGAAACAATTGAAACTAAATCCAAATTGTTTGTGAGACTTGAAAACAAAAGTTTATCAATAATCAACAACAATTTACCGTCAGATTAGATTGTTAATTGGTCTCTATTGTTGATCACAATTTAGAATCAGTAAACAAAAAGAAACACTGACCACAATTAACTAATCATCAAGATCCATCAAAGTTACAATTTAATTCACTAAATCTAATCAATTTGTAAGGTTATTGATTTTGAAAAATGTAAAATTGAATCAACCAAATTACAATACAAGGTTAATTTTACTCATTGTGATTAAGTTAATTAATTTCATGATAGTTTAATGATCATTGACCGGGGACAACACGCTGAGAAATATAATTAGCCCGATGATCAAGATCAATTGATGGTTACAATATAATCGTGATTAACTGATCAGATAAGATATATTGGTGATGATTATTATTTATCCAGAACATTATTAAGATTAGATTTCAACAATTAGCTGCTGATTGTGATCATTTGGTTGTATTTAAAATTAACAATTGATTTACCGTTAACCCATAATCAAGATAAATTGGATTAGATCAATGTTTCAAATGTGTCAATACAAGACTAGACTTAATTGTAGCTAATTTGAATGATTATTTATGAGTAATCAAAGTTAATTGTTGTTGATTTTTAGATCGATTAGAAAACGATTAGAATTACGATTAATCAGATGGAAAAGAATGAAGAAAAAAACTGATTGATCAATTTACACCCTAAAGGAATTGTGATTAGATTAGAAAGATGAAATTGATGATGGTGATTAAGAGAAATGTCTCAAAATTGGCCAACATCTTAATCATAATCGATTATCATGAATTACAATCAACTGGAATCAACCAAGAGCAGAATTACAATGTGACATGTTCGTTGATCAACCTTAATGATGGGAAATTAACAAAATTAGCCTTTCAATGGCTTCGTATCAGGTCAAAAGTCAACAGATAATCAAGGGTATTTACGAAGTACATGTAATATTATAAATATAATATTATTTCTTAACGGTTACCAAAATGACCTGATTCGATTTCAGAATTGAAACAATTTTCGAACATTATTTTCCCATCTTCAGAGTCCGTTTAGAGCATTTGGAAGCATCTCTCTCTCTCTCTCTCTCTCTCTCTCTCTCTCTCTCTCTCTCTCTCTCTCTCTCTCTCTCTCTATCTTCTTCTCTATCTTCTTTTCTATCTTTCCACTTTCTCCAACAGATCATAAAGATTATCTCACTAATGCCTTGAGATAATCCATCAATAAATGACTGAAACCAGTAAGGATTGAAAGAGAGATGAAGATAATTCTGTTCAAGAGACGCACTGCAAAGTGAAAAACTGTATCATTAGAATTGCACCTTAATCGTTTATCAGTTCAATTATTCATTCGAATTTAAATTTTTACCATCTCCCTCTATTTTTTGCTCACGAATTTCCCAATCAAACCAATTAAATAATCTGATTCCAGACAAAATATTGATTGATTACATTTTCAATTCTCAAGAATCAATAACACAAGAAATTTATGCATATATTATTAATGGCGATGAGGATGGTGAGAAAGGGAGATTAAGGTGAGCATATTAAACTGATATGAATTATTAGAGATGATAAAAAAGCTCAGACACCGAGTGAATTTAATTGTAAATCCGATTTTGATTAGTAGGAATGACCATTAATCAAGTTAACATCATTGACCTCTATCATTGATCAAGGGGGAAATTAAACATAAGAATCAACAGATTAACAATCAAAAGTTAATCTTAATCATCAAATATCATCAACTTGTTACAATAATCACTCAGATTAAAGGTAATCAAGGTAAGTTAACAAATCAGAGATAATCTAAACTGTGCTCCAGCAATTAACATTTACAATTGGGAGCAACAAAAACTGAGAAAACTAATTTCCTCTGGTTGTTAATCATCTTAATTGCTATTAACTGTTTGTTTTTCCGTCTAAATTAAGTCACTGTTATCCCAAAAGAGTGACACTTGCTCTTGAAGAGTGAACATCAAACCAATTAATCAATTGATTAATTGAAAATTAACAACAATAAGATTTAATATCTTCAAAAAATTACTATTATTTAATAATAATAGGAAAGGTTATTTGAGCTTTGAAATACAAGCGAATGAAAAATTTACCAATATTATTATTGGTAATGATTACGAATCAATCATCAAAATTGTCAATCTAGTTCGTAATTAATTTTCTAATGCTTTCTCTCTACTCCTAATTAATTATAATAAGTGATCTTAATTATATCAATTAATCCTCAGTACCTAAAAATAAAAGGAAAAGATAATGGAATGGATCTAATGAATCAAATCTCATCATGGACAATAAGGAATCAAATCAAATTGGACAATTCACTTGGTCAAAAGACCGATTAATAAGATTTAAAATATTGAATTGTAATTGAAAACAAATAATTTTAAATTGTAAAATCAAATCTTAATTGTACAAATGATTGGGAGGTAATCATTCAAGGTTACCTAGAGGTGTTACAATCTCTCGAGCTGTATCTTCATTTTTCAGTTCAAATAAAGACAATTAAGTAAACACCAATTTAACTTCAACAATTGAACCATTTCAATAATCTTGTTGATCCGTTAATCTGATTTGAAACAAAAAAATCAATTTCCATCCTTTGATTACCTTAAATCAGTTACTAAATTTTGTCGCATTTAAAATTGATTGTTATTACATCTTAAATTGTCATAACTCGAGACTCAATGGTAATTATCAACTTCTCTAATCACAATCATTATTATTAACTAGCTGATCTATCGATTGTTACAATTTATCAATTGAAAGGAAATTGACAATTAACCTCAACAAGATGATGAAGACTCTCATTAACCATCATCATCATCATCTCTCGATTTTAATTGAACCTTCGTGATTAAAGTTAACCGAATTGTAAATTTTAATACTCAATCGTTATCCTTTTAACGATCAACGATCGAGGCCAATTATTATAAATCGAGTCGGTTTTGAATAATACGAAAAAATCAGAATTGAATTGATTAGTTGTCCATCTATTTTATATTCCCTTTCAATGAACATTAATTAACCATCACTAACTTTTCGTTACTCAAAAAGATTATCCTAATCACGAGAAAATCATGATAATTTAGCTGAATATGTGTTCGCCTTAATTGTTTATCGGCTATTAGGGTTAACGATAACAACTGGACATTTGAAAATAGTTTCAATTTATCTGAAAAACCATCAATTTGTATTTATTACAATCATTTACCTTTTAAAGTAAATCGTTTACAATTAATTTCCATTCGGATAATTATCTTGACCACCACAAATTGTTACTATCAAGTTGATTGCAATCAACTAATCGTAGTTTTGAAATCATTTCATTGAGATGAACAGTTTACTTGATGAAACAAATTAATCACCACAAGATCACAATTTCCATTAAATTGTAACCATTGATAAATAATTGATTGTAGTAAAAGTGACTCTCAATTTACCGTTATTTTCATTTTCGCCTTCATCAACAAAGCTCATGTTGATTTCGAGAGCTAAATTGAATACAATGTATTAATATCTGAATTTGTTATAAGATTGAATCAATTGATTTATGGGATCGCCAATGATAAACAATTTAACTTTAATCAAACAATTAAGATAATTAATTATAAAGTTAAGGCGTAACTTGGTAAGTTATTAAAATTAATTATCATTGAGAAAGTAGAAAATAAGTTAAACTTGATTTTCGTAGACGTGATTTACTGATCCAGTTTAAATTTATCACGTTCACGTTGATTCGCTTTCTTTTTTTAATTTAATTGTTCATCAATTGTGTTAGTTAGCTAATTAATTTATACTGGTTACAATTAAACAGTTGAATTCATTTAAATGATGGTAAAGATGATAAACTTTATGTCGTTCAAATGACACAAGATGATGATGATGAGAGTGAGATGAAGACCTGAATCTGGTTTAATTATAGTTACCAGATGAAGACTAAGACGATGATCATTTTATAGACATGCCCTGAGGCTATTTAAAAGGGATGAAGATGAAGATAACCTGAAGATGTAAGTACGCCAAGGTAACACTCGCTTTCTCATTAGCCCTTTGGTAACATTTTCCCTCTTCTAATATCATCATGATAATCAGCATCTTCCAAGAACAATTTTGGTTTCATCATGATTCTGATGAGATAAACTGATTTTCAACTGTTTCCCTTTCATTGATATCAACAGTTAATCCACTTCTGAATAATAAGTAACAATTTAAATTTTTCGTTAATGATGATAATTTAAATTTTAGATAATATCAACTCTCATCATAACAATTAAAACTTTTACCGTTAATGGACTTGAATAGACAAGAATAACCAACTTAATTGTAGAAACATTTAAATTTAGTTGATGAGAATTAAGAAAACATATATTTTCAATTACAACAATTAACGATTGTTTCTGTTGATTTACTTTTCTCTTAATTAATTTAAATTAACAATTAATGGTGAAGAAAAATATTCAATTTAATTACAATTAACTGAGGAATTGTATGAAAAAAATTTCCAAACCAATTAAATGATTAAGAGTGAGAATTAATTTCTCTCTCTCAAACAATAAACAATTAACTCTCAATTGGTTGGTTAAATTTAATTTGTAACAATTAACATTGTGAACAATCAGAAATCTAATTCTTAGGTTAATTATTAATATGTAAACTGATTATTATTATATTTAAATGTTAAATCATTTGCATGTTCAGAATTGGAACTTGATTCCAAATTAGTTAATCAAAAAAACAATTAGCTAATCAACACTGAGGAAAACCAATTGAGTACATTAATTTAGATATTGTTAACAATCAATAAATTGCAAAAGCCTAATTTTAGTCCAATGAAACAATTAAATATTGATCATTGATGGTTTAATTTAATTACAATACCAACTGTGTTCATCGATAATCAATAAATTGTGATTAACTTTGATATTCATCTTATCATTATTAATAGAATCAGTTAATCAGGGTTAATCAGAATTAGTGAAAAACAAAATTAATAATAAACTGTTAACTTGATCACTTAACTTTTTTAATTTAAGTTCAAACAAGTTCAAAGTTAATCATTACATGTATTTTTAATCATCGTTATTAAATAATAATGATTTAGCAATGAAAGTAAGACTTTGATGATTAAATTAATGATGATATTGAAAAAAAAAGTTGATTCTTAATTTAAATTATTACAATAAATCAATTCTCAAGGTTGGTTAGCCTATTAAAGTAACAATTAACCCAACAATTCAAAGTTACATGTAATTTAAGTTTCCTCAGTAGGAGATTATGAAGAAAAAGTTTAATCAAAAATCTCAAACAATCAAAACTAATTTGGAATCACAATTAATCTGAATCACACCTACAATTAACTGTTATCTTAATCTACTGATTGTTAATCTAATTTTTGTTACAACAATATCATTTGGAGATAATCAATTTACATCATCAACCCTAATTGTTGGTGAGATGATCAATTGATTAACTTGGACATGATACTTGAATTGATATACAGATATTGATTGTTATTGATTAACTAATCACTGACACTAAATGTGTCAAAATATAATTATTATGTATATTGTTGCTATCAGAATGATTAGTTTTTAAATGTTAATCGTTAACAATTAACAATTTGAGGCTCCATTTATCATTTTGATTGAGAAATTGGTTAAATTATTTGGTTAATTATTAGTCAATCAATCAACTTACCATGAAAAACACTAAAACAGATCGTGAGTATCAGATATAAAGTGTTGATTGTCATGATTGTCAATCCAAAGGAACAATTTAAATTGTTGAAACGAAATTAATTTTTCTTATAACAAAAATGCAACAATTAATAGATTCAAATGTCCATTGATGAAACTTTGTATTCCTTTGAGTTAATTGTTGATCAAATGTTAATTATGGTCAATAAGAAAAAATGAAGAAACAATTGTAATAATTTACTAAATTAACTCCTAATTGTCCAAATTGGAGGTGACACTTGATCAATATAATTGTTGACAGATTATCATTGGTGAAATTGTGTTGACACTAACATAATAATACAAGAGAAGATAAAATTAATCAAGATGATTGTGATGACAATTTAACCAATGACGATTAAACTTACAAATCAACAGTTACATATGATATTAAACGAAAGTTAATTGTTCACATTTGATTATATTGCTGTTAATGGAAAGATACACAATCGGTGTTTATTTAAACTCGAAATGAAGTTGATTTAATTTCTTGCAACCGAAATGAAAAGTAAACATAATTATCTCACTCATCTCATCTCTCTCTCTCTCTCTCTCTCTCTCTCTCTCTCTTTCCTTTTCGTCTTCGAACTTGTTTGGAACTTTTCGATTCGATAAGCCATTTCTGTTTCTCCTCTTTCGCAAATCTTATCTTCATCTTTCTCTCTCTCTCTCTCTCTCTCTCTCTCTCTCTCTCTCTCTCTCTTCTAACTTTCTCTCTCCCTCCAGTCCTTAAGATGATGATCCACCTTGATGTTCCAGAATGAGTAAGACGATAGCTAAATAGGAGGTGGCAAAAAGATAAACAGTTTGAAACAAGATCATCATCGTCTCTAAATCAAGTTTTCCATCATCATTGTTACAATTTAATATTAAACATCTTTTAATCTCTTAATATTGTAATCAGCATTTGAATAATCAAAGCAAATTTTCAATTATTTTGATGGTCAATGTATTCAATTCAAAAGTATCTAGTAACTGTTACCGGCCAACTGGCCACATTATCGGAAACTGTTTTCACAACCACTTCATAAGTTTTACCTGGTTCCAGGTTTTCATTAAAAGTAACCATTCTTGGTGCATCTTTAGGCACTGATTTGGGTATTGAGTCATTGAGAGTGACACTGATACCGATCAAATTCAGATAATGATTTAGGTGGAGACCATTTAACATCAAATGAATTTGTAAACCAAATTAGGGTCAAAGGTAACATTTGTTGGTGGTAAAGGCACAGTCCAGTATTTCTTCGGTTGGTGTACTTATTTGTGAATGACTAACGGTTTGAACGGAAATGTTGTGCTCACCAGGCACTAATCCATAAAAAGCTGCTTCTGGACCTGGAGGCTCAGATTCTTTATCAACATTAAGAACTGACTGAATAGCATCTCGAGGTTCATCTGGTATTGATCAAAATACCCGCAGGGTAAGGAGGTTGCCAAAGAACCAGTAAAGTTGTTTCATTTCTAAACCAAACGATGAAACGTCCGGTGTATTGGGTTTGGTGGTAAATTGGCTGACAGGAAAAGGTTACTAGAACTATTACCTTACTGATTGTAATTGAATCTCATAAGTTCCTCCTGGAGTTAAATCACGTAAAGTTAAGGGTAGATCATCTGTTATAGCTACTTGAAGATTACGAATACCCGTTTCATCTTGTTCTGAAAGAGGTACAATTGTAAGTCCATAGCCAGTGATTGATCCGGAAGTTGGTGGACTCCAATCAAGATGAACAATTTTACCCGAAACTACTTCTATTTGTAAATCTCTTGGTGGATTAGGTGGTGGCGCTGAAAGAGATAAAATAACACGGAAAACAAAAAAATAGCAAAATGAATACAAAATCAAAGTCAGAGGGAAACTTAAAACTAATAGAAATAAATATTCAAATAACGAACCAGTTAAACTTTGAGCCCATATATAAACAGCATGATGGTTAACAAGAATAAAAGAAAACAATATAATCCAAAATGGTTCACAATAATGAAGAAAATTCCTTGTGATCATTTTAGGTCAATATTAAAAAAGCGTAGAAAAGGAAATTGGGAAAAGGGAATAAGATGAATAAAAAGATGGTGGAAAATAACCTAAAATCTGTAGGTTGTTGTTCACTGATGAGAAGTATCATTCACACCAAGAAGATTAACCAAAAAAGGTTACAATTATTATTTTGATTACAAGTAATTCTTTCAAATAATGTTGATATTTTTGTTCTTGTTGTTCTTGTCACTACCATTGTAGAGCTCATGGTGAACATAGATTTTAACTTTTGATATTTGTATAAATTAGTTGATAAATTGAAACTTTGCCGTTAACACCTTCCAAAAGGGTAAATTGATTAAAACCGATGAAATAATTACACCAAAGGCAGAAAAAAACTAACGCCATCTATTGTAAGTTAACTGCGATTTAACCCACAATTTTATGCGTTTATCGAGAGTTTACTCTATTAACCTAATGAGAGGAGTCATTTCCATATTTGATCAACGCTTAAAATCAAAAGGTGAAAAATCTCCATGTGGCTCGAATACAGTTCACTGGAAAAGCAATGATCGACGATGTAATTCTGTCTTCAAGTGCTCACGAATCTCACTTTTTCTCTGCTGTTCGTTGGTTAGTTGATAATCAAGATGATTCAGGGGGATGGCCAATTAGTACAACTCGAAAACTCTCTAACGGGGCCTTAACATTGAATCCTGGCTGGTACTCGGCAATGGCTCAAGGACAAGCGATCTCCCTATTAACCCGAATGTATCATCATGTCGGCGATCAAGTCTATTTGAAAAGCTTGCGATTGGATTATTTAATGTTACCTCTGATAAAGGAGGATTTCGAACTTATTTTCTCGATAAATATCCTTGGTATGCTTTAAATCGTTTTCGTTGCCTCTTTCTTGCTTCATTTTCAATTCTCTATTTATTAACAAGTATCTTTTTTCCTTTTTGTTACTTTTTTCAGGTATGAAGAATATCCAACAATTCCAAGTAGTTTCGTTCTAAATGGTTTCATCTATTCATTGTTTGGTTTATACGATTTAAAGATGAGCTGTACCGGAACATGTCCATTAGCGGAGAAATATTTTAACGAAGGAATCCAATCACTGAAACATTTATTGTCCCTTTTCGATACTGGATCGGGGACACTTTACGATTTACGACATTTCACCCTAAAAACTGAACCCAAAATCGCTCGATGGGACTACCATACAACTCACATTAATCAACTTTTATATCTAAATACTCTTTTAAATAATCACAATTAATTTATTTTCTCTCACCAGTATCCAAATTACAGTTTTTTCTCCCATATTTTGATCTTCTTGACTGCTGCCATCTAAAGATTAAAAAATTAGAATTTAAGAAAAGAAAGACAATTTTAAGTCATCGAACAAAATTTTGTTCATCTGACTGTAATTTTTTAATCTTTAGATGGCAGCAGTCAAAAAGATCAAAATATGGGAGAAAAAACTGTATTTTCTAATTTATCTCTGTAAATTATTATTATAAATATTCCAGTTTTCTACAATTGCCCTTACAACATGATACTCAATCCATATTTAAATATAGTGCATAAATATGAGCTTACTAATCTAATTCAGGGTTTACGATCATTTCGAGCCCAATTTTGTTTGCCCATTGAAACTTGCAATTGACAATATCTTTGATATCTATCTTCAAATTTTCTCGAAACTAATAAGACATTTGATAAAACGATCTATCAAAGTTCTGTTGACTTTCACTCGAAAGAAAAGGACCAAAGTCATTTTGATGATAAAATCAGTTAATCGATTCACAATTAGATTGAATAATATGAAAGAGAAAATAAGTGATTAACTTGGGAAAAGCTGAAAAAAATTATTAGAATTCTGACTGGAAATTTCGTTTTACAATCGAGTTAATTTAATTGTTTACTTTTAGATGAGAAAAATATTGACAAAACAAGTCGTCGATTCTCAGGTTAATTGTTCAACTGAAATTATCAAGGAAAAAACTGAAGATACATAAACTCGGAAGTGAATCACTGTGAGATCATATTAACTGATTGTTAACTAATCAAATGTAACAATTGAAAGTTTACATTCACAATAACGATCAACATATAAAAAATTAAGGTGTGAGATTCACGTTTACCGGAATTTTTAACAATTAAACAAATTGTTGGAGAAAAAAAAACACAATCAAACAACATCAACAATTTGTTATCTTATAAAATAAGATAATCAGTGTTAATTAACTAATCACAATTAATGATGTAATTGAAGGTTAATAAACAAAAACAATTAACTAAAACAAAAGCCAAATAACAAAAAATCAGATTTGTCCAAATTTAATTAGCAATTAAAATAGGAAAACAAGTAAAACAACTAATTACAATCAGTTAATTGCTATAACAATTATCTAATCAAACAGTAGAACGAGTTAGAATACCATGCAGACTCAATTAATTGATCATTAAAAGAGTTCAAATTAATTTACATTCAGTGAAACTTTGACAGTCCAAAAAAAGATCAATGAATTTGAATCAACCGACACCCGAAAATAGTTCATATTATCGACAACAGATCTCGCTACCTGTCGAATTTTCAATCGAATTTCACGTTGGGCATGCGCGACAGATGTTCTTTCTTTCTTTTGCTTTTGTCTCTTCAAACTTTTTCTCAACCAAATCAGGTTGATCGTTAGAATCACAATTAGCAACTTTAATTGTTGCAACAAGTTGGTCTTTTAACTTTTATTTTAATGTTTTTGTTAAATAATCTAAACAAATTCCTTTTTTACTTGTTAAATTAAAGTGAATCTATTTGAATTGATGATCGTTTAAACTCCATTAACTTCCTAAGTGAATGACCGAAGTGCTGAGATTATGGTGACCATTGGAAAAAGTATCCATTTGTTGTGTCTACTTTTCTTTTCTGTAAATGTTTCAACGTGTAGAATAAGCAACAGTTTTATTAATTGATTGGTGTAATTATTTCATCGGTTTTAATCAATTTACCCTTTTGGAAGGTGTTAACGGCAAAGTTTCAATTTATCAACTAATTTATACAAATATCAAAAGTTAAAATCTATGTTCACCATGAGCTCTACAATGGTAGTGACAAGAACAACAAGAACAAAAATATCAACATTATTTGAAAGAATTACTTGTAATCAAAATAATAATTGTAACCTTTTTTGGTTAATCTTCTTGGTGTGAATGATACTTCTCATCAGTGAACAACAACCTACAGATTTTAGGTTATTTTCCACCATCTTTTTATTCATCTTATTCCCTTTTCCCAATTTCCTTTTCTACGCTTTTTTAATATTGACCTAAAATGATCACAAGGAATTTTCTTCATTATTGTGAACCATTTTGGATTATATTGTTTTCTTTTATTCTTGTTAACCATCATGCTGTTTATATATGGGCTCAAAGTTTAACTGGTTCGTTATTTGAATATTTATTTCTATTAGTTTTAAGTTTCCCTCTGACTTTGATTTTGTATTCATTTTGCTATTTTTTTGTTTTCCGTGTTATTTTATCTCTTTCAGCGCCACCACCTAATCCACCAAGAGATTTACAAATAGAAGTAGTTTCGGGTAAAATTGTTCATCTTGATTGGAGTCCACCAACTTCCGGATCAATCACTGGCTATGGACTTACAATTGTACCTCTTTCAGAACAAGATGAAACGGGTATTCGTAATCTTCAAGTAGCTATAACAGATGATCTACCCTTAACTTTACGTGATTTAACTCCAGGAGGAACTTATGAGATTCAATTACAATCAGTAAATGGTAATAGTTCTAGTAACCTTTTCCTGTCAGCCAATTTTACCACCAAACCCAATACACCGGGACGTTTCATCGTTTGGTTTAGAAATGAAACAACTTTACTGGTTCTTTGGCAACCTCCTTACCCTGCGGGTATTTTTGATCAATACCGGGTGAGTATTGAACCTCGAGATGCTATTCAGTCAGTTCTTAATGTTGATAAAGAATCTGAGCCTCCGGGTCCAGCCCAAGCAGCTTTTTATGGATTAGTGCCTGGTAGAGCTTACAACATTTCCGTTCAAACCGTTAGTCATTCACAAATAAGTACACCAACCGAAGCCAAATACTGGACTGTGCCTTTACCACCAACAAATGTTACCTTTGACCCTAACACGGTTGCTTCAAATTCATTTGATGTTAAATGGTCTCCACCTAAATCATTATCTGAATTTGATCGGTATCAAGTGTCACTCTCAATGAAAAGCTCAATACCCAAATCAGTGCCTAAAGATGCACCAAGAATGGTTACTTTTAATGAAAACCTGGAACCAGGTAAAACTTATGAAGTGGTTGTGAAAACAGTTTCCGATAATGTGGCCAGTTGGCCGGTAACAGTTAACGTTACTACAGCTCCATTGCCAGTGGCTCATCTGAAAGCTCATCCCGGTGAAGCGGGTGAGATTAAACTTTCCTGGGCTGTGAATAATGAATCAATTCAAGATTCATTTATGATTAAATATCATGAATTGGAAGCATTTAATTCAGATGGATCGGTTCAGGTTGTTCATGATACCAAAGTGATTCTTGAAAACTTACTTGATGGTCGTAATTATTCAATTACAGTGGTTGCTGTTAGCAAAGGAACAAAAAGTGAGGAAAGGATTATCTTCCAACCCACCAAGCCCGCTCCACCGGTTATCGGAATATTAGAACCAGTCACCAATCATAAGCTCAACGTTTCCTGGAAATCAGATGTAACCAGTCGACAAGATTCTTATAAAGTTGTTTGGATAAGAAATGATACTCGAGATAAAGAGGAAGCAATTACCAAAAACAATTGGCTTCTATTGGAAGGATTGACTTCCGGTGGATCTTATACCATAAATGTTTCAGCCATTTCTTATGGTTTGGTCAGTGAACCTCACACTTATTTCACCACAATACCTCCTAGACCTCCAGGTGGACCACAAATTGCCAAAGCATCTAATTCAACGGTCATTTTAACATGGACTCAACCAAATTCATCTCTAGTTGACCATTATATTGTTCGTTACCGTCCAGTTGGGTCAACTTTTTGGCGTGAAATGGGTGTTATCAATATAACAACCACAGAAATTCGTGACCTGGTTGCCGGTGAACGTTATGTTTTCCGGGTTAACACAGTTTCCAACAAAGTAGAAAGTCCTGATGTCCGAGAAATTGAGCAAACCATGTATCCTAATTCAGTTGAATCAGTAACCTATTCAATAGGCTCTGAAAATATTACTTTCAAATTAGTCACACCATTAGGACGTGTTGATTACTATATAATAGTTTATAATACGGTTCGTGAACCAACTCAACAAAATTCAAAGCAAGTGGCAGCGGGAAATAATACCCGAGTGGGAACTCTAATGACCATTGTAATCGATGAACTTACTCCGGGAGACATGTACTCATTTCGCTTCTATGCCGTTAGCCATAATCTTCGCAGTGAAGGAATCGGTGTTCAAACCAGAACAAGTAAGTAGTTAAATTAATTCTCCAACCAATCAACAAGAACCGAAATAATATTTTTCAATTATATAAATCACTCTTCCCCTTAATCATAATTACCCATCATCAACCTCATCATAATTAACTGAAATAATATTTTTCAATTATATAAATCACTCTTCCCCTTAATCATAATTACCCATCATCAACCTCATCATAATTATGATTCACAGTAACGGTAAAAATTTAAAAACACACAACAACAACATCAACAATTATCTTACTCAATCTCTCATCCAGGATCCGGTTGCCAATTTAGAACCAAATTAACTGCTTTTCTATTAATCCATCAACTTAAACTATCTTTTCCTTTTCCGAATAAGAATTGATAATATTATAAAGAAAATAATAAATCTATGTCAAAGTTGATCAATTTTTCTAACGACTGATCAACGATAATCCTGATATCAGATCAAAAAAAAAAGTGATCAACAATTTAGTAAAATCAATTATAATCTTCACACAATAATAAGCATCACATTTACAGATTGAAATGATTATTACGAATTGAGATAATCAATTTTTACTAATCAAGATATTATAATAGTTTAAGGTCTTTCGTTGAGTTGATATATTCCACCAATTACTAATAACCATTCACTCAAGATAGTGAACATGAATGACAAGTAACAGCGTAATAATTTGTACGTGGTAGTGAATCAAAAAGAATCCGAAAGGCGAAGTTGAAATAAGAAGAAAAAAGAAAAAGAAAATTTTATCGACAGATAAATTCGAAAGAGATGAAAATGACCTTAATTGGAACAATTTTCTCTCTTTTCGTTCTTTCAACCTTCTTTCTTTCTCAGTCTCTTTTTCGTAAATTTACACTAAAGATTTGTTGTTATTTACCTTTTTACCTGTTTACAGGTAAACGTATAAGTCCAATTGCTTTTAACCTGTTTGCTTGTTTTCTTGGAATGTCCTGAGAGGAGAAAAGTAAGAGAAAAGAATCAAGACATATTTCGATTTTTGATCTCTATCTCTCTTTTCTCAAGAAGATAGAGTAAGAAAGAAAAGAAAGAGAAGAAAAAGTTGCATGATGATAAAAGGGAGAGACTCAATTTCTTACTGTAAAAAAGAGTGAATAGAAAAGGAAGGAAGATTTTAAACGAAAAGAAAAAAAAATCAACTTTTTGTTCTCCCAATGATCATCATTCTGGTGTTTATTCAAAGTTAATTGTTATCAATTGAAAGTTTAATTGCCATTAACTTAATTTCCAATCATAACATTGGACTTGCAATGATCAGAAACAACAACAATCAAACCAGAAAACCCAATCAAATTGAAAACAAGGTTACAATTCAATGTATTTTAGTGATGATAATAAGAGAGAGAGAGAGAGAAGGTTAAAGATGATGATGATTTAGAGGTGTAAAGAACCTACGAAATTGACTTTCTTTTCATTCTTTTTTCTTTGTTGTGTTGATGATGATGAAGAAGAAGAAAAGAAAGAGACAAGAGATGAAGATAAATGTTGGCGTTGTTTGATAATGTTACTTTTGATTCTTGTTTTTTTTTCATCTTCATCTTACCTGTTGATCTTGTTGTTATTGTCTTTCAATAAACCCAAAAAGTTTGGCTTAATGATGACTGATAGAGAAACTGGTTGTCACATGAATGGTTTGCTGAGCATGACTAATCATAGATGATGAGAATGCTTTTCAGATTATCATCATCATTTCATCATCTTAGCATCTTCATGATCAACCCTTTTAACATTATAATTGAAAAAAACAATATTACGATTACTAAATGTTTACCTGTTAAAGAACACTATTCAACTAATTCCTACGCCACCTTAATTCTTGATCCAAATGATTAAGTAACTCAATAGTAGCTTAATGATGAAAAAAAAACTAAGGTGTGAAGAGATTAACTGATTAGCAAACTAAGTTGTACCAAGTATATTAATTAAAGTTACAGTTGAGTGTTTGAGAAACAATTAGATTTATATTATTTACGTTTGTGAGTCTGTACGTTATGACTTCATTTGTATCGCTCCTTCAACACTTTCATCATCTTCTTCACCCTGAAATAGTAATTTAAACCTTTACCCACTAACCAAGAAAATCACTAATCTTATATTGTAATTATTTCAGTTTACCTGTGTGTGTGTGTGTGTAGCTTTATGAATTTACTATTAATTTGTGGGAGCGAAACTTTGAAAAAATAATAACTTTATGAGTAAGAAAAACTTTAATGGTAGTTATGATTAGCCTTTAAGAAATAGGAACAAGGTCAGTTAATTTTTGGTAGTCAATTTCAATTGATTACTAGTTGTGAATGGTAATGTTCAACAATTTAACCGTTAATTTGATACTTTGCTCGCACTTAAACATTTGATTGTTGACCGCTGGTCAAGTTTTAGACTCTCGCTCTCTTATTATATTTGATTTTTCAACCAAATCCCTTTTAATCAGATCAAATTTTTCACTTTTATCAATAACTGTATTTTCATAATTATTACAATCGACTGTTATTATTATTATAATTTACAGTTAACTTTGAATAAGTTTCTCTTATTATTATTGTTTATTAAGATTCCTGAATACTTTCATCATTGTATTAATATTAACGATGATTAAAAGTTAACTAAAATTTTTGGTTGATTCAGTTTTAAATTACATTTTGATTAAACTATTAAATGATAAATATCAAGACAATTAAGGTTTGTTGTTTTTTAAAAGGTAAAACTTTTTATTCGTGATAATATTTTAATTGTAATGATAAAACTTTTTTTTGTAATTTTCAATCATTAATCTAACAATTAGTTGGATATTTTTGTTAATCAATCATCTGAATTAACTTTTATAGATACAGTAATTGTCATTTGTTATATAATCATTTGAACAACAAAATTGATTTTAAAGACAAGGCAATTGAATAATTTCCACTCCATTAAACAATTAAAATTTAATCAATTCAAGGTTAACATGATATTTGAATCTGATAAACTTGATTCAAGATTATACTTTTTGCTTAATCAAGTTGATTAATCTTGTTGTTAAAATCTTAATCCTAATCTGTTATGGTTCAACCTCTGGTTAAATTATAAGTGGGGAAAAAGTTCACCTTCAATTTACTTCACGTTGATTTACATTATTAATTTTGGTTAAATTGATTGAATAATTTTCTGAAAAACCAACATCATCATTTGAACATCAACATTATCATGAAACATTGAATAAGTTTCAGTTGTGTTAATGAAGGAACCGGTTCAGATTAGATTATTACTAATACACTTAATCAGCTATCAGAACTAAATCAGATAAAAAAATACTCATTTTCAGAACTCGATCTCTCTCTCTCTCTCTCTCTCTCTCTCTCTCTCTCTCTCACTAATCAATATGCTTCATTCATTTTGTATCGTCAAAGCTAATAACTGAATTTACCTCGAGTTCTATCCCGATACTCACCAAGAACAAGTTCTACTTTTGTGTATGTGAGCTTGATAACCTCCAGTGAGAACGTTCAAGTTTTTTTTTCTCTTCTTCTTAATTCTAACTATAACTTTCTAATTATCTTATTAATCGAATTAATAATATATTAACAATTAACAACTAATGGCAGTTTAAAAATTCGACTTGACCAACAATCGTATATAAATACATACAATTGTATATTTTTTCCGCTGCCGGACAATTGAGACGATTTTATTATCATTACAATTTCTACTTCAATTTCACTTTAATTGTAATTATAACCTTGATTGTTGAAACTAAATAATTATTCTGATTCGATTTGATTTGAATTATATATAACCTATTCGGAAAAAAGGTTGGACTCTTAATTTGATCATTGATTTCTAATGAACTGATTCAATTATAAATTAGTAAATTACATCAATCGAAAGATTAAACATTAAAGTTTTTAATGAGAGACATAATTCCATTTTCTGATGAGTAGGTCACTTTTGGGACAATATTTTTCATCAAGCGATGAAAATAATGCTTATCAAATGTTTTCAGCTTATTATTTATTCTTGCTATGAGTTCATCTTGGTTTTTTGCCTTCCACCCGTTAGCGTAGACTTTGGCCTTAAGATGAGAAAAAAAAGTTTCAATTGGCCTCAACATAGGGACTGCCGGTGGGTTTTCGAGCTTTTTGACATATGCGATGCCAGCGCCATCTAGAACTTCTAAAGTTCGCTTTGCATAATGAGAAGAGGCCAAATCAGGCCAGAAAATGTACCTATGATTGCGATTAGACATGAGCATTGGTATTAATCTCTTGACAATACACTCATCGATATAAATGTCAGAGTTAATAGCCCCTGAACTCTGATGAAAATATGGTTTAGAATGTCCATCCTCACTAATCGCAATCCAAAGCATCATTTTCTTTCCGAATTTGGCCTTTTCTCGGAATCGAATGGCATCAGGTACATCGTCAATGTCATCGGTAAAAGAAAAATATTTTCCACCGTAAAAATTGTGGCCATCAAGATCAAAATACGACTCGTCGTCCATAATGATGCGGTGGCGCTGCAGTCGTTTTAGTAGTCGAGGCATCCTTTCGTTTTGACGTTCGACTTGTTGGTCACTCACTTTAGGTATTGTCCGTCGAGCTCGAACTTTGATATTATTATCAGATAGAATTTTTTTTGCTGTTTTATCTGATACCTCGATTGCCCGACCAATAGCACTATAACCAGGAAAAATTTTATTTTCCGTCATTTTGATTATTTTGTTTAATTTTCGACGGTTAACGACGATTTTTGGCCTTCCAAGGTTAGAGTTCAGGTCATTTTCCTTGTCTAATGATAATTTGTTAAAGTAGTTGTAGGCCGTTGATTTTTTGGCACCAAATTCACGGAATTTACTAACTAATTCATTTTTATTTTTTGATTCACAATTAGCAAAATAATAACTTGAACACACTTTTCTTAAACTATTCTGGTCCATGGCTAATAATTAACTAATTTTTTGTGCTAATCCTTTCAAATTTTGTCTAGACATCGATCACATTGTCGCTAATTAATAGACAAAAAACCGTTACAATTTAATCAACCGTTTTCGAGAAATCAATGATCAAATTAAGAGTCCAACCTTTTTTCCGAATAGGTTATTTATCATTTCAACATCCATCATTTAGTTATCTATTTGGCTTAGTATTATTATTATTTAACTAACTTGTTGTTATTATTATTTTTAATAATCTGTTGATTGTTTACTTTCATTTATTGTTTTAATAAACAACACTTACAATTAATATTAGTTTTGATGATTCAATGATTATCATTTTGAATGATTAGTTTTTGTTTTGTTGTTGATTAACTTGATTCTTGACCTACAAACAATTGATGAAGATGATGATTGTTTTTCATTATCTTTATGATTAAGATGCTAATGAATGAAAACTGTGAAAAAAAAACAATTTAAACATGAAAAAAGTTGATGAGGTCAAATGTTATTCAATTGATATTCAAATGTATCCAACTTCTAACATATATATTGTTATGATAATCTCAGGTAACTTTTTAATTTTCAATTGTCATCTCATTGTCACAATTAACTATCATTAATTGTTACAATCAGAGTGTATCATCCTGTGATAATGATCAAGAAAGTGAAATTATTATATTGACAATTTCCCTATTTGTCTCAATAGAAACATTTTATCCCAATGAATTGTTAAGAACACAATTCAACGATTAAATTTTATGTAAATTATTATGAATATTATTTAACTAAATTGTTAACGTAAACATTATTAGTTAATTAGTTAAACAATTATCATAATAATAATAACAATAAATTGATATTAAATTATCACCTAGCAAATAAAATTGAGAAACTTGAAAGGTTAATTTATTAATACAAGAGGTTAAGTGAAGGTAACTTTTTGTTGATTGTTTGTTAAATTGTAAACAATTTATTTAGTATAATTATATTGCCCACCATCTTGTTAACAATCAACAATCAACTTAAATATATTATTATAACCTTCAACCAATCAAAAATGATCACAATGGTAAAGGTTAAATCTCACTATTTAAACAAGACTTTTGGGAATCAGAAAACAACAAAGTTGTTGCATAAACATAAGATGAGCCCATAAACGGTTACCTGTATTCTTGGTGTAGCCTGACAGGTAATAAAGGAACCTGATTTTCCCAGAGTATCCCAGGCTCTTTTCTCTGTCTTCTTCTCTTTCTTCATCATCCAAATTATCATCTTCATCTTCCTCATCCATCCCTTGACCAGATCCTTCAGGTATCCTTACAATAGCTGCACTTACACTTATCCAAGGTTTTCAATTGCTGCAAGAGCTTTTTTATTATTATTAATACGATAATTGGTCCATCTTAATTTTCCATTAAATTTGATTGACTTAATTTGATTCAATTTCACCCAATTAGTTTACATATTAGGTTATTATTTAACTAATTACGATTGTTGATCTAAATCACTTTTCAACAGATTGATTTTAGTTTTTTTTTCATTTGGTTGTTAATGTTAATTTGTTTTACCTTTTGTTACTAATCATTTAATTTTAATCTTGTTAACTTGATTAACAATCAAATTTAATCATAATTATCGTTGTTCCCGAGATTTAAGATCAACTTGTTAATGACGACCAACTGATTAGTTACTGATTAACAAGGTGTTACTTGATTGTAAAAAATACATTTAGGTGATTAGATCATTTAATTAATCACATTAATGTATAATCACAATCTTACGTTTTCACTTAAATCATTACCAAAAATTACTGCTAACTAAATCATGATACTTTTTAATCAAAAATAATTAGATTATCCTTATAATTACTTAATTGCTGAATAATCACCATCAAAATTATTCAATTGTGACAATTTTCACTTTAATTATTAATACTTTATTTAGATGTAAACACTTTCAATTGATTCTCAATTAGTTGATATAACTTTTTTTCCTTTACCAATATCTATTATTAATTTTATCATTTAATCAATTGGCATGATTAAGTTGATTGTTTTAAAATTACTAATCATCTCCAGTACCAGTAGTAACAATCAGAGATTGTATTTGATTGACTAATTGCATATATTGATTACTAAATGTATCGTAATGCACGCAATTGATTAGAGATCTTTAATCAACGAAACAATCAACGAATGAAAAAACAATTTTTGATCATCAAAATAAAATACAACAATCAAGAGATCCCAAAAAAGTTAATTGTGTTTAAATGATTTGTACTTCAAATTGGTCATTGATGAAAAGATTAAGAATATCGGTTTTTGTATCAATAAGATTTTTTGTCAACAATTAACTAAACAATCAATTCTGTCAACTCAAATATCACAATCACATACAGAATATTGATAATTATTGATAATCTCTTTGATTAACTAACATTAACTGATATGATTCCAAATCAAAATCACTCAACTCCTTGCATCCTTTTCCTGATTAACTGTAATTAAGTTCAATTTTTGGCTTTTGTTTTAGTTAACTGTTTTTGTTTATTAACCTTCAATTACATCATTAATTGTGATTAGTTAATTAACACTGATTATCTTATTTTATAAGATAACAAATTGTTGATGTTGTTTGATTGTGTTTTTTTTCTCCAACAATTTGTTTAATTGTTAACAATTCCGGTAAACGTGAATCTCACACCTTAATTTTTTATATGTTGATCGTTATTGTGAATGTAAACTTTCAATTGTTACATTTGATTAGTTAACAATCAGTTAATTGCTTAACTGTAATTCACTTCCGAGTAACTAATTTTTTTCTGACTTCTCTCTTTTTCCTTAAATTTTGATTAGTGCCTGTGATAAACTCGGTAATTAATATTGTTACCGATGAACAAGAAACAAAAACACTGGGAATTAAGTATACTCCAACTCCTCGACGTAATGTGATCTTTGACCGTTATCGTTTCCAACTTGTCAGTGATCCGTCCATACCCGCTCAAGAAAAGCTTCACAATGATACCTCTCGATTGGTACTTTTTGACAACCTGATACCAGGTCGATTGTACAATATTTCAATTTGGACAGTGTCCGGTGGTGTTCATTCAGTTCCTATCATTCGAGAAGTTCGTCTCTTCCCAGAACCAGTTCGTTCACTTTCAGCATTGAAAATCGCCGATACTGAGATCACTTTAGTTTGGGAAGCACCAATAGGCGATAAAGATTGTTATGAGATCACTTACCTTGACCCACAGATAACCAATCGTTTAGTAAGAAATATAACTTTCACAGAGAAAATATTTCATTCTGGGCTGAAACCTCATCAAAATTATTCCTTCGAAGTGACCTCACTAAGCGGCTATGGAACCTCAACCCTTCTTAGAAGTTCACCAATCTCTCAAACATTTACCACCTCTGAATCGATACCTGGTCGTGTGGCTGTTTTTCACTCGCTCGATGTTAAACCAAATGAAATCACCTTAAAATGGGATCTTCCCGCTTCCGAGCAAAATGGTGTCATCACCGGTTTCAACATATCTTATTATCCAAAGGGAAATCCCGTCCTTAAGCATCAATCTTTCGGTCCAACTGAAAATCAAGGAACCATTTACCAGTTAATTCCTGGTAAAATTTATGTCTTCCAAATCCAAGCTCACACCAAAATTGGCCCAGGATCAAAAGCAACTTGGGAGGAAACGATGCCCATTTGGCGTATCAAGTGATTGAACCTTTCTACCCTTTCAATGGCTCCCTGGTCGAGGATTTCACCATAGGTTCAGAGGATTGTCTCAATGCCAATGCCATTAAGAAATATTGTAATGGTCCCTTAAAATCTGGTTCTGTTTACAAGGTTAAGATACGAGCCTTTACTGCTCCAGATAAATTCAATGATACACTTTATTCATATCCCATAGCCACGGATCCTGATAATACTGCTCTTTACGTGGGAATTTTCCTTCCCTTGTGTTTACTCATTCTCCTTGGTTTTATCGTCTTGGTACTGAAACGTAAACGTCTTGGACCATTTAGTTCACGAATCATCAAGAATCCAAATAAATCATCAGTACCACATATGGGTGGTAAAGAAGATGCTCTCTCAATTGCTGAAAGTGAAATAATCACCAGTCGTCCAATCAAATTAAAAGATTTCTCTGAACATTATCGTCTAATGTCCGCTGATTCGGATTTCCGTTTCTCCGAGGAATTTGAACTTCTCAAACATGTAGGCCGAGATAAACCCTGTACAGCAGCTGATTTACCAGTTAATCGACCTAAAAATAGGTTCACCAATATCTTACCATATGATCATTCTCGTGTTAAACTGTTACCAACTGACGATGAGGAAGGATCAGATTATATCAATTCTAATTACATTCCAGGTTATAATTCACCTCGAGAATTTATTGTTACCCAAGGACCGTTACATTCAACTAGAGATGATTTTTGGCGAATGATTTGGGAACAAAATTCCCGAGCAATCGTAATGTTAACTCGATGTATTGAAAAAGGCCGTGAAAAGTGTGACCATTATTGGCCTTTTGACACTCAACCTGTTTACTATGGTGACATCCAAGTAACTGTACTCAACGAATCTCAATATCCTGATTGGACTATTTCAGAATTTAAAGTGATGCGAGGAGATCAATCTCGAATAGTTCGTCATTTTCATTTCACTACCTGGCCTGATTTTGGTGTTCCCGAACCTCCAATAACCTTAGTCAAATTTGTTAGGTCATTTAGAGAGCGGGTTCTACCAGACAGCAACAAACCTATCGTAGTACATTGCAGTGCTGGTGTCGGTCGATCGGGAACCTTCATCGCTTTGGATCGGATTCTACAGCAAATCCAAAAATATGATTATGTTGATATTTTTGGAATAGTTTATGAAATGAGACGCGAACGAGTTTGGATGGTACAAAATGAACAACAATACATTTGTATCCATCAATGTTTACTTACTGTTCTCGAAGGAAAAGCCGATCTAATGGATTCACCTCGACCCGAATTACATCTTAACCCTGGTTTCGATGATGATGAAGGAATTGCTGAATCTGGAATCTAATCATGAATAATATTGTTTGATTGTAGTAATTTTCTCTCTCTCTCTCTCTCTCTCTCTCTCTGTTAAAATGTATGTATGTAATTTTTAAAGGAATAGCCACAATTTTCACTAAACAATTTCCAAATCAAATTGACTCAAGATATGAATACAAATCAATTCAAATCCATGGAAATATAACCAAATTAAACTACTGAAAAAGAAATTAATTAAATCGTCTTGATTTAAGTAAAATAAATTTATCTTTATTTATTAAATTAAAATAAACTTGTAAACCATAACCAAAACCTCAACTTAAAGGCAAATCAAATCAATCATTTGTTCACCAACATAATTATCAAAATGATTATTATTATTAATCAACAATCAGGTCAAAATTTTTCGTCCAAATAAAATTTTAGATGAACAACTAAAATGTTTCGATGTTTGCAAACTAAAATCGATTTTTCATTCTCTTTCTTTTCCATCGTAACTTTCCCTCTTCCAATTTCTCCCCTTTTTCTTTTTCTCTGTCGTTTTCCCTTTCGCCGAATTTCGATAAAAATCGATTCGAAAAAATCTTCACCATAATCGATTTTTAGAAAATCTGATAATCGCACCACCAGAATTACGATTGCATGAGGAGAGCAACGGCCTCTGTTGTGGAGATGGTTCAACATTTTCCATCAACTTGGATGAGAAAAAGTCTTTCTTTTTTTATTTCTTTCTTTCTTTTGAGTCGCTTTTTTATCATCATTTGATTTGTTGTCTTTTATTTTCTTGTTAATGAGAGTTAATTGTAAATTAAATCCAGTGAATTGGAGTCAAATTAAAAGGTATCCTGTTAATATTTTTTCTTCTATTGTCTTACTGATGGATTCTAAATCTATTTGGTGTGAGATAATCTTTTTTTTTTAGAAGATTAGAAAGTGAGAAGAATAATTTCTTTTCTATTCTTTTTTTTTCTCATAATCTGTTTCATTTTTTATTTTCTTTTAATTTCAGTGATGCTGTTTGGATTTAAATGAATTATGAATGAACCAATGTAAAGATACTTGGCAATATTTATCTTTGTGATAGGAAAAAATATTCTTTTCTTGGTGTTGATTCGGATTTTCATTCTCACCCATGGGACCCAATCATAATCATCAAGACCATCGTCACAATCAACAGGACAATTGTCATTCTAATGGTGCTGGTGGTGGTAAAAGTAACCATTTAAATAGTAATAACTCTTCTAATGGTAATTCATCATTAAACTCCATCATTAATTATGAAGTGTGTCGAGATTTTTTAAGAAATGTTTGCCGTCGAGGTGCTAATTGTAGGTATCGTCATCCAGAAAGGAATGAGGCTGAAGAATTGGGTAAAAAGGTTGACTTAATATTTTGCCATGATTATCAGAATAAGGAGTGTCGCCGATCTAATTGTCGTTTTATCCATTGTACAAAACAAGAGGAAGATATTTATCGAGCTACTGGTAAATTACCAGTTTACCTGATTGAGAAATTATCATATTCAAGACATAGCGCATCATCACCTTCACTTTCATCCGGTTCATTTCATCACCAGCATCATCCCTTATCCCATCAACACCACAACCATCAACAAGCCGACTTTATGAAATCAGCTGCATGTGATAATATAAGTAACAATGGAATAGCCCAAAATTCATCGATAGCTTCCAATTCAGCTTCCTCATTTGTCTCTTCATTTGCTTCTTCCTTTTCATCATCTTTACCTTCACCATCAACAACTTTGGCCTCTCCCTTTCTCAAGTCAATACCCGTTTGCAAAGATAACCTTAAAGGAGATTGTCTCAGAGGTGTAAGATGCAAATTTCGTCATATTTCCGCCCAAGCAGAATATGATCTTGAATTAAGAAGTTCAACTTTCCATTCGAATGATGGGATTCGCCCTTTACAAATGGACAGAAATCATGTTGTACCACCGAGTAGCTTAATGGATAGTCCATCATCTTATCAAGGAGGATTAGCACCACCAGAACCCAAGAGACGTGCCTATGATTCATCTCTTGGCTTTGGACCTCAACCACCTATCAGCCATCCCCAATCTCTTCGTACCTCTTCATCTCTTAGTCCAAATCTATCTTCAGGTCAACCTGGAAATCATTTTGAATTTTCTAAACCGGAGCCACCTCAAAATTTATTCAACAATAGTCGTTTTCTGGAGGACGAAAATTTCAATCTTCGTCGACACATAGAAGAACTGAAGAAACAGGTAGCTGATCTTATGGCTTCAAACGAATTCTTAATTGAACAAAATGCTCAACTTCGCACAATAGGAACCAGATCAATTAATCCCTTACTTCCTCCACAGCTTAACACAAATTCATCTTCTTTATCACAATCAAATGAATCGTTTATCGGTAGTAGATCAAGTGAACATGGTATTCATCACCAGCAACAGCAACAGCAACAACAGCACTTTCCTATCGCTTATGCACAACTCTAAGTGCGAAAACAATTGCCTCTCTATATCAATTAATGTAATTAGTGTTCAATTGGTCAGTTATTCACAAATGACCAAACTCAGCTCTCAAAATTTTCGTTCACCTTATCTATTGATATCGAAATTATGATAAACGAGTTAAATTGAACGCTACTCGTTATCAAAACAATTTATACGATGAAAAATATACTTACTATTTAATTGTCCAATCAATCAACTAACAATTGATAAAAACAAAAAAAATCACATCAATGAAACATTCTAAATCCTAAAAAGGCTCATCTGCAATGAAAACTTCATCTTTAATCCTAATCATTAACAATTAGCTATCGATATGTACTCAAGCTATTTATCATGATGATGAAATAATCAAATTATCATTTATCCCTATTAACTAATTGTTTCATAAATATTTGTAAACAAAAACAATGAATGGATTTAAATTAAAACTCACAAGGAAAACAAACAATTAAACCTTATAAGAAACTTTAATTGGTTAATTGGAAAAACTTTATGAACAATCTGGAATCAGATTATCTTGATAATAACAATTCAATTGTTGGAAATCAATCATTACAAATTTCTGATGCTGGATAACAGTTATAACCACAATAGATGATCGTTGAATTGAATCATTTATTACATTTATAAATCTAATGTTTCAATCGACTAATTAAATTTTATTTATTAAATTTCTCTTTCGAAAGGTTCAAATTCTAATCATTTATCTCTTAATTAGACTTGCACGTCGAGTTTTCTTTCTAATTTCAGCAGTTTCCTTTTCATGGGCTTCGAGTTTACTCCATATTGGTAATTGCTGTTCTTCTGGAATATGTTCCCGATACTCTTTCATTAGGTCAAGATGCTCATAGTTGTTGTGCTTTCGAGCTGATCTTTCGTAAAAGTGGGACCAAACATTTTCAAATTTCTCAATTCCAAGAGTTTGTCTATGATACTGAATCTTAAACCAATTTTTTGACCAAGGTAAAGGTAACATTTTGACCTTAATTGGATTCACAGGAATTGGAGCACCTTCTTTACGAATCTCTGGTTCCAAATCAAGAGGGAACGTTGAATATTCAGGTAAAGCATCTCGTAAATATCTAAGATCTTGATCCAACCTTTTCTCTAGTTTGATTAGTTCGATACTTCGAATCGTTGGATTATACAGATCATATCTAATTTCTATTCCTTCTCTGTCGATTATATTTCTTAGAGTAAAACAAGTATTAAGACCAGAACCTTCTCGATAAATACATATTCCAAGGAAACGAGACACTTTTCCTGGAGCAAAAGGATCTGAAACAGTAACAGCAAGAATTGAGCCAACATAAAATTCAGGAATATCCAAATTTTCTCGTCTTTTGATCATATCCTGATGTTCTGGATAGGAAAGAGGGTAAAAGTCAGATCAGGACGAGAGGAAAATTTTTCTATTGTTTTCAAAACTGAAAGCACAAGCAACTCTTTTGTTAAACTCTGTTTAATTTACTTACCTAAATTAACTTTAACTTTATTTCTGTGGTCAGGATTGGGAGCAGGTAGAAAATCAGGATACTTTAATCTCATAGATTCCAATTCCTCAGGAATTAACTTCTTACTAAAAGGTAAAGATCTCGCATCTTCTGGTTTAGTTGTGAAAGAATATGGGAAATCTTTGCCTTTGTCAAATCTCTTTTTTGCATGGACCCAACCTCGAAGACAACGGACCTGAAAAGAGCGTTGATAATTGTTAATTAAATTACTAGAAGGGAAAAAATTAACCACTTTAGGTAAATTCATATTTGATTAAAAAAAGAAACAAACAAAATCACATTTCCTTAAAAAACCAAAACAAGATCCAAATGAAACAAAAATGCTCTAAGAATAGCCACATTTGCTATTTTCAGAGCAAAAATGTGATTTTTTCCACGAAAAAAGTAACTAACGATTTCTTTCAATTCGTCAACTTTTAATAATTAGAAATTATTATTTCTAATTAGTTAACTAACTAATCCATTCTATTCGTTTCTTTAGCTTTTAAAACAAAACAGATTCATTGACTTCTGTGCTCTCTGAATATTTTTGGCGAAAAATTCAGAGTAAATAAATGAAGAACAATTCAAATTGTGATTAATTGTCAAATCCAATAGATGTTCAATCAAGGGCAGGTTAGATTTCCTTTTAATTTCTTATCAATTTAATAACAATTTAACTCAATTTCTATTCTATAAAAATTGTGTCTTCTTTATTCTTGAATCCGTTTTAATTTGAGTTTCAATATTCCTCGGAATTGCTATTGAAGAAAAAGAATTGAAATTTTCTCTTCTCTTTTCTTTTTTGTTTCTTCTCAATATTTTCTAGAGAATAATTGATTTTCCCTTTTTCTTGCTCTCATTTTGATTGTAGATTTCGAAAGGTTCAAAGTGAATAATAATCAGTTTGTCTTCATGAGAATGTATGAAAAATAACCATTGACCGTGATACATTTTGATAGATGTATATATGAGATTGATTGGTGTGAATCAAAGCAAAGGAATCGCGAAGTGGAGAGAGAGAGAGAGACCTTTGGAATTGGAAAAAATTGTAAACTGTCAAAGTATAACTGTAAAAGTTATTACACATTGGGAATAACATGTCAAATGATTGAGAGAAGATGAAGAGATGAGGAAAAAGAAATGTAGAGATGATCTGGAGAAGAGAAAAAGTCAAAACTCTTCCCATGGAAAAAAGCAAACGTAAACACCCAGAGTATGTAAGTATCATAGTGATATTATTTTCCAACATAAACTGTAGTGACTTTTTATTAACGGTTCATTTGATTTGCGAAAAGAGAAACAGATTCTCCTTGAAATTCTGTGACACTTTGTCTTCTTCGATTCTTTTTCTCCTCAGATTTACCTCGATTTTTCATTGCAACATTTTATTCATCAGCATCATGGATCAAACTCTGGGAAACACTTAACTTTCTCATTCTCTTTCCATGTTACCATGTTTATCAGGTGAAAGAACACTGAAGACAAAGAAGAGAGAGATGAACAGACAGAGAGAATTGATTTATTTTCTTAAAGTTTCTCACAGAAAATGATAATTTATCTTTTTCTATTCTCTTTTTCATTATTTGTCAAAACTTATTCCTAATGTTTCATGATTAATGTTTCACCAATGATGAGAGCAATTATTGATTATCCTCAAGAAAATGGATCAATAAATTGCTGGTTAAAGGTAATTAAATTTAAAACGATCAAATTGATATTATAACAAACCAATCAAATCAATTAACTGGAACCTCATCAGCTGATCAAACCCTTACCCTCGACAATTTAAGTTGATACTCTTAATTGTTTACATTCAATATCAATCAGTTGCTTTCACTAACAATTGAAAAAAAAAGTTTCTTCTAATATTGATAAATGGGTTTTGAATTTTTCTCATCCATAGAGATACAACTATTTATATCATTTCTTATTTTTCTCTATATATTTTTCAGAATTCAATTTTTTCATCTTCTCATCGGATTCCCTGAACATCATCATTACTATCATCACTATCATCTTCTTTTCTCCATCGTAATCATCATCAAATTTTGATCCTTTTCGGTTATCACCACTTTACCTTTTTTTCCTCATCTCTGTTGAAAACTTTGTAAGAAGAAAAAAGGAAAGATGAACAACATCATCTTTTCGAATCTTATTTTTTTTCCATCTCCATGTTAGTTTTATCTTCTATTCCATTGGCATCATCATCTTCATCTCTCTTCACTTCTTTATCTGATTGTCCTTTTTTTCATTTCTTCTAACATAATCCTACGGCCATTTCTCTTCTTTACCATAACTTGTAAAGAAGAGGAAGACGAAGGGATGAGGATGGAGATCGCTAAAGAAGATTGGAAAAATAGAGAGAAAGAAAACTGTGAAATTGGATTCAGTTGGCGAAATTCAATTGGAAAAGTTCAGATAATTTCTCTCTCAATATATATTTGTGTATGGATCTCTCTCTCTCTCTCTCTCTCTCTCTCTCTCTCTCTCTCTCTCTCATCCTCATCTTACAAAACTTCACAACATCAAGACCCATTCAAAGATCCATTAGCTTTGGAAATACCATCAACAAGATCAAATCACTTTACATTGATTTATATTTTATCTTATAAAGTTTCAAGACATTTAAGATAATATATATTGTAAGATATTGATAGTTTCTTGAAAAAAAAACAATCAATTTAATCAAGTTGCCGATGCTGATATAATCGTGATAAACAAAAATCCAGGAAACAATTGAAACTGAAAAGGAAATAAAAAATTGAAACATTGAACCTGATTAACCCAATCATCTGATGATGATATTGATAATAACAGTATCATCTTCATCACCCTGATTATCAGTTCTAATCCTTAAATCCAATGATGATGATGATGATGAGAGTGAAAATAGTTTTAAGAAAAATTGATGACATCTCATTAAAAGAGTAATCATTTTTATCATCACAATCTCCTCATCTTCAATTTAATTTGCTTAACGATTACAATGTAAATCAATAACCAAAAGGAACCAAAAAAACCAATGGAAAGGAAAATGGGAACAATTAATGATCACCTCATCCTCATCATCATCATCATTAATTATATAATCGTCGCAATCAAATGTAATTGTTTTGTCTCCCTACCAAGTTTCAAATCTTTTACAGAGATTGATTTTCCTTGTTGAAAACTTGAAACTCTGTTGATATTATTGATGATTTCATATATTCATCTGAACATATGATGGATTTAACTTTAAAAAAGTGAAATATTTTACTGAGAAAAGTAAACAAAAAAACTTCAATGGAAAAAAATATCAATCAATGAGATTTTTTTTCCTTCTCACCCAATGATTGGTTTTTTGACTTTTTCGAGATTCATGTTTACATGTTTATCTAACATGATGATTATGGTTCTTGTTTATCGTTTAGATAGTTTTCTTTTCTCATAATATTTTTTTCTTTGACATTCTTAAATTGTAATGATAAATCACCAACAATTGAAACAACAATTTACCAAGAAGAAAAACAATCTAAGATCAATCATCAATACTAAGAAAGTGAACAAAGATTATCATGTTGATATATTATCCTTGATACATTTTTGAGTTGTATTGATATTAATTAGTTGAGATATAATTTGTCTTTTTCTTTCTTATATTTATTTTGATTTTTTAATTGTTTCCATTTTCATTTAATTTGTTTTCGTTGGGAGGTTATAGAAAATATCGATAGATGGAGTTAGTGAGGTCGTTTGATTTTCGCAATTCTAATTTTAATTGTGTTCATTTGTTTAATTGTCATCGTTTCAATTTTGATTTGATTTCAACTTGTAACTTTATATGATCCTAATGATATATTTCTATTGGTTAATTGTCATCAACCTGGATTGTCTTTTGACTTTTGCTTTAGTAGCTTGAACATGAAATCAGCTTAAATTGATTAGCATTTTGGTTAATCAATAAAATGATGATTATGATAATTTGAAAAGGTATCATGATAATTTAGTTAATCCACTGCTTTGTATATTTAGTCATCAAGTGTCTTGTTAACTGTCTTTTTACCTTCTCTTTAGTTTTTTTTGTTGATTATTAGATTCAAATTTAGCTGACAATTGATTGACAAAGTGACTATTTTATTAATTACCTTAAAGTAAAATGTGTAAGCAAAAATAGTGATCAGTTTAAATGTTTAAACAATTGATATATTTCTATTGGTTAATTGTCATCAACCTGGATTGTCTTTTGACTTTTGCTTTAGTAGCTTGAACATGAAATCAGCTTAAATTGATTAGCATTTTGGTTAATCAATAAAATGATGATTATGATAATTTGAAAAGGTATCATGATAATTTAGTTAATCCACTGCTTTGTATATTTAGTCATCAAGTGTCTTGTTAACTGTCTTTTTACCTTCTCTTTAGTTTTTTTTGTTGATTATTAGATTCAAATTTAGCTGACAATTGATTGACAAAGTGACACTATTTTAAATTAATTACCTTAAAGTAAAAATGTGTAAGCAAAAAATAGTGATCAGTTTAAATGTTTAAACAATTGAGATTATGATCTTCCCACCGATACCAAGAAAAGCTCAAAGAGAGAGAGAGAGAGAGAGAGAGAGAGAGAGAGAGAGAGAGAGATGAGAAGAGGAATATTTTCTGATGAGACTGAAAAAAACACGAAAAAGTAAAAAAAAAGTGATAATATTTTAGCGATTCCCTTGTCAATTAAGTAAACAAACAAAGTGGAGCAAAGATGAGAAGATCAACATCATCAAGTGTAAGATAAAAAGACAGTTAAGTTACATCAATTTACCTTAATCATCATCAACATTGTTTCCTTTACCTTGTCAAAGAAACAGAGACAATTCAAAATGAACACAAGGTTAAGGTTTACCATAGAAAAATAATTCCACCTTCTCAATCTCCTCGATATCATTTTCTCTCTCTCATGTTTATCATCATTAATCCATCCTCCTCCTCCTCCTCCTTCTCCTCATCATCATCATTTTGATGATCTTCATCTTCTTGTATATTATTGTTACTACAAAACAATCATTTATATTCACAACAACTGAAGATAAATGATGTTACCTTGATGGAGAAACGAGAAAAAAACTAAATAATATCACAAAGAAAACGTTTGTTGTTTCATCTTCCTCTCCATTCATTCAGTGATAATATCTCATGAAAATCTAACACTGGACATTTATCAATATACATTTATCATCATCTTCATAACAATCAAATTGTTATCGTTTTTTAAACTACAATTGACTTTTGTCTAATCAACAATTAGATTTATCACTTTTTTCCCTATTCATTTTTTCATTTGCTTTTTTTAACCAACAATCAACAATCAACATTGAACAACAAAAACTGATCATTATTTGAATAATTTAATGAACTACAAAAAAAGTTCAATATTTTGTATTCACAAATAACATTTCATGATAGTGATTAAGTTTTTTTTCCAGGTCAGTTCCTTGATTATGTTGAAACACTTTCCTTTTACACCCAGGGAAATGTTGACAATCAAGTTGATTATTACAACTGATTGTTTCCATCATCATCACCTTTTGATTGACTTTGATTTCTTCAACAATTTAAGGTCAATTTCATTAACAATATAATTTAACCTTTAATTTTTATTGACATCATATTGACACATTGACAAGAGACAAGATAAACAATAATAAACATTTTAATCATCATGATTTAAGTTGATTGTTGTTACATGACCATTAAGATTCAAACAGTGTTCACAGTGTTGTTGATTAAAAATCTAATCAAGTTTATGATTAGATTTTTTTCTTCTCCTTTTCTTGATTGATTTGATTTGATTGGCCATTTAATCATTGATTTTATATAATATATTTTCATTCATAGGTAAATGATGATAATACTTCCGGAATTGATGGATTCCATTGTAAACAATCATCAATTAAGATTCCCTGTTGAGTGATTATCATTATCATGATCAAACTGAGAAACTGAGTTATGATTAAAATCTTTGTGAGTTATCATTTGGAATCAATCAATCAATGGTAATAATTTACATCCTTTTTCATTATATTATTAGTTTTTTTTAATATCAATGATCAAGGGGATCAATTATTTTCACTAGGATGCGGAAGTTTGTGAGGGTGAGAGTTAAATGATGATAAACAAGATGACAAGATGAAGATGGACAATTTTATTTGTCCATTTAAAATCAATCCATGATGATAAAAGTGATGAAGGTAGAGATGAGGGTTGGATGAGGGTGGATGAGGGTGGATAAAGGCAAGATAATGTAATAATAAAAGTAGTGAGGATCAAGATGAAATGACATATCATGCTGAGAGAAGACAAAGTGAAGAAGGGGCTGAAGATGAGGATGAAGATGAAAATAACAGTAAAACCTTGTAAGGTAATAGTTGAATTGACATGGATTCCCCTTAAGCGTTGAATTAGAGGAGGGAGGGAGAGAGAGAGAGAGAGAGAGAGAGAGAGAGAGAGAGAGATGAAGATGATAATGAAGTTAAAGATAGATACTGGATGATGAATGAATTTTTCTCAGTCTTTTTTTCTGTATTTCCAAGATTAAAATTAATTGTAATTGTGAATAAATCAGTTGACATTGATTACTTTGCCTCTTCTTTCATCATGATGATCAGGATCATCCAAACAACATGGTACATCTTGTAAAACAACAGATTAATTTAAACTCATTTAATCTTAATCTCTTTTCCTTGTTTTTATTAGGTCAACGACAACATAACATAACAATTTACATGAGTGTTTATGATTATTGTTTAACAATTTACTGATTGGTAGAAACTCATAAACTCAAGGAATCAAGAAACAACAACAACAACAATCAGGGAAATAAAGAGACAAAAAAAAATAAAGACTAACAAGAGGATAAAGAGCAGTTTAAAGATTAAGATGATGGAGATGAGGATAAAGATAGAGATGGTAAGACAAGGAGGTGGATAAAGATGAAGATGAAGAGGAGGAAGATGTTAAAACCATTGGCAGGTTGAATAAATATCCAATTACAATTACAATGAATAGCAAGTAGTAGTGAAAGATATAAAAAAGTTGAAATGACCAAGTTAAAGATGACCATCACCAAGTAAACATCAACAATAATCATAAACACTGCGAATGTTATTCAATTTTATCTTCATCTCTCTCCCTTTGTTTATTATTATTTTTACAGCCTCGTAAACAATTTGTTGCTTCATCTTCATCCCAATGGTCAGTGTTGTTTACCGTTCAAGTTGCAAATGATGGAGGATGTAAGCTGATATTTTGTCGTAAAAAAGTTGCATTTCCAAGAAGGATAAAAGATGAGGACGATCAAAGGATGATGTTAATGGAGGATGAGGATGATCAATCTAATGACCAGAAAGAAAAACTAAATAACAAATGTCAAGAGCTGTAAAAGAAAAATAAAAAGACTGACCCTCACTGACCTCCGTCGGTGGTGTAACCTTTTTGGACTTGCAACAGTGGCGATTGTGTGTTAATAAGGATTAAGGTTAAAGATGAAGATAAAGATGAGGATGAGGATGAGGATGAGGATGATAAAGATGATCCAGTTCTTGGAAGTTAAAAAATTGCAAAGACATTGAAATGTTTATTACAATCATAAACTAGTTGGAGTAATGAAAAAACAAATCATTTCAATGGAAACTGTAATTTATTTAATTACAATTGAAATTAATTTCTTGGTCTCTAATTAAGTTTTGTTTGTTGGTAAATAATTATAATCATAGCAACGAGTAAAAGTTTACGAGCTAGTTAATTGTTAACATATTGAGTTGTAATCATCAACTTTGATCCGGATCAATGAGAATTGTTAATTTAACCCAAATGACAATTAATTTAATCATAAAAATAGAAGTTAATTGTTTTTTTCCTTAATTAATTAAGGTAACAAATTTCTAGTATTCTTGAGAAAACTTGATCAATTGAATACAATTTAATTGTCTCATTAAACTTTTCATCTCATTGATTGCTGGTTAAATTTTCAATCCATAATCAAATATTATATCATTTATATTAACACAATCAATAAAATCAATTGATTGTTCAGACAACATAAATCACTTTGATTAGAGTAAAAATAATCAACTAGATTTAATAATAATTATCAAATCATTAAGGTGATTTAATCATAATCAAGCCAAACTGTGTGTTGGTAATTTAATACATTTAATCAAGATCATTGAACCTTTTGATTATATTGATTAATTTGGTTCAATAGTAGCAATCAATTAATAGTGATTATTTTTTAATCGTAAAGTTTATTGTCAATCAAATACTTTGATTCAACCAGAAAGGACAATCAAAGGTAAGAGGGAAAACTATCAAAATTAAGGTTAATTGTAGCCAATCAAATTTAATTTACTCTCTCCCTGATTAATTGGTTAAGTTAATAAAGGTTAGACCATTGGATTAAATCATGTTAATCATAATAATCATTTGGTAACAATTGATTAGCATGATGAAAATAAGCAAAGACATTCTGATTAGTTTGTTGCATGATCAGTATTGTTATTATGTATTAGTTGCATGAATCGATTGACTTGATAATAAGTAAATTATTATTACTATTATCAAATCAACTTGAGATTACCTGATCAGATGATCATCAAAGTAATAATAATATTCATGATAACACCTAGATGACATTGAGTATTCATGTTGATTGTTAGGATGACTGATTATTTCTGATTACTATTATTGTTCATAAGCTTAAGGTTAATTTTTTTTCTTGTCATTCAACTTAAATGTGAACTAATTGTGTATATTATTGTTATTATGATTAGTATGATAGAAATAGTTTATTATTAGTCAGCTAATTAGTGTTGTTGGATTGGGGGATTAGGATTGATTGTTGTATTACCTTTGAAAATAGATTTTCTCATTTCTAGTCAATAGAGATTTAGATTATTTTTCTCTCCAAGATTGATTAGGATTGATTATGAAAAGCTAATTTCATCATCTTTCCATCATTTAATTGCTCTCCTCCAGTTTCATTTATTTAATTACCATTAGGCTATTGATTTGATTTAAATAGTAGCATCAGCAGTTGATTGTTGTTAAATTATCAAACATCAGGAAAAAGGCCATTGATTGTTGATAATCATTCATTTGCATTTTATTGAAACATAAATTTCAATTCACAATTAAATTAATCTCCATTGATTAATTACTTTCTTTTTTTTCTGGCTGGTCCAAGGTAAATTGTTTGGCAATCATTTGTATCACATTTTGATGATTTTCTTGGTGAGATGAAATTGATTGTCAAGTTTAATGTAATTTAGACAATGGTGAAAGGATCTTTTTGATCTGCCTGGAGGATGATGACAATAAATGGATCATGATAAATTTATATACTGTATTAATGGTGTTGTTGTTGGTGTTGGTGTTGGTGTTGATGATGGTGATGTTTTTGTTGTTGAAGTAGCGGAGAAAACTTTTTTTATTGATTGTGACAGTGTTAAGCCTTCCAGATCAATTTGATGTCTTGTCATAACTACTTCACATTCATCAGCAGGATAAAAATGCATGAAGATCATGGTAAAGATGAATCACAAGATGGATGAAAAATTCTGATCCTTTTTGAATTTATCATCATCTGTTTCCTCCTCCTTCTCATCCTCCTCATCATCATCATCATCATCATCATCCTGGAATGTATTAATACCATATAAGAAGAAGCAAAATTTTTCTCAAAACTTTAAGCTTTGTAATCCCATTTATCCAAATCTTTAGATCCAAAAAGTGGCGACCCTGTAAATTGAATAGTAAAAGATAAATATTATGAACGTAAGTTTTTTCAAACAACCTCTCAAAAAACACTTTTAATAACAGAATCAATTAATCACTTCACTAATTAATTGTTCCCAATAGTAATAACAATAATAATCATCTAATGGTTATTTGTATATATTAATACATGTACTTACCCAAACACATCCGATGAGCTGATTAACCAAAAGTGAAATAAACTGTAAAAAGAAAAACAAGATTAGTATCAAATTAACATCAAATTTCAGATGATTAGCTAATCATCATAATAATCATTAGCAAATTAAGTTGAATATAACATGTACATTAAATAATCAATCTCTTATTAACAATAAGATAAATGAACAATAAATTAGAGGGTAACATTACCTGAAACCTTAATTGCTATTTGTTTTGAACAAGAATCAACAGATTAACAAGATTATTGAATACAAACAATACATTTACACTTAGAAAAGCAAGATGATTATTATCATGATGATAATGATCATCTTGATTTAAGGTTTTAAGTACATTGTATATGATCAAAAATGGTAAACATATAAATAAGAGATATTATTTAAATTAGATTAACTTTAAGCAATATCATATCTCTTATGTGTACTTAAGACAAAAAGTGATTTGATTACAATTTAACATTTTTAAGTATCAGGAAAAAAAGATGATGATAATTATCAGTGTGCCGACAACACCTTAACCAAAGGTTAAATCATCTTCACTTTTTACAATCAAGAGTTGGATACATTTTTATGTAGATGGAACCATTTTAAATTGGGTTGGGTTAACACGATAGACCCTCAAGGCATCAACCATAATAAAGTTAATACAATATTATTAATAAAACTAATAATATTTATATTTCTTTCCATCTCTTTCATTTAACCATCTTCTTCATCATCTCACACCTAAAATCAAAATTAAATAAATGAGAAGAAGAAAGTAAATGATGTTGATGAAGGAAGAAAAAAAAAAGCCAAAAGAAGATGAATGTACAACTCTATGTATTTTTATCCACTTGGTTCACTTGCTTAAGGCAACGTTCACTTTGGAAATCAATTTAAATCCAGTTTGATTGGTGGCTTAATTTTTTTCTTCTCCTTAAATTCACTTGTTCACACCAGGTACTAAATTAACAGGGAGAGAGAAAAAGAAAATAATTAACACTAATTAACTTAAAATGGAAAAAAAGAAACATTCAAATTCAATTGAATATCATAGGGAAAAATTTTTCTTTGTACTTACCCAATGAGTGGACAGTTTTTGATGACATTTAATTAGAATAACTTGTTAATTGGCATTTTATTTCTATTCCAGGATAGTTCACGGATTCTAATTGATTGTTAACACTATTGGAAATTAGAAGAAAATTTAATTTAAACAAAATTAACCGACAATTAAATGGAATTAATTAAGAGAAATGGAAACAAAAATTTCTCTCCAATCATTTGGAGGGAATCGGTTACTATGGAAACCGAAACATGTGTTGATTTTTGAATAGAATTTTTTTTCATTCTATTTGAAGATTTTTTCTTTTGTTTTCTTTTTTTAATTGTAACTATATTTCTCTTCATTTCCAAAACTTAGTGAATTGTTTTAAATTTAATTAACTTCTAAACTTGTCTACAATTAACTAACTATCACCTGGAAAAGATGAAAGTGTGTAAAGGAAAAAGAAACCAGAAAAAAAGGTAAGGGTTGAAATCTTTTTTTTTCTTTTTCTTCAATTTCTTTCTCATTGTATTTGATTGAAAGCAATTCTAATGTATGGAATACATTTGATCTTTATCTAAACCTGAAGATTGGAAAATCTCAAGTTACCCTGAGGTTAAATTAAATAGAAACACTGAGAATTAAATTTAATATAATACAGAGAAAAAGATTGAGATATATATTAAATGTATTCTAAATACCCTTACAAGTGAATTTACTGTTAGTGAATAACAATCAATATTCTGATGATAGAAAACGAATAGAATATGGTGTTAAATTTTATTCTATTCTCTGTTTTTCTTCTTCTACTCTCTTCAAAATGAAATCAAATTCTATCTCTGCCTGGTTACATATTCGACTTCACCATATTCCACTATTACCATTATAATATTATCATCGTGTTTGTTGTTTTCATGTTTACACACACAAATAAACCGAATGGAAATCTATGGTTAGAGGAAAATCGGAAATTGAAACTGAACAACCTGAGAAAATGAGTTGATAAAAAGATTTTTCTATTTGAAAAAGATGAATAAACATTCAGACTCAAACTAATATAACTTCCAAAAAAAAATGATGAATATAAATTGAAAAGTGTAGGTTGATTGTCGATCATTAATATAAAGCCAATTTAATTGAATCAATTGATTTTCTCTTCCTTAACCATCATTTCCATATCTGTGAACATTTCAACTTTCTCATCTATTATTAAACTCTAATAGACAGTTAATCAAGGTTAATTGTTCCTAATTAGAGGTAAATTTAACACCTACATTGATTATCATGTTCTCAATTGTGAATGACTTTACAATTGAAACCATTATAATTGATAACTTTTCAAGTTAATTACGATCATTGATCATAATCTGTCTTATGGTTTTCCAATTTTCTAATTAAATAATTACATACACATATTACATTTATATTAATATAAACGATATTAATAATTACATTAAACATTTAATTTCTTAATTATTTTCATTATCAACCATTAATAACAAAAGTGTAATAATTTATTACGTGGTTAAAGTTGATTGTCTGTTGCTTGTTATTACTTTGTAATTGAATTGATCAAATTTAATTACCTTGAGGTTAAATTAAATTTACCATTTATATTTTTTTTTCTAATTAAAAAAACTAAATCAATTTTCTTGTTTCATATAAAACAATTATAATTATTATTCCAACATGATAATAATTAGATGACAGTTATAATACTTGATTGTAATAAATATATATTTCACTTGATCATCTTCCTTTAAATAACAGCAATTTAAATGATCAAACAGTCATGATTAATGTGTTGATGTTATTATTATGATTAACCAATCAATTTAATTAATTGAATCCAAGGTAATCAACTTTGATTTTTAATTATCATCTCAATGTAACCTCAATTAAAGTGTGAAATAAGATGAGGTTATATTAATAATAATATTTTCTGGTCTCTTATTATCAAACTTAATTAAAGTGTACAAAACACAATCAAAGTAATTGCAGAAAAACAAAACTGATATCAACAATTAAGCAAACTAATATTAAATCATTAAGACAACATAACAAAAAACTCAGTTAATTGATTTCTTTTTTTTTCCTCTGCCATCTAATACTTTGAATCAATTAACTAACTTAATCATTTAATCACAACACGATTTCACTATTAGTTAGTTAATTAGGTTAAATAAAGATATTTACAATTGTTAATTGTAACTCAACAATAATAACAAAGAAACATCATCATCATCAGTAGATGAAACTTCAATTAAATCAACAATAAACCTGTCGAAGTTAAATTGATTACAATTAAAAGTAATCATGATTAAAATCAGAGTTGATTATCCTGTAAGATGATATAATATAAATATCGTGAAAAAAGCAGTTGATATAATTTTTCGTATCCCTGTTTCATTGATTAATTAACTTATCATCAACGAAAATGATTAAATTAACTTTGAACGTTAATCAACTTTACGATTAACAATCTTGTTTTTTTTTTCATTCACCACGATGGAAACTTCACTGTAAACCATTAAAAGTGTATCATTATTTTGATTATAATCTGTAACTATTACATTCTCAATAATGAAAAAAATTAAATCCATTTATCACTCATCCCAACACCTATTTAAACACCACTGATAACAATCAGCTGGCAATATATTTTAAGCCTCATCAAGTTAATCATGAATTCAAGAGTAATCATTGATAAGAATGAGTCTTTACCTTGGCTTCAAACATCATCATGATGATGAGGATGATAAAGAAGGTATTTTAACACACTCTTTCTCTTTCTAAGGTGTGAAAGTATCAAAGGTAAAAAAGATGAGGATGAAAACGGTGAAGCAAAACAAAGTCAATTTTGTTTTTACCTTACCTTCAACTATTATATTGAGAGAGAAAAAAAAATCTCCTCTAATAATAGATGTTGATCATTCTGATATTATTGCTGTAGTAATTTAGTGTTACTGAATCATTGCTGATGATAAAGATGATGACCACTGCAGAGAGAGAGAGAGAGAGAGAGAGAGAGAGAGAGAGAGAGAGAGAAGAAAAAGAGAAAGATTAACCGCTTATTGGTTACGCTTTGATTGAAGGAAAAAAAAGTTCAATTCAAATGTTTTCATGGAAATGATAAAATCCTTTTCATTTGATTTGGTTTGTTATTAGTTGCAATTCTTATATTAGCAATCATGTGGTCACTTAATAGGTCAATACCGTGATTTCCACCTCAATCACACCATCACTTCCACTCCTCATCATTTTTGCATCTTCTTTAAATCCTTTACTCTTTTGTCTCTTCTAGGGTTAATGTTGGTATTTGATTTGGTATCTAAAAGAAAGGAGAGAAAGAGGGAAAAGATGAATTAGAGATGAAGAAGTAAATAAAAAGAAGGATAAAGATGAGGATGATAAGCAAAGGATGAAAAGAAAGAGGATAAACGTCTTATTCTCACGACTATTATGGTTGTTGATCGTCTTGAAAACGTCTCAAGATTGATCAACATCAAAGGCGATGTTGCATGATTACTTCAACACCATTTAAGTTTCTTGTCTTGTTATCGCTTAAGTGACTTTTACCTTCATCATCTCCTCCCTACCTTTTTATTCAGCTCTCTCCCTGTGTTTACTCTGATGAAAAGAAGAAGAAGAAGAGAAAGAAAGATGATGATGTATATCATAAATAGAAAGAGAAAGAAAGACAAGTCTTAACTTACCGTTGGTTGCACAATTTAAATTGTTACCAAATGAATGACGAAAATTAAGATGAAGATGAATAAGATAAGTGAGAAGAAAGATTCTCTTTTTTATCCAAAGAGATCAAAAGATTCATCAAAAAGTGAGAAAGATAGATTATTCATCTAAATCTCTCTATCTCATTACTATCATCATCTTATTGAATAATTTGGTGAGCTTCTGATTTTTGTTTACAGAATAAACGAAAATCATACTAATCAGTTAACAGAATCAGTATTCACATATAAATGGCTCGTTAATATAAATATAACGAGGTAAGAAAATATATTCATATAATAACAATGCTACTTTTCATCATAATAATACATGATGGAAAAGTAAGAAAACAAAAGAAGAGTAAACAATTTTAGTTTTGTTTTCTTATTCATCTTGATTCTGAATCTCCCAATGATGCAACATAATAATAAGAATACGAAAGGCAACCCCTGTAACTCCTTAGCATTTCCAAGCTCTGTTTTCCTTTACTTTTTTTGGCTTCTACATTTTCATCCTCATCATGATGATGATCATCATTTTCATCTTCATCATACAAAAGAAACAGAAAACCTGCAAAAGAAAGAGAGAAAATTAGAGAGAGAGAAAGAGATGAGATGCAAAGAAATGAAAATACTAGTTCCATGGTTGGTTGAATCTTCCATGCAAAAAACTTTCTTCTTTTGTGTATCTTAAGTCAATGTGCTTTTTTACACAACAAACACCAATCCAAATAACAGAACGAGAGAGAATGAGAGAGAAGAAGAGAGAAGAAGACAACATATAATGGATTCGACAACATCACCGTCATTATCATCATAATCATCATGAAGTTCAGTTGGCCAATATAAAACAATCACGAAACTGAAATAACAATGAAAACTGATGACAAAAACAAACAATAAGCGTAATGAGTAATTAAAAGGCTATTTAGTCACCTTCGATGGGAGAGAGACTTTTTTTTCACAAAAGAATTGAGATTTAATTACCTGGATGTAAATCAAATTGACCATTGGATACAAAATGATCTTCATAATGAAAATGAATCTTTTGTTGTTGTTACTTTGATTACTTTCAATAGGAAGTACAATGTATCCTTAATCAACAAGATGCTGCAATTAACTGTAATTACAATATTACAATATTATCCAAGGAATATATTAAAATTAAATTTGATAACTTTGATTGGATAATCAACACTTTGGTTTCGTTTTTTTATTCTCTTCTTTCATCAATCGGAAATAGTTATTTCCACATCCTATCAGATAAATTATTAGCATTATCACAACAATGAATGTACAATAATTTTCTTTATCAACTCCTAGAATAAACTCTAACTTGTTGTGTTCCATGATTATCAAAACCATTATCATAATTAGTTTTCTAATCATTAACATTACAAAGTAAATTATATTCACACTTAATAGATTGATAATCACAACATAATTGGGAACAAAAAAAATCATTGTTTATCCCTGATCATTATCGTTATCATCAGTTTACTGTATCAATGGTAAAAGCGACAACCACAAAGATCTTGCTTGTTTTCCCTGTTTTTACATGAGGAGTGGTTCTCCTTTTTCCTAGTCACTGGCTACCATGTCGAGGAGGAAAAGGCAGGAGCACAAATGAAAAGGTTACAAGCCAAAATCAATGACGCATACGCTTCTTGCCGCTTTGGACCGGAGCTTGTAGCTTCCGCTAATTAGTTAGATGAAGATGAGAGAGACGAAAGTAATTGTCTAATGAGTTTTGTCACACATGTCGCGATCTTAACACGCATTCCAAACGCGTGTCCGGATACAAAATAAACAGACAAGGTCATCACCAATATTAGAATCTTCGTGCTTTGTGAGTCATCTTTATATTAGCTCCCATCTCTCCTTTTTTGTAAACTTTAACCTCACCCTCTCCTTTACCCTACCATCAACTCCCTCAGCCAAAGTATATTAGTTACACACCAAGGACACAGGTAAAGAGTCACTACACCAGGTAAACTATGAAACAATGGGTCATCATCCATAACAAAAACAGACAAATAAAAAGTATATGTGACGAGGAGGAGGAGGAGTTGGGGCGATGATGATAATGATATCGATCGGTTTCAGATCAATGGTCAACTGGCATCATTTGAGGTTCTCTTTTATTATCAACAGTTAACATTTCATTTAGCGTTATAACGGTTCCTTTTTGACTCCCAGTTATTGTATCGATTAGCTTGAGTTGATGATGAATATAATATGATGTCGACAATCAAGACAATGAAAAACAAAAGGAAAAAAAATAAAGATAAATGAAAATTTATCGTAATAATTTATAGTAATTTCATTCATAAGATGTGGCAAAAAAAAAGTTGTGATTAATGTTATCTAATGGGTTACTTTCAATGGACCATAGTTGAAGAAACATTTATCATCAATTGCCTTGGGGCGAGTTTCATTTCTCACTTTTCTTACCATCAAATTTATGCTCACTTTTTGAGTTATTATCATTAATATCATTACACGAGCCAAGCTTTTCATCGTCAACAACAACAATCAGTCCACAATAACAAGTTTTTTACGGTTTAACATATAACTTAAATGTAACAACACATACACCAAGTCACTAGAGATTTTGAATTCTCTGTGAGTATTCAGATAAGAATAGCAAAAAAATTAGATGATAATGATAATAGAAAAAAACTTGATGGTTTTGGCTGTTATTTCCATGACTCCTCTTCCTCTTCCTCTTTCCAACTCATCGTTTTCTCCTTCATCTCTCTGTGTATTGTTTTCTCTCTCTCTCTCTCTCTCTCTCTCTCTCTCTCTCTCTCTCTCTCTCTCTCTCTCTCTCTCTCTTTACCTATTCTCATTTCTATTAAATCTTTTACATATTCACTTTTTTTCCTTTCGTTATTTTCTCCTTCATCTCTCACACCTTTGTTGAAACTTTTTGTGAAATCTTTATGATCCATATCTATTTGGAATAAAATTCATCACAGTTCCACAAACTCCCACTTTTAATTCCTTTGTCACTTCAATATCATCACCTGAAAAGGAAAGACAATGAAGATGTAGAACCAATTACACACTAAGGTAAAAGAAAACCAGGTCAGCATTGATAAGAAGAAGGAGAATATCATCAAGATGGTTTTATCCACGGTGGTAAATTTGAGAATAGAAAACAAGCCAAATCCATAACTATTATCGCATCAAATGTATTTCCCATTAGTCACCAATCATCAAGGTTACTGTTTCCTAAGCATATTCAAAGTAGAGAATCAAAATATATACACACCATAAATCAATTGTAATCAAGTTAATTGAATTGTAATAATGTTAGAGTAAAACTCACCCGGTTACTTTTCCATGGAGGGAAAGAGACAAAGAGAGAGAGAGAGGAAAAAAATTATGTCCCATCACATTGATTCAAACGGTAATTCAGTCAATAGAATTGAACATTTCAGTTTATTCACTTCACTTTGGTTCCGCTTAAAAGATTGTCACATTTACTTATTAATCTGCAAAAAGAAAGAGATTAAAACACTTAATGAATAATTAAATTGAGAGAAAGAAAAATTCTTGACAAAAAAAAAATAATGAAGAAAAAAATGAAAAGAGAAGAAAAAAAAATTCTTCAAAAGAAAATGAGATCAGCTGATCAAATGGATTCTCTCAGTATGTTAACCCTTACATAAGAATTGATTTTGTTTTTCCTTCTTCTTGTTAATTAATTATTGGTAAGATTATTTTCTTTGTTTCTTGTTATTATTTTATTCCAATTTAATTATTGATTAACCTTTCAACATGAATTAACCAGCATTTCGATTCTCAATAAAATATCATCGAGTAAATAAAATACAACAGACGAACAGGTAAGTTAATCTTGTGAATTTTTCTTCTTCTCCATTGTATCTTTGGGTAATATACTTTTCTCTTGTGATTGTTTTCTTATTTTCTCTTATTTTTCTTCTTATCTCTTTATTGAAAAGGTTGTTATTTATTTATCACTTTCCAAAGAGAATAGAAATGTTCTTTTCACCTTGATATAGTGGAAAGTTCAGACGTAATATTAAAAAAAAAATCTCAGGATGAACACCACTCACCAAGGGTAAGTATTGGAATAGAAAAATTCAGAGTAAGTTATCTTTGTCTTTTTGTTTTCCTCTTTTCCATTGTAACTTTTATATTAATACAACATTTATCTTTACACAGCAATATTGTGTTTTCTTTTCTCTCCATCTTTCTTTCCCATTCTTTCCTATTCTATGTTTACAGTTTTATCAATATTTTTCCAGAATTTACTCAAGGGACAGATGAAGAGATGGATAGACATGAAATTCTCAAGTAGAAAAAAAAGAAACACTGAGTACAGTTTAAGTTGTTCTAAATTCTTTTTTTCTTATCATTTTAATGCTGTTGTTTTTAACTATTACTTTTCACTCAGTGCCCATTCCATGAGAATTTTATCTTCTCTCCTCTCAATTGCACCTTAATGGCTCTTACGTTCATCACCAATATCACCTTTTCAAGAAGTATCTCCATCTCTTTCTCTAAATCTCTCACCATCTTCTAAAATACTATTACATTGGTCTTACAATCATCTTTCTTTTCCGTTTTCTAGAAAAGCTCAAGAATTATTTGATCGGCCAGTTTCATGGTCGATAGACTCATTCGTGGGACAAGGACTTGGAATTGCAACTTTTAAGATGACCAAATGACCTCAAGTGATTACCTTTATTCCTTACAACTTTCTGTTAGAATATCTTGAAGATCAAGTTTACATTTTTCCTCGGATTCTCTTCCATCATCACCCTCTTCAAGCAAAGTTTTTAAGAGATATTATCAGGCCATCAAACGAGGAAACATTATTACTGTTCATATTTCTCTTGTTCTTCTAGCCGATAAGCCATCAGATTACAATCGTAAAGTTATTATGCAAATTTCATCTACCAAATTGAGATGAGTTAATTTGCTTCTCATATCATGTTAGAAAATTAACTCATCACCAACCAAATAATCAATTCAATCGAAAACCTTTACAAGTGCCAATCATTTTCAAATTTATCTCATAGAGACAAGAAAAAAAATGTTGATATCAATACATTTCATGTCATCATAAATGTCTCAAAGTGATAACTTGAAAATGATTGATATCACCATCTACCTCCTTCATATTACCTCCTCTCTTCAACCTAACAATTTAGACACTAACACCAATCACAACAATTGATTGTCCCTCTCAAAATATCTATAACCCGATACACGAGAAACTTTTTCAATAGCAAAAGAAACTCGAGAAAATGTCACCATAACCGTACCTTTAATTTTCCCAAAATGAATAACCCATAATATTAGTAATAATATTAATCAAGATAATAGTTAAATTAATAACAGAATAGGAAAATAATAATAACCAATATTCAGTTAACTAACAGTCCAGATAAACTGAGTACATGTTATTTACATTTATTACAAGAGTAAATGTAAATAGCATAATGATTATGTATACAAAACTAACGATATTATCATCATCATCATCATCATCATCATCATCTGTGATCGATCATGACACTTATCATGAAAACAAGGAACAGGACAATTGATGATATGATTAATATTATTATTATTATTATCACAACAATTGTTTCTATCAAAATTCCGGATTCTCTGTTTATCAGAATAGCCCTGAGAATCAAATGATCAACTATCAACTTGAACAACAAGAGAAAGAAAAAAAAATCTACTTAAGAGAGTTAAATTGTTATTCTCAATCAATATCAAATTGGAGCGCAGAATCAACTGAAATGATTATCATGGTGATGATCAACTAACAATTACTGTTATCAAACAATTTAACCAGAATTACATGAGCCAGTCACAGATATGGATGATGTTTGATGAGTATGAATAAAATAACTCAAGGGATTATTAGGTAAGGATGATGATGAACAGAAAGATGATAAACTAACTATTAACATTAAATAGTTATGAATATGCGAATATGTAATTTCCATGTAATATCTAAATTCTGTTCTATTTTTTTTTCTTCATATTCTTTTCTCTCTTCAACCATTTATTTTACTCTATCATTAGACTAACATTATTTTTCTCATTGTTTTTTTTATTTCAATTTTCTTTTCTTTTCAGAAATTCTGGATGATGGCGATGCATCTTTATCATCATGGTTCACATGTAATATTATCAAGAACTTGACATTATGCCAACAGAAAATGTGCTGGAAAAGAATTGAAAAGTCACCAAGGATGAATCATGAAGAAAAGTTCATTTATCTGATTCTGTTATTGTTTCCATCATGATGATCATCATGAAAATTATTCATATTTATATTATTTATCTGAATCAACTCAGGTATTATTTTTTCTATTTGATGGTTGAGTAAATTCAACCATAATCATATGTTAATATACACATGACAATGACCATAATGTTCATTAACGTTAATTGTTGTTATATATTCATATGAATATATATCATGATTCATGGTTAGATTTGATTACTGGAAGATTGAAATTGTTGATTAATTTCCGTTGAAAGTTGATATAAATATCAGAGACAATGGTTAATATATTTAATTTCATGCTTATAATTCAAATCATCATCATCATCATGTTAATTACTAATAATTGTAATGTTAATTTACTCAATAGTTAATATACTTTATTTTTCCTGGTGAATTTTTTGCTTACACTGATTATCTTATCTAATCGTTGAATCTCATTCAATTCAACAATCAAGGAAATTCATGATAATCTCTCTCATAATTCTGATTGTTGTTTGGTAAAAAATAGTTAATTACTTACATTTATGTTAAATCATTTGGATGATTAAAAATCTGAGTCAATTTAATTTCTTCATCAATTTGCCATCCATGTGAACGTGATTGCCAACGAATCAGTGATTTATCAGTTAATTGTTGCTAACCGAAACCCTTGTCTAATAAATTGGTTAATTGTTTTACAAAAGGAAGCAATTAAATTTCCTTAATGGTAACAATTAAATTATCTCACCAGAGGTTTTTAAATCATTTACCTTTTAGCTGTTAAATGGTTAGGCAATTAACATTGATTAAACTTGATTTCATCAACTTTTCAATCAGCTGATTTATTTAATTGTCAAGAATTGAAAACTTGATATTCAATTGGCTGATTAAAACTGTCAGTTATTTCATCTAACTAATTGTAAACATGAGCAATGGACAATCAACTTAACCATTTTAATCAAATACAATTTGACTCAATTCAAGAGACTGATTAATTATTAATCATGATACTAATTTAAATACAATTAATTTAATAGATTACCAGCTGAGTTGATTAAAGAGGAGAACATGTAATAAATAATCGGTTTAATTGTAATTCCTGTAAATCAATTTAAATCCGATTGCGTGGACATATAATAAAACAATTTAAAAAAATCTAAATTTTATTATCACAGTTAACTAATCATTCAACTATTGAAATGATTAACATAATTACGAATAATCAAAACATTTGGAAAATCAACAAGACTAAATCAATTCCCGATCTCCTTTTAAGGTCTTCCAACAATTTATTAATTGTTTGACCTGAAAGACTTTTGAGAGAGCTAGTGAATGAGATTCTAACAATGACATGTGAAGCCAACGCTCGGCGATCATGTAATATATCGGCTGAACTCTCGCGATAATCATTTGTAGATGATATTCGAAATGTTCAATTCTAAGAAAATTTTCTTCGATTCAAAAGGAAATTATGACACATGAAACATTCTATTATCTTGGCCAATATCATCAATCATGAGAATCTGGACGAAAAGTTCTGAAACACTTTGAAAGTTCGATTGGTGAATCATGTCATGAAATGGAAGATTCGTCGTCAAGGTGAAAAGAGTTTTCAAATGAGTTTTACATGAGGAACATTAAGAATAAACAAATTTTCATTAAAGTTGAAAGATTTTTCGTCATGTTGAGCTCAGTGAAAACTGAATATAAACTGAATGCTTGATTCAATTGGAATCATTCAAGTTTCGTCTTTACAACTTTTCATTTCAAAAATTTGAATAACAAGTGTGAGTATTTGAAACTTTTTTATTCTTATTCAGAATAATACCTTTTCCATTTATTACTAATTCGAGTTTCGTAAACTCATTGTTCTTGGCTACATGGAAAATTGTTCTGATCACAGAGAAAACTAAACAATTTCGTATTTCATTTGACCTTTTCTACACGGAGGACATTTAGAAATCGTATAACGAAAAAAGTAGTGACCTGTCTTAGATTGAAACGAATAAAACTTCAAACGAAATTGTATCTTACGAATCATGAGAAGCTTAACTAATTAAATCTAATTTAAAGGTGTGTTTGGTCTTTAAATGATTTCCTTTGATTGTTCAATAAAATTTACTAATCAAATCTAAAATGATCAATCAAACTAATGCAAAATCCAATGGTCAAGATCCAATACTAGCCAATGACTTAACTGACAGGTAATAATAAATAAACTAATTACAATATTAATCATAATAATATAATAGATGAAAATAAAAAAAAACAGCAAAGTAAAAGTTAATTAAAACCTCAATCATATTTAATTAGCTTCCAGAAAATCAGTTGCTATCTTTGTAATACTTATATTAAGGTAACAATCAACTGAACCAAAAAAAAAACAATAATAACATTGGATTAATTTACTCGCTATTATAATTTATTATCCTAATGAATATAATATATTAAATAATTATCATGATAATATTAATCCAGGAATTGAGGTCAATCTTAAATTGTTATAAATTAAGGAAATGGCTGATAAATGATTGAAGAGATTGTGTAATAAGTGAGATTGATTAGATTCCATAGTAAGATGATGACGATGATTAGGAAGATAATTATAATTATCGAGATATAAATAATTTAATTGTAATTATAATCATCATCTGATTGATCAGTTTTATCTTTTTTTTTGTTCAAAAAGTGTAAAATAGTTGATGTAAAATCTTTGGTCTAGTTGGGCCTCAGATTTGACCTTCTCTTTTAGCTTAACTACAATTAGTTAACTATTAGCTAAATTGTTATCATGAAATTGACTTTTTAACCATCACAATTTAATCATACTAATAATATAATAATAATAGTCTATGAAGATAATAAGATTTCTTGTTAATTTTTAATTTTTTTTTTCCTTTCAAATAGAAAACACTTTTTACCAAGCAAATTGCCTTGGGCTACAAACGATGATGATTAAGATGATGCAAGTAAAAGAAACAAGGTGAAAAAGGAGATATTTATCATCACTATCATCATCTTCTCCATCGTCTTCATCATCTCTCTGTCAAATATCTGCCAATTCATCAACATAATCCTAAGGTAAAAAGGATCCAAGTCAAAAGCCTAAAAACCCAAAAACTCAAAGACCTTAAGAGACTTTAGATCAATCTAATTTTGCAATTCAATTGAGACACAAAAGATGAGGATGAAAAGATGACGAACATCAAGTAGCTCCTTTAATCATCATCATCATCATCATCACCATAACAATGTGAACATAAAGATAAGATGGGAACGAGAAGTTACTTGCAACTTTTGGACAGGGAACATAAAGTCGAGTTAAGTGTTGACAGAACTTTTTTTCATTCTTTTTTTTTCATCTTCTTTTGTCAAGATTTATCCATCGATACCATGGACAAGAGATGACCTCCTCCTCCTCCTCTCGACAATATGGACATAACGGGAGATAACGTGATATTTGGCCTTAAAATCGAGATACAAAGGGAACAATGAACAGAATAAAAAAGTAAATACCTTATCCGTAAAAAAAGGTATTGGTTACAATTCAATAGATTCAATGTATTCACTCATTTGTATCTTAATCCATTTCATAATCACGATGATTAAGCTTAACAATTTGTTATCTTCCCCCGAATCAGATTAACTGTTAATATTTCATCTCTCTCTCTCTCTCTCTTCATTGATAAACTTAATCTCTTCAAAAATGAGACATCTTATCAAATAATTTCCTTCTCATATTCAGGATAGATTATTGAAAATTTAAGTCCATTCAATTTGAATTAAGTGATATTATTATTATATTATATTCTGTATATAATATTTAAAGGCCACTTTTTTGTACCTTAATCGTATTGTTGATTGTATTAAATATCCGAAAGTAACCAAAACCTTTTAACGGATAAAAAGCAAAAGCCTTTAGTTTTTGCATCTCCTTGATTGTTGTTCATCAGGATTAGATTTAGATTTGAAATTAGGAAGATAAAAAATGGAGGACAGATTATTATCATCTCTCTCATATCCTAATTGTGTTAAGATTAATGGGACAATTTAAGTTTTATCATGATGATTATTAGATAATCACTTTTGAGTTTTTTTTCTTCATCCCATTCAAAAGTTTCATGTTGATTACAAATCATCATCATCATCATTCATTGATTAATATTATTTAAAAGTGATCAATTAGTTGCTTCTTGATTCAATTGATGATTAGTTGATGATCGTTGTTAATTACTTTAAATGTAAATTATAAGGTTGGTGTGTTTGATGAATGATTACATTTAAGTTAATTTGATTTTTGATTATCTTTTTTTTTTATTTGATTATTTGGTGTTGCCAGAAATCATTCATTGTATTAGTTAATTTAATTGTACAGGTTATGATGATTTGATTGTGATGCAAATTTTACAACAAACTTGATTGTTGTTATTAACCTTTTCTTGATTATTATTAATAGCACCTTGAAAACGGGATTCAAATTGAATAACAATTTAATTTCTGATCATTTAAGTAAAATTATAAATGTTAACAATCAGCTTTCATCATTGAAGTGAATTAAAAAAAAAGTTTCAACAATCAGATGATGATGATGAAATTATTATTTTTTTATCACAATTACATGATGATGTTGATTGTGTTTATCATTTTGATACAATAATAATCCGTCAACATTTACTCATCAATCCCTATCATTATCATTTAAAATGTGTTGGTCAAGTCAATAGTAGCAGTTTAAATTGTTGTTATTGTTGGTAAATTAACAACAATCAACAATCAAATCAAGCAAATCGGAAGCATACAAATTGTACACTCATCATGATGAAAAAAAAATATATCAACCTAAGTGTATATTAGTTATAATAATACCTGTACATGTTTCAAGGATGAGACTATGATGATGATGATGATGATGATGAGGAAGATAAATATATAAGGTGATAAAGGTGAAGATGAATCAAGCTCAATATATTATTATCATCTCAAGCAGAATGTCATATAAATAGTGAACAAACAAAGGTAAACTTACCTGAGCTTTCATCATGATTATCTCATGATATTTGTCCTCATCATCATCCAATGAATAATTTCAATCTCATCTGATTATCATCTTAATACATATACAATTATGATGATCAAAGATAAACAAAATCTAAATGTGAACATTGATCAGAATCAATTTAGTAAATGATGATCATGATGATCATGATAATATAATAAGTACTGAATCATGATGATCAAAATCAATTCACCTGGAAGATTAAATTGATTGTTGAAGATTAAATCAATTGGATCAACTTCAATACTAATCAGTGGTAGTGATGAAAATGATATTGATCATTGAAGGTGTTAATCACAATTAGATTCTCAACTTTCTCAATCTAACATGTTAACCAAACAATCAAAGTTTACTTACGATAATCAAGTAAACAATCAATGAGGTAAAAAAAAAAATAACATAATCAATGTCAGTTTATTAATTGATAATAATCATCAATGAAAAACAAACAAATTACAATAATGTAAAACTTTCACCAACCTGTAATTAGAGCTGATTAATCAGGTAAGGAAACGATGATGAGAAGGGGAAAAATGTATTTCAATTGATGATTGAGATGATGATGATAATTTATTAATCATTTGGCAACTAATCATCAACCTAATCATGATGAGAACGCCTTAAAATCAATTTTACAAAAACCCAACTATTAACAGGGAAGGGAAAAAATATCTTACCTTGTTATTGTCAAGTAATCAAAGTAAAAAGCATAAAAATGAAGCATCAGATAATTTTAGTTCTGATGATGATGTTTCCTCCCATCATCATGCTCCTCATCCTCATCATCTTCAACTCCCATGATAATTTAGGTTCATAAAAATTGAAATGAATGAAAATGAACATAAATTCATTTTCAATGTAACCAAAGCAACAACAAAAGGCATGTCAATGAGTTGATGAGTTGCTTGAGGTTTTTTTGTTGTTGTTGCTCCTCTTTGACAGCTCTATTAAAGCTTTATGATGATGATGATGATGAAGATAATGATGAGAGAGAGGATGATTGAAATAGGGCAACTAATTAGTCTAAATCCTGATTCAAATCTCTCTATCATTCTCATCATTTTCATCTCCATCTCCATCTTGCCTTCCATCATTTGTCAAATGAGAAATAGTTTCTTTGCAAAAATCACTTAACTCTCATCATCATCTTCATCATCTTCATCTTCATCTTCATCTTCATCTTCATTTTCATTTTCATCCTCATCCTTTTGCTTTTGTAAGCAAAATTTTTTTACTATGCATTTGTAATTGTTGATATTGTTGTTATAGCTTTTTAACAGTATCATTAATTTTCACTTAATTGTCTCATCTCAATCTTACAATTAACACGAATTGGTAATGATATTAATTTAACTGTTACCATTTTCATGGAATGATAATAAAGATTCGCAATTTAATTTAATCGTTGCAAACTTTAATTAATCTAATTAAAATAACTTTAAGTTAACTGTTATCTAGAATATATTTGTTTTTCTTTCAATGCTTTTCAATATGTAACCTTAATTGTTGTTATTTATCATTTGATTGATTACCATTGTTTTGATTGTGTTTGTTGTTAAACTGTAACACAAACTGAATCAGTTTATCTCTCTCACTCTCTTAATTAATATTAATTAAGACAACTAGAAGGACAATTAATGATCTATAGTTTAAAACAACAAGATGAGTTAATATCACAACAATTAAGGGATAACAATTAAGCTTTGAAATATTTTTCATTCTAAAAAAAACAATATCAAAAGTAATTAATTATTATTATGTTTGTGCCTAATCATTGGTTAATAAAGACAAACTTACTATTAATATGATTTCCACAATCAAGAGACACTAATTAACTTGATTGTGTGAGAACCTTTGGTTAACAGTCTTAATTATTATTATATTAAGATGATAATAATCATAATAAGATAATCAAACTGTCACATACAAATGGGAATGAAAAATATTTACAAGAAAAGTAAAATCTTAATTAATGTTCACAACAATTAACCATGATGATATAATCAAGAAATTTAAATCATCTGTTCATTGTCACATCTTTTTTGTTTATAAGGGATAAAGATGATGATGATGATAAGCCAAGATGAAGATTCCAACCATTAGGATGATGAAGATTAAAGGTGATGATGATAATATTTACTGTTGGTCATTTCCTGGTAACAACAATGGAAACAGATGGACATTGGGATGGACATTGATACGAAAAATTGAGCAGGAAAAAAGGTAACAATCCAAAAGCTATTGAAAATATAAATAAAAGAGAGTAAAAAATTATTAGATTAATAAATTATTATGTATTCTAATAGGTTAATAAGTTATTAAAGTATAAACATAAGTCACCATAGATAAACATAAAGATGATGTTGATATTTGTCAACTAATTTCCGATCTCAATCAATCCAGGAAGTGACCTTATAATGAATTATATTGATCATATCCTCTAATTGTTATGATTAATATTGAACTTATTTTGATTCTCTCTCTCCAATGTTTATCTTATTATTTTCATCGTTCACCTTTATTAATCTATTGATTAAGTTAATCGTCATCATCATCACCATCATCCATGAAAGCCACAAGCTATGTATTCATGAATTGTTGACACTTTCAATAAAAACTGATCAACAGTAAATTTAATCTCAGTTGATCAAATTTGATTATTGTTTGATTTTCATTGATTTAACTTGATCACTTTGGTCAATATGATCAAAAAGCAACATTACCAAAAAAAAATATATAATAAAGTCAACCTCAGATCAGATCAAAGTTAATGTTAATTGTAAACAATCAAAATCAATTTTTTCACTTCTACTTTAAGTAAATGTATTCAATATAATATTTATGCGATTACTTGAAACAATTTACTTAATTTTCAATGGATCATTAGTAATATCATTAACTTTTAGATTGTCAAAATTTAATAACAATGTTAAGGTCACCAAAATGATAAACACAATAATAAGGTGGAGGGATTAACAGGGTGGTTACATGATACTGAGTTTGATTAGATTTAAAATTTAAACATTAGACTTACAATTTGATTTTTGTTCCCTGATACCTGTAACTTGATTCTGTAAATTGTATCCAGAGTATCATTTATCCCCTTTGTTATCATCCTCATCATCAGAACCAGATCTTATCCTTCACCTCCTCCTAAAAATATAATACATTGGATCCATTGGATTATCATTTGAAAAATGGCAATCTCGTTTCTCTGTTAATGGATGAGTATGAGATGAAGTTTAATTTATCTTTAATCCGGTTAACAGGGTAACAATTAAAGAGAGTATAGTTTACTGAATAGAGAAGGAGAAAAAAATAGGAATAGATTATCAGATAATGATGATAATGATAATGAGAAGATGATCTCTCTCTCTCTCTCTCTTTTTCTATCCTTTTCTCTTCTAAATCAAGGGAGAAAAAACTAATTTTAAACATTGAACATTGTTAAAAGATGATGACGATGATGATGAAGGAGAGAAGCCTGAGAATCAGATTACAGTTAATTGTCGCACTTAATTTTGATAATCATTCATGAGTTTGTATTACAAAACTTTTCCCTGTCAAATGTTAACAACAAATCTGATAGTTTCTGTTTGTTTTTATTTCTCTTTGATATCTTTCTCATCTTTTTAAAGTTTTTTTCTTCTTATTTCATCATCATCATCATCATCTCACATCATTTCACTCATCTGCTTTGCTTCTCATCAACTTTCAACTCCATGTAAACACAACAGAAAAACGCTCATGGAGTATGAATGTATTATTATTACAACAATTACTGTTGATGATGTTGAAATTGCTCTGTTAATTTAACTGGCAACTGTGAATCAAATGGTTCCTATTCATAGATTTACACCTTCCTTTGATTGTCTCTTTCACAATTTGCTATTGTTGTTTGGTTAAATTAATTCATTTTGGTTCCAGGTAAATGAACTTTATCGTTCTAGTTACTTTCTTTTGAGACTTTTCCTCTGTTGTATATCTGGTTGTTGTTGTTGTTGTTACAGATGATGGTGAAGATGATTTTTATCATTTAGTAAACAAAAGTAAACGTTTGTGTTACTTATTACGTATTATTGCAATTACAATTATCCATAACTATCGAGGCACAATCAGTCTAATTGTCTATGATTCTAAGTGTTTACTGGCTCCTGTTTGATGGGACAGATGAATAGCAAAAGAGATAAAGTATCATGAGAAGAGAAATGAAAACAAAAGTATTGCAGTTATTACCTTTTCTACTATATTCCTTGTACAAAGATATTGTCAACAATATAAATAAATGAGAGAGAGAGAGAGGGAGAAATGGGAGCAGCATAGGAAGATAATTAGCTTGATAATAGATCTATGAGCAATTTGATAATAGTAATAATCATGGTAATGGTAAAGTTTTACCTGATGATAGTTGTGGTGATGATTATACACAGAGAGAGAGTTGAAATTAATGGTGAAAAGGATAAAATTGAATGAAAATAATAGCAAATTAAAGGTAAATCCACAAAGGAATGGTTTTTGTAATGTAATTCCTGTTACATGTTATGGTTTGAGTTCCAAGATGCTTCCTACCTCAGATGAATAGATAGACAGGTTTCCATTGAGAAAAGAAGATATCATGCTGACCAAGGAACAATCTACAAGAAATAAGATGAGAGAGAAGAGAGAAAAAAAATCTTATTATAACATTGACCAAGAAACTCGCCTCAAGCTTATACACTCTCTCTACACTAAGATGTAGAAAGGAAACTGTGATCAACAATTATAAAAGATCAGGAGGAATAAAAGAAAAGAGATGAGCATGAAGAAGAAGAAGATGAAATTGGAATAGAAGAAGAAGAAAGTAAAAGATGAATGTTCCAAGGAAAAGCAACAAGGCAAAACTCACAATCTAATGTAAGAGAAGATGTGAAAGGTTTTTCTCTTTCTCTTTTTCGTTTTAATTATAATTTCCATTGGATCATTAGTTTATCACTAAGATCAAGTCACAAATCTTATTAAAATAGAAACTCACCTGAAAACAATACACTGATTGTTATCACATTGATTATCCCAGAATAAATTAAACAAGAGACAAAAACAAAAGACAAAACCAATACATGAGAATATCAACCAATCAACCAGAATCAAGTGATTAATTGAACACAATCAGTCTTAAATGTGGTAAATTGATTGACAATGAGAAGAAAACAATCAGATTAAATTAGATTGTTACAATTCCAAACCAAATGAAAACATGATGAAGAAAAAAATAATTAAAGAAAATTGATCCATAAGGGTTAGTTTGTTAATTGATTTTCTATTCGCAATCATGAGATTTCCCCTTTTTTCGTTTTTCACAAAATTTTAATTTTGTTTACCTTTTGATTGACTTGCACGAATTAACTAATTTAATTCACTAATCAATTTAATCAATATCATTTATCTTTTTTATTATTGTTAATCTCTTTTTCACTGACCATTGGTGTTTCTCGCTCTTCAGTCAAAATAAAGTAAGTGACCATCTTGAAGGTTGAATCTTTTTTCTATAATTATTTGTTAGGTTTTTGCGTGAACATCAAATAAAACTGTTAACCTAAAATCTTTTGGGTTTAATCAGAAATTTCATTTCATTTGATTTTATTTGCTGATCTTCATCATCTTGGTTCTCTCTCTCTCTCTCATCCTCCATCTTCTTCTCCTTTTCTTTGCCATACCTTTTATCTGATATTCGTGGGTAACCTTAATATCATTTTTGTTTTATCTCTTTACAGAAAATTCTCTGAGTCAAATTGGTGGAATTACAAATAATCAATGGTGACCCGTTTAGCCTCAGAGAAAGAGGATATATTTCATCAGGAGAATCAAAGGGAATTTCAATTTCGATGCCTATTCAGACCTTTCAGAGTTGTAGCTCAGAATTATTATCTTACCAATTTCGCTCATCAATACATCTCAATGGTTCGTTGAGACTAAAAGTTTCATTTCAAATTTTTAATTCTTTTTTGGTAATAGAATGAGAGTTTTAAATTTGACGTTAAATCAATTTGTTAAATTTGATTATCATTTGAACTCCACCTTAAAAATGTTCTCTTATTCTTGATTTTCTTTTCTCATACTCTTTTTCAGGCTTTTCATCGTCATGAGCATCTTCATGCTCATCATCATCATCATCATCATTCCTTGGCAATTTTTTTCTCTTTGTTTCGTTTCATTTTTTTTCTTCCTTCATTTGGATCCACAATTCATCAGCTGATCGCGTGCTTATCAGAATCACAAGCAAATCACAATTAAACCTCACCTATGTGAGAGTGGATTGTGTGTTTTCACCATGATAATCAGTGAGTAAAGGTAAAGAGGGAGATAATTTTCTCTCTCACTCACTCACTTTTACTGTAGCAAAAAAAGTGCAAAGAAATTACAATAATTAAGGCTTGGTTAGTTTCTCCATTATAATCAACGTAAGTAGTAATAGTTATCTTTCCTAAATTAATAACGCAAACAAAGCATTAATTCAAACGCAATTAATGTTATCATTATGTGGTTTTGACAATTAAATCTCCGATGATAATAATCATTAAATGATAATAGTGATAATTATCAAATATACAAACAATCAGGTTGATGATTTTCCCTCCAATCCTTTTAAATTAAACTACAAAGTGTTAGATTTCATAAGTAATATGATTAAGTTTAGAAATGAGTTTTAATCAGCTAAAAAGTAATTAATACAATTTAGATTAATTAGAGTTCATAACATTGATTGGAACCCATTAAATTGAGTGTTGATTGTTTTTCCAACAATCAACAATTTTAATGATAATGATGGATCTTCATTATGATCATTCATTCAATGATTTAATCAATTTGTCTTTCTCTTAATTGTTTGGTAACAATTAATTAAAATGATTTGATTTCTTCCTTTTCTTCCTGTTTACATTGCAAATCAAATAATCTCATCTAAATTAGTTAACTGATTAATTAGTAAGATGTTTTAATTGTTATTATAAGATGATTAACCTTTTCTCCTCTTCCTTAATTATCATAACTTGCCATTGATTAATCAAGTAAATACACTAATCAAATCTAAATAAACTTATATACTTAATCTATCCCAATTAAGAGTAAAGTAATTCAACAATAATTAGATCAACATTTAATGACAACAATTAGAGTCTAGACACAGTATGATTAACTTACAATTAAATTGTAAATCACAATTAACCATTAACGATGAGATTAAACATAAAATGGATTAAAGAAAATAAATCCAATGAAATGTTGACCATCAATCAATCAGATTAGTTTTAATCTGATTGATTATCATGAGATAATCACAATAACTAACAACCAAAAAAAAAATAAATAATTATCAATGATTAAGATTAACAATTAACAAACAACCCATTGAGAAAATTTAATTGTCTACTCCCAAGATTAAGAATAACAATAAAAATGATCAATTCAACTAAACGATAAGTTAAATTGATTTAGTTAATGAAGTGATAATGGTTATTAATAAATCTTATCAAATTACCATTAAACGATCAGTAATTTAATTTAAATCTTAATAGTAAACAATCAAAATTGTAAGCAATAAAGTGCAACAATAATTTTTGCTCAATGGAAAATAATTTATTCTAATTTTTTTCACTCCAATCTTTTAACTGTCAACAGCAATTTAATATCGTTCATTGAATCAACAACAAATTAATAAAAATGATGTTTTTTTCACAGAGAATCCAATCCATAGGCAATGGTAAACTTTACATTGGAAAGTCTTATGCAAACAATGATGAGAAAGGCAACAAATAGATTACAATTTGAATGGTAAATGGATAAACAATTGGTTGATAAATTGAAGCGTTTAAAGGGAAAAAAGATCAACAGTGATTTAAGTTTATACTTTAAAGGATTAACGATGAAGATTAAGATTACTGTTTATGGTTGACACTCGTTGGTAACCCAGATAATTGTTATAACAAGAAGAGGAGGAAGATGAAGATGAATGGGAAGGATCAAGGGAAAAGAAGGAGGAAAAAGACAAAGAACCAACGGTGGAAGAGGAAAAAAATGAAAGATTTTAGGATGAAGATGAACGGAAACAGTTGAATATGTTGATCGACAATAACAGTAATAATACTCATGTAGTATGATGATGAAGATGAAGATGAAGATGGAGATGGAGATGATAAAGGTGTGTCATCCTCTTACTTTTCTTTTCCATTTTTGTCTCTGTGGATGAAGAGAAAGATCAACAACGAAAGCAATTAATCCGATGAGGATGTTGATCGGCGGTGGTACCAAGAAGAAGAGGAGGAGAAGAGACAGTTTTTTGTATTCTAATGGGTGGCAAAGGTATTAAGGAGACGCTGGTGGTGGTGGTGGTGAAGGAGAAGGAGGATTTTGGAGAGGGTAACCCTGGGGAATGTGATGAGGATGATTATTATTTTCCTCTCTCTCTCTCTCCTCTCCTGCTAATTGAAAAGAAACTAATAGAATATATAATTTATGTATAAAAAAGTCAATCAACCAATCTTAAGGTTCATCCTCATCTTTTTCATCAATATTCTGTTTTCATCTTTATCCTTATCATCTTGATCATCTATTTGATGGTCCATTGAATTAATAAATCAACCCTAAATCATATCATTATTATTTACCTTTTTCAAAGGGAAAATCATATGGTTGATTTTTTTTCAAACTCTAATCAAGTTAATGAAAAATATTTTCTGTTAATGATCAAATTGATGGTGTGATGATCAAGCATCATATTTGCATGCGAAAAGTGAAAATTATGCTTAATGGTGAGGATGAAGTTGTTCATCATCATCATCATCATCATCTTTATCAAAAGCAGCATCATTTTTAATTTATATATATTTCTTGGTTAAAGTATTGATTTAATGAAAGAGAAACAAATTATTAACATCCAGATGATGATGAGGATGATAAACAAGATGAGAATAAGACTAATTTGGTGAAACTAATTTTCTGTTCAATATTTAATTTATCCATTTATTTGGAAACAAATTTTTCAGCTCAAAAGATGAAGACATAGATAAAGATGAGGATGCTAAGAGGGTGATGTAGGAGTGATGATAAAAAGTGAGTAAACATGAAGATGAGGGAGCAAAATGATATAATGTATTAATGTTAGAAATTTTTTCCTCGCTTTTTTCAATTGATATGATCAACAATCAACTTGAAAGAGGATGAAAAGCAAAGGTCCATTGAGAGAGAGAGAGAGAGAGAGAGAGAGATAACTAGGAATGACCTGGGATATTATCATCCTCATCCTCATCATCCTTATCATCACCTCGAAACTTTTTCAATATAAATAAATATAAAAAAGGGAATCAACGATTTGTGAAAGATCAACAACAATATCAATTGAATCTGAAAGTAAATTAACAAAAGTCATCGGCGTAAATGAATGATGATCAATTGTGATTAACATAAAATTGAACACAATGGACAACAATCAACCAACAATTTACTCAACCATTAAGAGACTTACCTTAAAAAAAAGGAGACAACAAGTTCAATGGTAGCAACAATCAACACGAGAAAAAAACGATAAAGTTAATCATAAATCATGATCACTATTCAGAAGTTGATTCACAAAACTATTTCAATTTGAATCTAAGGTGTAAACAATCAAGGAAAATATTTCACAACAATTTAACAACAATTCAATTTCCATCTCGAAGGTGAAGTAACTTTTACAATGAAAATTGATTCAAATCACTGGACCAAAATCAAATCAACTGACCATTGTTGTTGGGTCAATATAATGGATTCTAAACCTAATAAAACCATAGAAATATTAACAATTTAGATACAACAATTAACCAATTTAACCATGTAAATCATATTGCTCGTTGGGATAGTAAATAAATGTTACTTAATTGTTGAATTAACTTTTTTAAACCACCAAAGTTTAGATAATTGTTACCTTCATTGTAATTAGAAAATTGCGAAAAAAGTTAATCAATTAACTAATCAATCGTGTGTGTGTCTGTATTTGTTTTAAGTTTCTGATTGTGTGAGGTAAATCAATTAAATTGCAAGTGATTAACCTTGCACAATTAACGGTAACTAAATTACAAATAGTAAAACTTAGTAACTGTGAAAACTTTTTTTTGTTCATTTCAATTGTTTGGGAATAAGAAAAACAAACAAACAAATGATTATAATTAATTGTAATCAACTCAATTCAGTTTATTATTATTGTGTAGTAGTTGTATCATCAAATTTAATTGCAAACAATATCCCCAATCCAAAACACGCAATAAAACAATCAACAATTAAGTAAATTATTGGAAACTTTTTTGTTCATACTTTCATCCAAACGTAATAGTATTTACAATAGTTTAAGTTTCTTGATAATTTAATTACAGAAAGCAACAATTGTTAGTTAACAATTTAGGACAACTGTTCAAATATCAACAATTAGGAAAACATCATAATGATAATCATGATGAAAATTAATGTTAATCATTTACAATTAATTCATTTTCTACCCACAGATTGTGTTAAACGTTGAACACGTTGGATAACAAAAGGTAAACACAATTTACATTGAGAATCAAGTTCGTGAGTTAAGAGATTAACCAGAACTACAGAGATGATAATTAAGATGATGATGATGATGATGATGATGATAATGAAGATAAGGTGAATTAGTGGTTTTCTAGAGGACACATAATTCAAAAAGGTAATATCATAAACTCTGAATTCTCATGTTCCGAAAAGTCAATGTAAAGGTAAAGTTAATCACGAAAGTGAATCTTATGCTTTCTTGATTTTCCATCATCATTATTATTATCATCATCATCATCATCTTCCTTTTTCATCTCAGTATGTTTGTCACAGAAGTGATTATGGATAATTGCCCTAAGGGTATTCGGTAAGAGGATGAGTAACATATTGAGATTACGATTGTTGTTATTTCCTTTTCCACCATCAAACTTATCTACCATCAATTAGGTAACCAGAGTGAAGATGAATATCAACCTAATCATTATAAAAGTCTTAACAATCAACTAAAATGTCATGAAAATTAACACACACACACAGAGCGAGAGATAAACTCATGCACTGGACTCGCGTGGGTGATGATGATGTACACTAATTATCATTATAATCATCAATTAAATTTGTAAATTCTGTTAGTTTTAAAATGGAAACCAGAATATATTAAGAGCAAGAGATGATCTAATTTACATATTTTCCATCCTGTATTCATATTACTGTACAATTATAATCATCTTCATACTAATATTATGATTATAACAATTACAATATCAACATGGGCCACACAGTAACTTACCTTTTGGCCAGGTTATTGTTGTGCTTTGTTTATTATTATGGTTAAACTTTTACAATAAAAATGAATTTAATTAACTTTGAAAATCTCATCAACAATCAACAACAATAACAACAATTAACTCCTCCTCTTTAGCACGTTTCAATATCAAATAGCACATCAAGTCCTCCTCCCCCTCCCAGCACTACTGAATCTTGATGATGAAGATGGAGTTGAATGATGATGATGATGATGATGATTGGATATGGTGTTTGTTGGCTCGTATATTGCCTGGAGGAAGATGAGGAATAAATTATTTGAATAAATTGAAATGGTAAATTTTTATCTTCCAATGGACAATCAACTAATAATATATATATACGATATTCACTTGACTGATATAACTGAATCATTTCAATTAACTTAATTGTTAGGGTATGTTGATCAATTCATTTAACTGTGATGATTGATAAAAGAGTAAGTGAAAGATTCAAACAGAAACTTAACAATTAAACTAATCAAATGAGATTATAAAATATTCACAGTCACAGTTATTATTAAATTAAAATTACTAATTGATTGTAATCTCTTTAATATATCTCAATTGTCATAATACTAATCATGGTAATCAAATTAATTCTACTCATATTGTTACTGTTAATTCAGTTGATAAATATACAGGAAAAAATGTATAACAAAACCTCAGAAAATTAATTTAAAACAATTGCTATTCAATTGTAATCATCCAATGAGAAGATAACGGTAAATCCTATTTTCGGTCCAACTGTCAACAGAATTAAATCTCAGGGAAAGAGAGAGAGAGAGAGAGAGAGAGAGAGAGAGAGATTTCTTTTTATCATCTTTATCATCATAAATTTATGAACAAAATGTTCATCATCATCTGGTTAGTGCAACTTGAAGCTTTGCTATTGTCTCATCTTCATCTTCCTCCTTCATATTGACATAAACTTAACTTTCACTTTATTATTATGGTAAAAAAAATATGATATTTATGAAGATGATGATGGAGAGGACAAAGACAAAAGAGTGAGTAAGTGTGAGAGAGAATCTGGATAATGGATTCTGATGGAAGCGGATTTATCATCTTTGTCTGTCTTCCTCATCTTCATCTCTTTTCCTTCTTAGTGTTTACTTTAAAAACTCCAATCCAAATTCATATTTCTTCCAATAAGATAATCAACCAAGAGAAATATGATGAACCGAATTAATAATAATAACAACAGATTAAATAGATTCTCAGAAAACATGATAATATCTGTGAAAGAATAAGAAGATAAACAAGACAGAATATTATTCCCTTGGAACATATGAGAAGAAGATCCGAAAAGAGAGAGAGACAAAGAAGATAAATAATAAAAGAGGGAGAAGATATTTAATAAGTAAACTTATTAAAATTGTTCATATAATCATATTAATCTCAATATGAATATAATACTTACACTCTAACGGTTAATACATCACCAGGATACTTACCCTTTTTTTTCATGTTATTATATTTCAACTTGAATCTAAATACTAAATAAGATGAAGGAAAAAATTGGTAACGGTAATCAAGGATTAATATTGTTCTTGATGGAAACAACCTGGTTAAGCTTAACCATTAATCCGCTCAATCGAACTTCTTTTAGATTGTAATAGTTGAGCCTTCTCATTGTTATTATATTATCATAATAAACTTTTGCCTGGTTGATTCCAATCCGATTCCTCTTGTTCATTGTAATCGTTGTTGTTTTCAAAGGTAGATAACAATTGATGAACAAAATGATGATGAGGATGATGATAAAAGCTAATCTTTAATGTGTAATCCATTTCTTTATCTTCTCCATTCCAATTACATGTATGTATATTATTAGGTTTACACCATTAGTTGAATTTACCTATTGTGATTAGATTAATTGAATGATAATCATGATAAAATATAAATAAATTCATCTCTCAGTCTCCCTTTCTGTGTATTCAAAGGGATTAAATTGAGAAGGAAAAAGTTGCATTTAAATTGAATTAAAAGTGATATGCTTTTAGTTAGATTGTTATCAACAATCAAATTTGATTTAACTCTTTCAACAATCATGATGATAATTTAAAGGGATCAACAATTTACCTGTTGTATCAATAGTTACCTTTGTGTTTGTTTTCTCATCCAATCTATTGATATCTCATTGGAAACGCTTTAATTATTGATGATCATCAATGTCTTGTTCATCTATTTGCTGATCCACGAGTTAATCTCATTCAAATCAATTCTTGGGACATGATTGTATGTGTTTATTTACCTGAAAACTAACTGTTAAAGTTGCATAAGTTACACAATACAAAGGTAACAAGAAAAATCATCTGCAAGGTAAATGATTCGTTGACATTTGATCCAGATTCAATATTGAATTCAGTTCAGTTTGAGTGTTTAAGTTTTTTTTTTGCTTCTGTACATTTGGTAAACAAATGAGATTGAATTTCAAAATCTCTCAGTAACTGTTGTTAACTTTGATTCTTACAAATCATCATCATCAAAATATAACCAGGAAATGAGAAAATAATTTAATGTCATTCATGCAAAATAACAGGTAGATATGTAATTTTTGTCATATTATTATTTGGTCATCAGATTTCATCATTATTTTCATGGAGCGATTCATTTAACCTGAAAACAAATCATCAGTTAAATATGAAACATATGTGATGTTACATGATACAAATCAAAATAACTTTTGTTGTTTGTTTGTTTATCTGCTTGGTGACTTATCCTAAGGATTAGGATTTGAATTCGGGCTTAACAAAATTAGTATGACAACAATAATAGTCACAAAAAAAGACAGATAAATATAACATTAAAAGCATCGTTTTTGGATGAAGAAGATAAATTTTGTGTAGTGAGAGACAAGATTATGGTTGATGGAAAACAGTTCATGGGAATTGAATGAAAAGCTTATGTTGTGAATCTTATGCAAAAAAGTTAAACCGAGACATCTAAAGACAATGGGAATATATTATTCGGTTTACATGTTTACAGAATTATTATATCTATCATCGTTTTCATTTCATCTCTCAGCTGAGTTTCTCTCTTTCTTTTTTTTTCTCCATCAATATCATTCCCACTAAATCCAAGCTGAAATGAAAGAGAGAGAAAAAATAGAAATAAAATGTTGCAAGTGACAGATAAATACACAGAGAGATCAATCAAAATAAAAGGATAGGGAAAAGCGGGTGAGGTCGGAAGATAGAAAAGAGTATGATTCATGTAATAATATGGAACTGAAATGGATCTTATTTCAATCAAGTTAACCATAACCATGGAATAATATGAAATAGAAATGAACACACAGAGTTACATAGAGGAAAAGAAGGAGAAGAAAACAAAACAAAGTAGAAAAGGATAATGATGATGAAGGATAAGGAGAAGAAATTAGTAAAAGAGATAAAGTGATGAAGACTTTGCGAAGATGAAAATGTGAATAAGATTGTCAATGAAGCATAGAAATTGGACAATTAGGGTAGTGAGTAAGATCTTTTATCTTGCTTTTCTATTATTAAACAAGAAGATGACCAGACAAAGAAGAAAGAGAGAGAGAGAGAGAGAGAGAGATGAGTTTATATGAGAGAAAAGCAGGTCAGAGAAAAAGAGTAAATGAAAAAATGGACAAGAATATGGTGAGAGTTGGATGATAAAAGAAAGAAGAAGATAAAAGAGAGAAAGTAAATGTATATGTAAATATTAGAAAATGTCTATTACCTTGAATGTGTCCGAAATTAGTGAAGGATGTAGGATTGATGAGCTATGGATGGATAAAAGATATACAAGTAATCCCCAAGTGATAGCGTTATCCATGAAATAGAGAGAGAGAGTAATCTAAATCCATCTCATCTCTTGATCTTTTTCAGTAGTTTCTTTATCCTCCATCTCCATGTTCAATTGTTGTCTTTTTATCTTCTTCCTCACCATGTTGACTTTTTTATTATTCTTTTTCTCTTTTCCTCTCAATTCTTTCTTTTCGTTGTAGCAAATTGAACTTTTCCATCGTCATCTTTGCTCCTTTTTAATGAAAAAAAAGATATTCTCTTCCTTTGAAACTCTCGATTCTCTTGAAATGTTGTGTAGCCTAAAGGTGTAGACCCCATACGGAACCGAGATCACGGGAGTGGTTACACTATTTCTTTTTCCAAATTTGATTTTTTGCTCTTCATTACTTTAAGTTTCTTGTTAACTTGTTGTTTCCTTTTCCACTTGAAAAGAAGAAGAAAATAATGTTCTAATTTGGTCAATTCCTTGAGCTTTTCTCTTTTTTTCTCCAACATTTTCCATCTTATTATTTTCTTCTCAATCATCGTCATCATCGCCAGAGTCTAATATCATCTTTTCGGTCTCCGCTCCGTTTCCCATTCTCTATCTCTCCTACTACAACTACTGTGGCGATACAACAGGTAAGCAACATAAGGCTAATGGTTTTAAAGATAATAATAAGAAGAAAAAAATTAATAGACATTCGATAGTTAATGAAAAAAGGTAAGAACAATAATCAACAACTCACCTTATGAGAAGGTAAATATAACCATTGGAAAGAATTGAGTTGATCTATTAACCTAAGAGAATGGAAATAAACAAAGAAAATATCAAGAGAAAAGGAAATTTTTTTTTCTTTAAAAGAGCAGAGGAAGATAATTAAATTTGAGAGAATTAACTTTGATTTAGTTAAGGGTTTGGCTTTTTGGGTTAATGGTTTGAGATGTTTAAGGTTTGATCAAATTGGGAAACAAACTGTAAGTAATTTTGTATTAGATGGAAACAAATAAATTGAACTGGATTAGGATTAGATATTAAAAGGGAAGTGGATATTAACTATTAGTGGGAGGATAAGGGAAAGTTATTGTTATAAATTGTAGGTTAATTGTGAGAAATATTGTTTACAATTAAAAAGCGAGAGATACTTGAAAATTCAAGCTCTTTTAAAGATGAGAGATGAACACAATCAATTAAATTGTAGTCATGATTAACAGCGACCATTGGATTAGTGGAATTGGTTTCAATTGATTTGAGTGAAAACCATGAGAATAATCATCTTCATCTCTCCATTATTATCATCATCTTGTTGGTCATCAATTTAAGATTAACAATTGTTTAGCTCTTCATATGGATGAACTTTCCGATTGTGTTGTTTTTAAATATTCCTAAGGTGATTATCCGTGTAGACAGATGAATCTCTAGGAAAGAAATAGATAACTAATTATTAATTTAAGCGAGAGTGGGGGAGAAGATGATGATGGAGAGGATTGATGATTAAAGGCGAAAGTTGAGCCTGAAAATAGAATTTCAAATGTACAGTTGCTGATGATGGAAACACGCGTATCACGAACATCTAACAAAGGCCTTTGGTTGGAGAAGTTGTTGCCGAATGTAAATGAGAACGTTGAGGTTAAAATTGATCGGTTCTTTTTCTTTATAGTCTCTGTTGGATGTTCTTCTCTTTTAATATCACCTTCATTTCGCTTTCGCTTTTCTCTTTTTTTACCATCTTTCCTATGGAGCGTAATCGGGATCTCTCATCTTCCTCCTAGTTTTCTGTTTTTTTTTTCATTCTCTCTTTGTGATAGAAACCATCATCTTAAGTGTGAAAATCTAAAGGTGCCAATTTGGTGAACACAATTACGTGCTTGACAGCCATTAAGTGGTCGTGGTGTTGCTGCTGCTCCTTTGGTTAGTTTCTGTCATCATCATAATCGTCAATCGTCATCCTCTTCTTGTCTATATACTCTTGAATTATAACAGTTGTTGCGGTGAGAAAGAGCCTGATAGATAATAAAAAGATAAACATTACACCGATGAGGCCGATGATTTAAAATGATGAGGAAGATGCTCATTGATAGCACAATAAGTAAAGGTAATAGTAATAAGGGAGAGAGAGAGAGAGAGAAGGAGACGGAGAGGGAGAGAGAAGGAGACGGAGAGGGAGAGAGCGACAGCCAGAGAGTGGAAGTGAAGTGGAGTCTCTTTCATCGGTGTGTCTCCTCTGTCTCTCTCTATCATTTCTAGTGTGTTGAGTGTTGTGTGAAAACAAGAATCTGGATTTGCACAGGTAAATGGATAAACGAGGTTGATGGCAAAGAGAAGGAGAGAAAGAAGAGAAAAAGAAAAGAATACAAACCAAAATGAATGAAGAGAGAGAGAGAGAAAACCGAAACTTCTAAAGAAAAGGTTGAAGCGATGATGAAGTAACAGTTGAGATGGAAAACAGAAAAGGCGTAACACCAGAACCAATGTAGTCCAAAGGAGGGAAATATCAATGGAAGAAAAAGTAAATTGTTACCCTAAATCATTGGAAGAAAAAAACAAATAAATCGAAAATGAAAAATACATTAAATGATTATTATCTGTTCATCGCCCGGGAATGAACACCAACTGTAACCATGGAAACAAAATTGACCGAGAAAAGAAAATTTTATTCACATGTTTACATTTGTGTCTATTCATTTTCTGTAAGAGTGAAAGGGAAAGAAAATGATGATGATGATGATGATGGAAATTGAGTCATACAGAACATATAATGATGTTAGAGAGAGAAACTTAATAATTTATCCAAAGTGAATGTTTCCCCAAACCCGATGAAAGAGCCAATGGTCAGTTTATGTTAAGCTCAATTCTGTTTTCTCTTATGGATTTTATTTGTTAATGTGAATCTTTTTTTCTTCATTACATTTTTTTCCTCCATTCGCTTCAATTTGGATAATGGTCAGTGAAACACCTCTAGTCTAATAGCTTCCATCGACTGGTCATCCCCTAAAAGAAAACTGGACAAGCCCAATGAATGGTATTCCATATCAATAAATATCTCCTAAAGGTAAGTATCCCAATGGAAAAGATTATAAAAACAAAAGAGATTAAGTAACAAAGAAAATGTTCTCTTTCTCTTCTTTACCTTTGCCTTTTCCTCTCTTTCTAATATTCTAATACAGAAAGACAGCCATATGTTTACCATTTACTCTACTCACGCTTTCATCTTAAACTAATTCTCCCTTTCGAATATCTTTCTGTTCTTCCATAGGTCATTTTCCGATGGAATTTTTGACCCTCTGATTTTGGATCCTTACTCTCGTTCTCTCTCCAATCATTATCATAGAAAATTATATCAACAGTATCATTATAGTTGATTATAATCATCATCTTCTCTTCAGGCCCAAGAGTCGGTTTACCTTTTCTCCCTTGTGTCTGTGTTCTTGTTTACTCACAACTTTTCACCTTTTTTTGGCTACATCATCATCATCATCTTCTCACAGGTAAATCCAATCAACTGAAAGGTAAAAAATAGCTTAAGGTTATAATATAATAATCATAATTGTAATAATCAATTCATTTAAACGCTTCTCTTTCTCTCTCTCTCTCCAATTACATACTATCTCTTTTTTTAATTTAGTTTCTCAAATCATCATTTTACAGTTTGGATTACAATTAGTTAATAATTTCCAACTATAACCAATCACTTTGATCATTTACCATCATCCTTATTACTATTCAAATCATTTCTTTATAAATATATCTCTCTCTCACCTCGCTAGTATCATTAATCATCAAGTCTTAACTTACCTTAAAGGTAAAATTTATTTCTTGACCTTTTACCTTGACCTGTTGGACTCACTATCCATTTATAATCAATAACACTTCACGTCTTTTGCTGTTAATTAATTTTTCATCTTCTCAACTAACAACATAACATAAACTATCATCATCTCTTAACCATAATTACTTGAAAACAATCAATTTCAAAGCCTAATGATGAGATTATCTCACTAAACTCATTTAGATTACATGGAAAAAAGCAGACTGACAAAATCATCATCTTCATCATCATATCAACTCCTATGGATAATAAACTCTGGTCTAATAATAATCACCATCATCCTGATGACGTTTCCTCCATAACGATAAAGAAAATGATATAATCAGGATAATCATCATGATCCATGTAATGAATATGTTACATACCCAAAGCTCATATAGTTATCAAGATAATTGTGATGATAATAATGATCCTAATCATAAGAGGACATTGATACATAATTATGATTATAAAGAACAAGAAAAAAAAAGTGTTGGTCAAACGTGAAAATGTTAATTTAACATTGAGAATATGCAGTTAATTTGATTTGTGTGATTCCTCTCAAATTTTGATGACAATGGTCAACAAAAAGATCACTGCGAAACCAAAGGAAAAGGTCACATTAAAGGTTATATATTTTCAGGCCATTAGGTTAACATTTATCTTCACACTCAACTGATGATAACATTTTCTTAATAATAGTAACTTAAACTAACTATTATCCATCTACCACCCAAACACCATCACCACCTCATCCCCTGTTCTTTCATCATCAGAGATCATCATTTCACCTTCTTTTCAATGTCCATCAAATTAATGACCAGTTTTGATTGTAGAATGTCACATGAGAACAATATTATTACTCTGGTCACCATTTTATCAGTTCAACTTGAACGAACCAACGAAAATGAAGAAAAAGAAACTCACCTTGACCATTATCATCACCATCATCTTCCAAAGGACTACTTTAATCCCTAATTGGCTAATTCAACATAATATCAAGTTCACCTTGATCCTGAATACATCAACCTTTCCTCATCCATTAATAACAATGGTCCAATGATGATAAGGGAAGTGATTGTAAAATCCTTTAGATATGTTTGCTTATGTAAAGTGTTCATTATTTTTTCCTCTGATACAATTTCAGTTAATTGGATAAATAACAAAGAAAGATGAAGATAAGTTAAGGGGTAGAAAAGGATGATAATAAGATGATAATGGTAATTGTGTCTCTGAATAATAATGAAAGGGAGTTGTTTAAATAATGACAATGAAGATATTGAAATAATATATATTTATCCACATGAAAGGTGAGTTTGATTAATAATAATATTATCATCTCTCTCTCTCTCTCTCTCTCTCTCTCTCTCTCTCTCTCTCTGATATCTAATTTAATATTTGGCGAAACATGATTATCATGATTATCAGTTGATCATCAACAAAGTATATTATATAACCTAAAACTTAATCAATGAAAGTTTAACCTTAATTATATTGTTTTACTTACCCCAAAGGAGATGAAGATGAAAATGATTAAGATGAAGGGAATAAAAAAGATAAATAAATAAATTATCTGGGAACCAAAAGGAAAGAGATGAAGATGAACAAGTTTCTTTTCTTCCTTTTTTCATCTTCAGTATCTTCTCAGCACGTGTTGTGTGATGTTTAAGGAGGAGGATGTGAAGGCGGTGGGTGAGTGGGAGTGAGAGGAGGAGATGATAATGTTAACACGCTTAAAGTGTAAACATAAATAAAAACAATAACAATGATGATATTAACACGCCCTTTCCTCTTTTCCCCTCCCCACGCCCTTTTCCCAATGATGAGGAAGATAATAATTAATGACTAATAACAATGATAATTCCGCTTTTTTTTTGATATAACTTGATTGTCAAAATGATGATGATGCTCTGGTGGTTGAGGAAAGATGAACATGTGAAAAAAGGAGTTGATGAGAAATATTTTATTCTTGTGGTCATTTATTTTTTCATCTTCGTTGATTTAAGATGACAACATAATTGTTGATAAATTGAGTAAAAATTTTTCATCATCCTCATCATCTTAATACTCTCTCTCTCTCTCTCTCTCTCTCTCTCTCTCTCTCTCTCTCTCTCTCTCTCTCTCTCTCTATCATCTTTTGTCCTCCTCTTATAATAAACTCTTCTTAGGAAGAGCATCTTCATCTTCTTCATCTTCTTGACCGATCATCTTTATCATCTTCTTATTCCACTCAATTTGTCTCTCAACATCATCTTTCGTTTCTCTTCCCACTTATCATCAAATATGATATTTAATCATCAACATTACAATTTAATCACAATTAACGTAAAATTATCAGAGAGAATTAACCAAAACAAAAGCTTCAGGTAATAAGAAACATTTTCTACCTGTTCCTTTGAAAATCTCACCTTTTAATCTTGATATTTTTTTTTGCTTCCATTGAAAAGGTTTATCATCATTCATCATTATCTTTTCATTCATGATGAATACAAAAGGGAGCAGAATGATTCAAATTGCTATGAATTGTAATAAAGGGAGAGAATCGAGAGATGAAAAATAATAACAAAATCCTCATTTTTTGAATCCTCTTTTCTCATCATCTTTGTCATCTTCATCTTCATCCTCATCCTCATCCTCATCTTTTTGTCAACCAAAAAAAACTTAATTCATAAAAATTAGACTTATAATGATTGAAACATATTCCCAAAAGCAACTAACCTGGGAAAAGTTTGTTTTTTTCAATTTAACCTTATTTTTAATTGTTCATTTAATTTGCTAATTTAATTCATTAATAATTAACTTTCTCAAATTCATCATCTAATTAATGATTCAGACAATTAATGACAATCAACTTTGTTTCATTTCTTTAGACTCATCATCTACTTTAGGTTATCCTCATGAGGAGTTATCATCATGATTAGGAAGACAAACTTGTCATCATTATCATCATCTTGATTTACTAATGACAATCTGATCATGATTACTGATTTAATCTGATTCACATAAATTTCATCAGTTTATTTTTATATTGAAATGAACGTTGTTTGAACCTCATCATCAGAAAATTAATCTTTAATTGTTGTTAATTAAATATTTTCATATCTACTTTTTGTACCTAAGCTGCTTAACTATTGATGATTTTAATTGTTGATTAGTTTGGGCTTAATGTTAAATTGTCCAATATTAAAGTATTCACTCAGTTGGGTGTAAATTGTTTACATACTTTAAAGCTTAACAATTAACTAATGACGATTGTATTTATTGATAATTGTTGGACACCAGAAAACTATAAATAAAAACATTTTATTACAATGTTGATCATTGAAACGGATTAATGACCAACAATCAAGAGAGAGAAAAAAAAATTACCAACAATCAGATTAACTCAGCATGTAAATCCGTTAATCAGCTCATACAATTAGTAAATCATTTGAGTTAAAGTCAAATAATCAAAAATAATTACCCTAATTATAAATGATTCTTGGTGGATTATGATTGTATTTTAAACTAATACATGAGCCTAATTAGTTAATGACGTTAAATTGCTCTAATAAATTAAAAATATTAATGATAATCCTTAATTGTTGTTGGTAAACAAACAAACATTGAGAAAACAATAAACACGAAAAAAAAAATCAATAGTGAAATGAATTTTAAATTGTCGGAAATTCAATTAATGAGATCCAATAAATAATCAAGTTACTAAACAATCAATAAAAAGTAAAAACAACAATAAAATCAATCAGTTTCTCATATGGATTTTGATGACCTAAACGCTAATTGATGCAATAATAGATTGCTTCATTAAGGAAATAGTTAATTACTGATGATTAAGATAAAATTAGTTATGACAAATGAGATGAAGATTGTAAAGTGATCAATGCCAAGACTCATAAACATTAAAAGGAACCTTAAGGTTTTATTATGATGATATTTTCAAGATGAACTGAAAAGTTAAACATGATGAAGATAATGAAGATGAGGAAGAAGATGAAGATGAAGATGATTATCAAGAGATGATAATATTACCCTTTAATCATAATGGAAAAGGGTAACATGTTTTAACCAGAAAATGATGAATTCTTGGTAACTTTGAACCTGGAAAATAAAATTCAAGGTAAAATTTTCAATTCAAAGTAATGAAAACTTTTTATTGTTCCCAGAATCCGTTTAGGGTTTGGTCATTATCTTTATCCTCATCATCTTGACCAATGGAAAAAGACAATGTTTATCTTATACTCACATTCACATTCATATAATTTATTATTATATTTCAATCAACATTTTATCATCTCATTCACAATCCCTATTATTATCATCATCATCATCATCATGATCCTTAACTGTTGGTCATAAGTTGTGTCCATCTAAAACTTTTACCAATAATGATCATTGAGTAAAAGGAAAGACTGATTTGATAGAAAGAGAGAGAGAGAGAGAGAGAGAGAGAGTTTATCATGATGATGAGGATGATAAAACATCTTCATCTTTTCATATTCTAACTTATAAATTACAGTAATAAACATGAAATAATAACAAGAGATAAGCATCCGGGAAGGAAGATGAACATTTGATGAAGAAAATTTTTCCATACTCATCATCATCTTATCATCTTTAATTTTACACAATTTAATGATAATCTATTATTACAATTGATTTCTTTATTATCTCTCAACTATTACAATCAATTTCATTGATTTCCATTGAAATAAATTTACAACAATTAGCTGATAATAGTAATATTAACTTGAAGAAGAAGAAAAAACTTTTTTCTTTCATTTTTTTCCTCTCATGTTTTATTTTTTCCTCCAAATATTAATAATAATATGAAATAATTAAAAAGGAACCAGAAATAACCTTGATATTTATTACCAGAATATTAATTATGATTAACATGACGATTTAATCATGAAACATAGGAAATGAATAGTTACCAGAATTGCTGAGTTACCATTTTGTTAAACTGTAACTTTTTAAATTGATTAACGTTTTGAGCTTTTTTTAGATTGTAGTTAAATTGTAAATGGTTATGAAACAATTAAAGATTAAGATTATCATAAACTTAATTGTAACAAGATGATATTCATAAAAAAACAGTAACATTGTTTGTTAATTGTAATTAAAAAAAAATTTTCTAAACTGTGAGAGAATTGAAAATGAGTATGAATTTTTTTCCATAGTAAATTGACATTGAGAAGATTATTTTTTGTCTCATCATCATCTTAATCATCCTCATCCTCATCATCTTGGCTTCACCTATCTAAGTGATTTATCATGATTAACTTTAATTGCCGTGAATCAAATTAGTTTATGCTTTTTGTTTCATCTTCATTGTTAAGAGCCTATGGGTTAGTGTTAAGAGAGACACTTTTTTGTTCTTGAAGATGAAGATGATCAGGATGATAAGAGTTTCTCTCTCTCTCTCTCTCTCTCTCTCGCTCTCTTTCATATTTCAATTTCTCTGTCAATAATAAGTCTCTCATGATAACAATTAACTAAATTGTTGTAGTAATTTAATGTGTCTACTGAGTGTTAACAATCAAACCTTGTTGTTGTTTCTTGTTATCTGATTAACTTTAATTGTTTGCTACCCAAGATCATGATTCTAATTTTTGTTTGATAAATTAAATTGTGATCATAATCAACAGTTAATCATGTTGTTGTTATTGTTGTGATTTATAATTAATCATTAATATTAAAGTCATGAAGGCTTTAAATTGTCTTTAAAAGTAGCAATTAATTTCCCTGTGAGATTATGAATTAAATTTTCACCAGGAATTTACAATTATGTGAATTAAAAGTAACAATTAAAGTTAATCAGTTGCTTAATATTAACATTTATACTGAATTTAAATTAATAACTATTGAATTATCATTAATTAAACATAAATCAAATAATATTGTTTGATTGTTGTTGTTAATTTAAATTGTTGCCGATTAAGAAAAACGTTTTAACCCCCAAGCAAATTTAATCTGTAACAATTAAATTAACCATTTCACTGATGATAATTTAATTAGTTAACAAGGTTTAATGACATCTGATTATTTTTGTGAGTTTAATTGTTGGATTTAAAGTGTTGATTCAGTTTTTGGTGATCAACAATTACGATTTTATTTAAATTATGATTGATAATTTAATTGTCTCTCTACTGATTGTTTCCGTTTTTTAATTTCACTTGTTAATTGTTGTCAAAGTTAATTAACTAATAACAGGATCTCTATGCTATCAACCTTGACCTTCCGGAATTAATTGTTGAATGAGATTTAAACTTTTCGTGTGAATTGTTTGTTGATTGTTTTATTTTGAAAAAAATATAAAAAATTTTCAATTTAATTATTAGCATCAATTTGTTGTTATAAATTACAATATGTTCATTAATATTAATTGTTTGTATTAATTGTCTCCCTTTAATTATGACTCGATATCTTCCTCTTTTTGAAAACTTGTCATCTTCATTTAAATCATTGGCGTTTGTTATTCGTGAGTCTTTTTTCATCATTTGACTAAATTGTTAATATAATCACACTAATTGTAGCGTTTTAACAAAATTTAGATTAATCAAAATCGTTTTGTTTTTTGGTTGATCTGTTTTACTGATGAGATTTTCATCATTTCTACCTTTTATCAAAGGCGCTCTCTGGGTTGATGTTTGTTGTTGATGATGATGATTATGTCCGAAATCAGCTGAATTGATGGCGGGCGGAAATTGGCAGTGGTCACCAGTTAATGTTTTACATCATTTAGGATCAAGTCAAGGTGGGAGGATATGAGAACAAATTATCATGATGATGATAATGATGATGTTATCTTTTTTTTAAAGGGACTTCATCAGTGATGTTATGATATATTTCATCATAATCATTTGTTGTTGTTTATATTATATACAAACATATGTGAGATCAATTTGATTTCGATCAACACTCAAGTAAATCATCACTTTTTTTCATCGATATTACACAAATATATACACAATATATACTATCTTACAAGGCGGGTGTAAGGATCAGGTCAAGGATGATAAAAGATGATGATCGAGAAGAGGAAGAAAGAAACAGAGAAAGAGACAGTGTAAAGATCGGAAATATGAAAGAAGATTGAAAAATATTGAGAAAAAGATAAGAGACAAATATCAGAAAGGAAGACACTGAATTGATGGAGAGAATGAGAGAAAGATGAGAAACAGCAAAAAAAAAAGTGAAAATGATGAAGTAGTTTAACAAAGATGATGATGAAAGAAAAGACAGAGTGAGAGTGAAAAAGGTCATCATCCTTTGGCGAAATATGATAAGCCTTGATTAATTGAGTTTCAAATAATCATCATCAATTGTTGTGATATATACTCTATTTTTAAGGCCAATTTTCTGGTTATCATCTTACTACTACTTCTTCATCATCTTCTTCTTGCATCACCAATCTCACTCGCATATTATCATCATCGCTTGTTTTTTTTGTCTTCTTCTCACTCCCCTATCATCATCATCCTCCTTCCTTGTTACTTAATAGTTTCTTTCGTTTTTTTTTCTCAAGATTAATTATCATCAATATAATTCCTTAAATGGTAAATGACGATAATAAATAGTTCCATCATCGTCGATCTCCACGACGTCCGGTTGATGACATGGCTACTGCTCTATATCCTTGGCGCTGTTTATTTACATTTGATGAGGTCAAAAACCGTTGAGTTGCTGTGGTTATTGTACCATATTTGGGTGAAGGAGAAGAGGGTGAATTTGTTGTTGTTGATGTAGTCAAATTATTGGGTGATGATGAGTTTGATGATGATAACTGATGATGGTGCTGATGGTGATTTGGTGAAGGTTGATGATGGTGATTATTTTGTTTGAGCAAATACATATGATTAACGTCAATTAAAGGATTAATAACGTTTGAAGGATGATCAACATCTTGATCATCGTCGTCGTCTTCATCTTCATCATCAGCATCAGTTGTAATCTGATTTGAAGGTGGTGGGGGTGGTAATACAACACTATTATTGACACTTGTCGAATTGGCAAGTCCGTTGATTAAAGTTGTTCCACTGTTAACCTTTATTAAGGTTGGTTCATGGTCACTTTTATCTGCTAATGGTTTTAAATCATTGTAATCACATGAATTATTATCACCAATTATAACATTATTATGTTTACTATAATTGACATAATTTGTTTCTTTCACAAACTTATCCAGATTAGATAATGGGTTAGAAATTAAATGTTTTGTTGTCTTATTGTTAACACTTGAGTTTCCATTTGGATAGTTACATACATCGGGCACAGCATATTCATGATCATATCGTAATTGTTGATGATTTTGTTGATGTAAAAGAGTTGTTAATTGTTGCTGTTGAAGGAGTAAATGATGAGGATGATGATTACCTCCTCCCCCTCTATGATAATTATTAATTTCATCGGGATCACAATAAACTGGTGTTGTTGCTCCTTTACATGGATCACCAATCGAATCAAGATAATTTGTTCCAATAGTTAAAAAGTGATCAGTTTTATTGCGACCATGAAAATAACGACGATATAAGATGAAACTACCGATAGCAACGGAGACCAATAGTATGAGAGAGAAAATAATGATGAAAATGCTGAGCATTGATGGTCCACCTTGATCATCAGGTTCGACGGGATCTTGGGTAACCTCAAGGCTCTCCAAATCATCCATCAGTTGATTGTAATCCCCAGAAACTGGAAATGAATTAAATTTAACCTCACTGATTAACAAGAGTTTGGAGGCAAATTTAAGGGAAAACTTAATAAACTTTGAAACCTTATTACCAAGGTTAATGATCACATCTCTTGGTGATTCCGTTATATGGTCTGGTTGATATTCCATGGTCAGTGGACTTTTTGACCAACGGGCACCATCAAAGGAGAAATAAATTCGAGCTGAACTGAAAACTTCTATATGTTTACTGAAAAGATTATGAGTAAACAACATTACCGAACTAAAGTTACGAAGTTCACCAAATTCGAAGACAATTTCAACAGTCTCATTGCCAGCCTCCCAGCCTATCCACTCGTAGCCCGAGTTTACTTTATAATCTTCATGAGCTTTAATCCCATCAACTAATTGACCTAATCCACGGGAAAGGTATTTACGTTGATCACGAATTCCATCGTATGAATCATCAATTAGATCACCATAACGTCCTCCAAAGGCACCGTCAGGCATGGAATAGGATAAAGGTCCATCTTTGTATGGACAACCAAACAATTCAAATCTAAGGCAAACAGTTCGATAATGTTTCGCAAAAGGGAAAAGACGAATCATGTTGGCACCTACAATCGGTAAATCTAAGATGTTGGTTACATTTGAATAAGTGTCATTGTTTCCCTTTAAATGGGTTTGACCTTTTGAGGTTTTCCATCGAGTCCATGAAACACCAAAATCACGAGAATATTCAATAAAATACTCTTCTAAATATTCACGACCATTTCCATTGCCGAAACGTCCTTGAGTGGCAACAGAGGTAATCACATAGCGATCAGTTAGATTGACTTGGATCCACTCGTTACCCGAAGTGTCCTGATTCAATTGTGCTTTTGGACACCAAGCACCACCAGATTCATCTTTACCAAAACGAGCAAATCGAGGACCAACACTTTGCTCATTATATGTAGATGAAGCTGTTAATTGGTCATTTTTAATGGCACCCGATTGCATGCCAAGAGGCATAGATTTATTGCAAATGTAACTTTTAGGTCTCCATTTATGGTTATAATGATCACTACTTTTAACTGCTGATGATGCTAAAGGTGAAGATTGAGCTCTTTCTAACAATAGTCTACCCTGATTAGATCTAGAAAATGGTGAAGATTGTGACAAGGATCCATAAAGTGATGATCTACTTCCATGAACATTTGAAAATCCACCATTATGATTATTATAAGATGGAGATGAGTTTTCATCATTATCACCAAATTGACTGAAAGGATGATGATATGTTAAACAGGTTGGTATCAAAAGTATCCAAATGGTAATCAAAAGATTAATGATCATGTTGATGACTTTTTAACTGGATGAAGTTGGTGGGTAGATAATGTGTAGTGGTGAACGATAGAGAGAGAGAAAAGTGGTGAGTGAGATAATGATGAAAGATGATGATGGTAAATTGGTTAGTCCCAGAAGAAATGTATGAGTAGAAATAGAAAGAAAAAATCAGTGGATGTGCAATCAAAACACAACACTCACAGAGAAAAAATCAGTAGAATAGAAAATTACACTGAAGTTGATGAAGAACAAAAAAAATCCAAAGGTAGCTTATCAAAAGAATCAGATTTAGCTTTTGAGAGCCTTGAACTTCAGTGATAATAAACCAGCATTAACATGGAATAAACAATGGTAATTATCTAGACTCGTGAAGAAAATTAAAGTAATCAAGTCCATGATATTAATGATGATGAAGAGAAAATCATTAAACGAATATGGAATTTTGTTTTCTCTATAGAAAAAAAAACCAAGTAGAAGATGAAATGTTTTGTTTGTTAATATTCCAGAAACAAAAAGGAAGATGTTTAAATGTAGAAAGTAAATTAGAATAAACTTAAACACTAAAGAGAATTAGAGAGTCACAGGGAGATTAATGAAGATATTTAAGCCAAAGAGAAGAAAAAGAAAAAAAAATTCCAATATTATCCAATGGTAATAGAAGATGAAGAAAAAGCGTAACTCGGAAAAGCGAAAGAATAAAAAAAGTCGATTCCATTTAATTCAAACTGGATCATGTTCACTTATATGAAATGTTCGGAAAAATATGATGATGATGATGATGATGAAAAGGAAGATGAAGATAAAATAGTGATCACTTATAAATAATATTGAGAATAAAAAAACGTTGTTGTTGAGACAAAATCTCCAAGTAAACTGAACTTAACCTCAGACTTAACTGGTAACATTTGAGTCTCTCAACGAAAGGGAGAAAAGAGAGAAGCGAAAAAGAAAAAAGTGGCTCCATCCACCGGGAAGAGCGAAAGTCACATGAGATCAATGATCTTCCATTTGGACGGAAAAGAAAGAGAAAATATTGACTAATCTTCTCTTTCTCTTATTACCTTTTCTTACCTTGAGACAATCAGACTCACTTTTAATTGTCTTCCAATTGTTACATTTTTAATCATCTCTTTTTTTTATTCTCTTAATCAACATTTACATCTTTCTATTAATTAATTGTGATTCTACTTAATTACAATTATGTCTCACTGATGATTAACTGATTATAAATTGTTACCTTTTTGTGATTAGTTTTTTTGTTCTTTTCTTTTTTTTTTAAATTCTATTCTCTTTTTCCTCCATTTTGTTTATTTCCCTCGTAATTTTTTTCTCCCTTAATTTATTTAATTGTTTGATTTCTTTGTTATCTTTACAATTAATTGTCTGTGATTAAATTTAATTTCTCTTTGGTTATCTAACCATCTTTCATAAGATTTAAATCCCCGTTAGCAACTCATCAATTTTTTTTCTAAATCTTCATCTTGGTCTTTATTTCCGTTTCCAATTTTCACCTTTTGTGTCAGTTTTGGATTCCATTTTTAATTGTTATTCTAATAAGAGATTATAGTGTGTCCCTCATAATTTAGATTATTAATATGGTCTCTCAATCTTTTGCTTGGTAATCCTGTTTATTGTTTATCCTCATCTTTTTCTGTTGTTATTTTTTCTTCAACATGTTTCCATTTTCTCAGGTAAAAACATGCAAAGGTAACATTTTGATTAATTTATATTTTTTCTTTATTCTCTTTTCGCCATTTTGTTGTCTTTTTTCCCTTCTTTCTCTTGTCTAGTCTCATTGTCTCTGTATAATCATCATCTCTTTTCTTTTCCATTTCAGTTTTTTTTGTTCTCTTGTTGTCCTGGACTTGTAATAAATTGCGAATAGATGATTTTGAGTAATCATCTTCTTCAGATGTGGTACTAAGAATGTGGTTAACTTTGGATAATTAATTGATGACAGTAATTACTTCATCTTCTAATTTATATTATCTATGTGAAAAACAACTTGCTGAAGAAAAAAAGGAAACAACAACTAGAATAACAATGGAAATCAAATCTGAAAGTAAAGAGATTCATGGATAATAATAAGATATTACATTTCCAGCCATTTAATGGATTGGATTAATTGTTGAACCCTTATTTTCTTTTGTCTTCTTTCCATTTCTTATATTGATAGAAAGGGAAATCTTGTTGAGTGATACTCGTAAGAATTTATCATCATTTCCATCAACATCAACAGGATCATCACAATCTCAACGGAATTGGTCAGAAACACCAAACAGTGAATTGAAAGAAAAGTGAAATATTGGTTGGCATAACATAACATCCTCATCATCATCATCGACAACAACAACAACACGAGAAACAACTACAATATCAATGATAATGATGATAATATCAATAAGATCAACTCTCCCACAACTCCAATCAGTTGAATTGAAGCTTCAACGGGCAAACAGTCAACATTAACTTGTCCCAACTGTAAACTTGAATGTCAATGTGAAGAGAGAGAGAGAGGAAGAGACAGTAAAAAGATACATTCATTTATATGAATCAAAGTAATATGTCATCTAACATATTCAAAATATCAAGAACAATAATCATAGAAAGACAGTGAGAGAGTCATACCCATAGAAAAGTATCATGTCAGATCCGTAGATTGATGGGAAAATGTTGTAATATTACATAGATAAAGAGAGAGAGAGAGAGAGAGAAAGTGGGGGAGTAAGAGAGATAAAAATGAAAATGAGATGAATGAGAGTATAAAAAAATACAGTGAACAAAAAAACGAGATGTACTTGAGAGTTTATCCGATTGCGATTCAAGTAGTAGACATGATGATGACTCTGAGGAAGACGAGAAAAAAGTACACATGGACATTGATGAGAGAGAAAAACAAAGGATGAGGAAGCATAAGAGGCCTGATGACTACGATGAGAAAGGTATTTGAATTAGCGGTTAAACATCATCAATGACACTTTGAATTAATATATTATTGACATTTCTCTTTCTTTTCTCTATTCCAGATTCTCAATGGTTAACACACTTACAATCGACATTCTAATTCACAAAATACGGTTACTGTCAAAATTTTCTCATCATCTCATCTCCTTCATCTTCGTGAGTACATATATTTACTTGTGAGTGATACAATTGCGCTTGATTAAACAACAAAAGCAAAATGAGAAACTAATTGTAATTCAACAACAAGAAATATATATTATAATATTTAACTTTGTTATTACAAAACTCATATTATCATATAAGTGGCATGGAAAACTGTTAAATCCATCCTACTAATCTATATCTTTCCCAATCCCACTACTTTATCCTCTTGCACCATTGAGAAAGTAACAATTATGATTAAGCAAGAAGAGGAAGAAAAACAATCTAATAATGTTATTATAATCATTCTGATGATGATTATGTTTCCTTAATCCAATCAAATCAGTAAATCTTTTTTTTATTCATTTAACTTACACTTACAAACTAACTGCTAATACTTGTAACACTTCAATCAAATTGATAGACACTTTGAGCTGGTTCGAGGAATAAGTAATAACAATTGATTAACCTAATTTCTTGAAATCAATTTAAACATATCCTATTCAATTAGAAGCAATTTAAATGTTTTAAATCGCTCCATTAGTGTAACAATTAAGAAATTAAGTGAAATCGTTTCAACAATTTGTTTCTCACTTTGCTTTTGTATCTTTTTTCAATTGTAATTTAACTTTTATTGAAATGTTAACATTTATTATTATTATGATATAAGTTAATCCTGATATTTCATCATCACTATTTTTTTTTAATTTGAACAGTTTAAGTCATCATGATTAACCTAAACATCATCACAATCAAGACTCAGGATGCAAACAATTGATCAACTCCCAATAGGATTGAAAGAAAAGTAAACTTATCAAGATTAATTGTTACTTTCCCATTATCATAATTAACAAAACTAATAACAATTAGGCCAAAATTATAACAGTAAATGTTTCCCCCTTCACGATTTAATCTATTACATGTTCACTAATCTTAATCCAAACAATTTCAATTCAGTTAATTAACTTGATTAGAAATAATAATTTTTAAATTTTCTTCCATGTTTTCATATTATCAAAATTGACAGGGAACAAAAATCAATATAATCTAGTTAATTATAATCCGAATCAGTTAAAATAACATAGAAAATGAGACATAATCAATATTTAAGGCAGAAAATTTAATGATTAATTAAAAAGAACATGATAATTATTTATACCATATTATCATCTTTGAATTATTAATTATCATCAACTTTTTCCGCTCTCTAACTAACTCATAATCATCACTGTTAATTATTATCATTATAATCATCAGTTAATCTGTTACCTTTTTCATCTTCATCAAATGATATAATATAAATGTTAAAATCCTCTAGTACATTAACGTAATTTAGATATTCATTTAAATTATTAATCATTACTGTTCATTTAATCATGTTGTTTTTACGTTATATTCATGATAAGTTTCCTATTTCATAATAATAATCATCATCTTTTTAATCACCTTTCAAATCCTAATCATTAGTTTTCCATTCATTTCCTTTACATATCATTTTTCAGTTATAATTACAATTACTGTTCCTTGTTTAATCCTTTGCTAAATAAGGTTTAAATAGATCACAAAAAAACAAGCAACATGATTAAATATCATTAAATTGAATCATGTTATTGAATCAAATTAGGATTGTAAACAAACAGAATTGATGATGATGATGATGATGATGAGAGTCAGAATCAACATGAACCAATATTATTTTATAGAAGTAAAAATCTTAAAATAATTGGACTTAAAATTTGGGATAAAGAGAAACACTGAAAGTAAGATGATGAAGATAAGGGAAATGATGATGGAGGTGGATGATGAGGAAGAGAATAAAAAAAGATGAGTTGTTTTTTTTTATCTTATATGAAGGTATTGAAATACAATATAAATCGGCTTTGTTAGTCTTTAAAATGGTTCATTTAAGTTGTGCATTGAAATAATAGTTATCATGATTCAGGGAGGAAGATAAAGATGATGAAGGATGATGATGCTACTGGAACTTGTAAAATTACAACATGTTCAGACATGCATTTCGCATGCAAAGAGATCAGTTTTTTTGTTCATTATTTCATCATCTTCGTCTCTCTCTCTCTCTCTTTCTCTCTCTCCGATTCTTCATCAATTCAACTTACAAGCTTAAGATCAAGTCTCAAGGGGAAAAGATCAAGAATGATGAGGAATTTGGTGAGAGAGATGGAAAACAAGGATGAAAAAGAAAAAGAAAAAGGTAAAATCCTTTCATCAATTTTTGATGAATTAATATTTTTTCACTTTGCTGTATTATCATCATGCTGTAAATAGAAAAGGTCTTCTCTCTCTCTCTCTCTCTCCCAGGAGAATGAGTTTAGTGATATTAAAAATACAAGAGGATGAAAAGATGAAGATGAAATGAGAAACAACTAAAAACAACAAATAATAATACATAGTAAAAAGATTATCATCATTAACATTACAATGATGATGATAATAAACAAAATAATGTTTGATGATGATTTTTATGAGATTGAAGATGATGATGAAGACAGAATAGAGCCTACGGTGTTTTCTTTCATCCTCATCCTCATCCACTTCCATCATCCTAAACCTTATTATCACAATGATGGTTGATCATCATCATCATCATTGGAAAGTGATGATGGTATAAAAAATTAATGTGAATTAAACTCATCATCATCAATATCATCAACTAATTGTAACTATTATGATGACATTTTCAATGATCACTATTGAAGATTATGGTGAAGCTTAACACCGGCACAACGGACTAAACTCCCAATGGTAAATGCGAGTATTAATAATAAATGTGATCAATTGGAACGGGTACATTTCAGTTACAATTTATACCGTTATTAAACTCAGGCCAAAGTCAAATAATGATAATGATATATTTTCATTATCATTTAGTAATTTTAACTTTTTCCTCTTCCTCCATCCCTCCGATGAGTCAATGTAATCACAATAATAATAAGAATGAATCTAAACAACAACCTGCCTCAAGGAATCACTTTTTCCTTCATCATCTTCTTGTTTCTCTAAAACTTTCATCATCAATTTTAGCTTATCCTCATTCCTATGAGCTGTTTTTCAACAAATCTTTTTCCATTTGATATTCATCATCATCTTTTTGGCTCTTTTTACATCTTTCTCTCTCTCTCTCTCTCTCCCTTTCAAAGATTTGCCTTCATCTCCTCTGCATCATCCGTATATTGAATTTGATTGGTTACTTTGTCTTGTGTGTTTATCTTTACTTTCAAGTCTTGTTCTTGGTGACATGAGGATGAAGTTGAAGAGGAAGATGAAGATAAGGCTGATATCGGTTCGATGTCATCAAGGAAAAGCACGTTTACTTGTGGGCTTGGTCTTAATACTAAAAGTACGCTATTAATTTGACATGCGTTTCGAGTTTAATTTTTATGGGGCGGAAGTCAACAGTCATCTCGTCAACTCGTGTGCCTTGTTCATCATAATCAATGAAAGAGACAAAAGATGATGAAAAAGGAGAATCACCTTCATCACCATCCATCCCATCATCGTCTTCTTCAAACACACAACCCAAATCCCGACACAAACACGAACCACATCCTCTTCAAATATTTGCTCAAAAGTTTCACTTTGCATCTTTACCTCCGCCTCAGTAAAATCAGAAACCTCTACGTTTGGTCATCTTGTCTTCCATCATCTTGATTTCCAGGTCAACACTAGAGAAAAGAAAAGAAATCAACAATCAGAACATTTATTATATTAGTATCATTTTCATTCTAATTTTTTTGTTCTCACCACAATTAATCTTTACGATGATGATCGTTTCTTTCCAACCATCAAGACTAAATTAAACGAAACACTTAAGTGAATAGGAAACAGGAGACGAAGTGGAGTGGGAGGAGGATCAAGACAAGGATCAAGACGAGGTAGAGGAGAGACAGAGATTCTTTTTTCATCCTTTTTATTCATCATCTTCATTGAGAACTACAAATATCTTACCTCTTCCTATTTCCTTCATCTCCTCCTCCTCCATCATAATCTCAAAACGCCTACACAAATCTTCATCATCATCATCAACCTACAAAGTGAAAGAGTACAAATGATGATGATCATCATCATAATCATCATCTTTTACTCCACAGAGTTAATATTACAAATAGAATCTGTTATGAGCCTCGAGATTTTGGAAAAACGGAAAGAGTAATTTAAGGAATTTTTTTCTTCTTCTTTTCTCTTGTAGAGAAACAAATTAAAATTTATTTCTCCCGGAAAGTCATTCATTGTAAATCACTCGGAGATTGTAATTGAACCTCCTTCTCCTGCGACTCTCCCTATTTTTACCCTTTCCATTGAATCTCCACACCCTGAAAAATATGTAATAAGTTAACATGCAAATTATTATGTTGATGATGATGATCAATGGATAATCTTTGTTGGTGGTAAGAGAACTGATGAAAAATTGAAAGGGTTCAGAACAACGATATTTGTATCACGAAATCATCATCATCATTCGAGAGAGAGAAAAAAGATTATATATTATTATTAGAATGATGATAAAAAAGATGAAATATCTTTGGACAGATTACATAATAGAATCTACAGTGGGAGGGAAAAGTTTAGATTCAAATAACTGGACTGATGAATATTAGAAAATATTTTTCTACTGAATTGGAGTTTTTTTTTCTTACAAGAAAAGAGGAACATGATGGAGAGGAGGAGGAGTGGAAGATGAAAAGATGAGGATAAAAATGGAATATGAATGAATAAATGAAGAGTACGATGATGATAAGGATATTTCTTCTTCTTCTTCGAAGGAGAAGAAGAAAAATTTTCCTTTACTCAATTACCATTGAACCGAATGTATAAATTTCATGTATATGAATCAGAATTGTAGCCTGTTTTTTATCACAGATTATCTGAATTCATCTGTTATCATGAATCAAGAAAAATAATAATACATAAATAATATTAGATAATAATAAAAGGATAACTTGAAATGATGATGATGATGATGATGAAAAAGTATCTTCCTCTTGCTGTGATGTTGCCTCTTTTTTTTTCATTACATTTCAATTTTTGTTCAATCAACTCACAAAGATCAAAGTAATTTATTTAATTTTGATTAATTGTAATACTACAATTGATATTTACCATTAGGTTATTATAATACTTTTCCCTTGATCATCTGCATCTTCATCATTAATATCATTCATTTGATTAATGATAAGTTAACCTTATAAACAACCAAAGGGAGGAAAATGTTTTAATTGTTGGAATAAAATTAAATTAAACTTATCTGGTAATATTGTTTTAGAGATGTAAACAAGTTGATTGTTATTAAATTGTTTCCAATGGAGATTTGATTGAAAATCAACTAACCTGTTTTTTTTTGAAAGAAATGAAAAGGAAAATATAACAACCTGAATCAGAGGAATCGGAATGGATGAAAACAAAAGGTAAATTGAAGATTCATCGTAGTATCATCATCTTGTTGTTTCTCATCGTTATCATCCTTTGATCATCATCATCATCATCATTATAAAGCTCCATGTGATGCAAATGATTTATGCTTTTGAAATTTTCCAACCGGTTGAAGGTGATTTTGTTTTCGCTGAAAGAAAATGTAAATTTCATCGGAAATTTTGGCTTCATCATCGTCTTTTCTTTGCCATCTTCTTCATTTCTTCATGTATCTATTTTTTCATATTCATCATCCTCCATGAGATTTCAATTCATCTCTTTCAATCCATTACCATGAGAGAGGACATTTTGTTTAGAAGGAGGAAAACGACAGAGAAGCAAAATAATAATATGCTTTCAACTGATATTACATTCACCACAGAAATTAACATGCATTTTCAATGACATGGAACATGAAACATGAAATAGTTTCCATTGTCTGTCTTCATCTGCCATCATCCCATCTTCATATCCATCTTTTTATCATCATCATGGTAACTTCAACTTCCTGTCCATAGATGGATTTCTCAATAGTTTCCTTTTCGATAGCGTCTCTGTGGTTATTATTATCCAAATGATGCAACTTAAAAAAAAGACAAAAAGAAAAGATTAAGAAGATGAATCAAAATAGAGAAGATGAAAGGTAAGATGATGAGCAACTTTCTCACTCGAGATATTCACACCTTCCTCTCTCATCATAAGAAGAAAAAGAGAAAGATGAGAACTTCTTTTCTAATCTTATCCAATCTAAAAGGTGAAAAACTCAAGAAAAAGGGATGAATTTGCTTATCTTACCTGAAGAATGTGATTAAGATGCTGGATTAAGTTTCCAATTGTATTAGTGAGTTTAACTTTTTCTTCATCTTTCTCACATTTTCTGTCTAATCTTAACCTTTCAATGATGTTGTTCAGTATTTTGACTTCTCCTTTTTGATTAATTGTCTTCTAATAAAGAACCTTTTCCCATTTTTGGTTCCTTTTTCATCTTCATCTTCATCCTAATCTTTTCTCATCATCTCTCTTTCTTTAGTCTTGTTTTCTTGTTCGCTTTCGCTTCTCTCTTTAGGATATCTTGTTGCTGCTCTCTTATTAACCTCTTACTAGAAAACACTTAATACGAGAAAGGAGGCTCAAGAATCTTCATCTATTGTCCGATTTTTTTTCTCTTCATCAGTCTTCATCTTCATCGATAATGTATTAGAAAGTATCATCATCTCCTCCTTCTTTATCGCCTTCATTTTTTTTTGTTTCAGCATCTCTCCTCTTGCTCTTTTTTATTATCATCTTGATAGTGCATATCAAATGAACTATTCACCCTTGACCGGGACATTCTTAAGGCCTTGATGTACTTGCTCCTGAAAGCCCTTTCTCCTTCTCTCACTTATCCTACTCTTGAAAACTCAATGAGACTTAACGTGAAAAAAAGGGCATCATCTTCAAATTATCTTCACGTGAGGTCCAAGAGAGGGTGGAAACTGTTAAGATGTATACACGTCCAAAGATGAAAAGTAAATGTGGTCGACCTCACTTACATTAATGTAAAAAAGCCTTAGCCTTTTAAGTCTTTCCATGTCCATCTTTATCCTTCACCACTCTGACCATCTTCATTTGACTTGTATATTGATGAGTTACCCTGGTTACTTTAGGTTTTGACCAGAACCAAAAGCGTAACTTAATTGAATACAAATTGAGACCATAATTTAATATGACATCGGCTCTCTATCTCTTCATGTAGCTCTCTGTCAGTCAACTTTTTTTCTTCAACTTTCTCTCTCACTTTTCTTTATCTTCCCCTCACTTCTTCTTCTTCTTCTTCTTCTTCTGCCTTTAAGGTTCATTGGTCAATCAAGGTTTCTCTGTGTAACTTATTACACACGAACTACTGTCGAGAGGATCTCCCTGTTATCCATCCAAAGCAGCTTCCATTAATTGGGATTGACCTTTTCTTTGGTTCCAGTTTTGTGTATGTTTATCAAAATCCATATCTGTTGATTAAGTTGTAATCCTTGTTTCTTTCACTTGATTATGATGATCTTCTTGTGTTATTATGATGAATATTGGATGAAGTTGGCCGATATAATCAACTTGACTGACTGACCAATGTTAATAATGGTAATGTTGATAATAATAAAAGCTTTTCTTCAGAAACAAAACCATAACGAATGGATAATTTATCCTTATTAGATATGTAATAGACTTCATTTTCAGTTTTTACTCTCCAGTATGTTACTCAAATTTAAAAACTTCTGATGATTACCAGGTATATCCATCAATGATAGATGATTGAATTAAATTCAATTACAAATTTGAGCCGGAATCACGTTCAGATTTTTATAATATCATTGTTACCATTGGAACAGCAATTTGATATTGATCATCTGCAGGAAATAAGGGAGGAAATTAGGTAATACAATTAATAAAATTAAGTGATTAACATGGTTATTATTTGGGTTGATCAATTAAAAATAAAACTTAGCAACAATTAATCAAATCAATTATATCTGAATTTACCGTTACAATTGGTTAGTTGATTTTGATACTAAAACTAATCAAAATCAATTAGTAATTGTTTTTAATTAAAGTGAATTAACTTTTGTCGACTGATTAAATTTGTTCTGTTTTAACTGATTGATCAAAGGGAGGAAATCATTTCGCAAATTGAATTAAAACTTCCCCGGACTTCACCTAAATTGTAAAAGATTATTTAATTGATAATTACCAAGTCTCTCATTTTTTTTGTGCCACTAGTTCATCATGACAGAGATACGGAAGATATAATCTGTCATGGCAACTATTTCTTCATGGAAACCATGATAATCATGGTAATCATCAGCTCGTTGATTAACTTGTTTCATCAATAATGTTGAAGGTGGTTATCAATTCAATCTTTTGCTACTCTCTCTCCTCCCATTGAAAACTTAAGTAATAAGGCACCGCGATGATGATGATGAATAAGGAAGAGAAAAAACCAAAGAAGAAATCTGAGAAAAAGAGAAAAGAAAAAAAGTTATGAGGAAAAAAGAGGAAGAAAATAATAATAGATAAAAAAGGAGAAAAGGAAGATGAAGATGAAGAAAAGAAAGGTAACTTCTCGTAGACAAACAAAGACATTAAAAAGAAAAGAAGAGGAAAAGATGATGAGGTGGTGGGAGGAGGAGGAAGATGAAGATGAAGATGAAGAGTAGAGGGAAATAAAAGAGTATATAAAAAAAGCTTCTTCCATTGATGTTGTGATGATGTTGATGTTATGGGGTTTATAATGTTGATCCTTGGTGTTACTGTGGTTTTTTGTTGTTTCAGTTGTTAGAACGAGTCAACAGTTTTTTTGTTATTGTTGTTAAAAAGCAAAAATGCTTCTTTCATCTTCATCATATTATTTTCCCTCCTTTTGTGATGAACTGATCAAAGTAGAAAACAACAACAGGGAATATAAACTTCATCTTTTATCAGCATTTTCAGCATCTTTCCATCAAATCACTTTTTTTTTCTAATTCCAATTCCATCTCTTCAAAATAATACGTTTACGGTTTGTGTCTTTGTTGTTAAAGATGATGATAAGCATGATCATCATCTTCATGATTATCAGATGTCCTCCTCTGAATTATTATTATTTCCACCTTCTTGTGTCCATACACACACACATGAATCGAAATCCATTTCCAAGATTATGAAAGATTTAGTCTGTAAGAAGAAAAATATGCTTACTGATTTTTTCTTCACTCTCGGTGTTTATCAATTTCTAAGGTAGAGAAAATTGAAATCCCTTCTGAGATCAATTCTTGAGATGGGTTCATACAATTTTCATTCTCTCTCATCCTTCATCATCTATTTTTCTTCACTTGGTATAAACAAACATCCATTCAATGAACAGTAAAAAAAGTAAACAGAATTATGAGTTTTTTTTTTGTAAAGTGATTGGAAGATTAGAGATGGAAATTACTTTAAATTGAACTTATCTTCACTTCTTCAATTTAGTCTCATTTTTCATCTTCTTTCCATCATCTCATTCCGATTTATCCTCCGTCATCATGATCATCATTTTTCTCCTCCTAGGGTCCATTTCCATCGTCAGCAGTAATCATCATCATCGTCAAATTGTGTACACACTTTCAAGTTATAATGTTAACGAGAAAAGTAAAAAAAACAATTTCATTAACATCGTTGTTTTTATAACAGTGAAAAGCTGTTAAATAATAGCATCGATAATGATGATGATGATGATGATGAGATGCTAATGTTTCTCTCTGTAGACACACGTAATTATAAACACTAACAAGGGAAGATTTTTGTTTTTCTAATCATCACTATTTTAGTTGTTGATTTGTTGATGGGTTGATAATTTTTCTTTGTTGATTATTGCTCTTTAAATTGTTTTCTTTTTATCAATTTCGTCTCCATTATTTTTCATCTTTATCGTTCTCTCTCCTTTTTGTTCTGTTCCAAGGTCATCATGCTTAGTTTACCAATTTTATCTCCTCATCTGAGCTTCAAGAAATCACTGTCAGAACATTTTTGATGATGGTGATGATGTGCCCAAGGGCAATTAGGCAAGCCAATGTTATTTTAAAGCCAAATTATGTCCATATATATAATAAATCCAAACAAAAATTGATCTTAAACTTGATAATTATGATCCTACTGTGTTAGTAGTAGTAAATGTTGATGTGTTTATGGTGCTGAGCCTTATCATTAGTTGTAGACGGATCAACAATTTATGATGAAAATCTGGAAAATTGGATGAATAATACAACTACTAGTTGTATTCATTATGAGTTTTGGATGTAGCATCTTCAATTGATTAGCCAAGAAAATTGTACAACATAATTATTTGTGAATGATTTAAAAATTACGTTGGGAAAAAGTTTATACCAGTAAATTGCCCACTACAATTTGCTAATAGTCTTCATGATGTCAATAAATTTATCCAGGATCTAATTTTTTTTTTACTTCGCTTGCTACAGGAATGAATTATTGGTTTAAGTTGTTATCGTCATTCTCATGCAATCTGATTATATTGAATTTGAAGGCAGTTTGATGAGTTTCCAACATTTAATCTTGAGTAAATCGCTTCTTTACTGATTAGTCGTCCAAAAGATAGATTCACTAACTGGTTGGTTCTTTCACTGGTCCCGTTGATTAGGCCAAAATTATAATTGGTCAGTGTATGAAGGATGATAATGATTCCAGCCACAAACGAAAAAAATCTTGTAAACAAATGAAAGAAAAGAAAGAAGGAAGTTAACATAAATGAGTCTGATTAGTCTGTAAATCTTATGTGTTAAGTGATGATGTTAACTGATAATCAGAGAGAAAACCAAACCAAATTATCAACATCTTTCTGGGCGATGATGATATTATTATAACTTAATAAAGATGTTTTCAACTTACCGTAATAATAATCAAAGTCATCATCAAATGATTTGTTTTTTTTTACGATTTGAAAATTACCTCTTTTCAGCTAATCATGATTATCAACCATAAAAGAAGCAATTACCAGGCTGATGAAGAATCAAATGAATGAATCTTGTTCAGAGTTAATCAATTTTTTTTACTTTTTTCTCATGGTGGGCTAACCCTTTTAAATAGTAGCATAATTTATGACTGTTCATATCAAATTTCCACCTTAATCAACCAACGCAAAAATCATCTCTCTCACCACTTGTCATCATATCCTCCTCCTAGAATCTAACCAATATTCAAGCACCATGATCATAACTCACGTTTGGAAACTGTAACATCAATGAACAGGAATCATTATAAGAAGAATACTTGTCACCATAAAACGTTGAAAAAAAGAAAGAAAATCAAAATGAAATCTGAAAAAAAAGAAAAAGAAAGAGATTAAAATGAAGGGTAAGGTCAATATCATCATAATCATAATCATAATTATCCCTTCTAATCATGATACTCATCATGATCCAGGGGGTAATAGTTACATTCTAAAAGAAATTTGGTAGAGAAATATAATAGTTAGAAAGAAACTGATCTGAATGACATAAATTAAAACAAAATGTAATTCAAGATAATGAAAGATAATTAAAATAAAACTACTTACCTTTTTTCTTTCACTAAAACAAGATGAGAAAACATGGCGATCATGATTAGGTAATAATGACACATACACATTAAGGTATAGAAAAAGGGGTTTGGAGATTAAACTTGACGTACTTTCCACATTCCAATCAATTCAAAGACTAATTGCAAGTTAATCTTTTCTCCCACTGATTAACTTGCATGATAAAAGTAATGATGATTAATTAAAATGATAAGAAATTAAATAAATCACTTTGAGAGGAGAAAAGAAACAAAAGAAATGACCAAATGGAGAAAAAAAAATTCTTTTCTTTTTTTTGAGTCTCGTCTTTTGGCGCCAATAGAACAAAAATCAAATAGAATTTGAAAATTGTTCTCTTTTGTTTTCTCTTCCACATTTGTCAAAGTTCATTAGTTGTTTACTAATTATTTCTTTCTAATGATTAACTTGACGAAAACCGTTTAAATCATGTGAGATTATAATCAACTGATTAACTCTAATTGTCTACAAAATTATCCTTTTGTTTTCTTAATCCTTGTGATGTTTTTTTCCTCAACATCAGTTGATCAACTTGAACTGTTTTCGGTTTTAATTAATCTTCCTTAATTGTTGTTCTTTGTCTCCAAGTGGTCAATTTATTATCAACTGGACATGTTATATTTCTGGGTGATAATGTATATTAGGAAATATCCTGATTTCTTTTGTTTAATTGTGTCAACAAAACCAATAGGTAAGCTTTTATTTTCAATTTGTCAACACTGTTGATTGAGTGATTTTAAGATGTGATAATTAATCTAATTAGGCTTCTTTTACTCAGTTACAACAATTTATCCTCAATTGATTCTTAAGGTGTTAAATCAATTGGTTGACATTAATTGAGTTAAACATTCACTTGGAATTCAATGTGTGGGTTAATTTGTAATAATTCATGATTTTTTTTGTTCTATTCTCTTTTCCATTTTTTCTCCCCATTTCCAATTCTTTAGTAATAAATATTATGCCTAATTAGAGTTAATTCTCTTATTTTCCAATTCTGATTGAATGGATGATTGATTCGCTCTTTCAACTTCTCAGTCTTTCAGACAAGAAGAAGAAAATCTAATCAAAGAGAAATTCATATCTACATGATAATTAAATTCATGTTTCATTTGTAAACGAAATGAAAATTTATCTTCAATTTTACATATTCACATTGAATTAACTCTAATTATTCCTTATGATGAAATTATTCAAACTTGTTTTATGTACATTACCTGTGTTGATGCTCTCATTTGAAAAGTCATCACCATCTACTCTCTCAGTGAATTAATGTCTTGATACTATTTGATAATCAGTGTTAAAGTAATTTTAACAAGTAATTTGAGACCAAATGAGCTTTATGAGTCTTAATTTGCTTCTTTTTTACCTTTTATTTAATTCCATTGAGAATTATTGTTGCATCTTATTCTATTTGTTTTCTTTTTTCTCCAAAAAAAAAGTTTCATATTTTCTCTGAATTATTTTTCTAATCAACATCATTTTATTCATTATGATTATTTTTTCTACTTCACATTCACAGGAACATCTCTAATGGAAACCATTTCTTTAAATGTTGAATTTCTAATGAGTCTCATACATGATGATCAACTGTTTTTGGTTACTTAAATTTCCTTGGTTTCCTTTGAAAAACTCTAATCACAATAATTAACCTCAAAGGACAACTCATGAAAAGGAATCGGAAATGATGTTACCCTTTTCACACCAATAATCTCTCTTTCAAATATGATAACCATGAAGATGATGACAATTATAACTGTGAGACAACTACATTTGTCTTATTAACTTTATGATAAGTTAAACTAGTTATCAATAATGATGATGATCATGTCAAGGATGAATTTACTAGCGTTGGTAAATTCATCCATTCACCAATGGCTTCATTTTTATTAAGTATCATTACTTTTCAGTTTCTCTGTTTCTCTCTCTTTTAATCAGTTGGGTGTAATGCATCATCATATTTAATGTCATCTTATATTCAATGGAATAGCTTATTCGCCATACAAATTAACAGATTAAATTAAGTGAGAAAAGGGGAGAGAGAAGAAAGAAATTATTCTAACAATTTTGGCATCATCAACTCGGAAATGTCTCAGACTTTATCCCACCTTTATCTCTTTTCCTTTGTTTTTCTTTTATTAGGTTGACTAAGAATTAGTGTCGGTTTTTTGATTATCGAATCTTTAATTGTAATTATCTCATTGATTATAAAGGATTTTAATTTGATTGTTTCGACTAAATGATTAATTAGACTATCAACAATGATTAGCAACAATTAGCGCGACAATTAAAAATTTCTAAATTAGTTAATTAATTAACTTAATTGTTGGCCATTTTCGACGCAAATCGAACATTTTTTATAATTTGGCCTTAAAATCGACCTGACTGACCTAAAGTGACGCAAAATACATGAAATGATAATGAAATTTTATAATCTAACCAATGGACATATTAATTTTCATCAAAAAATTTCGAGAAAGAAATTGCAAGGCCATTTCCGGAACGGGTCGGAAAATAAAAAATGGCCTGAAATTCCGTTGAAATAGAGGTAATCTTCACCAATAATCACGAATTATTGAATAGAATGAAAAATTGTACCTAGAAATGTTACTTAAATCTCTTAATTGTTAGAGATAATTAATTCAGTAAAATTATTGATTAAAAAAAGGCCAATTTGATGAAAATTTAGCCTCCGTTGATGGCCTCATAACTTTTGAATTCGAGCTCAAAAATAGAAAAAAATAACGCCATTGTTTAGATAATTGACCGCACTATTCATTTCATGTATTTTGCGTCACTTTAGGTCAGTCAGGTCGATTTTAAGGCCAAATTATAAAAAATGTTCGATTTGCGTCATATTCAACAATAAGTTAATTATAATTAAATTACAATGTCGCTTGTGTGCTGATAGTCTATAATCATTTATCGAAACAATCAAATAAAACCTATCATGAGATAATCCAATTAAGATTCGATAATCAAAAAACCGACACTAATTCTTAGTCAACCTAATATAAACTAGCTCATCATTATCATCATCATCATACGTATTCATCTTCCTTGGCATCATAAGCATCATCTTCATTTCCGGTAAAAAGGAATAGGAACACGTTCAAAATACGATTTTGGAAGAAAATGATTCGCAAGAATGAATCTAATCACAAATGATTACATGATTTTAATACTGTATTCCTGATGATCATCATCATGACACCATTTGTGTAACAACAGTTCCTCTATCTGCAATAGTAATTAGCACATCTTCAACTAATAGTCTCATTTCTTACTAGATATACAACTCCCTCTCTATTCATACAATTTCTCTCTCTCTCTCTATCTTCTAAACCCATTATACTCATCATCACCGGAAACACAGTTTCTCGTAGGTTAACATTTCCGGTGAAAATCTTTTCTTCATCCTTCAAGCTAAAGTCCTAAAGTTAAGTAAGAAAAAAGAAACTTCCACTCTCTCTCTCTCAATTGCCTTCTCCTCATTCACCATCATCATCATCTTCTGAATTCTCAGGGAATTGGTGATAACAGATAATAACCTTGTATTTAGAGTTTTTATTTAACTGCTTAGAATGCACATTAAAGATCATGTAATAACAATACACTTTTCCTTTTTTTCTTTACAGATCTTTTTCCCAGAGCATTTTCCTCCTCATCACTTTTTTATTCTTGGTTTTTCAGAAGATTGAAAATTCATCTCTCTCTCTCTCCCTTTACTAAAGAAGAGAGATATCATCAACCCATCATCATTTCTGTTCTTAAATAATCAACATCATAATCACCACCACCGCCGCCATCATCATCATCAGGCTCATTTAAGATGATCAAAGATGGTTCATATTAACAAAACTAAAGAAAATGGATGAGGATGGAGAAGAAGAAAATGGATGAAGGAAAATGAAGATAATGATGATGATCTTCAGTAAGAAAGCAAACAAGGATAAAGATAAGAAAGAAGGAGAGAAATGAAGAGTAAAACGTAAGCGACAATAATGGAGAAAGCGAGGCGATGCTATTGATTATCATGATGAAGGAGGAGAATTGAAATCAAGGTGATAATGACGATTAAACGAGGATTTTTAATGTTTAATTTTTCATCTTTTTAATGATCTTCATCTCACCCTTGGATTAGAAAGATGAAATTTCAATGAATCTTAGATACTCCTTGAAGCAAACAGGAACAAGAATCTTGATCACCATCAACAACATCATCATCTCCTTTCATCAACCTTTTCCATCCCTATGGATATTAAAATTCATCATCAACTCTCATCATCAGTTTCATAATCAGGATCATCATCAGTGTGGTTTTCAGGGTAAGAAAAACGCAATTTAAATACAAAAATGCTTCAGGGCTTTTCTGAGGCAAATTATTTCGCCTCATATTTTTTTTCTCAGATCACTTTTCATTATCAAGATTTTTTCCTATTTTCAACCTTTTTTAGCACTTTTTTTATTTCATGATATCATATTATCATCACGATATAATGTTATTATTTCAACACACTGATCAATTTCATTTCCTCACTATTACACAAGAGTGAGTGAGAGAGAGAGAGAGAGAGAGAGTAGAGTGAGATAACAATGTAATAACAACAATGGTTACATCTCATCATCATCCTCGAATCAACTATAAACAATTTGATAACAAGATAATGGAGGATAATCAAGGTTTCCAAAACATCATCATGAAAAATACAGTAAGTTGAAAAAGGTTGATAATTTGATTTACCTTCCTCTTTCTCACTATTAAAACTTTCTCTCCCTTTGTTGTTTATTAACCTCTTCGTTTGCAAATATTATTATATTAAATTCTGTAAGCCATCGACTTATTCATTCCACCCTAAGGCTAATTTTTCTTTCTCTCTTTTTTTCTTTTCTTCTAGTGATTATTATTCTTATTATTATTATTGGTTTACTTTTGGTACCAAACCATTTATCACGTTAAGACCCACAAGTTTAACTTATTCAACATTATGTTCAAATTGTTTGAGGTTTTATAGCCTCATCATAATAATCATCATTCTCATCATCATCACTCCCATGGATGGTTCATCCTCATCATATAATCAACAACTGTTCATCTTTTAGCTTTTATAAAGACACACAGTGAGTGAGAGAGGACAGAATGAGACAAATATACTCTATCCAAGTCTATGGAAAAAGACTAATACTCAAAAAAAGAGAGATGATGAAGAAAAAAAACATTTCCAGGAGACTACAGGGCATATTGTGCATACTCTATGGCATAAAATGAAGATAATGATGATGATGATAACATAAGCCTCAGTAAATTGCTGTTACTTTCCAGTTGATGCTGTTAATCTGTTATTCAATTTGCATTGAGGTTGCAAACTCTGACAACATGGTTGCTACCTTAATGCCAACTCCTCCAAGTGCGTGGATATAAATTAGGATTGCCTTTTGAATACCACCATCCAAATAGATATAAAACCAATAACCATTATCATTATAATTATTTTGATAAAACTCGTGAGATAACATGATGGGCCATGGTGACATGAAACAGAATCTGGAGCAGAAAAAAAATCAGCCATTTAACTTGGTAATACTTTACCTTGTAACAAATTAATGAAATTACATGATTATTGCAATTTAATTTGGTTCATTTTCAATGTTACATCTGAATGACAAGCAAAGTATTACATAGTATATTTATTTGTACTTTGAAATCCCAGAATAATCTGTGTGAATTTTTTTCTTCAACCATTATCAAGATTATTTCATCTCTCTCTCTCTGATAACCATCATATTTTTTTTCATTTATCCAGGAAAAAGGCAGGAAAAGGATTGAATCTATTGCAATGATGAACAATATGAAAACCAACAGCAACATGAACCATGATAATGATGATGAACATGATGGAAAAAAAAAGAAAAAAGGAATTCAGATTGAATAGAGGAAAATACAAAATTGCAAATGAAACAGAGGATGAGGATGAGGAAGATATGGAAGATGCAACAATAACAACAATAATGTGTAAGGGTTGTGCTGGGGGATGTGGATAAGGCAGCCTTACAAAACCTGCAACCGAAGCTACAGCCAAGAGTAGAAATAAGGACAAGGTCGACGACTTTGTGCCCGGCGCTATTATCGACAAATAGATTTTGGAGCAACTTAGATATTTATTGAGAATAGAGACAACAGTATAGATACACCTTGTAAGAATAATTATTGAGGAGACGAAATAGGAATAGGAAAATACTGAAGAGTAAGATAAGTAATTAGGGTAATTGACACGTGGGTGACTAACAATGAGTACAATGTGTGTAGAAGTAGTTGTAGCTGAGGTATTGGTGTGTTGCTTCTCTTTTTGAGAGAGAAGGAACTTGTTTATATACAAGATGGAGAAAAGGTTTCTGTGGTAACAAAGGAGAAGCGGGAAAAGAGTTAATTGTTTGAGATGATTAACTCTTTTTCTTATTGGTTAAGTATGAATGGGGGTCGATTGAGGCATTTCCCTTACAGAGCCCCCCCACAAAGTGTTATTTAAGGCTCTTTAACGGGTCTTAGAACACTCGTAGGCCATAAAGAGACCACGTTCATACTGATATGGAATAGGACGTTCATTATTTGGAGGTCCATCGATATAATCGTCCGACCAATACTTCTGAGAGAGAATTCTAGCAGAGTTTTCTTTTGATGTTAACATTGGATTCGTTTTGAACGAATCAGGCCAATCCTTGACTTGTTTCATGATGTCTTTTAAAAGACCACCCATGTTGTAATTTCTAGGCCAATCATGTCCTTTATATCCATTGAGAAAACTTGGTGTTTGTTTAACGATTTGTTTAAATGTTGTTTCAATCCTTTGATAATCAATTAAATATAACCACATGGTATAAGCAGCATCGATGATGGGTGAATGTTGCTTATCTTGAAAGATGTGAGCGAAGAGACAGAAGACAGAAATTTTGAGGCTGAGAGTTTCATCCTTTTTAACTCGACAAGCGTAACATTTGGTTACGTCAATGATTCTTGGTAATAAATATAAATAATCATGGGGAGAAATGTATAAATCCATAAAATCGCATATATCGCCAGCGATAATAATTCTTTGGTAACGTCTAATGACTTCGATTACCTCGGCTCGAACACGTTTAAAATTAGGAGCCCATTTGGTATCGTCCCATGATAAACCATGAAATTCAGCTAGAAACCGATGACTTGAGTTGATTGGGTTTCTAACGAATGAATTATAAACAATGTGACCATGATGATCAACAATTGAGATCCATGTTGGAACATTAGCACAACGTCCATTTTTCATGATGATAGTTTGTTTTTCTATGTCGATGGCACAAGCGGTTATACCATCTTTCATTAAAAGCATTGAATTAGCTGCGATTAAACCGATCATGTACGGCGGCGGCAACATTTTCGTTTTAGCTGGTTCAGATTTGGCAGCTAATAAATTTTTATAAACTTTGGTTCTTTTCGCTTTCTCTTTGCGATTCGCTTTGGTTGGATCTCGTCTTCTTTGTCTTAGTCTTTTTCTTCTGTTCTTTGATTTGATTTGATTAATTTCCTTCTCTGTGAATTTGTGGAATTGTAATGATTTGGGTTGATAATTGGAAGGTTCAGAGAACACAAAGTCGTCGACCTTGTCGTTCTGTGATGATGATGATGATTGTTGAGATGAAGATAATTGAGATGATGAAGTTGATTGGCTTGATTGTTGAGAAGAGGTTGAGGTTCTTGGTGATGGAGCTAATTGTTCAGAAGCACTAGGGTTTGAGCTTTCACTTGAGGTTGACACTCGGGGATCACGATAAACTGTAAGTGATGAAGAGGTTGAAGGTGATGGATTCACCGGAATTGAAGAGAGAGGGTCAAGAAGTGAAGAAATGTCACTAGAACTCAATGTTGATTTGGAAGTTGATGTACTCGGCGGAGGGTCATTCCAATCACAACCATCATTTGGTGATGTTGGTCTGGCGACTCTTAGTACAGGAGGAATATAAAAATTCAAATCACCTCGTTTTCTTGCTTGTTTATTCAAACGTTTGCGAAGATTTTGTTCAGCTCTAAATTGTGCTGAATTTGCCGAGACTGTAGCCAATAAAAGTTCACTATCTTCTTCATCGATTGATGATTCCATTGATGAATTAATTTTTTCTGTTAATGAATCCCATGAATCATTAATTATAATTTCATTTTGATGACTAGGAGTTTTATTTGGTTGAATTGTTGATGATGAAGATGAAGATGCGTTTGATGCGAGTTGAGCATCGATTCTTTGTTTACTTTTTCTGGTTAAATATTCCAGAGGAGTTAATCTCTTTTTTAATTGTTGAGGAGAAAATGTGTCAGATGATCGCTTAGGAGAACCAGGAGGAGTAGATGGCAATGGAATTGAAGATATTTCTTCTTGTGAAACTGGAGAAACGGAATTTGTTTCAGTTGATTCGGAAATTGAATCGAAAGTTGAGGCAATTTTATCTTGCCAATTTGAGGCCAATTCCTCTTGATTAGAATTAGAAAACATTTCATGATAAAAGGCAATAGTTTCAGGATCATCTTCATAAGTTTCATCTTCTTTTAAAAAACTGGCAGCTACATTGATTGGATCGAACTTGAAATCGTCCTTATGAATTGTATTTCTCATATGAGTAGTAACATTGATGTAGTTTCCACTGAATTTACAATTAAAATAAACACAATTGACATTCAATTGAGTTATTGATTCTTTAGTCTTTTGATCGACTTCTTTGAGCTTGCATTCACCATAACCATCAGTAGGAAGAAGACAATAGATTTCTTTATTTGTTAACTTGAATTCCTTTGAATTAAAATCTATTGTTAGAGGAAGCTTATTATGAGCTCGCCATAAAACATGAAGAAATTTAGCACAACATCGACAATAGAAGAGAAAACACTCGGGACATTCCATCGGAAAACATGAAATTTGATCGCAGAGAAGACAAATGAAGGTTTGATGATTGTTCGTTTCATTCACTGGAACATAACCTGGAGTCATATTAACTTTGGTGAAAGCTAATGAAAAACAACGATCTGCGATGAAGCTTTGGCTGGCTAATACTTTCAATTTGATGAATTTTTTATAAGATTCCAAAGTCATTTGATTGAACTTGGGTTGTTTGGTTTCTTCGCTGTTCACCAGCGGCAACGGTAACTCGGTATTTGCCATAATTGTAGCCAAATGGGATGATTGATGAGAGACGATGGAAGTGGTCGGTGGATGTCGGCTTGTTAATTGAAGGTGAGAAGAAGGTCAGATCAGAGTCAAAAGTCGTTCGACCTTTGTCTCTTTTCTTGACAAGAAGAAGAACCAATTGTAGGGTGAGAGGTCGATCGACTTCTTTCCCTTATGGTTTAAACACTGATGTTATCTTGGAAAAGGTGAGAAGAGATGAGAAACATAAATGGTAGCTGAAGATTTAATTAGTTGAATTAATTTGAAAATAGCTGAAAAGAGTAAATTAAATCAATTAGTATTGTTGTTGGTAAAGAGCACATGTAAGCTCAATGGTAGCTAATAGCTGAAGATTCATCTAAATCTTTAGATTTTAATTGTTTAATTAATTGATTGGGTTCAAAGTCGATCGACCTTGAACCCTTTCATCTACTTAAAATAAGAGAGAAAAAGACCAACAATTAATTGATTTAATTTGAAAACACACAAAAAATGTTAATAACTAATCTTAATAATTAAGATGTTAACTGAAAGTAATGAGAAGAGTAAATGAAGTAGAAAAGAACAAATTTAAATTCTATTCTCTTTTGGTGGAAACGGAAGTTTTGATTGGTGAAGAAGGGGTGTGTTTAATAGATGGAGCCATTGTTTTATCTCCATTGGTGACTAAAGAGGTGCAAGGTTGATCAACTTTTGTCCTCTTTTAATTATTAATTTAATTAATTTTAATTATTAATTTAATTTCTAATTTTTTCTCTAATTAGATTAATTAAGTTTTGAGCTTCATTTAGATATGAAATTTGTGGTGAAAAAGCATTAAATTGGTTGACTCTCGATGACAAAGAAAATTTGAAGCAATTGAATTGACCAGCTCTTGTGAGTCCAAGAGACCAAGTCGCTTTGTAATTGTGGTGAAAATTGAATTTGTTTCAATTGAATTGATTGATTGAGATTCAGGTCGATCGACTTGAAACTTTAATTAGATTTTCTCTCTCGACATTAGAAATCATTGTTAATTCAATGTAAATAAGTGAAAGGTTAAGAGTTGAGCTTCTGTAGCTATTACTCTAGATGGTAATTCTAATTTCTTCCTTTTAGTTTCTTTTGTACCATAGGTAATAATAAGAGGAGATTTGAAATTGAATTGGTTGGAACGAAAATCTAACTGTGACCCAAGGTGATAGTTGATTGACCATTACCTTGTGAAAGTAAAGGCGTTAGCTTTTACATTATTCAACTTGGAATAATGGGATAAGAGAAAGGATACAAAGTCGATTGACCTTGTTGCTTTCTAATGTTTAAATTGAAAGAATCAATTTAACAAGATGTTCCTAATAGAAATGAGATTCAGTGACTAACTAATTGATGAGATATGATTTGTGAGAATTAACTAATTGTTACAGTTAATTGTTTATGGGATTACCAAGCGGAGAATGAAATTGACTCGATCGGATCACGTTCGAAAGATCTTATAATTTGGAGCTAATGGAACTTTCCGTGCTGTTCTATCTCAATGTTACTAAGTTGCAATTTTCCTTTTTGTTTTGTTTTAATTTAATTACGAGTTTATTAACCTGTTTTGTTTTTTGTTTTGAATTTATTCTAGAGTATCTATTGGAATAAGTAACATTGTCCGTTTAATTATAAATCATTCGATTTGTTTAATGGAGAAGTGCTATGGTACCCAAGATGAAAGGACGCTCGTCTTTTCTTCTTGTGAGGAAAAGAGCTTTACTGGAAAACAAAATGTCGACTGACTATTTGTTTCCTGACTAGATTGTATTGACCAGTGAAAGTAAATGAGTCGATCGACTGTTTACTT